ACAGAACTTGGTTGGATGGGGTTTGTGGTGGTGCAAGAACCTTATCTATTGCTACTGGGCTCTGGGTCCGACTACAGTTTCAAAGTCAATTGCCCGGCCGGCATCTATATCGTCGCCGATTTTGCTCTGGTATGAGATCAAGAACACTGGATATTGATATTAAGGGCGACCTTGGAAACTGCGATATATGACGTCATAGATTGCCTCTCACATTCGGCTTCATTACTCCACCATTCCGGAGTACAAGTTGTGCGCTCCCGCCCAGGAGCCCTCTTTCACTCATCATGATGTCTGCACAGATCATCAACAAGGATAGGATTAGGAATTACACCGCTGCTAACCAAGTATTACCGCTCGGGCTATTCTTGAGTTAAAATTGATCGACGGCGAAGAAGTCGTGCGTCCCTCCTAGCTTCTGACCGGACAATCTATATGGCTGCAGACCGATTCCGGCGCGTCGGTGATTCGCTGCAGAGGATCACAGGAACCTCTTACCTGGAGGAGATTTACCAGTCCCTGCCGACCGTGAACATGGAGGGTTATCACGCCTGATTTCTTCCTCGTCAGTCTTTAAGGGGCAGCGTTGGCTTTGTTCAGTCTCTTCCTGCCTAGATCGAGACGGTTGCTCTACAACCCCAGCCTCAGTCACGCCATGCCAATGACCCAAGTTGTCTGCACCGTCTATTCTGGTCCTAGCTCGCTTGGATCTGTTGTGTAACGAGTTGAGCACTCAGACATCTCCCTCTGGACATAATCCGGACGTAGTCGAAACATATGACAATAAAACTGGTGTATGCAAGTATGATGGGCTAGTGTCTCGTATGATACAAGTCCTCATCAATCCAATTGCGCCATCCCCTTCCGGAATTCGGAGGCAGATGGGCTTCGAAAATCACTTCAGTGCATGGCTCGAGCTCCCTCCCAAGATTACAGAATACATTCTCGCAATAATGACAACCAAGAACCCTGGCGCTTGTCTCACCCAGGTAGTGTCTTATTACGGCTCTAATTTCACACCAGACTCTTTTGCTCGGCTATTCCCAGCCGGGTGAAAGATGTATGTATTTCCCCTGGATAGTGGCACAGCGCCATTCTTTGCCACTCGCTGGTCGAATTGCTAATAATATTGCCATTCGATTCTGTTCGCCAAAGTTATATGGACCCACCGTTAGTATCTATGCTGTGAGAGAATTGTTTCCCAAATAAGGCCCGGCGCCAACCTCATGGTTGAATGGAAAACGGCCATTATCATTATTCTGTGTTTGATCGACCCATCCATCATTGGTGTTGGCTGAGTGTCTGTGGAAAAGTGTCGGGCCAATTAGCACCCTTGTGCCAGTCGCCGAGTCCGAAGAAACAAGGAGCCTGGCAAGCCTCTCATCGAGCTCGCTTTCTTCGAGCATCTTAATACCGGCGTTATTGCATCTATTACTGGTGCGCCGGCCATCTTGGCCCCAGTTCAATACAGTATCGTTTATAAGGAAAGCGTTATTTTTGCTGCTCAGATCCTTACGACAAGGACAGAGGCCAACCAGGCCAACCAGGCACATTGTCTGATCGCAGAGCAGAGAGGCTAAGCAACCCCAATGGCGTGCAAAAGATCAACATGGATCGCCAGTAAATCCTTTGAGGACCACGCAGTCCAGAGTGGAAAGATGAGGGGCAGACTGCCCCCTTGAAACTCATTCCTCTTCAGTCTGAGCCCCGTCGCTGACATGGATCCCTATCATCTCAATTCACTGCGTTGTCAAGTTCCATCTCCTGAAAGCCCCCAACAAGCACAAGATACAGAGCAGTTAGTCGTCTATAATCCTGGCGCTAATCTATTTACTTTTATCCCGATTTTTTCGCCCGTCGAAAGTATTGAGCCCCCAAAAGGTTCACCGGCGATTATTTGTGCGTCAGTGCTCTGAGATCGACGTAGCGGCGACGGTCGAGCCCTCCATTCGGTTTACCTTTTTGAGTCCTCCCTCCGAAGTATGGTAGATTCTTTACCATAGCTACAACTACTGTGTTTAGCTTTTTATTTGAAGAAGCGGTCAGTTTGCCTTTGCAAGGGCAGGGGACTATTAGCGAACTCTCGGGGGGTTGTCTGTCGAAAGCTGAATGAATAGTAAGTCATGCAGTGTTCGACGGAGGTAGTATCGAGTGAACAGAAACGTCAACCTGCCATGCCCCATGCCGGAGATGAATCTCTGACTAGGAAGGCCCGTCCCGACTAGATCCGCTTGGATATCGCAGCTTTGACAGTGTTTTCTTCGGTCGTTTCCCGATTATGGGCCCGTTGCGCCCCCATGGGGACCGCGCTCTAGGAGTCTTTCATGCATTGGTGTCTGTGGTCCGTTATCAGCAGACGACACAATTCTCCGCTTCTTTACATGGAGCGACGTACTCCGGAATAACACACTAACCTTTCGACTCCATCAAAACTCCATACACCTGCCCACGGGCGCTTAAGTTGCGTGTCCCCGCAATGGTCGGAGCAAGGACCCTCTCCGCCCAGAGGACTCCATGATGGACTTGTATTGAGGGCGATGGCATAAGCCGCAGCAAGGACAAATAGATTTCGACCTCAAAAACTCCTCCCACAAGTATTCCTATCATACCTTGCAGAATGGGGCTCGAAGGCGCCTAGTTTGGAACAAAGTTCGGCTTCCATGCAAAGAATCTGCAGGCTCTCGGGCAATCAAGCACCGTCTGGCCAGCTGACTCCTTGACCACCGGGCACGGAAGCGGCGGGAGGCAGGGCGACTGTTCCAGGAGGAATTGCGACTTTCGGGCTCGGTTCCTGGGGGCGAACAAGGCCCTAGAATTAAAATCTATTAATTGCATCCTAGTACGCTGTGGCGCCCGCCGTACAATTAACGGCCCAATAGGCGGCTTCGCATCGCCCAGACATCGCGAAGTGACAATGACAAGCCACTAGATGTTTGTCCAGACCACGCCAGGCCGTGCAGTGCTGTTGGTGGCGCATTTCGTGGGGCTCGAAGCTAACGGGCTGAGTTTAGTGTCGCGAACTGACATTTTATCTGCAGCCACACAGTCCGCAGAGGCCAAAGCTCGATAACGGTGCTGTTTCAACGCAAGAGCTCAAGGCGCGATGTATGTAATCGCATACTCACGGACCCAATATCCATCGAGAGGGGTTTCAGAGCTCGATGAGACCCCCGCCACAGCTTCGGCGAGTAATAGTGTGGTTTGAAGTCTCACATTGCATTATCCCTGACGATAATAAATGTATGCTCATCGAGGATCAACCAGGCTATCACCCTGCGACGCATTGCAAATCGAGCCAATCTGCCTTCCACTATTGGACTGCCACTTTCCACCTCGCCTTCGCAACTGAATACCTCGTGCGCTGCTGCGCGCTTCAATAATATCATAATTCCCCGACCTTCAACCTCTGACCTACCCTTGTGCAATATCACAAGCCTCTTATGTCTAGGTTTCGCTCCCAAACTATGGGCGCCTCCCCTAAACTTTATTACTCGAGAAGCCCTCATTCACTTTGGCGCTTCATGCCACTCTAAAAAAAAAAACACGAGTGCCACCGCCACCAGAATATATCTTGTTAGAAACAAACACTTTGGCTGGCTGAAAGTTGAAGCCATAGGGAGCGCCGAGTAGTAGACGCGACACACAGATCCGAGCGCGATCAACCCCTCCACCCAGACATGCATCGTTTTGCGCGGCCTCGAGCCTAGATGCGGCGAGGCACATGGCAACATCCCCGGCCGAGACTCAAGATGGTCAGTTCAGCTAACTGACCGTCTTGTGAATAGCTTCCGCGGTCGAGACCCAGCGAACAAGACAGAAGTTGGAGAAAAATTCGTATGAGGCGGGAGCGGGGTGCATACTTTCCCTGTAGGCTTTACCTCAGTATGATACAAAGAGGCTTTGCTATACCCAGGGAAGCTTATTGATAGCTTGCGGGGTAGATAACGACTGACAGCACATCAGCCTGCCTCTCATCGCTCGATGAGCTCGAGTGGAGAGCTTTGGGGTCTGTGATTCCTATACAAAAGTACTTCATTGCCTCCACCCAGCTACGCGCCGTGTTTCGCTCCGGAAAATGACTTTCTCGGGATTGATGGACCGGTAAATGAGCTCCTCGTTATAGTTTGTTGAAACACGTCCCGTGTTTGATTGCGCAAGTGTGCAGTGGATAGACCATTGCCCTCTATCTTATCTCAGATGCGAGAGATTTCGCTGTCCAGCCGGCCGTCTCCCCACGCTCCTACTTTGCCATTACAGGTGGTTTTTTTCTGTTCGAGTGACAACCGACTTTGAAGCAAAACATCTTTCACCAATAAAACCACCATTCCCCGTCGTAGGCAATAATATCTTGCTTCTGTTTCTATATCCGCCACATCGATGTATACAATCCTCCCCTATATCCACCAGCTAGAGTACCGCCGCACAAGATTATCATATATCCGTTAGGCTTCGGAAATCAGAGAAAAAGAAGCACGAGATGGGGTAGCAGCCGGTGTTTTGCGAGGTTTCTATGCAGAATGGCGTAGTCTGTGTAGATGTTGACGGTCCAATGTTCGAGAGATGCAGCTAAATATATAATAACTCGCTTCTAGCTTCTCTTTGTACTCGAATCGGAGCTCCGCATCTCCTTTGTTGGCCTTTAGCAGGATTGTCACTCGCGCCCTCTCCCCGTCAACGCCTCTCTTCCATAAGATAACCAATACCAAATGTAGTACGTTCTAATATACGTCGTTAACTTTGAACCATTCAACGAGCAGGCAATCATTCAACCGAGAGCATGTTCCTCCCGAAATATTCAAGTGTCGAGATTGTGCATTTAGGCAACCATATTAGACAATCCCTCTACTGTTCATGGCCATGGTCCGTGACAGGCGGTGGGATATATACAGCCGTGAGAAAACGTGGGAAGCAGCCGCATCAGATATCTAAGTTCTCGTCAACACCATGATGATGTGCATCCCCTATTGTTAACCAGCAAAAGAGGGTAGGTAAGTCATTATGATGAAGGTGATTTCCGTATACTGTCATTCTAACGTGTTGGAGTATTTAAATCAGGGATATTTAATTCAGTAATGTAGACCGTTATCTGGGGCCGTTATATTCCGTATTAATCCTAAGTCATCTGTATCTGATACTTGCCATTGCTGGCTACAGTCTTGGTCTTGTATAGTGGTGGAAAAACAACAAAAAAGAGAGCAAAAGCAAGGGTCCACCCAAAGATCCAGCTTATGGTGGAAAAGAAGTGAAGTACATGGAAATAACAATGGGGGAATCGCGCAAAAGTGCATCAAAACGGGACATATCAAAGCAAAAAAAGAAGATTGAGATCAAGACGACTGGGTCGCCTCTCTCTGTAAAAGAGATCATTAAATAATGTTCGTCGAGTAGTATAGCGTGAATGAGTCGTCAATCATTGGTTTCATCATCATAATAAATCATAATATCGAATCATGTCAAACACTTGCGGTTCGACGCTTCTCGCTTGGTTTCTGCGTATATGCGATCAACAATCGGAAGCCGGTTCCTCGTTGCTGGCACTCGCGGAGGATCTTCTTGTTGGCCCAGAGACTGCGGTCGACGTCTCCATTGGGGAGAACGGGGCTTTCGTAGCAACGGGTGTACCACCAACGGCCGACGCGGGCGACGATTTTCCGGATAGATTCGTCATTTGATGGGGAGGGGGAGGGGTCAGAAAGCAGGTCTCCGAGAGAGAGAACAGTATCGTTAGAGGAAGACTTCTCATGCATGTTTGATCGCTGTCCTTCGGAGGAGCCGGAAGCAGCAGAGAGCGCCGTAGAGGATGTTATAGCAGCCGTCGTCAGGGTGGACGGGTTAGAGCAGGTAGTAGACGAGGAAGAAGCGGACGAGCGAACAATCATCCCCGCGACCGGAATGCGGACCATGCACCGGCGGAGGTTGTCAAATCCATGGCTACCAAGCAGTTTCTGGATGTTATCACTTGCGGGCTTGAGGCTGATGCTAGCGTCGGAGAGGTACATTGTTTCCTTGAGTTTTCGTACGGCTCTGCGTGTGCGGACACCCATGTTTACCATATCGTGGTCGAGGATGCTCATTTCCAGATAGCCACCAGGACGGAGGACGCGTTTACATTCCGAGATGATGTTGTTTTGAGCTGCTTCGGAGCATGCGGCTGGGAATCGCAAAACGGTCGCGGCAAAGAAGCCTTTAGGGAATGGAACTGGGTTCTCGAGACTAGCGTGGTGAATGGTATGGTGGTTTGATGGGGGTTGCCACGCAGCTGGATGAGTGGACGCAGGATGAATCGGTCCCTCATGTAGGCAGTACACGTCTGAATTAGGGTACGTCAACGCGCAATAGAACGACCAGTCATCGTTTCCAAGCCCATCGACTACCAAAATCCTCTTCTGCACCCCTTCTCTAACATGGTTATGCGCCGGACTGAAAAGGACTCTCCCAAAAGACAACCAACGACTGGTCATTAGAGAGCCTGATCGAATATTTGTCTGCGCTGTTGGTCCTTCTCGGTCACGTTCCGCGATGTCAAACAGGATGGTGTTCCGTTGGCGGCAGTTCTCGAAACTTGGAGACGGATCCAAGCTCGGCGAACTGACTATGCTCGGCTGTGGCTCTTCAACAGTGATGACCGGTGGCTGCACGTCCGTATTGTAGTAGGGAGTAGGCACTTCCTCGTGGTCATCACGGAAGCGTGCCATCATATCACTCACCGAAGGCTGCGAGGTCGGGCTAAGGGATGCGTGAAGGGCATTGGCAATTTTAGAACGCCGTAGACGAACTGAATTGACACTTCCTCGGGGAGATGCAGGAGTCAGAGAAACTGTGGGCTGCTCGGGCGATGACGCAGGCACAGCGAGACTACTGTTGAGCCCAGCCTGGAGAGCACGGCTTGCCCTTGCTGCCAGCTCAAATTTCTCGCGAGGCTCTAGTCCACCAGGGAACGGCAAGTTTGGAGTCTCTGGCGAAAGAACATGGTCAATGAATTCGTCATATTCACCCCATATTTCATCCTCCATAAGCTCAGTTTCAGGTCCCGGAACAACAGCAGTAATAGCAGCAAGACTCTCAGACCCGCTGGATGTGGAGAATAATGAATCCTTTCGAGGAGGTGAGAATGACAAGAATTCATTATTGGAGTAAGGTCCCGCAAGGAAGTCGAGGGCGCTACCCTTCATGGGGTCGCTGAACGGCGAAGTTAGGTCAAATCCAGTGTTGCCTGGTTTGCGATGCATATCAAGATGCTGGCCATGAGCATGCCCGCTGGGACCGGGATGCCCGTGCGGTTGGTCAGGGGCTATGGCAGGCAAAGACGAAGGATCCTCGGCCACACTAAATGGTCGTGAAAAGGACTGTACAGCCGGCCTGTGTTGTCGGTCTTTTCGAGATACAACACGAGGGATTCGTCCCACAGAAGCTAGTCGGCTTGGGCGCTCTTCGGGACTTGGCTCCTGTCTGGTATACATGGTTTCCTTGGAAGATCCGACGTTGGGGGAAGCGGACTTTGTCACTGCATATTCACTATGTAGCTTCGGCGGAGACGGGAGAAGAACAGATTCGTGTTGTTTTCTGATCCTCAACCCGTCGGGTACTTCCACTGGCGGCATTTGGTCGGAATCTTCTGTTTCTTCCGTGGGCGGAGAGTCTTCCAGGTTATAAAATATTTCTTCCAACGGGTCGGAATCAGTATCAACCAACGCATAGTGAGCAACTGGGCGGCGGTTTCCATGAGTTGCAACTTGTGCAGGCAGCTTAGAAGGAGGCTTTGGGTCAGGGACAGCAGGAGCCACGTCTTTGTGAAAGAATGGCCATTTCATATTGAGTCCGCGCTTAGATGGTTTTTTCGACTGGGTCTGTGGCGGAGCATGGCTATCGGACTCTTTCTTACGCGATGAGATCTGAGTAGTTTGAATATCTGGTCGAGTCTTGGATTTCTCCGGGCTGGTGAGGGTGGGGGTCTTGCTCTGACCCTTAGACGCGGAGATGGTTGCCGGGCTTGAGAGATCCCTTCGGTGGGATTCCTTGAAAGTGCTTGCTCTTGTTGAAACCTGTGTAGGTTCATAATGATATCCAGCTGGTGGAACCGGCCCGTGACTAGGACCAGGTGCTGACTTTGTACTGAGTTCGCCTGCACTTTGCTCGCTCTGTGTTCTTGATAAAGTAGCACCATCCACACCACCGCCATTAAGATACACTGGTTCCAAACGCGCGAGGAAAAAATCGTCAAGTTCTGTGTCCGCTCGACTTCTGCCACTTCCTTTGCTTGAAGTAGACTTCGTCGTGCTAGTCGATCTTGCTCTAGCGTCAGTCGTGCTGCCAACACTGGACTTGCGGCCGCGCTGTCCATACTTCCCGTAGCCTTCGTGGCCAGTCCCAGCAGCAGGGCCTTTTCGCGCGGGTCGAGCTTCATTTTGGCCAGCGTCCAGCTCAGGCTTCGATTTCCGAGGGAAAAGTCCAAACTTCCGAGATTTTACAGGGCTTGAGTCTGGTGCCGTAGTTTTCCGTGGCTCCTTGGTCAGCGTTTTTGGCGATTTTCGTGCCAATTCAGGCGATGAGGGACTGCGGATTTGAGATGAAGCCGTAGAGTTGAGTGAATCAACAGATGTAGCCGCTGATTGATTCGAAGCCAGGCCTGTGGAGCTCCCCGCAGAAATGCGCCGTCTATGGCCCTTTATTGCGCGAGGGGGTATGTTTGTTTTGACGACGGGAGATGGTTCCAAGTGCAATTGCTCGGTGCCTTCTCTGCTTGGTCTAACAGGAATCTTACCCGATGGTTTAGGGATGGTCCGTTTCCCAAGGATATCACTTAGCTCGGGAAGCTGACTATTCTCTGTCTTCTCAGGTGGTTGGTGGGATTCCGTATTATCCTTGATCTGCCTTGGGATACTAGATTTTGTTGACGTCCTTCTGGGCAGTAGACTGGGTGCCGGAGGCGGAGACCTCGTGGCTTCAAAGGCTTCCGCAGAATCCTCTCGGTTATTAGTCAGGAGCGACGTAGCTGATCCGTATCCTGGGGCTAAATTAGGCGATCTCGTCTTCCCAGATGCCGGGCTACTCGGTAGGCCGGGCTTTTGCCCTTGAGGTGAAAACACTGGAAGCCTAGTATGTGAGGGGCTAGGCTGTCTTAATCGAGGACCAACCTTCATAGGCTGAGTAATACCCGGTGAACATGACGACAAAGAAGCTGGTGTGGACGCGGACGTTCTACTCCAAATACCAGGTGACCCAGAGTATCGTGTAGACGGCGTGCTGGCAGAGGGAAACATTGGCGTGAATGGTGGTAGATTCTGAGTGTTAACAGTAGTCCGAAGACTTGCGAGCTCCTTTGGGCCATGGTGGGCCTGTTGTTCGGTGACGGGTGCTGTAGGCTGGTCCGGGGCAACTATTGGCGACGGGGTTTGCCTTGCCAATTCTGTCTGACTTGAAGATTGCGAAGACCCTAGTTGGGGCTGATCGAGAGCGGTACTGTTTGGAATGATCACGTTCAACCCACTTGGTCTTGTCGACTCAGCTTGCAGTTTGTTATTGGCGCTATGCTGACCTATTGTAGGCGCCTTCCTCCGCAGTACCTTCCGTGGACGAGATTGGACTGGCGGTGGGTTGTTGATAGGGGTCTGGGGCCCAGCTGGAGTATGCAGGGCTCGCGGTACGTGTCGGTTTAATGTACTGTTCTGAAGATCTGCTGGATGAGTAGGCACTCGAGGGGGCATATACGGGCGAGAATCAGGAGTGAGGATAGGATTTGATTGCGCGACGATTGGACGGTTCTCCTCTGCTTCAGACATCGAGGCCGCCCTGGTTCTGGTTTTCGTTGACGGTGTCATCAATCGCGGAATCTGTGGTCTTGAATACTGCGCAGTGGCCGACCCATAAGAGCTGGGCTGGGTGGCGATCGTTGGCGTCGAGGCGTTTCGCGCTTGATGCCCGAATTCCCTCAACCGGGGTATTCGGCCACCATCGGATCTGTACGACATAGTGTGACCTTGACTTCAGTTTCCAGCTCTAATCTCGAAGTAAAAGTTAGAACGTGGCGTGGGGCGATGAGAACTTGAAATCATTCCGGCGTCGAAGTTGGTGTGCTATAAATTTACTGTAAACAATTATCTGTGAGTATACGGGCTAAAAGCGGGAGATAAAAGAAGCGATACACTTACATGCTGGGATCATGGTATGCGATCCGTATATCTGCGACTAGACGACCCAAGGAGCTGGCTCGCGCGAGCGATAGTATATCTAAGGGAGAGAAAAAAAGGGCGCCGAAATCGCAGCCGGGGCGGGGGTGCAGTTGAAGTAGGTAGAAAAGAAACCAGCAAGTTTTCTAAGCCAAATAAAAATGACGTCGCAAAAAGTGAGGCAGCTAGTTAAAGATACAAAGCTGCAGCTTCATCAGAAAGCGGGTGAAAAAAAAAAAAAAAGAGCAATAGGCGGCAAGAATATACATGCCCAAACGGCACAGTGCTAGGTATGCAGATGCTCCGCCACAGGCAGGTCCGATGTGGCTAAGAAGGCAAAATAGATCCGAGCTGGGTCTGCACGACCACGTCAGAGGTCGCATGTACTTCAAAATGGAGGCTAGGTTCGAAAAGGAATGGTATACTAAAACTTCCAGCTGCGGGTGTAACAAAAAGAAAATAATGAAAGTAGCGGTCGAGAAACGAGAGCGTGAAAGAAATGGGATTGTAGCGCTCTTGACTCAGGATAGATCTGGCTTCTGGACCTTTTTCTACAAGAGAACGTGCCTCGCGCTAATTCCAACCCTGCTGGGGCTGCTGGCCCTAGTGGGAGAATCAGATCCCCATTCGCAGGCTAACGATCCATCGAGAGACGACGATGAGGGATCCTGGCGCGATGTGAGAGATCGACACCGGTCTCGGATTCGACGTTGGTGTGACGGCGATGATCATTGGCGCAAGATGTGCACAATTTTTTCTTCACATTATCAAACTGCCTCAAGCGTGGTTCTCGAGGGGAAGAGGGTCAACACAGTCAAACGCTGTTGGGTGCACGGGTACGGAGAGCGACAAAACTGTGGGTAAACGGGAGAGAACCATATTGACCCACCTCTTCCTTCTTTTATTTTGCATACAATGACTGGCGCGAGCCCAGAGGATGCGGCATCCCCGGCTTCGGAGCCTGTTGAATCGTGCTAGATGACAGGATAAAGCCAGGCCAGTGGCGAGAGATAGCGCAACGACGGCCTTGACAGGAATGGCCATAGAGAAAAAGAGGAATACTCCCAGAATCTGGACCCGCCGATTAGTTGAGACCGTAGCGTTGCGAGTTTGATGGGCGCAGGCGCTCTGCAGTAGTCCAGAGCTCTACTTGGTCTGTGTTTCTGGAGTAATGTGGTCTGATTTGACGAGGTAGGGGACATCTTCCCTCAGTTGTTGGAAAATCTCTGGAGACACAGTCAGCCGCGGGTCAGGTGGTGGTCACTGACCAGAGTCGATCACCACCGGAGAGACCGACGACAACTTGATTCGTATCTCAACCCCTCAGGCGCTACGAGAAGTGACGGAGCACTCGTGTCCTCTTGAAACTGACTACTCAGGGTGCATCAAGGCGATCTCCAGAGCAGTGCGCGTTTTTTCAGTTCGCTTGTCTTGGGGTCCTAAAAAAAGAAAACTTACATCTCCCCACTGCTCGGGACGCATACGAGCAAGGCGCACTAAGTCTTACAAGGCGCCCCAGTTCCAACGCCGACAGTATCTCAGCTAAGCAGCACTCTCAACGTTTTGTACTGGGGTTCCCAGGGACTTTCTTGCTAACAGTCAACTTCCCTTGTCCAGAGGTTGCCCCTGATGAGAAGACAAAGCGGATGCAGTTGGAAGGTTCGCTCCGAACCCCTCGTTACATAACCAGCACCAAGAAACCGCTCTACAGGGACCGGATTGGACAATAACGGTCGCACCGTCACATATAACGTTGATGCTGGGAACATCCCACTAGCCAGTAATGGTCTTGAATGGGTATCCTGGACTAAACGCTGAGACCTCCGCTCAAAGTTACGTTGGAACGGGCCGTGAACCAGAGAAAGTCGCGGTTTGGAACAGAACGGCTGGCAGTTGAGTCTGGGGCGATGCTGGTCATTCTGTGGTCGCTGCGCGATGGCCGGGGTCGCTGAGCCGTGGGTCCAGGGCTCCAGATCCGCCGCTAAACTTTTCGCTGAGCCCTGGGCGGTTCACGGCCGACTCGGACTGGTCGGCCAACAGGCGCGGAGCAATGGGACCCGAGTTTTAGTCTGATGGACAAATGGCAGCCTTGCGAACGGATTCGTCAGAGGGAGGAAAGGCCATGGCGATGTTGGAGGGTCCCAAGTGGAGATGGCGGTAAATCAAACCGTTCAACGGGGAATTGACAAGGATGTCAATTTCAGCCACCAAAGCCAATCAGTAGTTTTAAATCCCAATCGGAGAATTGGACAAGGAGAACGTGCGAGTTAAAGTTTGTGTAAATTTCCTCCTTCGCTCTCTGCAATTGAGAGAGCATGCAAAGCATCAAGCACTGTGTCCCAGTCGCCAGTCGCCAGTCGTCAGTGAAGCTGCAGCCAGAGCGTCGATCGGGTCTCCTGCAGGAACCGCTTGCCGCGCCGCAGTTCAGCTGTGCGTGTCGCCCCGTGACTCATTAATCAAGAAATGACGACAGAGAGTGGACGACACGGGATACACCGATTGCAGGTCGATCATTGGAGGCGGAGCTGAATACCTGTAGATGGCCATGACGTCCAACTCCAAATCAATTATCGCTCTCTCAAACCGTTCCCAACGCTCATGGGAGCCTGGGTATCCAAGACCGGGTTACCAATGCCGCTCCGCTCTGGCCGACTGAAGTTCTACTTTATTAGATATACACCGTTCTCAGTACTACATATTTAGATGTGGTAACATAGTAGATTTACACAAACATTGTCGCTATGCAGAGGAGCCAATTATTCTCTGTGTCGCAGTCTTACCACTCACCCCTTGTAGTGCTAAATCATCCCAGTACATATTGTACCATAGGATTTAGACTGGATGCCTACGCTTCTGTTCAGACCCTACCCTTTCCCATCATTATCTCCCCCACAAGAGTCCTCGTATCCAATTGTCATCCCATTCGGGGTTTGCTCCCTTCACAGTCAAAGCAATTAAACTTCGCACTATCCAGTCTTTCTGGTCACTTCATGGCGAGAAATATCAGATATTATTCACTAAGTGATAGACCGACATACCCCCGAGAGTAACCGTCGACCTTGGCTTGGTTACTCTACTGATGGGTGGCCATGTTAAGAGCTTATCTCGTCCGGGGCACTCTTTCTCGAATATTGCTGCCAGATAGACTGAGGAAACAGAATCAGTACGTAGGCTTCTCTATCTAACAAAACGGATTCTTTTCCGAAACCACATCGACTCCAGCCTTGAGTGTCAGTAAACTTCGCTGTATACTTCCAAATCCATTAAAACCCACTAAACCCAAACAGTCAAGTGCCAAGAGTAGAGTCAGAGAACTAGTGTCACATGATGAAAACACGGCTGAGCCACCCAGCCAGATCTGTGGCAGTGCCCGTCCAGTGACGCAGGGCAAGGTCGCCACAACCATAGAACGTCTGCCACATCAGTCGAGCTTCCCGCCTTTCAGCTGTCATGCCCTCGGGAGCTCCGACCTGGATAAGCTCAGATCGTCGCTTTTTGTAATTGTCCGAGGCGCTTGAGGCTTAAGCTGTCTCGCGGTCGCCGATTCCGAGATCAAGATCCCTGCGTGGATGCTGTTGACGTGTTTCCACTCGAGTCAGGGTGAAGAATTAGGCGCGAGACTGTTGACTCGGAGGGTCCGAGGCGAGGTATACAGTACGTTGTACTAGTTTTGGGAGCCACGTTGACTAGAGAGGTTTTTGTCACCTGCACTGCCTAATGGAAATACCATAGTTTGTAGCTCAGCTATATTTGCAGCCTCAGGCTGGAGTTGTCCTTGATCGCCGAAGAAAGGAAATTGAATCACGTGATGCACGTGACTCGAGCTCCTGGAGACCCGCGTTCAACGCGTCCAGACCGGACGGTTGGATGAAAGGGTTCTTTGTGAGCATCTCTTTCATGAACACCTCCCTCCATCACCAAACCGCTCACTCAATAATGCTCAGATCTATTTAAAGCATCTTATACACATATATTCCCCTGCGCCAGGTCAACACCTACTTTTCCTTACCCAAACTCGAAAACCCTTTCGTCCCAGCGACAAAGCATTTCAACCCTTAGAACACCGACCTCCCTCCATTGATACCTCCTTTCCTCACAATGGCTACCGATTACTCTAAGAAAACCAACGCCGAGCTTGTCGAGATCCTCAAGTCTCGAGGCCTCCCTCACGGCGGGAAGAAGGCCGACATGGTTGCGCGCCTCCAGGAAAACGACAACGCGAGCGCCGCTGCGCCTGCCCAGACCGAGAATGCCGAGGATGTAATCGACTGGGAGGATGATGAGGCTCCTGCTTCTGGTGCTGCCACAGCCGCGAAACCCGCTGAGGCTGCGGCCCCTGCTCCTGCTGAGAACGCAGCACCCCAGGCTGAAGGAACGAAGACAGAGGATGCAGCCCAGAGCGCGGAAGCAACCCAAGAAGGCGGCGCAGAGTCTGCAGCTGCAGGAACAGCAGAGGGGCAGGAAGCTCAGCAACCCGCGGAAGAGAAGCCCGTGCCTAACTTCTCAATCGGTCTTTCTGTGACAGACCTTGAGGAGGAATTGAAGAAGCGTAAAGCTCGCGCGGAGAAGTTTGGTATCACGGAAGAGTCTCAGGCTGCGATTGACAGTGCGGAGAAGAAACTTGAGCGGGCTAAGCGGTTCGGAACTGCTGGTGAAGAAGACGCCAGTGTTGAAAGTGTTAGCCGACTTGACCAGGCCCTGCCAGAGCGATCACGGAAGCGAGGCCACGGTGACAACGAGCAAGGTGGTCGTGGAGGTAAGAGACGGAACTTCCAAGGGCGGAACAACCAGCGCAACCGTGGGCGTGGCAACCGGAACCAGGGCCAGAAGAGTAGTACGAATAACGCGGCGAATGGCTTGAGCGAAAAGGACAAGGCGGCCTTGGAGGCTCGGAAGAAGCGCTTCGCAGCCGGCGCGTGAGCGCGTCGAGTCTATCAATGATGGATGCATTCATTTCGGCTAAATTTCCTATATCTATTGTCTTATTTATTACTTTCTATGTTGTGAATCTGATTTGGCGTTATGGAACAAATTCTGATATCCATTTTGTGTTGTGCATTGGGCTTTGAGGTCGCTTCGGGTGTGTTTTATGTCGTGGGTGTATCGTAATGCTCGTAGCTTGATAGTCGATTTTCAGAGAATCGTGTCACTTAATCTGCAGGTCAGAATTGATGATGTCAAGGTCCCCTCTACTGGAAGTATAATTGAGCAGATGCCACTGGAGCGCCTGCGTTTAGGATATACGAAGTCAGGTAGTGAGTAGGACGCTCTCTGTCCCACTGCCATATCTGTCGTCCCACCAAAGACCCGTATTAAAAGATAGTCTTCATGACCCAAAGTCCCAACTCATGTATTCGATTAATGTCACCTACATAGTTCTATAGCGCACCTGCGACTGTCTAACATCCTATTGATTCAACTAGCCTCTCTCTTTTCCAAAAAAAAAAAAAAAAAAAAAAAAAAAAAAAAAAAAAAAAAAAACGTGATCCTCAATAAGAAAAAGTTTACCTGGCTAAGGCTCTCTTTTTGGGTGACATCTGTTCGTACATCGAGAATCCTCAATCATCCGTGATGCCTTCATCCTTCATCAGATAGGAAAATCGATATGTGAACCCGACAGTCGACACCCCGTACATCAGCTCTCGCAATGTCAATGGTACAATCTTGGGGCTCGCAGGATACTCTGGATTAGATATCTACAGTATATAGCAGCAAATTTTAATTAAGGGTCTGTATTGCTCTCGCCCTTTGCTACCAAGTTAGGCCCCACTAGGGAAGTTTACTTCTCCCATGGAAGAGATAATTCAAGTCTTTGATTCTTGCCACCAGCTATTCTAAAAAGCCTACGGGTAACTCACCATAACCAGATCAGTCAGCCCGCTGGCCAAATCTAAACTGGGAAAGCCTGCAGCCTGCCCCGATTCTTTCCTCAGTAGCATAGCGCTACCGGTCTGTTTGCAGCTACCTCGCATGTAACACAACGCGAGGTTTAAGACTCCCGGTAAATATTTGGATCACTCAGGGTACCCAAGTTATTGCACACCTCCGTAGTCAAATTATCCTCTTTCTTACTCCTAAACATTCTCCCCACCGCTCTACCCTAGTTGAAAGTACTGTTAAGGAGCGAGGGCGTCCATGAAGTTCTACCTGTTTACTAAAACCCTTCAACAACAGCCATCCGCTGCGACGCAAGCATTCATTGGCGAAGGCCTTTAATCGCCATGTTTCATGAAATAGCCGCCTATTAAGTCTTTCATTTCTATCCCTCGTCGATACTCAACACAAATAGCTATCCTCTGCCTTATCAGCCAGCAACGAGCCCCTCAAAGGACAGCATGGCGAGCCCGAAGAAGAGCCTAGCCGACAACCTAGAAGATAGCCCAGCCAAAGAGCCCTTGTCACTGTAGCGAGGAATGGCTCTGGTGTCCTATATTAGGGACATGGTCTGATACAAACTAGATGCAGACGGTGCACCTCTTCCTTGATATGCACGACCAGGTCACGATAGACGCGATCTTTGGCGGGAAAAACGACCCGAAGATTTATTCTCTATCCGTAACAGCCTTCTAGTGGCACAGCCAGTTGAGAAGTGGTTCGGCTCAAGCAAACTTGTCATCGTCCCAGATTTGCCAGAAAGGCCTGCCATGGTTGATCTTCTTACCTGGATACGACTGGAGACTAGAGAATACCGCTTGAAAGCCATTGACTTGACATGGGGAAAATTGGACAAAATAATATTATCAGATATCAGAAAACATGGAGAGAAGTCTATGGAAAGCGGCTGGAGTTCCACACGAGCTTCAGGACGGCAGCAAGATACCTTTACTTCCACTATTGCGTGCAAGTTCTACGCCGGGCTGCTATCTCCCTAAGAGTATGCTTCTCAGCCTAGTAGAGGCCCTAGGCCACTATTATAACGACCTGCTAGAGGGGGCTAATCAGAACACTGCCTGTGGCGATGAAAACCTTCTTTTGAAGGTTGGTTCTTCACAAATCAAAAAAACGGCCAGCACTTAAACGTTGGATGGGAAAGAGATAGGGATGATGATGAAAGCGAAAACGAAGACAATGAAACGGATGGGGGGTCTGGGCTAGGGGGTGAACCCTCATAGACCTGGTTTCTTCTCGATGATCCTGTAGAGCAAGGTTTGGGGAAGGGAAAGGATCAATAGCGAGGCCTAACTTAATTGGTCTTGACAGAGCCCATGTGTAAGTTCAATGTGTCGCAATGGGCAGCAATCATGTTATTTCACATTAGAGTCCAAAGAAATAAATGGTGTGCAGGCGGCGCAAGAGGACGATGAAACTCGGGTGGAAGATATCTGGTCGTGACGGACAAGAAGGGAGGCCGTGATGGAGGACAGGCATTGCGTACCAAGTAGGTATACAGGAAGGAACGAGAAGAACAGAAGGAGCGGCCAGTCGAGGTAGTAGCTTGGAGGAACTAACAGGTCGGGACGAGAAAGGGCGAACCAATCGGCTCCATCTCTCTTGCCCTATATCTAACTTAAGTGCCTGAAGGTAGTTACAATAATACCTAAATTGGAAAGTACGATCACCTAAGTAGCGAGGTAAAACAGGGAAGGGGCGACTTAGCATACACTCACCACTATATCCCATGGCACTTGCCGTATATATCATGAAGGAATATAGTCGCAATAACCTGGTTAGGAAAGTGCGATCTACCTAGTACGGTAAATGGGTTTGGAGCACGGGTTATCGACCAAAGTCCGAGGTTAACGACAGGTAAGTAGGTACGTTTCAGAATCGAATTTTAAACTAAATGTGGTGATTTATGGGCACGGTTCATTGTCTTCCCAAGGTTAATGCTACACCAACAAGACTCATCCATCCACCCGGTACCGTAGGATGCAGTATGCGCCGGAAATAAAAAGTAAGTACAAAAAATACCAACTCCAACAAGGTAAATGCAAAATATACCACCGGCCTCCGAGTATCTTACGCTCTCAATCAACCATAGAACCAATATTCGGCGGCGTATTCCATGGTAAACTCTCCAGAGATGCCCTCGCAAGTAGCAGGTGGCGAGCCGCCGGCTGTATGTAGACGGTAGACCTCCTAGAAACAAATATTAGCATACAGTGTAAACGCATAGAATAATATATAGTCAGTAAGTAAAGATGGTACTCACACTCAAGCCCCCGTCAACGTGCTTCAGCTTCAACCACGCCACATCCTCATTAACTCCGTTTCCGGGCCTCTCAGGCGCGGGCATCTCAGCTTCCTTCTGGCAAGACAGCCAATCATTCGATGAATGTTGCGACCGGAGGTCAAAAAATGGTACCCCGTCTGCAGTGAAATAGTGCTTCCCAATTTCCATATCTTGACCCCGGGTGCGGCTTAGCATGTCAGCGAGGAAATCCACGGTGCCCATTGCGATGGGTTTGAGAACGTCAGGGATGATATGTATGGGAAATTGCTTTCCGGAGTCGCTGTCCAAGTGTAGAGCGGCGATACAGGATGCGTCGAAGAGGTTTGCGGTTGCGCCAATGGCTTTGGGTTTCGCGGTGTTGTTGTTGGCGGGGCAGGTGTAGTTCTGGGTTCCGCGGCCGACGGTCACGAACTTGAGCTCTAGGCCTTTGGATGGTGCTGGCAAGGTCGATTCGGGGAAATAAACCGAATCTCCGAGTGGGCAGTTGATTAGCTGGAGGTCATCAGGAGCATTTTCGAGTAGAGATGAATAGAGCGATGCGTCAGCAGGGAGGTTGGATGGCAGAGCGCCGGCAGCGGTGATCGAGAGGAGGAGCGAAAAAAAGGAAGTTGTCCACAACATGGTGACTTGACGAGCGTAAAGTTCTTTAGGTGGATCACAAGAAGATGGTGCTTTTTAAAGTCGTATGTAGATTTGTGTTGTTCAAATCCATCAGGGAAAGAATAGACTCTGGCCTCTTATATAGACCACCCCCAACGATGAATACATGTATTCCCCGAGGTTCAAAACCAATCTGGTGAAGGGCTCCTCTGCATCCCAACTCAGCCCAACGTCAAATCTTGCACACCTAAATTCATCTGCACTGTAATTTAGGCGGCGCTTATCCAAACCTTGTTGGTTTGGTCTGGGTCGTACGCAGAGACACCACCAAACACGGCAGTGCTGCGGGTTTGTGTAGAACACGCCTTTCCCCATGCAGTTAAACAAGTGAGGAACAGACAATTCTAGGCGGTTTCCATTCATTCTGGTTGTTAATCGTAAGGGTGTGAATTCTCCAGAGTCTATTTTCGGGAGCGAGGCAGACCCAACAACGTGTGAACTAGCCGCCGAGTTCGCGCCAGCGGTCCCGACAACGATGAATTATCCAACACCGGAGTTGATCTTGGGCTGCGCCTTGCCACGTTGTTGGAAGTGGCTTGTTCATAGCTTCCTTTCATCTCTGTTCTTTCAACAATTGATCCCGTTGGAGACGTTGACCCCGACCTCCGACAAAATACACTGTGCAAATGATTGGCGACCAGCCATCCGTCTTTGAGTAACTGAGCCACTAGATCAAGGCATCGCCTTCCCACCAATCTTCAATTGCCCGGCCATAACTCTCGGGTTCTAAAAACATGTGGTCCGTTATTCCCTCCAGTGTGGGGTCTCCAATCATACCGAACGGGTCGAGATCTATCGAAGGTACAGCCGCTGCCGGCGCTTCGGCCTGGACAGCTGGTGGTGTTGTAACAGTCTCTGGAGGGTGCGTGTAGATCTCTTTGGCAACCGTTTTGTGCCCAGTGATCCCCGCCGATCCTACCAAAGGGAAATTTGGGTCTGGGGTCATCCGAGCTGTCAGTCGCCCCGAGGAATCTGAGAGTGTCGATCCGAGCAGTTGGCTCGGTAGAGGATATCGGCTTGCACGGTCGTAGACTAAAAGTTCCCATAGAAGCTGGGCGTTAGTGGTCCATGCTTGCCGAGAGTGGGATGCTTGAGGGTCCCCTGCGGAGACGTTCTCTCGTAGTCGAGTAAGTCGGTCAATCTATAATTTAGTTGTTAGCCTAGTCTGCCTTCCATCCCCGTAAGGGCGCTTAACAAGGTCAATCAATCAATAGGATCGATTAACAGTGCTGTTGGATTGCATAGCCCTACCATGTTTTGGACGTGTGGCCACCGCTGTGCCAACGGATGAAGAAATCGGACGCACTTGGTAAACCCCCTTCGCGCTTTCTCTCGAAAGCTCGGGTCCTCGACGAAACTATGCTGGAGGTGGATCGTAGCCACGATAAGCACACAGTGAGCAAGCGTTGGGTCGCAGACCTCGAAACCTTTGTGCTCAATCAGATCAATCAAATGCAGGATCCACGCGGCATTGTTGGTAATGGTCTCAAATGACTGTCGGATAAAGGACTGCGGCATGGTATGTCGGAAGCTGCGCAGCCTCCTTGATAACAGAAATGGGTGGTTCAGAAGGCACGGGATAGCTAGGTAGAGGAACTGTGTGAACAGCCACGGGCCCCAATAGTCGCGACGCTGATTCAACTCGTGTAGGCGGTGCTCGTGGAACCTGTTGGCGTCGTAACGATACTTCAGAGGTACCTGGCTATCGAATTCCATGTGGCGGTACGTGACGATGGAATAGTCGGAGCGTGGTGACCACGGCGCGGGTGCATCAGGTTCGACTCGACTCGCAGCGTACGCCATGGCCATGGACCAAACCTCGCCCACTTGAATCGCATAGGAGACCAGGTCAAGATCTTCTTTCGAAGAACTAAGTGGCGCTGTTTCTGGCATGGAACCTAAGTCATAGGTAGGTGAAAACCCCGATCCTGTATCAAAGGGGGTCCGCACACCCGCAATAAGTCGAGCCAATTGCACCCCATCCCCTTGAAGGTTTTGAAGGAGATAGATACTCCAAAGGCATCGCCGTTTCTCATCCGGGTCAGAAGACAACGCGCCCAGAGTCTCTCCGGCCGTATTGGCAGTCTGAGCCAAATACGTCGCCATGTTCAAATGCAACCCAGCTTGAACGGTATTGCCCGCTTCAAATCGTCAATGACAACTATATATCAAGAATACAAGCTAGGGATCGGTACCGGTGAAATCAAACAATGCCAAAAGACAGAGCGTCTGCAAGGTCGAAAGCTCCAAAGGCCCCCGGCCAACACGCTCCATCACAAGAGTTCGCGCTCTGCGCGCACAGTCCGCGATATAAGGGCGCAGATCACTGCCATCAGGGCTACGCCCAAACCGCAGACCAACAGCATGGATTGCCAGGATCAGTTCGGGGTCGCGGCCCGCTAGCGTTTCAACGAACCCATCCGGATGGAAGAGCGGGAGCGGCTGGTAGTTGCAGCAGGTTAGAAAGAGATGTGCAACGGTTGAGAGATCATTCTGCTGCAAATTTGGCTGCTCATACCCGTGCTCGCTCTGTTGCTGCACGAGGGCCGGACGTGAAACTGAAACTGAAACCTCCGGAGTTGAGTTCGGTCGACTATGGTTCTCAGAGTTAAAATTGATCCAAGACAAGCTTATCTCAACGACATCTCTACTCTAAGGGATCGAATACCTGAGGCTTCGAGTCAGCTCCTCCAGCTTGTCCTCGACACTTGATAACCGTTTCGCCTAGAGCAGGGATGAATTAGCCCAACTAGTCACTTTCCGATGATGGGAAGAAAAAAAGATCTCCACGCACAATATCCACTGCCGGCATTTCACCCTCGCCTGGGGCATATATGCATTGCTGACCCAGTCGTTCGCAAAAGGAGCATACTGGTTTCTCTCCAGGACAGCGCGACTTTTTGCGTCTAGTTCTATCAGCCTTATGATCGACGCGATAAAGGAAGAGGATCCAGAGTAAAAACAGTCAAGGAATCACTACTAACCGACATGGCTCACAAGCCTGTCGAACACGCTTCGCTGGGCGCTGATCGTCGGACATAGTCGGCTTCGAAAAGCGACAAGTGCTGTTATGAAGGCATTTTCATCTGGTTGATGTTGAGAGTATGTGGTTTTAGCCAAGGGGGAGAGACAAAATAAAGACGTCGGCTTTTTGCGGGGCGGGAAGAAGGCGGGACGGGAAAGATCCATAGCGACTATTCTCTCTCTCTCGTCTTCCACAACAAACCCATCCTGCTCTGCATCCAGCACTCATCCAGGCAGGTGTGCGTTTTAGCTTCAATTATGCACTCGTCACCTGCCTTCTTGGGTGGCCGCATTTTCAGATATCACAAAGCGCTCACCAAGCACGGACGTTATTATGTCGCACAAGGCAAACCGGCGTTGAATTAAAACTTGAGCTTGGTTGAAGATATGCCTACAGTGTGCATTAGGTTTTGGGAAAGGCATTGGCTTTTTCAAGGCAGATATATATTGCTGGGCATCTATATACAAATCAGACCGACTGAGAAGAACAGGTGCCCAAATCAGCCGAGCCCATATTATGCGTTTTCGCGCATCTAAATTAGACAATATCGTAGTAGTAGCGACAGTAGGTGACACAAATCGTGTCCATCCCCCAACAAACACGGCAAGGTTCAGGCAAAAAACGAGAAGCAAAGAATCGCTGTATCCCCCAGCTTTTGTTCCCAGATACCAACGAACTCCGAAGGAAATTTGGACTGTCCGTCGGGAGCTCGAGAGCCAGTGTTCCCGCAGGGAGTGGCGAGTGAGAAGAAGAAATCGCAGATGATGATTGTCCGTCGTCGTCATGATCCGGGCGCCGGAACGAACGAAAAGAAACCCAGTCACGGAAACGCAAGAACGGAAATCAAACGTGACTGACGCAACCCATTGGTATCAGAATAATAACAGGAACCCCCCATGCCTCACAAAACGACCGAAACCAAACACCCTAGTCTAGCGAGAGAAAAGAAACGAAACAAACTGAACCTCCATCAGGAGAAAACGCACACAGAAAAAAAAAAAAGCCGATACCTCTATGGTCATAACTTTGGTACTTAAAAAAAAATGAAAAGCATCACTGGGGTATCCGTCCGGGTCCCTGAATCTTGCTTTGCCGAATCATGAAAAAAAGTCGAGAACGCGGAAAATAAGAATTCGGGGTATCAATTCTCTGCCGACATGGCTGAGACAGAAAGAAGAAAATAGCGGAAGGAGGATTAGGCTGTTGTACAATAGATTCGAGGTCCAATCGGGAAGAAAGAAAGATGCCACTGTGTGAGATGCGTGGAGAATTCGAAAGCCGAATCACACAATCCTTCACACCAGGAGAAGGACCAGCAGGCAGGGCACTAAAGATTGAGCAGACGAGTCGAAAAAATTACTCTTCGTCATCGCCAGAACCACCCTCTTTCCCACCCTTGTGGACCTTCTTGTGGCGGCGCAGGTTCGAGACAACGGAGAAGTGTCGGCCACAGCCCTCCACGTCACATGCAAATGCTATAATTCAACCTATTAGTATCACAAAGCCGGCAAGTGCAGTTGGGTTTGCTTGTAAGGACTTACGCTTCTCGCCAGTGTGACTGTACATATGGGTCTGTAGAGACGATGGTCGGGTAAACCGCTTGTCACACACCTTGCACTTGTGCTTCTTCTGGGTGTTGGACGGCATCTTTGAGCTAAACTGGCTCATCATCGACTGCGGGCCTGGGGGAGCACTGCCTGTCAGAAGAGTGGACGGGCGTGGGAGTGTGCGCGACAAATGACCATTCTCGTAAGACTCTGAAGTTGTTGAGCTGTAGTCGGTGACTGATGACTCTACAGAACCCACGGATGCGCTGTAGTATGGGTAGGAGTTGGCGGATGAGATAGACGAACCAGCGGAGTGTGCCAGGGGAAATCCATATGAATCTCCTGAGCCTCGCGAGCCTCGAGGCCCATAAATGTTTCGGGGTGTCATGTCCTGACTGAGTGCCACCATTCCGCGGCTAGCATCAAGCGCATCACCGAATGTTGGGCCAGCTCCAGGTTGTGCTGGCGCAACGCGAGAAGCCTCACTGAATAAAATAACAAGGTAAGCATATATCCTATGAATTCGCTCAAACCGAGCGAACGGGATGGAGAGGGTGGTTGCTCTTACGCATGGGACATCCTGCGGTTGTCCTGGTGGACAGGGGATGCGTAGCTGATCGGCGCATAGCTGGCAGGCGCAAAGCTGCTAATCGAAGGAGCAGTGGTGTACGCAGGAGTTTGTTCAAAGGAGGTCCGGGGAATGTCATGGGCAAGGCCCATCATGTCAGGAGCGGGATAGCTGGTGGAAGATGTGGCGGAGGAGTAGTTGCTGCCGGCGACCATCGAAGGAGCAGAAACAGGCACGGAATATGGCAGAGAGATGTGAGACGGGCGGCTGTTCTCGTCCTGCTTGATGCCCACGGGAGCTGGGTAGACAGGGGGCGTCGAGTGAGACGAAGAATGGGCAGCACCCCAAGGGTCTGTGAATTGTGGTGGTTGACCGTGATGCGGGACGCCATGTTGGTAGACACTGTCAAACCCCATTCCGCCGCCATACTGGCGGTTCTGGTTTTCAATGACCATCGTCATTGAGGGTAGTTGTTTTCAAGGGAGACCTAGAGTGCTCGTGGTTCTGTAATGCTCGCAACACTGCGGTTGGAGCAATAATGAAGGGGTAGATGATCGGTTGTCAGGCAAAACACAACCGACGCAATATAGGCAGCGAGGTACAGCAGCGCGCGAAGGCAAGGTAGATCTGGACAAGATGAAGCAGAAGGGGTGACTGATAGAGCGTTGCGACAGGGAGATTCAATTGATTGCAATGATCCGCGGTGGTGAGATGCGCGCAGGTGCAGAATGTTGTGCAAAGATCAGGTACCGGAGGAGTAATAAGAGCGACAATCTGCGAAGGGAAGATGGGAGAGAGAGGGAACCCGACAGCCAGGGAGAAAATGAAAGACAGTCTGGGGAAGGGCGATCGACGAAGCTTATGAACAAATCCAGGATCGCAGCATGAGGATGGGCTTTCCTTCGTCCCTGGCGTTCAGAGGGACGAGGAATCTAGTGCCACTGACGACGTCCCGTCGGGGGATGGTTGCAGATCGTTACTTTGGGCCGCTTAGGCTTCGAAACGGCGCCAGTGTTAAATTGAGAAAATAAATAAATCAAAATAATCATCGCAAAATCCAGTGCGAGCGCGCGAAAAAGGAGAAGCCAGTGGGAAATCTCCAAATGGGAACCAGTTCCTCGGGTGACCTTCAAGGTTGAGACCCATCTTTGTGCTTTTTCTTATTTCGTATTTTTTTTTTATTTTTTTAATTATTATTATTTAATATTTAATTCTTTTTCTTCAGTGCTCACCACTAAATCTTAGTGAGGATCGCGACCATGGATGTCACTTCTATACTCGACTTTATCTCAATCCATACCTCGTAAGAATAAAAGAAAGAAATAAAGAAAGAGAGAAAGAAGAAAATACAGCATTTTATGAGGAAAAAATTACTGGAGTGATAAATTGGCTGGCTGGCTTCTGCAGCTGCAGGGATAAAGAGAAAGAAAAATAAAATCTTGAAAAATAAAATTATACGCAACAAAGAATCCAAGTGCAGCTCAAAAAAGAAAATAAGAACACATAAAGTCGCAGTGAAGCAGGGGCAAGTGAGCCATGGGAGCCGTCTGAAACTCCGGGATCGGAACAAATTGTAGAGACTCGCAGCAGTCTCTCACGACAAAAAGTGGAGGGCTCTCAAAAAATTCGATCTCGGAGTAAACCGACAACACCATTCCAAGGGTGTATGCTTCGATTATGGCAGGGGTTAGTGCTCGAGCAGTGCACTTTGCAGAGCACACAAAGAGGGCAAAAAAAAAGGCCAAACGCAGGGAGACTAAGTACAGCGTCCAAAAACAACCTTCCCGTTCGAGACAAGATGCGTCCATTTTGAGTCTCGGTTTGCCATCCCTCATTTCCGTATCCGCGGTTGTTGGCACATATCGGAATAGCAGACTGCCTGTGAAGTGTTATGGAGTCTGCAGCCATGCTAAGTCCATATCCGGGAAACAGTGCGGGCAACATGTAGAGGACGTCAGTACTGGGGCGGTGGGCTCACGATGGAGAGGGCGGGCGGATGAGGAGTCAACATTGGACCTCGAGGAAGGTTGGGTCACTTCGGTTCTGGGGGAGTCAGGGACTGCTCGAATGCAGGAGCCACTGACTGGCTGAGGGCCCTGAAAGGGGGGGAACAAGTGGGCTCTGTGCCGTGTCTCCAGCATAAGCCAAAGAGTAAAAATTGGGTATTTGTCAGAAGAAACGACTGCCAATGCCGGGCCCCAAGCTAAGGCGCTTTAACCAGGGTTCGGCTGGGGCCCTTCAAACCCAGTGAGTGACAACTTTCGGCATCGTGGCGGGGAAGTGGGAGATCACAAAGATACATCACTTGTGCGTGGGGGATGCTTCGGTGTCACCATCCAATAAATGCCATTCTCTCGACGTTCTGCGGCGCTCACCAGTTCATCAAGATTCTGGAGAGTCCATCATGAAATACCAGTATGTCTTGCGTAAACTCCGGAGACGCTCGACACCACGTAACAAATTGAGAACTTGGCCAGAAACAACGAACAAATTCTCCATCGAATCGACCCAAATTATCCACATTCATCACAGGTCGAGGACTCGTCATCAAGATTGTGAGTGGCCAGACAGGAATGGGGCAGACGGCTCAACCCGATCAAGAGACAAGGCGGTCGAGTGGACTCCCCAAGTCACCACCAAGACAAGAAACTAATCATTTTACCATGAGAATATGCTGCATGAAAGATGGGCCCTTGAGGCCATTGCACTGCACAAGCAGCATATCTAACTGTCCCAGTGGCATAAAAGCCAGGCCTCTCTGCAGAGTGACGACATCGCGGCCGGGGTGAATTCCCCCAGTCGCATTCATCCTGCAGAGATCTCTCACTAACTCGCAGATTCATGCCCATGTTCTTGTTGATAGCGTCATGGTCTTCTCCCCGAACTCGACCTGGTTGGCAAGTTTCCGGTGCAGAGCAAGGGCAGAAAAGAACCATCCATGGATGCCACAACACCACCCCGCACGCAAACAACCATTGGCATCTTCAGGATTTCGCGGGGACGGCGACGGCATGGGAAACTCGGCCTATTGCGAAGCTCTCCATCTCGCCCTTTCGTTATCGGATTGAGTCGAGCTGACGGAGAAGTTTCCGTCATCATGAAGACTGCATCTGCCCGCGCACGATCGCTGAAGAGTTGTCTACTTTGTCTCCAATGCAGTTTTGCCGCGGGCGCCGAGGCGTAATTCTTCGTCACCGAGCTCTTCGACACTCTGGAGTCGACACAGGAAGCAACGGCTTTTCATTCTTACCTGATGGCTTTCATCTGTGCGCAAGGAAGAGCTCATTCTTCATGCGGAGGGGAGACATGCCTCCACCACCGACGTCAGTGGCTCCGAGATGCTATCCACACCCTGGACTAGCGGCATGCCATCAACAAATGCATTCACGTTCAACACCATCGTCTGCATTAGTAGTACTTGGACTATATGGAATCGTTGAGAGCATCCCGCGCTGTTGTAACGAAGCCCTGCTATTGGCGTTGAGGATAACGATGGAGGGATGCTAAACGTAACCAATGCGACCGGAGGGTGGGCGACTGTTCCAAGCCGTCTACGATGTACCACTTATTATATATATTGATTTGATACATCACCCTTCCGAAAATGCTCATGAGATAGGCGACGGCGGTCGCGGCAGTTTGCGGATCAGTGGCACGATCGAGATCTTAACCTTAAGCAAAGGATAGACAGTGATCATCATGATCGCAGTACCTTCAAGGCTTGTCTTGGAGTGATTGACATATATCAACCATAAGAGGAACACACAGTTGGAGGTACATAAATCCGTAGTGAGATCTCCGAGAGTCCAAGCTTCACAGCAGGCGCCGAGCTGGTCAAGGCAAAACGCCACGACCAAAAAGCCTTGGGCCCCTGGGCAACTTCAGAGCGACTTTTCAGTTTCCATCAATCTGATAGGAACAGCTCAGCACGTCGTCAGCCACCAACGGAGCCGAGTTTATCTCGTCTGTCCCGCGTGCACCCCGAAAAATTGTCGTTGTTGATTCGACAACAACCGCCACCCCACGAAGGAACGGGGACTGAGCGACAGGGGACGCAGAGGCCATGCCATCATGCAGTTCCAGGAGGTGCCCGGAGGACGTACTCCGCCTGCTGTCCCACGGGCGTCCTCCGTTCCTCTCACTCGTACGAACGCGGATTTTCTTTCCTCAGGCCAGAGTCTGGTTTGGGACGGTTGAACCAGTTCCTTGGGACCTTAAGGATTCCTGAACCACAGGAACTCAATTGACCGCGTGGCTCACAAAAGCAAAGACCGGTTTATTGAAGAATGAAATTATCGAAGAGAGAGCTCAGTTCCCGCTAGTGGAGAGCAAGCCCACCTGCTGCTTTTGGCAGGTGCGAAAGAATCGACGAGGCGGGTCGGCAGCCCACCTGATCTCGCACGGAACTAAAGTCTCAACTCTGATGGATTCTTCACCTCGACAGAATGGAGCCGCTTTGCTTTCCAGCGCCAGGTTTCGCCTCCATCACTTAAAATCGACCCATCGACCACGTACTCACTCTGTGGGTCACCGGGATATCCGGCGGAATATACCGACAGGACGAGGATTCCCCAAAAGACCCATGGCTTGGTCGAGCTCTCGAGAATCACGGATACCTCCCTCTGCTTGCCTAGGTTCGGCCTCGGCTTGTGACTCGAGAGGCAGAATATCCCAATCCACTCTCGGTGCTCTTGGTAAAGACAATAACCTTATCCATGTATCGACGGCCATGGTGACTAACTTTGGGTTCTGACTGCACAGGGGTAACTTACTACACCTACTCATCTTACGCACCCCGACACGAAAACAGCTCACCTCCATGTGGAGGTACAAAAGTACGACCTCCAACTGGGTTCCAGGCCTCTGCTCAACCGGAAGTTCACGCAAGCGCAACGGGAAACAACAATTTACTTTTGACGTTTCTTTTGACTGCTCGACCCGCAAACCATCTGAGACTCAAATCGCGATGTTAGCCACCTCACCCTCACCGCTTTTCAGCTCCGGTTGGACCTTATTTGCTGCTTATTCTCAGGCCCGCCTCCCGCTTTACCTTAAATGATTTGGCCCACGTCCGAGTGTTTCCAAGGGACAGGGATCTTTTCTAAGCCCGTCCTGGCAGCTCGTCAATTACGATTTTAGGTAAAAAGTGGGGATAGACACGGCACATCATCCCTTAAACGCGTAATCACCCACCACCCCTCAGCCCAATAGCCTTCGACCCTTCTCAGACCCTGTTGGTTCTTTTCCTAAAACCGCTGCGGGGTGGCCAGATCAGGAAATCCCACGGGAGCATGGGTCTGACGCTGGACTCTGGAGCCCCCTTCACACTTCACAATCCAACTTCCCTCACAGACCACCCAATTTGTTGGTGCCGTGGCCCTGCAAATTGGGAAAGTGAGCCACGACTTGGCACATGCTGGTGGCGTTTGAGCATATGCTTGATGGGCCCAACGTCTTCCCAGTTCCAACCAGGATTTCTTCCCACCACATCAAGCGCCAGGAAAGTAAGACTCGAACTCAGGCGTCCGGTCACCGACAACAGTCTTTGCGCGGTCGGTATCTTCGAAAGGAAAGTGTCTACGTAGGATATGTGCCCAGTATATTCAGAAAACCTGTCCAATTATGATTCTAGCCGACATCAGGGGGTTCGAGTCGCCTCCCAACTTCCCGCGACGTCCGTGCACATTGCACTGTGCAGCAGCTGAAGCCATCGCCTCCAGCAGGCTTGCCCTGTTTTCTGACGCCGAAAACGCTGCCTTAGGGTTCCGGTTGAGAAATGCAAACTACTAGTTATAAGCCACTAACCAATTCGACATTAGGCCATCTGGGTCAAGCCTGGTAGAAACTCCACGAAAATGCATGGCAATGTTGACGATTGACACTGCCTTGTATGCAAATCTGCTCGATCAAACGATTCTTCAGGAACACTGGTGATCCGGCACCCTGGTTCCAGGCGCGATAGGCGAGCGATCGAAGTGAAACGTGAAGATCGACTTCAATGACATGGCGTTTAAAAATATAGCCTTACTAAGGCCCATCTGTCATCTGCATAGGGTCGATCTCAAACGGCAGATCGTCGTTGATTGGCGTTTTGATGAACGACTTGACTCAGGTGGGTGAAGCTTAGATAAGCCCACTCGTCGAAAGTCCGCGACTCGCGCGAGCGACAGAGGAACTCCAGCCTCCAGGATGTCTCTGCAGCCTGCACGGACGAAAGTTGGAGACTTGTCAGAGCATGGGTCACTCGTGGCCCATGGGGTTTTTCAAAGGAGCCGTCGCGAGCAGCCCGATTGAGAGAATGTGCAGGCTTCGAAAACTTGATGGCTTTGCGCATGGATTCTTTTCCAGTTTTAGGAGTAGCGCGCAATTCTTGAAATTAGACGTCCGGTGATGAGGGTTCACTTGCCGCAAAAATTTGACCACTGTCTAATCGCTCGTTCACTGGCTGGCATTGTGCCAAAACCAACGCGCGCAACTCCAGACAAGGCGCAGATTCGAGGGGGGTTCGACAGCCACTAAAGCCACCATCACAGGAGGTGGGTCTCAGCAGCGGAAATGAACGCCTCTGCCCCACGGAACTAGGATAGTCCAGGCCAGCAGAACCCTCGTGAATTTAGCGTCTCGCTAGGGTCAACTCAGTTAATTAGAATTTTGCATCGCATGCGGCCAAGGACGCCAGGGCGAGGCTACTCAAGTTCCCCAGGGACGGCAGATAATCGATAGCCGCACTTGGCATTTCCATGATCATCCAATAAGCATCCATGCCCCACACGAGCTTACGCGTGCACATCCATCTTGACCCAATGACCAAGCTTTCGCTGAGACGCCTTGCCCGTTCGGGCCTTGTGTTGGCTCTGTTGGCCCAAGTTTTGTCAGTTGAAAGGGTCCCGTGACTAAAGAACCCCTTTCAGCTGGGAATCAGAAGGCTCACGATGGTGGTTTGTACTCTACAGTCTCCTTTCCTCCGTGACGAGGCCCCCTTCTTCCACAAATCTTCTGTCAAGAGACCTCGTTTCTTTCATGACACCCGCAGGCTTGGAAGGATCTCGCATCTTCTGCCTGAGAGCCTGAGCGGATTCTCCTGGCGTCCCCACTCAAACCGCCACAATCCTCAGGGTGTGAAGCTAAAGCAACCTGAAACACACCACTCAGTACTCACTCCACAGTTGTCGAGGGCCGATACTGAATCCGGGTATCAAACATCGTCACCATAAATCGGGAGCCCACGACACGAAGATGGAACCAGGGGCACCGTGAGACTGCAATTACGGATGAATCTCCTCCATTTTGCATCTCTTTTGTTGCTATTCTTAGAAGCAAATTAGATATCCTTGATTCTTTGACATCATCTTCTTCAGGGGCCTTTCGAGCCTGATCCTTGCTTGTCGCGCCAAGTCACCTGTCAGTCCACCGGACGGACATACTGTCATACTTCCCAACACTGGCGGCGAACCCGGGTGACCTTCTTCAGCTCTGTTCAACGAACTCGCATCGTCGGTTAAACAGAAATATCAGTTTCGTTCCTCGCGAAGCGAAATTAAAGGCACTGGGCAAGCTCCCTATCCCAAAGAGCATCTTGAAGTCTCCTTGACGTACTCATGTTGAAAGTGGGTCCAACGGTCTGCCTTCAAGGCTCTGTTTCTATCCTCGCCTTCTCCCTTTAGAATTTCAAACTTTTGACTCAATGGGAGCATCAAATACGGACTTTACAGTCGAGTCCATTTCTCCGTGGGCGATTCGTCGTAGACTCTGCGGGAGTCGTCTCGAGTATAGTGAACGTAACGTTCCCGCACCTGTACACGCAATGCATCAAATTGAGGTCCAGCCGAGCCTCTACAACTGCTGGACAGCATCATGATAGGGTCCTCCTTGTATTCTCTTGACGAAACAGGTACCAACGCCTTTATGGACCCTGCAGTAGACCAACATGCAGGTGATTCGATACAAAAGTCCTTCATTATTGAGATGAAGAGCCCTCTTCCATCTTCCGGAAAGAAATGTGAGATAAAAGCTCGTGAAAGAAGTGTACATTACTGTGCCTAGATTACTTACCCCCAGCGGCCAGCGCACAGTTCTGCTGTCTAGGCCTCGTTTAACTTTCGCCCCCTCAACGCGGTAACTACACCGTACTCTGTACAAATTTACTGCTGTAGAGGATACTCCTGTCAGGTATACGAAACGGCTTACATTAACTGGATTTAACGTGCGAGTTTCATTTTTGCGACGTCGTCGCCACATATCTCTTCTCGAATTCCAACAATATTCCATAAGCCAGCATAACGCGTGGCACTGAAAACGAACCTGCCTCTTTATGAGACCATGATTCGCCTATGGTCAATCCTCGAGCATGCGCCTCCCTCATGATTCCAACTCGGGGCACGCACAGGGTCTCGAACGGAGCATGCCTCCACCAAGGCCCTCTTCCGATCCGTTCCTGAAAATAAAATAAAGAAACCTGAATTCAATCGTATGCCTTGGGTAGGCTCGGGCTCGAACCCTTGAGATTCACACGGCTTGCAATGTTCAACACGATGGTTTCTGGCATTCATATTGTGTCTCAGCGAAGCTGATGCAATGCAAGAAGCACAGCTTGACGTGACTGTGAAAGAATCACACTGCATTGCAGGTGCATTGTGGCTTGCATGCACATCTCTTCGATTCAACCCTTGGTTTCAATTGGGATACAGCCCCGATGAATCTGACATCGAGTAAATTTGTTTGCTGGTCGTCGTCGAAAACTTTGGTTCGACTCAATCACTGGCCGATACTCTCCGATACAGGAACGCAGGGAACTTAACCGGTTCATGGTTCAAGGCCGGTTAACGACTGTGTGGATAACTTACCACCTCCTACCTGGAAGATTGGTTGGTTCAGAAGAGGACCACGCCTCGAACCTCAGCAGCCACGAGCGATCTGTCTGCTCCATCGCCTTATCACTTTTAGCTCTATAAGTCAGGAGCCAGGATTCACCTCGCAGAAAAAGCAAAACCGATTTCAAGATTTATCACACTTGTGCACTCGTGGGCACAGCCCTCGAATAATAATTCTCGGACTGCGCACCCCTCGGGTTCCCTCAAACGGAAATAACACCACTCCACAATCCAGATAGATTCTATCCCGGGTACGAGAAGTACCTCAGGAGTCTCAGCTGGTGAATCAATCGAAGTATGAGTGAAGGGGGTCATTTTTGGAGGTAAACGTGAAAAAAAGTTTCTCATCCTAAAAACAAAAAGTCTCGGATTGGACGGTCCCTCCGAGGGACTCCTCTCCTTCCCTTCCGGTCCAGCTTTGAGAGTGTCAATTTTGACGCTGAAGTGCCACCCGCTCTTCCTCCGTCCCGTGGAAAGCAAGGTACACCGTACATTTCCCTATCGAGGCTTGCCTCGCCAGGGGCCCGAGATGAATACGAGGATGGCCCTGGGTGATAGGTCACGGCTCGTGACCAAGTAAGGCACGCAGTGAAGTTCGGTCCTGTTCAGTTTGTTCTCCGTCCTCGGACCCCAATGAAAACCCATGGATAAGCCCTCCATCTCATCCTTGTACGTACTGCACTTCGGAGTTATGTACAGGACTCCAGCCCGGTAGGCGAAGAACTAGAAGGTCGTACTTTTCCGCGGCGTTCATTCTTTCCTTCCTTTCCATCCTTCAGTTAGCCCTGACCCCTCAGGGACCTCCAAGCTCGTCACGCATCACACTCGAAGACAACTCTAGCCCTACCAATAAGACCCTGACAATCCCTGCAACCCTGCTGGCCGGCTCCGCACACTAGGAAACAAGAATGCAAAAAGGAACAACCAAGATGTCTGGAAATCACAAGCACAAGCAAGAATGCTTTCGACTTGGACTCCCCACACGGCCCCGCCAAGCCCGCACATGACAGGGGGGCGTTGATGGAGAAAAAAAGGCTTACGCGGCACATTCAATCCCCCTGCACCTTGAATGCTTGGCATACCACGCGTGCCTCTGCTTTACAGTTGGGTGGTTGGCTGGATTGAAGAAAGCCTGCGTGCTCTGCCCTCCTCTGCAGTCAGTCTGCTCTTCACACTGGTGCATCCGGATGCACGGCGAACTTTCCGAACCCCCTCTGGATGGATTTGATTTGATTTCTGTTAACTCTGGTTCTGGTTTCCTTCCTCAGCTCCTCCCACTTATGGCCCCCATGGGTCTATCTGTTGCCTAGTGGCAAAATTTCTATTCTTGTTCTGCACATTATGACGACGGCGACGACATCTGTTCTCGTCCTCTTGGATGATTGAATCCTGACTTTCCTCCGCTGACTCTGATCTGGCCCGAGCCTGACTGATTTTGAGTGTAGCCTGCTGTGCCGTCTTTTGGATTTTACCTTTGACAATTCGTGGTGGCTGGACTGATTTCCATATGAGGCAATGACGTAGCTTGTACCTGGGCTGACTTGAGAGGTCCTTCCTAAGGAACAAGGAGTTAATCATGACTCAATAAACTGTCACTCTCCTGAAGGAGATTGGAGGAGCCGGGCTGGTTTCGGGAGGATTGGAATGCCCGCCTATAGCGAGCGTAGTTAATGCGGTAAAGGGGTTTCGCGTGCTTGTCAGGGACATAATATTGATTCATATTGATGACGTCGGGCTCCTCTCATATCTATACACCTATTCCTATGCAACGGTGTAGACTCCTACCAAAGATGGAATGGAACGAGAAAGCACAGACGATTTTTAAAATAAGCTGTTGGAAATAAACCTCAAGAGTTGACAAAAAAAAAAAAAAAAAACAGAAACACCTGTAAATGAAGCGCCAGAGCCTGCCGAATAACACGCCAATGTAATGTCGAATGTACAAAAGACAGAGGATGGTAGAGGTAGAAGAATATGGAAATGACAAATGGGCAATAGCAATGCCGTCCTTTTGATGCAAATCAAATTAAATCATAATCAGCAATTCATCCCGCTTCAATCCGTCGTCCTCTAACTCGGGGTAGTAGGGGACTATCGAGTCTGCACTTTGCACGTAGGCATCGTTGTATAGGCGCCAGTATGGCGTGCGCACCTTCCGCGCAGAATGGAAGAGACCTGCCCAGACGTAGTTCATAACCGTTCCAGTGCCAACGGCCATGCGTATTGCGTCAATGGCTTCGATGACTCGGTCGATAACGTGGGGGCTTGTTTCGAAGATGTTTGGGAAGACCAAGTTGAGGAGATGGACCATGGCATCTTCGCATCCGAGTCCGACTACACCTAGTGCAATGTGCTTGACGACCGTTGCTGCTGTCTGACGGTGAACTTGGTCGCGGTCAATGAGTGCGTCTTCGAGGAGAGGGGTAACGGCATAGACGTAGTCCTTTGCCATTTCGCCAATGTACTCAAAGAGGAAGGTCATGGCTTTCAGCACACCGTTTTGCACGTTCAGCTCTGGCACGCGGTACTCGTTCATCAAGGCGGGGAGGACAGTGAACGGTGCGCAAGTTTCGGCAACAATACCAATGGCGACTGCTGTACACACACGCGACTGGCGCTCCTGGACTCGAAGGTTGTTAAGCAACGTAGCCAGGACATCTTGGGGACCGATTGCCTTGGCAATGAAACCGAAAGTGTTATTTGCGGCACGACGGATACCCTTCTTGTGAGCCTTCAGCATGTCAAGCAGCTCGAAGCAGATACGCATCCACTCGCGGGCGTTGACAGACTCGGGTCCTCGGTCGGCAATACGGCCGACAAGGTCAATAGTGTTCTCTTGAACCTTTTCGTGACGGTTTCGTAGAATGGGCGTGAGGCGAGGGAGGAGATCTCGAATGGGTGGTTGCATCTGGTTGATACCGACAACAGTAACAATGGAACGGAGAGCACCAAGGATGGAACCCAAAACCTCTGGGTACTCTTCACCGAGATATTCGTAGAGCACGATACCCAGCTTACCCATTAGGGCATCCTCCCCACACTGCTTCATAACCAATGCAATTCGCGAGATGAGATCGGCTGCCTGCTGACGGACGGTGGCCGACTTGTTGTTCAATCTCCAAAGAATAGTACTGACGATCTGAGGGAGATAGGGCTTGCAGCGCGTACCGAGAGCATTCACGACGGTTCCAAAACCGTTCAGTATGATTATATCTTCGATACTCTGCTCCTGGAAAGCGTACAGTACGCCGTCGATGAGACGCTCCTCCAATCTCTCCGAGATATCCGCAGCTCCCAGGGAAGCGATTGTCTTCTCAACCGTTTCCACAGTCATCTTCCGGTATGGCTCGCTTTCGTCTTTAAGGTTGTTGATGGTCCGCTCCAGAATTTCGCCTGCGCCGACCTTTTGGCCGAGGTCAACAGTCGTATCAACCACCTGGCGGTAGTTCCTCCGATCAAGAGCCATACGTCGGACCCAGAAACTCTTGAAGAAGTCTGTCAAGACGTGCTCCTTCAAGTAGCTAGCTGTCACGCCATCAGTGCTCGCACACTGCGACACCACCTTAAGAACAACCTTCTTCATCTCCTCATCGGGCGACGAGAACTCTCGGAGAAGAATTTCCATGATTTGACTGGTGTAGTAGTTTGCATACTCCTCGTCCATGAGAGGAATAATGTAACCGACGGCTTTGAGGAACGCAGCCAAACCCTTGCCACGCTGCTTGCGCGCTCCAGTCCAGAGAGGGTTGAGAATTTCGTCGAAACTCTCAATACCATAAGGGTTGGCAGCTTCAGCCAACGCTCCTACGGCTAAGGCGGTGACCGTTCGAACCTTAGCCTGTTCATCACTGAGATTATCCGCAATACAATCAACAAGGCCTTTGAGATGAGGAAGAATGGCACATCCCATGAGAATAGGAATCTGCTGGACAATTTTGACACCCGTGTGTCGGGCTTGCCAGGACTTCTTACTGCGACACACGGCTCGGAGGAAGGGAAGAAGGGCAGGGATACCAAGAGCAGAAGCAACAACAGCGAAAGCTCGAGCTGTCGTGTTTCGCACATACTCGTCAACATGGTCGATATCGGGACGCATAGTACTGATCATAGTTGCTAGACCAGCAGCCTTCGCAAGGTTAGAGATAATTTCACGACCCTCAACACGGGCATAGTAGTCTTGGTCGATAAGCAGCGGTTCGATGACAACCAAGATCTTGTGTACATACGGCCGGACTAGATCATCCAACTTATAGAGCACACGGTCAATAACTTTGACCAGCAGGTGTCGTTCTTGGTCTTCCAGCGACTTCTCCATGAGCAATGGCAAAATTTGGTTGAACAAGGGACCAGCGCCAAATTGTCGAGCGTTGTCAGTAAGCTGACGCAGGGCGGTCTTTCGCATCGGGGGTGTGCCGTTCTTGACCTTGAGCAAAAGTCTCATGATCTTGCGTTCTTTCAACTCATCCACAGACATGGCTGATTCGTCGCCAGCTTCCATCAGCTTCCCAAAGTAGGCCATATCCTCCGGCTTGAAGAACTGCAAATCACCAACACCAGGTATCTCAGTGGGAAGCTGTTTACCAAGGGAACGGGCACTTTCCGGTTCTTGCATCATGAAACCACCGACACCGGTGGAGCTAGCCATGGGCGCTGGAGTAGCCGTAAGTTTTCTTGCTGGTGTCCGGATTGGAGCATACCCTGGAGGAGGCTCCAGAATCTTGTAGCCTTCTGACGGGAGCATCATGTCAAGCTCCTCGTCGGAAAATGGAGCATTGCGGCCCGAGATATCGGTTCCAAAGCTGGTTGGCGCCAAAGGCATCCCTTGAGAAGGATGCATAGGGGTTGCCAGCCCTTGGTTGCCAACTGGTGTTGCCGCTCCAAGTGCTGGTGCTTGGTCCCATCGCGAACGGCGCTTTGGGGCCTCCTCGGCTGCACCAGGAGCAACGGGAGCAGGTGTTTGATCCCAGCGCGACTTTTTAGCCTTACCGTCGTCAGGCGTAGGGACAGGGGCAGATTCGTCGGATTCGGCAGCAACATCCCAGCGTTGTTTGCGCTTGCGACCAGTGACAACAGATACAGTCGAGCCGGCTTCCAAATTCTCTTTATCATCTAGCTTCAAGGTCGCCTCGTGATCCTCGACGCCGTTCTCACCACGGCCCTGTTTCTCTGCGATCAGCTTCTGGACACGCTCTTCTTCTTTTTCAATCTCACGAAGAGCCATAACCTCCCGGTAAGTCTGGCCCTCTTCCTCAACGTTTGCATGAGAGTTTGCGGCGAAGGGGTCGGCCCTGGTGGGCGTCAGCGGTCCTCGGTTGAAGCGGCGTTTCTGGTAATCAGTTTCTCGGTCAGAGATTCTGGCAGCCTTTTCACGTCCCAGGAGAATGTCCTCCTCTTCAACCCCATTTCCTCGGGAAAACTCGTCAATCTGGTTTCGCGTCGCGGTGTACTGGCCGACCAGGCGGTGACCACCATCCGCATCCTCCATGTCTTCATCTCCATCATCAACAGCAATAGAGGTGCTGTATCCCGCATACTTGTCGGCACCATCACGTTCGTAAAGGGTGGTATCGAATGACTCGGTCAGGGAGGCCTTTGTCGAGTTGTCAGTGCGCTGGTCAGACGGATCAAAGGTCCTAGAACCTTTTTGCGCAGCCGCTGCCGCATTGCGCTCAGCCTGGAGCTTTCGAACAGCATCGAAATCCGCTACAATTATGATTAGTGGAGGTCGCGACGATCTGAGATTTCAAAGACTTACCGTCAGACATGTTGCCGGTAGGAGTGAGCTAAAGACGCGATAGAGAGCAAGCAACCTCTGGAGATAACAGTATCAGCCGCTACATCCGGATAAAAAGCCGTAAGAATGGCGCCACGGCGATGGTTCAAGGCGAGGAGTTGATGTCTCTAGGCTGAACGGGGGCGCAAAAAAGGATGAAGTCAAGACCGCGCAGATGACTAATGTATATCCACGTGACCGTATAGCAACTATTTCATGCACGTGACTACATACGGCCTTCTCGCCCTGAACTTCTTCCTTGTCGCCTGAGTCATAGCGAGAGCTAAAATATCATTGATGCACTTATTGTTTCGCGTTTCTCTATATTAATGGCTACTATCCGGTATAAACCAGCGTAATACGAAGGAGTGCGTTGAGGACAGAGCGCTGGAGATGTACGGATGGATAAGTATATATTTAAGTCCAAACCCTCCCGGAAAACATGACTCACAATAGATGTTTAACAAAATAATGTTGGGCAAATAGGAATTCTGATATTAGTGCCCCAAGCTTATTTGCTTGATATTCGGGATCATAGTACCAATCTGGGCAAAACTATCCTGTGAGGGGATGCGGAGCAGTAACCTTAGCCCTAAGGCAACTGAACGACGAAGGGTAGATAACTTCCCGATTCCAAATGGCCATCTTATTTATCGTCTTGCTTCATTTCAATACTGAGAAAATAATTTTCTTGTACGTTAAGCCTCAAACATCTGCGTACAAAATGGTTACAGCTCCAAGCACATACTACCTCCCACCAACGGAGCATACGCCCAACAACCCGCTGCCTGTCCTGCACTACCGAAACGTCCTCCCTAAGCTCCGAACCGAAGAGGAAGTAACCAAGTTTCTCACGGCTCATAAATGGGAAAAGAGGGTTGGTGTATCAATGCTAAATCGGGCAGGTGCTGATATATAGTTTCCAGGGTACATGGGGTACTATCTGGACGAGTCACTTTCATCCCAACTGCCATGAATGCTACGGTAAGATTTACAAATTTGTGATAAGGAACTGAGAAATACCAACCCCAGCAGGTGTCTTCCAGGGGACTTCGACCCTGCTTCTTGGTGCAGCTGGTGGAGATGGAATCTCCAATGCCGGGCTCCGAATCACAGTCCACACCGGCGATGTCATTGTGTTGCCTGCTGGCACCGGACATGGTTCGGTGGAGAGTACGGACGACTACAGATACATAGGGGTCTATCCAGAGGTGTGTTCATCTGGGAAGATGCGTAAGGGCTGTAAGTTGACCTAATGCTTCCTAGGGGTGTCCAAAATGGAAGAATGAGTTCGGCAAGAAGCGAATTGATGACAAGACTTTTCAAAGTGAGATTGCAGGTGTCGCCTCACCTGAGGAAGACCCTGTTTACGGGAAAGACGGCCCATTGATGCAGTTGTGGTCCCAGCCTCTGCGAGCAAACCTCTGAGTTCAAGCACTGAATTTTCGAAGGTGGCATTTCGAGTTAGATTAGAAACTACACCTAGGTTTAGCTCATGAACAAGAGAGAGCATAATATTAGCTGCAATGTCATGGTCTGATTCGTGACGAGAAGCAAAGTCTATTCACAAATGTATTAAAGCCTCAGCTCGTGGGGTTAAACATGGCTAAGGAAGCTAACAAAAGCCCATAACGCCTGAGGTGATAGGTAAAATAGCTGGAGATAAAAAAAGATTCAGATCGAAGACGGCACCAGGCAGTCATGATAGATATAGGTCTAGCGAATGCGGTCCAACCTGGCGCGGTTCATGGCAAGCTGATCGTCGACGTTCTCGCTCTAGAATACCATTAGCCTGAGCAAACATAGAAGCAAAAATGAATTCTTACCTTGCCAGTGATGCGCTCCAAATGCCTGTTCTGCTCATCCAGCTCGCGACCTGTCGCTTTCGCCAGAAGATTCAGTCGGCCTGTGGCACCCGAAATCAAGTTCAAGTTATGATCAATCTCATCCTCCATTGCTTCGTCTTCACTGTCTGCCTCGAACTGATACTTGGCACGTTCGGTGACAGATGTCTTCTTCGGCTTCGGGGCCTTTCTGTCTTCACGTTCGATTTCTCTGAATGTTCGCTCCATGCGCTGGCTGGTCTGGTACGCCTCACTCCGAGTACCCGATTGCGCGTCGCGCACCTGTCGGTGGTTGTTCATAACCCGCTCATCGCGCTCTCTCTTTCGCTGGGCGCTGGTGAACGGGTTCGATACATGCACAGCGAACATGCTCTTATTCAACGTCTTCAGTTCTTTAGCTTTTTCATCTGCGATGCGGCCCTCCACAGTAGCGACATCAAGATTCTTCTCCGTGTTGTGAATCATTTCGCCCTGGGCACCAAGACGGGCGAGCGTCTCTCGGGTCGTTTCCTCGGTCTGTGCAGCAATACGGAGAACATTTCGGGTAGTTGAAACGTCGCCCTGCTTGATGAATCGAATATCTTGTTTAACGGACTGGATTTCTTGTTCTTCCTCTTCCTCAGCAGTGAGATGGCGTTCCTGGAAGGTATCGGCGGAATATCCGCCGCCATACCCACCACCAGGCTGGCCAGCCTGTTGCTCGGAATACGGAGGTGGTGCATTGGCGGGTTGCGCCGCAGCTCTCTCACTGGCTCCGCCGAAGAGAGCGGCTCTGTTGTCATCACCGCCCGATGGGTTGTTGGGGTCAGAGCTGCCTAATCCGCCATAACCACCTGGTCCGTATCGTGACGTTGGAGCAGCGCCCGCGCCGCCACCATAGCGATTCGCTCCGTATCCGCCCTGGCCGCCATACGAGTTTGGCGTGTAGCCTTGGTATTTGTTATCGGCTGGAATTTGAGCCTTGTTATCGCCGGGAATTCCACCGCTTGCTGGGTTGTGGAGTTCCACGCCGGGAGGTGGGGGTGCTACACCGAGGTTGGCTTTTGCTCTCGTGTAAGGGTCCGCAGGAATAGGTTTTGCGTAGGGATTCGGCGCAGGACTCTTGCTCTTCGACTTCGATCCAAATAGAGCACGGCGGTTGGAATCGTCGTCGTCGTCGTTAGACGATTTCTTGAGGCCGAAACGCTTCATGGTAGGGTACTAGAGACGACTTTTGGCTAGAAATTCGGTTCTGAAAAGTAGACAGTAATAGCGAAAGTATTATAGAATATGCCCAACGATCGTGGAGCGAAAGAAAGACAGATATTGAGGGAAAGAGAAAAGGAAGAGAGATGGATGGACTGTCGAGTGTAAAGTGTCAGGGGAGAGGCAAATCTCCTGAGACATTGAAAGGCAGCAGAGTAATGACAGTACACATGGCTCTGGTGTTATTCTTGGGCAGTAGCGGGTTATAACCGTCTCAATACGGCCGGACTGGAGTTTTATTAACCCACTAAACCTAATCAGGCTAGCGGTAGTGGCTGGACCCTTCCAAGCCTCAACGCCTCCTCTGCAAACGTCAACTGTCCCACGCTCAATGCTTTCGATAAGCCTTCACGGTCGTCATGGCGCCGTTTCCTGGGTCTGATGCCGACTATTTTAAAGACAAGGCCCGCAGGGACCTGCTAAATCTCCTCGAAGGCGTGAGTAAGGCTCCTGGTCGCCACTGTTTTTGCTGCTCCTAGGCTGAAACATTACCCTCAATATAGGTTCGCGGAAAGAAGAATTTGGTCATTAGCCAGGGCCTTGCTGGGCCTGTTGGCCTCTTTGTCAAGTTTTCGCAGCTTCAGGAGTACGGCGTAGATCGTGTGTTCCTGCTTGAGAATGGAAATGTCGACTCCTCCCTGCGCAATGTCGTATTTCTAGCTTATGCCGAAAAGATCCGCCAGGTGCGGGCTGTGGCAGGTATGTCGAATGTTCATCCAATTCTCAATTCATTGTTTCCTGAGCTTGCTGTAAATTGTGCTGCCTTGCTTTCGACCCGACTGCTGGGATAGACAGTAGATTACGCAGACTGCTTTCCTACTCTCCGTAATCGGTCGAGCTCCCTACATGGAGACTTCGTCTAGAGGCTCATCCCTAAGGCTTTCTATTTTTGCATAGGCCTCGATTGAATGCCATCAGAATGAGCTGACATCCCATAGAGCAGATCCAGCGGCTGCAACGCGACAGCAGTATAGACCATGAATTCTCCATATTTTGGGTTCCAAGACGGACCCTTGTAAGCAATAACATCCTCGAAAGTACAGGAATAATCGGAGATGTGAACATTGCCGAGCTGCCTCTTTACTTTTTCACCTTGGAGCAGGATGTGCTTTCCCTGGAATTGGAGGACGCTTTCTCTGACTTGTACTTGGTGAGAACTTTTTTTTTCAGACAGTACGGGCGTTGCTAACAAGTTTTGTGCAGCACAAAGATCCTGGGTGTGTTTTCCATTCGGCGAAGGCACTCATGGATATTCAACAGAGGCATGGTTATTTCCCTCGGATAGTAGGAAAGGGGGACCATGCTCGACGGCTTGCCGATCTTTTGCTGCGGATGAGAAAAGAGCTTGATACAGAAGAGAGTTCCGGTCTAACAGGACTCTCTCCCCGAGGCCTCCTGCCAAGTGCAGAAATCGAGAGTTTGGTCGTCATTGACCGAGAGGTGGACTTTGCGACACCTCTTCTCACCCAGCTAACGTATGAAGGGCTAATCGATGAGCTGGTGGGGATCAAACATAACCAGGCGGATGTTGATACGTCAATCACAGGGGCAAACCCAACTCCCCAGGCCCAAGAATCTTCTAAAGCCTCGCAGCAGTCCAAGCAGGGCCAAAAACGGAAAATCCAGTTGGATGCTTCTGACCAGCTGTTCGATCAACTGCGCGACGCGAATTTCGCCATAGTTGGTGACATTCTGAATAAGGTTGCCCGTCGCCTGGAAACGGACTATGAGACCCGTCATACAGCGAAGACGACGACCGAGCTCCGTGAGTTTGTGAACAGATTACCGACATATCAGCTCGAGCATCAGAGTCTCAGAGCCCACACCAATCTTGCCGAAGAAATTATGAGGAATACCCGCTCAGACACTTTTCGTAAGATCCTGGAAGTTCAGCAGAACGATGCCGCAGGCGCCGACCCAACCTATCAACACCCTATAATTGAGGAACTTATTGCGCGGGATGTTCCACTGAAGACTGTGCTTCGTTTACTCTGTCTCGAATCTTGCATGTCGGGTGGCTTGCGACCTAAGGACCTCGAAAACTTCAAGCGACAAGTCGTGCAAGCGTACGGGCACCAACACCTCCTAACATTCAGTGCTCTGGAGAAGATGGAGCTCTTACAACCTCGTTCGTCCGCCGCTGCAGTGCTGATACCTGGCAGCGGAGCTCAAACGGGCTCCAAGACGAACTATTCCTACCTCAGGAAGAACCTCCGTTTGGTTGTTGAAGAAGTCAGTGAAAAGGATCCGGAAGATGTTGCCTACGTCTACAGCGGTTTTGCCCCACTCAGCGTCCGTCTTGTCCAATGCATCTTGCAAAAATCATATCTCATGTCTCTCATAAAGGGAGGACCAACTACACATGCAAACACAGCATCTCCTGGTTGGCTTGGGTTCGAGGATGTGGTCAAGAGTGCGCGTGGTTCGACTTTTAGTGTCGTCCAGAAAGGAGACGATAAAGCAGTTCGTGCGCGGCAGACGCTGAGTGGTAGCAACGCAACAAAAACCGTCCTTGTGTTCTTCCTGGGAGGGATCACATTTACTGAGATTGCAGCATTACGGTTCATTGCGGCTCAAGAGGCTCCTCAACGGAAGGTTGTGATATGTACGACGGGTGTAATTAGCGGTGACCGCATGATGGACGCGGCGATCGAGAAGGGAGATTTTACTTTGGCCTAGTCTTGATCTTGCCGGTTGCGCGGCTGATGTGATGAATGATGACTCTGTTACTCTCTATTTATAATGAATGCACCCCAGACTTGTTACATGCGTACTATAGTTAAGGTATAATGAGATCTCATACGTAATTGAGATCGAACTGGACACTGAATTATGATATATCATAAGGAACTAAGTGCCAGTCGTACCTTAATACTTAAACCCTGAATTAACACCCATAAGCCTCCCCTGATACCGTTCAATAACCTCACCCAACTTCACCATAACCCCTGCCGATATCATCCTCACCTGCTCGCGAGGATCGCTCGAGTCTTGAATTGCGGGCGTACGTTCAAATATTTCTCCAACCCATTCCCTTAGCTCCATTACCTGCGGCGCAAATTCGGTGATGAGCCGCTCTTCTCCAGATGTACCAGATTCAACGTTCAAGTCAATCACCGCAAGGAAAATTGAGAGGAGTGAATATAGAATGGTCGGCTCCTCGGATGCGGGGCGAGCGTGAAGCGAAAGAAGGAATGTTAGTGTTTGCCGGGTTAGAGCCGGGAGGAACGGGGTGTGCGGCCCCATCGTCGAGAGTACGAGGGTGAGAGTTTGGATGAAGAGGCATAGGAGGTGTGGGACGAAGAATGGGTTGTGGGAGGGCGCGGTAGAGCTGGTTGGTTAGTTGTGTTTTTGTCTTAATTTTTTTTTTTGGGTTGAGGTAAAGCTCACGAGGTAAATTGCATTATCATGATTTCGAAGCGGCCAGCCAATGGATAGAAAAAGCCCTCTGAGAGTACTTTGTATAGGTCTTTCACAGTGGACTTTTGTCGGTGGGCTTCGCGTTGCTGGCGTCTTTTCTCGACTTCCATGCGCGAGGAGAAAGTGCGCACCTTGAGTGCATTAGGACCAGATATTGAATCTGCAGCATCCGCGGCGAGTGGTTGAAGTGAGGCCTGGGCGATCCCCTTTGTTATGCTAGTAATGGGGGACTCATCGCCGCGATAGACGGCTTCAAGGCTAGCAGGAAGCCTTTTGGAAGGGAACGAGGAGTCCGGTATTTCTGGAAGACCCATCCTTCTTGCGTCATCCTCCCCAAGACCAGCTACCTCTCGGGCACTGAGCCCTATGGCAGTGAGAACGGCAGATCGCTGGGCCTGAGAAAGGTCACCGTCAAAGAATAAAGCGGCAAACCAACGACCCATCTTCATGGGCTGGGAGACCATCAATGCGACAATGCTTTGTAGACGGAGCTCATGGAATTTCGGAAATTTGCTTGGCTCTTGCAGCCCAACAAGGACGAGTGCGAGCTCCTCGGTATGCTCAGCAAGCTCTGTGCCAAAACCGGTCTTGCGCCTGATTAACGCCGGAGCCGTTGTAATTGCTAGCTCATGGCGCTCTAGGTTTTCCGTGTCTCGGAGATAGTTTATCAGATCCAGAATGTACCTGATCATCATTAGTCCTGCATTGAACGAGTGGGGGCTCACTTACACTGGGGCAGATGGTTTGTTCCGTTGTACAAGTGTCGGGTCATCGTCTTCGTCAACCGGATCTTCATCGGGTTTTTCATAGGGGATTAAATCATCCTCCTCATCTTCATCTTCATTTGAATCATCTATCTCCTCAATCGCCACAATCCTCGTCGCACCCTGATAAGGTTTGGCCTGGGGACGGGAAGAAACGGCCGAAGTAGAGCGCTTAGGTGGCCCTTGTCGGAACTCGTTCATGGTAGCTTTGTCCGCTTTTATGGAATACATGGACCCTACATTGTCTTCGGTTTGGATAAGACCCAAATACCATGTAGCTTCGCTGCTTTCCATCTCGTCGAGGTTGAATTTCATTCCTTTCCCAGGCTGCTCAATGAGCTGCGAAATCGCAGTGCCAACAACCATTCCGAGGAAACGTGCTCGCGTGGAAGCGGCTGCTAGACGGTTGGAAACCAAGTTTAGGAATACGCTGGTACGCCCAATGCTCTTCATCTCAGCGGAATCAAGGCGCTGCAGATAACCAGCAGCAAGAAGAATGACTTGAGTGTTCGCTTTGCGATGTTAGCGACCGGGTGAGGCTTGATGAGAACCAGAAACACATACCTTCTTGACTTCTCAATGGGGCATATTGTATGTATATCTTGTCAGCAGACTGCTCGAGACTTTTATTGAGTAACATTGCAATAGTACCTGTTACCGCGAGGATCAGTGACACTACTTAGCATCGGACTTGATTCGGTGTAGGTTACCCATATCGTGTGCTAAATTCACAATTATTGCCCTTTTCAGAGCAACTGTCTGTATAGAACCACCATGACCTTTGGAAAGCCATTCTACCAATTGACTTTCCAAATTAGCCCGCTTTGATATCAGATCTGAACACAGAGCTGCGATGCCGTCGATAGGCTGATCTAGGTCCATTTTGTCTCCGCTGAAATTTTCGGTTGGAAAGTATTTCCTTTCAATGTCACGAAAAATAGCCTCAATCATGGTGAGCTTCTCTGTCCATCGTAGATGGTCGAAAAGCGCAGAATACTGTTTTGTAAGCTGTCGATCAATGAGTAGATTAGAGTAAACTTCCCCAACAAGATGATCTGGTAGACTGTTTAGCATGTTGACTTGAAAGGGGTGAAATATAAGTACCAGGGTACCCAAGACTCAATGCTCTTCCAGTGAGAGAAGCGAGAGCCTTCCATTGTTCCTCATCGCCGACATTAAGCTTGGAGGCCATGTGGTAAATGTTGGTCCCCAGCCACGAAGCATATTGTGATCCGGTCCCAACCCAAGAAGTTTTCGCAGGGATATCGGACCCTCCAGCAAGTGGAACAGCTTCTGCCGACACCGAAAGAACTCTACCACCAGCGATCTGGGAGGTAAGTTCTTTCCAAGAGACTTGCCTCTGTATACCATTACTGTAGACCACGCCGATGTCGGTATAGAGACGCCAGAGAAAGTCGGTCGGCTCCAACAAGGCAGAAATGACCTGTAGAATGTTTCTAATCCGGATTCCGCTTCCTGATGCGTCTGCTTGTTGGGATGATGCCCGCGACTGGGATATGAGAGAACGGAGCTGTGTCACCAAGCAACTGATGCCTGGCACACTGCTGAGACACCTCAAAAGCGCAGCCTGGAGTTTTTTATTACTGGCAAAAGAATTTTTTGACCCTGCACCGATAGATTCCCAATGGTCCGGAATTGTAGTGCCAACGAGAGTATTGATGAGCTGGGCTGATACTGGACTTGGCACTCTGATGTCGAAAGTAGCTGCTGAAACACTCTTTCTAAACGGGTCTAAAGCGAATATGGCCTGGGAAAGTTCATTTTGGCTTGGACTTGACTTTAATGTTGACAAAATAAGTGTTGGTGACGAGATGTCTGGACTCGACTCCCCGGTTGGCGTTGGCTCTTTGGTTTCTGAGCCGGCATCGTTAAATTTCTGCTCTCGAGGTGTCAAACCGGGATCTTGATCGTGCCGTATTGTTTTTATCTCTGTAATAAGCCCGTCCATTTTCCGAGGCGATCATCATTGGTATTTAGCTAAGGGAAAGGTTGTAAATGGTGCGGTTGAAGAGCCTGTATGCAACAAAGCATAATTAGTCAGCAATACCGGCCTGCTGGCATTAATTCACACGACGTAGGCTATTCTAAAAAGTCAGCCTTGAACCATAAAACCCGAATAATTCCCTATAAATCTGATAAAGTCGACATTTTTGGAGGCTCCTCTGGTCCTGTTCATACTTGCTGTGTTAGTGTGTTCGCTGTAAGGTCGGAGTAGAGGTCACGTGCAGTGTGGCTTTGTAAGTGGCCCATCAGTCAACATCAACGGAAGTTCAGCATTCTCGTTGTCGCCTGCATACTCTTGCTCTTATATGAATACGGAGATCACGGCCATCTTATTTGGGATATAAGGGGCAAATAAAGTACCAATAACCTTCTGAGATCTCTGCAACTGGCTCTCTTTTGACCATGAGTGGGGGTGATCAATGGTGAAGCTTCCCACTTGGGTATTCTTCATAGTAATACTCACGCTTGTTAGGAAATATCTCTACAAGGCACTGTCGAAGCCTGGGCCTTTTTCTGACCCCGACTGGGTTCCTGGAAATGAGACAATAAAATCTTTAGAGGAATCAAAAATCCTGTATGTATTTGTGCTCCTGGTCTACTTTGAACTGATGCTAACATGTTTTCAGGGTGATGTGAGTGAATGCTGTCTATTTGCACTTTATATGTGATGATCGATTTCTAACTCTTTTAGCGGCGCTGGTGGTCTGGGATGTGAGATCTTGAAAAATCTTGCCCTGTCGGGTTTCAAGGATATCCATGTCATTGACATGGGTAAGTTCACTCCTGATCGGCTCTTACGCAGCTTCCGCTAACTTTAGCAGATACTATTGATATTTCTAATTTGAACCGGCAATTTCTATTCCGCCAGTCTGACATCGGCAAACCCAAGGCAGAGGTTGCTGCTTCATTTGTTGAGAAACGAGTCAAAGGAGTTAAGATCACGCCTTTTGTTGGCAAGATTCAGGACAAGGATGAAGACTACTATATGCAGTTCAAGATTATTATTTGTGGACTCGATAGCATCGAGGCGAGGCGATGGATTAATTCGACATTAGTGGGGATGGTCGATATGGACAATCCAGAGAGCCTGAAGCCTCTCATTGATGGCGGTACCGAAGGTAAGTAACCCCAAAGAAGCTCCGGTTCAACGACCTAATATATTCGCAGGATTTAAGGGCCAGGCGCGTGTTATTTTGCCTAGTCTTACATCATGTATCGAGTGTCAGCTTGACATGCATGCTCCCCGGCCAGCTGTGCCGCTTTGCACTATTGCTACTATCCCCCGCCAGCCTCAGCACTGTATTGAATGGGCGCACCAGATAGCTTGGCAAGACAAGCGTAGGGATGATGCATTTGATAGTGACGATATGGAGCATATTGGCTGGGTATACAACGCTGCCCTTGGACGCGCCAAAGACTTCAACATACCGGGAGTCACGTTTCAGATGACACAAGGTGTGGTGAAAAATATCATCCCGGCCATTGCATCTACGAACGCAGTCATTGCAGCTGCCACAACATCCGAAGTGTTGAAGATTGCGACGTCCTGCAATCCGTTCTTAGAGAACTACATGATGTATGCTGGAGAGGAGGGTGTTTACACTTACACATTCGAAGCCGAAAAGAAACCGGATTGCCCAGTATGTGGATCTCTTGCGCGTAAGATAACCGTGAACGGCAATGCGACATTGGAAGAATTCATCGAAACGCTTGGAGAAAGACCCGAAGCACAGCTCAAGAAGCCAAGTTTGAGGACAGGGGAGAAGACGCTTTACCAACGTTTCCCACCCCAGCTGGAAGAGCAAACTCGACCACACCTCAAGTTGAAGCTTCGTGATCTTGTTGCAGACGGACAGGAAGTTGCCGTCAGCGACCCAGCATATACCATTGATTTCAGATTCCAGTTGATTTTCGGTTAGAACATTGCAGGGTAGATGACCTTACGGCGAAAGAATGACGATTATGACTAGATTTGACAAAATTCTAAACCAAGCTTTTCTATATTTTAAATCCTAATCCGGACTCCCAGTCATGTGAAGAAGGTATTGGCCCAGTTTTGTCGCAAAGAAACATGGCACAAGAAACAAGAATCCAACGCCGGTGAATGCTTAAAAAACTTTGAAACAGGGCGGAAAAGAAGCCAGAACTTCATCGTTACCGCATAAGGTCCGTTAGGCCCCTCTTCCATCTTGCGCATTTGAGCTTCAGTACCTTGACGCTCTCTAGGAAAAGGACGTCACTGTCAAACTGTCCGGTGCTTTCAATGTTGAAGATGAAATGGTCCCGGACCCGGCCCAACTTGACCTTCCCTTGGAACTCCTCGTGTCTCAAACATTCCCTGCTAACTGTGTCGTTGAAGGCGTCACGGACAACTGCCTTCAGTTCGCCACGGTGACCATTGTATTCGGTATTCTGCCGCTCATCCTCGGAGGTGATAGGCTCGAGGCTGATAACTCCCTTGGGGAAACATTTTGCGAATTTCTTCGCATCCTCTCCGATGATCGGACGGAGAATTTTGATATCCGGCATTAGACGGTAGGTCGCCGTTGCTACCGGCGAGAACTTGGCGTGGTCTGCCCCGAGTCCTTTGATACAGTGCATTTCCAAATCTATTTTCTGACCCGGACGAAGCTTAGCAATGAGAATATCGGGGTTGACAGGTTGGACAGCACCATCGCCGACAAAAATATCATGTTGGCGACCGACCGGGTTGTAGAAGATATCCTTGGCGTAGACATGAGCGTTCTTGTACAGCTTGCGAGGGTCTTGCTCTTCACGCGACGCATTCGGATTCTTGGTACATTCCACCTTCAGTTGTAGTACAACTGTGTTGAAGTCTGCGGGATCGCTAGCGGCTACCGAGTCGTTCTCGCTGGGCTTGATGAACCAGTGCATCCAGTTGAGACCCTCGACGTCGCCTTTGAGCGGTATAAGACCTAAGCGCTGAGCAAGCACCTCATCTTGGATGACAGAAGTGTTGTTGCGGACAAATACATATTCGATCGCAAGCGTAGGGACTTCGGCCACGACAATGCGACGGAATGCGTTTGCGATAGCGGCATCGAGACCGATCAAAGAAAAAGATGACTCGAGCTGCTTGTTTTGGTGGAACTCGACCCGGAAGCCCTGCAGACGGGATTAGTGTGGATTTAGATAAGAAGGACATAAGAGCATACATCTCTAAATCTATCAACGTTCCATTCGTGGGACTCGCCTGGCCAGTGACCTGGGAAATCTGTGGAGGGGATGTTGGTGACGGTCTCGGCGTTGATGTCGACGATCTGAAAAGGTCGTTAGAATATGTGTCAGACGTTGAGGGTATCAAGACCTACCCGCCGGCGTTCAATTTCCTCGTGTGATGGCACAAGGGGGGCCATGATGGGGTTTGTATAGAATAATGGCTGCTCTGTTCTATAGTCGGGACAAAGAAATCAAAAAGTTCTTGAGAGCGACCGGCAATATTTTTGCGGGTTGGAGGCGGAGAGGAGAGTTAACTATAATGTCTGCACTACTTGTTCTATGATGCAGAAAATGCAGATGACATGCAAGGAATTCTGTGGGCGGTGGTCCTAGTCTGGGTGCAGAATAGCATCTGCCAAAAGCCAACCAGAGGCGGCCTGATGACCAGCTCCTCCGCCACGTGACGGGCCAAATTGCATCCCAGCGCAACTTCCCGAGCATCACCCCGACAGCGAACCTTTCCGACGAAGCTACCCCACCAATTGCGTCCGGACTGAGGACAGTCAGCCTCTCCTCTCAACGTTTCCTTTACGATTTACGAATGGCTGCTCCGTTCGCTCGGCTGGCGGGCAATGCCCCCAAAAAGCTTTGCCTACGGCCCTCCGGCATTGCTCGAAGCACCCTTGCTCCCAGATCACGGTCGATAGCGACGTCAGTGCCTCGCCGGGCAGCAGAGCCTACCAGCTACCAGGCCACGCGATTGATCCCTACCGACCCGAGTTTTGCACACTTCGCTAACAAGGACTCTGAAGTCCCTGAGATCCCCTCTGGACTGGAGTCCGAGGCTGAAGGGGTTGGCCGCAAAATTCGCCATTACACTGTCAACTTTGGGCCTCAGCATCCTGCTGCTCACGGTGTGCTTCGATTAATTTTGGAAATCAACGGCGAGGAAATTGTCCGCGCCGACCCGCACGTTGGATTGCTTCACCGTGGCACCGAGAAGTTGATTGAATACAAGTCATATATGCAGGCATTGCCTTACTTCGACCGTCTCGATTATGTTTCGATGATGACAAACGAGCAATGTTTCTCGCTGGCTGTCGAGAAATTGCTGAACGTCGAGATTCCAGACCGTGCCAAATACATCCGAACATTGTTCGGAGAAATCACGCGAATTTTGAACCACCTCATGTCTGTCCTTTCACACGCCATGGATGTTGGTGCTTTGACGCCATTCTTGTGGGGGTTTGAAGAGCGTGAGAAGCTTATGGTATGCTTATCCCACAATAGACGCGTTATGTGGCCACAGCTTGCTAATGTATGGTTTGCTTAAACAGGAATTTTACGAGCGTGTATCTGGTGCTCGTCTTCACGCGGCCTATGTCCGCCCCGGCGGCGTCTCCCAGGACCTTCCCCTTGGCCTCCTCGATGATATCTACCAGTGGGCAACTCAGTTCGGTGACCGCATCGACGAAACCGAGGAGCTGCTTACCGACAACCGTATCTGGAAGGCCAGAACTCAGGGAGTTGGTGTCGTTAGCGCTGCGGACGCCCTGAACATGAGCTTCACTGGTGTCATGCTCCGTGGATCCGGTGTTCCATGGGATATTCGCAAGTCCCAGCCTTACGATGCTTACGACAAGGTCGAATTTGATGTACCCGTTGGTGTGAACGGTGACTGCTACGATCGTTACCTCTGCCGTATGGAGGAGTTCCGCCAGTCTCTCCGCATCATCCACCAGTGCTTGAACCAGATGCCCGCCGGCCCCGTTCGTGTTGAGGATTACAAGATCAGCCCTCCTCCCCGTGCTGCTATGAAGGAGAACATGGAGGCTCTCATCCACCACTTCCTCCTCTTCACTAAGGGTTACGCCGTCCCCCCTGGTGAGACCTACTCTGCCATCGAGGCACCTAAGGGTGAGATGGCCGTGTTCTTGGTCAGTGATGGTAGTGAGCGACCCTACCGCTGCAAGATTCGCGCTCCCGGTTTCGCCCACCTGGGTGGTTTCGACCAGGTCTCTCGCGGCCATCTTCTTGCCGACGCTGTCGCTATTATTGGTGAGCCTACTGAGTAACTATATACCTGAGTACTTATGCTGATAATCTTTTAGGTACCATGGATCTCGTGTTCGGTGAAGTTGACCGGTAAAATCATACATGGATGGGAAATTCTGCTTTCCAATCTTCTGTACAAAACGCAAAATTCCGATAAACAATGAAACAAAAGGTCTAGAATTCAAAGAGGTCACTCCACCACAGACCGGTGGATGTTGATTGATGTTCCAGCTCACTGTCTCGGTGAGGAGCTGGAAATATGATAGAAGGTGTGGGAGAGATCCAAGTAGCGGATGTACCTGTTCATTTTATATGGCGTTGATTACCTTTTTCTTTTCCTTTGTTCCTATCGCGATCTACACCTCTACCTCTACTTTTATTTTTCTTAACTTGTGTATAGTGAACACTGAATTTCGGATCGAATTGTCCTCTAGTAGTCGTAAATGCTAACCGCACGCTGGGTTGGAAATATCCACCTCATCTACACCGAAAGGAAAGCGGTAAAGTATATATAGCCGGTCCACTCGAACCGCTTCACCAAAACCCATCTACGCAAAGATAATGATAATTAAAGGGGGCAATGAAAGAAAAGGTTAGACCCATAAACAAGCGCCGGAATCCATGCAAGCACGCGGGTCCCATCCCACCACAAAATGAAAAGGACCACCCCACCTCAAGTCCTTTACACATTATCATCATCATATAGAAAATTGATATCCCGCGGCCGGCGCCGGTTGTATGAAACGAACTCACTATCGCCAGGCGGTCTCTCGTTGCGCGAATTCGCGGTTAACATGCTCTGAATGCTCATGCAAACGCTCTCGACTGTTTGCACGGGGGACCAACCGGCTGAACTGAGGAGGTCCAGGCAGATGATGCCATTACTGTAGATGTGCGGATGGATGGGGATTGGGCGTTTTGAGTCTGTCGGTTGCGTCTGTTGTTCGGCGGGTGCTGATGGGGTTGTCCGTGCCTGTGTCTGTGATTGGGACTGCTGCTGAGGTTGCGATTGGGTTTCAGTTATGAATTGGACTTCCGGGGGTTCTGGTGGGTAAGAAAAGAGCCAATTAGTATGATGCGCCGACTTCCAGAGACAATAAAGGGTGGCGGGAAGGGCATGGGTACGTACCGATTGGGTATTTGGATCCGAATGTGAATTTCAGTCTGTACGTTTCATTGCGGTAGAGTGGATTTTCGTCGAGGACTTTGATGTCCATTTGCCAGTCCTCAAGGTTTTCGGCTTTGAAGATTGAGATTCCCGGGGGGAGGTGTTCTTGCATCTGAAGTGGTCAGGTTAGGCTAGCCATTGCTGTTGGTTTGCGGTGAAGTTGCAAAAGAAAGACAGAAAGTTGAGCTCGAATGTTGTAGAGGTGCGTAGTGAACGGAGATGGACTGCTTGGAAGGTACCTTTATGAGCTCCTTGAAGACATTAGCAAGAGAGCCTGGACAGCTGCGGGGAGGGGTGTAGGTACCTTGCTCAGTCGTTTGCTAGCGAACATATTGGCGACACGCCTTGTAAGAGGTGATCAAACTGTTGAGCTTCGTATACTGGTGGGGGTTTGGGAGAGGTGCTGAGGTCTCTGGCGCACGAGCAGTTGAGGTTGCGCAAGATGTATGACGTTTCGAACTAGTGTGGGGCGATCGACGGCAAGAACGCAAGGGATGCTGCAGCGATGGGAAATGGGCACGCCCTGAAGGTGAGGGATAAATGCTGAAGAAGTATGAAAAAGAGCGGGACAAAGGTATTAAAAGACAGAGAGGAAAGGACGGGAGATGAGGCTGTGAGGTGTGCTATGTACCTTACTACTACGCTGGCCTTGGCTGTTTGATCAGGTCACCTGGAAACCCCGCCTGATTGGCTTACGGTCAGGCAGCTCAACACGTGATGGTTATTGTGAGGGCAAGGTAATTATTATTACTATACGGCTTATATCTCCATCGATGGCCGTAGGCGCTGGTTGTGTTTCTTTGGTTGTTTGGCATTGATAGTGGGATTAGAGAACGGGGCGTTGATACAACCATGATTACTGCAGCTTAAAGAATCTCACAAATCGTATTCGGATATCGAAAACCACGCAAGAATCCGTCGTTATTCAATAAGTAAAGGGGAATCGCTTGAACAGAAATCACAGAACACGTATCTGATGATTTAGGTCTCCAAAATAAATAAAACAAATTGGTAAAAAACGAAAACTATACCCAATCAATGCCACCCAATGTACGTATGCTCCACTTCCACTATGAATGAGCCCGCTCACGAGCCTCGCGCTCGACCTTCTCTCGCTCTTCGTTCTCCTTCATCTCCCGGACTTTAGCGAGAACGACTTCGCGGAAAATAGCGCCCCGTGCAATATTGCCTAGGCTGCGCTTCTTAGGGCCACCTGATTCGTCCTCGCCGCCTGAAGGTTCGCTTTTGTTTCCCGCTGAGGTACCTGGGAAAGGTGGTGCGCCTGAAGAAGACTGTACGTCGATGGGGCTGGGGATATCGTCGTCCTCTTCTTGCGTCTTGAGCGCTTCGATACGGTTTGCAAGTTTGATGATCTCGATACCCCTCTTAAGGCGAGAACGCGCAATGTACGCACGGATTTCGGGAAGCAAGTCGCGGTCGCTGGCAGATTCTCCCTTCAGCCATGGGTGCTTGAGGGCTTCCTCGGACGCGGGTCGTTGCGATGGGTCCACCTGGAGCAGGCTGAGGATAAAGTCCTTGGCGTCCTTCGAGACATCCTTCCAGTAGCGCTCGTGGAAGATTACTCGTCCAGAACGGCATTCTTCAATAAGATCGGTCATGTTCTCGGATCGGAAGGGAGAGTAGCCACAAAGGAGGGTGTAGGTGATGACTCCGAGAGACCAGACGTCGACGGCCTTGCCGTGGCCTTGCTTAAGCATAACTTCAGGCGCGGCATAGCCGAAAGACCCAGCCATGCTAGTCAGAACTTCAGCTGGGTTATCCAACATCTTTGCAATCCCAAAATCCGCAAGCACTAGCTGTGAGTCTAGGTCGGGGGTAAGGTAGAGGAGGTTCTCTGGTTTCAGGTCTGTGAAAGGCAAATGTTAGTTGAACCGGTACGGGCAGTTAGATTGGAGTAAACAAACCTCGGTGGACGATGTTCCGTTGATGCAGGTAGTTGACAGCCTCGAGAACTTGGCGGATGGTTTGCGACGCATCCTTTTCTGTGAACTTGCCGTACTCGCAGATCCTATCGAACAATTCGCCGCCAGTAGCTAACTGAGTGACAATGTAGAATTTGTCCTAGACATTTATTAATGTGGATGCTCTCAAAATAGCGAGTAGATTACTGATAGCTGTGACTGCTCACCTTGGACTCGAACCAATCAACGAAATGAACAATGTGAGGGTGGTTCAGCTTTTGCAGCAGGTCCAGTTCATCATAGACCATGCGTTCGTTGCCGCGAACATTGCGCTTCAGGATAATCTTGACTGCAACTTTGCCCTCCGAGCAGTCTGCCTCGCGGACAATACCATATGTTCCAGCACCCAGAGTCCTCCCGAATCGATACAAGGATCTGCAGAGGCAAAACGGTTATTATTTAGGAACTAGAGTAGAATTGGGAGAAACGCACTTTTTCTCGTAGCTTTCGGGCTGCCCCGAGAGCTTATTGAACATATTTGCGACTATTATATGAAGACCGTCGGTTAGTGACCCCGCTGCAAGTAGAAACCACTGAACAGCTGTGAACAGAAATTTGACAAGCGATAGCAAGCCAGTAAGGAGGCGAGACTCCGCGGCAGTTTCGCGGGAGGGAAGAGAAAAGTCAGACCAAACCACTTGGCTGGCTGGCGGTGCTGTCTTATGCATGTTTGGTTGTATCCGACGAGGCTGACTGCGGCTGACCGTCTGCAAGAGCGGGGGTTTGAGATGTGCAAGGGGCGTGCAGAATAAGGTTGTTGAGAGAATTTGGCCGCATTGCAAAAGAATTGAAAGTCGAAAGACGCAAAATCCCAAAATAACAAACGAAAGCTGGACTTACAACTCATTATGGCGGCGTTGGCGTGTGTGGGCGATAGTGGTGATAGCGGGGTTCAGCCAGCGTCACGCGAAAACAACCCCGCACGTAGGCAGAAGACGAAAAGTAGAGAAAGGGGCTGTAGGACGACGAGGATTGTATAATTGACTGAGAGCGATAAAAATATCGAGTCAGCAAAGGTGTTCGATCGACTGCGAGGGACGGAACTCCAAGCTGAATGAGGATCAGGGGAAGCGGGGGAATTTCTCGTGATCGCAAGGGAATCGCAGTGAATAAGAAGACCTCACGTCCACCACAGCTCTCCCTCAACGACAGCGGACGGGCACTCACCGATTCTGCCTTCCAGCGGCGCACAACTGAATTCTTGCCAGAAGCTGATCGCGAAGCAGGCGGCAGAAGAGAATTAATGGACCCGGCACTGCAGTTGGTGCCTGAGAGCTGAAGTAAAGCCGAGAGCAAGTCTGGCCCGCAGTCCAGAATTAGCAGAACTAGCCCCAGCACAGCCACCGATGAGAGCGTTTCCAGTGGAGCGGCGCGCGTTTCACAACCCAATTTTAGTCGGGCCCAGAAGCCTTTTATTTCAGCCCTGGGCGCTGCGAAGGCCTTCTTTGGGTACCGACAGCGTCCTGAGTTGCTCATGAGGCAGACGCGGGCGGGCGTAATCTCCGCTGTATTCAGCCCTGTCGGCACTGGTGCTACTCTATTCCACATTTACCATGATACTGAAATAGCGCCCTAGAAGGCAACCTGGCCTGATCGCACATCTCAAGCAGCTGGGCGAGTAGATCCACATCCGTCGCACATAGACAGGCTTAATAATTTATATCCGCTGGAAGCCACTGGCGGATCTTTGCCTCTCATTCAGCAATAAAAGGATCAAAGTCTGAGTTGATCCAGCCCGCAGGAACTTGGCTGTTGAATAGTTCCCACATAAGCCAATCAGCCGACGGGCCGTTTTCAATATTCGAACCCGTGGGTTCACTCTGCGGCATTGTATCATTCTCTTGTGGATCAGTGACAGACCTGTTCGCGGAGGTGTATGGAATGGCTGCATGGCGATTTGTTGCAGCCAAGCCGGACGGATCCTCGACTCTGAAACTGTTTTCTGAGACTAGGTGGTTTTCGGCTTGCTCTTGGAACAGAGGGTCGCATAGTCCTTGTAGGGACCGGAGAAGATTCAAGAGTCTCTCGAGGTGTGGGTATTGTTTGAACCCGGAAAGTTTGTCGATGATGCGTTGCATACATACATAGCCATCGTGGTTTAATGTTCCGATGATGTTGCAAAAGACAACGAAGAAGGGACTCAAGGGATAAATGAACAAACTCCTGCGACAAGCCTTCGTTAGCAGTGCGTACTGTAAGGAAGCGGTGCCAGCGAACCATGTTAGAAAGGACGGATATGGATCGTCGAACCCTGACCCGGGTACCTCTTCTGGCCGCTCGAGGAGAAGTAGAAACGCTTTGAGTGAGTTCTCAGCATACAAGAGTGTTATCTTGTGCACCAGTGGGCTGAATGAACTTTTCAGACGCGTACGTAGGATTTCGACGAATATCGCGTTGAAGCAGAAGTCGGCAGTATGCCAATCGCACCAGACCTTTGTGGGAGGGCGATGGCGATGTAGATTCTGCCGATATTAATATTTGCCATATAGAACAAGCAAAGATAGGTTGCATCACTAACAGTTTGTAGTATTGGAAGTATGTTGGACATCCTCGATTCGAGGTCTCGGCATGTTTCCAATATCGCGCTTTTCGATTCACGGTTGCCACAATTGGATATCTCGTGGAGTTCTCCCTGGATCTGCGCAAGATCAAGTATGACGCGGATCATGGTGTCATATAAAGAGGATGGATCTAGTGGGATCAGATCGGAGGGTGAAACTTGGAGGCCAGGCAATGATGGAGGTCGACCGAAAAGGGCGCTCAAGGTTCTATCAAGGTAATAGCACCAGTAAACCGCCATGCAAATATCTTGCTCTTCAGTCGTTGATGTAGGTGTCCTGCGGATTCTGTGATAATTGAGAGAAGTGATTTGTCGAGCTGCATATGACATTAGAACCCAGCACTGGTTGAGTCTTCCAACATATTGCATGAGTAGGGCCTGTACGGATTACAAGTTAAATAAGCCATGGGTGACTGATCACGCGGAAACTCACGCTTGAGATTAGAGACTGTATACTTGCCAGATTTGGCCGGCCGAGAATATTAAATTTTTTGATGCTTTTAAGCGCGGCAGTTGTATAGGCAGATGTAGACTGAGATAACTGATTCTTTATAGCCACATTGTCGGTGATTCGGGAGATATGGTTCAAGTGGACGATTCCCTTGACATAGATACAAACGCAATACTGATGAAACAGTTGCTCATGTGGTTCAAGATCTCCTTGTAGTAAAGCAGTGGCCATTCTTTCACATGCAGTGTCTGATATATGATCTGGCCACTGAGAGCGGAGTGACTCTGATGATCCTGGGCTATATCAGTTGTGGCATCAAAGGGGAACTACTCAAAAGGGAGGAATACCGCGAAGTAGCATGAACAACAGCTCTCGAGGGGGCACCTCGGGAACAGGGATAGTAGGAGCTTCAGGCGACCCATCCTCCATAAATGTCCCCGACTGACGACGCTTCCTCTCAGCAATTTCATTCACCAGCTGGAGGGCAGACCTAAGAACAACCTGTCGTTCATGGCTGATAAACCTGGAATCATCGAGCTCAAGCTCTATGATGTCTTTTGCTTGAATTGCATGATAATTGGAATCGTCGGCATCTGCGGCCGAGTTTGGGGTGGTAGCTGGAGATATGCCAACTCCGCCGGGACGCATCTGCCTTGGACGTGGCGACCGATGGAACTCGAGAACGGAAAATTCTGGAACAGAGTCACTGCAGAATTGATCAGCGCTTGCAAAAAAGCGATTGCAGATGCAGTTACGGCGAACCTGGGTAAAGATCTCTTTTTTGATGACCTCCCGGGTCGCAACCGCTGGCATTGGGCACCGGCGTCGGCGCAATTGGCGCAAGGCGAGCGCCTATCGCACTTTATCTAAGATTATTGAATCAGTCCAGACCGGGGAAATCAAATGTGAGCTGGGAGGCGTTGAACCTTTCTAGAATGGCACAAATCACACTGCATCAGTTAGTTGCATTGCGGTCGAGAGGGGACACCTCGGAGACCTACGGCAGGGGGGATTTCCCCCGAGAGCGCAACATTCCCAGACATTATCAAGTAACTCTTCGACTGCCCCCCCCCCTGGTACACAGACCACTATGTACTCTGCAGAAGAGGTGGATGAGGCAGGATACAGCCGAGTACCTACGAGGGAGAAAAAAACAGCCGAGCGGAATCTCTCCGTCTGCACAGTTCCGCTGACTGATCACAGCAAGAAGTGACAAATTGAGATACGCACATACCGACCGGATAATTGATGCTTACTGAGATGGTCAATTGTCAAAAATATTTCCAATGTCTAAAGCTATGAACTCTCCGTTAAGGGGCTATCTATTTTCTAGCTATATATGTGGGATATACCATACTACCATGGCAGATCCTGTCCACTGTAAGCATCCCAGCCAGGAACGAGAATATTTTTGAGTCGGCCGTTATCCTCATGAGTGATGGAATCTACAACGTTCAAAACCGCCTCTGCCCCCTGGGAGACAGCGAGATCGGCATCCTCGCCGCCCATATCGGTTTTGAGCCACTGAGCGAGAGTTAGCATGAAAAGTAGCCAGTCGCGAACCATAGGTAGGTAAAGAACTTACTCCCGGACACAATGGGATAAAGATAAAGCCATTTTCTTTGTATGACAGTGCATATTGCACAGTCAAGGCGTTCAACGCTGCCTTGCTGATTTTATACGCCGGGCAAGGCGCATAAGTCGAGCTTGAGGCCAAAGTCATCGATGCGAAGGCGCTGGAACTGAAATGAAAGAGCGACTTAGCATGCTTGGATATTTCAGATATTAAGGATAATACTAATTTGCACTTACATAGTGATTACTTTCTTCACCCTGCTATCCTGCATGAGGGGGATGTATTCCCGGATAACGTTATGGACTCCTGTTACATTGACAGAGAGTTGATATTCGAGATCATCCCTGTTGAAATAGTCAGTATCCTCAGCAATTATATCGGTAGTTAGAGGCCTACATGAGTGCTAGTTTTGCATCGGTAATGCCGAAGACACCCGCGCAATTGATGAGGATATCCAAGCTATATCCCTTCAACGCTCGACGAACTTCCTCTACTGACTCTGCGATATTTGGCCTATTTGTGACATCTAAAGAAACAAACACCGCAGAGCCATTGGACTGGGATATTACTTCGTTTAGTTCTTGGGAGAGGCTTCGTGCCGTTGCAATAACAAGCCCTCCTTCTTTGCTTGCACGCGCTGAGCGCTGCTTCACCAGCTCCAAGCCGAGGCCGCGAGAACAACCTGTAATGAGTATATTTGACATTTTAGCGAGTAGTTCTGAAGGTTGTTTACAAGTTGGCCGGCGCTGTGATTTAATAAATGTCACCAGCAGCGACCCACAATTCTGGAAAATAGATGGGTCTATTAAGAGCCCACCTTTCTTGCTATTTCTTGATTAAGGGGATACTTGCTTGTGAATATACGGAGTTGAGGCCGAGAAGATTTGTGGTTCCATTTGAACACCGGGTCTACTGAGTATCAGGCTCTATAAAGAAGAATTAAACACACAAATGCTGCTATATTCAAAATCCTCGCCCAGAATCCTCATTTCATTACTTCTACACCGATTATTATTATCGGCACTTCTCGGCGTTCCGAGCGCTAGGGCTCCGCTCGGATTTCCGAACCAAACAGGAATGGTACTGCGGAGACCGAGTATAGATTGAAACTCGAAGTCATACGACATGATGGGGGCGGGATATGCCTCATTGACATTATCTGCTTCTCATTTGTAGTCATCGATTGAAAAAGGTCTACAGAATACTAAAAAAAAAGGGAGACTGTCCCCTTATAGAGCGCAAGGTTCCCTAGTAAGAGCACGAATCCTAATAAGATCAAGTCGATAGTCATTATGAACGGCATAGGCTTAATTGATGCCCTGAATGAGACAAAAGCTCAACTGATAGTACTCCAAACACCTGAAAGTTCCATAGTCAGCCGGTACTAGGATGCCCAACCAAACTCCATCATCACTGAAAATATCACCATCAAAACTAATTGGCCAATCATCCATATTAAGGCCTCAACCAACCCTACAACCCCCAAGTCAACCAAGATAGAGCTCATCAAGCACCATCCCACAGAACTCCCTATAATATTCCGCTCCCTTCCATCCCCGTTTCCGATTCTTTAAGCCAACAGTCTCCCACCCCTCAGATCGTAAGCGGATAATACGCTCCTGGAGACTCTCGCGCCCAGAAGGCGCTGCCAGTCCGGATTTAGGTGAAGAAGGCCCTCTAGAGGAGAAAGACTGCCATTTGGTTTTAGGAGAGCGACCAGACCCGTTCTTGACGGGACTGAAAGACCAGAATGAGACCGAGCGCTGGATGCTCCGTCTCGAAAGGATCCGCGCGTGCTGAATGGATGTGACTTCTTGGATTAGGGTGTGGAGAGTTGTGATTGTGGATGTGACTTGGTTGTGCAGGAAAGCAAGGCTGTTATTAAACGCTGTTATTGAGGAAGTCGAGGGGAGGTTGATTCCGGCATGTAAAATTTCTCGTCTGGAGGAAGTTTGCAATGCGCTGGTGCTGTATGTATATTTTTGATTACCCTGAACCACGGCCTTAACTTTCTTGTTTGTAGCTAGGTCTTTAATTTTAACAGGAAGAGGGAGGCGAGGAGGGCGGGCTCGAATTTCAACCGCGGGTTCAGTTGTATCCTGAGTTTGGGCCTTTGAAGATGCGCTGGTGTCACCGCTAAGCTCGAGAGATGGTAAAATGAGTGGAAGCGGCTGGGATGATTTACGGACATGGAGAGGAGGCGGCATCAAACGGTACTCTGTCTCATTCTCGTTGTCGAGTGTGGCCGCTGTTTGGGCAATGTTGTCCTGGTTGTTGATACTTAGGATATCGACCACATCGTCACAGTCTGAGAGAAAAGGATCTTCTTCGTCGGGGCAATCTAGCGTCCTGTCGATGATGTCTGTGATGCTAGAGACAATGCTTTCCGCTGGCGAGGTTTCCCTGGATGCCCTGCTCGACGGAGCTGGGGAAGGAGAGGGAGAGGGAGAGGGAGAAAGAGAAAGGCTAGTGCTATTGGTCTCCGACACGGGGAATTCAACTTGTTCAAATATAAAGTCTGTTTCTGATCCAGAAATGTTGATAAAGCCATCCACATAGCTGTCATCCGCAGAATCAGATTCCAGAGTAAAACCAGGGCCATCGACAAGGCCCTCGTCAACAGAAACAGCCGCAGGCAGAACAGAAAGACAAGTAACGAAGCAGTCCAACGCCGAGTGCAGAAGCGGTATCTTGTTCCTCGAGTACTCGTGTGCGTGCCGGGCCATTGCCTCGTATGAGATTGCACTGTAAAAGTACAGGTAAGTTTTGTAAACGGGATCTATCTGCATGTCCGGTACGATTAGCTGCCGCTCAATGCAGGGGTTGAGGCAAGGGGAAGTACAGGTTCTCTGGCTACGGAAAGGATAGATGACGAACGGGCGACGCATCGTTTATATTGCCGCTGCATATATAGCAGCTTTATTTCCTGGAGGGTGGACTTCCATTGCTCATAGGTGGAGGGGTTCGAGGATGACTCGAAGAGCGAGGTCTTTGCAGCAACTGAAGTCATGGTGAGTGCTGCATCGCAGTTGAGAGTTGTTGATCGATAGATAGAACGTGAGAAATGAGGAAGACCAAATGAGGTTGAAAATACTGAGGATTTTATAGAGTCGATTGACGCGTTCGGCATCACGCCCACGGTGTCATGGCAACATCGCGTCTCAAGTCTCGCGTTGAGCAGATTATTTCGTCATATACAAGTTTAGCACTCAGTATAGACAACCCGTTCGTACCAAATACTTCGAATAACAAGTACCGAGTCAATAGAAACTAGTACCGAACAGAGATGCTATCAAAATAGCGACTCGCCAGTTCTTGCTGCTGGTTTGCCTTCTCAAGGATTCGATCATCGTTGAGAACACCCTCGCCACTCACGAATGCATCTATCAAGGACAACGGAATCCACTCAAAATAGATATTCCTCACGTCTACCGAGACGTTTGAATTGCCAGCTCGAGCGGGGTCGCTGAACGCCTCTACAGACTCCACGCCTTTGACCCCCGCGCTCTTCCATGCGTTGACCACTTCAGCCGGATCATTGTCCTCATGCCTCTCATCATCAATGACGCCGTTCTCACCGTTTACCTTTTCGAGCTCAGAAAGTACAGCAATCTTAGCGGCTGGCGTGATGTGCTTTGTGCTAAGCGCCAGTGGAAGAGACCCGGTCTTGTTGCTGACCCCCTTGGATCTAGAAATCCGGTCTGCGCCCAAAAGAACGATATCCACGCCCTCTGCGGCCACGGCAGCCGGTGCGTCGGCATAGAGGCTGATATGTAACTTCTTATCCGGTGTATCCTTGCACTTCTCTTGGAAGTGTGACAATATAGAAGATGCGATGCTGACGCCCTCGAATAGCGGACGGGACTCGAGGATGCGCAACTCAAGTTTTGATATATCCAAGGAAGTAAAGGTTTCCACGATACTATCACGAATCGTCGAGCTAGCAGACAAGGTAACTATGGTAAGCTTGTCTTTCGACTGCCCGCCAGAAAGGAAATTCGTTCTCACGTAGGATGCAAACATCTCCTTGACCAAATCCGCGCGACTCGTCCGGCTCTTTAAATGATGGTCGATAATCGTGAGCATCCGCTCGAGTTTCCATTCGGAACTTGATTCAAGCTTCCAAACCTCCTCCATCTCTTCCAATATCGCAAGAAGGGCATTCAGCGTCGCCGCGCCCATACTCTCCCGCCCATTCTTGACAAGATGCCACACAGCCAACTCCACATCCTCCCACCACTTCTCCCCGTCCTCTTCCATCCGCGGTTGCATCTGCACAATGAAGTCCCGGAATACCTTTAACGCAATAGAAGTAAGCTCATGCGAGCCACTCTCATGGTCATTCTGCAACTTCTCCAACCCAGCACTCAACGTACTCCCAGCCTCCCCACCAAACTCGCCCTCAAACCACACTCGCCGTAAACTCTCCCTCAGATGCGGAACACCCGTCATCTCAAACCCGTCATCGTTAACCACAGTTGTAGGATCATACCACTCCCACCCCTCATGCTCCCAGTCAATCTCAATCGCATTATCCCCCACTCCCCCCCTCAGCAGAAACCCAAACGGGTGGACAGTCCATTCCCGCTCGACTGCCTCATCCGCGAAGGAGAACGGCTTCCCAAACCGCCAGAGCGTTAACGTAGCCGGACTGAGCTGGGTTTCCTCGGAGAGCTCCCGCCATGCCGCCGTGAGCGGGTTCGGGTCTTTCCGACTGATACTTCCAGAAATGGGCGCGATGTGCTGTCTGTGGAGCGATGATTAGCGTTTCCGGCGGCCTTCGTCCAGAGTAGTCCGTGCGCAAGGTAGACATACTTGTAAGTACTGACTTTGGTGCTCCGCTTGAATAGCGCAACGCGAGGCTTTTCGGATCGCGAATGGGGTAGATGGAAGATGAAAGACGAGACGACGGATCGCCGTTCTAGACTTTGCTTTTGATGCCCCGCCATTCTTGGGTGTGGAGGCCCCGCAGTTGGTGTCGAGGTCTGAGCGTTGAGGCGAAGGACTTCACTTTCTTTGCTTTTTCTGGTAAACGTATTGGATTGATTGTGATGGTTTACAGCTGGCAGGAGTTGATGTTGGTGAGGTTGGTGTTGCTTTGTCTGCTCAATAGTTAGATGGCATCATGACGTAACTGAATTGGCTAAAGCCGGACGCCGCCGTATATCTTGAGCTCCATTTAACGGCTACTTGGAGTAGTGCGTGGCCCGAGCAAATTGCTAGCGTGTTGGGATCTGCATCTAGACTCCTGTCATAATTTCATGGTGAGCTATCATATCAACACGTTGCGTGTTGGGAGTTGACTGGGAAGGTATTTCCGGTGTATTTGGGGTCCCAGCGGTATTATTTTCCTATTGACCTAGCCTGGAGGCCTACGACATACTCCGGGATATCTCCAGAAGTCCAGACCCATTCCAAGAAGACAAGCCGTCAGCTGCATGGGAATATCAAGCCTAGATATAATCATGAGGGTCGGGCGACCCGGGAGAAACCGTGGTTCAAGCCCACCGATAGGTAATACGGCTGAACTTCAGCTGGGAAGAATAGGAAGTATGATTAAAAGAATAGCGTAGAAAACCCAACCAACAGCGCTTTAACGTGTATATAAAAAAGGGGGAAACCCTCGCCAAAAACCGGCATAAAGCCGACAACAAAGCTTCCATGTACTCATCCAATCATGAAATCTTTAAACTCGATCGCTGCTCGATCACGATCTCGGTGCCGATGACGTAGCAGCACAGCTCCGATCCTCCGAGGACTTAGGCAACAGCCTTTTGTTGGGCCCGTTCCAGTTTTGACCGCTTCATTGTCACCCGCAACGGCTCGACGTAGAAGCACAGAATCTGCTGATCGAGACAATGCGAGCAGCGTGGTTTCTGTTGGTCACACTCAACGCCCCAGGCCTGGCACGCGCGACAGGGGAAAGCATTCTCGACGGCGTGGTGGTCGGACGTGCTAGATCGGATCTCGTGGTGCTCCACATCGGCAGTTGGACCGGCCTTTGCGCTAGTGTCTGTAGTTGTAGTTGAAGTAGTCCGGCACGACCATAGCCATTTCGATATCCGAGAGATGAGGTTGGCATCGGATATCGAGGACTTGGGGGCGAGGCCGTATCTTGGGGGCTGTTTGACTGGCGTCGTGGTTGTTGTTATTGTGTGTGGGCGCATTGTGTGTGTGTGGACTGGACTGGACGCAAGGGATTAGCGACGACAGTTTGAGTTTCCGAAGGGGAGAGACTCACAGTTTAGATAGTAGCGCTGTCGGTCATTCTCTTACCAGCTTCAACGACAAAGCCGCGAGACAAGGTGGTGGATGCGAAGCCGAAGAGGTCCCCCCATACCAAACAAGCAACAACGGGGCAGTCAAGGCGTTACATAGGAACGAGGAAACGAGAGCTCAAAGACGATCGGGCAGCGAGATGAGAGATTAAATGAAAAAAGGGAGAAGTCAGGAATGCCAGCACATCGCAGCGGGACCCGACTCGTTGAAAAGCGATCAGCCTGACCAGCGCACTTTGCAGCTGCAGGAACGCACAGACAGCCTCCGTCAAGCAAACCTTCCTGACTCGGAGCTGCCTCTGGGGACGTTTTGCTTGTGTTTTCCATGTCATGCCATTGGGGCAGCCAGTCAGAGCGGGCCGCCGACAGGGCTGGGCATGTCAGCCGACAGGCGTTCCATAGGTCGGCTGAGACGCCCGGAGTCGCCAAAAAGGCTAAGCAGAAGCCCACTTGGGAGGGTGAAATTCTCGAGGTATCTGTGCGATCTGATGATGCCGGACTAGCCGGGCATCCAACCCAGCAATCATGTCGGCTGGAATTGGTGCTGTGCAGATCCAGTTGTGTCAGGATGCGGTGGAAGCTATAGCTGCTCGTATTATTCCAGCGTTGCACAAGCGGTTACGGCAACTTGATGTAATACTAACTTCATGAGCAGGGCCCATTATTCTCCGGGTTGATTCCTGACCGCACTGGTGAATCGTTTCTATACAATGACAAGAGATGCTCGGCTGCCACACCAAACCCCTGCAAGGCTGGTGGCTAGCCAGCTATCTCCAACATAGAATGCTACCCAATAACAATCACGTCCTCCCTTCCCACGCGTTCCTTAGGAATTCCTCAACTGTAACCAACTTAAGATCCGAAAGCCCATTAGACCGAATGGCAGCAGGAAAGTCAAACAATTTCTCAATAATGAGATTGTCCACAAATGCCGTCGCCTCCACCAGTTCCTGCTGGCTATACCCATGGCCCTCCGGCTGAGGCGGAACATTAACATCGCCCTCCTTGACCTTTTCCGCACTATCATACACCACCTTGAATTTCCTCCCTGATTGAATTAGCATCGCAAACCCTACAAAATACGGATAGATATAATGAAACAAAAAAGAACTTACCCCTAATCCTTTCCCCAACCTCGACCAACTGATTAAATGTAACCTCATCCCCAACAACAACACTAAACTCCTCCCAGTGCTCAACCTCCAACAACCGCGCGATAAACACCGCCATGTCATATGTATAAGTCATGCAGATCACATCGTTCCCGTCGCCCGGGATAACAGCCTCGCAGCTCTGCATGTCGACTCCGAAGGTCATCGGATTAAGATTAGTGCGCGCGTGCGGCATTCCCCAGTAGTCCATAAAGAAGCCCGGGATCACGCGCGTGAACTGCAGTGTTTTTGAACTTCTGAGCTGGTTTGCCGCGTCCAGAAAATACTGAATGCTTGGGTCGATGGGGAGGAGGCTAGAATAAGTCACTTAGCATCATGCCCTCTAATTGCTGCGCGAAGAATAGAAAGGATGTGAGATATAGATACGTACTCCTCCGTTTGGATAAATGAGTATTCACTCGGAATGAACCTCCTCGTCGAGGACGCATCCTCGGCTGCTTTGATGAGGTTCAGCTGCGACACGCTATGCTCGTCCTCGAAGAGCGATAGTGCCGAGATAACAATGTTGACTTTGTGCTCTTCGAGGATCTGAGTGAGTGACGCGATGTCCGAGTAATCGACTTCAATCTGTTTTGCGCGGTTGAGGATTGCATCATTTTCGCGTGCCTGTAAGAAATGTTAATGATAATATGAGACCCTGGACCATGTCCAGGAATTGAAAGGAGTCTAAGATACCTTGCGTGTAAGCACAACGACGTCGTGCTTGGCTTCTTGTGCGAGGACGTCAACGATAGTCTTGCCGACGCCGCCCGTGCCTCCAGCGACAGCAACAACGGGCATTCTCCTAGTGGTTACAGGATGTGACACAAATAAGGTGATTACGGTTACACGATGGCTCGCGCCGGTTTTGTGTTACTGCGGAGAGTATCGAGGACTGGACACTGAACAGCGGGAGATTTTGTATTACCCCGCCATAAGTAGCTAATCGAGTTCGGACAAACCAGACAACAGATCTCGACAAGAAGCAAATATTAAGCGCACCCTATTTAAAGTGGGGTGATAAGCAAGCTGCAGAAGCGTCTGTGGGTCAAATGTAGGCCTCCAAACGTCCACGGTCTATTCATAAACTACTATAGGAGAGAAATATCGACAATATTGGACCGAGATATGCAAAACTATCCAAGTGAATAATAACTGCGCTATAATATATAGCAAAAGTATGATCAGAGAACATTAAGTGGAAGGTTGAGCCTCCATGCATTGCTTTTAAATCGTAAAAATATGCCCGTCCTGCGTTGAACACTCCGGCCTGGGCTGTTCTGGCGTATTTTGTCTATAACGTAGCGAATTCTTTCAGGTAAACAACAAGCTTGTCAATTCCGGACTCGGGAATGGCGTTATAGTTTGAAACGCGGATGCCTCCCACGCTTCTGTGGCCTTTCATGCCGGTGATGCCGCGCTCAGTACCGCCCTTGAGGAAGGTCTTTTCGGCTTCGTCGATGTTCCCGTTCTACAGATGGTCAGTGAATATTTAATAAATAGGGAGATGGGTGACCGTACCTTGAGAACCCGGAAGCAGATGTTCATGCGCGAGCGCACAGCCTTGTTTGGGACAATACGGTAGACTTCCGGATAAGCCTCCAGAGTCTCGTAGACCTTGCGTGCTTTCCGCTCAGCAACGGCCTGCTGTCCGTCGACCTTGTCGGGGAAGTCATTCAGGAGCTTCTTGATGACCTGTCCGGCGACGTATACGCTGAAGACGTGTTAGCTAACCAGCTATACCAAGCGATATCTCGAACTTACTCGAAGATGCTGAGGGTGTTGTAAAGACTGTTGTTCTTCTGGCAAACAGAGTAATCAAGGATGGTCGGCGCAACAGGCAATCCGAGCTTCCGCAGGATAGCCGGTGAGCACGGAGGAGAAACAGGTGGGAGCAGGCTCTTGCGAATGATAACACCAGTGATACCGGCCATACCCAGGTTCTTCTGAGCTCCAAAGTAGACGATAGAGAAGTTCTCAAATGGGATGCGCCTTGAAAGAATGGTAGACGAAAAGTCTCCAATCACAATTGGGTCGTCCTCCGAGCCCTTCGACTCAAGGACCTTGGGGAAAGCGGGATACTCGACACCGTCAACAGTCTCGTTCTCGCAGAGATACACCATCGCTGCCTTGGGGCTCAGCTTCCATGTCGACTCGTCGGCGATCTTGCCGAACTTCCCGTCGTTAGCTGTGCGCGCGTCGCTGGCAACGTTCACATATTCGGGTCCGAGGACTCGGACTGCCTCCTGGCTGGCCTTCAGCGACCATCTATAGCAACATTAGTACAAAGCGTCTTGCTGCAATCGACGAGAATACGTACGATCCAGTAACCAAATAATCCAACCGGAACTCCGCCTCGACCTTCTTACGCAGCTCCGCAATGACATCCTGCTCTGAAATGTCGGCCTTCTCCTTCAGGATCTTCTGTCTCTGCCTCTCAACCCAGATCGCGGTGAGGTTGTATACCGTCGCATCGAATTGACCGGAGCCACCACCTAATCACACCCATCATATTAGTATACGTCGGTGGAAGTCCCCCATAACGCTCCGGAATCGGTCTTGCGCACCCTGCATGATCAAAATCTCAAACTCGTCCGGGATGTCGAGGAAGTTCGCCAGATCCGCTTTCATAGTATTCAAGATACCAGACGCCAACTCGCTGCGATGACTGTGTTCAGCCACGCCCCTATGAAGAACAAAGTCAAGTTAGCAGGTGAGCTCTTGCTAACAACCAAGTAGGTAGGTAGGTAACTAGGTGAGGGGCAGAGCTTACAATCCGGTGTCCTCATAGTTCTGGAGAGCCTCCGCGGCGGTCGCAAGGACGTTTGTAGGTAGGGCGGCAGGGCCAGCACCCAGATATGTAATGTCCTCTCTCTTCATTGTCACAATTGACTCAATTGGTTGTGTCTGGGATACTCGTGAGGAAGAAGCGGGCGGGAATGTTTTTTTGGGCCCCTCCCATGTGACTCACTCCGATATCGTATCTCCACGTGATCTGCCCCGCTTTGGCCAATGAGGTGCTCTCTAGCTACAGAGATGCTGTATATTTACAATGAAATATGCAAGTTCCAGATGTCCGAACCCGAGGAGTATATGAATTAGAATTTTTACCCTGGGAACAAGAGGCATAACTGTTTAATGGACCTTTCACTTAAGTATTGTTATGTCATATATATTTGGGATGTGCTGATAACAATATTTAATCACAGCTACCCAATAGTCCACTTCTTCCTCACCCATTGAGCCGATTCATCGTCCTTTTCCAATTCCTCTATTCTCTTCTCCAGCACCTCCAGATACGCAAGGTACTCAAACCGGTACACCACATTTTCCTTCTCAAGGTCCTCATTAGAAGGCCCTGAAACGATTGCAGCCGGCATCGGAGTCCAGGGGGCCAGGGTCCCGATGGCATCCCAGAACAACACGTACAGCTGGTCATAATCAGAGCTCTCGGATTCAAACTCAGACTCTGTTGTGACATTACTTATGCCCTCATCATGTCGTATGATCTCGAATGTGGCCACCATCCCATTCCCCAGCTCGGCAGATACGGTTGCGCGTTCAAGCTGCTCCCTTGTATAATGCGCCGGCAAAACCAAAGCATTGTAATCAACGACAAATCCATCTTCGGTGACAAGACCAGGGGTCATATCGTCAGATTTAACTTTCAGTCTATTTGCACCGCAATTCCCAAATCGATTGATGGCCCATCGCCAACCGCGCTGCCTCATCCTCGGTCCAGCGAGAAACAACATACCCTGTGGGAGTTGGGACTCAGTTGATAGCAATGCTTGCAAATGGTCTTCGAATGGAAGCCCCTTTATCAAAGACGTGTCCCACCCGATCAAACTTGCAAAGCAGAGCATTTCATCCCGCTCTTTACTTGTTGAGCGGTACAAGGCAGCACTGAAGGCTTCCATGATCGCGAAGCACCGTTGTGCTTCAGGACTCGTGATACTAGTTTCCGTGCGTTTTACCAGGCGCGGATCAGGCTCTGAGATGACATTGATTCGAAGGAGGCGGAATTTCCAATGGAAATTATCTGCATCGCGCCTGGGAGTTCCAAATGACCCACTGATACCGGCCATTTCAGACCCATAATTCTCCTTCTGCTCTTTCTCTGCCCGTTCTTGGACCTCTAGGAATCCGTCTGAGAATTTAATGCACAGTTTGTTTGCGAGGACTCCTTCGTTGAGGGTCCAGAGACGTCGCATCCACGCGGATAGTCGGATACGCATGAATGACTGGGTATAGTCACTGGAAGGGAATGACTGAATGTCAGCATCAAGAACCAGAACGCGGAATGCCCGCTCATAGACAGCCTTCATCGACTTGATGGCCTTTGAGCGCAGTTCGCGGTATTCTTCTGCCACGGGGATGCACATGGTGTCCATCCAGAATAAAAGCGATGGCCCATGGAACTTCTTCTTCCAGAGCTCTTTGAAGGCTAACCTATTGACGAGATCAATAGAGCGCATCCCAGATACCAGATCGTCTAACAGGCCATGGATACGCTGCAGCTGGCATTGGGGCAGAGTATTCGCTGAGGGATTCCCCAGTCCATCAGACCACACGTGCGAAAAGGCAATGTATCGCTTATTTTCGGTGTATCGCTCCACCTCAACTTTGATATACGGTTCCTTCTTGATCGGCGTGATGGATAGCAACGGGATATACCCATCTTCAAGTATGGCTACCACGTCTTCAATTTGCGGGCCATAGTGCTGACAGTCACATTCTGCAGTTGTATGAGGTGTAGGACAATGTGCTGTACGGTACGTTTCCTCGTTAAGTTGCCGCGCCATACACAAGCTCCTCGTACACTCGGAATGATCCTTCTCCACTGAAGAAGGCGGGGGCTTCAATTCAGATGCATAATGCGCCGACGTAGAGGTGAACGTCTCTCCAACCATGGCGACTTCGCTCGTACACCACCCAGCCTCCTGCATGCGCCTGAGCGGAAGCCAAGCGCAAGGGAACTCCAAGCCTGCAGTCGAAGAACCAAAGACGAGATTCATCGCGCCTGATGCAAAGCTCAAGGATAACCGCTGGCTCAATGCTCTGATAGAGAGGTCAATCTCAGGCGATAGAGGCCACACTCTGAATCCCGGGCGAGGGTCCCCTTCACAAGTCGTAAAACGACAGAACCGGGATACAGTCCTGAGACACTTTTCGACGCGATGTCCAACGGCATGCGCAGTTTCCTTGTCACTTTGTAAAGTGGCGTTGATGAAGGATATGAGCTGGAGGGTCTGTTCATCGAGCGAGGCGAGGGTAATGGTGCCATTCGGGTAGCCCTCTTGCGGCTGGATGTAGTGGTGCTTTGCACCCCTGCCAATCGGACCGAATACTTCCCACAGAACTCCGAAGAAGAGCCAGTTCTGGAGGAAGGATGCGGCATCCTCGTGCTGGGAGAAGTCTCCTGCTAGTACCCGGTCGATGTCCCAGCCTGCACGCTCTGGATACGTTAGGAAGTCGGGGTCGTCATAGGGTTCCGGGCTGAGACATGGAATCAGCAAAGGAGGAAATGGAGAGTCTGGGGGTGTCTCTACGTGATCCATTATGCGTGTGGTACAGGATTAGGAATTGGTGGAAGAGATGGTGCTGGTGGTGAAGATAAAGCTGAGAGAAGGTGGGGGCGCACGTTAAGCGCTAGGAATTTCAGCTGCCCAGCTCCCCAGCCTTCAGCTTCTCTGACGGGGAATTATTTATTTGAAACCGTCTGACGGGGCCAAACCAGGGTAAATACTGACAAGTATCCCCCAGAGTCTCTATCAATGGTTTTGCTGCAACCTTCGAACATTCAGCATGCGATAGATGCTACAGATGCTGCTGCTGCAGACACAACACACTAGGCTAAAGACGCATACCAATTTGACAGGGCTACTTTAGTCTCTCGCGGACTCATCTAGTGTGTCCGATAACTGGCGGAGTTCATCCCATCTCTCCCTTTCCTTGTTGGACAGCCTACCCGGAAAGAAGGTGTCCAGCATCGCCTGGCCAGTACGAGGATAGGCCTGCTCTACTGCAAATAGAGTATCCATGACTCCAGCCGCCCCTATAACCTCTTTAAATACGAGTGGAACACCAAAAGACTTTGGTTGGTGTGGCCATCCTGCAAGCAGGATGATCTCAAACATCCCGAGGCCTCCGGTAGCCAGCAAGAACCAAGTATTCTGCTGAAGAACCGCGGCCACAATCAGGAGCACTATCCAGAGCGTGGATAGCGCCATGAGGATGGGCGTCATCGCCGACGCCCGAGATACGTCTATATCCATAGGCCCGCTAGCGAGGTCTTCCAAGTCTAATCCCTGGCCTGTGCCAACGACAACTATAGCATGTTGAGACCCGTTGCCACGAGTGAGAATGACGGACTTGCTGGAATTGTGCCGACAACACCACTTCTCCTGCTGCCATTGAGGAAGACTAGCTGTCGTAATTGAAAGGATAATCCCAGCGTCAGTGACAAGCAATATACCCCAATCACCCCATATCCCAAGCGGGATAGCAGAAATGCCTAGCTGAAGAACCGCCATGTAGCAAAGCAGATCATAACCAGCATACCCATGCCGGGCCGGCGCAGCGTCGAAAACCGAGACGCAGACCAGTCTTTGACGGGCGGGGAATACTTTCTGAAGCGCCTGGGTGCTCTCGGTGGGCGTCATGACGAGCCCTTTCCCATCGTTGATCTCACGTCCTGTTCAGCTGGCGATGGATTGGCCCGTCTGGATGTCCATTATCCAGCTAGACTTCAAATTCGCGTAGAATCCTGCCCAGGATCCAACTGCAGTTCTCCCGAATAGTTATAGTCTGAGCGCGCATTGACGATCAAACACGGACTGTCTGGGGCAGGCATCAGTCTACGGTCCCCAATTACGGACAGCAGTGCTGCCACAATATATGCGGCCCATCCTGCGAAATTTGGGGGTTAGACTCAGACGGCGACGCAGCAACAGGAGATCTTGGAATAGGGTTACGAACCGAAAGAGAACGAAACGGGGGTGAAGGCTACCAGCACTATGCTAAACATCCTTTATTTTGATTAGTCGTTCTTTACCCTGTTAAGGCTAGACTGTTGGCCCAGGCATGTACATTCTGATAACATTATCGTATCGTTATATCGAATCAGTCTAACGAGATATAATAGCTCGACGTTGAAGTAGAGGCCTTTGGCCAGCATTATGGGAGTAGCCACAGTCTTGGTTATATGGTGAGATATGTGGAGCAAATGTCTTCCCAAGCAGCCAACGTAGTGAAGGAGATATGCAAGCCTTCGATGCAGGGTCCATACTGTTAATCTCCAATTTGGGGATGGGCGAACGACTTCGATCCAGGTAAAAGTACTTAGGTGCAATCTCTTTCGAGCAACTGATTGTAGCGACGGGAGGAATCTTACCAGGCTGTTCTGTCCTATTTTGTTTTAATTGCCATCGCGCCTTCCTGTAGTGCTAAGAGGCAGAAGCGAGGAAGGTGTGATGGACATAAGAGGCAATGGGTTGCGCTTTCCCTGTGGGAACATTATTGCAGAGGAAGGCACGACTGCCGGCAAAATAGGCAGGAGCGACTGTCATGGAATGCCTAGGTTATTCTTCAACGTGCCAGTTTATTTTCAACAGTACTTTTTATGGCCCCATTTATGCATGCAGATCTCAAATTGTGAATCTCGGGGCACCGGAGAAGCCACTAAAATGTCAGATAATCTTGGCCAGGCACGGAGCCTGGAACACAAGATACACCACTTCACGAACCACAACCCATTTTCGTAACCCTGATTCCGCTCATGATGAAACTGTGGGGATAGCTCGAGGCATGGAGCCTGGGACAGCAGGTGTGGAGGCCACTGAAGGGCAGATTTAGCGCGGATTAGCGGGTGCAGCTGTGCTCATCTCTACAACGTAGTTATCATTCTACCCCCGACTTTATAGTTCTTTGCTCCCAGCAGCAGCCATGTCCAATTCAACAAAGTCCACCGCAAACTGGTCAGGATGGCGACCGTCACTGTAACCAGAACCGTCCCCCCTTCTCCTTTTCTCGACAACCTCGATCGGACTCGCTGGAGACTCAAAAACGAGAATGGCCGGCATACATGGCACTATCTCGAAGACGACGAGGCCGCTCGTCGCTGGCCGCAGACCCTGGCGGATAAGTACTACTTAGGGCTTCCTGTGGTATACTTCCAACACAACAACGTCGTAGCCTGGCACAACTGACCTCTGCAGAACCAACCCACCCTCCCAAAGCCAGAAACGCCGCTGGACGCCGTCAAAAATGGCTTCACCTTCTTCGAAAAACTCCAGCTCGCTCCCGGAAACTGGGGGTGTGAATACGGCGGACCCATGTTCCTACTCCCGGGGTTCGTCATCGCCTGGACCGTAACCAACACACCTATCCCACCCGCCTACCGCACCGAAATCCGTAACTATCTCTTCGCTCGCGCCCATCCCCAGGGCGGCTGGGGACTACACGTCGAAGGCGAGAGCACCGTCTTCGGCACAGCCCTCAACTACACAGCCCTGCGGTTAATCGGCGTAGACGCAGAACATCCCATCATGGTGAAAGCGCGCGGCGTGCTCCACAGGCTCGGCGGCGCCGTGAACGCACCTCACTGGGCGAAGTTCTGGCTTGCCATTCTCGGCGTTTGCCATTGGGATATTGTGAACCCTGTCCCGCCGGAGACGTGGCTGCTGCCGGACTGGGTGCCCCTTGCGCCCTGGCGGTGGTGGGTGCATATGCGTCAGGTATTCCTGCCCATGTCCTGGATTTGGTCGAGGAAGTGGACGGCGCCTGAGACGGCCGTGGTGAGGGAGTTGAGGAAGGAGTTGTTTGTGCAGCCGTGGGAGAGTATTGACTGGGCGTCGTGCCGGAACGAGATTGCTGATGTTGATAACTATCATCCGAAGTCGTGGGTGCTTAATACTGTGAACTGGGTGCTGGCTGATGTCTGGTGTCCTTATCTGCGGCCGCGCAGCTTGGTGAAGCGGGCGGAGGACTGGGTGAGTAGGCTTGTTGATATGGAGGATGCGAATTCGGATTACTCGGATCTAGCGTCTGTCAATGGGCCGATGAATTTTATTGTCTGCTATATTCGGGATGGGCCGGATGCGTACTCCGTTCGGCGGCACCGCGAGAGGCTGGAGGACTTCTTGTGGGTGAATAGCGAGGGCATGCTGGCAAACGGAACGAACGGGGTGATGTGCTGGGATACAGCATTTGCTATCCAGGCGGCGCACGCAGCTGGTCTGGCTGAAGACCCGCGCTGGAAGCCCATGCTCACCCGGGCTCTGGAGTTCCTCGATGACCAGCAGATCCGCGAGAACTGCGAAGACGCTGGAGTCTGCTACAGATCGCAACGGAAAGGAGGCTGGACGTTCAGTAACAAGGAGCAGGGATACCCCGTTAGTGACTGTATCTCGGAGGCACTGAAGTCAGTCATCCTTCTGCAAAAGACACCAGGATACCCCCAGCTACTAGACGACCAAAGGATTTTTGACGCAATCGATACCCTTCTCACATACCAGAACGCATCTGGTGGCTGCTCATCATATGAGCCGACCAGGGGAAGCGAGCACCTCGAGATGTTCAACGCAGCTGAGGTATTCGGACGCATCATGATCGAGTACGACTATCCCGAGTGTACAACAGCAGTAGTGACTGCCATCTCTCTTTTCACTAGCCACTGGCCTGACTACCGAGCGGCTGAGATCCAGTCATTCGTCCAGGGCGCGTTGAAGTATATCAAGGCCGCTCAACGCCCTGACGGAAGTTGGTACGGCAGCTGGGGAGTCTGCTTCACATACGGCACAATGTTTGCACTCGAGAGTCTTGCATCAGTAGGAGAAACCTACCACAACAGCGCCGATGTCCGAAGGGCATGCGAGTTCCTCATTTCCAAGCAGCATAGTGACGGCGGGTGGTCTGAAAGCTTCGAGGTAAGGACCGTTTCAAACGCAACAGAATTTCCTACTAACAGCCCACAGAGCTGCGAAAAAGTACAGTACATCGAGCATCCCACCGGCTCGCAGATAGTCCAGACCTCATTTGCGCTCATTGGGCTTATGAAGGCGGACTATCCGTTCGTGGACCCGATCAAGAAGGGCGTCCAGCTGATTATGGACCGCCAGCAGCCTAACGGCGAGTGGCTACCTGAGGCGATTGAGGGCATCTTCAACAAGAGCTGCGCGATTACGTATCCGAACTACAAGTTTATCTTTACGACGCTGGCGATGGGCATGTTTTCGAGGAAGTATTCTAAAGAGCTGCAGTAGGATCATGTATAGTACAGAGTATCCTCAGGACCACGGATCAAACCACCCAGACTACCCAGACTCAGCTACATTTGATGGAATAATGCTCGCACTCCATAATGACTCAGTTGAAATGACACCCGTTCTTCACATTCGGACCGAGGCCCTTATTGCTCGCACGCTAAATCCACTAGCGCCCCAGCTGTCCAGACAGACCTTCACCACTGAGTCGCCGCCGCTGACACCGTTCTCCATCCCAGAATGACGCAGCCTACGCCCTCGTTCGGGGCGGATCGACCGGTACGGGCTCAATACGCCTGATCCACAGCCTGGACGGAGTGTCAGCGATGCGGAGATGGAGGAGAAAGGAAGACAACGTTCCGATCTCACACCACCTCCGTCAAATAAATCAACGGGTCCTGATTGGCCAGCAGGCCTGACTCGGGGTATAGACTCAACATCTGTGACGGTCCTTCGTGGTTACTGCTGTAGCTGGGCTCTATAACGCTTGCCGCTTATGTTTTGAGCTGTATCATGGGACTAAACTACTGAGGGATCTCCGATGCGTATGCCGTATTCTTGTTCTCGCCGAGGGATGCCTTGAAGATCGGACTTGGATATATATGGCTGTGCCCGCATTTACTTTACCACCACTGGAGAATGCCTATATCTATGAATGCCATGGTCTGGAAAATTCCGTCTTTCATCAAGCTAGCTCCTCCATAATCTAAAGAAAAAAGTCCCAAATCATCGACATCCGGAACGATCTACCTCTGCGCCTCGGAATATCACCCGGACATGGGCATGGACACCCCCGATGACTATCACAACAGACCTTCTATCCTGGCTCCAACATGACAAGGCCACCTCCGACCCGCGAGTCTCTCTCGCCCTCCTCGCAGCCGCCTTTTTCGTCCTCAACTTCCTCTTCTTACTCACATACCTAACTATAATATACCCCTACTTCTACAGCCCATTCCGCCACCTCCCCAGACCAAAGGTACCTACCACCTCCCTACCCCACGAAGCCCAAAAGAGGACAATACTAACACAAACTGTAGGGCGAAATCCCTCTCCTGGGCCAACATACAACCCCCTACAGCAAACCCCTCGGCTCAACATACCTCCAGTGGATGCTCTCAACGCCCAACCAGGGACTAATAACCTACCGCAGCATCCTAAACCAAGACCGACTGCTGGTTACATCGCCCAAAGCAATCGCCGAGGTCCTAGTGCACAATACATATGCCTACACGAAACACCCTAACGAACGCTCCGTTATCCAGCGGTTCCTGGGGAACGGGCTTACGATCTCAGAGGGCGAGGAGCACAGATTCCAGCGCAAGGCTATGACACCTATCTATGCATTGCGGAATATCAGGTCTTTTTATGGGTTGTTTTGGGCGAAGGGGGTTGAGTTTGTTAAATGTCTTGAGGGGAGGGTTTCCTCCTCCACTGATTTATCTATACATGGTGGGACTTACGGAGTCGAGGAACTGAACCAGTGGGCGAATCGGACGACGATGGACATCATTGGTCTTGCGGCGCTGGGACGGGACTTTGGATGTCTTAGCAGCGACGGGGTGGAGAGAGACCTGTTCCAGACGTATCAGGAGATCTTCACCTGGGCGCCGGAGAAGGATGTCTTTATGGCGCTGAACCGGGTCCTGCCGAGGACGCTTGTGCAGTGGTTGCCGTGGAGGGTGAATGAGCGGATCTATGTTACGAGTGCGACGCTGAGGGACGCTTGTCGGGGGCTGGTGACGGGCAAGATGGATGAGTTTCGGCGGCTTGGTGGGCAAGGCGAGGATTTGATATCGAGGATGATGAGGTTAGGTGGGTGGGAGGCTGAAGGGTTGGTTGAGCAGCTGCTTACAATAATCGCTGCTGGGTATGTTCAGGTAGTTCCATATTGTTTGCTGTTAGGGTTACTAACAAACGGTGTAGGCATGAAACGTCGGCATCGGCATTTACCTGGGCATGCCACCTCCTAGCCCAGAACAAGGATGCGCAGGAACGACTGCGAGCTGAATTGCGAGAGGTTATACCATCGCTACTCAACCAAGATCCCGCATCCGATACCCTCGCAAACATACTCGAGAACCTCCCCTACCTCAACGCAGTCTGCAACGAAGTCCTCCGCTTCAACCCCCCCGTCCCCCTCATCCGACGAGTCTGCACCACCCCAACAACAATCCTAAACCACCCAATACCCCAAGGAACACAGGTCCTACTCTGCCCCTACGCTCTAAACCGTAGTCCCGAGCTCTGGGGCCCCGACGCCGGCCAATTCAAGCCAGAGCGCTGGATCAACCCTGAAACAGGCAAAGCAAACAACGATGGAGGAATGGTCAGCAACTACGCCAACCTGACCTTCTCACACGGCCCCAGGAGCTGCATCGGACAGAACTTTGCGAAAGCAGAGATGCGAGCGCTAGTTGCGGTTTTTGTCTCCAGGTTCAGGTTTCAACTGGCGAGACCGCTGGAGAAGATTGTTCCTGTTGGCATTGTTTCTGTGAGACCGAAGGATGGGCTGTATTTGAAGATTGAAAGGGTGGAAGACGATTGAACTTTTTATCCTTGGCCATTAGCTATCATTTCTACGGAGGAACTGAGAGCGGATGCAGGTTCCTTGCAGAACAATATCATGATACCCGAACATCCTAATTTGGAAATCAGAAGAGTTCTTTCTAGGAAGGAACAATGGGCTCCATCGTAGTTTCCTTGCTAGGGAGGGTTTCTAGTAAATCTATTAGGAAGGCACAACCACAGACACGAGTGAAATGGAAGGAGCGACTGGCCTTGTGGGCTGATCTTTCCCTTAATTAAACTTCCACCGGCAGAGATGAAAAGGAAGGCACGATCGAGGCTTGCCAGTGTTCACCAAAGGAAGGAGCTTTGATTAGGGTATGTATTTATGTTCCTACAATGAGAATCAAGGATCCCTGATTCGCTGAGCTTATTACTTTGTATATTGTAGTTCTGACCTCGAAGTAAACAGATAAAATAATTAAAACTCCGAGCTGACGAATCAGATAAGATGCTCACAATAGCTTTATCTGCATGGGCTGGACCGGCCCAGGCCCTATGTAAGTATCTCATCCTGGCGTCATCGTGGCGAGACCACCAAAAACAAGATATAAGACGCCTAAAAGAACGAACTCTTATCTACACAGGAATATCAGAAAAAATGCCACCCGGTAGTTTAAACCTTGGAACACGCTCGAAGCCAGCGAACCCAGCGCGGTGAGATCAGTCCATAGAATCGTTGTATCGTCCCAACTAACGTCAAATGAACGAATGCCGAACAGGTCTACCCGAAATACAGCCTTCCTGAGTATCTTCGGCGTTATTGCGACCGGGTATGCGCTGCTGCGATATCAAACTCTACGGAACGGACTTTTAGAAGAGGAGGATGTTGCACATTCCACGGGGGAGGCGAAGATTGGACGGTCCAAGTTTGTTTCGCAGAAAGATGTAAACGCCACGATGGGAGATCCACCAACTGGGCAGGGTCATGTTGCGCGGTCGCCGAGGAAGGCGTCGAATCGTGAGGACTTTTGACATTGTTATAACATGAATCATAGTACCAGAAGCTAAGGGAACAATATCCACAAGGGATATAAAAAGTACAATGATAGTTCCAACGGCACCATCATTAGATATTCAGCCTTCTAATTTCAGATTGGCAAATAAACCCCGCATCGATTGCCTTTTGCTCTCCTTGTTGTATTTTCTTGCAGACCAAGCTCGCTTGTGGGAGGCCCAGTCAATTATCGTGAACAGCCAAGAGCAGATAACAATTGGGCTGGTAGTCCCCAGGTTACAACCGATGTCGTGCTGTAAAGCTTGGCAGGCTTGGATTATTGATAGTCGTCTTGGCTTAGATCTGATGATGCTGCGCCATGTTTGTCCCTGAATATCACGACTATTCTTTACCGCGAGGAGTATAGCATGCCGTCGATCACTGCTGTCACATTGGAATATCCATGTCGATGTGCCAGAAAACTTCTTTTAAGCGAGTAATTCGGTGATAACTGAACAGATATTAAGTAGAATTAAAGAATTAGATACAATGTCACTCGGTAGTCAATGGCCGTCCAAGATCTTCACTCCAAATATCTTCGTGCTGATCTGTCCACCCAGCTCCAACCAAAGCCCAGTGATTAATCCATAATATATACAACACAGATGCCCAACATCAGGAGGGTGAATCAGCTTATAGAACGGAAGCAGCGAGGAGGACAACGCCAGAGGCGAGCATAGTATAGCTGGGGATGAGGGAGTTGGCCGCGCCGGTGTCATCTACACAGTTGAAGGGTCAATTAGCCTGCAATTCTCTAGATGAGATCCATGGAAGGGATAGAAACTTACCGCCGCTGCTGCTGCTGCTGCTGTCACTGCTGCTGTCGCTGGACTTGCACTGGTTCTGCAAGTCACGGAATCGCTCGTTGTAGTCAGTGAGCTTGCTGATGGCGGTGGTCAGGTCCTTGGTGTCGCAGCCGTCCTTGAAGCAAGACTGCAGCTTGCTGGACTCAGACTGGGCCTTGGAGAAGGTGTCCTGGACACCGCAGAGGCAGTCCACGGTGGCCTCGTCGGGGCTGCCGCACTCTTCCTCGAAACCGATGTTCGTATAGAAGTCATCGAGACACGTCTTCACGCACTGGGGCACGTCGCCCAGAACATCCTGCCAGGTGCTAACTTCAGCAACGGCGGCGGAGGCAAGGCCGAGGAGGGCAACAGCGGAGACACGCATGATGAGGGATATTAAGGTATCGGAAAGGACAGTGGGAGCACTAGCGGCTGGGATGTGGGTATAAAGAGCGAGAGAGGGAATGCAGATAGAACTGGGTAAAGAACTGGATGGAGTTGCGGCTCACAGATGGTTTATATAGGGCTGTTTCACTTTCCACTTTCCATCTTCTACCCGTGTCTCTATTTTCGCACTTCCTTCGCTTCGAGTTTACGAGCCCCCACTGCTCTCTTCGCTCGCACCTTGTATCTACAAAAGGGAATGCCAAGGGCGATGGTCTGTTGTTGGAGATTGTGATCCAGTCAAACACGAGGTGGGTCAGGGTCTGCTGGGGCTTACCAATTTGACGGCCCTTCACCGGCGAATGATTCTCGTCTGCTAAAAAAGGTTGAGACCCTTGATGTGCCTGGTGCCTGAGAGTGGATTGCAAGGGACGCCATTCGCGGTGTTCTCGTATTGTCTTGTCGATGGCAATCTCACAACCTCCAACTCTTCTTAGCTTCTTTTCACCAGCGCACATGGGCTGGCCGAGGATGGCCCTTCATTTCAGCAGAAAACGGGAATGTTTTCCGCTGAGTAGCTGTTCGAGAGTACCAATATTCCACTCTGGCTCGAAGACAAACGCGGGAATATGGTGAGGGCATTCGAGTCCAGATCGAGAGATAATCTATGCAACAGGCAGCGCTCTGGTTGCCTGGTATCAGCCCGTCTGGTGGAGTTCCCTTTTAGAGCCGATCTGAAGGCATCACCTTGGCCACTGGTCAGAGCTTTCCGCTTCCCAACGAACCAAAAGATTCAGCCGTCCTCATTCACGGACCTCCAGGCTTCATCTTGGCGGCGAGCCTATCCTGGAGAAGATGCGCACCGCTCCATCTTCGAATTCCGTCCCTTGACAAGTGGTAGTGGAACAGGAACCCTTAAGTTACGGCTCCGTCACCCCTAATGGAGATGGAATTAAAAACGTTGAGTTTGGATATTCCCCTCGGAAACCTAGTTCCAGACCCTGGACTAGTTGTGGTGCCGACCCAGATACCGTATATCCTGTCAGCTGTAGCTGTAGGAGATACGCCAATATGCTGCGCATTAAGCCGGGTATGTTAAGATAATAATATGGGTTGCAAAAATATGGTCACATAAGGATCGATACGGATTGATGCCCGTATTAACCGTGTTAGAATTTAAGGCGCAAATATATTCACGCGGCTGGCTACCTGTTACTGGAAAAAGTGTCTGGCTGATCCTCACCTACAACCAACATGAAACACCATCAATTACCCGCTATCATATCCGTATCGCATATATACAAGGCCCATCACACTGCCAAACCACCGTCTACCTCCGAACCTTGTATAAGGCCGTCTCCCCCAATAGCTTCGTGTACTGCTGATGCAACCAAACAATATGCGGGGGCATGGGCTGTCCCTCAGCCTTGCCCAATCCCTGGTAGAAGCAGCTCTTGAGACCGAACTCCGCGACTCCCTCCTCGGGCTTGACAACGGCGGAGATCTCAAAGAGGCCGTCGGAGCCGCGCACGTCCTGGCGACGGGGCGAGTCGCCGCAGCGAACGACAATGCGGTCGGATGTCTTCTCGACGACTTCGAAGTGGTCGGTGATCAAGGTCCCAACATCATAAGTCGAGTTTGAGAGTTGCTCGTTGGACCAGAGGTGCGATGCGGTGTCGGCGGCTTCGTACTTGCGGGAGAGGTAGGATCGTTGGAATGCGTATCCTGTTTGAGTCAGTCGTTAGCATCTTCATTCGGTTCTATTCAATTCGCGATGTAATGATCTCCACAAAGATCAATGACGTACCCCAGCCGCTCCAAACACCGGCGCAAAACGCCTCGACGAGCTTGCCCTTCTTCTCGAGTAGCGATGGGTTGATCTCGGACAGGGGAACACGGCGGACGCAGAAATCATGTGTGGTTGGATTCTTAGACGGGTTGAATTTGAGGTAGAAGGGGTGGCTGAAGATAGAGTCGGTTGTGGTCATGGGCTCGAAGCGGTCGTTGCGCGTGTAGGCGAAGAAAGCGCCGACCGAGGCCAGGCCCGTGTAGGTGGAGAGCTTGAGGGTGCGACCGATAAGCCCCATTTTGGCGATGTTGCTTATTGCGGAGGGCGGGAGGGTTGAGGTAAGGGGTATAATGGGAATGGAGATGGAGATGGAGAGGAAAGGAGTGGGAGAAGGAAGAGGAAGAGGAGGTTGGGAGCTGCAGTGAAGCCGTCACCGGACAAACTCCGACGGTTAATCTGCATCAATTATGCTCATCTAGCTTCAATATCAATATTATTGTCAATTAAACGATAATCACTGCTATGAATTAAAACACCCCCGGGATGACCCTCGCCGTCTTCGCATGCCACTCCTCCCACTCTCTGCCAAACTTCTCCCTCAACATCCGCTCCTCATCGCGAACCCGCACTGTTAAAGTGAGGACTAGCATCACGGCTGCTATCGCCACCAACACAATCTCCCAGTCCCTCAATAGTGTCAATAATGGCTCCGGGATGAGACACGCGATTGGCGTATCCAGCCGGTTCACAACCAGCCCCGCAAAACTCGGCAGCACCAGCACAAGCCCCGTGTAGCTCGGGTGCTGTAGATACTTGTACACCCCCGACATGATCAGCCTGTCGGGTTTCGCGAGCTGGAACGTGAAGTTGCGCCCGAGTCCGCCGTATGCGCTGAGTCGGATCAAGGCGCCGACTGCGAGGACCGAGAGATATCCGACCGTACGAGGGTTCCAGGTGACGCGCTGGGCGTTGAGGTGGTCTGGATAGGGACACAGCCGGTCGATGATCTCGTGGTCGGAAGGGGAGGAAGTCCAGAAGAGCGTTACGAGGGCATGGTATAAGACGACCAGGTTGGATATGTGCGTGGAGAGTACCGATGGGATTGTCGTCAAGAAGCGGACGCGGTCAGTGCCATGGAGGACGCTGGTTTGGTTCGGGGCTGTCGTGCAGCGGGCGTTCAGATAGCCGGCCACCAGGAAGGCGAGCGACAGGGCTGATGAGCTCGCAGACGGCATCACGAGTAGGTCTGCGTTTGCGTGCAAAATCCGGGGAGGAGATGGAGCCGTCGTGATGGAGGTCCGGCTGTTCTCCGGCTTCACTTTATAACCCCGCTCGCTCGCCACGACGAGAAGTTCCCGACTACCGAACGGATCAATAGATGTCCAATTCTTGATCCAATTCTTGCACTACTCCTACGCATTGCTACGGTGATACGGTGCGACGATCAGCGATTGACAATGGCCTCCGCTGGAAACGAGCGCTTCAACGATGAAGCCGCCAACTGGGATAAGAATCCATCGGTCCAGAAGGCGACCCGCCTTGCATTCGACAGCATCAGACCCATCATCCAGACTCTTGCCGAGCGCAAACAATCCACCTCAGAAGCCGGTCTCGATGTTCTTGAAGTAGGCTGCGGTACAGGCCTCCTCACTCTCCGCGTCGCACCGCTAGTCCGTGAAATCGTAGCCATCGATCCAGCACAAGGGATGATCCAGACCTTAGAGGCCAAGATAGACACTTCCACATGCCAGGAGACTGCCGCAGGGCCGCGGAACAGCCCGCACAACGTCGTCCCAATTTGTCGTCTCCTCGACAACCCTGAGGATCCCGTCCTTCCCGCTCTCGATAGTAACTACCCAACGGGCCGACGGCGCAAGTTCGATCTCATCCTCTCGCACCTTGTCATGCACCATGTTCCCGATCTCCGGGCATTCCTGGGAACATTGCTCGGGTGTCTAGCACCCGGGGGTCGGGTTGCCTTGACGGACTTTGAAGACTTTGGGTCGGAGGCAATCAAGTTTCATCCGCCGAACAAGTTGGACGGTGTTGAAAGGCACGGGATTCCGGCACGGTGGATGGAGGACCTCATGAAAGAAGTTGGGTTTCAGGATGTCAAGGTGTCTGTAGGATGGACGTTAGCAAAGTCAGTAGAGCTCTGGGAAGGGCAGAAACCTGGCGATACCCTGGATTTCCCGTTCTTGGTGTGTGAGGGTGCCAGGCCAGTCTGACTGTCTTCACGACGATCCGCCTGCAGAACGATAGAGTCAGAGAATCTCCAAGCAATGATAATCAAAAGTAGCGCCTGGATTTGCGGTGAATGACCCAACCAGATATGGAATCAACAATCTGACAGTCCATTTCCACGCGGAAATAGAGTGCATGCTCGTCGAAACGGCCGCAGATCCGTGCATTTGACATATCGTAAATCGGACTTGCAGCAGTTTGCAGCCACGCTACCTAGTGCAGTGTCAACAAGAGTGAGTAATATTTATACCATGTCATATTCTTATTTCAAGCCATCGACCATATCAACTCCCCAACCGTTATCGCCAAAGCAAGGAGTATCTCATTCTCAACACTCAAATCTCAAATATGACATATCAGCCGCCACAAATCAACCGCCCAACCCTTCCCCAAACCAAGGATCAGAAAGTCACATCTGATCTGACTTTCCCAGGCCAGCTTCAATGACCGACTCCATCCCAGGCCCTGCGCTCCAGATCCCCCAAATTCCAAGCCCAGCGGCTCGCAGCAGCTCTGTCCACTGTCGCTTAGACCGCTCAACACCAGCCCCGATACTCATCATCTGGATATCAAGCGAGGCTTGCAGTAGCGGCGTCTCCGTATCAGGGAGGACAAAGTCCACAATCAGGATCCGGGATTTGGCCGGGTCCATGGCAGAGATTGTGTTGCGGAGGATCTTGAGACACACCTCGTCCGGCCAGTCGTGGAAGATGGCCCGGAAGTAGTATGTTCGGGCTCCTGTTGAATTAGTTTTCTCAACTGTCTTTATAAATGAGGGCAACGATGTCAGACGTACCCTTTACCGGCTGCGGATCCAAAAAGCTATATCCCATCGCCTCGACCCCCTCGCATTCAAGACCCGCAACAACAGCTGGCAAATCCTGCAAAACAAGCCTGCCTGGAATATCCGGGTGCTTCTCACGGAATCGAACCAAGTCATGTCCCTGGTTTCCCCCGACATCAACCACCAAGACGTCTTCCTCGTCCAAAGAGGCAGCAGCCAGCCTCTCTACAGGGTACACATCAAACCAGCTTGGCCTGCCCTGCCGCCGACTACTCATGTACGAGTTGAAGAGGACCTGCTGGTGGCGACGCTGAGCAAGCCACTCGAACTGGCTCTGCCCCGTGGCCCAGCGCATCGGAGAGCCGGCGTATTCTTTCGGGATAGCATAGTTGTGTGCGCGGAAATACTCCGGCAATCGCGCGAGCGTGGGCATCGTCAGATCGTATCTATGTCGTGTGTCAGCTTACAGGTATAAAGTATAAAGTATCCGGCGGTGAAACCTGATCTGGGGTGGTGGCGAAATGTGTAACTGGACATACATGCATCGTATCCCGTCTCTGCCAATTGGCAGCGTTAGGGCCGCTGTCCGGTGGTTTGGGCAGTAGATTTCGGGTTCTTGGCTCTCGCATAGTCCGAGGGCTGTGACGACGCGCATGAGGCGGGCTGATGATGAAGTCATGGATTAGATTCTGCGTTTTGCTTAGTGGGTAGGACAGTGATGCCATAGGATGCCTACTAGTCAGATCTCGCTCGGCGCCTGTGTACGCGGATAGCTCCGATGCTGAGAGTCCGCGCGGACTGTGGCTCACCAGGAGATCAAAGACTCCGAGGTCGATTAATGTGCGCAGGGCAGCATTTTGGGGTGGCTATAGGATGATTAGAATTAGATCTCAATACAAGTCAAGGGTGTAAGGCGAACCTGGTAGATCAGGCGGAGAACAGTGTCTGTCGGTGTCTCGACAGCAAGCCTCAATTGGTCGATGAGGCGCAGAAGATGGAAATGCGACTGTGACGAGCGACCGCTACTGCTATCCTTTACTGCTGCCTGGCGAATATCTTCTACCAGGGAGAGTAGGTTGAGTTGTTCATGAAGCGGCATTGGATCTGCAAGCAGCAGCACAGGATGTTCCAGAAACTGTAGAATAGAAAGCTGCAAGGGTGGTACAGATGCAATGCAGCCAAAGCCTTCTACTTATAACGAATGCTGCAAGACGGCATGTCCGAACGAGGCCGGTGCAGAGTTCACTGATTCGTTCAGGTAATGGAAAGGGGCGTCGCGCATTCCAGCTCATGTCAGTGCAGACGCCACAATCATCGCCTGGGAGTGGGTTCGACTGACTCAAGATTCTGTCACAGGATCGAAATAGACTGCAAGCCACATCTGGGTCTAGGGTAGAATTGGCGGTTGGTATCTAGCTTCATGATCCACAGGGTGATCAAATATAGACTATCAACTTCATTGTTAAGGGACTCATCAGGCTTAGGTCCTCTTCCCCTGAATAGAGGTATTGTCTAGTGTATATTGTAGCTTCTAAATATTGGCTGCAAAGCCCAGATTTCGGCTTTACTGCATATTAAAAATGGATACTGAATTTCTTTTGCTGTGGTGCCCAATGCTTTTAGTGGCAATTCTCTGCAGTACAAAAGTAAAGTAAATAAGTACGACACGAATAACTTCGCATAGCATCATCACTGTGACCCCATGGTGACAAAATGAATTATGATAACTCCATCTCAACAGTTACAATGCAGGAATTGGGTTCTGTATTCTATGACTTCCCATCTATGGAGAAGTGTAACAATCGTTTCAGCCATCATTGATCCGGTGTTAGGTCACGGTGGACTGGCTCCATTTGCTTTGTGTTCTATTACTGTAAACTGAAACTTATTTCTTTTGTCTGTTCCTTTCTCTTTGTCTCTTTGTTTGTTGAAAATTCGTAGAACAATGCGCTTAAAGAGCCTTCAGAGGTTATCTGGACGCGGTTATATAGCAAGTACATTCTTCTTAGCAAGTCTCGATCTTGAATATACCTATTTCATCTTCAACTACCAGCGAGACCTAATTGCAAAATGTCAGCTAACATCTCGTGCGAGTATGACCAGAATTTCCGCCCGGCGGTTTTTAGGGTTACCTGCAAATTCCAGGACATGCAAAACCTCATCCACCCCGCCAGGAGAGCTACGGTAGACATTTTAGCCGAGTACCAAAGGCTCTTCGAGGCTTGGGCCTCAAATGCTCGCCTTCTCTACGGTGACACTAACAGGTTCTATGAAGTCCAGAGGAAAATTGAGGGGCTTGAGGTGACTCTATCGAATGGTGAGTCTGTTGTTTATACTACTAGTCAAGTACACACTAACTGGCGGCAGAAATCACTAGATTAACCCACAGGGATCCTGGAGCTGCGAATCAGTATGAGACAATGCTCAGCAATGCGATGGATAGTATCAAAACAAGCATGGACCCACTGGGCAACTCCAGGCCCTTTCGGGCTGTGGAGCTTGAGTCTTCTCGCACCAGAAGGCGCCAGCGAACTCGCCTCCGACAAATATATTAGTTGCGTAGATACTCATCTCAAGGGCTATCCAGAGACAATCTCCTTCTAGCCTCCAGATTCGCTTATTGTTAGATACCTTCACCGTTGCTAAGTTAAATATGTTATCAATGTTTTGCCCAAGTCTATCTTCTCAGTTATTGCATGTCATTTCAACTCTATGCTCCCAGAGTAACCTGTAGGCGAGTTTGCATTGCCTCAGTATGGGGCTGCATTTTGCTACTTTACTCACAACAGAACTGTGGTCCAAAAGAAGGCGTTTCCTCCTGTTGTTTCAGCTTCAAGGTTGAGATGACACAATGCGGCCATTCATAATATTTCCTGCTTTGAATGCTAGGTAATTCCTTTACTCCTGACTGATTATGTATATATCAGGTTGGTAATATACTTCTTTTACTGTTATATTGTTATGTGTAGTGATGAACAATATTGACATTGTTTCATTGTTTTTATTCGTTATATAATTCCTTCCTTTTCTTTACACTTTCTTATTCCTTTGTTTCTTTGTTCCTTTCTTCTTCTCGATGGCCATATAGTCTCGGCCGGTTGAGCAGCTATATAAACCACATGGATTATCGACATCTTGACCCTAGCAGCAGCAGCAACTTGTTCTGTTCTTGTTATCCAGGGACACCATATTAAACAGGCCATAAATATGCCGAGAAAAACACTCACCCCGTACCCTATTTTCATCCAGTTGGGTAACCAAATAAGAGACAAATGGCGCCGCATCGACGAGAAAACCCAACAAGGAGCCGCAGCTGCAATGCGACAAAGGATCATGCAGAGTCGAGACAAATTCGAGGCCTTTGTCAAAGATATCGACCTTTACCATGTCAATAAGCCCAATCCCATAGCGACTGGGCAGCCTAAGCGTAACCGTCTCCAGGAAGCGAATCCTCGCACGCGCAACGATATCCGCGGCATACTTGATGGTCTAGACGGGGTACTGGCAAGTGGTAAGTAGTCTATCCCCGCCACTTTGGAGTAGTCGAAGCTAATAGGCGGTCGACAACAGGTATTTATGTGTTCGGGAATCTTGACAGTATAGAAATGACAGCCAGAACGGGCGCCTACTCACTCCCCTTTTCATCCGTCGCTGAGGCTATCACGGACCGGATTGAGAGTGTGGTAAACGGCCTGCGCGAATACGCGGAGAATTTCCAAAAGAATGAGTTTACGGGGTTTGTACTTGAAGAACGCCTCGAGCCTACCCGTAGCAGCAGGTCGTTACGAGAGTGGCTTCGGGACATCAGACGCCGGCTGGACAGCTAGGACTCGGTGGAGTTCATTTGAGGACGACTAATTGTTTGTTCCGTTTTATTTGTATAGAGGGGGAAAAACATCAAGTGTGTTGCACAGAATCGTCTATAATAGGGCAATTGTATTGAAAGGGGTGGAAGGGGCAGTAAACCGCCTACATTGTATAGAAAAAGCCAACGTATTTCTAACCCAACCAAGCCCGTATTCTTAATAGTAAAATCCCTAGACCTAGCCTACATTCTCCCAGAATTTCAATAGTATTAATTTCATATATCTAGGACCTAAGGAACCTGCTTAAACATGTAATATTGGTATTACAGGCTTTATTATAGTAAGATCCTGGCTTATTTAAACAGGCCTGATTAAGTATACCAGTAAAATAATACTTTTCCAGACAATCCCTCAGCCGTACTTGAGTAACATATTATGAATCATTGCATTATCTTGTTTAACATATATATTATGCAGACGAATGGCGAGCACAGGGCTGGATAACCGGCTGTCGAAGCCCAGATCGCCACCATACGGTGCATCCCCAGGGCAGAGTTGTTTATTTACAATTTGATCTGTACTCACAAACAAACCACGCCATGAGCTGGGTCAGAGCAAATCCTTCAATGAATCATGGGATGGAGAGGCGCTGCCCAAATCAGACATGTCAGTTCTCAGGCCCCGAACCACGCGTCGAAATGTGAGCCACGCCCAAACACGTTCTGACTTTGGAGGCATCTCGAGACACAGAGTCTGACAAAATCACCAGTCCAGCGCCTTTTACTACTTGGACTGTGGTGGTGAAAACAGCCGAGAACAGGAGTCTGGCGTGAATCCAGCTACTGTTGTCCTTTCGGCCTTTCGGAACGTCATGAAATGCACTCGCCACAGCCCAAATGCTGAACTAGACAATGCAGGAAATCTCATAGGTGAGATAGAGAGTTTCCTGGACAGGGATATCCTGCAGCCCGGCGTCACCGTCTCACTGGGAGAGCTTCTTGTGATCGGACACGAATCATCGTGTAGGTAAAGGGAACAAATCAAATTGACAGTAGTTCGCAGCTGGAATTAAACTCTATCTTGCGCAGATTTACTGGGTAGACATGCATTGGTCTCGCCACTGCTCCACCCTGTCAGCGCCCAGAGACGACACCGCAAGGGTGAGGCCTCGCATTGCGCTGATGGCTTGTCCCTGCAATCAGCCCTGGTTTGAATCAAGATCGAGTCATGGGGGTCAGCTGGACTGAATCGCAATCGGCTCAGCCTGATTTAAATGGCCACTGCCCCCTGTCGCCTATCCAGTTCTCTAGATCAGATTAAGTTTGCTGAGCGAACATGGGAATCCCTCAGTATAATGAACCCCCCAAGAGCCAGGCCCCCAACCAGACGGACGAGTTGGTCCAGCGGTTTGGACGGCTCGATACTCTAGATGATTTGATCCGGTTGCGAGCAGCCGATGCAGTTCAGGAGCCGATTTTGGCGTATCCCCAGCAGACACAAGATGGCGTTGCCTCGTATGAGTTCTTCACAGGCGAGGACCTGGATGCGATGGTCGACCAGGCTGTCTGTACATTGTTGGAATCAGGCATTCGTCCGGTAAGTCACGATGCACTTCTCACTCAGGATAGGATTATCCTGGTTATGATCATAACTTTGACTGACTGACCCGTGCAGCCCAAGAAGGATGGCGAGATTGTCGCCCTCCTCACCCTCTCAGACCTGAATATGGTCGTTACCTTCTTCGCCCTCAGTCGCATTGGATATACCGTTATGATGCTCTCCCCTCGCCTCTCATCCACGGCATGCGTCTCCCTCCTTGACAACGTCGGCTGCGACACCATCCTATACGGACAGACACCAACCATCCGCAGCACCGTCGGTGAAATCCTACGCCAGAAACTCGTCGCCTGCAGACCCATCATCCAGCGGCCCTCCCTAACAGACACAGCAGAAGGCCCATCTGTCCTGGTCCTCCACCGAAGCCGCAACCGAGACGCAGCGCGAAACCGCACAGCCCTAATCCTGCACTCCTCGGGGTCAACGGGCACACCCAAGCCCCTATTCCTGAGCCACAAAGCCATCATGACACATCCATTGCGTGGGCCGGGGCTTACCTCGTTCAACACGCTCCCTTGGTACCATCTCCACGGCTTGTCGACGGCGCTACAGGCGATGTATATGCGGAAAGTCGCGTATATGTGGGATGCCGCACTGCCACTAACGACACCGTCTGTCGTCGCCGCATTGGAAGCAGCTAGACCCGAGTCAGTCCAGGGAGTTCCATACCTCCTTCAGCTCCTTGTAGACAGCACCAAGGGCCTCGACGCCCTTCGATCCTGCAAGCTCGTCACATACGGCGGTGCACCCTGCCCCGACGACCTGGGAGACCGACTCGTCGCCGAGGGAGTACATTTCGGAGGCTCATTCGGATTGTAAGTTTAAGCACCACCCCCACTATTAAATCCTAAACTTCATTTAACAAGACCTCAAGAACCGAAGCCGGCCTCGTCGCAGAATCCATCTCCCGCCCCCCATCCGACCCCTACTGGAACTACCTCCGCTTCTTCCCAAACCTAACCCCCTTCATCTGGATGAAGCCCCTGTCCTCGAGCGCAGACAATGATCTATACGAATGCGTCTACCTAGCAGGCCATCCAGCCCTAACGGCCTCAAACTCCTCCGACCCCCCAGGCTCCTACCACTCCCGCGACGTCTTTACACCGCACCCCTCCATCCCGAAGCGCTGGAAATACGTCTCCCGCCTAGACGACCGCGTCAACCTGCTGAATGGAGAGAAGGTCCTCCCGCTGCCGATCGAGGGGTGTATCAAGCAGAGTCCCCTTGTGGAGGACGCGGTGGTTGTGGGTGTTGGCAAGGCCGTTCCTGGGTTGTTGCTGTTCCGGGCAACACCTAGTAGTACAGCAGCGGAGTCGTCCGGGTGTCTTTCTGAGAAGGCGTTTATTGATGCTGTCTGGCCGGTTATTCAGGATGCGAACTCGCGCGCGGAGCAGTTCTCCCAGATTACGAGGGAGATGGTGGCTGTGCTCCCTGTTGGGTCGGTGCGGCCGCAGACGGATAAGGGGTCTATGATCCGTGCGCAGGTTTATGCGAGGTATGCGGATGTGATTGAGGGGTTGTATGTGCGGGTTGAAGAGGGATCATCGGACAGTGGTCCTGGTGGGATTGTTTGTGTAGGCCGCGAGGAGACGGAGGCGCATTTGATGAAGCTTGTCAGGGAGGAGCTGGGGCTGGGGATGGCGATTGTGGATTCGGCGACGGAGTTCTTTACGGCTGGGGTTGATAGTCTCAAGGCGATTCAGTTGAGGAGGTTGGTGGTTAGGGATTTTGCGATGGAGGATGGGAAGAGTCTTGGGCAGAATGTGGTGTTTGAGGCTGGTTGTGTGGCGAGACTGGCGGAGGTTATATGTGCAATGCAGGCTGGTCAGGATGATGTCCAGCAGGATGAGGACAGTGTTATGGATGATCTGGTTTCAAGATACTCGTCGTTCAGGGATCATGTTCCAGTTTCAGAAAGGAAGCATGGCAGGGGTGTGGTAAGTTTGATATATCCATTGAAAGAGTGAAGCTAACGATCTAGATACTCACCGGGGCAACCGGGTCTATCGGTTCACATACTCTGTACCGACTACTGAACGACGACACGGTCTCGACTGTCTACTGTCTAACAAGACGAGAGAGCCCCAAGGAAGCGATCCTCGACGCCCTCGCGCAGAAAGACCTCAGTGTCCTGCCCTACCGAACGAAGAAGATTGTTGCACTCAATAGCGCCCTTCATGAGCCCGACATGGGCCTGGACAAGACCACCATCGAGCAGATGCGCCAGTCCGTCTCTTTGATAGTCCACTCCGCGTGGCCAGTAAACTTCAACCTCCCACTGACCAGCTTCATTCCGCATATCCAAGGACTCGCCAACCTGATCGATTTCTCCCTGTCAGTGCACATGCCGGCACCGGCAGTCCTGCTCTTCTGCTCCTCGATCTCAACAGCACTAGCCTCGTCCCTGCCCGAAGTAGACGAAAGCCCAGTGCCCGATTCCAGCGCTCTGGACATGGGCTACGCGCGCTCGAAGCTCATCGGCGAGCGAATCATCAGCAACGCTCGCAAAGCCGGAGCAAGGACGTTCTCGCTCCGTATCGGCCAGATCTCGGGCCACTCGAAGAAGGGCCTGTGGAATGACTCGGAGGCGATCCCGCTCATGATCCGGTCTGCACTGACATTAAAGGCACTGCCCAAGCTGGACACGGAGTGCTCATGGCTGCCGGCTGATAAGCTCGCGGCTTCAGTGCTAGAGATTGCACGGGCATGTTCGCTCCACGTGGTTGATGATGATGATGATGATGATGATGATGATGATGATGATGATAATAATAACCCTAAAGGCGACGACTCCATCTACAACCTGTGCAATCCGCGCACATTCACTTGGGCCGCGATGCTAGATACGCTCCGGCAGCACGGGTTCGAGTTCGAGACTGTTGCATTCCCCGACTGGCTGGGGAAACTGCGGGAGAGCGAGGCCCGGGGTGAGGAGCTGGTCAACCCGGCCGTCAAACTAGCAGAGCACTACGCTTCGATGTATGGTAGCGACAGCGGCAGCGGAGAGGCAGAGCCGAAGAAATTCCGGACAGACAGGGCAGAGCGCGACAGCATGACGCTGCGAAATGGACGGCTGAGGATAGTCCAGGACGGGATCCTGGCTCGGTATGCGCAGGACTGGATGCGGCGGTGGAATTGATTACGAGTGATGATGTATGTTAGTGATGGTTAATATGTTAGTGTATGTTAATGAGATATGCGTTCTGATGTTATCAGCATTTCACTTAACCCTAAGTAACCCATCGGATACCATTCATGACACCGTACCGGGATGTCTTGAACAGGAAGTCCATGTTGGAGGTTGAGTGGAGAGAGAAAGTGGAAACATCGGGGAGAAACAGAGAAACACAGAGAGGACTCGAGACGCGGCCATGCGGGGATTTCTTCTCTCGCAGACTTCTCTTCGTCTGCAGTCAGTCCACGTCCACGCCTCGCGGCCAGCATCATGGACAGCGCTCCGGCCAAGGTCGTCAAGAAGCGCATCCGAAAGCCCCGGGGTCGCGGTCTGCGCACGAACACGGGCTGGTGAGTGTCATAATGTCATGCTGTGGTGGTGGGCAGCTGCTAACGCTGACAGCCTGACGTGCCGCACCCGGCATAAGAAGTGCGACGAGCAGAGTGAGGCCACCCACTATTCCAATAGCTTCATTTCCAACATCTTACACATCTATAGAGCCGAGATGCGGCCCGTGTACAAACTCCGACCGCGAGTGCATCTTTCCCAATGCCTCGCGCGCTGGGACGCCGGTCTCTGCCGCTGCGTCTGCCACTGCAACAACGGCGTCCAGTTCATCGCGCATCCAGAACATCCTGTGCTCTCCCCATTCTGCTCCGCCTGGTCCTGTTGCCCCCACGCTGGACTATGATGCCACTGATGGGCCGAGTCCCGAGACGCACAACATCCTGGATCCCGAGCTGGTCGCGCTGTATCCAGGCACTCGTCCCCAGCCGCCCATGCCCGACCTCTACTCCGGCTCCCTGCAGACGCTACCGTCTGTGCAGTCCTCCGAGACGGTGGCGCCTGACGTCAATGGCGACCACGCGAGCACCAAATGGCTGAACCTGCTCGCGACCGATGCTGCCCAGGCTGGGAATGGCTTCAGTCTGCCCAGTTCCGCCCGGTCGCGGCTCTCCCGCGGGTCCGGCCACTTCCACGATCGCACCAGCACCCCGACGCACCTCTACTCGCCGCACATCACGGAGCGACAGGCCTGGCAGGCTGATGCGGATATTGTCTTATCCAAGCCCGAGGCGGCGCTCTTTCGGAGATTCACCGAGCGCATTGCTGCTTCTGTACGTCGGCTTCTCTGCGAAACTGACAAGATACTAACAAAATACTAAATAGCTTGACCTATTCGACCCCCATAAGCATTTCTCTCACTATGCTACGCGGCTTGCCTTGCGCAATGTCGGTCTCATGAAAGCCATCCTCGCGCTGTCCGCCCGATACTCATCAGTGTCCACGCCTACGGACAGCTCTGTGACAGAAGCGCTTGTCGACCCCAACGAAGCCATCCAATTCTACTACGAGACCCTGCACTATGTCTCGACTGCTCTGCAGTACAACTCGTACAAGCACAGCGAGGAGCTCCTCGCGACCGCCATCGTAGTAAGCACCTACGAGATGCTCGACGCCAGCGAGCCCAACTCCAACTGGCAGCGCCACCTCAAAGGCGTCTTCTGGATCCAGCGCTCCCAAGACGTCAACGGCGCCTCAGGTGGCCTTCGCCAGGCCGTCTGGTGGGCCTGGCTGCGACAAGACCTCTGGGCTGCCTTTCGCGAGCACCGCCGCTGCTTCAGCTTCTGGCAGCCCATCGTCGACTACCCAGACCTCAACGAGGACGACCTCGCCTACCGCTCCGTCTACCTCCTCAGCCAGGCCGTCAACTACTGCACCGAGCCGCCCCCAGACACTAATGCGGAAGCCGACGCCGACGTCGACCTCGAGCAGGTCCGGCTACGCACGGAGCGCGGCAACGAACTCATGGATATGCTGGAGCGGTGGAGGAGTTTCTCCAATGCAGCCTTCAAGTCCTTCCCGACCGAGAACCGCGACGAGGTGCATGGCTGGGCGCCGATCTGGATCCATCCGCCGGCATTTGGGGTCGCGCTGCAGGTGTACAGTTTTGCAAAGATCCTTGTCTGTCTGCATCGGCCCGTCCCGAGCGGGTTTGCAGGGTATCGCAGTTTTCAAGTATGCCCCTGCCAAAGTCCAATTATATAAACCTTCAAAGGCTAACCAGTTTAGAAAACACTAAATGACGCCGTCGCTACAATCTGCGGCATCGCCATGGAACTCACCGAGCCGGGCTGCCAGATCATCTCCGCGCAGTGTCTGTTCGGCGCTGGACTGTGTGTCCAGGACGGGGCGCAGCAGGAGACGATCATTTCACTGATTCGGGCCTGTGAGGCGCGTACGGGGTGGCCGATGGCGACGATGCAGGAGGATTTGCGCAAGGAGTGGGCGAAGGCTGCGGGCGAGGCGAAGATGGCGTTATAACTGTATTATACCCATTTATATTTTCTTACGGGTGGTTGTCTGCTACGGTACATAGAACTTTACTTACTATACTTTTCGCGTATATTATAACAACAAATACGGTATTGCAAAAGAATCATTCCAAACGCCGTCTATCTCGTACTAGGTACATAAAGTCTCACCTACCAAGCCCCCACAATACCCGCAATCGGAATATCAATCCCAGTCGTATACGTTGCCGTATCACTCAACAAGTAAACATACGCACCCCCCAACTCCTGCGGCAGCGCCAGTCTCGGCATCCCGCCATAGTACTTCATCTTCGTCTCCCAGTCCGGACTCGTCTCGACATAGTAAGTAAGCGCCGTCTTTACAAACCCAGGCGAGATACTGTTCACCCTTATCCCATGCTTCGCCCACTCCATCGCAAGCGTATGCGTCATATTCCGCACAGCAGCCTTCGTCCCGCCATAGGGCGCGCTCGGCGCCGCGCGGTTCGGGCGATAACTCGTCATACTGGCCGTAAAGACAATGGATCCCTTGACGCCGAGTTTGATGAACGTGTTCGCGGCCGCGGTCGCGCAGTTCCAGGCGCCGAACACGTTCAACTCGAAGAGGCGCTTGACCTGGTCCAGGCTGAAGTCGAGGGCGGGTTGGTGCTTTGTTGCGCCGGCGTTGGCGATCATGCCGTCGAAGCGGCCTTGTTCGGAGACGATTTTGTCGAGGGCGGCTTGGACACTGGATTCGGAGGTTACGTCGGCTTGGATGAAGGAGAAGCGTTTGGGGTTTTTGGTGGCGAGGTCGTTGAAGGGGTCGCTGGGGTTCGAGATGTCGAGGGAGTAGACGTGTGCTGCGCTGTTGGCGAGACAGACTTCGGCGAGGCCAAGGCCGATACCTTGGTTTGCGCCGGTGACTGCTGTTATTAGTATTGTATTATATATTTTTTTTGTTAAGGTAGACGTACTGGCAATGACCTTGTTGGCGAGAGTGACCTGCCAGTTGTGGTTGGGCCCGGGCAGCGTGCTCACCACTTCGGGGGCAGACTCTGAGGTTCCGTTTGTGGTCATTGTGTAGAGAAGGAGATATTGAGATGTAGAGAATGAGAAGGGAGCTGGGATAGATGGTTGAGATGGTCTGGATACTGCTCTTTTGCGGCGGACTCGACTTATATATGGATATAAAATACGGCCGCGCCCCTCTACCGGAGCAAATCCGGCCTCCGTCTGCCCCTCATCCAGACGTCACATACAGGACGAGTCAGCTTGATGGAAGCTGGTAGCATCAGGCCTATCATGTTAACTCGTGCAGCTCCGGCAGCTGGATGGAGGCACAGACCCAGTGGCCGCGACGCGCGCATTCATGATTCAAGTTGGAGCCCCGAGACGCGGACGTTCTTCTCCGCTGTGGATCAGGGGCGTCTCTCTCTCATTCTCGCTCTCAATGTCACTCTCCTTGCAGGTTTCTCAGATTCCCAGTGGACCTCAGCTGTTGACACGACGCAGAGACGCTCCCGAACCCCGGACGGGCTGCAGTCCGGATACTGGGGGCGGAGCCTGGAGTCCAACCCCAGACACCACGCGATCAGCCCATGCCCCATGCGTCATTCCTGGCTCCGGCTTCCTTGTCTTGGACTGGTCTGTTTTCTTGATTACAGGTTTGCTGGCTTGTCTGCTTGAAGCCAATGCCGTTGTCCGCCGCTTCGCTTGTATTCCTGGTTGCCGGCTTGGAGGGCTTACCTCGTATGGCTGTGACTCGGCTACGCTGATCTATAAATCGACCTGAGCCCGGCTGTTTTCCTGCAGTTCTGTTACACATTGGCATTGTGCTCTCCCCTTTCCTTCTTTATCTCTTCTTGCGGTATCTTTGTCCTTACTCCCTGAAGATGAAAGACGCCCATGACACTGCCTCCATGGCTGAGGTAGAGGACGTCGAGGGCAAGCCTGCTACCACCCAGGATGCTTTGGCGGCTAGCTACATCCCAGGGACTGACGAAGAGAAGAAGCTGGTCCGGAAGATTGACCTATACCTGCTACCATGCATCTGGTGGGTGTCCACCCTGACTGACGCATACCAGACTAACCATCGTTAGGATCATGTACCTGCTGAGTTACATGGACAGAACCAAGTAAGTCACACTCTCCCAGACAGTCTCCCAGGATCACCACTAACAGCTACAGCATCGGTAATGCCAAAGTCGCCGGCATGGACCAAGACCTCGACCTCGACTCCAACCGCTACTCCATCGCCCTGGTCGTCTTCTTCGTCGGCTACGTCGTCCTCGAAATCCCCTCCAACATGCTCCTCGAACACATCAAGCCCAACGTCTGGCTCCCCGTCATCATGTTCGCCTGGGGCTGCGTGACTATTGGCATGGCCTTTGTCAACTCCTACCAAGGCCTAATCGGCTTCCGAGTCGCCATGGGTGTCCTCGAGGCCGGGTTTGCCCCTGGTGTGCTCCTGGTCATTAGCTCGTGGTACAAGAAGTCCGAGCAGAGCAAGCGGTTCGCCGTCTACATCTCGGCTGCTATCCTCTCTGGTGCCTTTGGCGGCCTGATCGCTGGTGGGATTGTCGGGAGCCTTGACGGGGTTCATGGCATTGCTGGCTGGAGGTGGCTGTTCATTGTCGAGGGGGCAGCCACTGCTGGTGTCTCTATCATTGCTAGCTTCCTCCTGCTTGACTTCCCTGCAACGACGAGTCGTCTTACCGAGAGGGAGCGCGAGCTTGCCCTGGCAAGAATGGCCGCCGAGGCGATGATGGTTGAGAGCAGCGATGGCCCGGCCTTGACCCATTCCCAAGCACTCAAGCACAGCTTGAGCAACTGGAAAACATGGCTTTTCGTCGTCGGCTACATGGTACCTGCCCCTATCCCCCTTTACTTGACATTGCAGTCTAACGTCGCAGGCAATCGTCGGCTCCTCCACTCTCTCCTACTTCTACCCAACCCTCGTTGAAGGCCTGGGTTACACCGGCAACATGGCCCAGTATATGGTCATCCCCATCTACGCCGCGGCCTTCGTCTGCAACGCCATCGTCGGCTACTTCGCTGACCACCACCAGCCGCACCGCGGCTTCTTCCTCGTCGCCATGATGCTCGTCGCAATGGTCTGCTCGATCATCATCTGCGCCGTCTACGACCTCAAGGCTCGCTACGCCCTCCTCGTCATCATGGCCATGGGCCTTTGGGCGTCCAACGGGCTGTCGCTCGCCTACGCGTCCACCAGCTTCGGAGACATGCCTCGTGAAGTCCGTGCAATCTCGCTCGCCCTGGTGAATGCCATGGGCAACCTGGCGCAGATTTATGGCGCTTACCTCTTTCCTGATGCTGATAAGCCGAAGTACCTCATGGGCTTTGGGGTTATCAGTGGGTTGTGCTTTACCGGTGTTATTTCGTACCTGGCGTTGCAGATTTTCTTGAAGGTCAAGGTTGCGCGAAGGGTGTAATCATCTACCATCTGATCTTACCTAGATATGTGTATATAGCCTAGATGATGATACGTATAACGGATACCGGCGTTTCCTTTTATATTGCAAAATTACAATAACAGAACTATGTTAACAAAATATTCCCATATTATACATATCCTAAGCAGTCAACGACCTCAATCCCCTCTCAAGCAGCACACCGGCAGCACCAGCACCAACAACAATCCAGCTCCACTTGTTACTCGCCTCCTTCAAGTCCGGCCAGAAGCTGTTCTTCTCCTTCTGGTAATCCTGGAACTGCGCCGCCTTGACGGGGTCCTCCTTAGCGTACCGCTCCGCCTGGTTCTGCTCATTCTCACGGTCTCCGCCGACGAACCGCAGGAAGACGTAGTTCACAATAGGGCCCAGCGCAGCGAGGGGGTGGAAGAGACCCGCGCCGATAAGCAGGATCGGGAACGAGGCGTGGATGAGCGCGTCGCCAAGATAGCTTCGCTTGTTAGTACACCTTTTCCTACTTTACACCTATGGTATATGTGTGGACTGGACTCACTTCGGATGCCGAACAACACTCCAAACCCCATCCCGACAAATCCCCTTATCACCTTCCTTCTTATGCTTCGAAAGTCTCAAATCAGCCAGGACCTCCAGCGCAAACCCCGCTGAGAACAGGAACACCGCCAGCGAATGCGCTCCACACCGACTCACATCCCCCGGCGCCGGCGACGCGCGAATACTCTCGCCCCGAGCACGGAACGGCAACACAAACGGCAGCGAAATCAGCGTCTGCGCCGCGGCCTCGGGCAGGAACATATTGACGAGCGCCTTACCCCAGAATCCCGGGTCTTGTTTTGCGGTCGTATAGCGTGGATCGTCGGTGCGGCGCTCGATTCCGCGCGTGGCGATCCTCGATAATAGACGCACGCCCCAGGCTGTTACGCCGCCGAGAAGCAGTCTCTCGCTGTAGTTGAAGCTGGACCAGGCGGTTGAGAGAGGGAGACCGTCGTGGACAACTCGGGTGCCGAGGGCACTGTACCAGGCGTTTAGGGTCATGCCGGTGGGCCACAGCCAGTCTTTGCCGTCGGCGCGGTCGGTGTAGCGCGAGATGCCGTATGCGATTGCGGAAAAGGTCGCGTGAAAGCTGAAGGAGGGGAGGATGGTGGTATTTAGTAGACCGACTGCTGCGATGTTCTCGCCGCTGAGGCCCGGGCCTGAGCCTGAGCCTGGTCCGAAATGGGAGCCGTAGCGGTCCTGCTCGGCTGCTGTGGCGGTGGGATAGCCATCGATGACTTTGGCTTGGGCTGGTCGGCCTACGTGAGGGAATCGCTCTTTGGCGTGTTCAAAGGCCGAGCTGAAGTGCGAGCCGTAGAGGTCCTGTTCGGCGCCTCCTGCTCCTCCGGGGGCGTGTGGGAGGTGCTGGGAGGCCTTGTCGAGGCGATCTGCGGCCTTGTCTAGGGGGAAAGACCCCGTAGACATGCCACGGCCGTATATGTCTTGTTCTGCCATTTTGATGCAGATTTTGAGGAATTAAGCCCAGAAAGGAGCTGGGTGGTGTATTTAAGGACGACCTCAGCATTGCATCATTCATGTTGATATCTTGACGTCAGTCATTCTGCCTTCCGCAGCCAACCGAACATAGAACTTCGTTATTTACGGAGTACACTATACTATGTACTGTAGAATAAAATAAATGTTATTAGATGATATGGTTAGGTTTGTCAACTACCGATAAGGTTGGCTTCAATAACGGTGATAAAGGTGACGCTTTCCGTAGCAACTAGGGCTAGGCTTTAATCATAGAACGAACTATGTTGGGTTATTTACAGCTAGATTATACATTACACCATCAACCCCTGTCTTGCGGATATCTTAACACTGTACAAAACGATTAATGGATTACTCTATCCAGCTAGCTCTATACTTCATCACATTAATGCTGGGGCCTGTAAAAATACGGCATAGAAAACAACTCTGGTGGAAATGCCCTGAAATGAACAAAATGAGAGAGCCCCCTCCTGGCCATATAGGCAGACACGACCAATCCCCAGAGGCGAGAAAAGAATACAAATTATCTTCGTGGTGAGTACTCAAATAATACCCAAAGCCGATTCGAATAGCTAGGTTAGAATAAATAGCCCCATGCTTCCAGCCACTGAGACTCGTCATCCTTATGGCGATTAATATAACCACCTAGGTTGGACGGACTTTCTTCCCAAGAACTGCGTATACCATCTGAAGTGATATCATACTCGAAATTGGGCCATTCTCCCTCCAGCTCGTCGAGCTGCTCATTGGTACAGTACCGAATTTTATCTTCACCCCATGAATAGCACTTCTGGACCCTCCCATAGTAGAAAAAGCAGTCAAAAAAATACTTCTCCGGCAGATTCGCCATGCATGTACCAGATTCATATTCGTAGTCGTCGTCGTCGTCGTCGTCGACAACACCCGTGAGGTCAGTGACAATATTAGGGACGGACGAGCCATCGAGATCCTTATCATCAGCCTCATCTTGGGGACGACAGAGAGGCCAGGGAGGGACACAGTAGCCCGTTTTGGACCCCCAATTGCGATTGACCCTCGGAGCCTGCCGAAAACTCGACTTGTCAAACTTACACGAGCCTCTGTGGCAGGACGAGTGTTTCTCTTGGCCGCCGATGCTGGAGCATCTGGCAACGCATTGTCTTTGGTACTTCACACGGCCTTTCTTATCGCACACGGGCCCCATTTTGCAGACGAAACCAGCATCGCATTTCCTGTATTCTGAGCATCTCCTGCCGTCGACACCCCTGATTGGCCCCGGAAATGCCAGAATGTCGTTCGCGGGGTCGTTGGTGTAGTAGTCGTCCTGGTCGGAGTCTTGTTCCTGGTTCGATTGTTGTGTAGGGCTGCTGGGACGAGTGGTTTCCACCTGGTAGGGAGTTGGGGGCGGCCTCGTGTGGTTGCTTGTTGCCTTTGCAATGCAAAGCTCGGGATTGTGCCACGCGGCCTCTGCTGCATAGTTCCAAAGGTTGGTATAGTTGTACCACGTCTTGGGGGTGAAGAAGATCCTGCAGTCTGCGGCCTCGTATTTAAACTGCAGCGGCGTGTTGGACGGGTCGTCGCGGCGAATCTGGTCTCGGAGGTTGACACTGGCGGAATAAAGATAGAAGTCGAGTGTGCGGTCTGGGAGGAAAGGGGAGGTTTCATTATTAATTAGCAGCGCATTGTATATATCAAGATCCATCTGTCGGACATTATAAGATGCTGCTCCGCGTGTTCCTGCTGGAGCCTGCATGGGAGTGTAGTCTGGCCTGCCTCCCACGGCTATAGTTCGCACATGGGCTTCGTGGTGCATCAGCTCCATGAATATAGCACAGGTAGACGAGCATAGTCCGTCGCTCAAAATGATAATATCCTTGGCTGCATATGGTGGACTATCAAAAGCATCCAAGCTTTCTATATCAATGCCACTTGCTTCGTGAATGAATGCGCTGTCTGTTTGATCATATTGTTCGACCCGTGTGAAGTTATCACCACCGTAAGCTGCAGTTGATCGAGAATAGTCCTCCCATGAGACGAACTCGTCCCCCGTCTCCCGGTCTAGTCGATTCTGTATCACCCACTCATTCGTAGAGAGAAATCTACGCTCTTGGGTACGATTAGGCGGGAGGTCGTCCCAGAAGGACGTGAAGGAATCGCCTAGGACATCAGCCATTCTATGGGCACGTCTGCGGCTTCCTGCAAAGGGTTCGATAGTAGGAAAGAACTAGGAGAAATTAATAAGTAAGGAACGGTGTATACCGTGCCTGGACACTCACTAGCTTGAATGTTTCGATTGCCAGAAAGACCTGTCCACCGCGGTTCTGCTGCACGTCGATGACGACCTTCTTCAGGCCTGCTTCCTTACTGCGTCGAAGGAAAGCCTTGACTGTGCGCAGAAACTCCTGGGTGGAGTCGTCATATGCCGCAAAGTCCGTGATACTCAGAACAGCCACGGAAGAGTCGTGCAAAAAGAACACTCGTGGCAGTGTCGTGTCGTCAGGCTCCCGGCCTGGAAATATCGGCTCAGGAGTCGGATATGCTGCGTCGAATGACGGCGCTGTAGTCGAGACCGATGTGGAAGGAGAGGGAGTAGGCAAAGGAGTGCGAATGGGCGTAGTTGATGTAGCTTTGCCCTCTAGGCGTCCCGTCGAGTCCTCCTCTGAGACGTAAGATGCAGGGTAGAGGCCCAGGACAAAGAAATTGTAGAAGTCTCCTCCTGTTTGAAGGGGGCCTGTGTCGCCGGGACTCAGATAGATAGCCTGCCATGGTTCCGGCCCTACCACGGTGCCGTTCTCAAAGGTCAAGGTAATTGTATCACCAGGATAGACAGTAGCACCTCCAAAGAAGACTTCCAGGAGCCCCTGAGTCTCCAAGGCGCCGCTTCTCATCAACATATTCCAGTCCGCGTGCGGCTCGAGCTTGCCGATGGAATTCTGAGCTGCAAATTCCGCCAGGTAATCGACCACGTCCTGACCGTTAATCACGGAAATCGCCGAGGGTTGCCAGGCTAGAGCGTGCGACTCGTTGGCCAACAGGTCATCTGCAAAGGTAGCATCATACATTAGCTTTGGTTAATACGCTATACAGGTTGCTTTGACGACATACCTGCGATATAGACCTTTGGCGGCTCTATTCCATCCACGGATACAGACACAATATCCCACGGGGCTCCGTAGACAAACGTCGAGAGGATACCTCCGGTGGCCGTGAGATGGTCATCATGGGCAGCAGTGAGGAGTCTATACAGGGCATTCTCAAAATCATGCTCATTAGTGAACATGCCATCATTAATACCGCGCTGTATCTGATCCAGCCCAGCGAGTAGATCGACAGCTGGCTGCTGATATCCGCGAGGAGGCTCTGCGAGGTAGGCGAGGGTGCTCTGGAATTGGATTGTGTCGTTCATGTACTGGAGAAGCTGTCTCGCAACCGCCGGGTTAAAGGGAACGCTCCTTAGGCAATCATAGGCTTGCGTCGCGTTCAGTATCTGAAGGGTTTCTGGACCTATATGATATGCGTCAGTTATACCAGTCTGACATGAGGATCGAAATGTACCTGCCTCCGTTCACAATCTCGCCACACGCAGTTGGGTTCGGGACTGAGGCGGTTGTCGTAGATGGCCCAGATGGTTGCTGAGATGAGGCTGCGAGAGCCTGCGTCAGGAACAGCAGAGGAACAGCGGTGCTGACTTTCATTTTGACTTTTCGCTCTGGTTCTAGGGTTGGGGTGGTTTGCCACAGAGCCAGGTACCGTCAGGCACAACGCGAAGTCTCTTTATAGGCTGGTGCTTTTCGTCTGCGCAAGTAATGCGGCCCTCGATTTAACTTCACGCGAAAGGCTGCAGGCTGACTTTTCCCATGCTTTACCACACTCGCCTATCAGGCGCAGCGCATTGACGATACTTGGATAGCCGAAGCCATCAACCCCAGAATCTTCATACTCCGAAGGCACGGCCAAGAATTGGATTGTTTCACATTTCCTTCGTTGACCTTCCATCGCTAGCAGATCCTCATGAATAATGATGCAAGCCCTCAGCCACAGGCCGAGACATCATGAAACAGGGCTGTCGAACCTGCGAGGCTGAATTCCCGTCCACTCACCTAGTCATGTATGACAGGGGTGTTCACGAGGGCTATTCTAACAAGGCTGGTCGACTCGGCTGCCATTTTTAGAAACATCTCCGTCTCATCATTCGAGGCTTGGACACACTCTCCTGCATCCTGCATAGCGTTCGAGCCTTTCGCGTGAGCCCGTGGATGGGTAAGCGTAGCATCCCAGCACTTGCGTGAGACACTGACGTATCTCTCAAGCTGACGACAGCCGGCCCCTTATGGCTGTTTTTTGCCCGAATCCCTGTCTACTTTTGCCCTCAGTCCCTGTCTACAGAGCCTCATCGTTGTTGAGATTCCCATCCCCCCGCAAAAACAGCCTCCTCGCGACAAAGCTTCCCTCAACCAACACCACCCTGGATAACATATCGTGATGGCCTCGTCAAACGGCATTCGCCTTCCTCTGGACGCCTACACAGTTGGCTGGGTATGCGTCCTGGAACCCGAATTCGCCGCGGCGCGAGTTCTTCTAGACGAAAAGCACGACACCCCCTCGACCACCAACGACGATAATATCTACCTCGTCGGCCGGATGGGAGAGCACAATGTCGCCATCATCAGGTCTACTAATACCGGAAGATCTGCGGCCACTGCGGCTGCCACGCACCTCGTTCGCACGTTCGAAAAGATTCGCTTCGTGCTGATGGTCGGTGTCGGCGGGGGCGCGACAAACGCCCCCAGCCGACCTGGTTCACTCAGCCCAACGGAAGACATCTTTCTCGGCGATGTGGTTGTCGGGAGCCCCCATGGTGATCATGGTGAGTTGTTTCAAGGCGTTTCTAATCTCTAAACTGCGGCTGCCGGACTTCGTGGGCTAATGAGGCGGCTTCCTTGCTGTTTAGGCGGGGTGTTGCAGTATGATATGGGCACCCAGCACCCAGATGGATACCAGAGACGATCACATCTGAACAAGCCCGGGCCACTCCTGATTCAAGCCTCACAGTACCTGCAAGGGCAACACGGATTCATGGATGGCAACATGGATAAATACATCCACCACGCGATTTTTCAGCTGGAACAGCTCAGCAGGGGGGAGTTCCAATGCCCTGGCTCCAAATATGATCTCCTTTTCAGGCCGGAATACTACCATAATGGAACAGACACGGAGCGTTGCTGGCAATGTTGCGATACAACTCAGCTGGTGAAGAGGACGCGGCCAGATGTCCCTCGTGTTCACTATGGCCTGATAGGGTCCGCCGACACTGTCATTCAGGACGGACAGCTGCGTGATAGGATGCGACAGTCAGATAAGGTGCTATGTTTTGAAATGGAGGCGGCGGGCCTGATGGACTCGTTTCCATGTCTTGTCATTCGCGGCATCTCGGACTACGCTGACACCCATAAGAACAAAGTGTGGCAGCCTTATGCGGCTTTGACTGCAGCCGCGTATGCAAAGGACCTCCTATCCGTCATCCAAGCGCAGAGGGTTGAAGATGCTGAGCTGGCGTTAACGCTATGTAGGTCTTGGTCTGAAGGGCGGGCCCAGCATCGATTGACAAGCGTGGAGAATGGTGCTAATCATGTCTTTTTGAGAGCCAGTGAAGGAAGATATACATAAGGTCAGAGAAGGTGTTGAAGAAATCCATTCGATCATTGAAGATAGAGAGCGCAATGAGATAATAAACTGGCTTACTCCCCTGGATTCCCACACCGAGCAGCAGAGGCTACTCGACAACTGCGTCCCCTGGGGAAAACAGCTGATAGAGTCTAAAGTATTCCAGCACTGGGTCGGGGGCGCACCCTGGCAGCTACGTTGCTATGGAGCAGCGGGTGTCGGCAAGGTGAGTTTGTCTCAAGGGCTAGATGTACTTTGATATAACGAGAACTGATCTGGTGCGTTTTCTGAATCAGACCCATCTCTGCGCCGTGATAGTGGACCATCTTCAGACTATGCTAAGGATGAACCCTCGGCAACCGGTCATCTACATCTACTTGAGTGATGAAACAAAGAAAAGGGACTCTCAAACACGGGATAACGTCCTAGGAAGTCTGGTGAAGCAATTGATCCTATTCAATAGCTCCGTTCCCATACCGTCCGGTCTCAGAAAGGCATCCAAGAACCAACTTCCGCGCGAAGCTGCACTTAAGCACGCGTTTGAAGAGCTACTTGGGGAGTATGAACGCACTTACCTGGTTGTCGACGGCTTCTACCAATGCTCCTCTGATGTTCTGCACATCCTCAAGGACTATCCTCTTGATCTTATCAGGAAGGGCGTTTCACTGAGCCTTCTCACAACGTCCCCCAGTTACCGACAAGCAGCATGCGTAATTAATTGTGACGGGTGCAAGAGGCCAGACCTCAAAGTCTTCTTCAATTGCCATTGCAATGACAGCGACTTTGATCTATGTCTTAAATGCAAGGTTGAGGGAGTTCGTTGCTTAAATAGCCACCACACAGGAAAGGAGACCTATGATACGGTCCGCGTCGAAATATGTCCTACAGAGGAGGACATCATCCACTTCTGTGACTCCAGACTCACACATGGTTCCAGCCCTGAGCATCGGCTATGGGATAAGCGCATCCACCCTGAGCCGCCCTATAACGACTCCTGTATAGCACGTTATCTGCGCGACAACCCGGGACTGAAGAAGGCCATTGCAAGGGAAATTGCTAAAAAAGCACAGGGAAACTTTCTTGTTGCACACGAGTGTCTTCAGGTCTTGTTAAAAGCGGATAAGATACCACAAGACTGGGACGTCCTACTTGCCAGGGCGGAAAGCAAGGCGTTCGACGCCCTCGAAAGCCACTACGACAGCAAGATTGAGTGTGTTAAGAACTACAACATGGGACAGGCCTTAGCATTCAAGGTCTTTCGTGTGCTCATGACAACGTGTCGACCGATAAATATCTTGACATTGCAGCATGCCTTGGCCCTCGAGAGAGATGAATGGCTGGATGAGGAAAATCTAGAGCATCGAGTGTCCATACTAAGAGCAACAAACGGACTGATTACGATCGACAAAGCAGACGACGCAAACTCCATTGTGCGATTCTTCCACGGGGCTCTGAAGAGGGTCCTTGGTAAGAGCCACTTGGACCCATCGGTTGCGGAGTCAGAAATGGCCAAACTATGTCTAATGTATCTCCAACATGAGGATTATGCAAAGCACTCGGCAAATCTCGCGGCGTACCCTTTCCTTTATTATACTCTGCAGCATTGGGGAGACCACGTTCGAAGTGCATGCGACGAGCATAACTCTGTGATCGAGGGCAAGGCTCTTTGGCTTTTGAACGACCCTGATAGCGTCAAGGCAATAGCTCGAGAGGCTGGAAAAGTGCTGCCATCAGGCTGGATCCACGAAGGTATTGGTGCCGTCCATTTTTGCGCTTGGTTCGGTTTATCTACAATTGTGAAGAAGCTACACCGTGACGGCCACAGTTTCACAGAACCGGATAGAAAACACGGACGGACGCCTCTGCAATACGCATGCAGACAGGGCCATGTAGCCACAGTCAAGGCGCTTCTGGCATTGAATGTGCCCCCAAGTGACGCGGTGATCATGGACGTCATCTGCGGATTCCCGTACATGGACCGTGATGAGAAGGAGCGAGTGGACATCGCAGAGATCCTGTTAAGCGGTCGTACGCTAAATTCGGGTATCGACGCACTCGGTACAACAGTCCTCATGATGGCAGTAAAGCATGGCTACTACGACTTCGTGGACACCCTATTGCGCGAGAAGTCAATAGACATCAACGTTACGGATAGGAACGGTCGCACCGCGTTATGGTTTGCTGTCGACTCCCATCCAGCACCGCTCGTTCCTCTCAAAACAGATCTTCCCGATGGTATCATCGGACTGCTGCTTCGCAAGGGGGCAGACCCAAATATTCAGTGCCAAAAGACCGGAAAGTCGGTTTTGGCTCATGCAAGGTCATCGCGGCGCTCAGCTGCGACTGCCATCTTACTCAAATGCGATAGACTTGAACTATCAAAAGAAATATTACCGGATGTCACAGATGCACAAGAGAAGCTCGGTTTGACACCGCTTCAGGCTCAACTGGCAGCAGAAGGCAGAAGTCTCTCGTCCAGCCAGCGTGCAAATTTCAGTATAGATCTCAGTGCTGGTGATACCTTGCCTGAGCCGGAGATCCGCACGATGAAATCTGCGCGCAGCCACAAGCGCAGATTACCTGTTATAGATGAGGGCGAGAAGAGACGAGACAAGCAAATAAAGGTACAATGAGACAATCTACCGCTCTGGCGCTCATATGCGATAGTTCAGCATGTTTTCTCCCGATCGCTTCTTGCAACTCACGATATGAGTCTATGTATCTATTATGTTTATTGTAGGTGGCAATGGGCATGTGATAACAGTTATATCGTTTACGGAGTATATAATAAAATAAATCTTATTAGATAATGCTGGTTGGTTCTGTACAACTATCGAGATAGGGCTGGCTTCAATAATGGCGATAAAGGTGATGGTTTCAGCCACTAGGGCTAGGGTATAGCAACCTCTCCAGCCTGATTAATATGCCCGGCAGAGCGCTTTTCCCTCCATAATCCTTGTAGTTTGTCCCGGACAGCCCCATCTGCTTCCCCGCGCCTTAAATTGGCTGCCCCGAGCTTCCCCATACAAGCCTGTACCGTTCCCCACTTGGCTGTCAGCTTAGCAATTATCCACGAGTAGCATTTGTTATACCGACATCTAGTCTTGAGTGTATTTATTGGAGCCGTCCCTACTCCATGGGCTAAGCGTTCTGCCGTCTTATGCCTTTGCCGTGGCCAGATGAAGCTACCGACCGGGTAATCGGTTCCTGCAGCAGCATGTATAAAGCTAGCAGGCCGTTGCTCAAGCTTTCTGCCTGGGGTCAGCTTGGTTGATCATGGACAAAATGAGGTTCTTTCCGCAGAGCCTTTCTCTCCTATTTACCTTGCCGGTTCTGGGTGCACCTGCATCGTCCAGCAACAATTCCACCAGTGCAGGCCTTCTAGTCCAGACCTCCAGCGGTCCCATCCAGGGCTTCTTCAACCAGTCTGCCCCCGACGTCCGCCAGTTCTTAGGAGTCCCCTTCGCCGAACCCCCAATCGGCGATCTACGCTTTGCGCCACCGCTAAGCAAAAAGCCCAATGGCACGACCATCAAAGCCCTCGCTCTCCCTGACTCGTGCATGCAACAGTTCAACTCGAACAGCTCGACGATCTACACAGAATACGAGAACGGATTCCTGATTAGCGGCGGGAATTCGGAGGATTGCCTGTATTTGTCGATCTGGGCGCCCCGGTTGGAGAATGTTCGGTCCCAGCAGCGACCGCTCCCTGTGCTTCTTTATATCCCTGGTGGTGGGTTCACGAGTGGTGGGCAGGCGTCGCTGTATAAGATTCCCGATCAGTGGGTTCAGCGCACGCAGGACCATATTGTGGTTATTATGAAGTTGGTTCCCAGCATTTGATATTGAGATTCAGTGACTCTGACGGATTCTAGCTATCGAGTTAATGTCTTTGGCTTCCCTAACTCAAAGGCCTTGGAGGACCAGAATGTCGGCTTATTAGACCAGAGATTGGCGTATGTAACCCTCCACTCCATAAAAAAGCAGATGCTAACATTTGAATACAGGGTTGAATGGGTCCACGAAAACATCGCCAACTTCGGCGGCGACCCTGCCAGAATCGCCCTCTGGGGCCAGTCCGCCGGTGCTGCAAGCGTAACAGTCTATCCCTATGGATACCCCGAGGATCCCATCGTCAATGCCCTCATTGCGGATTCCGGTGCGCCTACTATCATCCGCAACCGCGATGTCGCGCAGTCCAATTTCACCTTCTTGGCTGGGCTAGTAGGTTGCGATGAGGGCGACGACGTCGAGATACTCGGCTGTGTTCGAGAGGTGCCTGCGCAGACACTGGAGAATGCGCTGTCGTATTACTCGGGAAATAACTCCAGTCCTTCTCTGGCGTTTACTCCGATCGTGGACAATAAAACGGTGTTTTCCAACTTCACGCAGCGGGCGTTAGAGGGCAGGATTGCAGACACGGTAGGTCTCTCTACTCACTCTCGACTCTCCCTGTACAAACCGAGCTAACCCTACCCCGTCAGCCCCTGATAATCGGCAGCAACAGCAACGAAGGCGCCGGCTTCGTGCCCTTCACTCCGGCCGGACCAGGCGCTGAAGCCCTATTTACCTCAACAATGTCCATAATCGCATGCCCCGTTGGAGAGGAAGCAAGGAGCCGTGCCCTCGCCGGTCTGACCACTTACAGATATGAATACGCCGGCAACTTCACCAATATCTCGCCCCTACCGTGGTTCGGCGCGTACCATAGTGCCGAACTACCTCTCCTCTTCGGCACGCATTCCCAATATGGCGGTCCTTCAACCCAGTTTGAGTGGGATGTCAGCTATGCCATGCAGGCGCTGTGGTTGTCGTTTGTGGAAGACCCGGCTCGGGGCCCTGTACAACCGGCTTTGGATGGAGTTAAGGGGCATCCTGATAGGAGTGAGGCTGTCTTTGAATGGCCTGCTTTTGAGGCTGGGTCTGGGGATCTTTTGCTTTTTGCTGAGGATGGGAAAGTCACGCAGGTGGTTGATTCTGGGCGTATTGACGGTTATTGTTAGGTTTGCCATACCAAGACAGATATAGGCCATCTTCTCCTCAAAGCCCATTAGATAGAGAAATCGAGTTCTTCTATACAGTCCGTGGATGAATGTCTCAGACTTGAATGGTTTCCGTACTCCAGTACGAAGAGTTATGAACTTCTCACGTCGGGGGGCTATACTTGGTTTATCCAGGGTAGAAACTTTTCTTGACAGACTAGACTTTCCTCTTTGAATTTAGCACGTTGTCAACCTTAAGTTTCAACTATTTTGGGCTTTAGCTTCATGGCCGGACAGTGTCAGGGACAGCCATGTGGTTGCGCGGAAGATTAGCTACGGTGCAACAACACAATTGGTTTGAGCTAATATTAAGTATACTTTTCATAATTTGGTTCCTTGTTTCTGATTTGTGTATGCCAGGGGGGTTCGTTAGAACCTTGTTGTTATCAATCTGCAATACGTGTGTCCTAATATAGACAGCTATATAGACTCGCCTCATAAAAACCGGATTTCCCAAACTGCTAATCATTTAATACAAAACCCGACAACAGTAATCATTCCTCTATATATTGAAGCTGATATCATACTTCCTTACCTACGTCATTTTATTTTCCAAGTAATCTGGACTCCAACAATGCATTCGGATTCCAGTCTCAATCCAATTCAATCCAACAATCTCCCAGCCCCACATACATGCATGCCCGTCCCAAACCCACAACCGTCCCACAAAACATAACAGACAACCAGGGAAATTAGGGAAGGGCAAAAAAAAAAGTTCATGGGGTCACCCGGGATTGAACCGGGGACCTTTCGATTAAGGATGAAAGAAGTTGAACTTCAGTCGAACGCTACTCCCGCTGAGCTATAACCCCATTTTGTGCTACATTGGTCGGATCGTGACTACATCTGGTTAAGCAAAAAAAAATTTTCAAAAGTGTGCACAAAGTGTGCACAGAGTCCGGTGCGGACTTGGGGAGTAATACAAACTGCCTCAGGCCGGGCTATCCAGGACACAATTCATAAACAGCGGAGTTTATAATCGACATAATCGACAGATTATATTCTATTATCTAGCTATTCTTGCCTCGAAAGAACGAAACAAATTTAGTGGACATCCTAGCCCATCAAAGAAACTCAAGCGAGCAGCGCTGGGGTATGATTCTCGCCAGACAGCCAACCTAATTATACAAACAAGACAAAATGAAGCGAAATGCACAGTGCAATCTGAAGGGTATTGGTTCAGCAACCGAGATAAATACGGCATAAAATAAACAGAGAGGCAGGACTTGGTCAAGTCAATTAAACTACCAGCAGGAGCGCGAGGGCACCGAGGACGACAGTCGCCGGCGCCGACGCCGACATTCTGCTGGCCATGCCAGTGAACACGGGGCTTGATGGCGTGGTCGGTGTGCCGGTGGTAGTGGGCTCAGCGCCGCTGGGGATGACAGCGTCCGTAGTTTGCCAAGATGTTGGCTCAGCGCTCGGGACAGAGACGAAGATTGACGAGCTGGCGTTGATTTTCCAGGAGGTGCTGCTGCTTGTAGTTTCCTCTCGAGGGGCAGTGTAGATGACACTGTCAGGGGGGACAGACGGCGATGAGGTCTCTGGCTGCTGGGGCGCGTGTGTGGCAGGAGTGGTTTGCGCGGCGCTAGTGGCTGGTTGTGCGACGGGGTCGACGGAGGTTTCCGTTGTTGGAACGTTCTCTGTGACTGGGGCTTCGGGTTCGTGGGTTTCAGCGGGAGCAGTTGTGATTTCCGGCTGAGCTATGGTCTCAATCGAGGCCCCCTCTGTTGTGGCTGGAGCTTCGGGTTCGTGCGTGGCCGCCGGAGCGGATGTGGTTTCTGGCTCAGCCACGTTCCCAATTGTCTCAATTGAGGCCCCTGATGGAGGGGCGGCTGAGTTTGAAACGGCGTTCGCGGTTTGCAGGCTCTCGACCGGGCAGAGAGTGGTGGTCCTGGTGACATACTTGGTCTTCTTCTTGGAGGAAGTTTGCGAGTTGGTGGGCTCAGCATTTGAAGGGGCGCTGGGAGCCTCGGTCGTGGCTGGGGCGGCAGCAGTCTCAGGCGCGTGCTCAGTGCCCACGGTCTCAGTACGAGTGTTAACCGTGGTGCTGGTGGCTGTCTCGTGAGTCGCGGCGTCGGTCTCAGTCGAAGGAGCGGTGGCGGTGGTCTCGGGAGCAGCCTCGGTCTGGGTCGAAGGAGCAGGGGCAGTAGTCTCAGGAGCAGCCTCTGTAGTCTTGGTAGTGGCAGCGGCCTGAGTTCCGTGAGCCTCGTCGTCATTTCCGCCAACCTGGAAAATCTTGATGGAGTTGAGCTCCCAGTATGCGTTCTTGAACTCCTTAGGGTTCTCCGCCACGTAGTTGACACAGCTCCCCATGGGGTCGCTCGCGTCGCTGATAGGGCAGCCGCTGTCACCGAAAACACCGCCGGCCCAGTCACCGCAGAAGGTGGTGTCAAGGATCATCTTCTGGTGGGTGAAGCGCTCTTTGAAGTTGCACGAGCCCTGCAGGTGGGCCATGGGCTTGCCGAACGACGAAACGTCTGGCTTGCCGGTGGAAAGGGACTCGGGGATCTCAGATCGCGGGAAGTACCAGATCTTGAGGTACTCCTCCTGCCATTCCATGGCATAGACACCACCACCGCCCTTGTTAAAGGGTGTGCCGGAAGAGCCCTTCTGGCCCTTGACCACGCACCCAATAGTGCCTGATGCATCACCGCACTCGCTCGATGTCATCTCGCCCAACATATCCTTCTCGCCGCCGACATCGCACGAGCCACTGGTGTGCAGGACGATCTTGTTCGCATCGTGCTGGTTGACGCCTTCAATGATATCAATCTCACCGTCGGTTGGCCAGTTGGGGCCGACTGTCCAAAAGGCAGGCCATGTACCACAGATACTGCCTGGCATGTGCTGGATGTCGACGACATAGAGACCCTGGTCGTAGTACTCGTTGCTCTCGATACGGACAGACTCACGGCCTGGGCCATCAGCCGTGAGAACTGATTCATAGTCGACGCCCATATAAAGGCTTCCACTGTCGGTGACTTTTAAAAGGCCGGCATCCTCTGCATGGCTTTGGTTGACATAGGTGACGAAGCCATTGGTGGGGTCGGGGGCATCGAAAAGGTGAAAGTGATCCAGGATCTTCTCGCCCTCCCAGGAGTGTTTCAGCTTGTAATTGCCGGCGGCTTGCGCGATTCCCGGGAAGATGATGGCAGAGGCAGCGATAGAGCCCACCGTCCGCATCAATGAGGAGGACATTGTGATGTGAGTTGAAATAAGAAACTTTTCTTGTAATAGGTCGATTTTGCTATACGAAAGGAGTGAATGAATGGGCTGCTTTAGCGGATGCAGGGAGCAGATGCAAATAGATCGATCGATCAAGATCAGAGAATGAAAAGGAATGGAAATAGACCGTCAAGGCCGTAGTTACGTAGTAAGTCAAATGACGAAGGAAAGAAAAATGCAGAATCAATCCGCAATGACGAAGTGGCCCGACAAAGAATGCAGAGGGCAAGAAAGGAAAGGAGAACTGAAGTATGTGAGACAGAATGGCTGCAGGACCCTGGGCAACGGGCCTATATACGACCAGCACAGGCCTGGAATCTGGAACGCTCGCGCATTGTTGAAGAGCGCCAAAGAACACAATCTGGACTGTGGCGTCGTCCAATCCAGAGGCGTGGTCAGCCCAGCATGAGGAATTGGCGAGAGCAAGAGCAGCAAATGGGAGCCAAGGGACAGCAGCGCCATGACGAGCCAAGATAACTCATTCCTCATCGAGGCATGCTCGGCCAGCTCCGGCGACAACGATGGCGCGCAGTGGGGGGCCCTTGCAGCGTCTGAAACGCGAGATGTCAACTTGAAACAGGGGACGTTGCAGTCTGCAAAGGTCAACATTCAACAAGGTGAACAATAGCTGCAAATGTCTGAGTGTGAAGTCTGAATAGAAACCTATTGTGTTTATTAATCACCGGTAATTGACAGCGAGGCTTGCAAGCCATTGTAATGAGCGCGAGTGTTGTGTTGTGGTGGCAACTGGCAACAACATTCCTGGCGCCACAGGGGACAACCAGCGATCGGGCGCCAACCAGTCCAGCGTCGCATCTTGAGTCGAGACTCGAAGTCGAGAGAACACGGTGTGGAGCAAGCCCAGCCGCCTGCTCAAATGAGAGGAAATTACTGACGGCCGAGCAAGATTCCCCTGATTCTGGGATGAAGTTGATGAGATGAGTTGATGAGATGGTGAGATGAGTTGCATTGAGAAAGGAGAGCGGGGTTCTTGCCTGAGGCCAACACCATCACTCTCTCTCAACAATCACCACAGTAAACCCCTATACCGGCAACTCGTACAGTTCTATTTATGGGAAAGTAGAAATATAGAAATATATATTTACGCCAAACCGATAAACAAGATCACAGGTCACTGTATACAGTGCGTTCCATGGTTCGCACCGCCAAATCCACGGAACCAGCCGCGGGAAGACCTCTATAATGCTTAAGATATATATTTTCACCCCTTTATAACAATCAATTTTGCGCTGACTTAAGGTAGTGTGAAGCTATAACTAGTACTTGCCGGTCCGATTGTGGTATACACCCAACAGGAGGATGGAACAAAATGAGTAATACCCGCTCAAATACTTGTCCTTTGGGAGTAGTCTAGCTATGGAGTATAGGACTAAGAGGTCTACTAAACTAGTAGATCATTGGTATATTAATGTAGCCTGGACAGGAACTGGAATGTTCCAATAACTCGGAAACAGGCGCGGGAACACAGTCTGGTAGAATATAAATAAGAATACAAATTTAATCATATTATAAATATTATGGGCGGTCGCAAGCACGCAGCTTGCTTTTTGACCTGGTAAAATCAAGAAAATCACTGCCCTTACGCTATTTGCGTCTTTGAAGGGTAACTTGACCGGAATATATTTCGAGTGCTGATGGATAGCGAGCGTATATAGAACAGGCTAACGGATCATAAGTGCCATCTGCTTCCCTTTCCAAGTACGCCACCGGATACTGATCCGTGGTGTCTTTCCATAGTTCCCAGAGAAATTCAACCTGTGTCTTCATAATCCCATCATAGTTGTCCGAAGTCTCGTCGAGCTCAGGCCACGCTTCTACAGCCTTCAGACACCATTCCCCTAGCTTATCTAGTAAAAATGGCCGGGGGAATAGTGCGATTGGTCTTGCTTCGTCTGATTCCATCGAGCCCGGTTCATGGACGGACCACGGCGCCCTGTTTAATACTGGCAAGGCAGAACTACGGGAAATTCTCTGTCAGATAGAGGGGTGTATGTAGTGCGGTAAATAACGAAGCCCCAGGTTGCTGTTGGGAAACATTGTAGGTCGCTTGCGAGTCTACGAGCTGGCTCGCTCATTGCCATTGTAAAGAACAGCAGCAGCAATGGAGAGTACATTGTATAAAGTATATATTCCTGGCCCTACCTAAGTTTCTGCCATGCTGGTGTATTTCGCTGAGGCTAGGATACTCGAAGTAGGCTCGATGACTGGGGTGCTAACAGGGGATATTGAGAAGCCAAGCAACAACACCATCTTGCTGATTCTGCAATGTTAGAATATTTGGTGGCAGAGGAAGATTCGGCATTGTAAGCATTGACCATATTTATGCTAACTACAAATAATAATGATGGAATAATAGTTAGTTATAAGACGTCGTATTCGCTATATTATCAGCCACGGCATCTTATAAGGTCCTCGCTGATAGCACGGCATAACAGCATAACAACATTAGCACAACAGCATAACGGCAGGCAGACAACTGGCTTACGGTGATCATCGATGATCGTTCGTCCAACGGCTCCATTTATGCTGGCCTGGTTTCTGATAAGGTATAGTCCGGAGCCAGTGCCACTCCCACAGCAGTGCCCCTGCAGCACATACCGCTCTGCAACCGCAGATCGACCGGAGACCTTCCTCTTCTCACAAGATCGTCTGGAATAACCCAGGTTCATGCCCGGTCGATGCTGGGTGGATGGGAGTGGCCCTGTGGGTCGAAGGAGGGAACCGTGCGAGTGGGGATCTTCAGATTCTCCTTCTCGGTCTCGTCGGGATCCGGGATCTGCCTTGAAGCGGTTGAGGATTTGAGGTTGAATCAGGGCTAAAGCACGGAGCACGGATGGTTGCTTGCTCGCTTGCGCGCTTGCTCGTGACACTGTGACTGCCCATGTCGAGGCGCCCCCCCCTGATCGTCTTGTCCAATGTCCACTATCTTAATCTCACGATGCATCACCGTACGCCGGGGCCACCTTCCTGGACGCCGGCAGAATTGGCAAACGCCATGGCTATTCCTGCGCGTTTAACTTTCGCGGCGCTGCACGCGACCTCCTTGATCTTCACTAGGATAGGAAAATGTTGAGACAAGCCAGGGCAAGCTTGTTTCTAGCCCGCTACGCGATCAGGGAAATTTCCCGAGAGGACCGCGGAGCACAACACGAGTCGTGCTGGCGACGCCTCTGACATAGTCTACTATAAAGATATTAATGAGGGCCGCAGTCGTGTCGGCACCTGTCAGTGACGACTGACGACCCCCAGCGATGGACGACCAGCCATTGATGTTAGAGACAGACACGGCAGGGCGTGGACTGCCCAACGCTCAAATCCATATCAGGGAATGGAACAAGCAAGACTAAGTTGCCATCCGGCTGGAAACGGTCTGGAGACCCAAAAATCCGGTCCGCTGTGGACTGGGGAACAAACTTCCACTAACTGGGTGGACCTGGAGCGGCGGCTGGATTGACTCGAACGCGCTGAGTCTTCCCTTTTTGCTCTTCGCCGTGTCGATCAGGTATGGTCTGCATAGGGCTTGGCTTCTTCAAAGGCGGCTTGAGCCGGTCTTCAGGATGGCTCGATCAGAAGGATCACTGAAGGAATGCAAATCCGATGGGTGGTTTATATGGATAGGGAGGATGGCAAAGACGGGCTGGATATAGACTGATGGGAAGACAGCTGCGAATTGTGTCAGATTCACGGCCTTCTTTCTAGAAACTGAAACATCCTACCCAGCCTTAGAATGCTTGGTGGACCCGTCACGGACACATAATCCATGGAACCGAAGATTGATACGAAACTAAGAATCGCTGCTGCTGGCCATTTTGTTCCTAATCCGGGGTGACCCCTCGCGAATGATGGACAGCAGGAATAGTGATTGACGCTCTGGATGTCCAAATCGAGCTCATTCTGGCCTCCAGCATCCAGCCTCTGCGGCGAAACAAACTTTCGGGGAGACGGGCTCACTGGGCTCATGGAGACTCATGGATGGGGACTGGACTGGGGCACTGTTGTTTAAGATCAATGGGGCTCCCCGGAACCAACCTTTTCTCCTACAACACTGAAATACATCGTACTCTTTGCAGCAGCAGGCCTCGGTCAATGGAGTATTGAGATCGATTGCCTGGACGCGGGACCGTCCTGATATCAGACCAACATAACCGAATACTAAACGACAGCTCGCAACATGGCCTCCATGGATGAAATGCCCGCGCTGCCCCCGCCACCCGGGGAGAAGTCCAACTTTGTCGACCCAGTCTACGATGGCAACAGATTTGTGGTGGTGAATGTTGTCTTCCTGTTCATCTCGTTTATGTCGGTGGCGATCCGAATATGGACCCGAACGTTCATTGCGCGAGGGTACCGCTTGGATGACTGTAAGTCTTTTGTCTGCTGTGGAAGTGCTATACTGACCGCTGCAGTTTTAATGATTACTTCGTTTGTGCGTTTCTCGCCTTGATCTTATAGGTGGATGCTAACCAGACAGATATGCTCGTGCGTGCTGAGCGGGATTATTCTAGAGAGTAAGTGGACAACCATACTACTGTTAAACACTGCCTGTTAAGCAAGCTGACGATGACAGTGCTGAACTGGGGACTCGCGGTCCATATGTGGAATGTCCCTGTCAGCCATCTCTCACCACACTTCCTCAAGGTACGACCAGACCTATCGAACGCTCCCTCTACGCAAATCTGACAAGCCAGTTCAACGTCATCGCCGCCATAATGTACTGCATCGGCACGGGATTCCTCAAGGTCTCGGTGCTGCTGTTCTACATGCGCATCTTCCCCAGCCGCAACTTCCACCTGGCCGTGTGGGTGCTCGTCTTCATTGCCGCCTCGTACAACGTCGCCAGTGTGCTCGCCAACGCCTTCTCGTGCAACCCGATTGACAAGTCGTGGGACGTGACCATAACCGAGGGCTACTGTATGAACCGGCCGGTGTTCTACTTTGCGAATGCCGGGCTGGGTATCTTTACCGACTTTGCCACTGTCTTGGTTCCTGTGTATGTATTGCTGCAGCTGAAGGATGGGCGAGTGCTGATTGTTTAGGCCTTGGCTGCGACGCCTGCAGATGCCGCTGAGACAGAAGATTGCCGTGGGCTGTATCCTAGCTACCGGATGCTTGTGAGTATTTGCTCTTATATCAGAAATCTGTACTAACTCGACCCAGCGTCGGCGTCGTGAGCTGCATCCGCCTTTCCAGTCTCTACACCCTCCAGAATACCGAGGACCTAACCTGTACTCCCTCCCCTCCTATCCTAATCTTGAAGCGAAGCTAACATATACCTATGTAGGGGCCACGACCAACGCGCTCATGTGGTGCGTGATCGAACTCAACCTAGGCATCTTCGGCGGCTGCGTAACAGTAATGCGCCCCTTCGTGCGCCGCTACTTCCCCCGTCTCCTCGGCCTCTCTTCAAACGGCAGCAAGAGTGCATACGCGTATCCATCGCAGTCGCGCGGCAACTCGCACCCACTGGCGTCCATCCCGCGCTCCGAGCAGCCCGGGTTCTCGAGCCATGGGCACCAGTTCTCCACCACGTTCAAGACGCATAATTCGAGCGAGGAGCATATTCTGCCGTCGCCGGGGATGGGGAAGGAGCTGGATGGGATTGTGCGCACGGTGGAGTTTGACGTGAAGCAGTCTGGTGGGGTGGGGAGTAGCCATCATAGCCATGTCTAGAGACTAGGGAGACGCGAGTCAGGCAGACCGGGAGAATGTCGGAGTCTGATCATGTTATTTAGCGATGGATTTTGTATTATACTCATTTTATGCTAATGCTAATGCTAATAATAGTCAGTAATGGATGCCCCTGAATATCTGGACGGCACGTGCTCGATTCATTCATCCATCGTCGATTTATGAATTTGTCAAGATCAATAACAAGATCAAGTTCGATTCAGTAGATCAGTTATGCAGACAGCCTGAATCATTCTGCACCGGGGATCCCCCTGGAAAAGGAATGAATCGCAGCAGGCCCACAGCGCTACGCATTTTAGTGTGTGGCTAGTCAAGAAGCTTGCATGATGACAAAAACATTCTGATTGCGATCCACCACTGCATCCACTCTGCGGCTTTGCAGGCGAGCACCATGGTTCTGCTTCGGCAACACGGGACGAACTGCTGCCGTTCTCGTTCTCGTCGCGAGTTGCTGTTGCCGTTGCCATGTGGTGAGTTTATTTCTCCCCGGTCTCCCTCCGCCACTTTCAAGGGTCACTGAAGCGTCAATACGAGCACCATCACAACCACCATGCGCCTCATCAACGCTCTCCCTCTGGGCCTGAGCCTCTCTCTCGCCGGCAGCTCGTCCGCAGACTCCGCCGACTCCGCCGGCTGCGATGCCCTGAAGAGCGGCCTCGCCGACTCGGTCTTCTTCCCCTCCGACAAGGTCTACAACGAGGAGTCGCAGAACTTCTGGTCCAACACGGAGATCCTGTCCCCGGCCTGCGTGTTTCGCCCGGCGTCGGCGCAGCAGCTCGGCGAGGGCATTAAGCTGTTGAAGGAGAGCCATGGGAACTTTGCTGTGCGGGGTGGTGGACACATGGGGATCAAGGTACCTTACACCGTATACTTGTTGAGTTGGCTGTAACTGACAGTTGTAGGGCGCGAACAATATCGATGATGGCGTGCTGATTGTCATGTCGGCGCTGAATACGCTGGAGCTGTCCGAGGATCAGTCCATCCTGCACCTTGGGCCGTCATACCGGTGCGTCTTTCTGTCTTTTGCATTGCTTCGGTCTTGAATCTTCTTTTCTTCTAACATGAGTAGATGGACCGAGGTGTACTCGTTCTTGGAACCGCACGGGCTCGGTGTCGCTGGTGGTCGTCTCGGTCCTGTCGGTGTCCCTGGTCTGCTGCTTGCTGGTGGTGTCAACTTCTACGGCAACCAGGTTGGCTGGGCCTGCGACACCGTCGTCAGCTACGAGGTTGTCCTGGCCGACGGGTCTGTCGCCGAGGTCGACAAGGACAGCCATCCTGACCTGTTCTGGGCGCTGAAGGGTGGCAGCAGCAACTTTGGCTTGGTGACTCGCTTCAGCCTGCAGACCATCAAGTCGCCGCGGGTGTGGGCTGGTTCGTACACCGTGGCTGAGCAGTATATTGACCAGTTCTTGAAGGTATGTTGTGCCATATTCCATATTGTAGGCAGTGGATCTGACTGAGTAGGCCGTCGCCACGTTCTCTGCGGACATCTCCGACCCCAAGACGCATATTGTGCCTGCTCTGGTGCCCTCGCCCGGCTCAGAGACCCTGGCCTCTGTCATCCTCTTCCACGACGACGACAGCACTCCGTTCCCCGAGGCCTTCAAGCCCTTCACCGACATCCCGGTGTACTCCAGCACGCTGGCCTTCAAGACTCTGGCCCAGTTCGCCGACGAGCTCGGCCAGATGGTCATCGACGGCATCAAGTACGCAGTCCTTATCTGTCTCGCGAACTTAGCTAACTAAATAGTGATGTCTTCGTCGCTGGCACCGTCACCGGCCAAACCTTCGACGAGCTGCACCGCGGCATCAGCATCATCAACAGCACCTTCTTCGACCGCCTGCCGGCCCTGTACGACCAAATCCCCGCCGACAACATCAAGGCCATCCAGCTCGACTGGCAGCCCATCGGCAAGCTGTGGATGGACGCCTCCGCCAAGGCCGGCGGCAACGCGCTGGGCCTGCAGCCGGGCAAGGTGTATCTCGCCTATGCTGAGGTGGTGGAGTGGACAGGCGCCGAGTACGACGAGGCTGTCATGCAGTGGGTCGAGGAAACCACGTATGCGATTAACAATGCCACCCAGAAGGCAGGCCTGTATGACCCGTTTAACTACATGGGCGATGCGGCGGGCTTCCAGTCCATCTTCCCTGGTTATGGCGCTGGCAATCACCAGCGTCTGGTGAATGTTGCGCAGAAGTATGACCCGACTGCGGTCTTTCAGAACCTGATGCCTGGGGGATTTAAAGTGTATTAGCTTTAGTAGAGTAACGATACAATAATTATCTAATCCATTAATTCTTCTATCTTATTTATTGCTGGTGGATAAGCGCCGAGCCAACCTGAAACCGAAACCGCCACCAAATGCCCCGATCGCAGGAAAAGGACCGCCAGACCCTGAAAACTCCAATCCAACTCCTCCTGTTCCTGATCCAGACTCAGATCAGGCATCAGGGTCCAGCGCCATTGGTCCAGTGCCATAGGCCCAACGGTCGGCTTGACCCTGCTCATTAAACCGTCAGATCTGTCACTGCCAGGCCGGGCCAAGGACCAGACCTTCATCTCCTGTACCAGCTGTCAGGTTACACTGCAGGAGTCCTGCAAACGCGCATGCAGCCACTGTCGGAGAATACCGCCAGGCTGTTGGTTTGTCGCTGTTCATTGCTCTTTGTCGGCACTGGGCTGACACCTGAAACGCCGCTGCAGGGCTCCAGATCGATCGGTGGAATTTGAAACTGCAACCCGTATTTCTACGTCTTATTTGACTGATTGTGGCTGTCTTGTTTAATTGTACTCCATTGTTTGTCTGCAGGCATTTCTGATCCATCCTGCCTCGAGTCATGCCGGCGCTTATGCTATATAACTTATAACCTGTAACTCCCCAAGATTATCATTCACTCTTTCTTCAGTCTTCAGTCATTCCTTACATTCTTACATTCTTACACTCCTTTGATAGGTTTGTTTCTTTCTTTCTTTCAACATGCTCTTCTCCCTCCTCGCCCTCGCCCCCCTCGTGGCTGGCCACACCCTCATGACAACCCTATACGTCGACGGCGAGAACCAAGGCGACGGAGTCTGCATCCGCCAGAACGATAACCCCGAGAAGGCAACATTCCCCATTAGCCCTCTAGCCAACGATGCCATGGCCTGCGGTACCCCCTCCCTCCCCCTCTATCCAGTACATACAAAGATGCTAATAGTAGAAGGCTACAACGGCGAAACAGCCAACAAACGAACCTGCCCAATCTCGCAAAACTCAACCCTCACCTTCAAGTTCCGCGAATGGCCCGACGGCAGCCAAGGAGGTTCCATAGACGACGGGCACAAGGGGCCCTGCGCGGTGTACATGAAGCCCGTAGAAGACGCAACAGCGTCTAACAACGCCGCGTCCGGAGACGGCTGGTTCAAGGTGTATGAGAACACTTACGACGAAGACGAGAGCCAGTGGTGCACGGAGAAACTCATCGCCAATAATGGGTTTCTCTCTGTTAATGTGCCCCAGGGGCTTAAGGGTGGTGATTATCTGGTGCGTACGGAATTGCTGGCCTTGCATGCTGCGCAGGATGACCCGCCGGATCCGCAGTTCTATGTTGGCTGTGCGCAGGTTTTCCTTGAGGGTTCGGAGGATGGGGCTGTGCCTGAAGGGATTGCGATTGATAAGGATACGTATGATTTGGGGATTAAGGGGTTGACGTATAATCTGTATTCGACGCCGCTGGAGCTGCCGTATCCGCGCTTTGGGCCGGCGGTTTATAAACCGGATGCGAAGGCTTCGAAGGCTGCTTCTGGTGAACAGGCTGTGCAGAAGAAGGGTCTTGAGCCTGAGGGGTGTATTCTTGTTCGTGATGATTGGTGTGGGTTTGAGGTGCCGAGTTATAGTGATGAGGAGGGATGCTGGGCGGTTTGTCTTCTTCCCTTTCCCTTTCACTATATATATGCTAATTATGACAGTCCTCCAAGAACTGCTGGAACCAGACGGACGTGTGCTACGAGACGGCGCCGCCAACGGGCAGCAAGAACTGCAAGATCTGGGAGAACAAGTGCAACAATATCGATGACCAGTGCAATGCGGGCAACTTCAACGGGCCGCCGAATAAGGGCAAGGATTTGACGCCGAAGCTGGAGGGGATTGACGGCTCGACTGCTGAGTATTCTGGAAGTATCAGCAGCAGTCAGTTTGAGGGTTCCAACGATTCCAGCAAAGATTCAGGCAGTGACTCGACTACCACTACCACTACCACAGCTACAGCGACAGCTACGGCGACAGAGACAGCAGATGCTGATGCTGATTCTGATGCTGGTCGTGGATCGGGAAAAGGCCACTGCAAGGCTAAGTACTCCCACTAACAGATCAGTTAGTATGTAGTCTGTCTAGAGTAAATGTACTTCTATCTATATCAACCGCTTATTGATAGCCAAAAGCAACACATAAAGACTCTCCAGCCGTGCAATTCCCACACCAGCATCCCTCCCCTTCCGTACCGGCGTCCCAAGAATAACTTCGATCTCCATCTTCCTCCCAGCTTCGCGGTCCGCCTGCATACTGGTCCTCAACTGCCCCGTCCTCGTCAACTCCCTCGCCCTAGCCAGCAACTCATCCTCCAGCCCCTGCTGCAACACAACACCACAACTCCCCGCAACGGCAATAACCTCACGCATGAGCTCCTTGGTATACAACTCCGCCTCGGGGGAGGAGTCCAGCCAGCCCGATACATCCTGGTCAGTTAAGGTGGTGATGGCGTTCCAGGCGACGTTCCACACGACCTTTTCCCACCGCGCGGCCTGGATGGTAGGTATGGTGCGGAACGGAGTTTTGCCTTCTTTGAGTAGCGATGTGAATCCCTCTAGTCGTTTCTCTTCTACCTCGCTAGAGAGAGACGGGTTCGGGAATAGACCTAGCTCGGTATTCTCGGCATCCGTGTGCTGTACTATCCCTGGAGTTTGTTGCGAGGCCCCGACCCAGACCTGGATAGAATTAACCATCTAGACTCGTTAAACAAGAGAATTGACATACAACGCCGGATATAATGGTAACATCTGGAAATCTCTCGCGGAAGGGATCCTCGTTCCCGACGCCGTTCTGTAGCACCACGATGGTCGTGTCCGCGTCTACCACCGGGTCGAGCGGGATTATGGCGCCGTGCGGGTCGACGGCTTTATGGGTGCAGACGATGTAGTCGAAGTGATGCCCTGCGATTTCCGAAGGCGAGCGGATTACTTATATCATTAGCTGAGACTTGATTTCTGCAGTTCTGCAGTTCTGTGATCTGTGGAGGATGTACCGTGATCCGGATGGAAGCGGTGCTGGCCGTGCTTTTTGCTGTCGATTAATATTCCCTACAGATGTTAATACAGTGAAATTGATGCAGTGAGTTGGTATACATCTCTAACGACGGCGTCGTAGTTTGAGCGCGCGACGACGGTTAGCCGGACGCGGTCGCTGCGGTTAAGGATGAAGGCGTAGAAGGAGCCGATCCTAGACGGTCAGACAGGATTATACATATTATGGAAAAGCTTACGCTCCGAGACCGTAGAGGAGGACATTGACCTTGTCTGCCATTGTGGGATGGAATATGTGATGAGGTGAAGTTGAGTGCGGGGATCGGAACTGTCCCGATAGACTATTATTAATAGCCTTAATAAGTAAGTACAGTTATATACTCCGGAGTATATCAATTCATGTCATAGATGTATAATATAATACAATACAAGCCGAGATAAACACCATAATAACACAATCATGACCGCATATTCGACGGCACAGCCTTCCTAAACTCGCTCGACCGTTTATCGCCATGTCCCTCGTCCGTCTCAACAATCACCTCCCTGGTCTGCCAGATCCCCTGCCTGCTATTACCGCTATTATTGCTCTCAGTCTCCGGGTCAAGCCGGGTCTGGTCGAACCGGGTCTCGTTGTGCGTTTCTTCAAGAGCGAGCTCCGTCGCCGAGATGAGACGCTTCGACCGCGGTTTCGACGACAGCTTGAACCCAGACCCGCCGGACCGGCCGGTTGATGTGTTGTTTGAAGAGCCCTTTGAGCCGAATGCCTGTCGGAAGAAGGGGCGGAGGGTTGGGATGCAGGCGGCGACGATGACGACGTTTTGCTCGATTAGGCCCCAGACTACTAAAGGGGTGACGTTGTATACTGCCTCGTTAGCACAAGCTGGGAATTGGAACTGGATAACGTACGAGGATCCTCCTTGTTTGTAAACAAGGGCAGATATGTGGCTTTGACGATTGTCACGATGGCCGACAGCAGCGTCAGGCCCATCATCACGCAGACGCCAACTTTGGTAGACCGCGGCATCTGCAGCTTCCAGAAGACAGAAATGGGCACAATCGCTAGGATAATGTCTGTCATTGTCGTGTAGGCGCTGACCAAGTATGAGAAGTCGTAGAAGATAGACTCGGGCCAGCAGTCGCCTTGGATGCTGTGGTCCCACAGCGCGGCGGTGGGCTTGCACTGCATGAAGATGAGGATGACAGAGATCATGGCGAAGACGACCTGCATGATGGACATGCCGAGGAGAAGGCGTGAGCGCAGTGGGTTTGGGTCCAGGAGGCTGTTGATCAGGATTGCAATGGAGATGTTGGGGAAGCTGAAGGAGCCTGGGAAGTTATGAGTTAGATAGTGCAACGTAGACAGTGTAGGACTTGACGAACCGATGTTAAACGCTGCAGAGATTAGCTTTAGCTTGTATACTAAAGGGGATGTACGTACGATATCCTAGGATCTGCCATTTGGCAGTCTGGGCCACTCGCTCCATGCCATGCTCTGCCATCACAGCCGCCGTATGCCGGCCCAGACCAAGGGTGACGGCGTACGAGACCAGCGCTGCAGCAATAATACTCAAGCCCTGGATCTGTCAGTGCCATACCAAACAGAATTGCAAAGACATACCGTCGAGAAGAAGATAAAAAAGTCATCCCACCCAAGCCTCCTCACCATATGGCGGGCAGTCACCTTCAAGCCCACCGTCCCGATGGCGATCCCAGTAAAGACCCAGCCGACGACATTGACCTCCACGGCCCGGCTCTCGCTGAAGTCGACATCCGTCTTTAAGCCTGCCATGGTATTTGCCGTGGACAGTGATAGTGACAGTGGACGGCGGTGGATGCCAGCCGGGGAAAGGCTCCAGATATACCAGCATGAATCCAAGGATCGCAAGCAAAAGCAAAAAGTACGAGCCGTCGTATTTCGATTTAGATAGACACGCCCTCCTTGCAGCCGCCGTCATATTTCTTTTTCAGATCCAGTTCCCGCCCGTCCAGCCTGCAGAATCCAACTAGCCATGCACAGGTACCAACGGGCCAACCGCCAACAGTGCGTGAGTGGGGGAAGCAGACATTGAAACACCGAAGAAGGAGCCAATAAGCCAAAGATCACACAGGATAAGCACAGGGGCACCGTCCCGACAAAGCTAAAGTAGGGCAAACTCAAATCCAAGCAATGCCTGGTTGTTATTTGGCTTGCCCGACCTGTCACAGATTAGTTCTCCAGTCGGCTCCATAGTGGCCCATAATTACCCTCTTCCGCGGTCCGTTGGCCTGTCTAGACTGGAAATGGGCGCGATAGGCATTTGTTTTCGCGACTGACCCGGCCATGCTGGGTCTTGAGTCGGGAGAGGCGAGTCAGTCACTGCTTGACTCTACAGTCTACACTGCTTGATTCTACACCTGAGTTAAGTGCTATCCCTTCTTCGACTACTCACACCGATTAAAGTCTAACTTTGTATAACCTGACGTTACATCTGCCGCCTATCATGTCATGTCAGTGTGATATGTATCCGATGTTCATCTGCAGTAGAAAGCTTGCTCGCTTCAACAGGAAGCCAGGGACAATCCAACTCCACAAGCTGCAGATGACGAATGATGAATATCGCTAGACAGTTGGAGATTATCGTGTTGCACAGAATCCTGCAATCCTTCATCTCGCCTCGAGCAGTCCCCCGCTTGTAACAGTGGCGGAAATCGGGATCCATCAGCACAGCACAGCCATACAGTTAATATTGAATGAATATAGACATACTCTCGTATACAATTAAGCTAATTCCGCCTCAATCAAGCTCTCCGCAACACCCGGATACGTATAGACCCTCACAACACGCAGCCCAGCCTGCCCCAGGATATCCCTCCACTCCTTCTCCGTCCTCTCCCGCACCGCAAAATGCGCCAGCATCATCAAGTCCATATTCGTCGCCGCCAGCGTCGGCCGCTCCTCACTAACTACAATCTCATTTAGCAGCACCCGCGAGTATCCCTTCTTCAGCGCAGGGACAAGGTTCTGCAGGATCTTCACCCCGTCCTCGTCGCTCCAGTCGTGCAGGATCGAGTGCAGGCTGTAGGCCCGCGCGCTGACGATTGGCTGCGGGGTGAAGAAGTCGTGGGCTTGTGCTTCGAAGGAGCGCGAGGTGGAGTCTGTGGATTCGAGCACGCCGGCTATGACGGGCTCGCGGTCCTGCAGGATTACTCGGCCGGGGTGGGCTTTGTGCTCGGATGTGAAGGAGGCGACGTCGTGTCCGCGTCCGCCGCCGACGTCTACGAGGAGTACGTCTGAGGATGTAGAGTCGAAGCCATCGATGAGGCGTTCGGGGACGGGGTAGAAGCCCGGGTCGTACCAGTTTGCTTTTCCGGCGCGGTAGGCGCTCATGAAGGAGTCGAAGTGTTGGAGATTCGGCGGGTTTGCGACCAGCCATTCGAAGAAGGGGAGGGAGGTGTTGTGGGCTTGCTGGAAGGGGCCGTCGAGGGAGCCCAGCTCGGGGGACTTGTAGGCGCGCTGTTGGAAGTGGGTTGGGAAGTTGTTGAAGGAGGGTCTGGCGGTGTCGTAGCAGAAGCTGATGCTGTGCTGGTAGTTCTCTTCGGCGAGGCCGTTGGAGAGGCTGGTTGCGTGGAAGGCGCCGTCTTTGAAGGAGAGAAGGTTCATGGCGACGAGGTGTCTGGCCAGACGCTCGAGGAGGAGGACATCGATGCCGGTCTTGGAGGAGAGCGCGGTGCTGGTGATGCCTGCATCGCCGGCTTGCTTGATATGCTGGAAGAGCTGCGTGTCGACGGCCATGCGGATGATGGCGGACTGCGCAGGCTGCAGCAGTCTATTAATACAGTCTCAATGAGTGAATGCAGGTACATACCTCTGCCCAGAAGGTGCGCTGCAGGAACTCGGAGGGGATCTCGAGTTGCGTCACCAGAGCTCGCCCGAGATCAATCAGGGCTTCGCGCGAGCCGGCTTCATTGCTCTCAAAGGCTTTTCCGGTGGCAGCAAGGCCTTCGAGGATAGCAGATACGGGGGCAGACATGGTCTAGCAAAGGTATACACGAACAACAGGGTGTCAGGAACAAGACTGAGACTGAACAACTCTTAAGACAGAGCCCCTCCAGCGGCAGGCCCAGCTGCACTGAGTTCGATGGACGCATGGCCCTCGCAGCACTAGCACGACGAGAGTAGCACTGGCGTAAGCTTTGACTCTGATACCGTGGAGATCAGTCCTCATCGCGAGTCAGTCAGAAAGAAGGCAGCGGTTGCGCTGCCAAATGCGCTCCACTTTCACGCAATACGAGCGTCTCACAGCGTCCGAACTTGCCAGGATCACACTAGCTGCTTAGTCTCTTACACTGGCCTTCTTCAATCAGCGATCTGGTAGTTCATTACCAGATCAAGCCTGACTTTGAGTTCGTGGCCACTCGCCCTTCTCCATCTCGCCGTTGCGGGCGAAAGTTTAACAGCGGAAGGTTGAACGATGTTATGATATTATGCTATTTGACACTCTGATACTGTTCAGTTGACTGCCCAGAGCTCACAGATTAACAGTGACCAGTCACCATTGCAGCTAATCTCACCATCTTGGGTTATTGCTCCATGCGTTCGTCCCCTGACTCGGTGTCGCGATTTGAGATTCGATTGCGATGGTGCAGGACGGCGTCAGTCCAAGTGGGCCAATTCGCCAGTGGGGAAGAGAGCAGCGTATTTTCTTTTCATTTGCTGTTCTTCTCAGCGTCTGTCAGGCGGGCCGGCGGTGCTTCCCGGTTTCCAATAATTTGTCAATCAGTGTTGGCATCCATATCTGTCTGGAGACTCCGTATGGATGCTCTGTATAAAACCATACATTCACAACTCTTCATAACTATCTCAAATAATAGATCATGAATACACGTGTACAGCCTACAGACTAGCGAGGCAGTGCAGCCACGCCAATGCCCCTAAGTCTGCTAAACCTGCTAAATCTGGCCCCAACCGTCTGTGCCGTGCTGAATCCACAGCCGGAGCGAGCCCGAAGCCCGACCGTGATGGCAGAGAAGCTTCTTCAGTGCAGTCCCAATTCCAAGGAGTCGGAAACAATCTGGTGGCGGTGTGAGATATTGCGCATCTGATGGCCAATGTTATGCGCCAGTCCCATCGCCACCCGACCCGATCGCCATAGGGATATGACACATCAAATCCTCAACCACGATTGATGACTCGCGGATACTCTGCCATTAGCTCAAGGATTCCCGAATCGAGGTGACATTTCTGTCGTTTACAATATGCTACGGTAGGTCTGGACTGTACGTCATCAAGTCGCATTCTAGCACCGGTCATATCATGAACGACTGAAATCCAAAGTTAAATCATTCAATCGGGGCTTTATCCAGTGGTTATAGTAATAATCTCACAAAATTTGCTGTCGGATTATACTCGACCCTTGCGTGGTGTTGCAATATGCAGGTAGATCTATGAGGCGTCGCTGAAGACTCGATATGTCACAACTCTATCAACTTGCCACATCGCTGAGCATATCGGGGCAAGATACGCTTGGATGGTAACTATAAATTGATTGGCATTGTATACAAAGGTTTAATGTGGACAGTACCAAGTTCAAGTGCATCCAAGCATCTGTAACCACCTTCCAAATACTATGGTATATCCATAGGATAATCAATAATAGTCCGCTGCTAAGTAATGAGCCTGGCCCCGGTGGCCGTCTTGAACGTTGAACGCATGCAGCTATCTAGGTCTACTGCTCGTAAGCTAGAATTCTAGTTGCAGTGGCACTTGTGCGTTGGTGCTGCATCTCGGATACGTTGGGGTTGGCAGTGGAAAAAAGACCAGCAGCTCCAAGTACACGTAGCTGGCTAGGGCTACGACAGTTATTGAAAGACTAAAGCAAAGAATCCGGAAAGAAAAGAAGCTTGAGGAAATCTGGCTATTCAAAGTAATCATAACTGAATCCTGCTTCACATACAACATGAGACGCCATATAGAATTGCAACGGTCAGCCACCAGATCTATTCCTAAGAACGTCAACTAAGTTTCCAACACACTCGGCCTCAGTATACTGCACATGGAATCATCAGTGATACTATCTCCATGCTTCTCGAGGTAGTCGCTCATCCGATCACACCAGTGTTTCTGGATATACTCCCACAATGGAATCTCTAATGCATTATACTCGCGCTGCAATTCCACAACCAGGTCCTCGAGCTCTTCTATCGTGTATCTCTCTTCATCGCGAATTTCTGTGGCCTCTTTTTCGTCGAACGGATCCAAGGTCGTGGTCCGCCAGTCCTTTCCTCCTATATGCCAGCAAGTATGAGTGAGCCCAAGGTCCGTGAAAGTCAGGAGCCGGATAATGTCGTATGAAGTTCGAGGTTCTATTTGCAGCTTAGTCAAAAAAGCCTCATAAAGTGTGCTTAGCGACTTTCGGACTGTTGTGTTGGTCTCTGTCCTAAACATTACATAAAGGGCGATATTCGTGGCAAAGCACAAGAACATCGATAGGGAGCCGTTCGGTACTGAACAGAAGCACTGAGCTTCATTTGTGCTTTTGGATCCCAGGAGTTGCTGGAAGAGAAAGCTCTTCATGGTGAGGAGAGAGCATAATTCAGCAAGCCTGGTATCCCAATTGTCGGCGGGGGAATTCCCATAATATCCCGTCAGAAATCGCATTGTCGCGGTCACAATATTAAAGATGACTAGACTGCGGGCCGATATTCCATTGCTTTGGCAGACGGCGTCGAGGCTCGCACCCTTGTTGACTAGCCACGGGATCCTCTCGAGAGCATTCTGGATGCTGTACAGCGAAAAGCCATGTGTGTTGGCTTGCATTAGGGGCGTGTATCCATGACTATCAGGTGCGTCCACGTCCCTAAAGCCAGCCTGGTACAGCCGCTCCATTTGGTCTGGACGCAGTTCAAATTCACAAAATACAGGATGTGTATTATAGTATCTGAACCATGGGTCGATGGGGATCCCACGCGATTCCAGTTCAAGAACAATGCACTGCGCCTTTCGGTCAGGGAGGTGGCCATTTTGCAGTTCAAGCTTCAGTTGGACATGTGGTGGTAAAGATTTGGCAAGCATTAAAAGGTGCTTTCCTTTGGAAACGAGGTCCTGGATCAGGATGTCCTCCATTGGCTTTGACTTGGACATAGGTATGAGGTAGCTCTCGGCGACAGCTCCAATATCCACAAAAGCCTGTGCAGATTCAATGGAATCACGCCATATTGCTGTCTGAAGCAAATAATTCTTCTTCGATGTTGGTATCTCGCCACCGGCCTCGTGGAGAATGCGGATTCCGTCTGCCCAGTAAGAGCAGAGCTCATACAACTTACTTAGCTTTTGCTGGTCGTCTCTGGCGAGTTCCAAATGGTGTTTCAACTGGTTCTTGGAATGTGACAGGACAGCTTCAGCAGCATCGGACACGTAGAATGCTGGCAGCTGTCAGAATAGACCGGGTCTAGGCAGGCAACAGACGACATACCTTCTCTATTATGGGACCAGAGATGCTCCACCATCCTTATACTTTTGGAGAATTGTAAATGAGTGCCTGTCAACACAGCACCAAGCTCTAGGAAACGTAGGACATGTTTTCCCGTGTCATCCCCATTAGAAATGGCGACATCCATTGCAAGGTGACCCCATGTGTTTTCTTCGTTTATGGGACAACCGGCTTCAACAAGGTACTTTATTAGATTCCACGCGGGGGCCCCTGTATTGTACCCAAAGTATTCAAAACTTGCAGTCTACAACATTTAGTTTGGCGACATCCACAACAATATGTGCCGTAGAACGTACATGCAACAAGGTCTCGCCATCCGCAGTCCTATCAAAGGGAGTTGCGCGGCCTTGATCGAAGAGCTGTTGTAGCTCCTGCACAACCATGTTAAAATGACTTGCAATCTCTTCAGCCGTCGCGGCCCATTCCGGCCAATTTCTCATAAGCTCGAATGCGGGGGAATCATCGGGGACAATCGCGTGGAAATGAAGAGTTGGGCTGATCGAGAGCCCATTCGCCCTCTTTGAGATGGATATTGCTGCCTCAATCGAGAGTCCAAACCAGGAGCTGGTAAAGGTAAAGCTCTTCGACTGTGTTTTTGTGTGCGTGAAATGCTTATGCCGTGGGCACTTCCGACGAATTTCCATTCCATGACCGAAGCGTGTCATATTATTTGAGCACACGCACGGCATACTGTATGATTGTCTCGAAACTTGCTGTTGTTGAGGTTCTGGCGTGTTTCGAATTGCCAATTCCTAGTATAGTCAGATCAAGTTTCAATATTTAACCAGCACCTAGGACATACCATCCTGCCCATGTCCATACCAAGCTGGCCTGTTCGCACCAGCACCAAGCTTTCCACTCGTTCTATGAGTTCTGTCTGCTTACTGAGGGCTGATACATGCTGGATTTGTAGGCTAGGCTTGTATCAGTATCAATGTCCAACTCACAGAAGATATGACCCTACGTGAGTAATGCTGTGTGGAGATTCATCTGCAACCCTTGTAATATCTCAACTGTATCAATGAGAGAGTTCTTCTTCAAAGGGAATGCGGCCTTCTTAGCAGTGGCGCGCAGTTTATCGCTCAAACCATTACTCGACGACGCCATAGACAAGTTCGCAACTCGTTTGTTGATCTTCGTAATCCAGGTTTCATTTTGCAGGACTTTTTCTCGTATATCGCTGGCAATTTTGGGATGAACTCCATCGGTCTCTTTTAGAAGAGTATTGATCTGTTGGAGTGTGGATGAGAGACCACCAGCCTTCAACGCGATCGACTCGATCTGATCATCGGCGCCGTGGAAATCATCGCAGTACTTCACGATGAGCTTGCAGCTTTCTATACCAAGCGAAAGAATTCCGGCCACACTTGCAGCGATAGAAAAAGGGTCGGCCATATCCGTTGTGATGGTTGAGAGTGGAGGATGCTGTTGAGGATGATGACGGCGGGGTTCGCCATATAAAGACTGGAAGGCGCAAGGCTGAGGATCAGTTTGCATAGCCTCGTCGTCTTTTGTTATCAAATCATCACGCGATTAATAGCCTCGGACTCAGCCTTGCAGTGTCCAGGTCAGGTTATTGGGCAGGAAGGACAGCCAGTTAGACCACTGCATCTATACAGGGATCCATTACTTTGGCGTCGGGAGTTTGTCCAGTACTCTCGTACTTTCTGGAGTTCATAGGGCCTGTCTATACAGAAATGCGGTCAATACTCTCGCGGTCCTCTGGGATTCCCCATCGTACGACATCGTGCATTAGTGCTGCTTGACGACCCGCAGTCTTATGTCTCGGCTCCCGATGGCGTGGCTGGCGATTGATAAGGCCGATGTGCCGCTGATATCCCTTTTTCTTCTTTATCTCATATCCTTCTACAATGGACATTCCCATACTCGACTTCTCCGAATTCGCCAGTGGCAGCCAGAGCCAGCAGGATGACTTCTGCAAGCGTCTCTATGCCTCGCTGTCCTCTTTAGGGTTCGTCAAGATCAGGAACCACAGCATCCCAGATGCTGTCCTTGATCAGGTCTTTGACTGGGTGAGTAGCAAGCACAATACCAAAGCTAGACTAACAGACCCAGAGCAAAGGCTTCTTCGGCATGCCGCTCGAAGACAAGATGCAAGCCGCCCACCCCGAGAAGCCAAACCCCCATCGAGGCTGGAGCTGCGTCGGACAAGAGAAGCTCTCCGTCATCAGACAGGGAAAAGCCGTATTCGACCTCAAGGTACCTCTCAATCCAATAAAGACGTGCTACCACTAACCCATCCAGGAATCCTTCGATCAAGGCCCCGCCAATGACACGCTCTATCCAAACATCTTCCCCCCAGAAAACACCCTCCCCGGCTTCCGTTCCTTCATGGAATCCTTCTACACGCACTGCCAAACACTACACCTCAGTCTCCTCTCGGCAATCGCCCTCTCCCTCTCTCTCGACCCGACCTTCTTCATCCCCCGCTGCGGCACAAACAGCTCCGAACTCCGCCTAAACCACTACCCGGCAACCAAGGCGTCCCTGCTCGAAAACGGCGAGAAGATGCGCATATCCTCGCACACCGACTTCGGGACAATCACCCTGCTCTTCCAGGATGAGGTCGGGGGGCTGGAGGTTGAGTCGCAGGAGCGGGACGGCGTGTATATCCCCGTCCTCCCGTCCGCGGCCGGGCGAGATATGATCGTCAATGTCGGCGACTGTCTGCAGCGGTGGACGAATGATCGGCTACGGTCGGCGAATCACCGGGTGACGCTGCCGGTTGGGATGAAGGATTCTGCTACTTCTACAGTAATTGAGGTGCCGGACCGCTACTCGATTGCGTACTTTGGGAAGCCAGACCGCGAGGCCCTGGTTGCTGCGATACCGGAGTTGGTGGGGGAGGGCGAGCAGCTGCGGTATGAGGGTGCGATGACGGCGTGGGAGTATAACCAGTCCAGACTGCTGCAGACTTACTAGGTCCCTCCAATTAAGAGGAGTGCCGTGGCTACTGTGCCGGTGCAGGTGCAGGATTGGAAGGGCGAACTGGCGGTCAAGAGGGACGATAATCAGATAACAGCTGTGGTGGGGACCTGTTGGACTAGAGTGCGTAATAATAATACTATCCAAGTTTTGCTATGTAAAACATTTCTATTATATACAGTTGGCGTCATGTCACGTAGTTCGCGAGTCCTGCTCACGAATCTCATTTGTTTCAGGCGCTGGTGCGTCTGGAGGTGCTGCGGAATAGTCGGGAGGAGGTGTATCCGGAAGACTCGCCTCCGGCGGCGTCGTCTCTATCGGTGAGCCTCGATTCTCGACAACAGTGAGCTCGATCTCGTCTGGTGGCTTTCCGGCTGCGGGCGTCGAGTCCGGTGCTACCTCACCCGCTGTTATTGTCTTGGTAGCAGCCACCGGCGGCTCCTCATCCACAGCGTACCTCCACACATTGTCATCGCGCAGAAACTGGCGGAATCCATACCGCTTTTTCAGTCGTTCTAGATGCGTCTGGCGCTGGTTGTTGGTCCAGCCATAAGTGCCGTCAAAGTCGTGGATCATTTGGCTGTTGGCAATCCACGGGATCACTGACCCGATGGAGCGCGGAATTCGAGGCCCCTTGAACCTACCGCGACGAGTGCCGAAAACAATCAACACAATCACGGTGTCGAGCCCAATTATGGTCATCGCAATGATAAGCGACGACACTGACGGCTCCATGCGCCATGCACTCCATATAACGGTGGCGTTTTCGGCTGGGATGGGTTCGTCGAGCGACAAAAGATAGGTATCCCGCCATAGCGAAAAGTATGTTCCGTACACCCATTGGTATACAGTTTGCGAAAGGTTCGTCAGATGGGCTGCGTCAATGTGCGTAATGGGTGACACATCCCGCTTATAGAGAAGTGCCACAAGAAAACCAGCCCAATCGTAAGACGAAATATAGCCGGTGTCTGAACCCGATTGCTGTCCGAAGAAGCTTTGTGGAATAGCAGCAAAGACTTTATTGAACTGGCCAAGACTAATTGTGGCATTGTCGTACATCCGCCCGGATGTTATCGCAGTACCAGGGACGACAAAACTATCGGTTATTTGGCCTTTGGAATCAAATGTGATTGAGAAGTTTCTCAACGTGATGTCCGGTTCACACTGCAAAGCGACCGTATTGTTAGGGGTAACCCCAGACGCCGCAGTATAATTCCACCGTCCTACGATCAGCAACGTAGATGTTTGGCAGATGTCGTTTTCATCCGTGGCAATCGGAGAGTAGAAGTTGATTGACAGAGAATATCTATCGCTTTGGTCACGGGGCGGTGTCATTTTCACCCTGCACTCCTCCTCTGGCTGCTTCGACGGATGGTAGGTCCAGTACGGGCCATCTTCAAGATGAATCATATTTTCGGGAATGGACAAGGGCCAGCAATCGAGATCAGCTCCGACTCCCAACGTCGTTGCGCTGTAGGACGATTCCTGGTCACCATCGTAGATCATAATAGGCGCGAATGAGTGGTTTGTGCTTGTCCAGGGAAGCAACGGGACCCCACTGGTAATGCTGGTTTGGATCAGATCATATTCAGTAAAGTCCGCCGCAAAGTCGTCTTGGCAAAACACAGAATGACTGTAGTTTGCATACAGCGAGTCTGTCCCAGTTTCTGACTGGGTTAACTGCTGCGTGAACAGCCCACCAGCAACCGCGGTCAGTATTGTGTTGGAGATGCAAGCAATTGAGATCAAGACGAGTAGGACATGGCGGTTCTTGGCGGCTTTTGGTAAAACGGTCCACGGATTTTGACAGGAATAATTCATGGTCAAGGAACTGCTCACGGTGGCCATACCATGCTGGAGATGAACCCATGGTTCCAGAATGCTCAAATTCCGATGAATAGACGTGCAGAGCGCGCCAACCGCTGAAGCAACGACGGACGGGAGGAAGGAAAGCACAACTTGAAGGAAACTCGAACTCGACTGGTTCAAGTGTTGAAAGCCACCGTCCTTGGCGAGGGAGGATGCGGCCAGGCTCATCAGGACAATCACCGCGGCAAGGAGCAGGAATTCAAGGACGAAGATCGGAATGATCAGGAAATGGGGTCTCGGGTCCGCCCGAACTCGCATTTGATCGTCCAACTGCACGGGATTGCCGTCGACGGTCACAATCTCAAGGCGACTCCCGAGTGGACTGTGGTACCATTTCAGCCGGCAGTCACCCAAAAGGCGACGAATCTGGCGTGTCGAGTACTGATGGAAACCGGAATGCGGGTTGGCCAGAACATTGCCCATACCAAATACGTCGGTCAGCATACTGCACATCGCTCCAATGGAACCCGGGTCACTCTGGAGGATGTTCGGTCGCTTGTGGTAGTAGCGTAGCATGATGAGGGTGAGAACGACGCCGACTCCGAGAATGGCCTCGGCGCAGCGCGCAACAACTGAGACTACTGCAAGAGCGACTTGCCGCGTGGAACGAACCGCCGGGGTGGTTGAGGGTGCAACGTCAGGATTGAACAGGCGGGTCATCGTAAGAATAAATGTTTGCTTCACTCCCCTCGTAACTTTGGCCATGAATTCATCCAAGTTCATGGCCTCGGATGTGTCCAAAACAATAACTGGGTCGAGATCTCCGACGTACTGGCTGATGACGGGTAGCTCGGTTACCATGCGGTCTCTGGTGGTTTCGTTGGTTTCGAAGAAGAGGATATCGCTAGTATACATGGATCGATGGCCGAGAAAACTTTGGAACGCGTCGATGTTAAATTTCTCCTGGGTAAGTTCCCGTATGGTTTCATTGAACAGCTTGGCGCTGGTTATTGAACTGTTAGCGTGCATCGTGATCTCCGCTTCACCCTGGTAGTATTCAATGTTGCAAGCAAACATAGTGGCGGACGATGTGAGGCGATCTCCCGCATTGGTGATGGTGTCGGAACCAAAAGAGGAGGCATTGATGGTCAAAACAACACCGTAAAGGTCAATAGAATCACATCCATCCGGAGTGAACGATTTCTCTGCATCGGTGAACGGATTGTTGGACCAGGTCGGTTCCCAATATCGGGTTTGAAGATAATCGGTCTTTTCAAAGAGAACGTTATCATAAGAAAAGTCCAAGGTGCACTCCTCGCCCAGGCCGGTAATCTGTACGTTATCGACATCCCAGTATAGCCAAGGGCCCACGTCCTCCGACCGGTTCATGAAAACTGGAAAGTCGGCGTCGGAGAATAGGTCCTGGCAGTCGAGTTGGGTCCAATAAATAGTCTGGTTGAGTGTCCATACGGTGCTTTCTCGGCGGTCGTCCGAAGGAATCTGGACCGGTGCGACGGAAAATTCCCCTGAACGAGTCTGTTGGAGGTCCGCAGAGTCCGTAAAATACACGTCGAAGTTGTTGCTTTCGGAATCTTCCTGCACGGAAAACCAGCGTGCCTGGCCAGGCAGATCCACAAGCTGAGACCAGGTCATCATTGATTCCTCCGAGATCGTAGTCACTTCTCGTAATTCGAGAAGAGAACTCTCCAATGCAGGGTGGAATATGCGAATGAGAAGCGTAACCAGTGAGACCGACAATACCAACCAATGGCGACGTTTCGCAGAGGTGATTGGCGTGATAAAACTCTGGCCGAAATTGTAATTGATGAACAAGACCGTCGCAGGGCACCCATCTGGGCGAGACATTTGAAAATAGGGCTCCAGGCGCAGCACATCAAAATCAATGAACGACCATAGTATAGCAAGGACGAGGGCGATGATAACGGGGACATAGTTGTAGGCAAACGATTCGACATGGGAAAGGTCATCGGTATCCATAAAGAAACGAAGTCCTCCGGTCCGTTCACTATATTGTCGCAAAGCTTCAAGCACTACTAACAAACATAGCATAATACAAGCGATGAAGGAGAGGTAGGTGGGGCGTAGGGGGATGGGACGCCATCCCGTCGGATGGGCCGGTCGGGCATTCTGAGGAGAGCCGCGGGCAGCCCAGTATTGGTCTAGGGAGAGGAGAGCAGTCAGTTTCTGTCTGGATGAGGGAGATGCTAATGGCGTACCTTTGATGTGCAAATAGACGTTATACAAATTGTGTCGCCGGTCTCCAGACATGGTCTGGTCGCATGCTCCGCTGGACGAAAGATAACGGGGACCCTCCCCCAAGACTCACGCCTGTGTTGGATTCAGGAACAACGGTATCATGGTAATATTCGGTGAAAGGGTGAAGTCAAGTCCCGCATGACGAATTTCAGACGCGGTTCGGGATGGCGAGGCGCACCAGGCGATGGAGAGGGGTCGGATAGGGACGAGGTTCGATGGTGAGAATCTGCGAGATGGTGACAGCCAACGGTGCCAGACGCCTCGAGTCTTTCAGGGATCGTGGCGGTGTCCGCGTGGAAAGCCTCAGGCCAGGCCGCCAGGGACTGCCGCTGCATTCCACTGGTTCCCGAGGCGGGGCGCCAAGGTTGACTTCACCTGTTTGGGTATAGACTTTCCCGCAATTTGCTCTTAATTGGCGAGCCCAGCCGGGAGCTCCCCCTCCCGAGCCAATAAGTGGCTAGATGACGCAGCCTCTGATACACGACGTGACGTAAGTTACAGTTCAGACAATCAAAAAACAAAGAGTTGTACGTAATATTGGTACGGTCCAGTAATTCCGTCGATCGTCAGACCCTGACAATTAACCTCGTGGCTGAGCTCTGCAACACCATAAGTGGCAGACAGACATCTGTAGTTACAAGTAAAGCTGATGGTATCACCCCGTCTAGCCAATATCAGGATCACCAATTTAGCATATATTTTATGCTGCCGCCGCAGTCCAATTCTCGTCCTGTATAGACAACTGGGATATGGCCTATTTCCTGTGGGTTGTGGTGATTATATATAACATTGTACACGTTGTTTCGAAGGGTACTAAGTTCTAAATTCTAAATATTTCGTTCGGTCTGACCTTTATCGATTGGATAATTCTTATCCATGATGAATTGGCGATCTCATCAACCCATTGACGAAATATATATTGGCACATTTGATATATAACCAATATATATCGAGATTGGGGAATACCATTCAACACATATAATCATTACGTGGTCACATTTGGCTGTGCTTCTACATTGCTTATAATAAACGATACAAAGGGATAGCTAACACTGAGTGGTGCCTCCTGGCCGAAAGTACTTCCACAATAGCAATACTGATCAACTACAAAAAAATAACTGGCGTTTAGATATCCTTTGTATTGCCTCATGCGCCATATTAGGATACGAATGACCTGTGTTTCCATGCATGGGAAGTAATTATCCTGTGTATAGACAGGATCATCTACTAGAACTGTTCCTCGTACACAAAGAATTTTACAAAAGTAGTATCAATTGAACCGTAGATTTCAGTAGAGCAGCACTTGTAAACAACTGACCACGCCCTCAACAAGGACATAATCGGACAGAATCCTTTTCACATCCGGTTGATGCTGTACGCAATCTTGATGGTGCAAGTTTGTCGTGAGCGTTGCTTGTTCCTTCCCACCCTCACTCACCCATCAAAAATTCTGGCCTCCTGCCACTCCTTTCTGATCAAGGTTAGTACTCACCTTTGAAGGAACGAAGTTTTACAAGTCACATATCCTAATATTGGTAGACCCTAAGATCAGCCGGATAGAAGGCTAGACGGGTAGAAGGCCAGAAGACGATCCATGACAGAACTATTGCCAAAATATCGCTATTCTGCCTGGAAACAAGGGATCAATGGATCATCGCAAATGAGATGGCTGCGATGTGTCATTCTGTCAAAAAATTAGCCATGGCAAGTTGCCACGAGTCCGCGACGCTCGTTGTTTGACATGTTGCTGGAGATTCGGGGGTTTAGCCGTTCGGATACGAGTCTGGAACAACAACATTGCTTTTTCCAGGATGTATCTACTCCGCTCTCGCTTGGGGGCCAAAAGGTGATGAGTTCAGCAGTTGTGCAGACTGTTTGTTATTGCTTAATGCTGTGAACATTTGTCGTTCAGGTTTTCGGTTTGGTACATTATGGAGGGGTATTCCGGCGTTGTCTGATATTCAGGAACTAGACAAACTGTTTGTTTATCTTGATTTGATAGAATTATCATTTTCAGCTGGAGTTCGTAACTCGTATCCGGGGTGGCAACCGGTGAACGTTGAGATGGCAATCGACACAGGGATGGCAAGGTCTCGACTGAGAGGACCCTCCAACCACTGAGACTGTTGAAAATATCTTGCATGAGGCAGGTCATCCGATGAGCATCGGAGATGAGAAACTGAAGGCCAAAATAAAAACCCCAAAAGGAAAGCCGCCGAAGGGAATGACTCGCGAGTCGCGAACCATGGCCGTGAAGAGTGTTCCCCCAGACTCAACGACTCGATAAATTGCTGAGCTTAATTTGAAGATGCGCTGCGAACACGAACATCAAGTGAAGCTTGGGCTAGAAATTCCAATTGTTCGGCGGAGCAATATCCCGAAATAGTATTTCGGAAAGGGGCGCCGCCATCTGGGGGACTGGCCCTCCCCTGGCCCTGGGCATAGATTAGCCCTGGAGCCTGACAATCCCGATCGAACGGTGGAGCTGGGATGGACCAGATGAGCGCATCGCCAGAGGGCTTGACCAAACGGTCGTCGATCAGCATTCGGAACACGAGACTCCTGAAGACTGAAGCCCTAACTCCTGCAGCAAACAGGGCGATCTGGGACTCATGGGAGGGGCAGACAGGCAGAAAACCAAGGAGCGTGATGTGACTGGCAGGAACAAACTTTATGGCATCTTATTCCGCACCCGCAATGTCCGCGATCTGCTGTGTTGGGAGTCTGGAGGATATACGGGAATACGCGGATTGCATCGCAACCACTTCCTAATGAGGAAAAAGGCGTTTGGCAGGGGATGGTCCAGACATCCTGGAGAGCTCTCACCACCGCCAACTCCACTTAATTTCCCAAGCTCGATTGGCCCAGAAATCCGCCGGCTTATTTTAGTGCACGTTGGTGGTGCCTTGGCTCTCCCAGCACTGGACTGCGTCCGAATCGACCGACATCACTTTGCATACCCCGGCCAATGACCGCTGCAAGAGTCCAGAATTGACAAGCAACGGAAGTGATCAGCCAGCTCAGGTGAATCCCTCTCATCAGTGGATTCCAAATCCGCATTTCCTGACCCGTGCAGGACTGGGCCCAGACGGCGGCGGACATCCGGCTGGCGGATCGCGTGGATCCTTTTGGTGCAAGCAGATTGAATTGGACGGTGATCGCTGGGATCGAATATCTCAAACATGCCCCCTGTTTCCGCGATGAGGCTTTCCCTTGGTCATAAAAGTCCCCGTTTGCATCTGGCAGGTGTCTCCCGAGTCCCCTCGTTACAGGAGACCTGACTCCGTCGTCGATCATCGAGCTGCTACTTTTTCCTTCTTTGGACTGGTTCGAGTCAGATCGAATATTTTGTGAGCCCTCAAAGGGCTGAGCCTCGTTCTGCCCCGCAAATTCGCTGGTGGACTCAGTTAAATGAGCATCGCAGGCACTCGACCTTTATCTGGATGATCTGAGACGGCCAATCTCCTCTTATACTGAAAAATTCCTGATTGGGCATGTCGATTGTCTCTGAGGAAAATTTGGAACTTGTTCCACTTTAACCTTTGGTGGGCTTGTTTTGCTTCTTTGACGTCAGTTTATATACCCTGGTGATTGCCGCAGTTCCCCCCCAAAGGTATTAAACGTGAGAATTGTCCCACTCTCTTGAATATACCTTAAATACCTGCTCCACTACTCGCGAGTCAAGCTGCAAGTGCCGGCTGGATACTGTCGCCATGGCCTCTGCTTTGGAATCAGATTATCAACACTCGTCCCAGTACGCTGCGGAACAAAGCCCTGACTACGGAGAGGCACCTTACACACCACCGCCACAATATTATATGATCCCCAGTGGAGGGTGTGCTCAAGGTTCGTTGTCTAAGCTGTCTCTCAACTTACAAGCCCAACTAACAGATCACAGCTGTCCCATTCGCTCCATACTTTCCACAAAACCATATCCTCAACTCTATACAACATGTTACTAACGAATACGACTGCTTTGTGAACGGCGTCGTCAGCGACGTATTGATCAGTGTTGATGACGGATCCGGCTATAAACCACGATACGACGAAAAGCTACTACACACGGGTCCTTACGCGGTCCCCCAGAGCAACCTGATGTGGGGGTCAGACGTATCCTTTGGGCCCAACGGCTACCACCCAAGCCCCCCTCCAGAAGTCCAGCTCGACAGAGAGCCAGCTCCTTTATACGGAATCCGTCCGTTACCACAACCTATCCCGACGCCAACACCCAAGATAGAACCCGAGCCGGAGCCGGAGCTCGAGCCCGAGATGATCCCACTAGACAGCCAGGAGCAGTCTCCCGAACTGGCGGAGCTGAACAGAGGAGGAATGCAAAAGATCACAGGAAAGAGGCGACGGAGACTACTGCATATCATCGCCGAGCGGAATCGACGGCTGCACCAGAATAAGATGTATGAGGAGCTTTACAGAATGGTTCCGGGGCTGGAGAACAGCTCACGGTCGACGAAGAGGGAGGTGTTGATGCGGACTGCGGACTGGCTGGAGGACATGGTCGAGGGGAACAAGAAGCTGCAACAGCAGCTAAAACATCTCCCTCCACGCCGTTGAGGCGCACAAGTAATTGATGAGCCCCTGGCAGGGAGCATGATGAAATGGCCGAGATTCCCTTCTTACGGATGTGCTGGTTCACTACGATTGTCTTTGTATTCTAGCATGCGGAAGATACCACAACCACTACCTAATCATATTTACTGATAATGACCTGATTCCTAACCATGAAAAAACCAAATTAAAGACCCTCGGTAGCGGAGGACATGTGTCAGCCACGTTCTGCAGTCTCCGCCAGGCACCCTAGACCGAGCTCGACCATGACTCGTCCCGATCGACGCGTAACAGCGGTCCCTCCTACCCACATAATTATTATATCTGGGGTATCGTGAATGCGGGGGTGTTTGCTAACCAGAACCTGATCCTACGCAATCCTTCCTATCCAAGGCAGGACGTGCACCACAGAACCTGCAGTAACTTGCATATCACCACACACCACGAAAACAAACAGGATCACGAACCCTCGGTAACAGGATTTCGGAACCCCTCCCGGAATGGCCCCGGGGCCTTGCGTGCGCTCACTGATAGTCTGCTGCGGACAACGACCGACGGTCCGAAACCAAAACTCCAATGACAACGCATCGCGTACTCAGTTCCTGGTGCAAAGAAGATCGGGGTCCGTGCGGGATCTTTCCCTTAAGAGGCAAAAATGGAAATCAACGGTAGAAACCTTAATATGAAATAACTTTGGCGTCTCCAAATGGCGGCTCGTCTCGTATTAGCGAGTTGATCGGCTCACATGTCCTCCGAGGCTGTTCTAGTCGCGTCCACGGAATTTCTGTTTCTAGAAGTTGGGGTACATGAATCTATTCAGCATTATCAATTTCTGGAATGGTCGCTTTGAGATCTGGGGTATGGTTATGACAAATTGAGGTGCAGGCTTGGTGTCGTATTAATATGCCTAGGAAGAGGTCTACATGAAAGCACAGAAGATAATAACTAAAGCACTTTCCCATTCTATCTGATCGGGACTACTGGTATGAGATTCCTGCAACTATGCGTCGTGACAGTAGAATGTACGGTACAGCCTACGCCTTGGAAATTGGCCATTTACCGAAGGATAAGAACGAGGCTGGTGAAGTTAATCCACGTCTCTATTGAGCGACCATTATGAATATTATAAATGCGAGTCCTGTTGTCCTGCAAGAAAGTGTAGAAAAGGCCATTATGAGAGTTGGCATTCCTATAATACTAAGTTTGTGTAATATTAAGTTAATAGAACGATACTTGTCTAGATCTTCAATATCAACATCACCCAGCAGTTCTCAACCTCTTGCGCTCAAAGAATAACCGTCGAAGGTATTCCTCATCACAAGCCTCTCCCTTCATACTGGCCAACAGCGTATCACCCAATTGGTCTGAATATGCATCAAGATTCGAGGCCAACGGCCAAATACACCGTAGCTGAACCTGCTTCCTGTAGTGCACGTCGTAATTATCCACTGGCCCAATCTGGACAAACCGTACACTGACACCAGGAATACAAAGTCCATTCAACGGCCGCACAGAATCAAGCCAGTTCAGAAATTTAGAATCCAGCTCCAACTCCCTCAGTCCAGTACAGCGCTGTAGAAGCGCCCAGCACGGCCCCAGCTCCTCAATCTCCATGAAGGTGGTTACCGGCGCACGAAAGCTAATCGACCTAATCATCGCCCGCTTCTCACTAGGAATCTCCTCCAAGAACTCAGATAGCACCCGCCCACGTTCAAAGGCAAAGGTATTCTCCTTCCAGAAAAGGGGAGACGCTTCTTCATATATCCTTCGGTTCGCGAGTAACCAACCGAGTCCGTCGTGGCGCGCACAGAGACAATTCACACCCGTTAGAACGGGGCTCCTCTCATGCCCAAACCAGAGCTGCATGTCTGGGTAGCAGTCGTCGCAGAAGTAAGGGTTCGTCTTGGGACGCGCCCACTGGCTGCGCGCTGGGCTATCGGATGTTCGGTGCATGTGGCAGTGGCCCCATGGTTCTGGGCGGCAGTTTGCGCAGCGTAGGACTGTCTGTGTGTTGCGGAATGTGTATGAGTGGCTGGTGATGAAGGCGTGGCCGTCGCAGGTGTCCTTGTGGCGGAGGTTGTATTTGCATGGCCGGACGAGGATTTGGCGGTGGATTTCTAGGCGGAGTTCCCCTGGGAGCGCGAAGAGGTGGTCAAGAAATGAGGATTTGGGTTTGCTCAGGTTAGGCTTTTGGATGTACTTGTGGTTGTGGTTGCGGTGCTTGGGCCTCTGGCGTAACCGTTGAGCTGGGTCGCGCGAGAATGGGGTTTGAATAGACACTTCAGCCATGGAGTAGTATCTAGTTGTAAGTGATGTTTGCTTGATAGTGTTTACGGATGCCTCTGGGTCTGCTGTACTTTATTAATGAGGTGGCTCGTATAGCCGCCCATTGAATCATTATGGACGATCGCAGTCTGTCGTGGTTGTGAGGCTATGTATAAAGTCACAGCCAATAACAAGCAACCCAGTTGACAGCCATTCAAGGCTAATTCTATGATACGAGTCCTGTTGACTCATCCAGCTGCGCCTCAGAGCAGCCACGCAATTAAGGCAGTGGCTGGTGGGTTCTTGGACTGGCTTGCAGTAAGAAACACCAGAGAATTGTCAGGTGATGATAAGATGACCAAATATTTTCTATACTAAGCACAGCCTTGTTTGTTTGAATGATGGTCCTCGTCGAGTTATGGTTATGGTGCGTGTATATAACATCTTTATGCAGTGGAATAAAAGGGCGGGGCAAGGCGGGCCGGAACTGCAGACAATCCATCCAATGACTTTGTGCCGTTATACAAACAACAAGACAAACACCATGTGCCTTCAAAAGCCACGCACCAAATACGCATACGCAGTCCATGAAGTCATGAATGGCACGGAGATAATCGGCATATTTCCGCACAATTTACGAGCTCTTTAACTCCCCACTAACTCCTACTTCCGCTTCGCACCCGAGTATGCCCTAGTATATAAACCGTGGCTGCCTCCATTAACTAACCAACCCAGTTATAACAATAATCGGCAAAATGTCAATTTGGTTCATCACCGGCGCATCCTCCGGATTCGGGCTGGACCTGGCCCTACTCGCCCTAGAATCCGGCCACAAGGTCATAGGGACGGTGCGGAACGCAAGCAGAGCATCCGCTGCCGTATCGGCAATCAAGGCCAAGGGCGGCGAGGTCCTCGAACTGGACGTCACAAAGGCCGAGAGTATCCCCGGAGTCGTGGAGCAGGCGAACGCAATCTATGGCGGGATTGACGTTCTTGTTAACAATGCGGGATATTCCCTTCTTGGGGCCGTGGAGGATATGAAGTACGCCCCACCTAAAATCTACCTGAGGAATTTGTATGGAAGAGAATGCAGTGCTGACCAGAACAGAGAGGAAGAAGTAAAACTGCAAATGGAGACGAATTTCTTCGGTCCATTCCGACTGATCAAGGCGTTTCTGCCGACCCTCCGGTCCCGCGGGAATACCACCATTGTCAATATCAGCAGTATAGCAGGCCAGGATGCACAGCCAACATGCGGTCTGTACGCGGCATCCAAGTTCGCGCTCGAGGGACTATCCGAGGCTCTATCTCGTGAAGTCGCCGCATTCGATATCTCCGTCTTGATCGTTGAACCGGGTGCGTTCCGGACGAATTTCCTATCCGCGGCGCAGCCTACCGAGACGTCGCTTTCGGAGCCGTATAAGGGCGGGATTGTTGAGACTGTGTTGGGGAAGTTTGACGCTGCGCAGGGGAAGCAACGAGGTGATCCGGTCAAGGCGGTTAGGAGGGTGTTTGAGGTTGTGACGGGGACAGGGCAGGCTGGGGGGTTGAAGGGGAAGATATTGAGACTACCGCTGGGACCGGACTGTGTTGAGCGGATTGAGGCGAAGATGGGGAGGCTGCAGAGTGATTGGGATACGACGAGAGAGGTTGCTCTAGGGACGGACCTTTGATAGCATACATGCATAGAGGATCGAAACTGGCCCAACTATGATCTCACTTGGCTAGACCTCTATTAGGAATTAGTGGCGATGGTAAATATGATTTTTACAAGACCATTAATGCTTGTCTCTTGTGGCTTTCCCAGTGTGATATACGGACAGCCACTCCATACAAGCAGTCACAACTACACAATATGATAATATCAGCCCTCTGAGCTAAAGGTCCAGTAAAAATAATAAATTCATAAAGAAGTCTCAAATATCCACATCAAAGCAACAAAATATCGAAGAAAAGGCCAAAGATGGCAAGATACCCCCCATACCACTTCTAAGCCCTTCCCCGAGCAGCGCTATACAAGCTCTCAATATCATCCCTCCACTGCTTCTCATCCACCCTCTTGACCCGACGGTCATAAGTAATCAGCCCGTTAACTTCACCCTCTACATCCGTCGTCTGCGTCCAGACGGCGCCGCTGCACGCGAACCTCTGGATCTGCTCGCGCAGCTCACTAAGAAGGAACCGACTGCGGTAGTTCCAGACTTCGAGCGTTTCGTCGATTTCATATGTCTCTGGGATACTGTCGATGGCTTGCTGGACGTTCCAGAGGCTGTTTAATCAGCATTAGTATTTACATTACTTCTTTTCTTGAGGGGGATGGCGGGGGGACGTACTGCTCAATAGACACGTTATGCCCAATCCCCCCGAATTCACCCTGCAGCGCAATGCGCTTGGGATCGTAGGGGCTGGACAGCGAGGACCAGTATGGCGTCCCGCATTGCGCGTTGGCGTAGTGGTGGTTATCCTGCAACGGTCAGTATCTGAAACATCCGACCCGTCTCCGTACTTATAGACGGGACTCGACAGGTTTTACTTAGAGGGGGAACTAGACATACACTAAAGTCGCCCGCGCCGTGGTCGTACCATCCCGTCACAGCGTTGATCAGACGGGTTGGGTCAAGGTTTCTGACTCGCTCTGTGAGGCCGTATTCAGGTTCGCCGTTGTCGAGCTGGCCCCAGCCTTCGTTGTAGATTACCTGGCATGTGTTAGAGAATGGGAGTATGTTTCTAATAGAGACGTACCCAGGAGAAGATGCTAGGGTGGCTCTTGAGCTGGTTGATCATGAGCTCGAGCTGGCGGCCAAACTCCGCCTGCTGTGCCGCGTCGGGCTGCCGCTGCGGCATAGACGGCATGTCCTGGATGACGAGGAGTCCGAGCTCGTCAGCGGCGCGGTAGAAGAGGCCGGGCTCGATTTTGATCTGGTATGCCATTAGTATCCATTGAGCACCATCAGATATCAAGGAACATACATGCTTCCGAACCATGTTGAACCCCAGGTCCTTGAGAACCTTGAGGTCGTAAACCATTGCCTCGCGAGTCGGAGGCATATGCAGCCCATCAGGCCAGTAGCCCTGGTCCAGCGTGCCAAAGACGAATGTGAACTCGCCGTTGAGCAGAGGGCGCTCGACCCCATTAACATTGCCTCTGGAGACGGTGCGGAAACCAGTGTAGCTCGACACCGTGTCCTTGCCCAGGGTCACGGTGAGGTTGTACAGGTTTGGCGTGTCGGGAGACCAGACCTTGACGTCGTCGACGGTGAATGTGAACTGCTGGTTTGCGGTCCCTGTGTGAGAGGCGATTTCCTCGTCTCCATTGAGGACTTTGATGTCTACGGAGGCGTCTTTGCCGGTCTCGCTGTGGACCGTTACGGTGACTGAGATTGTTAGATAGTAGACTAATTGGGTAGAATGGAAAGAGAACGCACCCTCGCCGTCCATGTCGGCAGCGACGTCTAGACGTGAAATGCGCTCTGCTGGCGCGGATTCGAGCCAGACGCTCTGCCAGATACCGCTGCACGGAGTGTAGAAGATGTGCGAGGGGTTCAGCGTCTGCTTGCCCACAGGGACCATGGTGCCCTGGGCGTCTGTAGGGTCGTAAACAAAGACCAGCCTGTCATGTTAAAACATGTACAAACACATATGGAGTAGGTACGTACAGCTCATTGGCGGCGTCAAAGTTGATATACTTGGTCACATCAACGGTGAACTCGAAGTATCCTCCGCGGTGGAAGGCAGCCTCCTGGCCGTTGACAAACACCGTGGCCTCATTGTCCACTGCTCCAAAGTTGAGCAGCACGCTGTCCCCGTCCCAGTCCTTCGGGACGGTGAAGTTGGTGGACAGCCATGAGTAGACTGTGCTGTTTGCGTTTCCTTGCAGGCCTGCTCTAGTTAGACAGAGTCTAGATACTGTACTGGTAGGGTCATACCCGAAAGACCACTCTCCAGACACGACGGCACCAGGACCTCAGTGTCGAGGGATTGTCCGAACGGCGGTGTATCCACCGCGCCAGGACCCCCTGCATTCCGATACTCCCACACGCCGTTCAGATTCTTCCACAGCGACCGCTGCATCTGAGGCCGGGGATACTCCGGCCAGGGGTTTGTGCCGACCTCCTCGGTCCAGTCCGTGGTCAACGGCGGAGTCTGGAGGGCGTATGGAGTGGCAGCAGCGGCGAGGCCGGCCACGGCCAGCGAGAGGAAGACGGCTCTAGCAAGAGGAGGCATTGTGTGGCATTCCTCGGGGGTCTTCCGTCTCGTTCTTACAAGTCACATCAGGCAGTGACCGGCTACATGTCCGCTCTTTATACCCTCCTGCACCCCCACACCTGGAGCTTTTCTTTATTGTGTTAAAATTGTCGGCTCCGCCGAGGCAGAGTGGGCTCTAGGCAAGCATTCTTGTCTGCTTGTCGGATTGCCCAGAGGAGACCCAGGCGGTATAGACCGGTGAGAACCAGCACAAGACACGAGACACCTTCCTATCCAAGCCCGCCCCCGCACTGCAGTAGTATTCGCATACATCTAAATCACAGCCTAGCGTGTCTGCAGGCGCTATGATTGACGGACAATGACTCTTGGCCATCTAGCGCGTGGACCCCGCGTGGTGGTCGGCAGTCAGCGCCCTGGGTCGTGTGGCGAGCAGACAAAAAAGCCTCCCTGTCGATCATGAGGAGAAAAGTGCGCCCGTTACTGGCACACGCCCAGGAACAAGCAAAGATCCGTAAGATTACGCTGAGACATTTTCATTTTCCATTTTCCATATTTCCACATTGCTGGAAGGGGACAAAGAATGTGTTTCCTCCGTGCCGATGCCGGTGCCACAGGGTGAGGCTGCCCACCACACACCCCTGCAAGCGATACAGATTACAGACCGAGCCGGGCATGCGGCTAGAGCGGAGATCCCTGCTTGGGCTGCGATAGGGCAGATTGCTTGCGGGGATGCTCCGATCATGCGATTCCTTGTGCGAGATTTGCCGGTTCTCTTTCCTGTCGGGGTTAGGGCTACCCTGGGGACTCGGGGATTCTGCGGAGGATATCCATCGGGTGAGACTGTCTCGTGAAGACTAGTTTGCACTACGTTATTGGCTCATGGAGTAAAGGAAAAGAAGGACTACAGAGTTGGCGAAGAGCCAACGGCTGGCACGCGGGACGCCAATTTTCAGTGCGCCGCCAATTTTCAGTCAACAAAGCGACTTGCATTCCTGAGTACTTGGTCCTCCAATAACAGGCACTTGGCCCTGGAAGGCCCAGCCAATGACACTGCAGCGTGCAGTTGTTTTGGTTGGGCAGGCATGGAGCGCCCTTGGCTGATATCATGCAAATACAACCCCCTACCTCCCCCCCTCGCCCTCACCGTCTCTTTTCAAGCCCAAGCGCACCGCTTCGGCCCTCACAATCGCCGGGATCTCATCCTGTAGACTGCCCTCGACAGCCTGCCAGCCTCGGAGTCTGCGCGCCCGAACCGTCTTCGCCTCAACCGCATAATTGTCCACGGGTCGCCCAGCAGGCGCCAGCACATCCCTCCCCAGCACACCATCCACCACGGCCACTTGATCCGTGGGCAGCAGCCCAAGCCGGTACGCCTCGCTTGTGATGCGCCGCGCGATCTCGCCCCAGAAATACCGCCCGCTCTCGACGAGGTAGTACCCCTCGCGATTCCAAGCCTGACTGCTGAATTCCCTTGCAGAGGGAGGAGACTCACCGATCGCATCGTCGACAACGCGCACGTACAGCCGTGCCAGATCGTACACGTGGACGCTGTTCCAGAAGCTCTGGCCGTCTGCGAACTGCAGCCCTTGCTTCTGCTCGAGGATGAGTTTTGCGAGGTTGGGGATCTGGTCGGAGCGTTGGGAGATGAGGCCGCGTCCGGTGCCGTAGACGGTGGACGGGCAGATGATTGCTGTCTTCAGGGTGTCGGAGCCTGAGGCGAGGACGAACTTGTCGACGTTGCGATGGGGTGCGTCGTCTATCACAATTTAGCTAGGGGTGGTGTAGAAGGGGTGTAGGGATATACCGGGTAGGGATGTAACCACCCCGATCCCATCCCAGTCGTCGATGACTTTGACCTGCCCGGTTGGTCGTTCTTCGCGAGGGTCTAGAAGGACGTCTGTCCCGCTGGTATGGATATAGAAGCCCCCTCCTCTCTTGTTCAGTCCTGCGACGATGGCCTCTGCAGAGGGGAGGTGGTCGGCGCTGAGGGCGAAGTGCAGCACGAGTTCGTGTTTCGAGACTTCGTCTGCGATCGCGGAAACGTCATCGAGGCTGGCGAAGAACAGGTTTATGCTGGGGTATGCAGACTTAAATGCAGCTTCGTAGGACTTGTTGCGCAGGAGGAGGGTGATGCTGCTCTCCCAGTCGGGGTGGGCGGATAGCAGGGCGTGGAGGACGTCGCCTCCAACGTAGCCGCTCTATATTAATATTAGTATTGATTATATCATTTGAGTAATACGTACAGCTCCAGTCAGGAAGATCTTTGGCATGGTTGGTGGGTTATCTAGTTCAGCTGTTGAGTAACTAACTCTATATATATAACTATATATTAAAGATTACCAATCGATCGGATGAATTAAAATAACCATCGGATACTTACCCGTATCAATATGTCAGCAGTACACTATACAGGCACTGTACAGTAAGCGCTTCTCTGCTTACTCTGGTCTATCCAGACTGTCCTTGGCATTTTCGCGATAACCTCTTTCTTGGATCGCATTTCTTTCTTTATTCTTTTCTTCCAGAACAAACAGGACGATGCTTTCGCTCGAGAACCAGGATGTGGTCAGAATCCCTGATCCTGATCCTGGTCCCCGCATGATCGCAGATCACAGTTAATAATCCTTGGTATATGCTGATCTATCGCCATGCAGTAGATTATAGGATGTAGTATCAATCTATATGTGCTAATAATGTGTTTCAACACTTCACAGTGTTTACAGTTACGAAAGGGCCAGTTTGCATGATATATTGTCCAAGTCGAGTATGATACATCTAATAGCGACAGTACATAGTCCAGCCAGCTCGACTATGTCGCCTAATAACATCCAGTCTCCTCAGCATTCAATTCCTAACTAAGCCTCCTCATCACAAGAACCCTTATACACACCCACACCCTTCTTAATCGACGCAGAGATCTTCCCAGAGAGCTTCTCGGCCGTACTCCCCAGCGCCTCAGGCACTTTAGCCACAATCGCCGAACTCAAATCCGTAGCAGCCTTGTGCTGCTTATTCAGTGCCGTGAGGGTCGTGCAGCCCTCGCCCATCTTCAGAACGTCCGGCTTGATGCTGATCAGGCTCTCGATGGTCTTGTCGGTGTCGTCGGCGAGGTCCTGCGTGGGTGAGACGAGACCCAGCGCGTCTATCTGGTTGAGGCTGTCCTGGGCGTTGACGGTGCTGGCGCCCTTGTTGATTGTGTTGACGAGGTTGTTGGATTGGGTGATTACTGGATCAGCCTTGAGGGGCTTTGCTGTGATGGCTGTGTTGAGCGAGGTGACTTGCGTTTGGATGTCGCTGAGGACGCTCTTGATGGTGTTGAGGTCGCGGGCGAGGGGGGTTGGGCTGGCGAGAGCAGGGCCTAGGACGGCGAGGAGGGAGATGAGAGTACACTTCATTGTTGGAGTAGTAATAATAAAATGGTAAAGTAGTAATTTGGGAGATTGAAACTGTTGGTTAGAGGACTACAGCAAGATCAGGTTTATATAGACGTTCTGTCTGGGCACGACTGGATAAGAGATATAATGTTGGCCTCATTAATTGGCTGTATACAGAAACACATGGTCTGTTCAGAGTCAACGCTGCCATTCGTGGTAATACTCGCGAACAGTTCGACCATTGTACACCGTAGTTCAAACATGTTTGCCATCCAGTGTCTCACCTTGCGACAACAACAGCGCTGAGACAGATAGACCTGTTTCAGTGGGCTAATTGGGAGAATACTATTAGTGACTTCAACGACTTGCAGGTAATTTGAAGAATGTTTCACTGTCTACTATTTAACTTGAATGTTGAGGATGATCGGCGAAATGAACATGTGGAAGCCACTGTTTCAGGGAGTTGTGATCGCAAAGCAACGCTGAAACAATTGGAAAAATAGGAATAAAAATCTTGCTTAATTTAAATAGCTTGACATGTCAGATTAGAGTAAGTCCAGCCCGATCGTGAAGAGGCCATTCTGGACTTTTCCACCGGCTGTTTACCCCGGAAGTATCAAACACAATACCAGCCGGGCGATAATTCCGCGAGTTATGAGAACTGAGTGTTCTTAGTCAGTTCAACAAGAGTAAAATAGATAACGCTCTTGCCACAGTACACTGGCAGCAGAGTCAGGCCACAGACGGGGACGGCCATCCGAGCCCCACCAAGCCGGATAATGCGCATTTGGCTGCCTGTGGTTGGCTGATTTAATAGACTGATTAAGGGGAATATATGATCCTGATTTAACAGGAATATATCTTCGTACTCTCTCTTTTCTCTTTCTTCTCTTATCCAAGACCTTATACCACAATGTCTGTCTCCGCTCTCCCCTGGTTGAATTGTCGCATATTGACCCTCCTAGGAACTCTACCGTGCTCCCCCCCACCTATTGGGGCCAATATCAGGAAATCACCAATTCCAATGCCCACCTGAGCGTGCCTGAGAGACTGTGGGTTGCTTGGTATGCCTGGATGCAGAATGATGTCCTGGCCACCGGCATCATGTCCTTCGCCATCCACGAGCTGTTATACTTCGGCCGCTCTCTTCCGTGGGTCTTGATCGATATATCGGGCTGCTTCAACGGATACAAGATTCAAAGTGTAAGTCAAGCCTAACAAACTCCATTCCAGCCATCCAAACTAACATTCTGCTTCAGAACAAAGTACCTTCAATACGCGAGCAATGGGACTGCGCCAAGTTTGTGCTTCTGAGCCACTTTACCGTCGAACTTCCTCAAATATGGTATGCTTCTACTTGACGTTTGAGACCGATAGAGTATTAACGGCTCTAGGCTTTTCCATCCATTGGCCCAGTTCTGCGGTCTATCAACATCGATTCCCTTCCCGTCTCCCTGGACCATGGCATATCAGATTGCAATCTTCTTCGTGATGGAGGACGCCTGGCACTATTTCTTCCACCGAGCTCTTCACTGGGGTCCCCTCTACAAGGCCATCCACAAAATCCACCATCAATATTCCGCACCATTTGGCTTAGCCGCCGAATATGCCTCTCCTATTGAAGTGATGATTCTCGGCTTCGGGACCGTCAGCTGCCCGATCCTCTGGTGTGCTGTCACCGGTAACCTGCATATTCTCACGATGTATGTCTGGATTGTGTTGCGCTTGTTCCAGGCTATCGATGCCCACAGTGGCTACGAATTTCCCTGGAGTCTTCACCATTTCTTGCCCTTCTGGGCTGGTGCTGATCATCACGACCTCCACCATGAGAAATTCATTGGGAACTACGCAAGCAGCTTCCGCTGGTGGGACTACCTCCTTGACACCGAATACACCCCGGATGCCCTGAAGCGCCGGAGAGAGAACAAGGCGAAGGCACAGAAGACACAGTGATCCCAATCTGCCTTCTCTTCAATTGGCGTTAACTAGTCTTCTGAATTCATACTATAGATAAGATATTATAATAAAGATAAAACAGGCTGTCTCGATTAATAATTCCCTATCGTAGCATTGTGCTATATACTGGCAAGTTCAACAATTTGTCCGGTACGAATCTGATTCGTGATAGCTCCTTATAGAAAGACCTGTTTAGTGGCCAGTTTATGAGAATACTATTTATGACCTCCATGGCTTGTAGGTAATGTTTGGGATATTTCACTGCTATACTATACTATTGACGGCTTTGGAAGCTTCCTCCTCAGCTACAGGTCTATCCTCTGGGTAGTTCAAAAGTCGTCATCTCAAGGCTATTTATCTCTAGAGAAGTATTAAACACTAATTCCAGTCCAGGCGATATTTTCCGCGAGTTATATGAGAACTGACAGTATTATTCACCCGTCAGCTTTAACAATACAGACAATGGCTCAGCTGGTGCTGCACTTGGACCAGACTGATTCGACAGCAGATTAGCTGACATTTCAGTTGCTAATAGAGAATATACACGCGATAAAAAAGAGTAGATAAGTTGAGACCTTATTTGAGAGCGCAAAGAAAGGGCAATCCTCAGGTCGGACATCTCTTCATATAACCATCTGAATTTCTAATGGACTGCTTGCCAGGTACACAGCATTCAGCAGATGGCTGGCATAACAACCTGGGTTACCTTCCATGGATAGCAGTTGCAAGGGCCAGAAAGAAGAGACGATTCGATGCTAAGTAATACTAATCTGACTTATTTAGCAATATGGCCCGCAGGATCTGGAGATTTTCCCCACACGGAGAAGTATTCCCCGCACTGCGACCTCGCCTCTTCTCTTCTCTGCTGTATCCTGGCTGTTCATAAGTACACCATTTATTCACATTGATAATATGAACTTCAGCGGAGCCACCTACTCCAGCAGTCCTGGACAAAATCAATCTCTGCCAGTCCCCGCTGCCAACGCCAACGTGACCCGCAAGCGCAAAACCACAACCTGCGATCACTGCAAATAAGTCCCCTGTACCGAAATGGACTGATTAATACTGACGTCTAGTACGAGGAAACATGTAAAATGCGAGCCAGTTCATACTCAGCTGGGTACGGAAACCTGTAAGCAATGCCAAAAGGACCAGGTTGCCTGCACCCAGACAAGAACGGCCATTCGATTCAACGATGTTTCTAGCAAAATTGCCAAATTAAATAATACAGAAGATGCTGCTTCCGGTTCCCAGGTCAAGACGAAACGGCATAGTAAGTTTCATTCTATGGTCATGACCGTGTCTGATATCCGCAGGGAAACTGGTTTATGTTGATGAAACCGCCGAATTGACGGCACTCTATAAAGAAGATGACAATGATGAATATCCCTCGATCGGGCGGGAGTATGATGGAACGGCGTCAGTGACGTCTACGTCTTTGCATAACAATATCCCGACGCCGACCGATGTAAATCTGAATATACAGACTATACCGCCCTCTGGTCGCCTGCACAGTTCATATACATCGAGCGACGTCCTGCCAGGCAGTTTCATACTGCGCGGGCTAGTTAAACCAGACAGCACATCGCCTCGCTACAACACACTCGAGTTCTGTCTGCTGGGATACTACATCGACCATCTGAGCATGTGGCTCGATCTCTGCGACCCCGAGCGACACTTCCACCAGGTCGTTCCCCAGCGCGCGAGAAGCTGTCCACCACTGATGAATGCGATCCTCGCGGCGTCAGCTAGACACCTCACCCGCGTACCAAAGTACAGGACGGAGTCTGGCGCAGTTAAATATGGCGGGCGTATACTACATAACTTGACCGACGAAACTGCCCTGCACTACCATAGTAAATGTATCCAGGATCTGCTGGAGCTGGGAGCGAACCCTGAGCAAACAGGGAACGAGGACCTGCTGGCAGCAGCGATTATTCTCCGGTTCTACGAGGAGATTGACTATCCGTTGCAGGATGAGCAAAAGGACGACGAAGTGTTTCTCCGCGTGCTGAATATGTTTATCGAGGCTCAGATACCGAACATGGCGGCCAGTTCTCAACCCTCCTTAACAGCGACGGGTGAACTATCAACATCGCCTGGTGAAATATATAGTTCTCCCTCCTCGAATGTATTTGGAAATGCCTCTCTCGAGTCACGGTGGTACATATCCAGCCTCCGCCAGGCCGCGTTCTGGGTCGCCTTCCGACAAGAAGTATACTCAGCCTTTCTCAAGCAACGACCATTCAGCATGTCACTATCCCGCTGCGACATCTTCCGCTCATTCACGCCCGGCGAAGACGGCCTCTGGACCGCGCGGCTGGTGATTTTCTGCGCCGACATTCTGGAATTCTGTTACGGCAACACAGCACATTCCACGCCCACGCACACGCCCCACTCCAACTCCACGCAATCGCAGTCGCAACCACAAACAAAACAACGCTGGGCGCAGCTGAAATACCTCTCCCAAAAATGGATCGATTCCCTCCCTTCCGGTTTCGAGCCGATCTATGTGCGCGAACCCGATCGGCGCCAGGGCGAGGTATTCCCTGAGATATGCTACCTGACGAATATCCATGTTGCGGGTGTGCAGCATATCGAGCTTGCGCGGATCTTACTTGCGGTGTATGACCCGGACATACCGAAGCTGGGCCTTGGGCGGAAGGAGAGTATGCGTGCGCTGAGCGAGGAGTTGAGGGCGGCGGTTTTGAGGCTTTGTGGGATTGCTGTGTATAACAGGCAGAATCCGCCTTCGTTGACGACGGCGTTGCTTGGGATTGTGGTTTGTGGGGAGCATTTTGATGATAAAACAGAGCAGATTGCGCTGATGGAACTGCTGGATGAGTTGGACTTTCACCATGGCTGGCCTGTGGGGGATTATAGAGAGCGGTTGAAGCACTCGTGGGGGTGGCCGTAGTATATTTATATAGAGGGATTGATACAAAGGGAATTGCATATCTCACATACCTATGTTAAAGAAGTGACATACACCGTCTAACCGTTCTATTGGCCTCGGGTTTGGCTGCTGTATTAATCAATATACTGGCAACGATGCATATCTCGTAGCATTGATTCTTGCATTAACTGGTCTCGTAGAGATCTCATGAGAGATTGTGTAATATCATGAATAGTTTTAATAGTAGCCACAAAATCTATCTGCCAACAGCCTCAGAACCCCAAGTCTGACCCTCGCCTTATCCAATAGACATGCTGTCTAGTCAAACCTAATCGAGCTCGCTTGCTCCGCCTCGTCGCTGTTGGATGTTAGACCTGAACTTATCAACCGAGCCGCCGCGGAGACTTACTAGGTCCTTGACAATGTTTCAAGGTCGGAGGCAAGCTTGGATGCAACAGAATTAACTTCGTTTACAGACTTCGCAAACTTGTCGAAGGCCTGTCCTAGGACTTGCTGCTGGCTATGAGTAAGGGCGTATCAGAGGTACAAGACAATTAAGACTTACAGCTCCCTGGCCTTGCCAGGCGTTAGCAAGAGACTCTTGCTGGCCCTTGACTTTGTTGAACTCGCTCTCCGTGGTGCCAGCGAAGGATTGGACATTTTCGGAGAACTGTTTGATTTGCGAGACGGGGACAGAGGCGCCCTGGGGGGCAGGGGCGGCGACTGCCAGGGCAGCGAAGAGGGTGACGGGGAGGATCTTTGAGAAGTGCATCGTGGAATATGAAGTTGAAGATTTGATGAGTGATAAGTTGACAAGTTGATATGTTGTTGATGCTCGAACTGAACCGTCCATGACCAGATTTATATACCTGGTGAGAGCTTCCAAGGGTGTCAGCCCCCATGAAGATATAATTATCGGCCAGGCTGAGTCTCTTGGATCTAGACTTGGCGACTTGGCTTGCATGAGATCTTCCGCAATCTTCGTAGTGGCAGTTGCTCAATGGCTCCGACCTCGTATTCCCCTGGGGCGGAGCGCCGTCGATATCTACTTTCAGTCAGGCTGGACTCCCAAACCCAACAAGGCGCAGGATGCCGAGAGTAGTGGAAGCAGCTGAGCCTGATATTGTAGAAGAGATTGACATTATTGCGCAACTTAGGAGCGTCATTGTGGTCTTGGAAGACGATTTGGCCCCTACCAGAATAACAGCAGGTTTACCGGGGTGGAGACTGGAGATGGTGGGCAGCGGACTTGAGAACATGGAAGCCCCTTAGTTTGGGTATACTGAATCAATTCCTCGTTGTCAAAGTCTGATTCACCTCACAAGTCAGAGCAGTCCACGGTGTTCTGCTTGAGAAATACTCTGTAGAACGCGCCTAGCAGAACGTCCTCCTATTCCATACCGACAGCCGGCTTATAGTTGATAACTTGGTCGTTCTAACTGAACATATAAAAGTCCACGGCCTTTCATATCATCCCGAATATATTAAGCATTTAATTATTCAGTGTCAGAGTGACGGGTTATTCTCATAAAAGCTTCAATTCAAGCTACACTAAACAGTCTATATTTTGGCAGCCTCAACTCTCCTGCCAGTCTCATCAAACCGCAGTTGCTTCCCACTAACCAGCGATTCCTGCAACCAAGCTCCAATCTGGACAGCCTTGACCGCATTGCTCAGCTTCATAGGCAGTGGCGTATCATCAAGACACGAGTCCACAAACTCATTCGTCTCCTTAACAAACGCCTGCTCGAACCGTCCCCAGTAATGAGGCGGAACTTCACGAGTAATCCCACCAGCGTGGTAATAGTTCACCAAGTCACTCTGCGGGTTCAAGTTAACAGAGAGTTTCCCTTCTGTCCCGATAATCTCAGTAACGTCCTCCTGTCCATGCGCCATCATGCGCGAGCAGTAGTAGTACGCGATCTTCCCGTTATGGAACTCCACAATACCCACCGCATTGTCAAAGTCGTTATATTTCTTCAAGTCAGGCGTGACAGCCGTGATCCCGTACGCGGAGATAGATTTAGGAACGACATCAGACCCGAAGAACCAAAGCGTCAGGTCGATGTCGTGAACAGCCATGTCCACAAAGACGCCGCCAGACCAGCTCGCGTACTCGACGTAGAACCCGGACGGGTCGTGCTTGTCGCAGGTCTGGGAGCGCAGGACTGAGGGACGCCCGATGAGTCCGTTCTCGACCTTGCGGTATGCGGCGCGGTAGGACTCGTCGAAGCGGCGCGAGAAACCGCACATTACTTTGAGGTGTGGGCGTTGTTTTGCTGCTGCTACGACTTCGTTGCACTGAGAAGTTAGTTAGAGTTCGGGGTAGGGAATGGGGAGCTTACAATGTCAAGGTTGATGCTTAAGGGCTTCTCGCAGAGGACGTGCAGGTTCTTCTCCATGGCTTTGATTGCCTCTTCTGCGTGGACAGAGGTCGCGGTCCCGATGACAACGGCTTGCAGACCGGGGTGCTGGATCATGTCCTCGTACTTGGTGTACAGGGTTACACCGTAAGGCTCGAGGTTCTGCTTGGCCCATTGGATCTCCTCTGGGTCAGGAGAGAATGCAGCAACCAGTTGTGACCGAGGAGCACGGTTGAGGAAGTTGAGGGCATGGCGTTTGCCCATGCGGCCGAGGCCAGCGGCGCCGACTTGGAGCTTCTTGGGGGCCATGATTGGGATAAATAAGAAAGAAGACAATTGTTTGAGAGATGAATTGGTTGAATACAGGAGGCATTCTGGGGTTCTTTATAGCTTTTGGGTTCGTTGAGGGGTCCCTATCTCGATGCATGATCCCCGCCATTGATGTAGACTGATGTATGAAGGCCGGGAGATTATTTCCAAAGACAATGAAAAGGGAAACGAGTGGCAGTTCATTGTCGGAGGTTTATTTCCTGCCCAGACTGTTCTGGTTGTCTCCATCCCACGCTCTAACCCTAAAATTCAAATTAGGAAACTTTTCTCCGGCCAAGAACCACGACTATGCATGGTCCACGAGAAAGGGAATACTGTTCCACAATGGAGAATATTTCTCACTTCGTCACGATAATCTATAGATTTTCAGGTCCACAGGCACCCAAATACAAATCGTTAGGCCAGTGCATTGACGAAGATCATCCATCAATAATATCAGACACACCCCAGGTTAAAAACAAGATTGTTATACCAATCTGTCCATCTCGTCGCGTGTATACTGAATAAATCTAGTCATCGACTCGCGTGCAACACGGCCTATAGGAAAAACCTTAACGTTATGCTCGACTGTATGAATCTGGCCAAAGTCCAGCCTAGACATTGGGTTCACTGTTTGCTCCGGACTGTCTGCTACCATCTCTATAGGGTCTTTGACCATACGGGGCTCATTGCGTCTCTGGACAGGTTGTGTACCCCGAAGGTAGATGATGGCATGCTTGTAAGGGTCGACACCGGGCTTTGCAACGCCTCGGCCCCTATAAGTTGATATTGGGCTGCAATGAAATCAGTACAGAAATATTATAGGGCACGTTTCTAACTTACAAGCAGAAGGAACTATGGCCAGACACTCTGAAAACTACCATACGACGGATACTGCTGTGAATCGGCTCATTGTATCTACCTATATAAGTTGAACCGGAAAGTGCTACTCTAGTAGAATCAGCACCGGTTTGAACTCCATGGTTTTCGTGCCATAGAATCGCAAAGACCTAAAGGATATACATCAGTATATGGCCGATAGAACATGCGCTTGAAATATGCGCGTAATTGGGTATTTTTGCTTACTCTGCCGACACTGAAATACCATTGAGGTTGGACACGGTAGCCTGTTGAATGTCAACAGATAGAATCGAATGAAATACTAGATAATACTGACGGGAGTCTAGGACTACTGGGCGCTATTGATGTATCAGCTTAATTGTTCAGGGATGACCTTTATTTGGGATTGCCCTGCTTCATTGAAGGTCTCGGCCGGAAGGTCCGCCGAGTCAACGGGGATAGCTTGAGATTTTTGGACATTGACCGCCATTTGGTCGTATAGATTGTCATAATCAAGAGGTATCGGGTTCCCGTTTGGATCGGAAAATCGAAACTCAATCGAGGGATCTAGATTATAAGTTCCTGCCAGGCGGGTTGCTAAAACTTCCTCGATGGCGTCACTTGGACGCACCTGTACTGGCAACAGAGGATAACCGGCCAGGTTGAGGTGAATAGTCTTTGTATTTTCTGCCCATTCATCATCGGCGACGAACTCTTCAGAGTCAGTGTCCGAGTCTATAGCTCCAGTGTTACGGCTCTCCGTGCGCCCCATTGTATTTAAACTGCCAGTAGTGTCATCATTCATCCGTGGAAGCGAAAAGCAAGCTATACGCTGTAGATGAGACGCAATGTGGTGGTTGTCTGCATTTTCATATAGACAGACTGGACAGCGCCGTGGGGATTCGACCTGGAGGCCATGGATAGACACCTCGTGCGCAGCCCACTCACTAAAGGTGTCATATAGTTGGTCTTCGTGTTTGCAAAATGGAAATGTGCATATATACGGCCGTAAGTCACGTAGAAGATGTCTCCTGATACTAATTAGTGGCTGATAACTTGGGAAGCTTCTTGGCCATGCCTGTCAGCAGTTACCTCCATGCTTGTGGTTTCAAAGTAGACCGCGCACACATGGTGAAGCAATATGGACACTCGAATTCTGGCTTGTCGGGGGCTATATTTGGGGCTGAAGGGATTTTGAGCGGTTCAAGAGTGTTGTCATCCACCGAAAAGAAGCTAACTGTTGATATTATAGACTCGGTATCACGGAGTCTGGCTGCGTCCAAGTTGGTAGCAGTTGAGGGCTCAGATTGCTGAATATGTGCCTCTAGACGAGGTTGCGATGGACTATCGATTGGGAGATTGTCGATTGGTAGATTGTCGTTTATTGTCCTCGCGCCCACCAGTTGAGCTACTGCGGCCCGATGATAATATTCATATTTAGCTCTGCGCTGCTCCCAATACTTGAACTGTTGCCTCCGGTGCATGTTGGCAGTGGCAAGTCGTTGTATAAGGAAATGAACGTCATCTTCTATCTCCGTGTTGGGCCTCCAGCTTTGGAAGAGTTCAGTAATGTGGTAAGAATCTCGTTCCCAGTATGCCTCGATGAGATCGACTCCGGATTGCTCATCGATTTCAGTGTAGTACTGAGCTTTTGAAAGACCCGTTCGCATCCTGGGATTCCGAACCCTAAACGATAACGCGTATAGCCTATCAATAGCTAAGGTTAAATTCACTAGATAGTCATTTTCCGGGGACTCATCTTGGTATGAAGAAAGATCTTCCTCAGATTCGTCGTCGCTGACAGACATGCCATCCGATTCCTCGTCTATAGCCATGTCGTCATTATATGAGGGTGATGCCTCTCCTGTCACATTCGCCACTTATACCAGTCAGCACCGTAAATAGGTATGGAAACCAAAACTCACGGGCTATCAGAGTGGCCTCGAAGTCTTTGAGGAGGCCCACGGTATAGTCAAACAGAATAGGGGAGTCTCGAAACCTATAGTCAAGAGAACTGTGCCCGGTGTGATAAAGCCCCAAGTTCGATGCCCATGACTCGAATCTTTGAAACTCGTTTGTGAGTTTTCTCTCGTAGACAGGATCGGAAGTCTTTGGCAGGGCTGAAAATTGAGCCAGTACTGCCCGACCCGCCTGCTCGAGCGAGGTGTATCCTTGATCCGTTTCCATACTTGTGGTCGATAATAAGGCCATCAGTGATCAGAAGAATCACTGCTTCAGCTTAAAGGAGGGGCACCAGCGAGATGAGGTGATCAGCCTTGTATACACCGTGATATTATTCGCCAGTGGCAGCAGGGTACAAGCCATAACTGCAAGGCTGGAATACCCCGCATCGAGGAGGGACTTCGGCCATCATATGGACAGCGGCTTCGTCATCTTGACTCCGAATACCTGTGTCACTGCAGGTTGCAGCACAATGAGCGGACTCGAGGTTGCTGGCGTTGTTCTAGGCGCAATTCCAATCACCGTGGTGTTGATAGAGCAGTACCGTGCAAGGCAAATACGCATCGATTTCAGAAAGAAGGAGCCGTTTGTGCTGCGGCTGATCCATTCGCTTAAATTTCAGCATTACCTTCTGTTAAATGATATCAAACTAACCTTGAAGGGTGCCGGCGTGGAGGTTGATGAATCAATCATTCAGTCGAATCCTTCTCTCTTTGGGGACGCCGCAGTGGCAGAAGCTGTTCGGGACTATCTGGGGCCGGACTGCAGCATATATTTCGAGGCCGTTGAGGGTTGCCATATGGTGCTGACTCGAATATTTGGGAGTATTAAAGGATTGGAAGAAGTTTCCGTAAGCCAATCTGTGAATGAGTGAGAATATTCGCTGACATAGACGGTGGTTTGACATTAGGACCTCAAGAGCCTCGTTACCACATACAGACAGTCGCCGCTGCCAAAGAAGATCAGGTTTCGTATCGGGAGGGATGAGATTTCCAGACAGATACAAGAACTCGAAACAGCCACAACAACCTTGCAGAGGATAAGTGAAAGCATGACTGCTCAGCGGGTGCAGGTTACGCTGCCCTCTTCTTCACGGCAGACCGCGAGACTCACATCCTCGCTAAACACTGTTCGAGACTATGCAAGGCGCCTGTATTGCGCCGTGTCAGCTGCATATCCCAGCAAATGCCACTCATATCACGAGGCGAGACTGTTCCTCTATAGCCGTTCCAACCTCATGGAAAGAAGAGCCACCAATAAACTGGACGATTTCGAGTTTACAGTGTTGTTTTCTACAGATACGCCCACTACAGACCCAGCAGACTCATACAAAGCGGATATAACAGTAAAAGACCCTGATAATTGCATACAGGAGCAGTAAGATACCTATAAGCTTGGGAGTGGAATGGCCACTGATAATACCATAGGTCCCAACAGAATCACCCCCAGAAAAGGGTTGTCATTAGGCCCCCTACACCACCAAGGAGTGTAGGTCCGCCGCGAACTGCGATGGATGACCTGTGCAAATCTATAAGACGAGCGAGGGATGGGGGTATTGTACTGGACTTGCAGCTGTCGGATCCAATATGTCTGATGTACTATCATTTGCATGATGCGAACCTTTTCAACAGAATGCATCTCACCGTCAACCCCGATGGCTTTGTATCATTGAAGCAACTGCTGGAAGATGAGCGAGGAGTACCGTGGCTGCCAAATCATAAGAGATCACTTTCCTTTACGGCTGTGTCCTCCTTACTACAACTGGTTACTACTCCCTGGCTTCGTCTCCCCTTGACAAGCAGCACCGTGCGATTCTCCAGAAACTCAGTGAAAGCTTCAACCATCGACTTTTCACTCGTCCCCGAAGCATTCGTCGAGAAAAGGTTCCTTAGCTCGACTGGGCTAGCAGCCGCACACGAAACCAGCAATGTGCGACAGTATATGCTTGAATTGGGGATACTGCTCCTCGAAATTGAGCACTGGAGAACGATTGAGGACTACGAGAATGAGCTACTCAAAAAGAGACTGCCCATGCCTCCAGATAGATATGGATTAGCCCGGAGCTGGGTTGATTCGACCTGGAGTACGTGTCACCTTCTGCCTTCCCAGGTAGATGCTATAAGCAGATGCTTGGAGTGTACCTTTGCTACCAGCGGCGCAACCCCAAGCTGGGACGATGCCGTCTTGCGTAAATCCATTGCAGAGCTGGTGTTGAAACCACTGCGGGAGACCTGTCCTCCACAATTTCGATAACCAGAACTTATAAGCTATAACTCTTGGGGTGGGGTGGTATTTTACATGGTTGCATATAGGACTTGGAGTTTCGAGGTCCGGTACAGGAAGGGTGTGCCGGTTTTGATTCCACTCTGTCAAACCTTGTTTATGCTGATATATCATTATATGAGGCAAAATATGCTTTGGTAGATCAAGATTATTTTGATCAGGCTTTTATATCGAGTGCAATTCATGGCCTGGGAAGAACGGACGGCCAACATCACTTACCTCCACCATCCGAAATGTCTCGAACTTTGTAATATTCTTCAGCCCCCAACAAAACGCCCCTACTAGAAACACACGCAGGACCTGAAAAGGACCTGAATTCTCCGAATATTCTGGCTGGAGTGCTTTCCTTGGGACAGGCAAGAGACCCAGAAATTTCCCGATTCGGCAACGTAGGCGATCCAGCCAATCACAGTCCGCGTGGCCTTCGATATCGGGGCCTGAACCAGCAGCTTACCAGCCTTTAAAGGGCAGACGAACCCAGGGTGTTTGGGGGTTGACCATAAATCTCTTCCTCAAGTTACTTCTACACCTCTGTACCACCATGGTCAAGATTTCCGAGTTCGCCGTTGAGCGTGTAAGTCTATTCCCTTCCCTTCTTTATAGATCTAACCATACAACAGTGGATGGACGACCACGAGAATGATGCCAAATATAATATCGCCGAGACATGCTGTGCCTCTATTTCACTAGATGACCTCGCTGCTTTCTCCAAGAAACCGGGCAACGTCCTGGACTTTTCCCAAAAGCAGACGTACGGTGCAATTCGGGGCACAAACGCCCTACGGACGAACATTGCGAATCTGTACTCCGACAGCACCAGTGAGGCGTTGACAGCTGAGAATGTTCTCGTCACGAACGGTGCTATTCAGGCCAACTTCCTGAGTCTGTATACCAATGTTGGGCCCGGGGACCATGTTATCTGCCACTACCCGACATACCAGCAGCTGTATTCCGTTCCCGAGTCGCTCGGTGCTGAAGTCAGTCTGTGGAAGTCGAAGCAAGACGAGAACTGGCGTGTGGATTTGGCTGAGCTCAAGGGATTAATTCGGCCAAATACCAAGGTTATCGTTCTCAAGTAGGCCACCCATGATGACCCTTGGCTGACATTGTACTGATAAGGAACAGTAACCCACAGAATCCCACTGGTGCCGTCCTAAGCAAGGAACTGCTGCAAGATATTGTTGATATTGCACGCCAGCATGATATCACCATCCACAGCGACGAAGTATACCGGCCTCTCTTCCACTCCCTCGACGCCGACCAGCACCCGCCCTCTATACTGTCCTTCGGATACGACAAGGTCGTTGTAACCGGTTCAATGTCGAAGACATTTAGTCTAGCTGGAATCCGCGTTGGATGGATTGCGTCTCGAAGCCGCGAGATCGTTGAACAATGTGCATCTGCTAGACATTACACTATGATCTCATTGAGCCAGGTCGATGACCAGATTGCGACTGCAGCGCTGAGCGCCCCCACTGTGAATAACCTGCTGCAGCGGAATATAGATCTCGCGAAGAGAAACTTGGTGGAGGTGGATGCTTTTGTGCGAGAGTTTGAGTGGGCGGTTAAATGGACTCGACCCCGTGCAGGAACGACTGCGTTCATGCAGTTTGTTGATCGAGCTGGGAGGCCGGTCAATGATGTCGAGTTTTGTAAACGCGTGCAAGCGAAGACTGGTGTTATGATGGTGCCAGGTAGTGAGTGCTTTGGTGATGGGAGTGACTTCAAAGGGTTTGTCCGTATGGGATATGTGCCTGAGCATCAGGTTCTAGTGGATGGACTGCAGGCATTGCGGAAGTTCATGCGGGAAGAGTATGAAGAATTAGTAGGTTAGATTGGATACATGAATTAAATATTGGGCTATTTTCGCTTTCTCGGCATAATCGAGGCTCAGCCTTGCGCCGTCGGCTTGTCGGCACGATCCATCCCCGCTCGTGCATATTAGCTGATTACGCCAGATGAGGGGGATTATGACGCTAATTTAGAAGATTTATCAGCGGAACAGCTTTGTGTCTCCTTGTAGTCATATTACCCAGGGACTCAGCATGCCGCCGGATTCTACAGTCGCAGAGCAAACGGGGGATGCAGCTGGTACAGATGAGAAGACAAGCATCTCAAAGCAGTCATCACTATCTACAGATGTTGAGAGAACGGCAAACAATTCCTCGCCGACTGGTGTCCCTGATGGGGGAACTGCTGCATGGCTGGTTGTTCTGGGTTGCTGGTGCACCTCATTCTGCAGTTTTGGCTGGCTCAATAGTATGTCACCCTTTTATAGTGAATCGATGGCTAATGGTACTACCTATGTAGGCGTTGGAGTCTTCCAAGAGTATTATCAAAACGACCTCCTGCGCAGCTACTCTACAAGCGCAGTCTCCTGGATTCCGTCGCTTGAGATATTCTTCATGATGGCCATGGTCTGTCTCCACTATTCTTTTTAGACTTGTGCTAATATATGCAGGGGCCCATTGTTGGAGTGCTGTATGATCGCTACGGACCGCGATGGCTTCTCCTGACTGGGAGCATAATGCACGTCTTTGGGATCATGATGACAAGCATAAGCCGTGAATATTACCAGATCCTCCTCTCACAAGGACTGTGCTCTGCCTTTGGCGTATCCATGATATTCCAGCCTTGTATGTCGTCCGAGTCGTATATATCATCTCCTACTAACTGCCCAGCCCTCACCTGCGCCGCCGGGTGGTTCGATCGCAAACGCGGAGCAGCCTTTGGCATCTTATTCACAGGCTCCAGCATTGGAGGAATCGTCCTCCCAATACTGGTGACGCACTTAATCCGCGATGCTGGGTTCGGCTGGGCAATGCGCACCTGTGCATTCCTCATGCTGGCCCTCTTGACTCTAGCCAACCTCACCATTCGGCCCTACAATCCACCCAAACCGCGCAAGTTAACCCTCACTGAGCTCATCAAACCTCTCAAAGAACTCCAATTTGTCTTGCTAATAATCGGCCTATTCATCTTCACCTACGGCTTCTACGCGCCAATTAACTATCTCCCTGCGCAGGCCATCAGCGTCGGCATGTCCCCAAACCTGGTGCAATACCTCCTCCCCATATTAAACGCAGGTTCTCTCTTCGGTCGTCTCTTCGCCGGATTTCTCGGGGACAAACTCGGCAGATACAATATCTTCATCATCGTCTGCTACCTATCTGGGATATTCATTCTAGCCCTCTGGCTCCCGGACTCCAGCAATGCAGCCCTCATCGCGTTCGCGGCGTTATTCGGCTTCTTCTCTGGCGCGTATGTCTCCCTGCTTACGCCGCTGATTATGCAGATCTCGCCGATGCCGGAGCTGGGCTTTCGTACGGGAATTGCGCTTCTGGCGACTGCTGTTGCCGGGTTGACTACAAATCCGATTAATGGGGCGATTGTGGATGGCGGTGGTGGGTGGGGTGGGCTCAAGGTTTTCTCGGGGGTGTTGGCGATTGTTGGGACGAGTTTCGTGCTGGTGGCTAGACTGAGGAAGACGGGGGTGAAGGTTTTTGTGCGGTATTAAACTATTCTCTGGATATGACGGCGGGCTACTAGTCATAAATTGCAACAGAGATATAAAGGCTTGTATCCGCCACAGCCAAACTCTTTCCTCTTCAGTAACCTTACATACTAAATCCACAAGCCCATCACATAATGAAGCCCAAACATCTAATATTCCTCAGGGACAAGCTATTCGTACCGTCAATCCCCTGGGAGAGTATCGATGACTATCCTAAGGCGTAGGAAACCCGTCGACGGGTGCATGAAGAGTTCGGCTTGACTGACAATGAATGGACAGCCGTTTAGAACAATCTGAAAAACTACAAAGCGATAGGGTTGCACAACAACGTGGTGACCCCATACTATGTATAGCATAGATTAAATATAGAACATCGTATGGCGAATTCTGTCGTGGATGGCCACGAGACTGGAATCTGGGATCATCGATACTCCACCACCACCCGTTACACTGGGCTCTGGACTAACTGCCGGTGATGGGTCGAAAAACCTGCTCAGGTAGCACCGCGCTCTTTCACAAACGAGGTCAGCATAGTAGGCGGGCGGACAGATGCTGACAGCTTTAGTGGCACGCCCAAAGAGATAGCACATATTATGTGTGAGGTCTTCCAGGGCGTCGGCTGCGTTTTCGAACGGCTTCCGGACTTTCATGTCGCGGAAGATCTCGTCAAAGATAATATAGTAGTGTGCTGGACGAGCGGTTCCTTGAATTGCCGCGTGTGCTTGCAGGAAGAAGTCCCAGTAGCGTGCTTCGGTGATGACGCGGTCAACCACTGTCCCGTTCCGCGGGTTTGTGGACTTGTCGGACTCCTCTGCCCTCGAGGCGTAGAAGCGGTGATGGTGACGCTTCCCGACAACAACAATTGTCAACCGGGGAATGCCCTTCTTTGTGGAGTCCGGCGAGTACAGCTCTTTGCAGGCCTTGCGCAGCGCCGGCAGCTCGTTCTCAAGCACCAGATTGTATTGGCCTTCGGATACACCGTCTCTATAAACCAGGATATTGGCTGGATACGACCCATTATGCTTCTTCCAGAGATTCAGCCGTGATCTCAGCATGAGGTCCAAATTCGCCACCATTTCCTCCCGGGCAGTCTGTATTCTCAAGTCTGCAGGCCATTGCCCCAGACTCTTATCCACAGAAGCGACAATGGCAGCCACACTAGGTGCGTCAGGAGACGAGCCAGGAGACGGATGCGTCACGTCCAGGCCGACTACCATAGTCTTGCCTTCGGATACAATTCCAAGTTTGGCGGCATCCAGGAGCTGGTTCCGGCCGCCAAGTTTGAGGTTAAACTTGAGAGCGACATTGGAGAAGTATTGGGCATTATTGGGTTTTGCAAACTTATTAGCAACGACGCAGACGTTTGGCAGGCCCTCCTTGACATCGCAGAGATACTTCACTCGGTTGTAAATCGTGGTATCCGCCGCTGGAAGAATCACAAGAATAAAATGGGGGGGCTTTGGGCTAGCTGTAAACTTTTTGACGGCGGTGTCAATATCCCGGTCCACGTCGTTCAAAATTATGTGCTGACCCAGAGAACAGTTATTGACGTTAATGCCGGTCTGGCGAAGAGTATCGGTAAAGGCATCTACTGTCGGCTTCAGGGCAACATTGTCCTTCCATGGGTCCCTGCCGCCAGGATACGATAACCACAAGAAGGTCCAAAACGTTAATTGGGAGGCGGAGGAGAACTTCATGGATGACATATTCCAGCTGCCAGACGTTGGCCTTACCATTCTGTCCCCTCCATATTTGACTTCGGGGCTATTCAACAAACGTCCAGGCACCGCAAGTAATCTCGGAATCAAATTCATTCCAAAGGTGCTCTATAGATAATCAGCGTATGTAACAGCGTTTCAGATGAGGTTATCTGGCTCACCAGATTAGAACCCTCGCTCCCTACACCGAGAGTTTGGAGTCCAGACGTGACAATAGATTGTGCGTTTATTGCGGGCTTGCGCACTGCAAACTTGATCATATTCTGGGTCTGCATCGGACTCAATTTAGCCCTCCAAGGCTGACCGGGAAGAACAAAGCACACCTGGGCGGGGAGGTAGGATGGCCTCTGGCGAGTGCCAGTGTTTATAACTGGAAGACTTGGGTCTTTGATGGTGATCTGGTACCCTTTGACGTTATTAGTAGTAGAAGCTTTGTTTGACCCTTGGTGACTTACTTTGCCGGAAAAAGTCGTATACACTGATATATCCATTTTTGGGCACAGGCGTATGAGGTCCATCTTTTCCAGCCTTCTTCCCCTTCTTGGACTTTTCGGTACTGCCGGGGTCGCCAAGGTAAAAGAGGACGTCCTTTGGCCCGGCGCCAAATGAACCGACCCTTGGAGGAGTTGGGTCACCGTGACCGTCTTGCTGAGTAGCTAAGCCGCAAATCTGTTTAACTCGTGGGACTACCTGGCCTTGTCTATTTGTTATCTTGATATGAGTCACGTTGACCGACAATCGTTTGAGAAAATTGCCAAGTTTAACCTTGCTAGGTCCGTTGTCATGTAGATACGCCCGCATCACCAAGTCCAGAGGCCCTTCATTATAGAACGCGGCGCTTTTAACTTGAACGTTGACTATGGCCCGGGCAGTAGCTGCACGGACGCTGAAGAAAAACCCGCGAAGAGCACATAATCCACTGCCAATGTCCAGTTTCTCACCGGTACCGCCCATGAGACGAAAGTGCTTGCTAGAGCCGATTGATGCGATATCGAGAGCTGCCTTGGGAGTGTGCCCAAGGATGATATTCAGAGCTTGGATGACCACATCCTTCGAATCTAGCATTGCACCAGCATTGGTGGATGTCAGATAGTTGATCATTTCAGGCAAATTCACCATGCCCGTTGATTGCACACGGACATTATAAGTCGGTGCACCAGTCGCATGCTCGTCCTCGAAATCGCCGCGATACGGGACCCGATACACTTCCTCGCCCAACCCGAGATCCGTGGCACTTATGAGAGTAGACTTGAAATCCGTCGCAATATCAAGTCTGTGTCCAGGGAAATGGCTGTCGAGGAGTAGCTGGACCACGCGCCTCTTCTTCTTCCCAGTCGGAACATTAGCCGCACCAGTACTAGGTGTGATATCGACATTGTACCGGTAGAGGTGAACATGTTCCTTGAATGCCAACGCGAACGAATTAGCCCACAGTACCACCCTCCGTCCTTGAGTGCCGAACCCTGGGCGCCGCGGCATCAGGGGGTCTATCGGCGTACTGCTAGGCCCCGTGAAGGGCTTGATGAGACCATTCTCAATCTCAGCAACCCCTGTATCTGGAGCGGCATCGTAACCGGGGCTATGAATGAATTCGGGCTTGTTAGCTTCACTATAGTGGTAGCGAGTACGCATGCCATGGGCTGGAGTACCTGAAAAGTGAGGGGCCAGCTCGATCGTCTTGACCACTACCTGGGCCTCTGTCTCCCCGTCCTTGACCTGCCCGTCCTTGACCTCCCCGTCCTTGACCTCCCCGTCCTCGGCCCCCCGGGTCGCTGCCACCCTGAGACTTTGGGCCGCGAAACCCTTTAAACGACATTGTCAAGTAAACCGGGGTTTTGCTAGTATTGTTCGAAAAGAGTGGACAAAGTATGAGGAGGAAGTCAGAATTGTATAGCAACACGAAGAGCGCGGGGCCGGGTGGATGTATGAGATTCAGCCTGGATGGAATTCGTGTAACGCACACGCCTGCCTGCCACTTGTCTGGTTGTGCACTGACCGAGCCAATGCCTGATTTGGATTATGCGGCATTTACCAAGTCTACTTGGGCCTGTTGCTATAGGTTAGAGCCGTACGGACGTTATCAAGTAGTCAAACCAACCTGTTCTATGGCTCGTCTGCTATATTGTCGCACAGGGGCGCAAATACGTCTCCCCCCTTGCTCTAAATCGAGGATACTGCATAATATGATATTGTGCTGGCCTTAAGCCACTGACAATTTGTTCTATGATATCTCAACTCTTACCAGGGAAGCTACTAGTCGCTTCCAAACAGGAATACTGTCGGTATCAACAGCTTGCTTAACCCCCTTCTCACCATCACTGGTATTGTTCATAGTCCCGTCAAAAGTTTTATCGTCGAGGATAGAGGGCACATCTTGGGTCAAAGTCCGGGGGCAACCAACAACAATGAGTCCTGCGCGCGCTCTGGTGAGGACAACATTAAGCCGCCGAAGATCGCTCAGAAACCCAATATTGCCATGGGGGTTGCAGCGTACGGTCACGAAAATAATGACATCCGCTTCGCGGCCTTGGAATCCATCGATGCTGGAAACCATCGCCGAGCCTGGAAGGAGGGACCGGAGTATCTTGACTTGCCACGTGTAGGGAGTCAGGATTGCAACTGACAACGATGGCCCTGGCTCGGTTGCCATCAGCAGCTGATAAACCTTCTTGGAGAGCTCCGCCTGACTAGTATTGCCCTTGGATTGGTACCCAGCATCCTCGGCTCCGGTGCAGGGAACAAAAATGCACCGCGCCACTGGGGAGTCTGTGAGAGGTTGTTGTTGTTGCTGCCGGGGCCAAGGGAACCCGTTCATAGGGAGTGGTCTATCCTGGCAAGAAGCGTGTGCCTTGAGCCTGTCGTTGTAGAATTCGCGAGATGGGAACTCGCCGATTTGCGGGTGCATTCGGTACTGGACATTGAGCATAACCTTGGTTAGGGCATGATTCGTGGCCTCACCATTCGTCCCATAGAGCCGCTCAAAAAGCGAAACTTCCATGCCCATTATTTTGGCGTAGTTCCCTGTGGTTCCGCGGAGCTGAACATGATCTCCGACGAGAATGGCTCGCTGACAACCCTTGCTTAATGGAATGACGGACATGGGCTCTGACTGCTGTGACGACTCATCAATTAGGACTATCTGGAATTTTTCGTTTCGTAGAAGGCCTAGTCCCGCTCCGACACATGTTGTGAAGACTACGCGGGCCTGCTGGATACGCTGGATAGCGAGGGCTCTGGCGTTGGAATTGAAGTGGAACTCTTTGTTGTCCATGCCGTCGCAGGTATATTGAACCAAATCAGGGGATACTTTATGTATCTACAGGGAAAGCAAACCGTTAGATTTAATTTCAATTGCAAGAACAAGTCAACATGCTAGGGCTCGGAAAGCACTTACATTCGTGGTAACTCGGAGGGGGGTGACCCCTGATGAGCCCACAAAGCTCAAGTATCTTTTCAATATGTTGTCCACTGCATTATGGCTGGGGGCAGTAACAAGGACCCGGTCCTCGGGGCTCCGATGCAGCAGTTCCTGTAGAATCACAGCAACTGTCTGTGTTTTGCCAGTTCCAGGTGGGCCCCAAATGCAGGTCAAGGAGGAATTGAGTGCCGCCTTCACTGCTTCGTTCTGGCAATCATTAAGGTCTTTGCGAGAATTATACGCTGCACCATCATGTGGACCCCCCAGTTCCCAGTAGTCATCCACCAGCTGAGTATACAAAGCGCATGTATCTGCCTTTTGTTCCATTAAAGTGACTAGCGAGTCCAGCATTGCTTTGCTGGTGACAAATGACCCGCAGTGCTTCATTCGCCACCGAGCCGATGCAACATAGGGAGGTGGATACGAAAGGCAGCCGAAGGTGACCATGCCTGGCTTGGATGATTCGACCATGGCGTCGAAGCCTGGACGGTCTGTTAGGAACACGTTTTCAGGGTACCGAGCCAGTTCAAACCGGACATGATCACCAGCCGCCAAGCGTTCCAGTTGCGGTGCATCTATGCGGCGATTGCTAGTCAAGACAGGGTATGTGAGTGCCAGGGCGACTGGTTGAAATACCCATAAGTCGTCGTGCGGCGGCCTTGCGGCCCATGCCTCCTCACTGTGGTCAATTGCAATCCCAAAGAGGTTGCGCATAAAATAATTTGTGGCGGATGGGCATTCGTTTAGCAATCGCTCGCCGGTCTGCTGGAGGCATTCTAGGCAAACCTCGAGCATTTGGCCTGGTGTTTCCAGTAGCAGGCAGGCCTTCTCGACCAGAAGACGAAAGGTTGCCAGTGACATGCTGTTGGCTTCGCGGGCAATGGCGCACAGTGCTTGTATTGCAAAGTCTCCAACGAAGCTGGCTGATTGAAAAACAGCTTCTAGCAAGTGTGGGGTCTTTGGCTTCAGCCATCGATATACAAAGTCCGGCAGGGTTTCCTCCCACGGACAAAGCCGTGAAAAAAAGATGACATTTGCCGGTGCGTAGAGCAGGCCCTGAAGTAGTCCATCAAGCAGCTCCCTGGGGGCAAGCCATCTACTGACAGCACTCGGTGACTCTAGATAGTGGTTATAGATTCTTCCAGGCAAGTCACGTTCATTATGCTCAAAGCAGAATTGGAAAACTGGGACGAGGTTCGACTGCATTTCGATCCGGTCCAGTTCAGACATGTCGCCATCGCGGATTAGAGCACAGATTTTCCGCGGCTGCGACGACCAGTCCACTGTGGACGTGCGACTTATTACGAGGGGAGGGGGCGTTCTCTCAAAAAGTGGAATTGTTTCCAGAGTATCAATACTGCGCTGCCACATATCCAGGGTTTGAAACGAATGCACATCGGCGTTGCTGATGACGTAGAGTTCCTATATTCGATGATGAGCCCAGTTGCCGCGCTACCTGAGAAATGAATATACTTACTGCTGCAGCAATCCCATGTCGTCGTACTGGGCCGATTTGGGTTCGCATGTTTTGACTGAAGCGATCGAGAGCAATACTTGCGATCCAATCGTGGTTTATCCCCTCCAGATTTGTCTGGTGTCGCTGCCGGGCACGATTTGCCCTGCCTCTGGTCTGGCGAAAGGATGCATCATTGGTTCCAGGCTGGCCGATCCATATGAATGTATTCTGGCGATGACGGTTGTAGAGCTGAAGCGTCGAATGGGTTAAACTAAGTCTGTACTCGCTGCCCGTGATGTGGATGCGATCGCGGACGTTGCCCTGATGCTGTGTATGAGGAAATCCAAAGACAAGCACATCCTTTCCCACCAGGGCGTCTTCATCGATGCTGATGAGATGTGGGATATAAACAGCAATACTCAAACGTTCGTGGATCCGCATTACCAACAGCTTCCGATGAAAGTGGGCGAAGGACTTGTCGAGCACTTCAAACAAATTTGCGAGCCGGTTATCAGCCGAGAAAATACGCTTCCAGCGCATCCCGGGGTAGTCAAGATGGAATTGGCACAGTTCATGCTGTTCAAGAATATCGGAGCTCATCAGACCATTCATGACCAGGCTGGGCAGCTCAGTCGTCGCAGGCAGCTGTTGTAGCAGCCAATGCTTTTCCTCTCTACCCAGCGCCGCGGGATCGAAGTATGGCAGAAGCTCGCTGAGTTCGGCTTCTCCAGATCGTCGACACCACTCGTAGACCAGTTGGATCATCCGAAATTCAGAGCAGCTGCGCGGCTGGCACAGAACGGCTTCAACCACGTCGCGCGAGGTCAGTGCCCACCCGCAACCGCCTCGTGCTGCGATCCCCTGCTGGGACTCTTTCTCTGCTTCCCGATGCAGGACATTAAGAACGAATGAATCACGTACCTCGTCGCTGAGTGGTGGTAGTTTGGTAAATCGGTCATCAATCTTTATACGGTTACCGTCCACAGATAAGGAATGCAGCCGGTTCAGCTCCTGGCACTCACTGCTGAGAGCACCTTCTGGATTACGTATTGCCCAGTCCAAGAAGAGGGCTTTGACACGGCCTAGACTTATGCTTGTGTACCGCGCAAAGTACTCGATGAGGTCATCCACGGTTATTTTGTCCAAGGAGACCGGTTGTCGACCGGGGGGGTATTGTGCTGGCTCGGACAAAGTCGAGGGAACAAGGTCTGGGTCCCAGCAAACAAAGACTATTATAATATATAGGTGTTATACTGCTGAAAACTTGAGACATAACATTGCCAACTTACAGGTATCACCATCAAGGTCCCCTCCTGACATCTGGTCGGCTGCTGGCCGGTCGCCCTTGACCGAAAAGACTATACAGTCCGTTAGATGTGCAAGCTGCGGCCGGTCAACTGCTCGAAGCTTTCGCAAGTCTCCAGGATGAAGGCAAGGGTTCCGACACCAGAATGTCACACCCATTGAGTGTTATCGGGCGTCCTCCATGTCCTTCGTCTGTCACTCGTAGGAAACACTCTCCTTCCTCCAGAACATCTCGGGGGTCACATACACCAAATAATAGCCTCGACTCGGGAATAAGAATGCGACACTTTTGACATTCGCGCTTGTTCAGCATCTTTTTGTATTCCGTGCTGGCTAGGCCGCGCAGGGCACCAGTTGATTCCTCAATCCCCTTGAGAAGAAGCTGCTCAGCTTGGTGGAATCGATCCAGGGAGCACAGGAAACTAAATGCTAAAACAGGATCCGTCACCGATGCGCGCAACCGGGCAAAGTGTGTTGCTTGCTTGTGGAGAAGCACCTCGGTGGGAATCCCAAGAGCGCTCAGAAGCAGCACGATATCATCATTGAGATAGCCGTAAGTATAGGGCTAACCGGTCAGCAAAGAAGTAGCCACCAATTCAAAACCTTGATTGGGTCTCTTACTTTGGAATATTCGACCACAGCGAAGGACTGATTTGCAGTTCCCGAGAACTTGCGCATCGACTGTCGGAATTGAAACCAATATCTCTTGGGCATGTCGGGTTCGAGGGTCACAACCCCCTTATAGCCCTTGAACCGAATCTGAAAGACCGATGGATGATAGCGTGTGTTGCGACTAACAATTGCCAGTTTCTGGGATAATAGTCTTGCTGCGTTTGGCCCGATCAGCCCACAGCCGTCGGTGAAATTGTATCCGGCTCTTTCAACATCGTCAATGTCCTCATATCGGCCATCCGGGACGTCCATTATCGCCGGGGCGGACGAAAAGAGAAGCCCAATCCGTTTCGCCTTCTTTCCCACGGTTTTGATCTTGGAGAAGTCCCCAAGCGATTCTACAAATTCCGCCACCTCGTTTTTCGATCCTCGGAGTAAATAGCAAGAGCGCGACTTCAGCTGGCTGGAACTATGGCCATAAAAGCTGTACAAGGCACCATTGAGAACGATGCCTTTTTTGAGAAGCCGAACAAGATAATCAGCTGTTTCCCTGGCAGTAAAGCTCTTCCACGATCCTTCTTCAAACTGTCCCAGGCGGAAATCAGCAAAGGAAAAGTGTATCAAACGGTCCAAAGCACAGGCACTCGTAGCTCGATTCGGGTCCAGCTTAGTGAACCTCAGCTCTAGTTTACGTGCCTTCGGGTTGGACACCAGCTCCAACGATTTAACCCATCGTCCGGGGCTCGTAGCCTTGGGCCTGGGTAGGTCGTGGAGCGTATATGTCCAGCTTTCGTCACTTGCAACAAATTCAGACTGCAAAATGCGCGCAAAGGAACTTGGCTTCTGTGACGCCATATTCGCAGTATATATTATAAAGATATGTAAAATGGTTATCTCTGATAACAACTAGAGATTTCCAAGACCCCTGAACGTAGGGACTTAAATAGATGGTGCGACCGATGCTGACCCTCTGTCAAACGTACTTGTGCACCAAGAAACGCGGGGTCACAAGTAGCCCCCCCGGTGTTTTGATAAGATCGAACGCCTCATATATAATTGCTTGGACACCGAGTCCGACGTGCCTGATATGCCTGCATCTTGATATATTCGCAACATGTCCCGACCGATCTCTGTGTATATTGTTGGCGCCCAGTGTACTGGCAAAACAACCCTGTTACATGCACTACAGGCCGCCCTCTCACGCAAATGTCCGTCCCTGCATCTACGCCCCATCACAGAAGTGGCACGAAAGATTCTCCGAGAACGTCAATTCACTCGCGATGACATTACAGATAGCCCAGAACGAGCCCTCGAGTTGCAGCAACTAATCCTCACAGCCCAGTGCAAGGAGGAGAGCAAGGACCCCTTTGACCCTGTTCTATGTGATCGGTCTGGAGTTGATCCCATCGTCTACGCGGTTAAATATGGACCGCCGCAAGGGCAGGAAATCCTTGAGAGCTCATACTACTGGAAGTACCTCCGGGACCGAATGAGAAAGGCGCTGGTGGTTCTTTGTCCGCCGCAGGAGGAGTGGCTGGTCGACGATGGAACACGACTGATGGCCAGGGATACAGCAGAGTGGGAGGATATGCATCGTACTTTCGTGCAGGTTCTCGAGACAAACGGTATCGTATTCCAGACCATCCCAAGGGAGTTACAGGACTTGGAAGACCGCGTGGATTTTGTCATGGGTCTCTGGGACAGCCTTGCTCGTGGGGCACGGTCTATTTGTACTTAGCATCTTGTGAACCTGGCGAGCACAGAATTGATTTTACGAGAGCCCAATCAATGAATTTCCTTTCCCGATTCGGTACTAACAACAGTTGCAGGAGGGAACTTCCTTGATGGGTTAAGGCTGGCTTACCCCTGCAAACCCCGCTCGTACTGCATCCGAAGGGGCTATCCTGCGGTTTCACCTGATAAAGATTCACCATGAGTATAAAGGAGGACGCGGCAGGAGGCATAAAATATACGGAAAGCTCGATGACCTGGCAAGGCTGGACAGCATCATGAACCTGGTGTACCACGAATGAACCACACTGGGGGGGATTAGTCTACTCATGTTGTATGGTGGTTTTGAGAATGAATGTGCTTATATTCCCATATAATCCAGGGAGCTCTGTAGTCGTGTCCACAGATGGCTCTGGGCCAGTATCGGTCTGTAGTAGAACCACACACTTCGAAGGCCAAGGACTACGTGCCACATGGCTATCGAATAAATCCTACTGCCCCAAGCCGATGATTAGCCATATGGAGAGCCTAGGATCACGCTGACTACTAGAGGTCGGCTGTATTCGTAAAATACTTGCACTAGATGACGTCCTGCGCGTCCGTACTTGTCCATTCCCTAGGAGCCCACGTTGGGCTACGAAAGCGTCTGAGTGAAATCTTGTTCTTTTCGAGCCCCCGGTGACTTGGCCGTTCCTGGTCGTGACACAGAGCACTGTGAGTTCCTCTACCTCCTTCGTTTCGCTATTTTACAAGTACTGCCTGGCTGTGAAAAACTATCTATCACCTGTCATCAAAGACGCGATGGCGACATTAGACGATGCGATATTTGTTCAAGAGCGCCTTGGCTATAAGTTCCAGGACCTGGATCTCCTGCGTTTAGCATTGAACGCAGCAGGGAAAGGAGGGGCCGAGGGTGAGGAAGACAGACCAGGAAATAGCCGGCTAGCACACGTTGGAAATTTTCTGATGCAGTTTCTGCTGGCCTGGGTTGGCTTCTCTAATGACTGGAGTCGAGGTAAGTCAGCGTTAGAGTCAACCACGCCGTGTCTAACATGCGAGAATGGCAAGCCGGCACAACTTCACTGAGAACGCGTCTCGGTAGCAACAGCCACTGTGCTGAGGTTGCGCAGAAAGTTGGACTGGACCGCTGCCTTAAATACGATATGCGATCAGGGTCAAAGTCGCCGGGGGTCCTCCGGAAAGCCCTGAACGCAATCATTGCGGCAGTGTTTTCTGACTCGGGCGATTTGAAAGCAGTCCTGGGGGTCGTCTTAAAGCTCGGGTTAGTGGAAGCAACTTGCATAAGAAAGGCAAAGCAAAAATGGCATGATACCAGCTAACTACTCTTTACCAGGCTGTTTGCGCATGACGAGTGTGGCGTGGACCCCAAACTTTTATCAAATGATCATGCTGGTTCCATAGGGAGCTTTGGTAACATCTCTGCACCCACAGCCTTCAATAAGGATCTTGGCGTTGATATATTCGAAAAAGGACCCGGCCCGATGCCGGCCGAACCGAACTCCGATGTAGTAGACGTCAACTTCCATCAAGCGCCAGGCATGTCCATGAGCATGCCACCGTGTCCAACGAATGTGTTTGATTTTTTGCTTGACGATCCTTCACTATCGCTGGGAGAAGAGATCATCAATGGGCCCAATGGCCTTTCCCTCGTAGCAGGCTCACAACCGGACTTGATGGACCGAGATAATTCGATCATTTCCAGAACAGCTGGCCGAAAGAAGGCACGAATATCCGCTGACAGTTCTCCGTACCAGGCCATGCCATGGCTGGGTAGGTATATGGCAGAGGAGAGACAAAGGTGCATCTTGCACAATGTTCCACCACCGGAGCAGACCTTCTTTCCAGAATATATTGAGAAGGAGCTGCGAGGTCTAGGGGCAAAACATGCTAAAACCGCTACACTAGTTCATATCATGATAGCTAGCCCTTATGCGATTGCTAGTTTGCGCGAACTAGTCATCTCCCATCAGTCAAAAGGCTCGTCTCGCTTTTGGCAGGTTGAGCCCACTGTCTCGCCTCAAGTGCGATTTGAAATCATCAGCAGCCTAGATTGCAATATCACTGCGTACGGGATTCTTCGTCGGTATCATATTCTCCGTCTCTTTGAAGATAGTGTGCCTTCCAATAGCCGAGTATTGACGAACTTCATCAACTCGAGTTCAAACCATCTGCAGGCGACAAAGAGACCTGGAAACCCTGGCAACAATGCCAAAGCAGACGTCACCAGCGCCATGATGAAAGAGATATATCACGGCCTGGATCCGTCATCCCCGGAATATAAGACCCGTCATAGAGAAGTTTCCAGACTACAGATTCTTGGACGACGATTCCACGCCCTGGCAGCTAGGTTCCACCAGGGAATCCTTGGCCTTATACCGCCACCGGGTGGACTTACTAGGACAAATGACTTTGATATATCAGACTGCATGTACGTTTTTACCAAGGTTACATGTTCACAGACACCTAATGAGAATTAGGATACGCGATCTGTCTGATACAGCCTTTAACAACCTCCTAGATATCCTTGACAGGACACAAGGACCTTCCCTTAGGAGATCCAGTGATGTGACGATGCGCCTAATTGGGCCCCTGATTTCTGGCACGCCGCGACCCCCTGGGCGGTTTCGCATCGAAGCGTATACAGCAGACGACATAATACGGCTTCCGAAAGGATCCGAAGAGCTGCTTGATATATTAAGTGAAGTGTATGATGCCATAAATCCCGGCGCTGGAAGGCTTATCCCTGACTTTCCTTAGTGCTACTTAGCCTACTTTCGATATTCTCGAGGTCTTCGAATATGGCACTAGATTCTCCAAAATTATGTACGAAGGATTGGACTTTTCATTCTGGTATACTCCGAAAATGAATTCTGTTCTGCTGCTCCTTCTTTGGTACGACGAGTAGGTTCGCAAGGCGCGGGTTTATATTCCTTGGCCTTGAGGCCTTCGCTCCTTCATGTATGTATATCAAGTCAAGAACTGTCCCCAGGCACCTCAAAAAGTTCCGTGTACTTCGATATGAAAAGGGGTGTAATATCTCAACGTCGTGGTATCGGTTTAGATCACTTGCCCCGTTGAGTAGCAGTATCAAATGGTCCACAACTACATTACCAACTAGAACATACCCTTCAGCTGTTAAAAAGAGTCCATCATTGAATATCAACTCTCTCGAATTCTCCATGGCGCTGTAACATAGAATATGCTTCTAAAAGTTAGATAACTTTCTACGATCTACATTAGACTTAGTCTAATTGGCAGAATAGGAGTTGATCTCACAATCCTTTATCAGAATAGTTTAGTATTAGAGTACTCAGCTTAACTCAAACACTATTAAACTATTCTTTTATAGCTATATAGTCTAGGATAGTAAGGACTGGGATCTGTGCTCTAGAATTAAGAGCCATCTAGTTATCTAGTTATAAAGTCTTCAAGCCTATATTTAGTTAGTTAAGATATGTGATAACATCCAGAGTTCGGTAGATTACTTATTCAGCGTACTTAGTCTTTTAGTTATCTAGTATTTAGTAAATACCTCAGGTTTCTTAAGAATGCTCAGGGCCTGCTAAGATCTACTACATAAGTAAAGAGTAGCAAGGGATAAGCCCTAAAACAGAAAGGGAACGCCATTAACACTCCTAGAAAGTCAAGAACGTATGTGATTAGTACGGCATGGCGTAATAAATAACTGAACCGTCAACTTACGTGTTTATTCCGACAGCTCCGCCAAAAATCGACCAATAGCCTCGGGATGGCCTTTGACGGGGCCAGACTGGGTGTTGATGCAGATGTCCGTCCGCTCATAGCGCCAATGGGACTATAAGCCGGGGTGGAGGATTTAGTGGCACTGGACTTACTTGGTTTTGAAGTCGGTGATGAGCCGCTGCACGAGGACTCCCATGAGGAATACGCCAACGACCCAAGTTACGCCAGGTATGAGACAATTTCGTTCACAGGCCGAGGACATGTTCGGGATTGGTATGTTCAACATGCTTGGGATTAAACGAACTGCGTGGTGAGCAGGTGTAATGCAGTAGAGGGAGCAGCATCGGTGAGATTGGAGTGCACGGGCTGTAGCTTCCACGTCGGCCAAGCTGTGTCTGTCTTGCCAGGAAGGAGCGGTAGCGTTCCTGCCTGTGGTAAGAGTGTTGTTGATACAGGAAACACTCGTGAGCTTCAGCTCTGTTTCCCACATTTCTATCGCAGCCTGGCTAACCGCCAGCTGTGCATGGTTATCGCGGATACCATCCATCTCACGGACATCAAATCCTACCAAGGTCGCCAGAGAATGCGATTTCCATTCCAGGAACCCCGCCAGCAACCAACGAGCTTCTCGCAATTATCCTCGACCCCGTCTAGAGCATTATTACACTTGGTGTCAACCTCAGAGTCGTCCCCAGAAGCCCGAATGCCCTGAAGGCCGGGTACGTTGTGTTCCCTCTTATATTATGGCTCTTTTTGGTTCATCGTGCTAATGGTGCAATTAAGGCGCTGTCGGCACAGGCACCGGTATGCCTAGGCTCTTGTTACTTCCAGGATAATCTACCCAGATGAACCGAATCACTCCGGCATTTGACAGGCAGAACATTGCCTGAAAGCCACTAACAAAGGCTGTTAACTGCGTGCTTTAGGCTCGGTAAGCACAAAGTCGGTATGGAATTACTCATTAACCTGGCCCACACGCACAGCTAACGACAATATGATTATTCAAGTGTTCGATATGATTACCCAACTAGACACACGCCGGCCATGGACGACTTATCCCTGCCCTGGACAGCCCATCGTGACCTTGCCACAACTTATGTGGGCCAATGCTAGCATTTTCGGATCCATCTTAGGCATTTATGATCCCTGACTGATGATGTTCTTCGGGCGGGCCTGGTATGGGTATAAATATTCCATTTACTCAACATAAATAACTAACAAAATGTATCATGGAAGTCTTCGACCACCTCCCCAGTATGGAGCGCAACGCTGCCCAGCCTTCATTAGCCCACTCGTGAAGGATGGTTCTTCCAGGACCTCAAATCATCTCTTCACCATATCCACACCACAATAAAGAATATAACGAATTGACCATGCCCCTTGAAGTCACGGAGGTCCCGCCGACCAACAAGCTTGGTGTCGTTGCGAGTACTGAGGGCCCTGCTGGCGCTATCATAGCACGTGGTCTTGTTGTATACGAGTCGCTTTCTACGGGCAACAGCCTTTATGAGACCAGGCTCCGCTGCTCGAAAGATGTATTGTTGAGGATAGCTGGCTAGCCACCAGCCTTGCAGGGTTTTTGGTGTAGCGGTCTAGCGCCTCTTGTCATGTATTGGTGGCGATGTTAGGATGTTTCATTGTATTCCCTATTCGTAGGAGCGCGGTGCTAGTCTATAAGTTCGGACAACATGTATTTCTTAAACATGTATATATTAGAGCAATCAACTTATCAATTAATTGCAGTGATTCTTGCGAATTCACCCTCGGTATGCGCCCACACCTTGTCAACAAGTCCCTCCTCCCTCAAGCCCCTCAGGACCTCCAGTGCCTCCGACGACACACACTCCCCATCCCACCCAATCGAATACACTCCACTACCAGCCTGTCCATTTATCCCTTGAACGGCGCCTTTATCCTTTCCTCCAATACCCAGCTCAGCAGCTGGATATCTCCCACTAGTCAAGAGAAACAAGTGCCTCTCCCCACTCTCCTCCGGCTCCATCCAGTCATCTGGCATCTCAACACCCACAGTCGCAGCAGCACTGCCGAGCATGCGCTGTGTGAGCGGAGTGTTTACGGCCCCGGGGTAGCCATGGATGAAGGACACTTCAGGCGCCTTCCGGGCCATGGCCTCCAGGGCAAGGGTTAGAAGACTGGCGATGTGAGGCCGGATCTTCTCAAACGGGACACGCAGCGCCGGGAAGTCTGATGTGTCGATGGCTCCTTCTAAACCAGCAGCACCCACAGTTAATACGCGGCGAATACTAGACGCGTGTTGTACGAGGGGAAGAAGCTGGGTGATGAAGCGGGCTCGAGAGTAGTGAAGTAGGGCTGTGAGGAGGTGGATGCCCTCCGGTGTTTCTAGTACTCAGTCAACAACAATATTAGATAATTGATATAGTATCATACCAATCCGGTCAAAGCTGGCAACTCCCTGACTGAGACAGATGATGTTCAGTTCTGTTTCTTTTGCCTTGATCTGGGCGCACACTTCGTCCACGACCCGGATGAGGCTGACGTCTGCTTGGATGAAGATGTATTCCCCTTCTGGATTACGGGTCTTGCATTCGGCGAGGATCTGGTCTGCGGCTTCCTGGGAGCGACCGACAAAGTAGGCGCGAGGGCTGCGAGTATTCTTTGCGAATGCCTTCAATGTGGCTGCGCCGATGCCACTCGTAGCGCCGACGAACAGGGCAACGAGGCCAGGGGGGAAAGAGGACGAGACCTGCGCATTGTGAGCGCGAATATCTTCAAGGGAGACCATGTTAAAATCAGCTGTTGTTGGGAGTGGACTATAACTACCTGTGAATGCACGCTTATATGGTCTTGTTATAACGCCGAATGGTCCGACCAGAAAACGCCGAACTCGCCACCTCAGACTCTCCTTTTTCCCCAATCCAACTTCTCCCACCACCCAGCATGGATTCACGTCTGGCACAACAAGAGAGGAAGACCAGGTCGGCCTGCGATCGGTGTCATGGACAGAAACTCCGATGTATCCTCAAACCCGGCCACACCCGGTGTGAGCGATGTCTGCGACTCGACACGGTCTGTCGCTTTGCGCCTCGTGCCCCGCGGGGCTCGATAAAGTCTCGCTCGTTGCAGTCGCAGAAAACGCCGAATCCACAGGATGTTCTATCACAGTTGCCTTCGCTAGACACCGGATCTGGTGACGGCGCTCTTGACGTGTCCTTGGACAGCGGACCGTGGTCAGACATCGCTGATATGCTGAACCAGGACAATATCTGCCAACTCGAACCGACAATTAACGACCAGGCATTATTATGGTCGCCAGACACGCGTCCATCATGGGAGAGCGATGTCCAGACACTGCAGCTCCCGTCTCTGTCAACATCGACCACCCACGAACTGGCAGGCCTCAGTATCGCGCTGGCTGAACTGACAGCAAACCTGCCAACAATGCCAGAAGCAGCCAGTAGCAACTCTTCCAATTGTACAAGCACAAGCGCACGCTCAGAAATGCCTTTTATTCTCGACGACCTATTCCGCCTCACAACACAATTCACAGACTTAATCCAGACCCGTCTCGGCCTCTCCCCAGACGAAGCCACAATCCTCATGCTCGGGTCCTGCCATTCCCGACTAACAGATATATACACGACTGTATTCTCCCTGGTCCAGCGGTGCATCAACCACTCACCAAGCCTACCTCGCCTGCGCCAGAACTGGGCGATTGTCCTGCCCAAGGTGGAAATGGGGTCGCTGAATGCGCCGGCGCTGCGCGTGGACGAGGAGACTCCGGCATCTGGTGCGAAGGCCTTTATGTATATGTGGATGCTCTGTGTTTTTTCGGCGGAGCTGTGGACGCAGTTGAGTCGTGCGCTGGGAGGGCAGGACCAAGTGGTTGATGGAATATCACCGTTGGGGCGTATGGTCTGGACGGACATGGCTGACAGGGCTGGGTCGGTGTTGCAGAGTATTGAGAGCACAAGGGCTTTAGTTATGTAGTCTGCTGGTCTTGTATATAATTATTAATACCATATGGAATCCATTCTAGTGGATGCCGGCAAGGGAATGTTCGTTGTGGCAGTAGACTATCTATAATCAGGCCACTGTAAAGCTTACTTTTGGTGCGATATTGCCTTGCGCGCAGTGGCATCGGTCAACGTGCATTTATTGACGATAACCGAGGAGGAACGGCCACCGCAGCTTAAATCAACAGTACTTGACCAAAGCAGCGCTGGTTCCAGAGCCAAGAACCGCATTTGCATACCATGGTAAGTAATTAATGGCCCCTGGCTGGCTCTCGTGGGGGGATGATTGCTAATACGTATTTACATAATCCGCCCGAACCAGCTAACTAACTAGTCAGGCCCCCCGGTCGTGAAGATATAAAGAGTAATCCCCCCAAATCATTTCACATCCGCAGTCATTATCACAGATATCGCAATGGCAGGCAAAACTTATACAAATTTTGCCGTGACGCGGCCACGGGAATGGGTGGCGCATGTGGAGATCAACCGGCCCACCAAGCGCAATGCATTTCTCGAGGAGTAAGTTATCCATACTATCGCAATAGCAGATGAATGATTATAACCGAGATAGGATGCGGTTTGAACTACGGGATATCTTCGACAGTCTCTCCGTAGACCCTTCTGTCCGGGCAATCGTTTTCTCTGGCGCAGGCGACAAGGCCTTCAGCGCTGGTCTCGATGTCGTCTCTGCGAACAAGGAGGGAACGATGTTTAATCCTCGACCGGAGGATACAATTGATGCAGCAAGACACGCCGTTGCGGTGAGGCGGTGGGCACAGGATTTCCAGGACTGCGTGACGAGTATTGAACGGTGTGAGAAGCGTATGTACCAGGTAGTTATCATCTCTGATTATAAGGCTAATTCGGGGTAGCGGTTATTTGTGTCCTGCATGGGTATGCATTCGGCATCGCAGTTGATCTTGCATGCTGCGCTGATATTCGCATCGCTGCGCAGGACGCCGTGTTCAGTGTGAAGGAGGTGGATCTGGGAATTGCTGCAGACCTGAGTAGTTTGACCCGGCTGCCCAAGATTGTGCGGTCGTACGGCTGGGTGAAGGAGGTGAGCTTAACAGCTAGGGTATTTGATGCTGCAGAGGCCTTGGAGGAGAGATTCGTCAATAAGGTGCTCCCTACCAAGGCCAAGGCGTTGGAGGAGGGTCTGAACCTGGCGTCTTTGATCAGTGAGAAGAGTCCGGTTGCGGTGCAGGGAACGAAGAATTTCTTGGACTTCAGCAGGGACCATACTGTTGAGGATGGTATGATTCCTAACAAATAAGAATATGTGTTGTTTGCTCACTGACAACCCCAGGCCTTAAGTACACTGCTGTGTGGAACAGCGCAGCACTGCAGACAAAAGATATCCCGGTCTCTTTCCAGGCACTCCTTGGGAAGAAGCGAGCAACTTATGAAAAGCTATAATATTAATGTTTCTGTGTTCCATTTGTGATGCGATGCTCCTTCACGAGTAGAGAGTTTACACTGCTATAAATAATGGCTATTGGGAAATATCATGCTAGGGCTTAACTTTCGATATTCTGCATCAGGGTCTATCAGATCAAGAAAGCACCGACACGAATATACGCTCCGGGCCATGGCTGTGATACAAAACGGCATCGAAGTAGTAAAACTGCTCATGGCTGCAGGCAGGACGCTCGATTTGTGTGGCTTCACGGAGAACTATTCAGTTCTTTGTACAGGCGGGGGTGCTGTTTGAACTTGCGCGCGATCTTGCCCACATCTGTCATATTTGCGATCTGAGAAAATGCACTAAATGCAGCAGCGGCCTGTTTGTCTCCGATTTGAGCGCTCACTTGTTCTAGAAACTTTTCTTTCAGCTGCTCAGCTGACAAGGGCTTCTCGACACTTCCCAAAGCGTGCTCAACATGGATCTCCAGCTTTGTTCCATTTGCGAATTCAACAGCGACAAAGGCTTCATGTTCACTTACCTCTTTGGCAGCTGTGACACTGACTTTATCGCGAAGGCTTATCACGGCCGAGTCTTTGACAACTTCATCTGTGAACTGGGCTGGAGTTGCCTCGCCATAGATCAGTGCGACGGCACCAGCATGGTAAACACTGAATTTCGCATCCAATCCCGTTTTGGGATCATGATTGTCGGTCAAGGACAGTACAATCGGGTTCACTCGCGCCGTGGCATTCTTTATATCAGCGATGCGGAGACCCTTCTTCACTGCCTGATCATGGATCTGAATCCACCCATCAATGGCGGCATGGATAATCCGATCACAAGGGAAAGGCTTGAAAGTATTCTTGGTGATTTCCCAAATGCTTCCGAGGGTCGAGAGCTCCTTTGTGACGTTCTGACGCGTACTCACGACATGCGCCCAGCCGTACTCTCCTTCCAGCCCCTCCAACATGCTTCCATACCCATTCTGTGCGAGGACTGCAGCCTGGATCCCGGACTGCGCAGCACGCCCAACATGGAAGGGCTTTGTATCGGTGCCAAAGGAATCACGCATGCCAATAACCTGGACAGACGCGATGCCAATGGCGTGCTGCAGTTGCTCGAGGTCAAGTCCCAAAAGTTTACCAACGGCGACGGCTGCTCCTATCGAGCCGGTCGTACTGGTGATGTCTACTCGTGGAATTAGCACAGTGGCCAAAGGAACAGGACCTGGGCTCCCCCTTTGCTGCTGGGGCACAAATTTACTTACGCCATCCAATATCATAATGTTCAGGGTATACAGCGACCCCCAGCTTGCATTCCGCTTCAACACCGGCCACGAAAGCTGTGATGAAATCCGGCCCGGAGACTGGAGATCTTAGCTCAGCCATTGCGAGCAGCGCAGATGCTACAGGTCCTGATGGATGCACTGGGGTGTCGGCGTGTGTGTCATCATAATCGTCGACATGGGATGCTATACCGTTGACCAGAGCTGCAGTTTGGACATCGACAAGTGCGTCTGAGCCCAGGATTGAGCAATTGCCAGAGTGCTGTGGGAGTAGAGGGGATAGTGCCTCTAGGGCAATGCCGGCTGGTGGAAGCGCGTACCCGCCAATGGCACAACCCGCCCAGTTATAGATGCTCTTGACTGCCATGTCGGTTACAGGCTGGGTGAGATTGGAGAATTGAAGGGCCAGAGCCCATGAGGCTAGCTTTTTGGTTGCCATGCTGATATGAACTGTTTTGCAAGGGAAAGCAAAGCGCTTGAAAGTTGATTATTGTTTCGGTGAAATCACTAATCGAGTCGGAGTGTGGCTTTTTGACTTGCACTTAAAGCAGCCTCTGAAGTCGGGTAGATGAGGAATCTCGCTGTCAGGATTCAACGGGAACCGGCGAATGGCCGACAGTATTCGAAGTTATACGAGTAGGTACAGATCTTCCCCGCGTTCCCCGCATTAACAGGACAGGATGCTATATCTAACTTGAGGAAGGATGCCCCTTCACTCTCCGGGCAAACTCCGAGGGGCAGGACCCGGGGGTGACTTACAGATGAACGAATGAACGAAAAAGGGTGCATACATGTCATTTTTGCCCCTGAAGTTTAGGTCAATGGCTATGAGATATTCAGCATATTCATTTTCCCCAAAAGTGTTGACCGAAGATCCAGCCAGCGATGTCATACAAGGAGAGAGAGTTAAGTCCTGATTCAGCCTTAATTGGTTTATAATCTGGTCGAAGCCACACGTGTTGTATCCCTAATCTAGCCAGGTAGCCTCGTATGGTGACGTGTTGTCAATGTACCGATACGACGCGATAAGGCCCAAGGACGCATTAGACGGAGTCCAGCCAACAATAAACATCCAGCCCTCTGATGTATCACTCAGATACATATAGTCTGTCAGGCCGTTGGGATCACAATTGGTCTCATCAGTCCACGGAGCAACCCGAAGACCACCTGCGGATCCGAGAGAGACAGGGGCTTCATAAAAGGTTAGAGCTGCTTCTTCTACCAGGTAGCCTGTTTCGTTCAGCGCAAAGGCTGCGACATATCCATTTGCACCTGGACTATTCCAGCTTCGGCTCGAGGTGAAAAGATATCTTCCATCTCGAGACGGCTGGACGGTATTACTGCGGAAGGTGAATTCACCGCGAACGTCTGCAAATCCCGTCAGGAAATTTAATTTTGCGTATTGGCAGATTTTCACATTCTTACTGTTTGGTATGGCACTACCGCGCTGTACGTGTTTCAGCTGGGTATTTCCAATCTCATACACATCAAGCCATTGCGCTGGAAGTCACCTCGTTAGTAAATAGGTGCTGTGCAGTCATGCGGAACTTTGTCCACTCACAGTGTTCCGTTATCTGTAATATTTCATCAAATTAGATTCCTACGTGCTTTAGTTTCGGGGGAAGCCTACGACATAGAGAAGCCTCCCATCCTTACTGGGATAAGTATTGCGTGGACCTTCTGTGGGGCTCAGGTTGATCGATAGCAGCGTTGCAGACCCATTTGCTGCAATGTCGTACATATAGATGGAATTCATGCCACTGGCCGAGTTAGAAAGGGGATAATAAGAGCCAGGGAAAAAAAGGCACAGTTAGTTCACATACAGATCAGGAATGAAGGCTTTATTGTTGACATTGACATCGAACGCATGGGCTCCGTACAGCTAAGAATGAGATTTAGTTGAATGTCCTGACATAGAGTCCACAGCCTACTTACGACAGCATTGCGGGTTTTGTCCACTCTTTCAATCTCCTCCGATGGCAGAAGATCGATCTCGTCAACCAGCTGATCTATGCCCCCGTCCTGGTCAAGAGCATGCACATGCGCGGTAGGTCCTCCAGCACTGAAAGCGTACTGGCCGTCGTCCGAGACGTAGCAGGCGGAGGAAGCTGCAAAAGGTCAGCAGAATGGCTCGTAAATCCCGGTTATAGGGCCCAGCTACTAATGTTGACCGTGTGGAGGTGATTGAACTTGAAGTTCTCATCGACACTCCAAGAGAATAAGCGCGGAGGCTCGCTCATGGCAGTTGCGTAGATACGATTCTTGGCGGAATTGCTCGTCACAAATTGATGCAGTCCATATCCCGGAACTGTCGAGTTCAAGCTCAACGTCCTCGAGACACTGTCGAAGGCGAGGAGAAAGAGTGTAGTGTTGGTATAGGAGCCGGTAAGCAGGTGATGGAGCTGCATTGTTGTGTGAACCAAGATCCAGAAAGTTAGCACACTTAGTATCGTGCTAAAGGCAAATAAATAGAAGAGCTCCCGAAATACTCTTACGTCTCCTATGTATACTGCTGTGCCAATCGCCTGTGCGGAGACTGTCACCCCTCAATGACTTCACAAGTGTTGACCACCCCTGTAGTTCAAGGGCTCGGCCATTTGCCGCTTTCATAAATCACCAAAAACCAACTAACATTTGTGTTCTAATCAACCTTTTCCAAGTTAATGCCGTTAGTTTGACCCGCGGCCAAACGCCGGAGTGGAGAGCTCGTCGGCGATTCGGCGAAACGCCGCTTGACTCGCAATACATGTCCAAGGTTCCTTTCAATTCTGTCACTTGTCTAAGATTGGCTCTAGGAAATACTCACAGGTGCTAGAGGATGTAGATCTTCTAACGCTGCAACACTGAAATACTACCCACTAGGCAGCTGCAGTACAACTGCCAGCATGCGAGTAGTTAGACTTTTACTATAATTAAATAACAATATCTATTATAATGAGGCTCTGTATTGCGCGTGCAAATCGGACAAGGGGCGGATCCCAATGTTGGAATGAGTGATAGTCACTCCCCATTACATGCCGCCTTTGGCAATGAGCAGGACCCGGATAATCTTGTCAGGGCCCTTTTATTAGGAGGAGCCCTGATATCCTAACCCTCAATGCCGGAGTTTGTGCGCCACGCCTGGGTCAGCGACTGCTCCCATTCTCTCGCTACGTTGCTCAATGTCTGGAAGGTCCAAGTCACCAGCGGCCCCTGCTCAGACCCAGATCTCATGGTCTGTGCTGCTGCCACGGTGGGGGATATCCCTCTGCTTCAGGAGCTTCTACAGCGCGGTGAGGCAGACACTGACTGCGAGATTGAGAAGCCAACAGCACTTGTTTCGGCAGCTCGAGCAGCCAAAGACAATATCATTGAGTCACTAATTCCACATGTATCCAACTTCGATAATACCAGCTGGTCTGGCGGTACCGCCCTTCACTGTGCTATTCGTGATGGGGCAGATGAAACCATCCGTCTTTTACTTCCTCATAAACAGTCAAATGTAGCGGTCTGGGTACGAATTCTACTGTATCAACATCTCTTTAAATACTTCTGCTACATACGACCACAGGGTGTGGAAAACAGGGCTTCCCGTCCGCTCAGCCGTACTTAAGCCACACGCCGGCTGGTTAGTAGTATGGTGGGTGACCACATGCGAATCCCAGCTGTTGTATGTTTTTTGCTCACTGTTTTTTTATTTTATTTCATTGCAGCAGTATGCCATTGGCCATAAAAATGCATACCAAGCACATTGTCACAACCAACCAGGGCCGCCTTGCTCCTCTTCGATGCAGTGAGATACCGATCAGTGGATATCGTCTCTCTACTGCTCGAAAAAATGCTAGCCCGTGAGCAAACCCGCAGAGCTCTAGCGACTAAAGAGGTTGACTCTAGAGAAACCACCGATATCTTCTACAGGCCCGGCAAGGTTATTCCCTGCGCTTTGGCATGCGCCGTATGGGACCGGAAACTTGAAGTTACACGCCTGCTACTCCAACAGACACAATATCTTGAGCCCCAACGAGCGGATCCTTCCTTGCTGTACATTGTAATGGAAAATGGATATGACGGTATTGCCGAGGAGTTTATGAGATGGGGCATGCTCTTCCTCGCCCTGATGGCAATAACCGCACACCATTGATAGTCGCCGTTGACAGCGGCTTAACCGGCATGGTGCGAGCACTATAGATTCTTACTTTACCTATCCCAAGGACATGATGGATGCGTTGTCGAGGAAGTAGTTAATACACAGTATCAAAGCTGCTTCCCAACCCGGAATCACACTGAATCTTGGTAAGAGTATTTAGTTGATTGTCTGCTGCTTGTGAACCGGTGGCACCACGTATACTGATATGTCCAGTTTCACCCCGACAGACGATATAGCCCATCGGCATAAACGAACTTTTGAAAGACTAAGCAACAGGATTATGTGAAGTAACGGTTGGAATGATCTACGTCTGTTTCCAGCGCATGCTCAGCATTCTCTCGCAAGCTGCGTCCAGGCCGTGGTCGGACCAAAGAAGGGTTCTGCCTGCCGGCTTGGGATGTCCCACCAGGGATTCTCAGCGTGAAACCGCTTATTTCCTCTTCGACCAAAGGATCGAACACGTTACGAATGCGATCACGACATGATGGATCCGATATCGCCGGTGGGGGTCAATGGGGCTCGGCAGATCCACGTCTTACGAATCTACAAACAGGAAGCCAGCATCACCAAACATCCTTCAATATTCTTCCACCTGTCGCCTGGCGCTGTGAGTGTAGAGTGTCGAGTTTATATCGGAATTAACTTAATTGCCAAGTGGTGCTATTCCCGGTCCCCGCACATGCTAGTCCGCCGTTTAATCAAAGCTTCACACAGCTTAAACTACGTTAAAAGCATTTTAAAACTGGATTTGCCCAATAGAAATACAACAGTCTTTCCCGTTCTCGCGGGGGTGTCAAGTATGAAGGTCCGGGCGTCTGGTATATAGTGCCTGCCCTACGAGACACACTGTGCGGCAAGGATCTATGAGCAATTTGCTGGGGATATGGTGAATCTCCAACATCCCGAATCAGAATAATTCTGTACGTGTCTTACTCTGGACAGGGTTTGCTTGGTTGTGTTGGCTGGACCAAGGTGGGCTTGTTCCTCAGCCCTAAGCACGCTGATACCGCACCGAGCGCGTGGACCTGCAGAATATCATGCACCTCGGTCGAAAAAACAGACCTTTTGATTATCTTCGTTTCTACGGTTTATTCCGAAGTGCATTGTTTGACCCGGCTGTGAAGAGCTGTCAATTTAGTCTGTTACGCGGCGTGTTTCAGCATCGCGGGCCCCTTGAGGGTCTCACCATGATCCTGTCAGCCTGATGATCGTCACTCTTGGCTTCAAGACCGCGGTCTCGACGTGTCCCCGACCCAATGTCTTTCCGGGGACTGGCCTCGGTGGATTGGTGGACTTGCTGTTTCGTTTCAGGGCTCAAGACCGTTGCAGCGTTTCCCGTGTATGCGTCGCAGGCCGTGCCCCTTACTATATCTCAGTCATACGGTTGTCAAGCCCTATATATTGCTGTCAACAGCCGGTCGTTGTGATGCACCCCAGACTCTCCTCCACTGGCCTCGTCCTTCCTTTCTTTGTGCAAGTTCAGACTGTGTCTGCTGCCCACTTTCCTTAACATGGCGCTCGCCGTTCTTTTCGTGTACCTGCTGGCAGTGTTCACTTCGTTGGCTGCTGGAAAGCCAATTCTGATGCCCCGGCTGGCCCAGGATGCATCAAAACCCTCTTTTGACGTAACCCTCAGGTCTCTTGGAGACAGCACCGTTCACGCAGCGGTCACCAACACTGGCAATGAAGCTGTTCGCCTTGTCCGCCGAGGCGGCATTCTCGAGCACATTCCTACTAACAAAGTCAATGTTTATCACGGTGGTACGTACTGTAATACAGAATAACAGGAATTATACTGATGATATCAGACTCCGAGGCTGCTTTCAAGGGAGCCCATGTCAAATATATCCGCTCGCACCTCAACGACGATGCCTTCGTCCAGCTCGCACCCAACGAGACCGCTACCTCTGTGTTCGACATTGCCGACTCTCACGACCTCTCTGATGGAGACCACACAGCTTTCTCCAATGGCGCTCTTGAATACACAACCCTGACGGACAAAACCAAGTTCAAGACCTTCCACTACCGTTCAAACAAGATCTCCTTCACTGCGTCAGACAATTCCAACCGCCTCCAGACTCGCAGCACCATCGACTGCTCCAACGATGAATACAACTCAGCAGTCAAGGCTGCCATCTCCCGCGCAGGCGAGATGGCCACGGCAGGCGCCGCCGACGCTCGCAAGGGCGCCAGCGCAAACTTCAAGAAGTTCTTCTTCACTGAATCCCAGGATGCCCTCGACGAGGTCGCCGGTCGTCTGGAAGCCATTGCCTCCGAAGCAACCAGCACCGGAACGATGACCTACTACTGTGCCCCCCGAAGCCAGGACGACTGCAGCGGCAACATCGCCGCCATGACCTACCCATCCGACAATATCGTCGTCAACTGTGACTTGTACTACGAGACCGAGGCTTCATCAGACACATGCGGATACCTTGACCAGGGTGGTATTGCGCTCCACGAGTTCACCCACGCCACTGGCATCTACAGCCCCGGTACTGAGGACATGGCCTATGGCTACGAGGAGGTCCAAAGCCTTGATACCAACACCGCGCTCAACAACGCCGACTCTTACGCCTACTACGGCGCTGCCATCTACCTCCAGTGCGCTGCCGACGACTCTACCCCCTCAGGCACCCCAATCAGCGGCGGAGGCAGCTCAACCGTTCCGGTTGCGCCTACGGCTTCTCCAACCTACCCACCTTCCCCAAGCACTGGCTTTGGAGGCGGTGGTGGCTGGCCTTGGGGTCAGGACAGTGGCTATGACAGTGGCTATGACAGCGGCTATTTGAACGGTCTCAACAGGGATGCCCCTTCAGGCACTCCAACTGGAGGCTCTGGCGGTGGTTTTGGCGGTTTCCCCATCCCTAGTGGTATTCCTGGTGGTGGCTCCGGCTCTGGATCTGGCTCCGGTGGCAGTGGGTTCGGCGGTTTCCCTATTCCGAGTGGCATCTTTGGATCTGGATCTGGTTCAGGTTCTGAAGGCAGTGGTTCTGGTGGATTCCCTGGCTCTGGCTCAGGCTCAGGTTCAGGCTCTGACGATAGTGGCTTCGGTGGCCTCTTCCCAAGTGGTATTCCCGGTTCGGGCTCTGGATCTGGCTCTGACGATAGTGGATTCGGTGGCCTCTTCCCTAGTGGCATTCCGGGTGCTGGCTTCGGTTCTGGCTCTGATGAAGATGAAAGTTTGTTCGCCGAAGTCCCCAGCCCTAGTGGCGCACCTGGTGCTGGCTTCGGCTCTGGAGGAAGTGGCAGTGGTGGTGGCTTTGGTGGCTTCCCTGCTCCAAGTGGCTTCCCAGGATCTGGCTCTGGAGGCAGTGGCAGCGGTGACTTCCCTACTCCCAGTGGTTTCCCCGGATCTGGCTCGGGCTCAAGCTCCGGCTCAGGCTCGGGCTCAGGTTCTGGGAGCAGTGGGTTTGGTGGCAGTGGCAGTGGTGGTGGCTTTGGTGGTTTCCCTAGCCCCAGTGGTTTCCCAGGATCTGGCTCTGGAGGCAGTGGCAGTGGCAGTGGCAGCGGTGGCTTTGGTAATCTCCCTACCCCCAGTGGTTTCCCCGGATCTGGCTCAGGCTCTGAAGGCAGTGGCTCCAGTGGCTTCCCTGGAACCGGATCTGGCTCTGAATCTGGCTCTGGAGGCAGTGGCAGCGGTGACTTCCCTACCCCCAGTGGTTTCCCCGGGTCTGGATCCGCATCTGGGGCTGGCGGTAGCGGGTTCAAGCGGTGATTTGGCCCTAGACCGTGGAGGAAGACTGTAACTCGATGTCTTTCTTGTTGCTTTCTTGCTCAGATTCCTATTTCAAGCAACGTGCCCTTCCGAGGCTGGAGGTATATTGAAATGACATATATATACTAAGTAGTCTAGACAAGGCCATTCGTTTATCTCATGTCTATCTACTACTGTGCTCCCTGTAGTGCTGCAACCACTGCGTCTCCAAACTCTTTAGTTCCTGCCTTACCTCCCAGATCGGATGTACGGATTCCCCTGTCGAGTACTGCCCGCACTGCATCTTCTATCTGCCGTGCCTCTTTCTCCATGTTGAAGGAGTATCGGAACATCAGCGCAACACAAAGAATCATGGCGGTCGGGTTAGCGATGTTCTTCCCGGCAATTCTATATTTCATTAGCATCAGCTGTCCGTAGGGAATTTTCTATACATACGTTGGAGCAGATCCATGCGTCGGCTCGTACAGTCCATTCACCTTCTTGTCCTCACCCGGACGAGGTAATCCGTCCACGCTGGCACTCGGCAAGACTCCCAGCGTGCCAACCAGAGATCCAGCCTGGTCAGAGACCATATCTCCGAATGTATTATCCGCCAGGATAACACCGTTCAAAGCCCGTGGGTTCGTAGCCATGATCAGGGATGCCGAGTCCGCGAGCTGGTGGATTAGCTTCACCTGGGGGTATTCTTCAACCATGGTCTTCTCGACGACGCGGCGCCAGAGACGCGACGAGGCGAGCACGTTGGCTTTGTCCAGGGAGATTACCGGCCATGGGGGGTCATGACGCAGGGCAAGTTCAGCTGAGAGGCGGGTGATGCGTTGGATTTCAGCGGTGGAATAGCCCCATTCGTCCATTGCTGTAGATAATATTAGAAAACCAGCCCATTTTATTATGAGATATTGAAAGACATACCATAATCATCTTCTTCCACCTTCTTCCCAAAATAAGCACCCCCACAGTTTTCTCTCACAACAACAAAGTCCACCCCCTCAATAACATCCTGTCGAAACGGGCTGAAGTCCCTCGCAATCTCCCGACTGGGCATATCAACCGAGCACGGCCGCAGATTTGCATAGATGTCCATCGCCTTACGGACCTGCAGCAGTCCACCTTCTGGCCCGTCCAGCCCACGTCGGATATGATCCCACTTCGGGCCTCCGACGGCAGCGAAGAGCACAGCGTCTGCGGCCACTGATGCGTCTTTGACGGACTGGGTAACTGACTTCCCGTGCGTGTCGATGCTGATTCCCCCGATGAGTTCCTCTTGGAGGTTGAATTGGGTGCTCTGGGTGTTGAATGTGGATAGGACCTTTGTGGCTTCGGTCATTACCTCGGGCCCGATGCCGTCGCCGGGCAGGACGAGGATGTTGTAGGTTTTCTTAGATGCCATGATCCTTTGTTGTATTTCTCTACAATCGTGAATGTAAGACAGTCGGTGATGCGTGTACTGTGTGATACAGCTGAATGACGACGATAGTGGAGATTCGCTCTTATACCTTCGCCGTGGACGTCCTATATCGGCAGTCGGAGATCAGGCCGATAATGCGGGGAAGACGCAAACCGGATTTCCCCCGATGCCGCACTTTTCGGTTGTCTATCCCATTACCTGTTGAGTCGGCTTTAAGATGCTGGAACTTGAGTTTCGATAATTGGCGACATGCCGTCACTCGGCCAATTCTAGCGGTTTTGTTGAGCTATGAGCAGGGCGTAGCAATCTGTAAAACGGGAACGAAGTGCCTGGTTGGTGATTGCCTGTCCATATCTCATTCAAGGGAATCTGCCAGCTGTATGCAGCCTTTAGACCCTTCCCTCCAGTATCTAATTGTCCCAGGCGTCCATAGAGCGAAGGAACCCCTCGATCTGTGGCTATGCTACTGCCGTGGCTGGTGTGGCTTTACCTTGCTGACATAACCGGGCAAAGCCCCTGACCAGGGTCGCGATAAAACACCAGTATGTTGTTATTCCGGACCCGGATAGCGAATTCTCGGTCTTAAGCTCAGAGAAGGTGCCAAGCAGTGCGTGTTCCGACTTGGACGCGCCGGTGTGTTGTTGGTGGTGGCTGCGAGCTGACAGCGCCGCATCTCCTATCGGTTCAAGCGATTGGTTAAAGAGTCAAACTGACTTATGGTGAAATTTAAATAGACTCTATCCTATCACGGAGTTGTTAAACAACGTTGCATTGTCTTGTTGAGGGGGGGTGTCCCATCTGGTGTGAGGTGTTCATGGTGACATATATATATATTTAGCCAGCCATAATGTTCAGATTCTCTTTAACCAAGTGCCCATATATCTAAATTCCAGTGTTTGAAGAGTATTAACAACGATACAGTGTTCTGCGAGCTGCAGCAGTCCCCAATGTCAATATTTATTTGGCAAGTGCGATGGCTTGACACTGCCTGATAAGCCAAAGTACGAAAACACATCATGGCCCAGACACCGACTTCTATTGGAGCACGACATCGTACCTGATTTGACTCGTCCTTCTTATCGGGACTTCGTGATTGTGGGAAGTTTAATAGATTATGGTGGCGGCGGCGTACGAGAAATTGAAAAATACGCGCCGGCAAAAGGTGTCAGATTAGGTACGAGAAAACATGTTTTATTTCTATTTCGGATGTCTCATTGAGAGATCCGCAGAGGCTGTCTTTCCTGTCGGGGCTCTCCACCTGTTTCTGTCTCTGTTTATGGCATACAACGTGAGTATACTGCAGTCTGCACCGTGTTCGCCGGTAAGGCGTAGAGGCCTGAGTAGTTCGATGGTTCGGACATAAATAGATCTGTCGTTTTCTATATAACCCTCTAGTTCTTGTCCTACTGCATATAATTCTGTCAACAGACTTGTCCTTCGTTCCAGATCCATCTAAACACTCTCGTTAATACTTGCAAAAATGCATCTCACTCTCGTTACTTCTCTGCTGCCCCTTGCGGTCTCCGTTGGAGGTAAGTCAGGCTCAATCTTGTAGAAGCCCAGCTAACAAGTCAGCCCTGTCCGTGACTGAGCCCAAGAAGGGCGCTGAGGTCGACCCTTCGGACTCCTTCACTGTCAAGTGGGATTCCGTCAGGTATGTCCCTTGCATTCAACTTCCCTAAGAAACGAATTAACTAGTGCAGCACTGATCCCTCTTCCTTCGATATCTACCTCGTCAACAACGCCGTCTACCCGAGCGTCGATAAGAAGATTGCCTCCGATGTTGACGCTTCTGACGGCTCTTACACCGTCGATGGCCTCTCCGGACTGACTGATGGGTATACCAGCATTAAGCCCCTTGAACTACTACGGAAATAGCTAACAGAACTAGCCACGGCTTTCAGATCAACCTATTCTCCAACGAGGACAAGAACACCGGCATCCTCGCCCAGTCTGAGCAGTTCAACATGACCGGTGATGCCTCTAGCACCTCGTCCACCAGCTCCACCAGCTCCTCGAGCACCTCAACCAGCGCGTCCTCCAGCTCTTCCATCCCCAGCAGCAGCGCTTCTTCCACAAAGACCGAGTCCACCTCCGCCAGCTCTACATCTGACTCTGACTCCAGCTCCACCTCGGGCGCTGGGTCTTCCTCGGCTTCTTCGTCTGGTGCTGCTCCTAGCTCTACCGGTGTTCCCTCGGTCGATGACAACGCCGGTGCTGCCCTCGGCGCCCCGTTGACTGTTATTGCTGGTCTTGTTGGTGCTGCCTGTGCCTTCAGCCTGTAAGGGATACATCTGCAAGGCTGAGTGGGCTCAATGCAAATACCGTATGAACGGTACGATTCCATAGGTCCCAGTTGAAAGAAAGTGGACCGGTGGAATGGTAGGGCTGTGGGTTACGGATACCTAATATTATACTTGTTTTGTTATGTGGAGAATATAGCTATTGAATTATTTAGAACTTGAAATAGATAGAAAATGGTAACATAATGTCGCCGAGCAACGTCGATAAGCCATAAAACTGTACCATTTCGTAGGTAAAACAGGGCTATAGAAATTATTGCGTAATGTAGGTATCATGATTCGAAGACGTTGAATCTAATTCAAGAACCCTGGGGCTGGTAACAATGGACCCTGCGGTGGAGATGTCGGTATTCTATGACAGATCGAAAGACAAACTCTGCGCCGGGCGCTCCGAGACATGTCTGAACGTTTAACAGTCTGTCAACGGTGATGGGCCATGGCGATGGTTCTTCTGCCAGTTTAGGTGAGCCAGTTACACCTGGCCAGGAGCTGAGCAGATACCAGATAAATGTTGTTATTCGATAGATAATCCATAAAATTAATAAATACAGCACTATTGACATTTACCACTTGCTAATAACGGAATGGAACCAAAAATTCGCATTTTATTGGCAATAACTTGGCTGTGTTTGGCAGGGCTTAACAGGTAGAAAGAACGGATTTTCCAGGACAGCTGCCATGTCTCATTGCAGGTGGACCCAGGGACCAGTAGAAAATATGAAAATATGACATATACTTTCGAACAGGGTCCGATTAATTCCCACCGCATTCCAGGTATCGCCACGGAGCTTGGGCGGTTATTTTTCCTGTTTAGGGGCGTCCTATGGGTCCATTCCATGTATCTTGCTGGCCCGACTATTTTAAGCCGGGCAATCACAGCATTAACCACACAAGAATCGAGTTCCCGACTTGGGAGTGCTTGCTGCCTGCTACTTATGATGGACTGTATATGTGTATATCGGTAATTTGTGTTGATTATAAATTTATTATGCTGGGGCAATAACCCCAACAGGGTATTATCCGCTAATACAGACCCATTTATTCCCTCCACTGCAACCACATTAATGCCCATAAATATTCACATCACTAGCCAAGACACCAGTCAGCCACAGAAAACAGGCTTACCCCAAAATGGGTGCTAAAGACGAGGGGGTAAGACATACAATTCTTCGTGGAGGTTCACTCCCCCAGCAGCAGCCGAGTCAACCCACACACTCACACTCATCCCGTCAACAGGGAACTCCCCATACCCCCATTTATCGATGATGACAGAGGGCGTAACCGTACTTCCTAGATGGAGAACGTCCGTCCACTCCTCGTTGATGTGCCCTGGGCCGACGTACATCCGTTTGGTGGCTGGGCCTGCGTTGCTCATCACGCAGGCGAGTCCGGAGCGATGCCGGGCGTTTCCGTAGCGGATGAAACCTGCATAACAATTTCTGTTAGCTGTCGAGACGGTAAATGGCTTCCAGAGAGAGAAATAATACCGATGCAGTTGGGGGCGTCGAAGTAGTCCTGCTGTTCGCCGTATGCAAAGCCCTTGCGCACCTGCGTTAGAACAGGCAGTTTTCCCTTGCAGGATGGCTTCATTGGCCTTTTGACGTTCTTGCGGATGCCGTAGAGATCTCCGTAGAAGACGCAGGGGTGGCCTTCTTTGCGGAGGAGGGTGAGGGCGTATGCGAGGGGCTTGAACCACGCTGCCACCGGGGTCTGGGTTGTCAGTTGGGGTAGACTTGGTGGGTTCGATTACTTACGTCCATCATTTGTCCTGGTTGCTGCGCTTAAGTTAATACAGTGACGTTACTGGGTTAGGGGGCCTTATTTACCGTGTCGTGGTTGGTGACAATCGTCTGCACTGGTCAGCGTTATTTCGTCGTGAGATGGTGGGGGCTTACCACTGCATGTTGGGGCTTGCGCTGGACGAGCGTATCCTTGAATATACTTCGAAGGTCTGCCGCCCTGGTCTTGGAAAGAGTAGAAAACTTGTTGAGAAGAGGCACATCGTACGCAGAGACGGTATACTGCATCTGGTCCAGATATCCAACCAACTCCTGGATATCCCCCGTCCAATACTCACCGATGACGAAGAAATCCGGGTTGGCAGTTTTTCGAACATGCTCAGCAAAGGCTTTCTGAAACCCCGTCGACATGTGCTTTGCGGCGTCAAGTCTCATCCCATCCAGGGCCAGTTCCTTGGTGATCCAAGTCCCCCAGTTTAACAAGTCTTCTCGCACTTCTGGATGCGACAAATCCAGATCAGCGAACATCAGATAGTCATAGTTCCCATTCTCAGTGGACACATCCCGCGCCCAGTTCTTGTTCGGACCGAGTATGCGGAAGATGGCATTCTCTCTGCTTCGGTCGTCCCAATCAACACCGGAAAAGTGCTGGGAGTGATATTTCATGGAGCTGTATACATCCCCGCGACCGTTGAAGTCAAAGCCGACCCAGCCTTCAATCTCTAACGGTGTGGAGACCTCCACGTTTCGCCCTGGTTGATCCTGATCAGCATGCCACGGGGATAAGGTCTGAGCAACATACGCTTCGGGTCAACCTTAACAGCCTGGCACTTTTCAGGATAATCTGCCCCAGCCTTGTGGTTTAGAACCGCATCCCAGTAAACACTCAGACCGATTTCATGGGCATCTTTCACAAACTCATCCAGCTCCTCGCGCGAGCCCCATTTAGTACTGGTGGCCCCCTTCTGGTCAAATTCGCCTAGATCGTACAGATCATAGATGTCATAGCCATTGCCATTCGCATCCATTCCCTTACATCCCGGTGGAATCCATAGACTGTCCACCCCAATGGCCTTCAACCCTGACAGGGCCAGTGGCAGCCGCCGCCAGTGCTGCCGGTCGGCGGGGACATGCCATTCAAAGGCCTGGAAAATCAGGCTGTTGCTGGCGGTGTTCCATGAGGGGAGCGTATCCAATTGCGCTGCTGCGTCTATAATTGCATCATTTTAGCGTGTCCATGGCCGACAGCAGTGTGTCGCGGTGTTTGTCCTGCCTACCTTCTATCTTCTTTGACCGGTTCCCCTTGCGCCCTCCTCGGGGAAAGCAGCATTGTAGAATCGACAGCATCTCTGGATTAAACCTGTATGACGTAGCGGGACACTGACCTGGGTCCTGGGCCTTTTTCTGTTTCTTAGCTGGTAAAAAGCAACTGTATACTACAATACCACTAGTTAACTGCGCCCGTGTCAGCCATATTTCGGCCTCGCTTTCTTTCCCGATTTCTCCTTCTATTATTACCGACTGGTGTAATTTGAAACGGCACTCGTGTTTCGGCAGCTTTAGGGCTGCGCTGTGGTGGACGATCTCCGAGACATTTCTGGATTTATTTCTGGCGGTGGCGCTGAGACCGGCGGGGGTTGATGGGTCCCCGGTTAGGGCTGTTATTCGTGCGGCTTTGGCTCGGCGGGCCTCTCGTGTTGGAATTATTGAGTGGAAATATTGAGAAGTTACTGAAGATATTTATTATGTAAATATGTAAATATGTACAAAAGAATTCTGGAGAATTTGTTCAGGTGTGGAAATAGCAGTATCGTACATCTCATAACAGGAAAGTAAATATGGAAGAGAAAGAATAGCAGGAAACCGGCTGGGTATCTCACTGTCGAAAGCCAAAAAAAAAAAAAAAAAAAAAAAAAAATAGAAAAAGAAAAAAAAAAGAAAGAAAGAAAAAAAAAAGAGAAAAGTTCTGTTTACTGGCTTCACAGAACCAAGGTAGCTGCCACAGCCAGGAATCCAACCACTGCACTTCCTGTCAGCATAATCCTGCTCGCAGATGACGGCTTCTCTCCAGTCCTGACCTCCGTCAGGGTAATATTGTCCAATGGATTCCCACAGAGGCCACTCCCCTTCAACATATCCGCCGGGAAAAGCACCCGCGGCTCGCCTTTGTCCAGCTTCACCTGCAGCTGCCCTTCATCCAAAACCGTATAATTCACACAGTTGAGGACATCCGTCACCACCTCGCCGGCATTATAGCTCACAGGCAACTCAATCGTATAAGCACCCCCCTTGGCCCCCTGGTTCGAGAGGATCATGATCGTGTGCCGGCCCTCCACGCCCTTCCGGAACACGAGCTCGCTGGACCCCACGTAGATGGGGGTCGTCTGTTCATTGACGTAGTCGTGGCCGAGCTTAATGGCGTGCTTGCGGAGCAGGTTCAGCTTGGTTATTAGTTTGTATAGCTCGGCGTTGGTGTCGTATTTGGACAGCCACAGCGCTTCGCGGTTCCTGGGCTGCCCGGCGCCGGAGAAGTGTTGCTCTTGGCCTTGGTAGATCATGGGGATGCCGTCGAAGAGCATTGTGAATGTTAACGTGTTTTTGGCAATCTATTCATCTTATGAGTTCTTGCTTGGATATTTTTAATTGTTAGGACTGGGAGAATACCATACCGCCATCTCAGGCATCCAGCTGGGGATCCGTTGGATATCGTGGTTCTCAGAAAACGACACAAATGCAGTAATATCGCGGCAGGATTGCTTCATGGTCTCCACTTGCAGGAAGAGATCCGTCGTATTACCCTTGGTAAAGGCCTCAAGCATGGAGTAGTAGATCGGGTAGTTGGGAACACTGTTGATATAGTGGCCCTGGTAGTTACAGATCGTCTCGACCTCGCGCTGCAGGACTTCACCCGTCATGAAGATGTCGACATTATTTTGGAAATTCTGAAGAGATGCATTGTTGATGTGCTTTGCGGCGTCAATGCGCAGACCGTCGATCGAGTACGTCTTGATCATCTCATTCGCCCAGCTCGCGAGCATGTCCTGGACATCCTCGTGTTCGGTATACAGATCCGGTAGGGCGACCTTGGTATCGCCAGTCTGACACAGCTGGGCCTCGTCCCAGTCATTCCAGTCGTGGATCTTGCAGTACTCGTGGAAATAGTCGGAGTTGTTAAACGGTGTAAATGCCGAATAGTCGATATTTGTCGCTGGGTTTTTGCCGTCGGTGATGTACGCCATGTTGTTGATGACCGTGTCCATCATCAGATACATGTCTCGGTCATGAAGCGCTCTACTAAGATCCAATAGATCCTGGTGTGTCCCGAAATGTGAGTTCAACGAATATAGATCCAGCGGCCAGTATCCGTGGTAGGCTTCACCATACGATACATGGCCTTCCACATTCTCAACAATGGGCGAGATCATGACTGCGTCAAATCCCATCCCCTGGATATAGTCTAGATGATTGATTGTCCCCCGCCATGTTCCTCCACAATATAAACCGGCTGTGGTGTTGCATTTCGCCGATGTTGACCCGTCGGTTCGCGCGAACCTGTCGGTCATGGTCTGGTAGATGGATCTGGACTTCCATGCTGCGGTATTGGCGGCCAGTGATGGGTGGAAAAGGCCAAGAAGGTGAATGCTAGCGACGAGGCTGAAGTACGAGAGGGAAAAGAATGACATCATGCAATGTTGTTAGGACGCGTAATGCAGGATTAAGACGGGGATAAGCAGAAACACGGTTTGACTGTTTCACGTCGCCCGTGTCAGATCCTCGTTCGTGGGCGGTTCGTCGATCTTCCTTCCACTAATTATGAATACGACCCGTTATTCGAGGGGAGAACGAATGGTGATAGGCATGTAGACTGCGCAAGATGGCAGTGAAAGAAGGATTTGCCTAGAAAAAGGAGCCAGAGTGACAATTATAAGAGAACGACAGCCCAGAGGCGGGCGAAAGCAATTCGAGTAAAGACTGGATAGAGCACAGCGGGCTCACGCAAGGAAGGAAAAGAAGGGGTGAATTACGGGGAAAGGTGTTCCTGAGCTTGAAGAGTAAACAGAGATTGGGAGAAACCCCAGTCAGGGGCAGCAACCCTAACTTTGGGTGGCCATTGACATGTGCTCTCGAAATGATACTTCTCCGACGGGGTGCCTCTACCATTAACGAGCCACGATTTGGGCAACTTGCTCCGTTCCTGACCGGCATAGGAGTTGCCACTGCCAGGGCAGGCCACATGGTTCCGGCGGGGGATCCAGACTAACTAGCTTCTTCCATGAATGTCTGCAGATGCAACCCCACGCCGGACACACGAGCAGAACCCGATAAGGGCTGTTGGCCGGCGACTATCGACGGAGCAAGACAAGAGTGTGGGCAGCTGGGGGGATCGACGGACGAGCAACCAGACCTGGTCGGCTGTTCCTGAGAATGATCTGCCGGACAGTTCACCGTTGGAAACCGGTTGTGACCTTTGCATGTTCCACAGGGAACGGTCTGCCCTGCTGAACGGTGGAATTTTCCCTGCAGAGCGAGAGTGGATGTGATTCTGCATTGGGCGACCGCCAGTGAGACATGGTCCATTATCTAGTCTCAGGCAGATGGCTCTCTTGGAGTGGACGCCTTGGATGTGACTGGAACCAGTATCCCTCGACAAGCTGTGTGCTCGGATGTTATCTGGTTTTCCATCTGGGCAGGGTAAATCTCGGATAATCTACGTACTCAGCCGCAAGTACCTTGCCGGTATAAAGGAGCGCAATAAAGATAGCAGATATACGACGGACCATCGAGCCATTGAAAAATTATTCTCTCTCAACAAACCCAATCATGCCAGCCTCTCGCAAGGTTTCAGAATAATCAAAGCGCAGTTGGCTTATTGTTTCCATGGTTTCCATACCGTAACAGGGTCTGTCATCCAATGTTGTTTTTGCAAACCGGAGATCCACCCGGACCCACAGCATCAACTCGATTCGCTAGCTCGATACGCTTATCCCGAACAGGCGCGATCCGAATTACCGGCGTTTTGAGTATTTCCACAAACTGAAAATGTCTGACTTCAGCAGAGTTTTTTTGACAGCATCGCGGCATAACCAGAAAACTAAAAGGCTAGGAAATGGAGGACAGCTCGTGTTGGCCATGGATAATATTCCCATCACACCGCCAGGCCCGAGTGATTGGCCAAACCGGTAGGGCGCACTCGGATCTGGACCAGGAACCCACTCGCCGGTCACTGCATTGCATGGATGCATCCACCGACAAACATGGATTGCTATGCCGAACACCAGTAGGATTGGGAACTAACCGGACTTTGGTGGGCCGGACGCCTGGTATGGGAATTATTACACTGAGACATCTGGTGCGCTTCCTGTTAGTGGCGCCCAGCAAGCCATGCCACTGCATCAGAGGCAGCCTGATAGAGGCTGATGTGTGATTGGGATGAGTCGAACGTCGCCTCGTATTGCGTGAGATAACGTGTATTCAAACGATACTCAAAGAACATATCTACCGATGGCATGGCTGCCTCAAGCATACAAATGATGGCACCGGAAAGAAGACGATCCAGGGTCGAGCCGCACTAGACTGGGAATCCAGTTTCTGGAAATAGATTCGATTCTCTCGCAAGAGAGACAAGACCCATTGCCCGTGGAGCCACTACGGCCCTCCCCGCCAGACGCCGATTGTAGGGCTCTATCTATTCGGCGCACAGCAGCTCGACTGCCGGCTCCCCGTTCGCCGACTGTGTCGGTGTAACCTCTTCGGTTCGAGCAGCCTTTTTCTTCTTCTCCTCGGATTCCTGTATTTTTGGCACGCCTCGATAGTGGATCTCAGGCCCAATGGGTGTCAGGTAAAAAAAAACCTTGAGTGAGAAACGAGTCCCATACAGAGGCAGCAGCTGGGGCTGAGCGAATGGCCACTCAATGACGCCCATATCTTCATAGGAAGGTTCTGTGACCTGGCAGGAAGGATTTATCCAGATAGCCTCGTATTGTCTAAATGTTATTATTAGCAATAGTCCGTGTTCAGTGTCCCAGCCGCTCCACGAGGTCTTGATCCAATCTCCTTGGCCTTTTATCATAAGCCTCATTGCACCCCAACGCTGAACTTTAGCCATCTTTTGCATTTTTCCCCAATCGTGTTATCTGTCATTCGCTTTTGTGTTTGCCGAGTTTGCCTGGACGTTCGTTATCTCATCGACTGCGCTGACTAGCCTTCGTTCTCTTTCTCTCTGTCACTCGTTTACAGACGTTTACACGATTACACGCGAACCACATTTTGACAGCCAACTATTGAAACCACACCTTAATATCTGCAAATAATAGATGTGCCTGGTATAATCTCATACTACTGCCGGTCACACTGCGCTCTCAGAGTGCCAGACCCGCGCTGATCTGAGCTGATCCGATCAACGATCGTCACGATGTGGAGGCTCTCCGTCGGGATCATCGCCCTGCTCGCATCAACGGCCTCATGCTGGCCCTACGACGAAGCCCTCGTCGACTACAACATCAACGAGAACAAGACAGCAACAAATCCTGCTGAATACTGGGGAACATGGCCGGACCATGAGGGGGAATACTTCCCGTCCCCAGACAACTGGCGGTTTCCGTTCTACACACTGTTCATGGACCGGTTTGTCAACGGCGACCCAACGAATGATAATATTAATGGCAGCCAGTTTGAGCATGATCTCAGCTCGAACCAGATGCGCCACGGTGGCGATGTTGCGGGTCTGCTCGACACTTTGGACTATCTCCAGGGAATGGGCATCAAGGGTCTGTATCTTGCTGGTACGATCTTGATGAACCAGCCCTGGGGGTCTGATGGGTATTCAGCGCTTGACACGACTCTGCTGGATCAGCATTTTGGGACTATTGCTGTATGGCGTAATGCTATCACTGAAATCCACAAGCGTGGAATGTATGTCGTATTCGACAATACAATCGCTACGTGAGTACCCTGACCCTGGTAGAGACATAAAGACTAATTACCGGTGATAGTATGGGTGACCTTATCGGATTCGAAGGGCACCTTAACTCAACGACGCCGTTCTCCGAGAAAGAGCATAACGCAGTGTGGAAATCAGACCGCCGCTATGTTGATTTCGACATTGGCAATGACTATAACCAAACCTGCGACTACCCTCGCTTCTGGTACGAAGACGGCAAGCCTGTCAATGAGTCCCTCATCTCCGGCCTCGTCGGGTGCTACGACAGCGACTTCGACCAGTACGGTGATATCGAAGCCTTCGGTGTCTGGCCTGACTGGAAACGTCAGCTCGCCAAGTTCGCGTCCGTCCAGGACCGCTTGAGAGAGTGGAATCCGTCTGTCCGAGAGCGTTTAATTCGTCACTCGTGCATGATCATTGCATCCTTTGACATTGACGGGTTCCGGTATGACAAGGCCACGCAGGCTACCGTCGATGCACTGGGGGAGATGTCCATGGCATACCGCAAGTGCGCACGCGATGTGGGCAAGACAAACTTCTTCATTTCTGGGGAAATTACCGGCGGTAACACGTTTGGTTCGCTCTATCTCGGTCGAGGTCGTGATGCCAACCAGTATGACAAACTGAAGGAGGAGGTCGACGACCCCAAGATGCTGACCAACGAGTCTGCACCGCAGTACTTTCTGCGTGAACCTGGACGTGAGGCTATCGATGGTGCAGCATTCCACTACTCGACCTACCGCAGTATGACGCGCTTCCTGGGCATGGACGGCCGGCTTGATGCTGGCTTTGACGTGCCGGTTGACTGGATTGAAGCATGGAATAACATGGCCGGCTCAAACGATCTGATTAATGCCAATACGGGCGAGTTTGATCCTAGGCACATGTACGGCGTCACGAATCAGGATGTCTTCCGTTGGCCTGCTATTAAATGGGGCGTTGAGAGACAGCTTCTTGGTAGCTTTATCACAACCCTGATGCTGCCTGGTATCCCTCTGCTTCTCTGGGGAGAAGAGCAGGCTTTTTATGTTCTGGATGCAACGGCCTCGAACTATATCTATGGAAGACAGTCCATGTCTCCTGCAACGGCATGGAGGTCCCACGGATGCTTCGCTCTCGACTCGTCGCAATATTACCAGTGGCCCATCGAGGCTGGCCGAACAGCATGCCATAACGAGTCTGTTGCCTACGACCACCGCGACCCTTCTCACCCGGTGCGTAATATCCTCAAGCACATGTACCAGATGCGCGAGGAGTTCCCGATCTTGAACGACGGCTACGAGATTGTGGAGCTGTCCAAGCAAACCGCACCCGTATACTACCCTGGTTCGAATGGCACAGAGACAGAGACAGGCATGTGGTCGGTGCAACGCGGGCTTCATCCATTCCTGCAGGACTTTGGCTCGGCCAACAAGAACGAGTCCGTCTGGCTCGTTTACAACAATGTGAACAGGACGATGCCGTACAACTTCGACTGCGATAGTGATGATAACAAGAACAAGACCCTCGTTGCGCCTTTCCCTTCGGGGACCCATGTCAGGAACCTGTTCTATCCTTACGACAACATGACTCTCGAGGCCAGTACCTTCAAGATGGAATATAATGGCTCTACTGAGTTCAAGGGCTGCTATCCAAAGCTTACCATGGACCGGTATGAGTTCCGTGCCTATGTCCCTGAACGTCTCTGGAAAGGACCAAAGCCCATGATCACTAAATTCCGTGTCGGCGACGGCAATAATGGCCATGATGCACCACTTAAGTCGACCGTCGCACCGAATGCTGCTGAGACAGTGAATCTCAAGCTCCAGTTCTCAGAGGCGATGGACTGCGACGCCATCACCCAAGCCGTATCCTTCAACTCATCGACGGAGGCTGGAAAGACGCCATCCATCGATGAAAATACCGTCAGCTGCAACCGGATCGATCCCGACTTTGGCACAATCGAGGTTACAGGCCAGCTACCTGGTCTTTGGGAATGGTCTGCTAATCTGACCGGCGTGTATAACGGAGTTCACAGAGTGACCGTCAACAATGCCAGCAATTCGGACAGCTCAGCATCTACAAATGCAGTGGACCACTTCCTGTTCCGCCTTGGACAGATCGACAACCCCATGGTCTTTACCTCTGCCAACTACTCGAGCAGTCTGCTGCACCAGGACGACGACGGCGGCCTCTTCATCCAACACCACGCCGCCGGCGCCGACAAATACCGCTACTCGACCAACTGGGGAACCACATTCTCAGACTGGCTCTCGTACAAAGGTGGAAACGACACGATCAAAGCACTCGACTGGTCAGGAACGAAGAAGCAAGAATGGACGGGCCACCACGTCCGCGTCGAGTACTGGAACCGCTGGACGGGCAGCAGTGACTACGTGCAAGAAGGCGACGCCGGCTGGGACTATAAAGTACAGCGACGCTGGCCCCATGCTTTCTTCAACGGCCCCTACAATCAATACGGCTTTGATGCGGGTCTAGACAACGAGGTCAAGCTGGATACTGAGGACGGGTACTGGAAGTACCACTTCACGTCCGAATGGCCGGCCGTTGGGCAGCTTAATATCTGGGGCATGAACCCAGACGGACAGCCTGATCAGAGCAATGTTCTGGGTGATGCTGATGGCGATAACGTCCTTGATCGCATGCCCCCGTCGTCTCTATCAGCCACGCTGCTGAATGTTACGGACCACCCGCCCTCGCCCTATCTGGCGTGGAAGTTCTATATCAACGATGGCACTATGGGATACCAGAAGATCCCCGTTGGACACCAGAGCACGCAGATCGCTATGTTCGTTCTCTTCTGGATTGTTCCCGTCTTGACCGGGTCGGCCTGTGTTTACATATTCATGAAGTCGTTCTACAAAGTCAAGTTTAACCAGGTCGGTGTCTCGGAGACGCACACCATGATCCCACTGGCTCTGCGTCGCAAGATCAAGCAAGTCCGTTTTGGAAAAGGACCCCAGGCCAACCCTCTGCTGCGTCTAGCGGAGAAGTCCGGCTTCATGCAGAGCACAACTGCCCTCGGGGCTGCGGCCGAAGGAAAGCGCCGCACAGTGCTGATCGCAACGATGGAGTACGACATTGAGGACTGGGCTATCAAGATCAAGATCGGTGGTCTTGGTGTCATGGCCCAGTTGATGGGGAAGACACTGGGCCACCAGGACCTGATCTGGGTTGTTCCCTGTGTAGGGGGTGTTGACTATCCTGTAGACACCCCTGCTGAGCCCATGACCGTCACCATCCTGGGCAACGCCTACACGGTCCAAGTACAATATCACACCCTGAAGAACATCACATACGTCCTCCTCGATGCCCCTGTCTTCCGGCAGCAGACAAAGTCCGAGCCCTACCCTGCCCGCATGGACGACCTCGACAGCGCCGTCTATTACTCTGCATGGAACCAATGTATTGCAGAAGCCATCAAGCGATTCCCCATCGACATCTACCACATCAACGATTACCACGGCTCTGTCGCACCGCTTTACCTGCCTGAACCCATACCCGCCTGTCTGTCCCTCCACAACGCCGAATTCCAGGGTCTGTGGCCGATGCGCACGCAAAAGGAGAAGGAGGAGGTCTGCTCTGTATTCAACCTCGACATCGACACCGTCCGCTCTTTCGTGCAGTTCGGCGAGGTGTTTAACCTCCTGCACGCCGGCGCCAGTTACCTCCGCGTCTACCAGCAGGGATTCGGTGCAGTAGGTGTGTCCAAGAAATACGGAAAGCGGTCCTACGCGCGGTATCCTATCTTCTGGGGTCTGCGGAAAGTCGGCAACCTGCCTAACCCTGACCCTTCTGATGTTGGCGAGTGGACGAAGGAGTCGGTGACCAAGGACGAGGATATCAAGGTCGATCCTGACTTTGAAGCCAACCGCGGCGAGCTCAAGAGACAGGCTCAGGAATGGGCTGGTCTGGAGCAGAACCCTGATGCGGATCTCCTTGTGTTTGTTGGTCGTTGGTCTATGCAGAAGGGTGTGGATTTAATTGCTGATGTCATGCCTGCGGTTCTTGAGGCGCGTCCTAACGTCCAACTCATCTGTGTTGGTCCTGTTATCGATCTGTATGGCCGATTTGCTGCATTGAAGTTGGACCGCATGATGAAGGTATACCCTGGCCGAGTCTTTTCACGCCCAGAATTCACTGCGCTGCCTCCGTATATCTTCTCTGGAGCTGAGTTTGCCCTAATTCCATCTCGCGATGAGCCCTTTGGTCTTGTCGCCGTCGAGTTCGGCCGAAAGGGTGCCCTTGGTATCGGTGCGCGCGTTGGTGGTCTGGGACAGATGCCTGGATGGTGGTATACTGTCGAGTCGGTGTCAACGTCCCATCTCCTGGTACAGTTCAAGCTCGCTATCGACGCCGCCCTCAGTTCCAAGACGCCTACTCGCGCCATGATGCGTGCTAGATCCGCTAAGCAGCGGTTCCCCGTGGCGCAGTGGGTGGAGGACCTGGAGATCCTGCAGTCAACTGCTATCCAGGTGCATAATAAAGAGGTCTCCAAGGGCCACGGCCGACCCATGACTGCATCTGGTCTTTCGACTCCTAGTGGAGTAATGACACCCCCTGCCCGTCCTACCAGCCCGTTGATGTCGCCTTCTGTCCAGCATTCCCGGGACAGCAGCTACTCGAACCTCAACCGTCTAAGCGATCTAAACGCAGTGCAGAAGACGGTCTACAGCCCTGATCCCAATGTAAACGAAGGGCCGAAGCCTTCTGGCCTTCAACGATCCCTCTCGCTCGGTGTCCGGTCTGGTCCAGGCCATGCATCTCGCCGTGGACGTGGTAATAAGCCGGCAGGGGAGAATATCCCTGAGACCGACGAGAACTTGCCACACACGGATGGAGAGGAAAGCGATACGGACTCGGTTCTGAGCTACTACGGCGAGGACGAGTATACCCTAACCCCGGCCCAGATTGAAGAGAGCAGACGTGCCCAAGCAGCGCAACGACCTGGTGCACGAGTAGTCTCGTTCTCATCGCCTCGACGCAATAGCCAGGACTCCCTGCATCCTCGAAGTGCTGCAGTCCCTGCCCCTCTGTCACCAGGCACGCCACAGGCTGATCAAAATCTTCTGCCCCCTCCAAAGCCGTTTGCTGAGAACCGGATGAGCAATGCCTCTGTTCTATCACTCGACTCTGTCGTTGGGAACAAGAAGGACTTTAAGCTGCAGAAGGTCGACCCCTTCTTCACCGACAGCAACGGCGAGTACTACAAGGACTTTGAGCGCCGCCTGGAGGCGCTGAACGGATCGAACTCGGAATCGCAGTTCTGTATCGAGGAGTTCCTCATCAAGTCAGAGCGCAAGTGGTTTGACAAGTTCCGTGATGCCAGACTGGGACGTATCAAGTCGCCTACTCCCTCAGTCTTCCGCGACAAACACAATGCTTCGCCCCAGGATTCGATGTATATTGACGATGCAGCTTCGCGGCACAGTGGGAATGGTCTCAGCAGTAGCGGATCTGACGATGACGAGTTCCTGCTCGGCAAGGACTACGTTCCTCCGACTGGGCTGAAGAAATGGATGCAGATCAAGATCGGGGACTGGCCGGTCTACACCATCTTCCTGGCCCTTGGTCAGATCATTGCGGCCAACTCGTACCAGATCACCCTGCTCACAGGCGAGGTCGGTCAGACCGCTGAGAAGCTGTACGGCATTGCCACGACGTATGCCATCACATCGGCCTGCTGGTGGCTTGTCTTCCGGCACTTCAAGTCCATCGTATGTCTGTCAACGCCGTGGTTCCTGTATGGCATCGCGTTCCTGCTCATCGGGTCAGCGCACTGGGAAACCGACGAGTTCACACGCGGCTGGATCCAGAATGTCGGCAGTGGATTCTACGCTGCTGCCTCGTCCAGCGGCTCGATCTTCTTCGCATTGAACTTTGGCGACGAGGGTGGTGCCCCCGTGAAGAAGTGGATCTTCCGCGCGTGCGTGATCCAGGGCATCCAGCAGGTGTATATCATTGCGCTGTGGTTCTGGGGGTCTACTCTGGCCAAGGCATCGAGCAATGGGCTGTTGAGCGCTGAGTCTCAGATCTCCAATACCTGGAAGATGACCGCCATCTGCTATCCCATCGCCATGTTCCTGTGGGCTGTCGGGCTTCTGCTCATCTTTGGTCTTCCCAACTATTATCGCCAGACACCTGGCAAGGTCCCGTCGTTCTACAAGTCGCTCTTCAGGCGCAAGATTGTTCTGTGGAACTTTGTGGCCGTCATCCTGCAGAACTTCTTCCTCAGTGCGCCGTACGGCCGCAACTGGAGCTGTACGTATAAAGCCAATACCAGATTAAGAATCATGCTAACGTCTCTAGTCCTCTGGACCTCGAACCACGCAAAAGCCTGGCAAATCGTCATCCTCTGCGTCGTCTTCTTCGGCCTCGTCTGGATCGCCTTCCTCTACCTCGTCAGCCAATTCTCCAAACAACACAGCTGGTTCCTCCCCGTCTTCGCCTGCGGGCTAGGTGCCCCCCGGTTTATCCAGATCTGGTGGGCCGTCTCAGGAATCGGCTACTTCCTCCCCTGGGTAGCAGGCGGCTACACTGGGGGAGCCCTCGTATCCCGAAGTCTCTGGCTCTGGCTCGGCGTGTTAGACTCCATCCAGGGCCTAGGCTTCGGAATCATCCTCCTGCAAACACTAACGCGCATGCACATGTGCTTTACCCTGATCGTCTCGCAGATTATTGGTTCCATTGCGACGATCTGTGCGAGGGCCTTTGGGCCGAATAATCTAGGCCCCGGGCCTATCTCGCCGGATGTTACCAAGGGGGTGGACTCGGTGGCGAATGCCTGGTTTTGGATTGCCCTGTTTTGCCAGTTGCTTGTTTGGTATGTCTCCTTTTTTCCTACTTTTTGGTGTTGATGGACTAACGTGTGCAGTGCCGGGTTCTTGCTCTTCTTCCGCAAGGAACAGCTCTCTAAGCCTTAGATGCCACGATCCTTATTATCTCTTAATGTCTGTACTTTAATATATCCTGTATATAGATCATGCTGGTGGGTTCCGGCTGTTAATTAGCATATGTCTAATGAGTGCATTTGGTATTTCATTTCGGAGTTATTCAACATTTGAAGAGCACCAGTTGAGTCGGATAGTAATCTATTCTACAGCATTCTTAGAGCAGTTCGTACTTTGTCGATCATTTATTCTCCCTGATCTTCTTCGCCACGATGTCCTTATACTCCTCATCAATCTGGACCAGCACAGACGGCCCCTCCCTCTCCAGCGCCTCAGTGTCAAGCACAAAAGTAACGAAGAAGGCCGCTGGCTCAGTCTTGCTGGCATTTGCGCCAATCTTATGATGACATCCAGGCGCCTCATGCCAGGCATCGCCTTTCCCCATCACCTTCATCGGCTCGTCGTTCATTTTGTTCAACAGAGTGCCGTGGAGGACATGGGCGGAGACCGACGCGCCCCCGTGGCGATGAGGTGGGGTTGCGCCGTTCGGAGGATATTCGACGAGCATGCCGACGATGGTCTTTCCGGGACAGTTTTCGAGTTTGTATTGATAGACGATCGTGGTCGTCCCCATGGGGCATCTGGTTGGTTATGTGAGTGTGTGCTTGGTTGATGGTCTGGAGGACATACTCGGGGTCGTAGGGTGGCTCTTCCATTGTGATGGATAGTGCGAATTGATGTTGGGGTGAGGTGCTTGGGTGAAGAGGTTGAGTGAAGGGCTGAGTGTTTGTGTTTATATGAGACATTCAACATTCTTTGTGACTCCTTTCGGGTCGATAGCCTATCCGGGTATTCAACATGAGGTATGTGGACCACGACCACCCCAGTGCAACAACGACTCGGCAACTACGCCCCGAACATAGACTGCGCCATGCCGAGTCCCACTTAGACTCACCTAGAGCCATGCTCAACGGATAGTCTTGGGTTTAGTGCCCATTGTGTAGGTTATCAATCTATGCCTAAGCTTTCCTCCGCGACCCGTCTTTATGACAGTCAATTTTCACCCCGCCCATATATATTGCAGTATCTCCATTGGTATCACCAGTCAGGTCCGGATATAACCCTGCGCCTTGTGCAATGGCTATATCGGCAATTGTCTGCTAGTTGTGCTTGTGCTTCTTTTTCACCTCGACTGTAATCGACTAGAGTGGGCTGTCCCCGGCTATACGGGATTGGGGCCGGCTCATGGCAGATCACCGGGAAACAAAACGCGGGCTGTTACTTAGAATATCCTCAGGATATTTATGATCAGGAAAAGCTGGACTATATTCGAACATCATAATTATCATTAATGGCGTTGACGGGATATGGATCCCGTAGCCATTCTCTACCGGCTGGGGCTGATATAACCCCCAGCACATGCAACGTGAATATAAATTGTTATTTCGGTGGGTTAATATTTCCCTCTCGAGTCATCAAATCTCTTTAAAAGAATCTAACATCCGACATCATGTCTCAAACGAAACCAGGGCTCCCTGTGGCGGCTCGTCTCAGCCTTAGTGGCCGAGTGATCCTTGTGACTGGTACGGAGGTTTTCCCCAAGCTGGAGATATCCGGTGCCTGACTCTCTAACAGGCGGCGGTCGTGGTATTGGCATGGCGCTGTCGAGGATATGTTTGGATGCTGGTGCCACTGTAGTTGTTACCGACATCCTCCCCGAGCCGGACGCCCTCTTTCTCGAGTGGCAGAATTCCACTCCCGATAGACTCCTCTATTATCGGTAATGCTGAACTGAACTGCAGATATTGCTTCTGAACTAAGGGCTGATCTTTAAAGCTGTGACTTGACCCAGAAGGAGGACATGGACCGCACTTTCGCCATGATCATAGAGAAATTGAACTGCATCCACGGAGTGTTAGACCTAACCAGATATCCTAGTTAAAGATCATACTGAAGTGCTAATGTGGAACAGAATCACGGCAGCAGGAATCTGTGTTGATAAGCCATTCTTGGACCATGAGTGGGAAGACCTTCAGAAGCTCCATGCTGTGAATGTAAGTCTCTCATCCTCTAATAAAAAGAAATACTGAGGCAACTAGGGGGCCGGAACCTTCTTCACAGTGCAATACGTTGTGAATAACATGAAGCAACATGGTATCAAGGGCAGCGTTGTCATGATCTGCTCACAATCATCGCAGCATGTCTGCCCTGGTCATCTCCTGGCAGCTTATGCGGGGAGTAAAGGATTTGTCTTCTCACTGGCACGAAGCCTGGCCCACGAGCTTGCTCCTGATGGAATTCGCGTGAACACAATTTCCCCCGGGTTAATATCCTTCTGGTGTGTCCAGGGATTGTTGCTAACGGCATTTTAGCTATATTGCCACCGAGATGAACCTCTCGATTGCCGGTCATAGACCGGAGCTGCTCAGAATATTCCATGAGGCGCCGCCCCTTGGGCGTGTTGGAACACCAGAAGATCTTCAAATGGCCGCATTGTATTTGCTGAGTGATGCTTCATCTTATGTCACCGGTCACGATCTTCTTGTCGATGGAGGTATGCAGGTCACGTCTGGGAATTATAAACTTTAGATGCATATATACCAAACAAGTATGGAAACAGTCAAACGTAAGAACTCTTTAACCATAAGTAGCTGGGAAAACATTCATAGTGCTTAATCTTCTCCATGAAATTCGTATGGAGCTCTTTGATGGTTATGTTGATAAGTCACTGGCTCACCCGACAGAACATTCTTTTTAAGCCACAGGAATCCTAGATGATTGGATGGAGATCGAAGTTTATCAAGGGAAGAAGAGCCAAGTCTGAGTTCAGACAATCCTACCTCGTCCCGGGTAATAAGACTACCTTCACGTAAGAGTTCTATGCGAACCGGCTTCAATTCCGTGCCGAGACCCTATCGAGCCATAAAGGCTATAGTCGCAAGCCCAACTTGCTGAGAGCGTTTATGCCGCCCGGGATTTCACTCCGCGGTGGCTATTCTATAAGGGGATCTCTGGCTCATTCATTCCCACCCGCTGGTTGCATAGTTCTGCCCTACAACGATTCGTCTGTCCCTGAAACCCCCGTGAACGTTATCATGTCCACCGCCGGCACACATCAAGCCGCCGTCCTGCATGGATCCCAAGATCTCCGAATTGAATCAGTGGAAACCCCGACTTTGGGCCCGGACGACGTTGCCATAGCCCCTCGTGCCACCGGGCTCTGTGGTACTGACCTCCACTACTACGAGAATGGACGAAACGGCATGTTCGTCATCGACCAGCCTCTCATTCTCGGCCACGAGGCAGCCGGCGAGGTACTCGAGGTAGGCTCATCGGTCACCTCAGTGAAGGTCGGAGACCGCGTGGTTTTCGAGCCCCAGCGGCCATGCAGTTCGTGCCAGCAATGTCGTCGTGGCACTTACAATCTCTGTCCGAAGCTGAAGTTTACGGGCTCTGCGAGTGCAAAGCCGCCAGTGCAGGGGTCTCTGCAGTCCAAGTATCACCACCCCGCCAGCTTCGTTTTCCCCATCCCGGACTCCGTTTCATATCAGCAGGCGGCGTTGATTGAACCGCTTTCCGTGGCGTTGCATGCCGTTCGGCGTAGCGGCATACATACTGGACAGTCTGTGCTTGTTGTGGGTGCTGGTCCTATCGGCTTGCTGTGTGCCATCGTTGCTCGTGTTTCGGGGGCTTCAACTATCGGCATCGTGGACGTGCAACAAAGTCGCCTGGACTTTGCAATGACGCATGGGTACGCAGACTACGTGGCCCAGGTACCGATGATCTCGCACGAGGGCGAGAATAACGCGGACTTCGCCGCTCGTGTCGCGAAGGATATAGTATCTGCGCACCCCTCTTTCACGCCAGCGGACGTGGCCTTGGAATGCACGGGAGTAGAGGTGTGTGCTAATTTGGGCATCCATTTCACGGCTCCACGAGGGAAAGTGGTGATTGTAGGAATGGGACGGCCCTACCAAGCTCTGAATGTTGGGGCAGCTGCGGTCCGTGAGGTGGATATCATCAGCGTCTGGAGGTATGCGAATACCTTTGAGACGGCCATTGACTTGTTGGCATCCGGCAAGCTGGACCTCAGGCCGCTCGTTACGCATGTATACCCATTAGCGGAGACACGGGCTGCTTTTGAACTCCTCCGATCGCGTCCAGCGGACTTGATGAAGTGTATCATAGTCTCTTAGCAGATTCTTGGAGATAGCGGCCCATAGCCTATAGTAACTATCTTAGTCAGAGACGTATTTCCTTTATTCTCCGGTCTGGACCTGTTTCCTTGGTCGACTGGCTGTCACTCTGGATGGACCCAAGGAATGGCCCAACTGAACCAGAACAATTCATTCTTCGGCCATTCATTTCCCAGCCATTATTGAGTATTTGTAATATCCATTAATGATCCTCTAGACGGTGTATGGTCGCAACAATCCGCATCGTGAGGATGCTTTCCGATGACATCACAGTCACGGCCCACTGACTTCATAGAAAGATAGAAACAGGTCAAGCTCAATTTGCCTCCTGTCCTGTCCTGAGCTTGGTCGCGTGGTTGCAATTAATCATCCTATGGCCTAGAACAGCCACTGGGCAAACCAGTTAGGCATTCCTCTCATGGAGCGGTGCGTTGTCGCGCTGCGTCATGATTCCTAATGATCAGACTGGCATCCCCAGATTTATATTTTAAATCCGCAGCTTTCCTTGGACTAACCACTTTATTTCTGTACCCCAGCCAGAATGACCGTCATCTGGGGCCTCGATCTCCACGAGATCCATTACAGCAAGTTCAAGTCGTCGCACATGTTCAACCGGGCCTACCATCTGCGCCGCACCAAAATGGTCGTCTACCAGCTCGCCATGATCCTCTGCGTGTGCTCTGAATCCGTTGGCACTGCTGCATTCTCAGGTTCGTCTCTCAGCCACCCCAGAGACATAGACTAACAGCCACTGCAGATTACCTCGACCAGCAAAGCGAAGTCCAAGGCCAACACCCCGGCGTGAAACTCCACAATAACGACTTCATCGGCGCCGCCTCGTATAATATCTTCGTTGGGATCGCGGTCGCGTTTATCTTCGGGGCGGCCTTCTTCTTCGATCTGTTCTGGCCCGAGCGTCATGAGTGTAAACATGTCCGTGTCTCGTGGAAGATCTCGGCGGTCGTTGTGACGGCGATGATGCTGAGTTCGGCTTTGACTCTGACGGTATGGCAACCTGATACTTTGGTGGTGTAAGATATTGATACTGGGTAGTGCATTGGAGCTCTGCATGATGCTACCGTTACCGGGACGGATCCTCACACAGCGCAGACATTCCGGTTGGAAGCTGTGAGGCAGCCTACTTATAGTATGTGATGTCTTTTATATTGGTTTCTTGTCTAACGTGACAGATTACCGCCATAACCCCAAAGTGGTTGCTGCTGTTGTTCTCGCCTGGCCGGGATGGGTGTTTTGCGTTGTGAGGTATGTCTATCGTGCCAGTATTTATTGCAATGTACTAACAGAGCAGTACTATTGTTCTCTTCATGTCTCATAAACACGACGATCAATTCGGGCCCAAGTCGAACTACGGTCGATCCCTTGAGAGCGGGGATGTCGCTGATAAAGAGGGCGATGTTGAGTCGGAATAGAACCGATATTAGTTATGATAATGTATAATAAGTGCTTTATGTCGGTTATATATACTCGTTGATACCCTTGTATAGTGGCGATGCGGTACTATTAGACAATATATCGTTAAATTGACACTAGTTATCTACACTGACAATATAACGATTCGATCTCACGCCACCTATGAAAGTATCCGATCGCTATCCACGCCAAACAAGGATTCATTTTATATGCTTGACGAAGAAAGCTTAGGACCACCCCGTCTGTGATATATTAAGTTCGAAGTGTTGCCTTGGTGGGAGTATCAAGATCGGGGACGAGGGGATTGTCCTACCACCGGGTTGCCGTCAGATCTAAGCCATTATAAATGTTTAAAATTAATGTAGCATATTAAATATCATTTTGAAAGAAAATTTGTGAAAAAATAAATCGTTGATTGTTAGATCTGCTCCACTTGCATACATTTTCCTCCCGGATAAGCCAGCGTAAGCCAGCATAAGCCAACTCCAGCATGAAAAAGTATTATTGGACATAAGCCGTAAGCCAGTTCTGCAGCTGCTGCAGTCCAGAATTTATGACTGAGCATAGCATATTCCAGCCTACTCATTGCCCTAGCTTGGTGTTGACTCTGCAATATACAGTATTCTATAAGCCATGGAATTTTCCATCGGATGTATAATCAGGTGGATTTGAGATTGATAATATAGAGAAATATTGTATATGTGATGACAAAAGCTAGATTCGTATAATATGGTAGTGTTGTTGTGCTATGTTGAAGATATATATACTGCCAATGCCTCGTTACAACATCCATATCAACAGCAACCACTACAATTCCAATAACAATTCTACACTTTAAAACAAGAAGACAATGTCTCAACCCCTCGTCCTCATCACCGGCGCAAACCAAGGCATCGGCCTAGCCACGGCCCAAATCCTCGCCTCCAAGCACAACTACCACGTCATCATCGGCGCGCGCAACAAACACGCCGGCGAAGAGGTCGCTGCCTCGCTGCGCTCAGCCGGACACACAGCATCTTCACTCGAACTAGATCTGAACTCCGAGACCTCGATTAAGAACGCAGTGGCCACCCTCGAGCGCGACTTCGGCTACCTCGACATCCTAATCAACAATGCGGCCGTCCTAATGGACCTGAACAAGGACCTGACACCCTGGGAACTCTACAGCAAGACATTTACCCCGAATGTGATCGGTACCGGTGTACTCACGCACTATGCCCTGCCTCTTATCCGGAAGGCGAGGGCTACTCCACCGACAATTATCTTTGTCTCGAGCAGCATGGGCAGTTTGACGTATTCGTTTGATAAGAGTGTGTTCTGGTACCCGGTTGACTATAAAGCGTATGATGCGAGCAAGGCGGCGGTGAATGTGCTTGTGGCAAACTATCACCGGATTCTGGAGGGTGAGGGGGGCAAGGTCAATGCTGTTTGTCCGGGGCTGGTGAAGACGAATTTGTCGGGGTATATGGAGGCTGGATCGACGCCTGAGGTTGGGGCTACCAGGATCGTGGAGCTGGCAACTGCTGGGGAGAAGGGCGAGTCTGGGACTTTTACGGATCGGAATGGGACTGTGCCTTGGTAGCAGGTAGTATAGATCTATATCTGGGATCTGTTTGTGTAGTCAGGAGTCTATAAATAGACATTATTCGATAGATCACTTAATGGACTAACTGGTTACTGGACTAGTTTTAGAATGCCCCTCGTCTGACAGCTCTCTAAAACAGCTGGCACTCATGTATCAAATTTCAAGACACTGAGTATCAATCGACATGACCATGTCTACTGCAAACATGGCTCAAGCAGAGTCAACCCCAGAGGTCCCTTCTCCAGAGGGCCCGGACGGAGAGACAGAAGACAAGGCGCTCCACAACGTGTTCGTCATCCTTCCCAATCGACTGGACCTACTTCATCTGCAACTGCGACAGCGACTGATATAACTTGATCAAGATACGTAGTATAAAGCACTAGATACAGGTCATTGACGGACCCCTGGCCCATCTGTCAACTCTTCGAGCTGCTTTCGCTCCTCAACAGTAAGCTCGCTCGCTGCCTTTCCAAGCCGGATAAAAGACAATAAAACAATAGCAACCCCTGAACAAGCAACTCCAAACCAAAACGCCGCTTTATAGCTCCCTGCCTCTCCGAGGTTCTTTGTCTGAGCGGCAACTAGATCGGCCAGGCCGAGGAAGAAACTAATCCCTACAAACACGATAGTATGGATGATTGCACCTGCTGCACCTTGTCTGTTCTGCGGTAAGGAGGTCGTGATGAAGATGTTGCTGACGCTGTAGCCAATGTCTGTACCGACAGTTGCGGCGATCATTGCTGGGAAAACGTAGGCCCAGTAGTTTGGATCTTCAGGGATAATGGCGAACAAAAGCATCGAGACGAGATAACCGGCACCAGATATTAGCATGAGTAGCTTTCCTGGTAACAGGTGCAGGGTGAACCCGCCGACTGTGGCGAGGATAAGACCGCCGGCGGCCATGGGGGCAAACCAGGCGGCGGAGATTAAAGAGTTGTGGCCGAGGATGTTTTGAATGCTAGACCATTAGCTGTGTATTTTAGAAGTGAGAGTGGTCTTACTAGAAGCTGGCATAGAAGAGGTATACGCCGAACACGCCGTATGAGAAGGAGAGAGCGAAGAAGAGAGGGGTCAGGTATTTGACCTTGAAGATATCAGGTGGGAGTAATGGCTGAGATGCAACCCAGCCTTCAATATAGACTGCTGCACAGATAAGGGCGACGCCAACAATGAAGGTGACGATAACATACGGGGTCTTCCACCCGTCCGGAGCATGAGATCCATCAGTAAAGGTAAAGATAATCAACACCAGCCCAGGGACAATAGTAAGACATCCCCACCAGTCCATTCTAAGGGTCGATACTTGAGAAGGAAGTCGAATCTTCGGCATCGAGAGCGACGATACAATCAACACGACGAGGGTCATGATGGTGCCAATCCAGAAATACCATCTCCACGTCAGATAGAAGCCCGTCAACCCACTGACGCATATCCCAGAGTAGAACCCAATTGGCGAAAATGCTCCATACAGACTAAACACCAAGTTCTTGCGTGGCCCCGGCCGGTATATACTCCCAATGAGCATGACACCGGCAGGCAGGAACATGGACGGGCCTAGTCCCTGCAGTGCTCGGCACACAATGAGCATTATGTAGTTCTTGCTCCATCCCGCAATAAACGACCATATTATAAGCCAGACAAGACCGATATTGAAAATTAGACGGGCACCGTAGATGTCAGCCAGACGGGCGGCGGGGAGTAAGAAAGAGCCGGTGACGAGGGAGAAAACGCTAGCTGGCCAAGTCTGCGAGGCAGGGGGTATATCGAGAGCAGTTGTTATATGAGGGAGGAGGTTGTTGAATCCGCTAATGAAGAATTCCTGTAAAGTTAGAAAGGCCAATATAAAAGGGTGGCAGACATACAGCTAGCAGCTCCGAGGCGAGCAGCGAGAAGCAGAAGCACAGCTCGATCCATTTGTTTGGAAAGGTGGCAGGACGCTCTCGTCCGAGCCTCTCGAGGGTTGTCTTGTCAGGGACCGGCCGGTCGTGCTCATCCATCTTGAGAATCCGACTGTCTTCAGCCTCGCCGTCCAGCCTTAAGTATATACTGCGGTGTCCCACCTGGAGCCCTACCCTATTCCTGATTAAGAAGCCAAGCCTCATCTGCATGCTGACAAATCGCCCCGCTTTCGTCACTGCTTCACATCAGATCCTCCAGAGCCTCCAGATTCCTCAACTCAGAGTTTTAAGCTTTGGAGATCAGTCGGTCCATTGTATATCGGTATATTCCGTGCAAGACCGAGATCGGACCATGCTTAGCGTGTTAGCTCGTTGCTCGTTAGATCGGTCTCTCGATGCGTAACCCCGCTGACAAGGCCTGCCATAACTGTCGACGACGACGGCTGAAGTGCGACCGGGATGTCCCTGCATGTCGCAAATGTGCGCTGACCGGGCAAGAATGTCTGGGGTACGGGAAGCTGTTTGTGTGGAATGAGGGCGTTGCCAGCCGGGGGAAGATGATGGGCAAGACATATCCTGTTGCGAAAGACTCGAATAGAGCCAGCACAAATAGGGCCATTAGCACCGGGAACGATTTGATTCCAGCACGGCATTATGACTTTCTGCCTCTTCAGCTGCCGTTACTGGATCCCCTGTATCAGGGCTTGGATGATGCGTCGCGGGGGTATCTGTCCCACTGTATGCGCCATCTCCCTAACAGGTTATAGCAGGCTAACTGTTCTACAGTTGCATCGACCGTGTCCAGCGACATGGTGATAGCAGACATCAGCGATGTGAACCCATTTCGGAGTTTAATTCCGTTCTGCAGGGACCATCCCATCCTGCTGCATATCATCCTGGCCAACTCGGCCCTGCACATCTCGTGCCTGCACCGACGAGGCCTGGATGGCCAGCTTTCCGATTCAGCTGATCGGTCTTCTCATGCGATCGTCGATGCGCTATCAGCCAAACACAAGGCTCTCGTCATGCTGAGACGCGCACTCGAAGACATTGCCCACATTGACGTCGACGTTATCGCAGCCGTCATCCACCTCTTCATCATCTTCGAACTCATCAGTCCGGGAGAAGACGAATGGAAAGCGCACGTCGAAGGTGCCCTGCGACTGATCAGCTACCTGCACACGCTTGAAATACGCCCTGCTTCACCGGCAGCTCTGGTCCGGGACTGCATCACATCGGACTGCTTAACGTGAGCAAACATGACCCATCTACTATATAGTTGTATATCTATCTAACAGCGTATAGATACTACATCCTCGGGTCAACTCTCATGAACACAACCACCCTCTCCGACCCCTTCCTTCCAGGGGACATCATCCCCTCTCTGACCCGCGCCGAACTAAACAGCTACCTCTCCCTACCAACGCCTCTCCTCCAAACCCTCTTCAAAGCATGCGAACTCTCAAACCGCGTCTCACTAGGCGAAATGCTCGGCGCAGACCCAACCCCACTCCTAACCCAAGCATCCGACCTGCTAAACACCGTGCAATCCTTCAACGTATACGCCTGGGCCGCAACACTAGAAGGCGACCCATCCTCAACCCGAACGCTAAGCCGCATCCACACGGCACTCGCACACCAGAATGCAGTTACGATATATATCCTGCGCAGCGTGGAGCAGATCTCGCCCGCGCCCATGGCAGGACTGCGCGATACAGAGAGCCTGGTGACGGAGATCATCACGCACCTGTCGCTAGTCGGCCCGACGGATCCGTTCTTCAAGGCGACGTCGTGGCCGACTTTCATTGCGGGCGCGGAGACGGATAATGCTGTCTATCGCGAGTGGGCTGTGCAGCGGCTGAGGGAGTTTTGGAATTTGATCCCGTGGGGGTATTTGAGGACGGAGGAGGATGTTATGAGGAGGGCGTGGGGGTTACGAGATGGACAGGAAAGGAGGGGGGGTTGGATACAGCAGCTCAAGGGGATGGAGAGGCACTGGCTGATTGCTTAGTTTAGTTTAGTTTACTTTGGATATGGATTGAGGTTTCGTTTTCGTAGATATATTCAGTCATTCCTAGCTAGTAGGACATGATTCCGCATCATGATACCCGTATCATGCTATGTACATTGCAGCCGAAGACTGATTTAAAGTCCAGTAACCTCCTTGATGAAGTCACTGAAGTAGGCCGGGCTGGAGTAGACACCGGGGTATCCAGCGCGGGCACAGCCATTGCCCCAGGAGGTGATACCGATGAGGACACCGTCGGAGACGAAGGGGCCACCAGAGTCACCCTGGCAGCCGTCCTTGCCACCGCCCTCAACACCAGCGCACAGCATGCTCTCGGTGATCTCGTTGAAGCCCTCGTAGTTGGAGGAGCAGGTCTTCTTGTCGACAACGGGGACCTCGACGAACTGGAGGGTGGGGGAGACGTTGCCGCCTTCCTTGAGGGCACCCCAGCCGGTGATGGTGCCGACGGTACCGGCGGCGGGGAGCTCGGTGCCCGTGGGGAGCTTGACGGCCTCGATGCCGTCGCCGAACTGCAGCTCCTCGTCGAGGGTGAGGATGGCGATGTCGTTGTTGACGGTCTGGGCGTCGTAGTCGGGGTGGACGGCGATGGAGGAGACGCCGACGGTGGTGCCGCCGGAGTCAGAGGAGGAGGAACCGGCGCGGATGCTCAGGTCGCTGGCGGACTGGCCTTCGGCGCAGTGGCCGGCGGTAACGACGTACTTGCTGTCGATGATGCTGCCACCGCAGATGAGCGAGCCGCCCTGCAGCAGGCCGATCTGGTAGGGGTATTCCTCGATGGTGGCCTCGTCGCCGCCAACGATGGCCTCCTTGGCGAGGACGCTGGTAAGGACGGAGAGGAAGGCGACGGTGGTCTTCATGGTGCTGGCTGGGTTAAGATAGTGAGGAGAGGGAGAGTGTGAGAGTGAGGATGATAGATGGAGATGTGGTGGTGGCCATGGTCTTTTTATAGTGCTGGAGACACGATCCACAGCACATCCACAGTCGCAAATGGCACAAAGCCGAAGCCCACAAAGCCCCAGAGACAATCAATCAATCCACTGGCACAAAGCAAGAAGCCCCTGACAATGCTGATCATGAAACCCAAGGCCGTTGCTCAATCGCGCCATGGCGATCGGCACGCATGCGCGGACCGTCGGCGAAAATTCCCAACGCAGTAATGATCGAGATCTGTCCCAGGGAATTGCCGCTGCTGCTGCTGCTGCTGATTGGCTCTTCTCCTTTTCGACGACACTGAGAACTGGCTGAGAACTGGCTGAGAACTGGCTGGTGACTGGTTCAGGACCCAACGACAGGCTGATATCATTCAGGGGCAGCCAGCCCTGCCCCATTACGTGTAAGCTTAAGCTCTGCCTCTGCGCCGCTCAGCCTGCAACGTGCGTTTCTTTTCTTCCTTGACTTCCTTAGCTGATTCTCATCGCAGTCTCCTCCCGCACTTGTTCGACTTCGCCATCCGCGCCTTGTTACATCGAGTTAATCTACCTGACAAGCCCCGCCGCTATCCAGCTGCCGACCAGGCTGTTCCTGTGCTTCTCCTCGTCGATCACGCCCGCCAAGCAAGATAGGCTCTTGGAGTCGCTCTTGGGGCGAACACAAGGTAGCATCGTCTTGTCCAACGAGATCCGGTACCTCCATGATCGGCGCTGGTCCCTGCTGGCGGTTATCGCCCATCGGGGCCTGCGTTCTTCGATAGGCTGCTGCGTGAGGGGGGGCAAATCTGCGATTCATCTCCAATATCTGGCATCGCGATCTCATTCGACTGGTTTCTGAAGATGATTATGCAGTGTAACCGGAGCCGGGCTCGGGCCGTGTCTGGACTGCGATGTGTATACAGACCTGCTGGTGTTGCTGCCTCGGCGACCCCGGGGGCCAAAATTGCATGCTACAGCGGGGTCAGCAGGACTCAGAGCGGACAGTGGAGAGAATAAGGAAGAGAGTGGATGGAAACTGGAACAATGCGACCGTGGAAGATGATGCTGGTGCCTGGTATCCGTACCCTGGTCTACCTAGCCAGCAACCCTGTTCTCCCCCGGCCACCAAAACGTCGCTATTATTATAAGGCTGGAAGAAGCGTATGACAGTTGTTTCAAGTCCCGCTTTGCCTGCAACAGAGCTTTGTTCGCAGGGGCTGTGTCCACACTTGAAACCGGAGGCGTTTGTGTTTAATGAGCTGTCCCTGAAGCCCTTATTCAACCACTGACACTGTGAGATTCGTCAGATGCAAATAGATTGGCTAATGGCAGTGCATTCAGTGCAACTTCACCTCGGCTGATAACCTGCGATCGCTGCGGTCGCCAACCAGACATACACAACTGTCCCACAGTCACCAACAGTCACCAAGTCACCAACAGTCACCAACAATCACCAGACGGAATCGACGGAATAGACGGAATCGTTCCTGAAGCTGTAGAACCCGAGGCGGGACGACTGCAGTGTGTTTCACAGGCGTGCGTGGCTGTGCCGCTGTGATCCGGACCTCCGCCTCCAGATACTCTATATGAGATTGCAAGGTAGCCTGTTTCGCATTGTAGACATCACTGGCCCCTGGAAGATTTTCGCATCAAGTTCAACAGACACCATATCGAGGATTTAAGCTTAGCAGCCGCAAGGAAACTAGAAGGCCAAGGATCCCACCGATATTGCGTAGGAGCCAGTCTGGTCACCTGGATTGTAGGTTCGTGAATTCTCAAGCAACGGAGATGATTTGATCTTCAGACCGCTATAGCTAGTTGAGGTGACTGCTCATTAATCAACAATGTAAACATTTACCCAGTTCTCTACCGTGGCAACTGTGGACCTCGAAATTCTCCGAATATAAATTCTCCGAGCATACCGGCCTGACCTGTCACTTGCCTCAAATATCATTAGGGACCTTGCCTGGCATAGGTTATACCATGTGCTGACTAGGTAAATACCAGACAGGGTTTCCTGTTTGGGTATTCCGTGATATCTTCCGGAATGCCTGTATAGATAGTTCCGTGAGCACCTTATTTGTTCAGCTGTGCTGTTTATTCACAATATATATATCGGATTACTGTAATATTCACTACTGCCATTCACACCTCGCCTTGATCTATGAACAGAAACTTCGAGCAGCAAGCTACCTGTTTATAAAGGCTTCCAACTCAGAATGCCACCCGGATATATCTCCCGTTCAACTCGTCAATCCATCCAACACCATGGCGATGCAGGCACTGGCCGACGTCCTCGCAAACGCGACCGACACAGAATCCCACGAAGCCCCCGAACAGACGGTGACCAACTTACAACCAAATTCCCAACCAGCACCCAACCCCAGAGAATGCTTCGTCGGCGAGATAGTCATCGTCGGGAGCAGCAGCACGTACAGCACCGAAGTCGTCGTCAAGGATAAAGAAGACACCGACCTGCGCGTCGGCTTCGCATTCCCGCCTGACGGATACGGCTATGAAGGTGTACCGACAGAATTCCTGAAACGGGGATTAACGATGCTGATTCTCTATCCATCTCGGACGCAATTGGACGGAGGGGGAGACTTGATTGTCGTTCACAATCCGAAGCATATCAAGGTCTGCATTCCTTCCTTTTCTAACTCCAGTGTATTGTGAATGTTTCTAACGGCAATAGATCCTACCTTTTAGAATGCCCTTCTACCTACGGCTCTGCGAGAGAGTCACCGAGTTTAGATCTGTCGTTGGCAGACAGCGTATCTGCTTTGGATGCGAGACACGGAAATACGGGCTGGAGAGGTGTCCTCGCTGTAAAATGTCCTATTTCTGCAGTCGTGTAAGCCAGTACTTCGAAAGGAGCTACCATATTCACTAACATATATAGGCGTGCCAGGATGAGTCGCTCTCTCGAAGGGGCCACAGACGGGACTGCGGTATCATCCGAGACCCTGATATCACGGCTCTGCTGTTGGAGAAATGGGAGCAGCTGGGAGAGTTTCGCTCTGTTTCCTTGCAGGCGCATCTCCAGCAGGTTCCGGATATGTTATGATATACACCCCAGGGAATGTGCTGTAGTCTATGTACAGAAGCTACTAGATAATGAATGGAATACAATGCCACACAAATTATGAATGGCTCTTTGTACGGCTTTCTTTCGAAGCCGTTGCGAATGCTTAAATAAAGCAACATCCAGTATGCCTTAGACGGCGCTTTCTATTCAATTATACTGACAGTCCAGCTTAAGTTGCTTGGTACAAATTGACCATATAACTTGATTTAACACAGGTTGAAATATAAGATTGCTGATTCCAAGATGGTCCAAACACCTGAGCCGAAACTGTTTCGATTGGAATCGGTTCGCAAGGTGTTCCGATGGAAATGGGTTCGATGCAAGCTGTTTCGATCCAAAGGGCGTCAGAACAGTCATGATACTATGCGCGAATCGACGGTGGAGCCCTCAGATATCAAGCAGTCCACCTTGAGCCACCCCAGCAGTATTACCCAGGCTCATCCACAGACAGATCAATCAACAGAGGATCAATCCAGCCAGTATGGCCTTGACTGGCATCATGGCGAGGCAGTCTGGACAGAAACACCAGATATCGACGCTATAAAGGCACTGGTGGCCCACCGTGTCAGTGCTGTCTTAAATACCAAATCCCTCAATGCGTCCGACATCCACGTCGAATTCCTCGGGAATAGCGGATACTACAGGCTATATTTAATCTCCTCACCAAGACTTCCTCAAAAGTACTTATTCCGAGCGACGCTGCCCGTGGAGCCCTTCTATAAAACAGAAAGCGAGGTTGCCACGATGGCGTTTATCCGCAAGTATACCGCGCTCCCTGTTCCCCTTGTCATTGATTATTGCTCTTCAGCATCCAACCCTATAAAGTTCGAGTGGATTCTGCAGGAATGCGCCGAGGGAACCGCTCTATCAGAGACCTGGGATGATATGCCGTTCCATATCAAAGCCGAATTTACCGTTCAGATGCAGCGGCACATGCAGCTGTTGCAGGACTTTGACTTCCCGTGGATAGGAAATCTATACCACTCGCGCTGCAAGGACAGAGTCAATGGACAGCCCGCCAAGTGGATCCGTGTGTCGGATGGTCAGGACCAGGACGACCCTGACTTTGTGATAGGCCGCATCGTGTCGCCTTGGTCGTTTCGGGGAAAACGACGAGATATATTGGCTGACCGTGGCCCTTTTGTCAGTGGCTCGCATCTCATGCTCGCCAGAGCTGATCTCCAAGATGAATACCTCCAGCAACTTGCCCTGGGCTCAACGGATGAGTCCTGCAGAGTGCCAGAGCTACTGAATTCTGAATACAGTCGGGAAGTGTATCAATCAATAAAGGCTTGGGAAGATACACATCCACATCATGAAGACGAGCACCGAGTCCTCCACCATTCCAATCTCTCTGACCGTGATATTATCGTACAAAGTTCGAACTCTAATCCGATACAGCTCTCCGGAATCATCAACTGGGAGTCTGTGGGAACTGTGCCTACCTGGCAAGTAGACTTTCCTCATTTCCTCAAAGGTCCATCAGGTAGCGAACTGCAGAGTCGATGGCGGCCGTCTATGAGCGCGTCTGATAGCGAGGCCTTGATGAAGGACGGACAGAAGGTTGATCTCCGGCAAATCTATGGAGAGCCTTTGCGGCCGGCTTTGACGGTTAAGATTTCTCGGTGTTTACAAGAGTGTGCGGAGGCTCTCGAGCAGTTTGACCAGGCAGAAAGCTGTTGACGATGCATACGCATCCAGTCTTTGTATATACACTTGTTTTCGTGCGCCTATTAGTTTTAATAACACACTATACTAATCCATTTTATGGTGATAGATTTATAAGCGGCTTCCCTTGAATCACTGGTAGACTACAAATCTGGCTATGGTATACCCCCCAACCACCACGATAACCGCCCCAAAGATAATCATATTCCTAACAGCCCTAGCATGATACTCCGCAGTAGTGACAGCAATCCTCTCCGCCCAAGCCCCCGGCGGATTCCCATTCGGAAATTCAACATCAGGCACATCCCTCCCTAGAAACCGACACAGCGGCTCCCAGCCATCCTCAACCGACCACTCCAGCAACCTCTCCTCCGGCAGCCCCAGCCCACGCACCATGGCAACATGCTGCTGATACACCCACTTCCCATTCGACGCAAAACTACCCCGGAAGAACGTCGGCATCATCGTCCGACACATGGCCTGGCGGATCCAGAACAACTCCCCGCAGAACCACGACTTCACCCAGTCCCAGTCGGCGGGGTTGATATCGAAATAGCCCATCGTGGCTTGCATGGATTTGTACCATGCGTCGAGATCCTTGCGTGTATTGAGGATGACTTTGGCATCCGGGTATGCGGCGATTAATTCCGGTGCGAATTCCGCAGCGAAGAGATCGCATACGCCCACGCAGTCGCCAAGAACTGTGTCGAAGTCTTCGGCTGTGAGCTTTGGACCGGGGGTTGAGCCTGATGCTGGTAGGGTGGCGTATTTCTTCTTCAGCAGCCGGTATGTCTTTTCGAGGTCGTAGGGGGGTAGGATGGTGTCGAAGCCATGGTGGGTGTGCTCGGAGCCAAGCGTGTGTAGGGCTTCGCGGAGAGATTCGGTTCCGGAGCGAGAGATGCCCACGGCGAGGATTTGCATGGGTTTCTTGCGTTGTGTTGTTGGTGCTGGGACCCCGTATATGAGATGGAGGAGCCAGTCTGGGGCGTACATTTTTGCAGTTAAGGAGGGAGACTTGAAAGTGGCAGTGATTGCCTGAGGGAGGGATGGCTTATTTATGTCACTCAGCAAAGAGGTGGATATACTTGGTCCTGATAGGGGCGCACGCAATGACCGGATTGATGCTTAGTGCTGTCAGCACGTCCCTATCCTCCAGGCCGGAATCTGTATGGTGGGCAGGGCTGAAGGATTCGTCTGATACTGGATTAATGACATGGCCAAGCTGTCAGCAGATGGCTTATGGAAGTAAGCAGAGCAGTAATAACTCTCCCGGCACTAAGCAGAACTAGACAAAAGCGGCATATAAATGGACAGCGGATCATTCTAACCTCTATAATTTATAATATCGCCTGTCAACATCTCAGAACAAAAGAGCTTCAACATTAGACGCTGCTGATATACATATAGAAGCCAGAGTAGTACCGTTGATCAATCCATCGGTATCTGACTCTGAACAGGAGCTCTACTATACATCACTATCTACCCCCACATCAAACGAAGCGAGTAATCTTCCAAGCTCTACACATAGCCAGCACTTATGCTATACCCCCCGCCATTCACAGCCTTCCACTGGTAGTTCCCATCCTCCTCACACCCACCATACGGATACGGCTCACCCAACTCCCCAACCCCCTTACCAGAGGACGTACTATTACTTTTCGGCGGATAGAACGTCACCGCAGCCCTGGGCATAGTATCACACTCGCCCTTATCTTCTGCCTCCTGGACATTGAACAAAAACCACTCCACAAAGCCCATATGCGACCCCGAAATCCCCTTCGAGCCAGCCGGAAGAGTATAAGTGCCAATATGCGTTTTATTTCCACGGTCCGCATCAACAAGCATGCCCGTCCAGGTCGTCCCGTTCGTGTTTCTGATCACCAGATGGTACAGATGCGCATACGGTGCGGGAATCTCAACGGCACAGCTCACGCCTGGGCCGCCGTCTGCGCCATCTGCGCAGTTCGCGTGATCGGTTGTTGTTGTTCCCGGTGCGAAGCTGGAGAAGACGGCGTGGATGATGCTTCCGTTGGCGGTGTCGGGCTTTGGCTGCAGGCCGGTGTACCCGATGCCTCCGGCGTCGATGAAGGGGAATTGTTGGGCGTAGTAGAGGCCGGTCTCGTGTTTTGTGTTGGGCATGGCCATGGGGAAGGTGATGTCTTTTAGGCCGGAGGAGGTGACGTTTTCCATGCTCCAGTAGATGCCCATGTTGGCAGATACCAGAGGGAGCAGTGGGATGAGGGAAGTGGTGAGCTTCATAATGAGATATAGACTGTGACAAGGAGGTATGCTTTCATCAAAGGTAGAAATGTTCGTAGGCTTTATACCCCGATAGCAGTTAAAATATCGCATTTCAGAATACGCCTCTATACTCCAGCTCAATCAATCTCGAACAACACGAGTTTGATATTCACTGTCTATACAAGAGGCCCATACTCGGTAAGCGAACGCCAATAACAAGACATGACAAGCGAGAATCCCCAGGAGTTCCGCCGATCCCAATCAGACGCGATCGCATGACAGATCGGATCATCACTTTTAGGGCGACGTTTGTGTCTTGCCTAAAGAAGAAGTTTGTGTGGAGTGATGGGGCTGCCACGCGGCCGTCTATAAAGCCTCAACAGCTTCGAAGTATACTTCCTAGACCCTAGCACTTTAGCTGAAGTATAATAAGGAGCACACTACAATTGTATAGGGAGCCAGGATTTATCAATCCCGGTCAACAAATAGCTAAGATGAGCGTGAACGCGCTGGGAATGGCTTCATCTGCCAAGATTGTCACAAACTTTAAAATGGTCTTTTCTGTCCTGATCGACAGGCCACTGGGTCTCGGGTTTCAGATATATAGAGTGCTTGCTGCCCCAACGAGTTGACTAACGAAGTCCCTGGAACCAACGTCGAATTGTTTGATAGCGTAGACCCTCATCTGATGGCACTGTAGCATCTTACCTGTGGGTATGCAAGAGCTGTAAATGCCTCATCGAACTGTCTTACTTTCTGCAGGATATTGATATGATACTGAACAATGCCTTCCTAACCCATTCCTAGCCATGTTTAAACGAGGTAGTCTAGAGTTATATCTTCCCAACACCAGCATTGGCCACGACAGTCGAAGGCACATCCGCCACCCCAATATGCCCAATAAGCGAACCCTTATACGCAGCAGCCTGGCTCAGCACAGCAGCATCAGTCCTGTCTGTCCAAGTCCCCGAATTACTCAATCGGTTCCACTCGCAGATATACCCAAGTTGGCCCACACAATTCCCCGCCGCAGCCACCGTCGCCACGTCATAAATCTGCGCTCCGCTCGTCAACGAGTCCGGCGTGAGCGGCGTAGTCACCGAATCAAAGTAATTCCCTTCAAGCAGGGACCAGGTATTCGTGTCGATATCGAAGGCGTGCCCGCCGATGTCCTTGAAGTAGTTGTTCACGGCGTGCAGGAAGATCTTGGAGTCGGTGTAGTCTGTGCCGATGTGTGGTGCCCTCCCTGAAAGGTCATGGAGATAGTTGTTGGAGAAGGTGTACCAGTCTTCGAGGCCGATTAGGAGCAGTGTCCAGTAGTGTTTGCCATTGCAGCCGGAGGACCAGGAGGTGCGGCCGTCGAATTCGTTGTTGGAGATTGTGACGTGTCCGGCTGTGCCCCAGCCGCTTACTATCATTTGGCGGCCGATGAGGGAGATCTATATAGTTATTGTTTCTAACCGTTGAAACCTCTGTAGAGGGGTATACCTTGTTGTGGTCAATCCAGACGTAGTCCGCGCCGTCGAGGGTGATGGCATCGCCGCCCCAGACATACTGCGGATTGAGGTTCTACACGATTAGCAGTATACTAGATACTAGATAGATGTCTCACCGTGATATGGACATTCTGGATGATGACATTGCTGTTCCCTCCCCTAATCCTCAGCCCCTTCCCCTTGATGACTCCCGCAGAGCCAACACCCACGATACTCTTGTTACTGCCCACATCCAGAGGGCTTCGAGCAGCATTATCGTACGTACAGGAAACCCAAGTCCCGTCAGTACAGGTATCCTGGATCCAGGCCTGTCCGGCAGAAGTTCCACCAGAGCAGACGGTGGTGCGCGTACTGCAGCATTGTGTCGATGTGGTCCCTTCAGACCCGGCAAAGTCCCAGGTACGGTCGATGAGGATGACGCGGGCGGTGCTATCTGTGATCCATTCTTTGAGTCTGTTACGATTAGCTAGCAAGTCTGGAATATCTGGAAGGCTGTAAACTGACTGAGCAAGGCTGGATGGGGCAGCGGGTGTAGCAGAGCCACCACCGGTTGTGCCAGCTGCGAAGCCAGACGGGGTTCCCTTGACTTGGGCTGTTGCAGCCTGGATGAGGGCAAGGAGTGTATAAAAGGTCTTCATTGTATACGTGCAGATATCCAGGTAGTGCTAATCACGGATTGATTGTATTGTAGCATGTTGCCTTTATATATTGAGCCTTCAGGTCACAACGCTTGAATATTATTTTATTAAGTCTATAACAGCCATCTGACTCGAATTCTGTTTAATCTATATTCATCAGACCAACCTGGAAGTACCACGGAGTCTATCAAACTCCCACGCCACAGACAAGTCGTTCCATCCAGTAGTTGATGCCAAACTGAAGAACTTCATGTGATACTATTTATTTCTGCATTTCTAAAGCTCTCGAGTCCATGTGATGTGGTGTAATTCTCCGGGCAGCATCAGAACGGGCGCAAACCCGGCGGAGGACATAGATTTATATTGCTGGAGTGAAGGTCTAGGCCTGAGATTCGGCTGTTTATATTTTATATTGTTTATATTGATCGGACAAAAGGAGGCTAAGCATCTTCCCCGCAGTCTCTGCCAGAGTGTGTAACATTCCTGCAGAATTGCGGGCGGACAGCCTTCACCTTGCCAGCATGAAATAACCACGGTAATTCCCCGCATCTTCAACCACCATCCATCCAGATACAATATGGCAAAAGTCATCGCATTCGACCTGTACGGGACTCTGCTCTCCACCGAGTCCATAGCCAAGAAACTCGAGGCGCACTTCCCCGCAAAGGCCCAGTCCATCTCGAGTCTCTGGCGCCGCTACCAGCTCGAGTACACCTGGCGCCTGAACAGCATGGGTATCCAACCCTGAAGATATTCAAGATCCTTGACACGAGCTAATATAGGTAGGAATATACTCGCCCTTCTCCGAGGTTACCCGCAACTCCCTGCACCATGCCCTCGCAGAACACGACGCCTCGCTCAGCGACGACGCCATCGCCGCCCTAATGGCCGCTTACGACGAGCTATCGACCTTCCCCGACGTCGAGCCAACCCTGAACCGGTTAGCGAAGAGTCCGACCGTCAAGGCCGTCGTATTCTCGAACGGCACGCGCGAGATGGTGTCGCATTCGGTGCGCCGTTCCCCTGACCTGTCCCCGCACGCGGCGGTCTTTGCAGATATTGTCACCGTTGACGAGGTGAAGCAGTACAAGCCCTCGCCGGATGTTTATTACCATCTGGCGAGAGAGGTGGGCAAGGAAGACGAGTTGCAGGATATCTGGCTGGTTAGTGGCAATCCGTTTGATGTTGTCGGGGCGAGGAGCGTGGGCATGAATGCGATCTGGGTTGACCGTGCTGGACGAGGATGGGCTGATGCAGCAGTTCCGGGTCTGCGCCCGACTGTTGCAGTTACGAATCTTGAAGACATTGTTGGTCTGATCGAGGAGTGACGATCTTGCTGTATAGGATCTAAGCGAGTGGAGCGACCCGCTGATAACATCGAATTCATGTGAATTCAAGTACGTTGCATTTTCTGCATGTAGGTGCAGACTTGTGATATACTTATTCGTAATGGAATTGGGAAATTTCCAGAACACTCTACTGATGCCCAGGGGAGATGCTGTATCAAGCAGGATAGCAACAGCCTCGGAACACAGCAATTTATAATTTACAATTCGGCAGGACCTGCTAACTGCAGAGTATCCACAGTTAATAAAGGACAGTCCTGAGTGGCCACTGACGATCTGCGAACGCTGCATGTGCCCCTTAACCAGCTAACCGGCCGTCTGATTCCGCGGGCCATCTGCCAATAACCAGGAAGGGATCTGGGCTTATCCAGCTCGGTTCCAGGGGATCAGCAGCGTGCCTGGTGAGATCGTGTTGATTGGGGTGACGCCGTTAAAAATTCCATCCACATGCCGCTGCAGTCAAGCTCTGGCGGCCTATATGATGGCGTCCGCCCGTCTTGGTGGCAGATCTTGACAGCTTGATCACCATCAAAACGCCATGAGACTCTCTTTACTAGCTGCGCCGTTGCTGGCGGCGTCTGCCCTTGCAAAGGCGAACCTGCCTGCCCTTCCTGCTGATCTGACGACGCCGTTCCAGCAGCGTCTTGCTATATACGGGCCCAATGGTAAGCCACCAACCCATATGATGGCCTATATTGACTGTCCTAGCCGTGTCTATCGGATGGAATACGTATACCCAGCTGAACCAGTCCTGCGTGGAGTATGGCACCTCCAGTAGCAAGCTCGACAAGCGCTCCTGTGCCAGCGCGTCCACCACGTATCCCAGCTCTCGCACGCACGAGAACGTGGTCATCCTCGACGGCCTCACTGCCGGCATCCCATACTACTACAAGATCGTGTCCACCAACTCCAGCGTCGACCACTTCCTCAGCCCTCGCTCGCCCGGCGACAAGACCGCTTTCAGCATCAACGCCGTCATCGACCTCGGCGTCTACGGGCAAGACGGCTTCACAATCGAAGGCGACAAGACCAAAAAGGACGTCATCCCCAGTATAGACCCATCGCTGAACCACACCACAATCGGCCGCCTCGCCAACACAGTCGACGACTACGAATTCATCATCCACCCGGGCGACTTCGCCTACGCTGACGACTGGATACTCACCCCGGCGAACCTCCTCGACAGCGAAAACGCCTACCAAGCAATCCTAGAGAACTTCTACACGCAACTCGCCCCCATCGCCGGCCGCAAGCCCTACATGGCCAGCCCGGGGAACCACGAGGCCGCATGCCAGGAAATCCCATTCACGACGGGCCTGTGCCCAGACGGCCAGAAGAACTTTACGGACTTCATGCACCGCTTTGGAAACACCATGCCTTCCTCGTTCCCGTCGGTGTCGACGAATAACTCGGCCAAGGTGCTTGCGAATAAAGCGCGCGAACTCGCCCAGCCGCCCTTTTGGTATTCCTTCGAGTATGGTATGGCTCATATCGTTATGATCAACACCGAGACGGACTTTGAAGATGCCCCTGATGCTCAGGGTGGATCGGCCGGTCTAGGCGCTGGTCCATTCGGCGCAAAAGACCAGCAGCTACAGTTCCTCGAGGCCGATCTGGCAAGTGTAGACCGGTCGGTCACGCCGTGGGTTATCATCGCCGGACATAGGCCGTGGTATACAGCCGGGTCAGGCTGCAAGCCATGCCAGGAGGCGTTCGAGGATATAGTGTACAAGTACGGCGTGGACCTGGGCGTATTCGGGCACGAGCACAACTCGCAGCGCTTCCTGCCTGTTTACAACAGCAACCCTGATCCCAATGGGATGCAGGATCCCAAGGCGCCGATGTATATTGTCTCTGGGGCGGCGGGGAATATTGAGGGTCTGTCGTCGATCTCGAGTAAGCCGGATTTTACCCAGTTCTCGGATGATGAGAGTTATGCGTATGCGACGATTTCGTTTGTGGATGCGAATCATCTCAAGATTGTCTTTCTGGATGTGGTTTCTGGCGAGGTTTTGGATCAGAGTACCTTGTTTAAGAGCCATAAGGAGAGGTTTGTGAGGCAGTAGATGGTAGAGATAGTAGGTATATACTAGAGATAATACATGCATTTACCCTTGCATCACGCTGGAGTTAGACGACCTAGTAGCTAGATCCAAGCAATCATGATTATTTTCTGCCCGAGTCCTTGTACTTGCTAAAATAAATGAATTTGCCCATCTCTATTAGGACAGTAGCCGTGCTATGGCCCCTCACGCAGCGTAGACTCCGGCGGTTTAAATACCCCATTTGGGGTTAATTCGTGCAGTAGCCTCGTCGATGGACCAAGAATGTCATGGATCCACCGCGGAGAATGAGAAGAGTTCTTGCATGCATCGTGTGGTATAAACACACGTTGAATCCCTGAACATCTCCGAGTATGCTCAACTCTATTGGCATCATCGTCGCCCATCATGTTCAATCACCTCGGTGTCTTGGCCGTCTTAACCAGTTTCGCCGCCGCAGGACGCTTTGAATATGCTGGCAGCTCTATGAAGTCGCAGGGTATTCATTATTTCGCATCACCGTTTTCAGCAGGGCGTGTGTTTGACCTCCGACTTTTGGATGACATCGTCAGGTACGCACCGGGCCTGGTTCCAGTGACTGTGCTGGCGCAACCCCATCGCGATCTCGAGGATATCTTCACCAGTTGGGCGTCGAAAGACGATGTTTGGCAACCAGACTTCCTCGACACGGTTTTTGTTGGCGGCGCTGACGTATCTGAGCCGGCAAAGGCAACCTACTATGCCAATCACAACTCGTCGGTCATACCACTTCTGCATGATAGCCGGGTGCCTTCAGGCCCTTATTTCCTTGATACCTCTACCGGGCACGCTTATCCAGTATTTCGACTGTATGATGACTTTGCCGGTGCGTTCAGCCAGTCTTTGCTGCAACGGCCAGACGGACGCTTCCAGACACTGTCTGCTCAAGCCCCATCGGCGGGGTCATTGACTATTGGCGTGCCTTCTCGTCTATACTTCACACCGACCAAGGAGAAGCCTTTAGCCGGAGTCCGTATTGGAGTAAAGGACATCTTCGAGATTGCCGACATGAAGAGATCTAATGGTAACCGGGCCTGGTATGGCCTTTATCCTCCCGCGAACAACACGAGCATTGCCATTCAGAACCTGATTGATGCCGGCGCGGTTATTGTAGGTCTCCAGAAGCTGTCTCAGTTCGCGAACGGCGAGACACCAACTGCTGACTGGGTTGACTATCATGCACCGTTCAACCCCCGTGGTGATGGCTACCAGGATACGGCGTCCTCGTCAGCTGGAGCTGGCTCATCTATCGGATCCTACGAGTGGCTCGATGTAGCGGTAGGAAGTGATACAGGTGGCTCAATTCGTGGTCCTGCCGCTGTCCAGGGCGTTTTTGGCAATCGCCCGACATATGGCTTGATACCGTTAGACGATGTAATGCCATTGTCGCCAACGCTTGATACTGTTGGACTCTTGGCCCGTGATCCATATATATGGGACGTTGCCAATGCAGCATTATACGGCAACAACTACACATCCTATAGCGAAAAGGACATTGTCTACCCCAGAAGCCTGTATACGCTGGACTTTCCCTCTGCAAATACATCTGAAGGTCGGATACTCTGGGAATTCGCTGCAAATATGGCTCGAATCTTGGGTACAAGTATGAAACCTCTTGACCTCGACAAGGAATGGACAAGATCTGGCCCTGCTGAAGCCCAGGGGCAGTCCATCTCCCAGCTTCTAAATGTCACCTACACCGCGCTTATCACCAAAGAACAGACTAAATTACTCCGTGACCCCTTTTACGAAGACTATGCAGGTACGTCGTTTCCGGCTACCCTCGAGCAGGAGCTAACTTATACAAGGGACACACGATGCTCGACTTCCCTTTGTCGATCCCTCTCCCCTGGCCCGCTGGTCCTGGGCTGATGAGCAGCCTGCCTCCATACTCGATGAAGCCATCGCCAACAAGACACTATTTATGGACTGGTTCAACGAAAAGATCCTCCCGCCCTCTCCTGACTCTCGCAGCTGTTCATCCGGCATCATCCTACACACCGACAGCACAGGCCATTTGTCGAACCGCAATCGCTACCTCGACCCTCCCTCGTTACCATTTGGCTTCTCGAATGGACTGATATCTGTCTTTGCAGAGGCGCCCGATAGCGTCTACCCCCTCGGCGATGTCCCTGTCTTCAGCACGATAACCAATCATACGGAGCTGATCCCAGTAACCGTCAATGTTATTGCCGCCAGAGGCTGCGATGGGGTCATTTCACGGCTTGCGAAGGACCTTGTTGCTGCGGGGATTTTGACCATGCCTCGCGCTGGTTCAAGTCTCAAGGGAGGAGAAATTTTGCTTAAATAGTGGATGATCATTCAGAGTATATTAATAGCCTTAAAGTAGTCTATTACTATTCGTAGCCTGAGAGCAGCCTGCCAGTCAAATCCCTGCTGAGGAGATATCCTACGGTTTGCTCGGGTTCAGCTTCACTAGTAATATAAAAAGAGTCAACCATACCATGGTATATATTCTAGTAAAAGTCAGCAAGGGGTATCCTTAAAATGACAAAAAGGCTGGCGAGTATGTATGAATGTACGTCCGGAGATCCCCCTTCCCCCTGCCCCCTGTACTCTCGCACGGACGACCGGCTAAAGCAGTTGGAGATGAGCTCAAGATCGTCGGTAATTCAGGCTGAACAGTGAACAGTAATTGTTACTCGGATGCTCCGGATGGTTAATTCGGGTTACCATGGGATTCTCTTTGGATTTATCATTGGATTTCTCAATGGAAGCACTGACTGTCCATGCCCGATAAATATCGATATATCCAGTATACCCAGTAATTATATTACCCAGTTAATTATCATTCTGTGAAAATAAATTAGGCTAATTTGATCCCCGCATCTCCGCAGCGATCTGCATTGTTATGCGCCTCCATTTATCCATCGGCAATTATTCGGCTTTACTGCCAATATAAGAGAGCTTCCCACTGAATACCAGCATCTCCCAAGCTCGAAGAAAGGTGCAAAGTCGCTATCATGAAGACCTCAATCGTCGCCTGGGCAGTGCTGCTCCCAGCAGCAGCGGCCCAAGCAAACGAGAGCTTCGTCGACTACAACGTCGAAGCCAACCCCAACCTCTTCCCCCAATGCCTGATGCACCTCAACATGTCCTTCCCCTCCTGCACCAGCGGTCCCCTGGCTAATACCCCCGTCTGCGACCGCAGCCTGGATCCCCTCACCCGCGCCAAAGGCCTCGTCTCCCTCTTCACACTCGACGAACTGCTCAACAACACCGGAAACAGCAACCTAGGCGTGCCCCGCCTCGGCCTCCCCAACTACCAAGTCTGGGGCGAAGCCCTGCACGGCGTCGGACGGGCTAATTTCCAGGATTCCGGCAAATTCAGCTGGGCAACGTCCTTCCCCATGCCCATCAACACCATGAGCGCACTGAACCGCACCCTCATCCAGCATATCGGGTCGATTGTCTCGACGCAGCTCCGCGCATTCAGCAACGCCGGCCACGGCGGCATAGACGTCTACTCCCCCAACATCAACACCTTCCGCCACCCCGTCTGGGGCCGCGGGCAGGAAACACCAGGGGAAGACGCATTCCTCGCCTCCGTGTACGGGTTCGAATACATCACCGCACTGCAGGGCGGGGTGGACCCGGAGACGATCAAGATCATTGCCACGGCGAAGCACTACGCCGGGTATGACATTGAGAGCTGGAGCGGGCATTCGCGGCTGGGGAATGATATGCAGATTACGCAGCAGGAGCTGTCGGAGTATTATATGCCGCCGTTTATTGTTGCGGCGAAGGATGCAAGGGTCAGGAGTGTGATGTGCTCGTATAATGCGGTGAATGGGGTTCCTGGGTGTGCGAATGTATTCTTCCTTCAGACGCTGCTGAGGGATACGTTTGGTTTTGTGGAGGAGGGGTATGTCTCGGGGGATTGCGGTGCTGTTTATAATGTGTGGAATCCGCATGGGTATGCGGGCAATGAGTCGGCGGCTAGTGCGGCGTCTGTGCTGGCTGGGACGGATATTGACTGTGGGACGTCGTATCAGTGGTATCTGGACGAGGCGGCTGGGGATGCGCTTGTTGCGAGGAGCGAGATTGAACGGGGTGTTGTGAGGCTTTATGGTTCGCTTGTTAAGGCTGGTTATTTTGATGGTGAGGATGCGCCGTATAGGGATATTTCGTGGGAGGATGTGCTGGAGACGGATGCGTGGGATGTGGCATACCAGGCCGCGGTGGAGAGTATCGTTTTGCTTAAGAATGATGGTGCACTGCCGTTGAAGGACGGCGTCAAGAGTGTTGCTGTTGTTGGGCCATGGGCGAATGTGACTGAGGAGCTGCAGGGGAACTACTTTGGGCCTGCGCCATATCTGATCAGTCCGCTGGATGCGTTCAAGGAATCGGATTTCAATGTCCATTATGCGAAAGGGGCAGACCTCAACTCGAACTCGACTGCTGGGTTTGAGGCTGCACTCAAGGCTGCGAGACAGGCTGATGTGGTTGTCTTTGCTGGTGGCATCGACAACACCATCGAGGCAGAGGCCATGGACCGCGAGAACATCACCTGGCCAGGAAACCAACTCGACCTGATTGACCAGCTCAGTGAGGTTGGGAAGCCACTAATCGTCCTGCAGATGGGCGGAGGACAGGTTGATTCGTCCTCGCTGAAGAACAACGACAACGTCAATGCCCTAATCTGGGGAGGATACCCTGGCCAGTCTGGCGGACACGCTCTGCTCGACATCATCACTGGAGCAAAGGCACCTGCAGGCCGTCTCGTTGCCACTCAATATCCGGCCAACTATGCCATGGACTTCCCAGCCATTGACATGAACCTCCGGCCCAGCGGGGACAACCCTGGCCAGACGTACATGTGGTATACCGGTGAGCCTGTCTACGAGTTTGGCCACGGTCTGTTCTATACCACCTTTAAGGAATCTACCGAGAGCACCAGTGCAGGGTCGTTCAATATCCAGGACATCCTGGCTCCGTCGCATCCTGGCCATGGACGCGTTGACCAGAAGGCCCTGCTCAACTTTACCGCAACTGTTACCAACACTGGAGAGACCAAGTCGGACTACACAGCCTTGCTGTTTGCGAACACCACTGCTGGTCCTGCGCCACAACCCATCAAATGGGTTGTTGGGTTCGACCGTCTTGGAGGGCTGGAGCCTGGTGATTCCCAGACCCTGACCGTACCTGTCTCTATTGAAAGTGTTGCTCGAACAGACGAGAAAGGCAACAGAGTGCTGTATCCAGGATCGTATGAGCTGGCACTGAACAACGAGAGATCGGTCGTTGTCTCATTCGAGCTGAAGGGCGACAAGGCAGTTCTTCTGAGCTGGCCAGAGGACACAACGAGTCCGTAGTCATATATACTAGCAGAGTAATAACTAGTCACTCCAGTACTTCTCTATAAACTCCCTGATAGTGGTAGGCTTGACCTCCGGACACAGTTCGTTCAGCGTCCCCTTGACTACTGACCCTCCATTCCCACAGAGCATCGTATACTGTATATCCATCCTCTGCAGAAACTCACTGTAATCCAACGCATCCAACTTCCTCTGCAGCTCAGCGCGAGAAACTTCCTTCACATTCGCCCTCCCCAACACTCCCCTCAGAATATCCACAATCTCCTTTAAATTCCTCGTATCCCCAGCAATCCCCAGCTCCCTGCCACCCCACTCCTCCAGCCCCAGCGCAGCAACAACAAACCTCCCTACATCCCTGATATCCGTCATCGTGAGATCCGGATATCTCCCATCCTCCATAACAGGAACCTCCACCCAAGCCGGGTCATCACGCAGATGAAACATCAGCGCACCCTCACTAAATCCCGCCAGCGCCTCCTCTTCCACCTCTTGATCCCTAATACCAATGGCGAGGTAATTCATAAACATCCCCACCGGAAACGCGGCGGCGTCGATCTTGCCCTCCGCGACTTCCTTCTGCACCTCCGTCCAGATAATACTCTTCCCCTGGTCCAGATCTACCTGATCATGTGTATTCTGGGGTAGAGCCCATTCGGAGGGCGCGAAGCGGTGCACGCGTGCTGTTATACTGGCTTGCAGGAGGTTGAGGTGGTAAGGGACGCTCTCGGGGCCGGGGATCAGGAGGGCGGATATCACAGCATACACGCCGTTCAGGGCGGTCGTTAGCGAGCCTGTTGAGGCGTAGTTGACGTGGCGGGTTTCTACGGGTTTGGCATTGCGTAGAGTTGTCGATGAGGTTGTTCCGTCGGGGTGGGAGGGTGTTGCGCGGGAGAGGATGATGGGCTTGTATTCTGGATGGGCGAGCAGGGCGGAGACGATGGACTGTCCGATTGTACCGGTGCCGCCGGGGATTGCAATTAGCTTAGACATGGTGGGATGTTATCATTAAGAAGTTACGGGGGGGAGGTTGGAGGGGTTGACTGATATAACCATGGATACGAGCAGAGTAGATCGGTTGCGTCACAACTCGTATTCAATCAAAGAAAAAGTAAAAAAGGTAAAAAAATAAAATAAAAAAAAAATACATATATAAAACAAAGTAAAATAAACCGAAATAAAAGGCCAAGGGAGTTCCTTTGCCCACTTGGTATTTGTATTAGTTCAGGAACAGGCTGATCTCAGGAAGAAGTAGGGTTAAGAGTAGCCAGTCCCGTCGAACCCAACTTCTTCAACTGACAGATGGAATCCATATCCTTAACAGAATTAAACTGACAGACGAGCTATCCTTAAAAGAGTGCCCGGTCGCAGTGGCTGAATCGTCGGGGTTCATGACAATTCCGCATCCGGCAGCCCGAGCCAGCTGCAAGTGTCCCTGTCCAGGGGGCCATTATAAAGCAACGTTTTCGGTGAAACAGATCAATCAGATGAAGAATCTTCACGGTATAAATAAGGTCGGGGGTCACGGCGTGATGGAGGGTCGGGATCGCGCGCCGACTCATCGGACGACCGTCGGGAGCTCCACGCCACAAGACACCAGACAGTGGCACAATTCTAGACTTTTCTGGACCTCCACGCCTGTTCAGGAAACACATCGCCTCCCAATCGGATTGCTGCCCCGATAAATCTGTGAAGACGAAAGACGACAATGCAAGCCCCGCTACTCCAACAACGCATCCTGTGACTCACCTGGCCATATTTCTGCTCTGCGCTCTCCTGCGCTCTCCTGGAGACTCGCAATCCAAATCTCTCATCCATCTGCAATTCCAGTGCAATGGCCACCAAGGGTCCCCAGGTCCAGGTCCATACCACCTCCGGATATGAACTGACTGAGCCCTCGATCGCCCACAATCGCGATCGGGCGGCCACTGTCGAGCGCGAGGACCCATTCAGGTCTGGCACCGTCACCCCGCGCTCAGAGGAGGCCAGCGACGACGATGTGTTCCCAGATGGCGGTACTCGGTCATGGCTCGTCGTGCTGGGATCCTTCCTGCTACTGATGGCCTCATACGGACTCATGAACTCGGTCGGTGTGCTGCTGTCCCACCTCGAGTCGCACCAACTGGCCGACTACTCCAGCCGCGACATCGGTTGGATTTCTGGCATATTCGTCTTCACAGCCCTCAGTCTGGGTATCTTCGTCGGCCCTCTCTTTGACGCCTACGGGCCGAAGGAGCTCGTCACTGCCGGCACGGGGATCTATGCTTTGGGCATCCTCCTCACCGCAGAATGCACGCGCTACTGGCACTTCATCCTCTGCTTCGGTCTGACGACTGGTATTGGCGCTGCGCTCGTCAGTAACGTGGCAATGGCGTGCGTGCCTCACTGGTTCCACCTGAAGGCCGGCATGGCCCTCGGGACAGCAATGGCAGGCTCTGGGCTGGGGGGTGTGGTATTCCCGTATATCATGCGCGAGACCTGGAACCGCGTCGGCTTCAAATGGGGCATGCGTATCGTTGCGCTTGTTGTCTTCACTCTGTGCGGACTGGCTTCTCTGCTGGTGAAGTCTAGACTTCCCAAGGGTGGGAGACTGAAGGCCGCGTTTGATATTCGCTGTTTCAAAGATGCACGGTTTACATGGTTGTCCATTGCTACTTTCTGTATACCTATCAAATATAATCAACAGTGTTAGTATATATTAACGATGAACAGGCCTGGAACTCGTCGTCTTCGCCCTCACCGGTCTCCTCCCCAGCTACGCCATAGCCCAGGGCTTCAGCTCTAGCGACAGCGTGAACTTCCTAGTCGTGCTGAACGTGTACGTCCCGTCCCGTCTACCGGTATATGAGACAGAATCAGCTAACAGTCCAAGGACAAACTGCGTCGGCCGACTCGTCGCCGGCCGCATCGCAGACATCTACGGCCGCATCAACATCCTCATAATCCTCGTCGTCATGGCCGTGATCCTCATCTTCACCGTGCTCTACCCATTCAGCAGTTCGCTGGTTGCATTATACCTGTTCTGCGGGACATACGGGTTCGTATCTGGCTCGTTCATCTGTCTTGCCCCCGTGTGTGTCCGCCAGATTTCCCCCGCGAAGGAGATCGGGATGAAGTTTGGGACTTTGTATGGGCTTGTTGCGTTTGCGTGAGTCCACCTATCCCCCTTATCGTTCCATATTATTCTGTGGAAAGTGGTGTTAACTGGTACAGAACTCTGATTTCCGTCCCCATTGGTGGAGAGATGCTTGAGAGTGTCGGCGGCCAGGTTGTCGTTCTCTGGCTGGGTGGCGTGCTGGCTGCGACCATTGTGCTATTTGTGGTTGCCAGATGGGCTTGCTTGGACTATCGCTGGAACTGGACGACCAAGATTTGATCTCTAATAGGTGGTATCTGGTCTAACGGGTAGGTAGGGTTGTGGACGACAAGGATAAGGAGGAGGAAGTAATGTGAAATGACTACTAATTGCAGCCTTATGGGCTGAAAAGTACCTGGATGTTTGGCCTTTGGAGCGATATTTAGCGTGCTTTTACTGTTGTTATGTCGGGAAATTGCATATATAGAGCTGTTCTTGATTTATTGTTCGGTATAATGTTTATGAAGTGGGATGGAATGATAGCTTAGTTAGTGCTATAATTATGAAATTGGTACCATGCTTCAACTACCTTGGCCATGGCTAGTGCATGCAAGATCTATATAAATAAAGCAAAATGGTACTCTCTGCCTGGAAACAACCCAAGGTGAGAAAGAATGGCCTATACCCACTCCTGCTGCACAGGATTCAGGCCCACGATTCCATTCAAAGCCTGGCCAAAGTCAGCAGGTACCGAATATGTACCTGTGCTGGGTTGTAAATGACATATTCACCCCCACTGGTTAGCAACATCCGATTAGGTTGAAAGTCTGGCATAATAACGCCGGCCAGGCTGGGATGAACGGCCTCTGCGGATTTCCACTGCGTACTCCAGTAATGCTCGGCTGAAATGGTAGAGAATGTCCCCGGCAGCTGGTTTCGAATGGCAGAGCCACAATTGACTGGGTGGCCTAGGGCAACATCGCATAGTAGGAGCATGGCCGCGTCGTTGGCATTCATGCCTGAGGTGAATGCTAGAGATCTACTGGCCCCGTCGGAGAAGTAGACACCGTTCCCCAGCGACGAGCCACTTTTGTGCACTCCAGGGGGTCTAATCTGGAGGCCTTGGCTGAGGATGCCAGCGAAGTTGAGGGTCCTAGAGCCGTGCCATAGCAGCCGGCGGTTCGACACGGTGAGGTTCGCAGCAATAAAGGAATTAAAACGGTCTTCTTCGCCTGTGCGGCGGATGCGGAAAATATCAACTATGTGACAAGAGTTTACATGATGCCAGCCGCGCCCGATTTCCGTGGCACGAAAGTACTGTGACAGCTCCTTAAACTCGGCAGATTTCCGCTTCACTATAGGCCATCAGTTTAGAATGTAGAAACTAGCGGGTATGCGTACAGGGGGTTATCTCGTCCAGATGCAGTTGCTGTAATTCCCTGTCGAATGGATGGACATAGCTAGCATCGATAGAGCTGAGGATATTGTTCGCAATGACAGTATTTGCGAGATCATCCAGGAGAGCCATCTCTTTTTGTATGTGGCTCTCTGCGGATATCACCGGGGGCTGATTCTTTCCAAACACATGGGGGATCAGACTGAAGTACTGGCTGCTCAATTTTCGCGTAACCTGTTCTGGCGAGCTGTGATGATTTTGCCAGGATATAGCAGGATTTCCGATCACTTGAGAAAGCTCCTTCAAGACATTGTACCCCTGCGTCAGTGTCTCCTTGTTCAGCTGCCCCAATGGCAGCTTTCTCGAATCATATTCCAACGAGGCCGTCGCTGCGAGCAGTTCTCCCTTGTTCAGTATCAGAGCAAGTACCACCTGAACCGACTCTGGAAGTGTACATTCTGGCACTGATATATTGTATTGAATGTTCTCAGCATTTGCGACGTTGAATGGATCCTCGTCTGCATTCCGATACACATAACTGGGTGCGATAAACCTGAATTTGCCCTCTCTCGTCGGATGCCAGAACCTCGCCCACCAGGAGAACCCTGTTTTGTCATAGAACCGCCTCTCAAAATCTTCTTTAGCTGTTTCTTCATCGCACGGCGTTGCTTTCAGCTGGTGAGGATTCTCCCCTATCCTGCCCCAGCACGCCCAACTTACATACTCTGTCTGATCCTTGTCGACAAGAAGCTGCAGGTGGAAGAAATTATTCGATTTTGCACTCGATGTGCTGTACACTAGCATCGCATCCCAGGGGTGGCCGAACTGATCTACGGCAATTGAATACTCGTCTTAGCAGTGTTAGCTCGTTCATGGTTTTGGGCATAGAACTTACGCCTGAACTGACAGGCCCGATGAGCCGGTATAATAATCTTCTGACTCCGCGAGAATAAATCCACACTTGGTCGCTTGTTAGCGCAGTGGCCGGCATCTAGTAGCCGTTTTATGCCCGTGGCCTGACCGGGCGAAATTGTAGGTGCATCATTTCCTGTCCGTGCTTTCACTCTGTAGGCTGCCTCTGGTAGTGGTTTCCCTGCTTCGCGGGAGTCGATCAGCCAGTCCTTTGAAACGAGCTCACATGTATATGCATTGTATGCTCCAATGACTAGGGATTCATTAGTTCAAACAGTCTGGGAGGATATTAAATGTAGCATACCCTTCGACCCGGTATTCTCTACCTGCCGTACAGTGGTAACTAGATGCGTGCACTGCGGTGTGACTTTGCCGCTGAATTGCGCGCCTATTTCCTCAATAATACCTTTTAACTTGTCTTCTCCGAACGTTAGTATTAATATCTTATCTTGGACATATATGAAAGCCGCCAGACTGACCATGCGTGTATATACCATGGTGCCCTGTTACGCTGATAACAAGATTCCGGAAAGGACTGTCTACTCTGTTCATAGCAGGCTGGATCCGGGTAGCAGGCTGTGTACTGGGTGTGCTCGATGTGCTGGTGCTGGTGCTGGACGATATACTGCTTCCTGATGGGAGCTGTGCACTCGTGGAAGGTCCCGGCCGTCGATTGGACCTGGCTGCAAGGCGTTTCCTTTTGCGCTCCTGTCGCAACTTGTGCCGTAGCATTCTTTGTGATGAGGGTACAATAGTTTGAGAGGCGTGTTGAGGATTACGTGCTGTGAGAAACGGATGAGCGTTGTATGAGATGGGATGGTGTCGAGCTAAGTCGAGGTTGTTTAAATGCAGAGGGGAGTATGATGCCAGATGGGAGCAGAGGGAGTATGAAGGGTGGATGTGGATGTTCCCTGTTAGAGCGATGTGCTAAGCTTCGTGCTTGTGAGTTGTAAGAGGCGAGTGAGAGAGGTCAAGCCGCTCAAGAGACGACTTCAGATCTGTGACTTGGATATGGCTTTCTGTCACCTGGTATGGATTGGGTGAGGATATCCCTTAGGGCAGTGGGAAAGGGAATGCTATCCGCCTTGGTACAATTTGTCCGGAGACGAAATAGTCTGCTAGGAAGCAGCTTTCCTATGGCAAGGCACAATGAAAGGCACAAATGGGTGATTGACAGATGTATTCTTCGATCCTAACGCTCTTATGGATCACAGAACGGATATCAAAGTGGCATTCTGATAGGTTTGTAGCAGAGGAGCATAACGGGCACTTTCTTATCCCTGCAAGTTTCAATTGCTGTCAAATCTATGTTGATTCTAAGCAATATGTCAGTAGCGAGGCCCTCACATGGTGTTGAGTATGCACTCAGCCAGCGCCATCGGCGGCTATTCTCATCCTGACATGGAATAACCTTCAGTTTCCTTCTGAATACCTGTCAGCTCTAAACGGGATCAAGTTTGTGCTCGGCAAGATGGCTATTTACTTTCGACAACAACGAGGATATCCTTAACATCCATTCAAATAATACCTCTATATATCTACATTCCCCCAATTTCCCCAGTTTTATATGGGTATATACAAAGTCTGCATAGTTTCTATGTATTCCAAATTTACTGCACCTTTTGAAGTGCTTCCTCGGCAGTGTTGACCAGAATCTCAAACGCGCGGCGAATGTACTTCTCGTCGGCACGCTCGTTGGCACTCACAACACGAATAGCATAGATCCCAGCCATCACAGTCGAAGTGATAAAGATTTCTCCCCGCGCGTTCACAAGCTCATACACCTCCTTGGTCACAGCATCGGACTTCTCATCCGGCTTAGCCACAGTCGACCCATTGACCAGGGCACCATTTGCATTGGCCGACTTGGGCGCCTTCACCCGGAATACTGTCAAGCCGAATACCGGCTTGGTGATGATCTCGAAAAGGTCTGCACGGCTCCGCAGCAGATCCGAAAAGATATTTCCAAGCGTGATGCCCTTGCGGACGTACTCCTTCAGTCCGTTCAGACCGTAGCTGCGAATAACGAACCAGATCTTCAGTGCGCGGAATCGCCGGCCAAGCGGGATGGACCAGTTGCGGTAGTCGATTACCTGCCCGGATTCAGAAAAGGGGTTACGCAGGTACGCCGGGGTGATGTCGAGGAAGTCGGTGAGGTCGTGGCGGTTGCGGACGTAAAGGGGACTGCAGATATCAGTATAACCTCTCTCCTAGTGAGATGGGATGGATACCTACCTAGCATCGAAATTGACCAGCAGCCATTTGTGCATGTTCATGTTGAAGCTGTCAACGCCCTCCTCAAAATCCTTTGCAATGTACTGCCACTCGTCCGCAATCAGCGCAGAGCCAGCATACGCCGCATCGATGTGCACCCAGATGCGCTGCCAGTGCGGCTTCTCCTTAAGCACGGCCACAATCTCCGCAAAGCGATCGACCGCACAGGAATTCGTCGACCCAAAGCACAGCGTGATAAAGTAGGGAGTCAGATTATCCGCATCCAGCTTCTCCAGCATCCCTCGCAGATCCGCGCCCGTCAACGCCATATCATTCTCCAAGCTCACATTAATGCTCCTGTACCGCGTGCCCGCCAGCAGCGCCGCCTTCGCCGTGCTGCTATGGGTCTGGGTACTGCTCAGCGCGACAAGTCTAGGCCTCAGCTCCATTACCCGGTCCTCATACTCGATCGTCCCCTCCTTCAACCCCTCGCTCTTGGCCTGCTGCTGCACACTCCGCTCCCGCGCGGCAATCATCACCGTCGCAACAGCATCACTCGCACTCATCTGGATAACACCTCCACCCTTATTCTCCGAGTTACTCAGAAAACACTTTGGCAGCCCCATCGCCTGCGCCATCCAATCCATCATAATCGTCTCCAGCTCCGTACACGCCGGCGAGCACAGCCAGTTAAACGCCGGCGCATTGAACGCCGCCGAGTACATCTCGCCCAGGATACTGGGGTAGGAGACAGTGCCCGGGAAGAAGGCCATGAAGTTGGGGGACTGCCATTGCGTCAGTCCTGGTTTTATCTTCGCGTCGACGTCGGCTTGGATGGTGGCCCATTCTTCGGGCTCGGAGGGCGGCGCGGAGGGGATTTGCGGGCGCAGGTAGCCTGGTTCGACGGTGGGGAGGACGCGCTTTGTGTGCACGTTGTCCAGGTGGCCGATTACTGGAATATTGTTAATTGAGTATGTGCGAATAGAGGGGGGTTGACGTACTGTCATCGATTGTCGCGTGGGCTGCTGTCCTGAATTGGTCGCCGTCCATTGTGCAGTAATGCGGCTCGGAAGCGTTCCGAAGTGCGGTGGTGCGGGGAGTTGGCGGCAGGAGGAGGAAAGGGGGACGGCGACGCTGTTATATGCTGTCGTATCAATTGCAGTGACTGTCTATATATTGCAAAGCAACAACAGACGAAACTCAGAAAGCAAGGGCGGGATCAATTGAGGGGAAGAAGAAAAGTCTGGAAGAGTTGGAGGGGAAGAGGAGGAACTGCAATTCCTCGATCTTTTATCGATAAGCGCAGTTGTCAAAGGGCGTTGAGCGGTTTCGTTCCGCTGTAGTTCCGAGCTAGTTCCTATAATTCAAGCCCATGATTCGACCCAGGTGAGAACAAGGCTGACTATTTCTGTTTATTTCTCTTCTTGTTTAATTCAATGCCAGGATTCATCTGAAAAGTGGCCTGCCGGTGTTTAAATATCGAATGATGTGGGAGAATGTGCCGGAATGGAACCGTGCTGGGAATATTTCAGTTCGGAAATCGGAACAATGGCATGTAGACGACATTGAATAGGCACTAATTTTATACACTCGAGGCATAAGTACTGTAATCCCAGATCTCACTCATTTTATACTACATCTGCTTTATAGATCTGATCAGGATAGAAGCAACTGGTAAGTCGGCTTCATTCCGAGCCCTTTTTCGAAGGCTTATGCGATATCTGGTGGGGGACATGCCCTACCTAAGAATAGTCCGATTATCAATCGAAGATGGAAAAACTTGAGATGGCGATGAACATATCATCAACTTTATAATATCGCCTGGGAAAGAGAGTGTCTAGGGTACGGACAAGCTGGCAGCGTTCTAGCTAGGGCGCCGGTTGAAGTAGAGTATCAACCGCAAGACTGCCTTGCGGTTAATAGCCAGTTCCTAGCTGTGAGTATGTCTGTGGTTTACTTCGATCATTTATTCAGTAACCAGCTCAATGGCATTTCTTCATTACAAGGTCAAAGCGAGGTCAGTTAATTTACTTTGATAATCAAGGTCATTCAGGTTACGACGACCGAGACAGGTAAAGCAAGAAACAAAGACTATATGGGATGCATTCGTGAGTATAATATAGTTCATGTTCATAATCGACAATCCAATAGATCGTCCAGGACATTTATCATCTATGTACAAGAGTTGAATCCACGACTCAGTAATCTAACCAGAGGTGACGTGAAGAGGGCCGTTGCCGTCATCCACAGGGCAGCCGTCACTGTCGGAGTCAAACTCAACGACACAGCTGGAGTCCTGGCCAATAGAGATACCGATGAAGGTAGTGTCGGTCTGGCCCTCACCACTGCCGAGGACGTTGCCATCAGCATCCTTGACCTCGCAAGACTCAGGGTGGCCAGCGAAGTCGGCCTTGCAGTGGAAGGTGCGTGGGGAGGACCAGCAGTCACCCTCGATGGTGAACTCGCGGCCGTCGCCGGTGTTGTAGCAGGGCGAGTGGTCGTCGGGGGTACCGTCGTTGTAGATGGCATCGCCGTTGTCGTTGATGATGGCGAAACCGCCGTAGTGGCCGTTGGTGTTACCGCCAGCAGGGCCGGAGATGGTGGAGAAGTCACCGGCAGAGAAGACGACCTTGAGGTGCTCGGCGGAGACGGTGGCAGAGGTTGCCGCCAGGAGGAAGAGGACGGTGTTGCGGATAGCAGCCATGGTGTTGAGTATCTGTGGTTTGGTTTGGTTTGGATGGGATGGGAGAGTATGCCTGGTGTTGACGCTCTCTTATACTTCTTTACTGGCGCCTACGTCCTATCTTGACGGTGACGCACGCCACTACTAAGCACCAATCCTTCTGATGACCTGCCAGGGACCAAGGATCGCACTAAGGAACGCCGGGGCTGAGTTGGGGGCCGCCGCACAGCTTCCATGCTTCAGCGGGCGATATCGCTCCACTTTCCAGGGCACGTTGTGGCACGATCGACAGTCACCCCGACCTGTGTGGCCATGACACTGGGAAGAAATCCGTGAGACGCTGATCTTTGGTGGCGAGGGCTGGGGCAGACTACACCGATATAGAGGGCTGCGCTTCAAGCCGATGGTCCGATACCTCCAAAGCCCGCTGCGCCTGACTCGAGATTGATTACAGTGTAGATCAAACGGGAAATATCAGTAGAGTGGTCTTCCGATGCCATCGGGGACCCCGAGTATGAAACACGTTGGAATCCAGCAGCCTATGGAGTATATTGTTTATGTGCCAGATACAACATGCTTTATGTTATTCTTCACAGCTCATGCCGATATTCCCCGTGCGCCTGTGATTGTACCCACCTCGAGTGAGAAATCAAGCAAACTTCCAGGCGAAGCTTGAAAACGCCGAGGGTGATCGCTTTGGGGGCCGTTCGCGTATGGCGTCGGGCAATCTGTGAGAAAGAATCCAATTCTTCTGTTTGCTGTAGATCAGTCTGCACTTCGGACAAGTTCCGCGACACCACGCAGAAGCCCCTGACAGTGAGATCGCCGATCTGCTGTCCAAGTTTCTGTTTGTTTATCTCCGTTGTCTGTCTAATTTCCCAGGGTCCCTGGCGCGACTTGAGGTTCATCCATCCCCCGCCTGCCCCTATACACCATGGCAGACTCCATTGAATCCATTCCACCCGCGTTTCCGACTACATTGATAACCACAAATCGGCATTAGGGACATTAAGAAATAGCTATATTACAGTTTGCTTCTTAAGGCGCGGCATTAAGGCCACATAGCAGTGCCATCGTGACCACAGACCCGAGAGGATTCGCGCCTGGCCTACAGCGCGCAGAACCCGAAAGTGGGCGCTTATGAATATGCCTTTGCTCTTTAATGCTGAGCATTGATTCTGCAATGACCGGGTATGTGATGATTGATATACTGGACTGCGGGGGCTGGCTGCATAATTCCGAGCTTCACTGTAACTTCGAACTCTGTCCAACCCCAAGATTACTTTACAGCCCCGGTTCTCTTGGAATAAAGTCTAGAGAATTGAGAACAGGGATCCGCTTTCTAGATGTAGAGGCATCGGAGCGTGAGGACTGTCTGCCCCGGTACTTCTAGGTTTGCTATACAGCCTGCGCTATCTAAGGAGCTCCAATCCCTCTTTATTTCGTCATAATGCTCGGGTTAACCTGGTTATTGACGAGGAGCTGGGTATTGTGGTCACTAGGGCTGTAGTTCCCGGTGTGGTTTATCCGTATTGGAATGTCTCTGCTTTCACTCCGGACCGGATGACGGAGCAGGCGGAGCAGGAAGCGTGGTTTGAAAATAATATAGCTGCTGACTGCTGCTGAATTCTACCGCGGCTACTGGTGAGGCTTTGCAGGCGTTGCAGTTTTATAACAGCTCGCTTCAGGGGCAGCAGGTTATACTGGATCTTAGTGGACTAGGGATGGTATCTGCCTGGACAGGTAGATAGTACTTTTCGTTTCATACTTATTATTTGGATTTATTCTTGTTCAGATGGCATCTGCTCAAGCTCACAGGATATATTAAATGATTTAAAGAGACGGAAGAAGAATAACAACGAAAGACAGTCTTAATTTAACAAGAACCAGTTTGCATCTAAGAAAAAACGAGCCCCTTTCTAATGTCACCAAACGACGCAAAATATCTGTCCGAGAAGTATCCAGTCCGCGACACCCACGGTCTCTCCCCAGACGCTTTCGGCAGCTCCTTCTGTGCACGCTTGACATAGTTAGACTGCAGATCCAATGGTGGACGGCTATCCAGCTGAACCTGGCCCTCCAATGTCGGAGTGATAGTCGAATAGGAGTTGCTCTGCATGTGCCTGAGTATTCTACAGCCAAGGGTCATCGCAATATCCGCCCCAAGAGTCCACGACGCATTCGCAAACCCCAAGACGGTCATCGCATTCGGGAGATCCTGCAGCATGAGGGCATTCCACATATACTTCTCGGAGGGGTTGAATTTCTCGTCTTTGACGTATATCGGGATCCCGCCGAAGAATTTCATGCGCAGACCCGTTGCTGTGACGATGACGTCTGCGTCGAGCGTTTTACCGCTGTTCAGTTGGATTCCGGTCTCGGTGACGCTCTCTATCACCCCCGTCTCGACTTTGGCTTTGGTCGAGCGCAGGGCGTTGAAGAAGTCTCCGTCTGGGCAGGCGCAGAGTCTCTGTTCCCAGGGGTTGTAGCGAGGCGTGAAATGGGGTTCCATCCCGATGTGAGGGGGGAGTTGTTGCTTGATGCCTTTCTGGAGCAGGGTCCGAGCAGCATGTGGGAAGCTCGTGCAAAACTGGTAGAAGAGTTGCGGGACGGTCAGGTACCACAGTCTACGGAAGTGATACAGCATTAACCGTGGGAGGAGTCTGCTCCAGAGGGTGTTGGGGCTCCGGTTGGGGATGGAGGCGAGGTAGGTAGGGCTGCGCTGCAGCATTGTTACCGACTCTGCGTCCTCTGCTAGTGAGGGCACGAGGGTCACAGCAGTTGCGCCACTCCCAATGATCACTATTTTCTTGCCCGTCGCTTCGAACTTCTCTAGCCAGAACTGCGGGTGGATCACCTCGCCTTTGAAGTCCTGAAGCCCTGGGATGGCGGCATCGAGAGGGTCGTGGTAGTCGTAGTAGCCAGTCCCGAAGATGACCATCTTGCTGCTGAGTTCTTGCACCTTTCCTCCGGTTTCCACTTCGATGTGCCATTGCTGCCCGTCCCATTTGGCGGCTTTTACCCGGTGGTTTAGGCGGATATGCTCCTTGAGACCATGGGCAGCAACCGCATCGTTCAGGTACCTCAGTATGTCACCCCCTTCTGCGATGGGGTTTGGCTGGTTCCAGGGGAACCACTGGAAGCCGAAGGTATACAGATCAGAGTCTGATCGGATGCCAGGGTAGCGGAACAGGTCCCATGTACCCCCGATGTTGTCGCGTGCCTCCAAGACGGCGACGCGATAGTCAGGAAATTGTTCTTGCACGCGGTAGGCAGCATTAATTCCTGATATACCGGCCCCGATGATGAGGACGTCGAATGATGACATTTTTAATTGAAATTGTAAGTATGATGGGATGATTGTGCTGGCTGATTGTAGCTGCAGGACTTCCTGATATAAATACCCACGAGCAGAGCACCACCTGATCAACGGATGAACAACCCCCCTTGTATTGCATAACCGATAATCGAAAACACCGAGGCACATATTCAAAATTTGGTGTCTTAAGCCTGTTGGGTTCCTAAAGCGGACAAAACCCTCCGCCACTCCTGAGGGGTCCACAGCACAGGCAAAGATTGGGTCAGTCTTGGCTTGCCATGAACAAAGCATGCCGAGGGATTGTGATGCGGAGGGAAATGTGGGTATAAAGAGGAAACAGTCCGCCATTGCTGAAATCACAGATACGATATCGTTGCTTCACTATGTCTGCCAACCAGCTACTACAACTTTCCACCGATAAGGCACAGGCGGTCTTTTCGCAGCTGCCTCCTGGTCTGCAGGGATTCCTTGCACATCCGATTACACGCAAGGCAGTTATTTTCCTCACCGCGTTTAAGTTGTTGAAAGGCGTGAACAGCTACCTGTCCAAGCAGGCCCAGAATAACTGGGTGCGCGCGCGCCCATGGAACCCGCGGACGGAGTTGGCTGTTATCACAGGCGGAAGCAGTGGGATTGGAAAGCAGATAATGTACGACTTGTCGAAGCTGAATGTCAAGATCGTTATCTATGATATCCAGGAGCCTACATTTGAGTTGCGTGAGTATCACTACTACAATATTCAACGGACACCGGGTACTGACTATCTCAGCACCCAACGTCTTCTTCTATAAAGTCGACCTCACCTCCTCGGCTGCAATCAAAGAGGTAGCTACCCAGACACGCAAAGAGCACGGCCACCCCACAATCCTCATCAACAATGCCGGCGTCGGCTTTGGCGGATCGATCCTAGACGAACCCGAAGCCAAAATCCGGCTGACGATGGAAGTCAACACGCTCTCCCATTTCTGGACCGTGAAGGAGTTCCTCCCCAGTATGATCCAGAATGACCACGGGCACGTCGTGACCGTCGCCAGCATGGCCAGTTTCGCGGCTCTGGGCGAGATGGCCGACTACGCTGCTTCCAAGGCCGCGGCGCTTGCATTCCACGAGAGTTTGAGCCAGGAGATCAGACACTGGTACAAAGCGAAGCGAGTACGCGCGAGGTATGCAACCGCCCACACTATTCAAGGCCCAGGCTAATCAGTGCAGTATAATCCACCCACTCTGGGTCCAAACACCCCTGATCCAGGACCTAGTCGAGTACCGCGCGCAGTTCGGCCAGCCGATGATGACGCCCGAGAAGGTGTCGCAGGCAGTAATCAAACAGCTGGTCAACCAGAACTCGGGGCAGGTTATTGTCCCCTCGACACACGGGGTGGCGACGTTGCTGCGGGGCTTTCCCAGCTGGCTCCAGGAACGAGTGCGAGATCGCTCCTCGGGGGCGTTCCTTCGGTTGCGACAGCTGGAGCAGGAGCTGCGAGGTGTGGATGGAAAGCGGGGTGCGATGACATGAATGATGTATTTGTTCGCAAGAGGCGACGAATACGGACGCACATCCAGACTATTCTGTATACAGCAAAAACCCTCCGCCAGTGGGGCTGAATCAACATTTGATTTGCTGTCGGTTATTTAAAGTTGGTGTGGAGCCGATGCCGAGGCAGTCTAACGATATTGTGAATAACTGGCTGTCTTCTACACAGGACTCCATGGCATATGAATTTAATCACTATTCTGTATCACGTTCTCGTTAATTAAGCAAACAGTGCCTTGTTTTCCCCCACCCATTCTTCCAAAGACTGAGATGGCTTGCCCGTGTACAGCTGCACGTTCTGCACACCCTCATTATAGTGAGCACGGCCTTCGCCGGCAGTAGCAGTCCCAAGCTTCTTGACCATGTACTCAGCCACTGGCTTTGGAATACCAGCCTGGACAAACCCATCCAGAGCCTCCTGCTCGGTCTGAGACCCGATCGTAACCGACTTGCCGAGAACCTTGCCAATGGCCTGAATGGCCTCTGCCTGCCCCAGGATTTGAGGGCCATAAAGGTACACCTTGCGCTGCCCGTTACGAGGCCCATTGACCAGTATATTTCCACCCACAGCGCCCATATCACCGGGCGTGATGCAATCCAACTTGAACTCCGACGACAGCAGATCCACCGCGCCATCGTTAATGCCCTTCTTGAACCGCAGCAGGTTCGTCGCAAACCCACCAGGTCGCAAGGCGACATAATTCTCCGGTCCAAATATCTCATCTAGCGCAATCTCGACCTGCGCATGGATGAAGGGGATCAGATCACTTGGCTCGACATCCCGCGGCTCCCCGACGATGGTATAGCTGGAGAGGAAAACCACAAACTCCACGCCGGCTTCCTTGAGCGCGGTCAGGGTGCCGCGCATATGGTCCTTGGTTGTATGTGCCCTGTAGATGAAGGCACGCTTTGCGCCGGAATCTTTGATAGCTGCAGCGACAGAGTCGGGGTCGGTCAAGTCTGCTTGGACTCTCTTATAGCGGTTGACCTTTTCTTGCTCTGCCGTGAGCCCTGGGATGGCTTTCTGGGTGTCGCGCATGGCGAGGAAGACCGTGGCGCCATTTTCCTGTGCAGTGCGTGCTACGAATGAGCCGACGCTGCCTGTTGGGCCGAAGACAATAACGGAGGACATCGTGGATGAGAAGCCGCAGACGTAGGAGATGAAAGTGTGGAACGGAAGCGGGTAAATGACCAGCGTGAGGTGAAGGCTTTTAAAGCAGGTAATTTCGGAGAGGACGAAATCCGCATCCGAATTGCTGGAGTTAACAATTTATTCAACATTTTAATACATGCAGCAATGCTGCAATCCGTGTCCGCGGACTTAGACGCGGTTAGACCCTGCCTTAACTCCGGCATGCGTACACTGGGAATGTGCTTAGTCATATGGGTTATGCACATAATGCTGCACATGTGCCTGGCCCAGGGCACCTTCCTATTCGGGAAATCTGTGAAGACGCAGTGTTGTTCTCTTTCCTCGATCAGCGTCATTATCTTTCTTCAACCTACTCGGCCTTTACTTCAATAGCTTTATTATACAAATATTACCACTTTTATATTACCCTGCTGAAACAGCGTTCGTTTCTAACTTCCTAATCAACATGCGCCTGATCCCTCGGCCGGAGCTCCCATTCCGCGCCGATGACCCTTCATATATGGATGACTGGAGCATCGCGGACAGAGTCGAGACCGTCGCTCAAGTCGCGGCGTGGTACGACAACGGCCGTGACTTTTATGCCCGCAGAATCCTCTCGCAAGTAATAGACGAGCAACATGCCCACTTTGAAGAGGGAGACACGTTCAACATTGATGGAGTTGATGGAAACACTTATCAATATAATGTAAATCCCACGTAAGTTGCCTCCAGCCCCCGATGAAGAGAACATCGCTGACTCCTAGACAGCGCTCGCCCCACCATCGACTACAAGTCTTGGTATGAGCTGCTATCGGACGCCAACAATGCGATTAGGCCGACGGAGTGGAGGCCGTTCCACGCCTATTGCAGCGTCAGACTTGCGAATTATATAGAAGAGGAGGACGAATCTTTCGAAGAGGATCCGCATTGGCTTGGGGAAATGAGTGACGCATCTGACGAGCTATATAGTCCGACCGAAGCTACCTTAGCGAAGCAGTTTTACCGCCTTGCGGATTTGCGGGCCCGCTTGCGAGAAAAGCGGGCCTGGCCAGGATGGAACAGTATCATTGCCGTTCTGTCTAGTTTGCGCATGCCCAGGCAGATCGACAAGGTCTTTGGCATTGGGTGCGGCAGTCTAGAGGCATATGAGGATGATACTGAACTGTACAACCGATGCACCATGCGACATGTTTTCGTATACTGTCTTGCTAAAAGCCTGAATCGCACGAGAGTAGGGCATCCTGGCGTCGCCCGCTACTTTCAGGACCCCACGTACACGGACCTTGATGAAGAGGCAATTCGCAGACTCCATGCACATATCCTCGTCGATCCAGTAGCCTATCTGGAAATGGACGAAGCCTCTGTCGTCTTCTCCTCTGACGCAACTTGCTGTGTCAAATCGATTATTGTAGAGAACGCCAGGCCGGCCATACTGATTCTAGATCGCCCCCGCAACGACGGCTCTGCATCTGAACTGTACGTCCATACTCTATCTACGTTACTCTGAGCTAACACGGCCACAGAACGGATCCATTCACTTCGCGTGTCGAATGGATACTCGACACGGAGTACCAATCGCTTCGGATCCCACAATTCCACGACGATTATTGGGTCCCTATGGCAATGTACATTAGAAATGAGTTTATTCCCCCGGCGTTCGTATCGCCGTACGAACAAGCTCAGGTGGTATAGAGTGGTGCAAAGGCGTTCATCGGTAGGGGTATTTTCATTCCTTTCTTTTTGTCTTGCTCGGTCAGAGCTAGAGTAGCTTGTTACCCATAGTCATCTTGTAGTACTTGTACATAGAAACAACTATCCTTGTTCAAACTCACATCTTGCCTTTGCTTCTACTTTAATCATGATCTCCATATCATCAATTTCAGATCTGATCTGTTGCTGAAGAAGGCCTTGAGCTCATCCACGTCACCACGACGGCTGTCCCTGCCGATCCAAAGGCCTCATCTCATACTCAACAACAACCTGATCAGTGCGTTGAATCCGGCCATTTGCACCCCTGTTTTGCCCCTTGTCTGAACCAAGGATACTCTCCTGGCTTCCCTCCCGTGCGGCATCAATATTCGTCTCAAACAGATCAGCATCTTTCTGCGAGCTATACACCGACTTCTTCATATACCGGTCGCCTGACGTCGAGGGCAGTTGGTTTGCGCTGCTCTTGTACGACCGCTGCCGCGAGCTCCACGACCGTCTGCCCCGGGCCATTTCGTACAGCGGGCCGAGTGTTGGGATGCATGAGGCCATGATGATCATGTTAGATTCAATACTGAGAATATTAGCCTAGCTCAGATGCTTTTGTTTTCTTATTTGGAGAGGTAGGTAATTACCTAGTCCAGATCACGAGGTCGGCGGTGGCATCTAGACGGTCAGTTATGATCCATGAGGATTGGTATGGATAGACGTACAGGTAGAGTCTGATGTGTTATACAGACTGGGAAGTTGGAAGCATTTCACGATGGCCATTGCGCATGCACTATACTTGGTTAGCGGGAGTAACGTATATATAATGCAGGATGTTACTGACACAGCACCCATCCCCAGAGCAGCACTTAAAGCCAGCTTCTTCTGTAATGTTATTTGGAGACGCAGGAGGACAATGGTAGGGTATATGGCGAGGTAAAGGTCGACGAAACCGGATATCGCTGTCCCAGCTGTCAGAAAGTGTGTACAGAGCGTAGTATAGGGCTAGCTTACCTCCCGTGAATATAGCATATCCAACCAAAACTTTATTAGGCCGACAAGTAGCAGCACCCGAGGCCGCAAGCTGAATCTTCCACAGCCCTTCCGGCGGATCACACATCGTAAATAGCACGACAATGCAAATGGATGAGGAGATGAAGACAAGGGCTGTGAGGAACCAGAGCCAGACCCGGTGGAACTTGCTAGGATTCATGATTCGGTTTAACAGGGCGGCGATGGCGAGTTTCGGTGTCGTGAAGGACATGATCCCCAGCGCGAAATCGGCGTAGTTGATGAGTAGTACTTTGACCAGCAGGTCCATGCCTCCTTCTTGGGTGATGACGGGGGTGTGTTTTCCGTATCCGAGGCCGACGTTCACGGTTGTTACGACGGTGTATCCTGACAGCATGATCCGGATAATTAGCTGGCGTTCTTTCAGATATCCTGGGTCAATCAGGGTTAGGTACCATTGCTACTGCAATAATGTAGTCGTCCAGGCCAATATTCTTCAGCCATCGTATCCGGATATACAGCCGCGCCGACACCATCAGAACGCTAACAATAAAGAAAGACCAGAAGACCCCTAGAATCCGGGGCCCTTTGGTCTCGCTAGCATATTCAGGCGTGATGCTGTCCATGCTGACAGAATGTGGAACGATCAATTTCCCGGGGTCTGATAGATCTCACGAACCCTCCTTGGGGTACATATATAGAAAATTGCCAGTCTCCAGCACGATGACTCGCGAGACATGGGCAAAATCACAAGCGGGACGGCAAAAAGGCAACATTTCCAAGGAGCTGAAATGAGGACAATCTGCCAAACGCCCTGGAATGGCACCATCAACCTGGATCGGGCCGGAACCACCCAATGCGAAACCAGTCGCCGGATACTTCGGCTGGGGGCGGCTGTCAATCGTGACAATCACTCACGCATACGGCAAGGGATATACCCAATCGAGGGCCTGTGACCGCGCCACCATCTGCCGTTTGATCCTTAGCACGATTTAGCACGATTTAGCACCTGGACCGAGCTTCCGCGACTGGGGGCGGCATCCATAGCGCCGTTTGAAACCGCCCCATCGATGGTGCTATCCCCCCAGTTCGATATGGATGTTAGGGCACGTTGCGACGCACCATCCACCGCGGTGGGTCAGTTGGAGAAGCTTTGCCGCGTTCTGTCGCAGACAATTCCTGTTCTGTATCAGACACTATGCCCCTAGCTTCCCATAGAGCCGGAAATACTCCTCTCTGGCGTGATCATATATCCCTGTCAGGGGGAGTCCGGTGGGAATACTCCTTCTCCCATTCCTGTCTTTACGAACACCCAGAGTTCTCCAGATCAACACTATGAAGCACGCAGAGGGCACTTCCAACGGTGATGCCAATGGCTCCGGAGTCACGGCACCCAACCCTAAAGTCACACTCGAGGAGCTCGCCGTCTCTCCGAATTTGCCGGGCCAGGTTCCGAGATTGCTAGAGGAGATAGCCTCTTCCGGAAATCAGTATCTCGCAGCAGATGTAGGCACGGCTGGGCCTCTTGGAAGCAGCCAGGTCCCTGGTATATGCTTTAGAGACGCCTCGAGAGGCAATTATTCGTCACTGCTGGTCAGACGTGCGGCCCCCGTCTCATTTCGCGTGCTATCTATGTTACCCATCTAATATTTGAACAGTCTACCAAGTATGCGGCGCTGGAAACAGCTGTCGGTCTCAATCTATTTGCTGCCCTAGGAACAGATGACACATCCAAGTCAGTTGCAAAGCTTGCACAGGCAACGGGCTCAGATCCAGCATTATTAGGTCGGTACATCTCTCGGAACCTCGGGAAGTGAAGCATTTAATAGGGATTGTAACAGGCCGACTGATGAAGCCCCTGGCTGCCGTGGGTGTGATAACCGAGACCGGCCCTGATGAGTATGCGGCGACAAGTTTCTCGAAGGTGCTGACTGGCGAGAAATACAGCGATGCCTTTCCACTGATGTATGTATTTTCTATGAATTTGTTTACTCAGTCTGACTGTTTAGGACATCACGCTTTACCCTCGGCATCCTCGCCCTACCCGCCTTCCTCGAAAAGACCAACTATCGCAACCCGACCAGCGCCACAGACACAGCCTTCCAGCTCGGATATAAAACAGACATGGGCTTCTTCGGCCACCTCCAGCAAGAGCCTATCACTGCGAGGCGCTTCAACAACCACATGGGCGTTTATGCGCAGGGCCGTGCGCGCTGGATGGACCCTGGTTTCTACCCAGTGCAGGAACAACTCATCGAGGGCACGGATTTCGGAAAAGAGGATGTACTGCTTGTTGATGTAGGTGGTAGCTTCGGGCATGACTTGTTGGACTTCCGTCGCAAGTGGCCCAGTGTCCCTGGACGCCTCGTGCTGCAGGATCTACCGGAGGTTGTCTCGTCTGTCAAGGACCTGGATCCCTCAATTGACGTTACTGCGCATGATTTCTTCACTGAGCAGCCCATTAAAGGTACGTCATTCCCAGGTCATAAAATTGAAAAGCACTAACAAAGGTCCTGGTTAGGTGCTCGCGCGTACTATATGCACTCCGTCCTCCACGACTGGCCAGACAATCTCGGGCGTAAGATCCTGGATAACCTTGTTGCCGCGATGAAGCCGGGATACAGCAAGCTGCTTGTCAACGAGGATGTGATCCCGGATACGGGCGCGTACTGGGAGACAACCAGCCTTGATATAATCATGATGCAGATTGGATCAGGCGAGCGGACGGAGCGTCAATGGCGGGCCCTGCTGGAGTCGGCTGGGCTGGTGGTTGTGAATATCTGGACTGCGCAGCGTGGCGTTGAGTCTTTGATTGAGTGTGAACTGGCTTAGGGGGATTTGCATTAGTTATTGCAGTTGAGATAGCTAAACGTATCCGGTGAATCCTCGCATTCACCAGTACATGTCACACATAACCTATCATCATCCCAATCATGGCTCATCTGTAGTTGCTCCAGCCACTCCTCTCGGCTGGTAGATGGCGGGTTATAATGCACCTGAATACCCTCCGGTTCCAGCTCACGGCCAAGGGCATCCATCCGGTCCCAGGGATAGACGCATTGTTTACAACTATCACCCCGGAACCCTTCTGGGAAAAACTGGATCCGAATTTCTCCCAACGGACACTTCGCCTGTACCGCCATGTGCGCGAAGCAACGCAACCAGTTCTCCTGTGTGTAGCCAAAATAATCCAGCGCTTCACATACCTGCTGATCCTCGTACGTCAAGTCGAAGCGGAAGCGGCGCAGGCTGGGGGCGAGCAGTTGCGCAATATCACCACCGTCAATTGGAGGGGGGTCGATGTGCCCGAACATTGTGCAAGCTGTCAAACTTAGTTCTTCTAGCCTCTCGAACTGGCGCATATCAAAGCCCTGCAGGCCCTGCCGCTCGAGGTGTGAAATACGGATGGATCGGAGGCTTTTGCAGTGGATGGACAGTATCGGTTGCAGCGTTGCGAGACTCCAGGGATATACCCCCAATGCACCGAAGTGGTCTGGATAGGTAAAGTCTAAGCGGAAGCGCTCCAGCTTTGGTGTCCACCTCATCAAGTCCTCGAGGATTTGAGGGGTTACTAAGAAGCAATATAGCCTCAGGGTTGTCAATGAGGCTGTTCCCGGTTCCAGCTATAAGAGCTGGGCGTTAGCTTTCACTCAATCTGGACATTGGAACAACGTCAGGAGCAACGTACTTTGGGCCTTTTATTCCCCGCCTCGTTATCGAGAAACGAGACCCCGCTGAGCTCGAGAGTCCGTAGCTTAGCGCAGCCCATCTCGTTGAGGACACCAAACAGCCGAACGACGTCTATATCATTCCCCCGACCACCCAAAGACAATTCCTCCAGATGCTGAAAATTCCTCATCCCCTGTAGACAAACTCTCCACGCATCTGCCGAATCATGCCCGAGCCCAGTGAACCTGAACGATCTCGTCTCCGTCATCCACGCCGTCAGATCATTCACAATGTATCCCATCGGCCAATCCACCGCCTCTCCATGATCATTATATCCTCTGTAGCCCACATTCAGGCTCCGACACAGTTTCCATAGGTCAGGGTTGCTTCGGTAGCTGCGGTGCATGAGCTTTATCGTTGGGTCTTGACTCTCGATATGTATGCGGCCCCAAGGCCCTCTCCCAAGAACAACATCCCCGTATAGGTAGGGCATGGCAATGCGATTCAACCGCCGACACACGAGACAGAGCGAGATTGGCGTGCGGAAATGCTCTCCCCAATATATCCGGCGCCCTGACCAGTATTCCCAAGGCTCATAGTCCCTCTCGTCCTTGTCTTTGCGGCATGCTTCTTGGACGATGGTGTTTAAGAGCTCTTCAGGTAGTCGTAAGATAGATGCGCGGTCGCAGTTCTCGTCCATTTCTACTTTGAATTTGCGCAGATGGTAAAGATAGATTGAGCTTGGGCCAGCTTGGTATAATTTCGAGGCTGAATGTGAGAGATCCAGCCGCACATTATTGCTGCCTGGCTGCCTGACTGCCTCACTGCCTGATTTCAGGTCGCATTATGTTTCCTCCACTCTTCCTCTTCCTTCGTCCGCATCCTTGATTTATCTTCTACTTTGTCTGGCAGCATCGACTGCAAGGTCATCATCACAGCATGACCAATATTCTCACTGAGCACACCCGGCCTCCCAAACGAAAGCGGACTGTCATTTCCTGTGCCGAGTGCCATCGGCGCAAGCAGAAAGTCTGCACCCCCCGCAGCACCAGACCAGAGCTCAATTGACCCATCTTCGTAGTGCGATCGCCAAGATCCCTGCTGTAATTGCATCAGGCGTGGAAAGCAGGTATTTCCATTGAACAATCCGCACAGAGTTTCTTCTGACCGAGCCCAGGATCTCTGCCGCTATGATGCTGGGCCGACGCGCTACGAGAATACTCCAAGCAATCTGAGTGCCAGGAGTTTCAGCGACAAGTCCCCCGAGAAGTGTCTCTCGGCGCTCCCCAACGCCTTCGCGAGCGAACTTCAGGACAAGATCCGTGATTTCGGTTATTCTAACCAAGGCAGTCTCAATTCGTTCAGCTTGCTCCGCACTTCAGAGCTGTACTCAGGCCAGGACAACGCATCCGATATAGCCACTTCCAATGGCCAGCCCCCCTACGATCAGAGCGTTGACCGCAGGTACAGGGAATTGGTCCGCCAGTTGCCCTCGCAATCTTGCGTGGATATTCTAGTGGGCACCTTTTTCCCCGACGTCAATTGGCAGTATGATATGCTGCACGAGGGGCTCTTCCGTGAACAGCTACAGCAATGGCGGAACGTCTCGTACTCTGACCTTCAGGGTGGCTTGGGTGCGCTACCGGGGGCGACGCTGGTGGTTCCAGCGCTTTTGTTTGAAGTCCTCTCACAGGCACTTCTTTTCCACCCACCCCATGACCAGAGAATTCATCACCTGTTGCCTATCGCTGGCATGGGCTTCCATGACCTTGCAGCTGAATACAGTGACGCGGGGGCTGACATCCTGGAACTTTTAGGGAAAAGAAACCTCACAATTGCTACTGTACAGGCGGGTCTGCTACGAGCAGCATGTTTAAAGAGCCGTGGTAAGGTAGTTGAAGCATGGCATGCCCTCGGGGCAACAATCCGTGATGCACAGGAGATTGGTCTTCATACCGGGCAATTCTTGTATGGAGATTCTTCAATTCCACCTGGAGAAGAAAGGACAGCTCTCAGTGCCATTGGGCACAAGATTTGGGTGGTCTTGCATATCTGGGACGTTCATATGGCTGTCGTTCTCAGTCGACCGATCGCCACCGAGTTACAAATAGATCGCTTCGCTCGTACGATAGCAGATGATGAAACTCGACGGTACCTCTTCTCGCATTGGCAGACCGAGTCAGAATCTCCGCGACCATTCGATGTCATCCTCGCCGGTTATAATGTGGCATACCGATATTTTCAGGAGATTCGTCAGCTCGAACAGAATGGCGCCCGCTTGCAGGACTACGCGACCGTTGACCGCATCCACACTGCAATAATGAGAAATCTGAAAAGTCTACCTTCCTGGTGTCGACTTGTGGACCCAAGCACGAGGTTTGATTCTACACCTGGGTGCCAATGGTTACAAATGGCCCGAGAGGGGCTGTCCTCGCTCATCCACCTCGTTCTCCTCACTGTTCACCGGCCATTCATATTCTCTGTTGAAGCCAGCCGCACGGAAGCGCTCAAAGCTGGAATCGCGATCCTTCAGGGCCAGGACCGACTATTTCAGAACATCGACCCATACCAATGCAGGGTGTTCAACCCGGTCTATGCTTCCTTTGATGCGATTGTCCTAATCTCCGCCATCTGCATTTCTTTTCCGGATCGTATCCAGGAACACCGATCAGAGTGTATCAAGGTTGTGCAGCGCGGAGTTGATCGTCTCGACGCGATCGGACAATCAAACGACATGGCTAAAAAGGCGCACGGCGTTGTATCGAGTTTATACCGTCGCATGAGACATCGACTCGGAATTTCGAACCCTGCAAATGACACTAACAATCTTGTTAGCGACTCTGACTTGATCTCATCCAACGATCCAACTCCATTGAATGGCGCTATGCCAGAGCCTTCATTTGATGCCATTCCGCCGCCTCGCCCAACTTACGATTTGTTCTACGATCATCTCTCGACTGCGCCAATCTCTTTTATTGACCCTCAGCCCACCCTACCATTGAACGCGCCCAATATGAACGGTCTACCAACTTGGAACTTTGAGGGCATATTCCCGGAAGATAGTTTCTGGAGTGTTATGAATGACCTGAATCAATGAAATATATCTGGCTAATTATACTTTATTTGACGCTGGCAAACCAAGCCGCAATGTCGCCCACATTACGGTCGACCGCGTCAGGCTGGTCATAGTGCTGAAAGTGCGAAATCTCATTTTTCCAGATCAACTTCTTCTCAGTGGTGGGGATAGACTCGTAATGACGCTTCGCCGCGTCCGCATTCATACAGTTGTCACCGTGGATCAGCAGCGCCGGCTTCTGCAGCTTAGCGACGCCAGGGACAGTGGTATACTCGAAGTGGTCCAGATCGCTCATCACCGCATACCGGTTCTCGAACCCCTTCAGGGTCCAGGGCCCATACCAGGACCAGACCACCGGACCGGGCAGGCCGGCTAATGCGCCAGTGTCAGGGTCAGCGGCCTTTGGGTCGACAAGCGGCTGATACACAACTTCTCCGGTCTTATCATACAGCTCTCGGGCCTGCTTGGCTCGCTCAATGCGCGCTTTCAGCAGGGCTTCACCCTGTTCGGGGGTCGGCATCTTCATAGCCCCGATATCAGCACCAGGCTCCCAAGCAACGCATCCAGCGCAGATCATATAGATATCGGTCTCATGGTCGCGATAGTACCCAGAGACGGAGGCGACGCCGGAAACGCGGGCATCGTATGAAGCAACATCCAGGGACTCAGGGCCGCCCTGGCAAATGCCAACCAGGAAGAGACGGGATTTGTCGACGTCGCCACGCGAGCAGAGGTAGTCGAGCCCGGCAATCATATCCTCGTTCTTCATTTTGGGGTTCTCCAGGCGTCGCGGCTGGCCGGTGCTCTCGCCGACGGTGCGGGGGTCGAAGATCAAGGCCGCGTACCCTTCATCTGCAAGGCGTGTTGCATATTGCAAGGGGGCTTGTTCTTTCACAAACGAGTATGGACCCGTAACGACGATTCCAGGAGGGTTGGCCACGTTGGTAGGGCGGAAAAGGACACCGGCAACGGTCTCTCCGTGAGACGGATACTGCACTTTTTCAGTGGTATATTGGCCGTGGACAGGCATCTTGTAGTGAATAGAGTGGTAGATTTAATTATTCAAAAGTTGGAGGGGTAGATTTCATCTATCCCCAACAACCGCCTGCAGGCGGCCCAGTTTATACCTCCCACATATTCGGAGTTTAGAGCAGCAAGGTCCATCCCCGATGGTTCGTAAGTTCGTGCTGTAACAGACCTACCGCGGAGGGAATATATGACGTGCTCAGTCAGAAATACAATGGCGGAGACTGCTATGATCGCCGCATTCATCGGAGAAGCCTCGAACTCTGGACAGTCGTCTTCGGTATCGCCGACAGCGGGTGTGCCTTAACGCCGATCGGCCAATCAGGAACGCCGGTTGTTCGGAGTGCTGATTATGTAATCGTCTGAATCTTGACGACAGTAAAATAGTCAGAATATTATAATTATATTAAGAAAAAGGGGACTCCTCGCTCATGGTTGATTATTCTTGCTAGTGTTGATAGGAGGCTATTGAATGTTGGTGCACGGTGGAACATTCAACGACTCCAAGGCCACCGTTATATATATCGAGTGGAAGGTATATACTTCTGGGTACAATGGAAAGTTCCATATCAATATACAACAATGATAAATATGGAATGTTTTGATTATAACCAAACCCAGGCAGCCGCGAAAACGGGTAACATTATATGAAGAGGTCTTGTTGAAGGAGACAGTCCGTAGCCCTACGTCGAACCAAGTACAACTGCGTAGTGTGCGGACAGATTCCACGTCGGGTAATATACTTGAAATATATCAAAGCAATAAAACTAAAGAGTTATTATGAAGTTCAGATACTGGTAAATTTGTAGTGCTTGATTATTGATTATTCAAGGTGAACAAATGACTGATATTCCCTTGTACTCTAGCCAAATATACAAATTATGTTTAAACAGTGATCATATGTAACATGTAGATAAAACATCGCAATATAGATAAGGATTGTGCAGAAGCAGTTCACTTCATATTTCGAAGTCGGTTCAGAAAATCATGTCCCGCGGGATTGTCAATACCCCTGTTGGATATACGGGAGTTGAGTTATACATCTCGAGTGCTTGAAAGTATAGGCATTCCTGCTATGTCTGTTAGTATTAGGCTTGGAGCGGAAGACGCAATGAAACATACCATTGAGAAAGCTACCAAAGCCACCACTCGGAAGGCATTTAAGCCTTAGTAGGCCAGCTCCAGCTGGTGGAGAATGAGGTCGAGAAGGTGGTGGGCGTTCCTTGGATGTCTTCACAGCCGCAGGCCTCACCCTCGCCGCTGGCATCACCACTGGCTTCACCACCTGCACCAGCGGAGCCACCAGCTCCAGCGCCAGCCTCGCCGCCAGCTTCACCAGAAGCACCAGCGCCGGCCTCGCCACCAGCAGAGCCTCCAACACCAGCGGAGCCTCCAGCAGATCCAGATCCTCCAGCACCTGCACCAGCTTCACCACCAGCTTCACCACCAGCTTCACCACCAGCTTCACCACCAGCTTCACCACCAGCNGCTTCACCACCAGCTTCACCACCAGCTTCACCACCAGCTTCACCACCAGCTTCACCACCAGCTTCACCACCAGCTTCACCACCAGCTTCACCACCGGCTTCACCAGAGTCACCAGAGTCAGAATCACCAGAGCCAGAGCCACCAGTAGTAGGGGACACGCCAGTGTCGTCGGAGTCATCACCACCGGCATCACCACCGGCGCCAGCAGAGCCTCCAGCTTCACCAGAAGCACCAGCGCCGGCATCACCACCAGCACCTGCGGAACCTCCAGCTTCACCAGAAGCACCAGCACCAGCATCACCGCCGGCACCTGCGGAGCCTTCACCACCAGCAGAGCCTCCAACACCAGCGGAACCACCAGCGGAACCAGATCCACCAGCACCGGCTTCACCACCAGCACCGCCAGAGCCGCCAATACCTGCAGAACCACCAGCAGATCCGGAACCACCGACACCAGCACCAGCACCACCAGAGCCTCCAATACCGACAGAGCCACCAGCTTCACCAGAACCGCCAGCACCGCCGGAGCCTCCAGCACCACCAGAGCCACCGATACCAGCAGAGCCACCAGCGGAGCCAGATCCTCCAATACCAGCACCGCCGGAGCCTCCAATGCCTGCAGAGCCGCCAGCTTCTCCAGATCCACCGGCGCCAGCAGATCCTCCAATACTGCCAGAGCTACCGATACCAGCAGAGCCACCGGCAGATCCAGATCCTCCAGCGCCGGCTTCACCACCAGCTTCACCACCAGCTTCACCTTCACCCTCGCCTTCACCCTCGCCTTCACCACTGGCTTCACCCTCGGCACCACCTTCACCACCAGCAGAGCCACTGGCACCAGCACCGCCGGATCCTCCAATGCCAGCGCCACCACCAAGGTGGCCACTGCCACCGAGACCACCGCCAATAATACCGCCGATGCTACCACCTAGATGACCACTGCCGCCAATACCACCACCGAGATGGCCACTGCCTCCAAGACCGGCACCACCTCCAAGATGTCCGCCGATGCCAGCTTCACCACCGACACCAGCGCCACCATGGCCACCGGCACCGGCACTACCACCTACACCAGCTGAACCACCGAGTCCAGCATGGCCGCCAACGCCAGCCGAGCCACCAACACCAGCGCCGGCACCAGCACCAGCGCCAGCTGAGCCACCAAGACCAGCATGGCCACCGACGCCAGCTGAACCACCAATGCCGGCGCCAGCGCCAGCACCAGCACCAGCAGAGCCACCTACACCAGCATGGCCACCTAGTTCAGCAGAGCCACCAACGCCAGCGCCGGCACCGGCACCGGCACCAGCACCAGCACCACCGTGGCCACCTAGACTAGCAGAGCCGCCAATCTCAGCAGATCCTCCGACGCCAGCGTCGGCGCCGCCGCCGATGAAGGTGCGGGGCTTGTGGAAGGGCTTGATGGCCTCGAGGGCCTCGAGGGACTTGAGGGAGCTGACGTCGAGGTTTGCGAGCTCGTCATCGCGCTTGCTGGTGGGGGCGCTGAGCGCGCAGGCGAAGAGAGTGAGGGCGACTCCTACTCTCATTGTGATTGATTAAGTAACGAAAGTTGGTAGAGTAGAAGAATTGGGGAACGAAAGAATATAACGATTGGAAAGGAGGATAAGAAAGAAGAAAGAGAACTGAAGAGAAGGAGTTGTCGGAGAAGGGAAGTTGAGGTGTGCTGGATTGCAAAAGACAGCGAGATCAAGGCAGTTTATATAGACTGCCAGGCCAGCTGGTACAGGGGGAATAGGGATTTCTGTCTACCAGCGAACTTCCTGTTGGAGCGTGTTTTGGCTGCAGGCTGTGGGGATGCACAGAACCTGAGACTGCACTCTACCAACACCAGTATACTCCACAACACCAGAAGCGACAGCTCGATCGCTTAGCGTCGATGCCATGCACTAAGCCCAGTCTCATCTGCACCAAACAGGCATAGTTTTCCCAACAGAGTATGGCGTGTTTTAGTGGGAAACGGCGGAGACGGAATGGTGCGACAAAGGGCCAGGAACGGAAGCCCTGAAGAGCGAAGATCGCCGGCAGCTCGCGCCTCCACGGAGGAATAGTTTGATCAAATATTGGTCGGTTCCTGAATAAGTTCGAACCATGATTCAGGACGTCGAGTCCAGACTTCGGGTATACTGGACTGACCAACAGGCAGTCGCGGCAGATCACAACGTGTCTCAACGTGTAACAAAATGTATCACTTGGAGCTCTACCTCACCCAGACTAGACAAACTTGTTCTCGAGTTAATCGCGAGTAGCATTGTGTATATCGAAAGCCAACACAGTAGTCTAAGTGAGGAACCCAAGTTAGGGCTCCCACCCTTTACCCCTATCTGGAGAAAGACAAACATGCTATTGCGATCACAGTCCCACCTGAAACAAGCCTATTTTAAGCGTTCGAACTATTAAAGTGAATATCGGCACGGAGCTCTCCACAAAAATTCGATTCTACCCGGGTTTCAGATCGCCGCCAAATATAGACTGGTGTGGCACCGGCTGGCTCGGGCAGGCCAGTTCCTGCATTAGATCTGCAGAAGAAGGATATGGTTCAGTTACAGTCATGGGTCCATGTTTTGTTTTGAACACTATAGCCCTCGCTAATATTGGCCACGGCGAGTCAGTTTCATCGCGTTCCAAACATGGGCAACAGAGACTGAGTGAGTACCGACCGAGGCAGCAATCCCTGTCTAGCCAGTTTGGACTTTCCTTCGGGTGGTATCACGTCTGCAGGTCTCACTACGAGTTACTCTGTTGGGATATACCAACCCTGTCTATTTGCCCAGGCAGAACGCGCTATGAAGCCTCAACCGATGATCGCGGCTGGTCAACAATCATTGAGGTATACAGCCGGGAAAGCACGGTAAACGATCCCCAGCCGAGTATCAACCGTGGTACAGTAGTCCCTGGGCTGTCTCAGCAGGAAGACAGGAATAGCAGCGGGTGCCGGGACAGAGGTCTGGACGGTGCGAGGTAAAGACAGTTTCTATTCAGGGAGGCGGGATATACTTCGGCTGAATCAGTGCTTCTGGCGTGGAACTCGGAGGAAGGCAACCGAACGGTGAATGGAGTACCCACCCATCTGCAGGTAGGTGGACAGTGTCCGGACGTGAACTGACGGTATGAGACTGATGGGGATACTGTATGCTAGAGAAATTGTGCCTTTGCTAGATATGCTGCTACCTAGGAGGTTGAGTCCCTCGTGTCAGATTAGAGAACAAGCCCGTCCAGTCCTCCGCATCAAAGTCCATATTGCCACCGTTGTCAATCAGCTCAGACCATATTTCCTCCAAGTCTCTATCCTCCTGGGCCCGAGCTCTGTCCGACGAAGCAGATAGGTCGATAAAGGACGCATGCATGGGCTCCTCCACCACCACAGGCGGGGCAAGCATCTGGGAATCCAATGCATCAACCCGAACCCCAGTGACTAATCCCGAAGTAGTAGAGACGGGGTTACCTATTCTGTTATAGTTTCCCTGCAGTACGCCCATCATTGCATAGATTCCCTCCTTCACCAGCGCCGAGGACTGCTGGGCCTTGCTGAGCATGCGACAAGCGTCGAGGACCTCTTCCTTGCGCTTATCGGCGAGAATATCGTCAGCGTTGTAGCATACATCAAGTAACAACATAACAGCCGCCATGAAGACGTGGTGCATGATGGACCAGATCATCGAGCTGGACGGCGAGAACCGCGGCTCCTCCTCGTCCATGAGGCGCTTGATCTCGAGCACCTTGCGAGCCGCGCTTAGGCCGGTCATGTACGAGTAGGAATAGGTCGGATCGCGCGCCCCTCGGATGAAGAAGGGGCGGTGCAGACGGCACAGACGGGAGTACCAGGCCTGCTGCAGGATGCATCCCTGCCAGGCTATAGTAGGGTGCTCTTCATAGAGTGCTGCATAGCGCCGGCGGGAACTTGGGTCGAGACGAAGGAAATCGGGAGATTGGGCCTGGGTGTTCTGGATCTTGCGATCTAGATCGAGGATCTTGGAGTACTCGACTTCTGTGCCGGTGAGCTGCTCGGCGGAGATGGTGTCGACGATGCATCGGCATGTCTCGGCGAGTTTGAGGCGCTCGAGGAAGAAGGACATGGCCGTGGGGGTTGTGCTGGGTTGGGATATTGGGTTGCTGGTCATGTCCGTATCGTCGATGTTGCCCGGCTTGTTCGTATACGTGAAGGCTGGATTGACCAGATATGTCCACTCCTGAGGCCCGCTCAGGAAGCCCAGACACCTGACAGGTTAGAGAGAGTAGGATATACATGTTCTATATTCCGTACGTACCAGTCAAATGACGCGATATCCCACCATAACCGCCGCTTCGTCTCCAGCATTACTGGCTTCTCCTTCCTCCCCTCAGCAGACTGCGTATCAACTCGATGCAGCAACATGGCCTTCGCCTGGTCGATGATCGACCCGATGGTGAAGAAGCCACTGACGGCAGTGCAGCTATGTATGTGCGAGATGTTGTGAAAGAGAATCAGGGCAGCCTGGAGACCCTCGACTGTTGGATAGGATCTATAGTCTGCCTGGGTCAGAGCAGCGCCAGTCAAGAACGAGAACCGCTGGCTGCACATTGCTGCGTGGCGCGACGACTGTATCGAGCACTGCAGGAAGAGCGAAGACCCGGTGATGGCGAAGACCAGAGCAAGGTAGCTCCGATTCACCGGGTCCCTGCGCTCCACGCAGCGATACACCTCGTTGATCTGGCCCTCGACGACATGGGGGATGATGATGTGGTACAAGTAGCTGATATAGCGACAGAAGTAGCTGAAGAGAGCCAGCGCGTCCGACTCGGCAGGGAGAAACTGGATCAGGTCGACCGTGGCTGGATTCTGGTTCGGCGCCCAGGACTGCGTGGTGATAGAGAGCAAGACGTGAGCAGCACCGCTGATTTCATCGTATCCATGTCGCTTCTCGTTGAGTTCGGCCCTGAGCTGCGGAGAGACTGCTGCTGGCACCCGGTCGCCCATGTGGATGTGCTCCAGCCAGTCTGCGGTCGCCAGCGACTCCTTGCTGCCGACGAGCCCCGGACCTGGAGGCGCTGGGCCAGAGATATCCTTCTGAGGACTCTCCGGGGGCTGCGACCAGGCCGGACGTGCTGGTTTGGCGGCATTTTCGCTGTGGACAGGGGGATTTGTGCGAAAAGAGCACGGCAAACGACGGGTCAGACAACTGCTGCAGGGCTGCTGCCGGTCGCATTTGAGCTTTTTCTTGCGGCAGAACTGGCAGGACACCGGATCCTGTCTGGGATGGCGTTTGGCCTGCACCGGACTCTCCGTGGCGTCTTTTCGCTTCATGGTTGAGTGAAGAGAATTAATTAATTGCTGGAATGCTGGTGATGTGCTGGAATTAAAGGCGCCGGAGACTCCGCGGACCCTCCGGACTGAGTCAACAAACTAAAACAGCCACTATATAAAGGATAAAAATTACAGCCACATATAAAGGATAAAAATTATACTGCTACAGACAGAAAGAAGACAGAAAAACAAAAGGAAGAAAAGAGGTGATTAATTCAGCATGTCTACAGATCCCCAGTTGAAGCCTCCCAAGGAGTATACGTAAGTCACCTCAACATATTGTTATATCTACTAATGAAATAGAGCTCGAGCATGGTCTGTCATTCTCGGTGCCTGCATGGCCGTCTTCTGCTCCGTCGGCTTCATCAACTCGTACGGCGTCTTCCAGGAATACTATCTGACGCACCAGCTCGCCAACGAGTCCGGCTCGACCGTGGCCTGGCTGGGCGGCGTCAGCATCTTCTTCATCTTCTTGGGGTCGGCAGTATCTGGGCCGGTGATGGATATCTCAGGGCCTAGAGTACGTATAAAACACCTGGAAGAGGACTATGCTAATCAGGCAGATCATGCTCTGTGTTGGATCCGTAGGGAGCGTGTTCTCGATCATGATGGCGTCGCTGTGCCACAAGTTCTACCAATTCCTCCTCGCCCAGGCCGTTTCAATGGGCATGTTCATGTCACTCCTGGTCGCGCCGTCGATAGCCATTGTCGGCCAATATGTCAAAGTCAAGCGCGGTGCTGCGATGGGCATCGTCATTGCCGGTTCCTCACTCGGAGGTGTCGTCTGGCCCATCGTGATCAACGAGCTGCTGAAGAACGAGAGTGTCGGTTTTGGCTGGACCATGCGTATCGTCGGGTTCATCATGATCCCTTTGCTCGCTGTTGCGTGTATCTGCTGTCGACCTCCACTTGACCAGGCCCAAGCCCAGACATCGGACAGTGAATCAGCCCAGGAGATCAAGGACGAAAAACGCAGACCTGATTTCTCCATCCTGAAAAAGACCGAGATGCGTCTACTGTGCTTAGCATTCTTCACCATCTACTTTGGCATGTTCGCGCCCTTCTTCTTCATCACATCGTACGCCTCCGCGATGGGCTTCTCGGGCGATCTGGCATTCTACAGCGTATCAATCCTGAACGGGGCGTCGATGTTTGGCCGAATCCTGCCAGGAATGGTAGCAGATAAATATGGCCGGTTCAACTTCTGCATGCTCTTTACCTTCCTGTCTGGTCTAATAGCGCTCTGCTGGACAAAAGTCACATCTGTCGCTGGCTTGGTCGTGTTCGCTGCTGCATATGGCTTTACATCTGGAGTAAGTCTCTTCCGTTGATAACGGTGCTATACTAACAAGCCAGGCCATCCTGTCTCTTCAGCAAGTATGTGCTGTGCAAATCGCAACGCCCCAAACACTCGGGCTCGCAGTCGGGACGATATTCGCTGCGTCTTCATTCTCGTATGTTGAACCTATCCTGGCCATGAGCTGCGCTGACATCGACAGGGCAATGGCCAGCACGCCCATCAGCGGCGCGCTGTCGGAGAAGTACGGATATCTCTCGCTGTCTATCTACTCTGGCGTGAGCTTGATTGTTGGCAGCGTGTTCCTTGGTATGGCGCGGCTGGTGCAGAGCAGGAAGATTCTGGTTGCTGTGTAGGATGGCAAATTTTCTCTCAAGCCAGATTGTTCGTGGTCAAAAGTAATAGAAGCATGACTAGATAGATTTATAGAATACATCTCCACTGTCTGATAGTGGTTTAATGAGTCTCGACCTGGCAATACGAGATGACAGCGCCTCCAAAACAAACTAATTATTAATTATGCACTAGTATTTATGCAGTTAAGATTGACTCTTCTAGCCTATTACCTCATGTCGTTCGTGTCAGGGACTGGCGTTCCTCGTCCAGGCAGACAGCGCAGGCCCAGGCAACATTCCCCTGGATATTTAGACCTGGTCGATCGTCTCAAGTGATACTGAGTTGCACTTGCAAAGTTCCTCTAGCAGCCATGTCAGGACAAGGCTTAACCTTCGACGTATGGAGTGAAATTGTCCAGTACGTCGGCAAAGACGACCTGCTCAACCTCTGCCTGGTTTCGTGGATATCAAAAGCCGCCGCAGCCCGAGTCCTGTACCGATCGATCACCCTGCTGGAACTCTTTCCGTATAATCTCAAGCTGGATGAAGCGCCCATAGACCAAAGCCAGCTCTCCCAGTCGGAGCAACGCGGCCACTGGCACCTACTATCGCGGCTTAGAAGCGAGGCAAACCAAAGCCTCAGGAACCTAGTCCAGGAAGTAACTGTTGTCCGACCATCCAATGAAGCCATACAGCTCGACAAAACATTCCTAGATCAGCTGCAAAAAGACAACACCTTCTCAAAGCTACTTATCTCCCTTCCCAACCTGCGCCGCGTCACCATCGGCATCCCAGAACTGCAAACAGACCATGTAATCCGCACGCTCTGCGCCCACAGCAGAAAGCCAGAGGTCTTCCTGAAGCTGAACGGATACGACGAGCGCCTGAACACCGACAATCCACTCCCCTGCATCTCCAGCCTAGAAATCGCAGGCGATCCCCGGTCCTACCGAGAGGCAAACGGCCTGCTCAAGTTCCAGCAGCTAGTCTTCAACTGCCCGAATCTTCGCTCGTTGAGCATCAGTGTGCTTGATAAGTACGATGGCCGCATGAGACGTGTCCGCCGGGCTGGTATGTACTTGACATTCGACCTTAAGGGCGAGGAGCGATTCCCACCGCTGGAAGAACTGGCGCTGAACGGGTACGAGATGAAAGATGAAGAAGTAGCGCACTGGCAACGGAATGTTCAGTGGGATAAGCTGTCTAGTCTCGCAGTTGGACCGAAGCCCTGCTGGTCTGTACTCCCTGGTTTCGCGGGGTATGCCACGTCTCTCAAGACACTGAAGGTCTTCATGTATTATGGGGTCATCGGTGGGGAGGAGGCTCGAATGGGACTAGAGAGTCTTCTTAGATCTTTCGATGGCCTGGAAGTCCTGGATGTGAAGGGTTTTATCTGCAGTGTGTCGGCTGTTGGGCAGCACAGGAATCTGTCTACGCTTTGCTTGCATGAAGACGAGCCCGACCATGATGAAGAGGCCGACTATGATGACGAAGACGAAACGAGGACCGTGCTTACCCCGGCTGATATCTTCTATCTTGACGAGCATTGTCCGAAGCTGAATTCATTGGGTCTCGATATCCAAAAGAAAGAAGGGGCAGTGGTAAGTTCCGGCTTGGTAGACAATACCAACGGCCTCTAACTATTTACAGGATGACAAGGCTATTCAGGCTATAACAACAGGGTTTAGAAATCTGAGATATCTCTCGATTCACTTTGAGATGGGACTCAAATATTTGCGGCCCATTATGCCGGTGATCAACGCAGAGACAGCACAGAGTATAGGACAGAATATATTCGACCGCCGGAGACAGATTGGCGCTTCTCTGTCTGCTGTGACAATCTGGACCGGGAGCTTGTACCGTAGGCGCCCGTACCGTAGTCGATCAGACTGGAACCCAAAGTATGTCAAATTCGAAAGTCGGTTTACAGGCAGCTGTACCATGGTGGGCTCGGGGCTTATGGAGAGCCTGGAGGGGATGGATCCGGGCCAACTGTCTGAGGACGAGGATGAAGATGAAGATGATTCAGACAGCTCCTAGTATTTCTTTGTTTGTCTGCTAATTTAGTGGAATCCTGCTATTGGGCGCTTTGGCCGACCTCTCCTCCAAGTCTCTTATCATCCAACGGCCTGGAGAGATAAAGGCGCGCCCTAACTTGACTAGCTTATCGAGACATTATACGAGCAATACAGTGTCTCCATTGGGCTACTGATAAGTAATTCCGATATCCGTAGCAATCGAATCCGAGTGCGCTTTACCCAGCTAAGCAGGTGCAAGGAGAGGCTCGGATAGTATAGACAGGCTGATAACAATACACAAGGATCTGGATAGCAACATCAGTTTACTAGAAGAGACTTTACGTAACTTTCACCACGTTATCTAGACCTCGTTATTGACTGCGAATGTTTGGTGTTTAAAAGGCTGACCAGGTAAACGTCAAGACATGAGTAGGCATCGTGCACAATGAAGTCTCCCTTCGGGCATCTCAGCCTCGGCCTTGCCCTATGCGAAGCAGCTCTAAGCTTAAGCATTCACCAACAATCACTGGACATCCTCAAGTTCAGCACGCCAGAGGTAACCGCCGACTCCCTTCACAACATCCACCTTAGCTTCCTCGACCCAGACTTCAATGGAGACCTCCACATCGTATATGGCGACTGCGAGACTGCAACCAGTACGACAAGCCACCATTCACTCGGCCAGCTAAGGGTGAAGCGCAATGCACACCCAGAACGCCTCGTCTGGATAACACCCGCAGATGCACCCCATCTGCACTGTCTACACGCCTTTTCACCGGAGACAGGGGTCCTAATGGCCCGATCCTCCCCAATAGCAATCTCCAAGCCCATTGCACGCCGCGAAGCCCTCGCCATAGCAAACTACGCCGACGCCACAGGACCCTGGTTCGACGGCGTCGCATACATGGCAGGCAAAGAACCAGGGAAGACCGCCGTGGCCGCAGCCAAGAACTCTTCCGTTGCAATTATCGGCGGCGGCATGTCCGGCCTTATGACCTCCCTGCTACTCTCGTCAGTGGGGATGCATAACTGGCATATCCACGAGTCCTCGCAGCGGCTGGGCGGGCGGATCCGCACGCAGTATCTCAATGGTACTAAACCTGAGGAGTACCAGTACCAGGAGATGGGGCCGATGCGGTTCCCTGTTAGCCTGAACTATCCTGAGAAGAATGAGACGCTGGAGATCCAGGATCATAAAATGGTGTTTCAGCTGGGGGATGTGCTGAATGGGTTGAATCAGGAGAGGAACCCGGAGTTGAAGGTGGATTTTATTCCGTTTGTGCAGAATAATGATAATGTTCCTGCTGATAGCGGTGGGAATCGTGTGAATGGGAGGATTCCGACCAAGGGCGAAGTGGAGGCGGATCCAGGGCTTGTGTATACCGCTGCTTCGTCGAATCAATCTGCTGTTGACGCAGCAGAGAAGGAATATGATGACTATGTTGGCGTTGATGGGCTGTCTATGAAGGATGTCGCAGAGAATATATTCCAAGCGCACAAGACTGCCGTTGATCATGGGCTGTTCCACTGGTCTGAGGCAGGGTACTTGCGATATGCACTTGGATATGATGCCAACATTACAGATTATGTTGCTGGTTCTGGTGGCAGTCCAATGTGGAATTCTATCTACGACAACGTCTACTTCTCTGCGAGTGAATGGCGCACTATTGACAAGGGCCTCGAGTCTCTGCCCAGGGCATTCTATCCCCATGCTGGGAATAAGACCACATTCGGGAGGAAGATTACTGGCCTGGCACATAACGAGACGACCGGGAAGATCGCAGTGAACTGGAGGGACGACCCCCTGCAACTAGCTCCCCAGAGCGAAGAATACGACTACGCCGTTGTAGCTGCACCATTCAGCAAAGTGCGACTATGGGATCTGCCCCGGTACTCGTCTCTGCTTTCTCGGGCGATTGATTCCATGAACTACAGCCCGTCGTGCAAGCTGTCACTGCTCTACGAGACCCGCTTCTGGGAGCACCAGGAGAAGCCCATATTCGGCGGGTGCGGCGAGGTTGATGTGCCTGGTGTTGGGAGTGTCTGTTACCCTTCGTTTAACCTCAATGGGACAGGCCCTGGCGTTGTCCTGGCTTCGTATACGAGCGGTACACCGGCACGATCTATCGCGGCATTGAGTCCGGAGGATTATGTGGGCATTGTGCAGCGCGCAATGGTGGACTTTCATGGCCCAATAGCCGCTGAACAGTTTACTGGTATTTATCCTCATAAACATTTTGTGCCTTGACTAACATCGTTCAGGTATTTATAACCGCCAATGCTGGGAAACAGATGAACACCAAGCAGGCGCCTGGGCATCGCCCTTCGTCGGGCAGCAGGAACTGTACCTCCCTGCGTACTATCAGACAGAATTCAAGACAATCTTCATTGGCGAACATACAAGCTACACGCACGCCTGGATCTTCTCAGCGCTGGACTCGGCGGTCCGTGGAACGACGCAGTTACTCCTGGATCTAGGGCTGGTGGATGAAGCAAAGCAGGTTGTGAATGAGTGGATGGGGCGTTGGATTAAGCTGTGATCACGCAATACTTTGTTAATAAATGGTTGGCAGGTACCGGGTATATAGCGGTGTAGTTTGGATTGGCTGTATAGGGAGCACGCTATCACAGTGGAGCAATAAATAGGCTATTGCCGGCTACCAGATCTGATCCATCCATCTACAACTATAAATCCCTCCAATTCCTATGACTCTCGTATAACACTCTCATATAACCAAAGGTTCAATCAAAATACTAAATAAAATGCAAGCAATCCGCCTCCACCCGGCTGAAGGTGTCCCCCCTTACAGCCCCTCCAACCCCGCCCCCTCGTCGGCACTGCACCTCGACACAATCCCAGTCCCCAAACCATCCAAGGTCGGCGAACTGCTCATCAAAGTCAAAGCATCGACAATAATCCGCGACACGCTGACATGGCCCGAAACATACAGCCATGAATACACCATCCCAGGAAACGACCTGGCAGGGACAGTCGTCGAAGTCTTCGGTGAAAACTCCAAGTTCAAGCCCGGCGATGACGTCTTTGGCATGCTCGCTGCGGACCGCCCAGGAGCATGGGCCGAGTACGCTATTGCAACTGAAAGCGAAGTTTCGTTGAAACCGGCCAAGTTAACCTGGGAAGACGCTGCCGCGCTGCCGTTGAGTGGGATGACAGCGTGCGAGGCACTATTTGTTCATGCCGGCGTACCAGTCCCTGGAAAGGACGTGGCCGTGAAGAATTCGAAATCCAGCGCTACTAGTGGAAGCAAGAAGGTCCTTATCACAGGAGCAGGAGGTGCCGTGGGTGCCTATATTGTGCAACTAGCCAGGCTCGCCGGGCTGCATGTCACCGGCGCAACGAGTTCAAATGAGCGTAATGCTGAATTTCTTCGTGGGCTTGGGGCAGACGATACCATCGAATACGCAGTCCTGCAGACAAAGGAGCAGAAGGAAGCTTACGACATTATCATCGACACCGTGGGAGGACAGCCGCTAGTGGATGCCTGGGCGTGCATCAAAGCGGATGGAGCGCTGGTTACAGTGGACTCAAGCAGCTTCAATTTCCTCGAGGAGCACACCAAGCGCGGGATTCGACGAGAAGGAATTAAGGCATTGTTCTTTATCATAGAGGGTGGTCCTGCTAGTTTAAACGCCCTGGCAGAGTTTGCGGACCTGGGGTTACTTCGCGTGTTTGTACTGGATTCTTACCCTCTTGCGAAGGCCCGTGAGGCGTATGACCGTGCAAATGGACGGCTGACAGGGCGAGGGAAGATTATTCTCTCCGTGTGAGAAGCAGTATACTGTACCTAAAAGTTAGGCTACCGCCGATCACAGAATGAATACGAGGCTGACGCAAGATTTTCAGCCTCGACCTGCCCCTCTTTTATAAATTCTTAATTACCCTTCAATTACTATTCCGTCCATAACTGTCGTGTAGAGAGCAAAATGACTGCTACGTGGAATTGCTATTGTGCCCTATGTTCCTGCTCACTGGGCGGCAACTCCGACCTGGGATCGAAGGAGCCCAGAAAGCTGAGGCGTCGGCGCGCGCGCGTCGCAAGGCGCATCTACTGGGAGAGCAGAGGGGGTAGTCGGCACGACGAGACCGAAGATGAGGAGGAAGAGGAGAAAGAGGAGCGGCTGCGGAATATGCCCGAGACGGATTCCGGGACAGAGCAGGGAGATGACAGCGTGTGCGAACTGACGTCGTATGACCCTGAGCTGCTGGGCCCGGCCGACCTTGACTGGCTTCTTGTTATTGGAGGGATTGGACTTCATGGTCCTGGCTCTGGTGCTGCTTCTGATACTCCGAGGTGTGTGTGGCCTGAGAGTGTGAAATTACCCTCCAGGACTAACCGGATATACAGATATTTTATGGCCGATCTGGACTATGATGACTGCGTAGGCATATGGAGTGCACATTCCGGTAGCGATGGCTAACTATTCATACTATATAGAATTTCGCAACCATATCTCATAGCGATGGTATTATCGACCCTCACCCTCGCTCAGCATACCGTACTCACCTCTCATAGATCCGGACGCACCAGAGGAAGGCTCCGAGGTACACTGGTAGGACCAGCAGTCTCCGCTACACCAAATCTGTAAACTAAACCCCGTCTTGTCTAGCTATCACGGCCCAGAAGGTGGGCTCGTCGTTTTCCCCTTCCACTGGTCCTGTCTCCAAGTCCTGTGTCGGGCTATACTCGGACAGACTGACTACAAGGACCTCGATAAGAAGGCCCTCTACGACGCCATGTCCTCGGGAAAGACTCTCGGTAGCATCAGCCTTCCGTTCGGCGATATCACAGGAAATGACCAGGACTGGCACTGCGTTCCGGGCGAAGAAGTTCGTGATTCATTCTTGATTCTTAACTTAACAACAACTCACCTGCCTAGTATTCCGTAACAAACCCATTATGTACTTCTGCTCTCGATCTTCAGGAAGTCGAAAGGTTCTGCAAAGCAACAAATGATACAGTCAAAGAAAGTCCTGATCTCAAGAGTAAAGTGCAGAACGACCCCTTCAAGTCGTTACCCCATGAGATCACCGACATGATTATGGATAACCTCCCAGGACAGTCTCTAGTGGCACTCCTGGGTGCCTCATGGACTATGTATGCGCGCACGCAGTACTCGGAGTTCTGGAAACGCCGCCTCTATCGGAAGATGCGGTGGATCTGGGAGCTGCGAGAATTTCTCGAGCTGCGCGAGGACTCTACTATCGACTACAAAGGGCTCTATGTCTATTTGGATGAAGTAACGACACCGAAATATGGTATAAGGACGTGGTTGGCTCTTGCGAATCGCCGAAGGATATGGGATGCTTGTGAGGTACTGGCTAAGAGGTATCACCGAGTGAAGCAGGGAAAGACAGTGGAGCCGGTTGGTTAATTGATTTCTATGTATTAGAGACTATCTGTTCTCCTCCCTAGTTTTGAGTCTATCACATATTATCAACGGGGGCTGGACGGCGACGATTATAGCAGTTGCCTCGCGCAGACCAAATCCAACAAGTCAACAATTAGTACAAACAAAAGCCAGCACACAATCTGACAAATGTACGGCAAGTATTCGGTGACCGAACCATGTCGTGCAACAACTGCCGAGCGTGGGCTGATTCGCCGCATCAGACCATATCCTGCCTAAATATATTCCTCTCTTTTTCCAACCCGACGATGACCAAACAACTAATGTTCATACGGAATATATTCAAAATGTCCTCTTCGTGTTTGAATCAAGTAGCGCTCTCCAACCCCGAAGCCCACATCATCGTAGTCGGCACCGGCCTGGCCGGCCTCTCCGCCGCAACCCAACTCACAACACACAGCATCCCCGTAATCCTGCTCGACCGCGCGGATCGACCTGGAGGAAACAGCATCAAGGCCTCGTCCGGAATAAACGGGGCTCCGACGAGGTTTCAGCCCGTTCCAGATGAGGAATTCTACAATGACACCGTCCGGTCAGCCGGGAAGCCGCTTTCGACAGCCGGCGCAGAGGACCGGGAACGCCGTGAAAGATTGATTTCGACTGTTACTAGGAGCTCTAAAGATGCAGTGCATTGGCTTTCTGATGAGATGGGGGTGGACCTTAGTAAAGTTGCGCAGCTGGGTGGGCATTCAAGGCCTAGGACTCATCGCGGAGCTGGAGGGAAGCCACCTGGTGCTTCAATTGTCGGGACTCTATTGGAGGGGTTAAAGAGCAATCCATTTGCTGAGATCCGAACGAACTCGCGTGTGACGAAGGTGCTGAAGGAGGCGGAGGAGGTTGTTGGTGTTGAGTATGTTGCTGACGGAGAAGCCCGAACGCTCCGTGGACCGGTTGTCTTTGCCAGCGGAGGATTTGCTGGTGATGTCCGTGGGATGGTATCCAAATATAGACCGGATCTTGCAGGACTGCCCTCGACGAACGACGCGCGAGAAGGGTCACAGCCGTTGCTGGTTGATGTTGGTGCGAGGTTGATTGATATGGAGCAGATCCAGGTCCATCCCACGGGATTTTTGGACGAAAAGGACCAGTCTGCGACAGTTAAATTCCTTGCTGCAGAGGCACTACGAGGTGAGGGCGGGATACTGCTGTTGAATAACGGAAAGCGGTTCGTCAATGAGCTGCAGACAAGAGAGGTTGTTACGGATGCAATCACCCAATCTGCTTCACTCTTAGAGACAGACATTCGACAATGGGACGTTACCCTGTTACTCGACGAAGGTGCGGCGTCTGCGCTGGACTCTCATATGCAGTTCTATCTCTGGAAGGGCTTAATGCGCAAGACAACGATGGGCGAGCTAGGACAGGAAGTTGTCAACACTGTACAAGCATACGCCGACGTCGTCTCTGGCAAGAAGGAAGACCCATACGGCCGGACATCCTTTGGCAACTGGACACTCAGTGATGTCAAAGCCGAGTCTGTTGCGTATGTGGGCAAGGTGACGCCGGTGCTGCACTTTACTATGGGCGGAGTCCTGTTCAACGCCGAGGCTCAAGTCCTGGACGAGCAGGGCGAGCCAATACGTGGTCTATGGGCTGCAGGCGAAGTGACTGGCGGACTGCATGGCCAGAACCGTCTCGGAGGGTCATCACTCCTTGAATGTGCAGTCTTTGGCAGGATTGCCGGCAACGGGGCAGCGGCCTTCTACCAGCAGCATTATATACGGTGACTGGTGTATAGGGAAATGTGGATGTATTGCTAGTGCTGACCCATATTGTGGAGAAACTAAACAGGAACATCACATAAATAGATATAAAATGTATACTTGTGTTGTTAAATATTGGCCGCTGCCTTAATAATAAGGCTATTATTAGCACCCCCTCCCACTCTCTCTCTCTCGCTCGCTTTGGCTCTCTTTCTTTTTCTCCCTCTCCTCTCTTCTCCCTCTTCTTAACAAAATGTGAATCTGCCTCGTGCCGTCGCACTCCCCAAGCCTACTTCCTGGCCGCCAGGTACCAGCATGGCCTTTGGCAACTCGTCAAGATCGCTCGTCCAGCTGCCCGCCGAGATCATCCTCGCCATCGCCGAACCCCTCGACGTCCACGACCTCAACGCCCTCCTTCGCTCCTCGCGCTACCTCGCCAGCCTCCTGCATTCCCGATTCTATCGCCTCGCTACCAATTATACTTTCCGCCGGCGCGGTCAACGGAAATCGCCGCTGACATGGGCTGCTGAAAACGGGCGGGCCGCGACCGTGCAGAAGCTCTTGGACGCCGGCGCAGACGCCACATCGCTCGTTGACGGCCTCTCCCCATTCCACTACGCCGTCCAAAAGGGCCACACGGAGATCGCGCGGCTGCTCCTCGACGCTGGGGCGAATCCCACCCAGCTCACAAGGAATGGCGATGTCCCTTTGATTCCCGCCGCCGAGCACGGCCACGTCGATACAGTGCGCTTGTTACTCCAGGTTACAAACACAAATACCCCAGCTGAGCGGCTGGATTACAGACGGGCGCTGCTGAGGGCGGTTTACTTTGGCCATCTTCGTCTAGTGCAATTTATGCTTGATAATGCCATCAGCGCTCCGTCTGCAGGGGATGGTTCTGTTGGCAAAGGGTGGCTCGATATAGCGCGGGACCATGATTTAATTTATCAGGCCGCACGCTCCGGCCACTGTGATATAATACGGTTGCTGCTTGACTATGGAGCCAAGGTCCCCCCGGTACATCGCAGGTCAACGCATCCGCTGGTGGTTGCTGCGCAGAACGGGCACAAGGATGCGGTCCAGCTGCTTATCGCAGCTCGAGCCGATCCGACGTACGAGGAGAAACAGCGAGAGGCAGCCTCGCAGAACGAGGTTTCCCCAGATGACGTTGCGCAATTCCTGCTCGACTCCGGCGCTGAGACGCATGCCGCTGGGAAGAAGTTCTCGGCCATGATGTCTTCAGCTCAGCCAGCAAGTAGTCTCACGGTTCGTCTTTTCCAGAAATACGGGAAAGACCTTGTCCAACCTACCAAGGACGGTCGGACACCGCTGCAAATTGCTTTAGAGGAATTCAGTCCTCCAGATGTCATACACCTACTACTCGAGCTCGGCGCAGACGTGAATATCAGAGGGCTTGACGGGTCTACGGCACTGCACACCTTGGTCCGGTTGAAGAGGCATGACCTGCTTGAAACTTTCTTATCGGCTGGTGCGTCGCTGAAGATTTCTGACAACCAAGGGAATACCCCGTTACTGCTGGCGGTCGCGGTGTCCAATGTTTCAGCTGCTTCGCTGTTTCTTCAGTATGGGGCGGATTTCTCAGTATCAGACAGCCAAGGGAGAACCCCTCTGCATATTGCTGCATCCCATACGTCTGGTGTGATTTTGTCGATGCTTCTCAACACCGGCGCCGATATCTCTGTACGAGATCGTGACGGTCGGATCCCGCTACACTTTGCGACGCTGTCTGGCAACCCCACGATCTTCAAGGCTCTTCTCAGCAGACACGACAAGACCGGTATCGACCCTCTTGTGAGATCACAAAGCGGCCGGACAGTGCTAGAGCTGGCGGTAGAGGGCGGCCATATGGCTCTGGTGGAGCTGTTGGTTGAAAGAGGAGTCGACATCAACAGCCACTGGGAAGGATACTCAGCCCTGCATTCTGCCGTCGCGAACAAGCACCCTGAAATCACCGAGTATCTTCTCACCCGTGGCGCCGATCCCCTCCGATTGGACTTTTACGGGCGCACCCCCTTCGATTGGGCATCGGGAGATGGGACAATGCTGAATACAATGGTGCGATCCTGCGACATCATCTACCGCCGCACCAATCTAGAAACACGCATGTTTACACTCAAAGACAGCGTGGTCCGTTTCGGAACACGGATATTACACGGACAAACCAGCGACTTTTACAAACTCGCCAAATGCCTCATATACCTGAACAACGGCGACGCAGCGCTGTCCGTATTCAGACAGGCAGCCAAGGCAAGAGCCAGTGAAGAGGACCTGCGGTACCCGATGTGCTGCAGTGGGTGCAGGAAGCGATTCAAGCAAAGCGGGCGGTCCGACGTGATGGTCCTGGTCTGTCGAAGATGCCATGACCTCGAGCTCTGCGACTTTGTCGACACTTCTCCGTTCTTAGGCTTTTATTCGACGGATGCGGGTTTTGCTGTGGACCCCACGCCTAATGCTGATAAGGACAGTGCCAATGCGACGATGTGGAAGGGTGAACTTGAGGAGTTGATTGAGCGATATTCCTGACCCGCCTTTGCGTATAGCAGGTGCCAGTCAGCGTTCCAATGACACTACAAGTGTTCTTCCCATACCCTCGATAGGTCTGTTTGCCCCCCCGTTCACCTGATGGTAACTCCCTGGTGGACAAGTAAAAAGAGGCTCAAAATAGGGCCAGGAGCGGAACATATCCGGATGCCCTAGTTAAAACTTAATAAATATATACAGCACCCTTTTGAGGCGGGAAAGCTATCTGAATATATCAGCATGTATACTCGGTGTCCATTGACGACCGCAATGTATGATTAACCACGCGGGGATGTATACTGTATATACCTGCTCCTATACGTACTTGATCTTCTAGAATCGTTGCGACTTGCCTTATTTGGATCAGGCCGCTTTAATGAGGGCGCTCAGTGAGCGCTCAGGTCCTACTCACCCATCTAGAAATATTTGAAGATGCCCGGGTATTTTCTTCTGTGCTTGATATCTAATATCTATTTCATTAATAACCAGGACTCGGAATTCCCTGTCTGCTAGGGGCTTTGAGCCTTAACATAAATATTTAAGTTACAATGATATTTGTAAGGCCTTGCAGGTAGTCAATTGATCATATGTATATGATGACTAGCTACATGGCCTGAATGCTACTCTGTAGGCTATCGGCGAAATATGGTGCGATACCATCTACCTATGTAAGCCATTTCGGCCACAAGGCCTGGCGTTGGATACACTGGTGGAAACAATGCGCCTAAGCTTTCCCTATGGGCGAGGTTGCGACTGGGAACGTGCTGCCCCTTTTCCAAACCCATGCGACTAGGCAGGACGTGCAGGCCATTATACTATTATGTAATTGGTTATCTGCTAGTTATACATTGAACACCTGGCCGGCAGTGATGTTGCTGGTACGGCCTCTCCCCAATTACCTCCCCCAGCGCCTGCCTCCACCGATTCAGAGATATTCGGATCGCAGATTTCGTCTGTGCGAGGTATAAGTCGTGTTATCTCGGAAAGTAGCGAGTGCATTACGCTCCAGCGAGGTACTTCGTCGGCTCCGCCCCGCAATGCAAAGAATCCGGGGGCGCGTTGTGAATTTCTATCGGCACTCTTTGGTGTATGAATAGCGGATGCACTTGGAAGTAATAAAGTCATATCAGCAAGCCACAATATATGATTTGCCCTCAGGATGGAGAAGGGAACATGACGATACCGTGCTCGCAGTACCCTAGGCAGGCACACTTGGTTCGTATTAACGCAGTATGTGCATCGATGGCAGCGTTTTTTTCCGGACTGATGACAGAAGTGGTCCGAGTATACCCACATTTGTTGCTTGTCTTCAAACCCTTGTTCTCTCAGCTATTAACCTCGGCTGAATTAGGGAGTTTGACATAACCCAACCCTCCATGGATGTAATCTCTTCCATTGCAGTGATTAGTAGCAGCGTCCGATCCGAGGTAGAGGCAAGTGTCGTCAACGGCCCCTACCGCAGTTTTGCACTTAAAAGGCTTCCATATACCCGTGTGTGATTATCGTCACAACTCCTCAACTCATCACCTTAATCATGTCTACTCAGAAGGCCGTCATCGTGACCCAACCTAAGACCGCGGGCTTGGTCAGCTCCCGTGCCATTCCTAAGCTCCGCGATGATTATGTCCTCGTCAAGACCGTCAGCGTGGGTCTGAACCCCAGTGACTGGAAGCACATCGACTTCCTCTCGCCCCCCGGGGTACTGTTAGGAGGTGATTACTCTGGCGTTGTCGAAGCAGTTGGCAAAGACGTCAAACTACCCTGGAAGAAAGGGGACCGTATCTGCGGTTCCACCCATGGTGGTAATGCCGTTCAGTCTGAGGATGGCTCTTTTGCCGAGTATATTGTTGTCAAGGGTGATGTGCAGCTTCGAATCCCTGAACATCTTAGCTTCCAGGAAGCTGCCACGCTTGGGGCTGGCATTCAGACTGTCGGTCAGTCCCTGTATCAAACTTTAGGACTGGCTCTACCGCCACAGGCACCCTAGCAATCCAGTTCGCGAAGCTCTCTGGGTACCAGGTGTTCACCACATGCTCGCCGCACAACTTCGACCTTGTCCGTTCCCTTGGCGCGGACGCTGTCTTTGATTACAATGACCCGGATTCCGCCGCTCAGATTCAGAAGCAGACGAACAACAGCCTGAAGCTAGTCTTGGACTGCATCTCCCTTCCTCCGAGTGTCGCTTTCGCCGACAAGGCACTATCAACCGAGGGCGGCGAGTACCTGTCACTCTTGCCCGCGAATATCGAACGGGCGAACGTCAACAGTCGCTTCATTCTAGTCTACACCTCCCTTGGCGAGGCCTTCAGTTTCGGCGACATGCCTTTCCCCGCTAAACCGGAGGATTTCGAGCACGCCAAGAAGTTCACCCAGGTAGCTCAGGCTCTTTTAGATCTGGGCAAGGTGAAAGTTCATCCTCCCAAGGTTGGAAAAGATGGTCTACGTGGTGTCCTGGAGGGAGTTGAGCTCCTCAGGACTAACAAAGTCAGTGGTGCGAAGCTGGTTTACAACGTTGCGGAGACTCCTTAGTCACACAGATCTACAATTGTATACTACGTTCCTGATACGCAGGTGAATGTAATTGGTTCAATCATTTTGCACAATGTTCGTCGTCTTTGCCGTAGTTATGCTTAGAAATAACTACCTCAACCCAACTAACTATAAGCTTTTCACTGGTTTTGCCACCAGTGGGGCATCGATCGGAATGATGAGTGATCAAGCCGAGACCAAAGGGTTAACCTTAACTTTGCCTCCCCGGCGCAGGTCCAACTATCCGTCTGTCAGGGAACGCTGGTGGGATTCTGCTAATACATCGCCCTACTTCCTTTTGAGCTTATCTGCGAAATTATTCGGCCCATCATGGACCGACAAGCACCTAGTGACCCCCCTGTCTTTGATTGGGGTGATTTCGATCAAAGCTGGGGTTTGGAGTCCGAGCCCGCTAATATCGCTTCATTGCTCTCGGCCCGCTCCTATCTCCTGCCCGGGTCGTATCCCTCGCCAAATGCTCAAAGTAGCAGTACGCCGTCATCACTCCGTCCGGGCGACCTCGGCCTCGAACAAGCATCTTCCTCCAATCAGACAAACACAAATCAAGCAACCCCCACTAAACCGATGGCACCACGCCCTGGTGCGAAGAAGGCCCGCCCAGCGAAGGACGCCCGTGGAGCGCCTAGCAAGGAGAATCCTGATCAGGTTCGTGTCCGTTTGTAGGGGTATCCGATATGTCGATCTCCACTCATGTCGTGACAGCGTCGCCGAATGCAGACCCGCGTAGCTCAACGTGCATATCGGTCCCGACAGCAAGCCATGATCGACGGCCTCAGGAACCGCATTTCCCTGTTGGAGACTTCAATGGAGAAAACGAGCTCCGCTATGTTGTCGTTCAGTGAGAAGCTGGTCCAAAGTGGGGTGCTTAAGGGACACTCCGCTCTAACAACGGATTTACGTGACACGATGAAAGTGTTCCACACTACGGCATCTGGGATAGTGGCCCTAGACGACGACGAAATCAGGGTGGAACAACAACAACAACAACCGCCCACAGTCAAGTGGCTGTCACCCCTGGATGGCACTCAGTTATCCCACCCGGCTAATTCAGCGAAGATGACGATCATAGAGGTATCTGCATTCATTCAACAACTGCTCCTAGTAGCCCTCTACCAGAGCCATCTCGCCCTCCGCGATACGTCCATCGGCATGGACCAACTCCAACGGCCCTTTGGGCTTCTCCTTAGCATGATGAACCGGGAACGCTTAACTTCCTACTTCAACGCAGAATTACATTCTCTGCTGAGCCAAAAGCCGATGGATGGATGGGACGACGTCCCCTTTTTCAGGCTAGGGGGTGCAGGGACCCATTATGCCAATGGGGAGAACACCGGTCCTGGTGCTTTTGTCGCTCGTCACCAGAGCCGGGGGACCGTGGAGGACCCCTTGTCACTAGTCGGTGCGGATTTGCAAACGCAGCTGGAGGGAGACTGGTTTGATTTGCAGGACCTGGAGGGATACATTCGAGAGAAGAATGTGCTCCTGGTTACGGCGGCTGGTGAGCCAGCAAAAGGCTCAAAAGTACAGGCCAGTATCAATGTCTTCCGCTTCATCACTGGTAGGTATCTGTCACCCCTGGTTTGTAATGATTATTCTGACCTTGATAGCGCTGGTCACCAGAGGGGTTTGCCTGGGTCGGTCACCTGGGTTTCAACGCAAAGATGTAGAGTTCGCCCTGTGTTTTTCGAAAGTTGCTTGAACTTGAATTCATGTAGATGAGTGTTAATAACTGATACACACTCGATGGGTCTATTTTTACTGTATCTATTTTAGTTCTTGTCAACTTGTTTACTGGTATGGAGAAGCCCTCTAAATGGCGAAAGTGGGGTTAAGATGTAAGATAAGGTTAGATACTAGTAATTCGGAGTATATCACTAATCACTATTTGCAGAATGCTTGCAAGTTCCACTTGACTTCTTTTCAAACCGCTGTGGCCTGAAATCAAGCTCGGCCAAATAATGGAACCGGGAATGTCTCGTTATCCATCCGACGGGTGCTCCAATCCTTAAATTGGTCAGCCTGGGGCAAAGTCAATCGGCCTCCGCCACCATATGTTGCTAAATATATAGGTTAGACTTCCAGTCTCATGAACGCATGATTGGTGATCTACCTAGAGACTGCTCGCATCCGTAGACGTTCCTTTATTGGATTGCTTATTGCTTCAAAGAAAGATCTTAAGTTGCGCTCCAAACCATTGATCACAAACATGGGCCAGAAGACAGTTCTCATTACAGGTTGCAGTGAAGGAGGGATCGGTGATGCTCTCGCAAAAACCTTCCACAAGAAGGGGTTTCGAGTCTTCGCCAGCGGTCGGAATACCGCCAAAGTCCAGCACCTCAAAGACATGGGCCTCGAAATTGTACAGCTGGATGTCACCAACGAAACGTCAATCAAACAAGCAGTGGCAACCGTCAAGGCTGCGACGGGTGGATATTTGGATTTCTTGATCAACAACTCGGGCGGTGGTACGTACCCTATAGCCTCTCTCACGGCTTCATCAAACAGCTTACGCTGACCATCCTTGGTAGGTTACAGCATGCCCTTACTAGACTCAGATGTGTCGGTCGCTAAGAAGATGTTTGATGTAAACGTCTTTGCCGTCGTCACCGTCACTCAAGCGTTCGCGCCTCTTTTGATCGCCGCACAAGGGACAATCATCAACATTGGGTCAGTCCTGGGCAAAATGCCACTTCCATGGCAGGGGTATTACAACGCAAGCAAAGCTGCAGTTGCCATGTTAACCGACCAGATGCGCATCGAGTTCTCCCCGTGGAAAGTCCGCGCAATCCTCGTCACAACGGGCGCAATCAGGACCAAGTTCCTGGACAACCTTGCCAGTGCACCACGTCTACCGGAGAACTCTCTCTATTACCCTGCAAAGGATGTGGTTGAGCCCTCAATGACTGGAGCTGAGATTGAGAAAAATGCCATGGATGTCAATTCCTATGCCGAGATCGTTGTCAACAACGCGATCCGATCAAGCCCTAAGAAGCATCTTTGGTCAGGGGGAGGGGCCTGGATTACTTGGCTGGCTTCAACGTTTGGCTGGTCGACTATATGGGTAGGCAGTTTCCCATTTATCCCCATCAATTCACGAGGAAATAAGCCCTATTCAGCGTTGCTAACTTGCAGCCTCAGGATACATTGCTCCCTACTCTCGCCCACCTGCCGGATATTACCAACAAGATCCGTGCAGGGGAGAAGGCCGAACAGGGTCGCCAGAAGGCAAAATAATCACACTCGTTTTTATCATGCGTATTTGAACGTAACATTCGTTTTCGTGCCTTCTTTTGTGCTCTTTTCTTATCGCCCGTGTTTATTTCTGGCGTTTTGCTCGCAATGTATACATACTTATATAATTCGGCGACACTGGCTATCAGTTTATCTTTACTTTTCATCCAACTATTGAACCATATTGATTGTCCAACGAGCAGTTTGATTAAACCCGTAGTTGGAGTTTCTGTGAGAAGGCATAGTTTGTATGTTTTATAGGGTTGATGTGACCCTACCGGCTGGTCAATGTCCTACCATGGTTCGGACAGGACAGTGTGCTTTCATGTTTACCAAGCAATTGCCACTTCCCGATGTATGAGTGGACAGCTCGTCGCACGGTCGGGCATTCAACTCATCATCCCGACTCCGAGGCCCCGCTTCAATGGTCGATCGATTATAAGAGCCACTTTTGCGGAGTAAATTCATTGCAAGAGGGTTTCCGTCGTCTTCGTCAACATCATAGATTCAGTACAGCCCACGAGTCCTCCAGCTGTTCAGTCTTCCATATCCTGTCATCACAACAAGGCATGCCAATGAAAGCCGTCGTCTCGCATCGATTCCTGCCCAGGCGTCTTCTGAGTTTCGCTCTCGGTAGTCCCCTCGGGCAGGGCGCGCAAGTCTACGATGTTCCGATCCCAAGCATCACCGATAACGAGGTCTTGGTCAAGGTCCATGCGGTCGCGCTGAATCCGGTCGACTTCAAACACATCGATTTCATTTCCCCGCGCAATTCGGCCATTGGCTGCGACTACGCAGGCGAGGTTTCTCGCGTCGGCAAAAATGCAGCACAGCGCTGGAAGGTTGGAGACCGAATCGCTGGCTTTGTCCACGGTGGCGCCTATCCCGACGTCGGCTCCTTCGCCGAGTACCTGAAAGTCGATGGCGACTTTCCCTGGAAGGTGCCTGACGAAATCACCCTAGGTGAAGCCGCCAGCTACGGAGTTCCCGCCGCCACCGCGATGCTGAGTCTTTCGTATCTTAACATTGGCTGGGCGGATATTGAGAACGGACGAAGCAGCGCTCAAGGCGACCAACCGACCATTCTCATCTATTCAGGAGCCTCGAACGTCGGCTTGTTCGCTATCCAACTGGCCAAGCGGGCAGGATACAAGGTTGTGGCAACGGCATCGCCACGTTCCTTCGACCTCGCAAAGCGTTACGGAGCCGATGCAGTATACGACTACCGGACCTCTGCATCCATTGACGAGATTAAAAAAGACTATCCAAACATCACGGGGGCCCTGGACTGCTTTTCCGAGGGCACTTCTGCCGCCTTCTGTGCGGACGTGTTACGAGAGGGCAAGGTGGTTACACTGCTTGACCAAGGGACGCCGAAGAAGGCAAATGTAAGCTACAGTTTCCTCATGGTTTATACTGCGCTCGGCCGTGAGTTCCAAATTCTGGCGCCCCTTGGCCCAGTGTTCCCGGTAAGGCCAGCAGACCGCGAGGTCATCACCCAGTTTTATGGTCACTTACCCACCTTGTTGAGCCTTGGTGTTGTGAGGCCTCCAGCCATCACAACGACCAAGGGTGGATTCGATGAGATATTTGAAGGCCTACAAACACTCCGCAACGGAGAAGCTCGAGGCACAAAACTAGTCGTTGAGTTTCAATGATTGACAGCCTGTACTTCTCACTCCCGTCTTTGCCTGTCTTGTTATTTCCGAGCTGTGATTCCTGGGTCTGCATTTATCTTTATCGTCGACGTCAGTACTCTTGTTGATCTCCTCTAAATGTGTAATATGGTATTTGTATAGATAATCATATAACTAGGTGCCAAGTCCAGCACTCAGCTTTCCATTTAACACCCCATTAAGTCGCCAGCACAAGGTTACTACTACACTTGCTCACTGTGTAACAATACCTTCGTTTGATTTGGTCCCAACTGCCCCAGGTGGTCAAATTGGAACTACAAATTAGTGGTCTGCTTTGCTTATAATGACAAGTTCTTACTGTAGCTTCGCAAACTTCTAGTTCTCCGTTGATGGATCTATACACATACCACCTTTATTGTGTACCACCTACTGAGTCCTATTAGCCCCATTAGCCCCATTCGAAACCGGCAAAACCGACGCGATAACACCCAGTCCCTCTCCCTCTCGAGTCCAGAACGTAGGCTGCAGTCCTACAGACTCAAGCAGACTCTTCCACTGGCTGCGCGTACGCTCAAGTCCAGAGCAGAACACCAAGACCGCCATATCCGTTGTTCCATGGAGATACTCTGCGTTCTTGTCAGGCAGGATATACTCCTCAATCACCAGCTTAGAATATCCAGCCTCCATAGCAGCAACGACGTAATTGAGCAGCACGCGCGCCTTCTCATCAGACCAGTCGTGGAAGACGAATTTGAAGTAGTACACCCGGGCTCCTGTCACATATTAGCACCTGTCTCGCCATATATATATATATATATATACAATTCAGGCAGAGAGATAAAGTATTGACTTACCTTTAACCGGATTCGGTTCCTTAAAGAAATCATACTTGACACCCTCGATCCCACACTTATCCAACAAAGGCGCCGCCTCATCAATGACACTCGGCAGATCCTCAAGCACCAGCTTCCCCGGCGCATCAGGGAACTTCTGCTGAAAGAGCATGAGATCATGTCCGCGACCGCCGCCAATATCAACCAGCAGCGCACGCTCGGGGTTACTCCTATCTGCGCCATCAAGAATGTGCTCCTGGATCGGGAACCAGTCGCCCCAGTGGACGCGGTTTGCACGCTGGCCTTCCATGAAGTTGTTGAAGCGGGTGAGGGCGTCGGGGTGCTCACAGAGCCAGGTGAAGCCGTCGGTCTCGACGCCGTGCGTGTACTGCAGCGGGGCGCGGAGGGGGTCTTGGGGGTTTTGGTAGTTTGTGGCGGCGAGATATTCTGGGGTTTTTGTGAGAATGGGGAGGAATTCGCAGAATCTATTCAGTTTCGCGTTCGTTAGATATGAGAGAAATAAATGGAGGGAGGTGTGTGTGTGTCGTACAGAGACTCGACTGTGCCGATGGTGGCTCGGTTGACCATGACCTTTGAGATGGCTGTTGGGAGGTAGGTACTGGGTTCGGGCTCTTCGACGATATCGAAGGAGACGAGGAGGCGCATTATGCGTTCTAACGGTTCATTAGCAGTGTTTTTATTTAGTAGACTAGCTGACAACGTACGGAGGAGGAGAGGGTCGGCTGCCCTCACTGCTGCCAGCTCCTTAGCTGAGACAGGGGATGTCGCTTTCTCCAGTACGGGGAACACTCCCATATCATGGGCGACTTTGAGGGCCATGAAGACCATGGGCTGGAAGTTGTTAGGAAGCGTTAGAAAGCGTCCAACGTGTGCTTCAAAGAGTCGGGCTCACTTGGTATGAAAGCTTCAAGATGGCATCCTTGGGCTGCTCGAGAGCGCGCTGGATCTTGGTGACCTTAGCCAAAGCTTCGATTCGAGCTGTTTCCGACTGGGCCTTTTGAAGGCTTTCGAAAGATGCCTGAGCATCTGCCCAGAGATTTTGAAGCTGGTCTTGGGTCATGGTGCTTCAGTGGAGGGTTACGGAGTACTTGTGAAGTGGGTAGGACAGGCAGCCTCCAGGAGATCCCGGCATTAATAGCAGAAGACATTTACTAGACAGTTAGAGACACTTAGCCTGACCGACAGCATTTCCGAGTCCCAACTCTCAAACCGCCGCAGCTGATCGGCGGACCCATACGACGGCGTTGGACCTAAGCATCGCGGTATCGGGCTCGTGTTGACGGACCCATTCTTCTTTACCCTTAATCCATTGACGATGGATAGCTATTGTGCAAATCGTGTCTCCGGAATCCTTCCGTCTCGCTATTAGAAATGCTGCTCCACCAGATTGTCGCAGCCACCATCGTAGTTCATCATTTGCCCATACCCCGGTCGATGGACCCAATCGCGACCGGAAATCCCAATCTGACTATCGGGAATGTGTTACGACTCATTCTCCACCGCCGTCTGAGCTGCGCACGGCTCATCCGCTAAGTTGAATGTCGATACCGCCATGGGTAAGGTGGGCGCTGGCTGAGCTGTCAGGGTGCCCTAGTCAGGCGTCATACGGTCTATCCCTGTTGGTCCCGAGTGCTGGAATAGTGAGGGACTAATCCTTTTCCAATCCTCACAGACTTAGAGTTCATTTTTGCTTTTCCCACAGGAATGATAGTCTTGCTTGTCAATTCCAAACGGCCCAGGTCTCGGGCTGCAGGAGCTGGTGCCGTGTTTCAGCCTCCCCCTATATTCTATTTCATGTTCTAGAATATTAGATTCCTCTTGCTCTCTTTGTATATGGTGGACTGTTCTCTGAACCAACTATGGCCTACAATCTAACTGCTGAGCTCTTTGCAGAGTGGGCTTTGGGAATCCTGGTTGCCGGTGTGCGTATCTATACACGATGCTTCATCGATAACAGAAACCTCTACTGGGATGATATGTTTTTGATACTTGGTCTTGTGAGTATTTCTTAACTCATGCTGCATGTCTGCTAACTGAAACGGCCAGGTATTCTGGACAGTTATGACCGTAACTCTCTACCTTTGCACAGGTATGAACTCCATGGATATATCTGAGGAAGATACTGACAATGGACAGCTGTATACAGCTCTAACATCGGCCTGAACACCGAGACTGCCCTTCAAGTCCCCGACGATGAGGTGGAATTTTACAAGATCGGATCTGTTTGCGCCTTCGTTGCCTGGCTGGCGTATATCCTGGCAGTCTGGGCATTCAAGGGCGTGCTGGTCTTTCTCTATACCCGACTGACGTAGGACTCCATGTCTATTTTACAATATCTCTGCTAATCCAGCCAGAATGGGCCTCTGGCAGCATCGTCTGTCTCTCATGGTCGGGGCACTCACTGCCGGCACGTTCCTGGTATCACTGATATTCGACCTTGCAATCTGCCATCCGATTCACAAGAACTGGCAGGTCAAGCCTTATGCTGGGGGTATTCTAGAAATCGGACCATTCTCAACAGATTCAGCGGCTAATATATCATATCAACGTCTAGACAACTGCACCATCCGCCCATTGAACTACATCGTCATCGAAATCCTCAGCATCATGTACTACCCTCCTTTCACTGATACCAATATTCCTCACTAACTCCTCCAGAACCGACCTAGCAGTAATGTGCGTCCCCATCCCTCTCATCATCGTGGCCCGAATCCCCGCCTCGCAAAAGCTCATCCTCGCCGCCCTCTTCTGCTCCGGCATCTTCGTCATGATCTGCGCCATCCTGCGCGCCTACTACTCCGTCACACAGATCGACACCCTAGCAACAGCACTCGGGTGGGCATCCCGCGAATGCTTCGTCTCGGTAATCATCGTCTGCGCGCCCGGTATAAAGCCGCTTTTTACACGGTTTCGCTGGTTCCGGACCTACGGCTCTAGTAATGGATACACGAATTCGAATGCCAAGTCGAAGTCGCATGGGACTGGGAAGATGTTTTCGACGAAGAATAGCCATAACTTTAATACGCTGGTTTCGGCGCATGAGCGCGAGCCGTATGAGATGCGAACGACGATGGGGTGGAAGAAGGGGAGGGGGAGACGGTCATCAGATGAGAGTCAGGAGCATATTGTTTCGTCGACGCCGGATGGGAACGGGGATGGCATGGGGATTAGGGTTACCACTGATGTTCATCTGGCGCTGGAGGAGAGTCGGGTTGGCGCGAAGCAGTCTTAATTCGGAGGGACAGACTTGGTAAGAATATTGGATATCGAGTTAAAATCAGAATTTCCTTTGTTACCTGGTGCAAAAAATGTCAATTAAATAAGCCCTTACTGTTTTTCGTCGCTAGCAGTAGGTACAGGAAGGAAATAAAATCCAGCACTGAAAAGTAATGGCGCTAGCAGCCATCAATTCATGCAGACGCCGTATTATTTGCTGCTGCTGGTCTCGCAAGCTGCTCTGAAACGTTTCCCGAATACCCCCAGTTCAGGGCGTGTTGGTGTGCAGCGCCGCATACTGATGGAGCCTCTTAGCCTGGCTAAGCAGGATCTAAAGATTTAGGGCCACGATGTACTCAACCACACTGCTGTGTTGTCAGTTGTCACATTTCGCGTGATTCAAGCTGAGGTAGATAATTCCAACACGCGAAAATGCCCATTCTCCAAATCCTACTCGAGCGGCTGAGAACCGTAACCGGGGGTGTCAGGCAATTGCAACGAATGGCCACGAAACAACGTTACGTTTTCTTGACAGCGCCGCAGTGGGTCTGACTTGATCAGGCTCGCCTACCAAGCATCTAGTTGTCTTAGCCTCGGTGCTATCTAGCAGTAGCAGTACGTAGTGCCGTCACTACTATACTCCACCGATCTCTCCCAAAAAAATGTCAATTAAATAAGCCCTTACTGTTTTTCGTCTCTACCCTCAATAATATAATCTGATATTTAAACTAGCTATACTAGATATTAAAAATAATTAAATACTCTTTTTCTTTCTTAATCTAAATCTAGTTAAAGATAGCTACTATATTAAATTTAGTAAAGATTTTTACGTTAGATAAAATTGGTAGTTTTCGGGATCATTTGCATGGAGGAAAACCACGCTTATGTCATCCAAAAGGGCGCATGTATCAACAGCTGACTGCGGGGCAGCTTGCGGTGTGATGGAGGATAATAAATATTTTGTATTTTAAAAACTTTTGAATCAGAACATGTTCTCCCGCGGTATTCTTAACAAACCTGCACGAAAGCACTGTGACCATGAACTTCGAAGTCCTTGAAAGCAGTGTCCAAGGCCACTCACTTGTCGCGGACCGTCATTTCAAGCCCGGCGAATTAGTGATCCATGAACCAGTTCTCTTCAGCATTGCTACTGACCGACTGGGAGGCGCGATCAACAGTCGGGCTGATGCAATGCTGAGTATGCAGCAGTTGAGCCCCGAGGTGTTTCAAGAAGCCTTTGAGAGTGCACGTTTGAGCCAGGATCAGCTCCAATCATACAGCAGCCTCCAGGGCAGTTCGGATCTCAATCGATTCCAGATTATGAGCTACGACATGTGCGCCGAATGGTCGCAGACGCCAGAGGCCTTCGGCTACGGAGAGAAGGGCGCCTACCTAAACCACTCTTGCGAGTCGAATTTGATCTACTACTGGAATCCGCAAGAAGAACAAATGCAACTGAGAGCTCTAGCTGAGATATCTCCTTCTGAAGAGCTGACTGTCAACTACCTTGCCCCTGAAGTCTGGATGGACAAGGCAGAACGACAAGGAGACCTGAAGCATCTCCTCAAACTCGACCAATGTGAGTGCCGCAAATGCACAGGAGCGACTTCAGATGTCAGCGACGCCCGGATCAGGCACATCAATGAAATGGAACAAAATCTTGCGACCGTTGTCCGTGGTGGACACACACTCGAGGATGTTTCAAAGCTCACAGAGAGCTTTGTTCAGCAATGCGAGCTGGAGTTGGGTGGTAAGGCGACGCCGGAATCGACATTTCCTGTTTATTTGGATCCTCGCCTCATCAACGTGTCCGTCTCCCATCTTTTCTTCAGACCCAGGCACTACGCTAATGACTTATACCTAGATACCGCTTGGCTTCCGCCGCGCTGGACCTAGCAGGCCTCACGCAAGAGGCCACATCACTGCGAGGGAAGGCTGATTATGTGGCCGAGGCGTGCTTTGGAAAGGATAACAGCAATGTCTTGCAACACGAGGCCAGGTTTATGCGACGGCTGGGATTGACTACATAAGCTGGTGAAGGTAAACCGCAGAGCATACCAGAGGAGGAATCTGTCCGGCGCTAGCTCCCCCCAAAGGAGCTCGTCGACCTTTATCCAATATTCCGATATAGCACTCATAGATTTAGCACTCATAGATTCACCATAGACAGATAAGCAGGCTGGAAGCTTCGGCATACATACGTCTCTTGTCTTTCATCCCCCTTCGCGTAGCTGAGACTTTAACACGATCCCGGTCTCCCCACTTATTAGTACTTAATAACTTGGAATGAGTTCTTGTGCTGATACTATCGCTTAGAGCAAGATATCTGAAGATAGAGTTGAAAATGTGAAAATAAAATTTCATATCAGCATAAGTTTACCAATACCTATTTACAGTGTACATTCCAAGCACGGCCCAAAATTCTTTCTATTTTTTTTTGAAAACACCAATCGCCAAAGCCAATGCTTACAGACCGAGTTACAGTCTGGATGGGTTATTTGATGCACAACACGACATCGAATCAGCAGACGGGAACGCGTTCTTGGACATGGTGTCGACACAGACTGCGCTGGGAGGAACCCAAAGACCGGGGTTCTTCTGGTGGAAGTTAGAGGCGCGCAGCATGACGCTGACGGGCTCCGCGGGCATGATAGGAAAGTCCTCTGTACGGGGGAAGTGGGTCAGACCGAACTGGATGTAACAGACGAGATCGGTGTTCTCGATAACCTCGTTGCGCTTAGCCCAATCCAGAATGGTCGAGTTAAAGGGGTGGTTCTCCTCGCCGGTGGACTGGCACACATAGTCACCAGCAGGGAAGAGCTCGTAGTCCTTGTAAGGTGTGACCCAGAGCGGCTTGCGAGCGAAGGCAGCGCGGTTGTATACGGTGCTTCCGGGCTTTGCCAGCAGAGGCGGGCAGTTGTTATTGAGAATCTTGTAGCCTACAGGCTTCTTGGAGACCTCATTCACGCGGTTCGGGTTGATGATATCCCATGAGCGCTGGGTCTCGTAGCAGTAATCTGCGGCGCCCTCGAGAGATGTGCGGAGGGGGGTCTTCTTGCTGAGGAAAGCGTTGCCGTAAGGGTTTTCGGGGGACCCGACGGCAGCTTCGGCGGAGACAGCGTCACTTTGCACGACGGTATTGTTGGTGCCGTCAATTTCGGGGTCGACGCGGAGGGAGAAGATGTGCTGGTGGTTGTGGGCAGTCACTTCAGGAGTGACCTGGGTGCCCCAGGGAGCGGCAGTCTCAGTAGGGTGCATGCAGTAGGTGTTGAGCATGCCGGTGAGCTTCATCTCGAGCTTGTATGTGCCGTCCAGAGTGAATGTGTGGTAGAAGCCGTACTCGTAGTTGGCGGCGGTGATAATTTGAGAGATGATCAGCTTACGGTCACGAGCAGAGATAACAGTGCCGTCGCGGTAGTCAGTGTGCTTATATAGGAGACCATTATCCTCCTCGTGAATACATATAGCGTTCTTGATGACGGCCGCCTCGCCGCTGGCAGTAGACATAACTCCGTCCATGTAGTGAATGGCACCCTTGCAATCACAACCCAGCTTCAGGGAGTTGGTCATGAGACCTGTACCGTACTCGCCAACATCAAAGGCGTGTTTCTTGTGGTGAGGCTTCTCAGGGCAGCCGTAGGGGACGACCATCTCAACAACAGAGATACGGTTGAATAGAGTGCGCTCGCGATCCTCGTACATGTCATGGGAGCGGACGTCGGAGATAACAATACCCTCACGGTAGTTGAAGCCAATGTGCATCTTGTAGTTAGCCCACTGCAGCTCGTTGCCGCGCACTTTAAACGATACACCCTGGGGCTGGGTAATATCGATAGGCTTGAGGCGGTCGTGGTTATACTTGTCGCTAATAAACTCCGGGAGGTAGTTGTGCTCCTGCAGAGGAACACCAGTGCGCTCGCCGTTGACAAGGCGAATATCAACACTCAGAACCTCTTCCTTCTCCGTATCGGCAACAACGGTGAAGTCCAGAGGGTGGGCGTACTGGTTGTCGAAGTCAGAACTGCGGTAGTATACAAGACCCTGCTGGAGGCGGCGGTCAAAGCCCCAGCGCTCGTCGATACCAATAGCCCAAGCATCCACGAAGACCTTGGACATATCGGTGATGCCGACCTCGTTGCACGCGCGAATAACACGCGGGTCCCTCAGGCAGATGCGCTCCATAACATCCAGATCCTCCAGAGTCAGGGTGGGCATGGCGTTGTGAATCTCTTTGTAAGACTCGACCTTGTTCTTGCTCAAGTTCACAATGACCTCAGCGACTTGTTCCGTCTCGCGGATGATAACAATAGTGAAAGCCCTCCGATCCGGGGCAGGGATATTACCAGCCTTGAAAGCGGCATATTCAGCCTTGGGGGGCTCACGCAGGGTGATGCAGTTGAACTTGACGGTCTTGGGGTTGCAGTAGGCGCGGACAAGCTTGGCCGTCTCTGGAACCTCATGAATAGAGAGTTGATCTGCGAAGTGTCAATACTTGAACTTTTTCTTGTCTGGTATAATTTCGCTCACTTATCACATACCAAGAGGGTGGCGAGGGCCCTGAGGGGTCATGGCATGGGCGGCAACGCTATCACGGTCTCCCTCCCGGAAAATTGTATAACCTGGGATGGAAGTGGTATCAGGGGCAGAAGCCATGGTGAAAGATGGTGCGAACAAAGAACTTGAGAAGCTGGACAACCATCAACCTCGTCGGCGGGAGGCGTTTATATAGACGGTGGCACTTTGCAACAAATCCATAGATAGCCGCATGTACCTGCCCGATCAGGCAGTCCCGCAGTCCTGGGCTGGGTCGCGCGTATCTCGCGACTCTTTCCGACGATGGGCGGGTGGACCTGGCTCAAGTTGGCTCAAGCCTGGAGAAGACCGAGTGCCTTTCTGCTGCATCTTGTTCCTCCTCCTGCAGGGCAATATCTTTTGCGTAACTCGCTTTTGGCGGAGGTTTGGGCCAATCAGAGTGGTGATCTGTATGCCACTCAGGGTGACAGGAGAGTTTGGCTGATAGGGCAGGTTGAGCCCAGTGCATGCACTGTAGACCAATGATTATGTTAATTGACCACGTCAGGTACAAAATTAAGCTTGATTATAGTCGGGAAACCTCGTGCGAAAAGCATCGCCATCGGTCTCCCTGGCGTGTTGCTTGGACCTCCCCAATTCGGCTAGCGTCCCCGTACCCCAGATCGCAATTGATTGAGAGGAGATGGTCTTCTTCTCCAGACACGGTCCCAGCGGGCTCATTGACCTTCTGCTTCGGGCATGTCGTGCCGAATCACTTCTCAATGCTTTCTATCGGCGATGCAGCTGGTGTGGCGTCGGCTCCGAATTTTAAGGGCCGACTCCGACTGTTTCCTCTCAAGCCAAATTCTGTTGTAACACCTACACATTTCTTCTATCGCAATGGCTTCACTATCTGTGCAATGTACTGCCCCCAACGGCCGCGTCTGGTCTCAGCCCACCGGCCTCTTCATCGACAATCAATGGGTCGCGTCGTCTACTGGTGACAAGATCGCCAGTATCAACCCTGCGTACGTACACTGGCTCTTGCTCGTTTAGTGACTCCCATAGCGCTGATATTTTACTGTTCTAAGCACCGCTACGGAAATCGCCTCCGTTCATGCTGCCTCCGAGAAGGATGTTGATACCGCCGTCAAGGCCGCACGCGCCGCACTGAACAACCCAAGCTGGAGGGATCTCCCTGGCGTTGAGCGCGGTAAGCTGATGAACCGCCTGGCGCAACTCATCGAGGACAACCGCGAGACCCTTGCGACTATCGAGACGTGCGACAATGGAAAGCCGTATACCGTTTCGCGCGATGATGATATGACCGAGACTGCTGAGACTATCCGCTACTACAGTGGATACGCCGACAAGATCTTTGGGCAGGTTATTGGCACTACGCCAGACAAGTTTGCCTACACCGTGCGGGAACCGGTTGGCGTTTGTGGCCAGATTATCCCGTAGGATTTCTTCCCATTAGTAACTTTTCTTTCATTGCTGCAGCTAACAGCCTTAGATGGAACTTCCCTCTCTCCATGGCTGCTTGGAAACTTGGCCCTGCCCTTGCATGTGGCAATACAGTCGTCCTGAAGCCCGCTGAACAAACCCCCCTCTCTATCCTTTTCCTCGCAAACCTGATTGTGGAGGCTGGCTTCCCCCCTGGCGTTGTGAATATCATCAACGGCCACGGTGCCGTTGCTGGTGCGGCCCTTGCCTCGCACATGGACGTTGACAAGATCGCGTTCACTGGCAGCACAGCCACTGCGAAGCAAATCATGAAGATGGCCAGTGTCAATCTCAAGAACATCACCCTTGAAACCGGCGGCAAGAGCCCTCTGGTGGTCTTCAACGACGCCGATCTTGAGCAGGCTGTTGAGTGGGCACATATCGGTATCATGTATAACCAGGGACAGGTTTGCACGGCAACTTCGCGTATCCTCGTTCAGGATAAAATCTATGATAAGTTCCTCGCGGCGTTCAAGGATCAGATCAAGAATGTCTCCAGGGTCGGCGATCCCTTCGACGAGTCCACTTTCCAGGGTCCCCAGGTCACGCAGGCTCAGTATGACCGTATCATGTCATATGTTGATATCGGCAAGTCCGAGAAGGCTACGCTTGCAGTTGGCGGTAAGCCGTTCAAGGGTGTCGGTAACGGCACTAATGGATTCTTTTTCGAACCTACTGTCTTCACGGACGTTACCCCTAAGATGCGGATTTACCAGGAGGAGGTTTTCGGTCCTTTCTGTGTGATTGCCCGCTTCAGCACGGAGGAAGAGGCTGTTCAGATGGCCAACGATACTACCTATGGTCTCGGCGGTGCTGTGTTCACCACTAACCTCACCCGCGCCCATCGTGTCGCTAAGCAGATCCAGGCAGGTATGGTCTGGATTAACTCTAGCAATGATAGCGACTGGCGGATTCCGTTTGGGGGTGTCAAGCAGAGTGGTATCGGCCGTGAACTGGGTGAGGCTGGCCTGGACGCCTATTCCTCCATTAAGGCTGTTCATGTCAATATGAAGTCCAAGCTCTAGGTTGGCTCTTGGTGTGTGTGTGTATAGAAAATATTGTTCAATTATTTATTTTTTCGGGGTTCAAGCGCTTCTTCATAACCCAAATTGTTCACGTTCCTGACAAACTATGCACTCTATTTCTATATACAATAATCAAAATCCTGACCCGCCCGTATAATTCATGGCAACATCGCTGCGCACTTCCTCGCTCATACGTCAATCAGCCCACTTCACACACACAATTAGCGATCCTTCCGCTGATCCGAAACGGGTCCTTCGTTGTTCGCTTGCTCCTGCGCCTGAATAACCATCGCAATCGAAGACTCCTCTGTTTTCAAGTACGTGCGGTTCCCCTGAATGAACCAGAAAGCCACCGCAATAACCAGCATGACGCCAAAGACCGCGATGGCGTAGTTCATTTCTCCGCCCGGTGGATTGGGAACAGTAGGGAAGAAGAAGAAAATCGACGTGATGACGCAGTAAACCAGACTGACGCAGTACGCTGGAACACCCATCTTCCCTAGACGGAACTGACCCCCCGGTGGAAGTTGATCACGGCCGACCCAGAGTACGGTCATTATGGGTAGACCGTAGGAAATGGTCAGTGCAATGGTGCTCACGCTTAGAATGGCGTTGAGAACGGTTTCGGCGAAGAGGAATAGGATGCCAACTAGCGCTATCAGGATGCCTTGGAACCATAAGGCGCGAACAGGGGCCTTCCAGATGGGATCGATGTGGCAAAGATAGTGACTGAATGGTAGTCCGCCGTCGCGGGCAAAGCCCCAGGTAAGGCGAGATGCAGTGGTTACGATGCTAATGCTCTGGCCGAGACCGTTCATGATGAATAGGGAGATGAGTACAGCGGCGCCGTTCAATCCAACCGTCTCTTGAACTAATGCCATGAACGGCAGACCACTTGCCGCGTTTATGACAGTATTCACCTCCTGAATACAGAAAAGGCACACCATCATCAAGATGAAGCCGCTGATTGCACCGGAGAGCACGGCGAAGTAGATAACTCTAGGGGCATTCTTCCGAGGGGCTGGGATCTCCTCGACCATGTGGATCACCGCGTCGAATGCAGTCAGTCCATAACTTTTGGTTGTTAGCCTTGCAAGGTTTTGACGTAGAATAAAAGAGGATTAACATACGCGGCCTGAACCAATCCCATAAACCACACAACCCCATCCGACCACCCTGTTTGGTTGATCCATTTCCCAAAGACAAACGAGGCAGGCTGATACGATAGGCCTGGCTTGATGGCCACGGAAATAAGAAGGGCTAGACAGAAGACAAAGAAGAGTCCCAAAAACCACACTCCCACGAAATTGTTGAGCCAAGGGAGGAAGTTATCCCGGCGACAGCCGAGGACATTGATCAATGTGAGGACGAACACGCACCCAATATAGACAACAAACTCAAGCCACCCTTGGGACGCTCCAGTCCAGCTCTCATCGAACATCACTTTCATGCCAAGGATAAAGTTGGTCATGAATGCAACTTGGGAAGCAGCAAGAGTCCACCATCCAAAAACATTGATCCACGCGCAGATATAAGAGACGAAGCGGCCCAGGGGACTGCTCCATAAGCGGTAGATCCAGTAAGCCTGTCCCAACGCTGTTGGCATACTGCTGCAGATTTCTCCTAGAGAAACTGCCACGCATGTATTGCAGAATGTCACCAGGGCAAGGCCCCAGAGGATGGAGATTGGACCACCATTGCTGAGGCCATCAGACAAGTCTTGTGCGAAGGTTGACCATGTTCCCAGAACGCAGAATGCTAGGGCTAGCATGCTCCATAGGTTGAATTTACGCTCGAGAGCCTGGCCGTGACCGAAGTCCGCCAGATCTTGGGCATCTTGGATTTGTTGCTCGGTGGGCTTCCAGGTCTCGGATTCCACTTCCATCGCGGGGCTGGCTGGAATGCTGTAAATCGGTCTCAGGATATTTAGACGGGGGTCATTTCCGTCAGTGACGGCGAATGTGGTTGGTGTCAAATCCAGCTCAAATATGCGCCGTCTGCATGGTCACGATCGAGATCACTGGCAGAGGATATAGAATAAAGACAGCCAAGATACTTCAACCCCATTCCCCAACAACCTGGGGATTTCACCTTTTCTACTGGTGACCCCACGGGCTTCCCCTCGAAGCTGGCCGTGTCTTCACCGAGCATGGCCCACTTGGCGCTGGAGGAGCCTGGTTACATCCAGGGGATTAGACGAAGCAGCACGAGAGCTATCCCCACCAACGCCGTACGTAGACTGGGTCTTCCCCGTGTGGAAGGTAGATGCGGGCGCACGGAGGTGCATTTTCTAGAACAAAACCATGCAGCCTGGCGATCTGCGGTCTTGATGGATCTCGTCAGGAAGACCGGGACCCCATGGAGAAACCCCGCGAGGCGCAAATGGCTGTTTGCGCCGAATCCTTGACACACCGGCAAAGTCTGGTTCCACCGGTCATCGGCTCGGGAGACTGGCGTTCATGTTTACCTACCGGATTTAATGTAGACGGAATGCCCTGCCGAGACTTGGATGTCAACGGTGGGCCTGCTTGTACCTGCCCGATGCGGGTGGAGGTGAAGTCTCCACTATGTATCACTCTGCTCATCACTATGATAGAGGCTCGCAGGGTCAACACGGGCATATAACGTGAAGAAGTCAAGGTGAGGGAATTGAGGCCAAATATAAGCTAGCTTGTCCATTGCAGAGCGCGCTAGTTATTTGCTCGACATTTAAGAAATTGATTCGCCCGCGCACTCGCAGAGGCCTAGCTATATGAACAGCATGTCCTCGCACCAGAATTCCGTTCATCCCTTTCCTGTGGCTACAAGGTAACCCAGATGATATGAAAAAAACACACTGGCAGTGCCAGTCCTCGTCACCGATCGCATACAGATTGTTGGACGTGCAAGCGAAAACGGGTTCAGTGCGACGAGGCTCGACCTCATTGTCAGAAATGTATTACCCGGGGAATCCTATGCGAAGGCTATGAGATTAGACTACGTTAGGTTGCCGGCATTGCTTTCAGGGGCCGGTACAATAGGTTAGAGAAGCCGGTGAAAGAGTTTATCAAGCGCGCCGCTATTCTACTATCATGCATAAGCTATAATATCTATTAGTAACTTCCGTGTGAACTTCAGTATACATTAACTTATATATATACTTCATATTGGCCATCATGCTGCTATGCCTACATGATGCTGGGGCATCATTATATGCTTAGCAATACCGGGTTTTAGGGGAGTATAGCGGGTAAAAGTAGAGTACAAGTAGAGAAACCGGCAAAAGAGGATTATCAGTTAGGGTGCAGTTTATTAATATTACTTACTCAGGGCACTCAGCCTTTTGCTCACTCCATGCTCAGTAATTGCCTGAGGCTGTTCAGGGCGTGTTCAGGGCATTCCCAGATCTACTCAGTGAGCAAAAAGCAGCGAGGGGTGAGCACTAAAACGGAAAGGGAAGGCCATCAACCCTTCCAGAAAATCAAGTACGCATGAGCTTTTCATAAATAATACAGAATAACCCTGCATACTTAGGCTCCAACCTCTCTCACCCATGTGCCCGTAGCCCGGAGACAAATGACGAAGTATGATTGTGGGATTTCCGGCTCGAGCATCGATACACTTATTGGAAAGAGGCCTGAGTGACACGTTCACCGGCTAAGTACCAATACCTTAGGCTATTTGGATAGGAGAGATACCCAGCCAGTTAATTCATAGCAGGCAGGCAAAGAAAGCCAGGGGGATTTCTATTAAGCATGAGGCCGAATGAGCCTGGACAATACCGAATCCGAGAGCCTGCAGCACGGAACCTCGGACACCTGCTTGCTTTTGCGTGGCGAACCCCTGTCCTGTTCCAACGGCCAACAGCCAACAGCAAACGGTGCGTGATGAAGCTGCATTAGTGCTGTGTGCTGTGCCGTGTCCCGTCCGGGCCGCTGGCGGGCCTGCGCCGCAGTGCATTAGGGCATGTCTGGGCACCCTAGCGGGGCTTCGGAAGGAAGGGGACGATGTCAATATGAGTATCAATATATTACTCTACCAAGGATCTGCATAGCGACCTGGATATTTGTTAAATCACACATCGCAACTCCACCGAACGCCATCTTTTGAACCAACCGGGCCATGTCCTGCCCACATTGCCGTTGCTCGCGAACAGGGATTGACAGCTAGCGCGAGCTCTGAAACGGACTTGGACTCTCCCGTGGGAAATAGGCTGGACTTTCTCTGGCGTCTCTGCTCGCATCTCCCGACTCCCGATTCTCCTGGATAACCTGAACCTCGGTCGTCTTCGTAATGTCCATTGGGCCAGGGCGTAGAATGTTCTCCTGGCTTCCGTCACGGTCTGGAGCCCCTGTTTCGAATAGCGAGGCGTCTGGCATGCGTTGTAGACGGATGGGGCCCTTTTTACTTGGGGGCTTGCTGGATGGATAGGTCGAAGAGTTGTAGTATGTTTGGCGTTTGTGGGCTATGGCCGTGTAGCACTGAGGGAGGGTTGGGAGGGTCGCGCAGATGATGATCACGTACATCTGAAGGAATATAAGCTGGTGTATATGGAATGACGTCTAACGTACCTCAACACTGTTCCCCGTTAGTGAAGTCAAATAGAAAGGCTGAGGAGACTTACCTATACCATGTCGTAATTGGGGCCCAGGACCCTACAATCAGATTAGACGATGGATTGCATGCTGAACAGGATACGAACAAGTTATATCGGCGTGCTCTGGCAGGTTCTTCAACAATATACACTTCACCAGTGTTGCAGCCGCCGCACTGTACTGTTAAATAAAGTCAAACCTGGGGTAGGGGAACATACAATACACCTGCCCCCAGAATAGCAACAATCCCGACCTTCTTGAATGTCGGCAGCTGAATACGGTAGAATATCACAACAGGGAAGACCGCGAGAGTCAGGTCTGCAAAGGCGTTGAATGCTGCCTGTGAAGTGCCCCCAATAAGCTGTAGTTCGAGCGAGAAGCACGACCCCTCGGTGCCAGGAAGCCATATCTTCTTCGCAGGTCGACAGAAGCCTATGATAGCGACGATGGCGAATACGTTCCAGGCAATAGACACCAGTGTGAGAATGTATAGGAACCACCGCTGCCACGACCTGGCCGACTGGCCCATGAGACGGATGAGGAAGATGGCGACTGATATTTTTCCTGTCGTCGTACTGACGACAGAGAAGTTGGGCGCGATCACAGTGTATTTTGCTGCGTTGACTTTGTCGTCCGGGCTGGCTATATCACTCGTATGCTTTCCGAGGCCATATGAGACAGCCACCTGTGCGAGGGAGGAACAGACTAATGCACTCGCCTAGCTCTTGTTAGCACTAGTTAAAACTTCAGTATCACGACTGTTTACCAGAGACAGCCCGATGAAAAAGTCATCCCACCCAGGCAACCTGGTGAGCACAAGCCTGGTATACAGTCGAAGCCCAACGACAATAGTCGACACAGCCCCAAGCGTCCATGACGCCGCGATGATACTCGCAGACTGGTCCTCCACCATGGCGGGCGCATACGATCGTTCGCATCCCACCGAAGCCCTTGCCGGGGATTATATGGCGGAACACTACAGCATAAGTACGATGACGATCCTGTGTAAGGTCAGCCTGTTTGGCGACATAGGGAGTGAACGCCGTCTTCCATGGTGTGAGTATCCCTGCTAGACACCAGGCTACACGGCCGCCGTTGCATTTAGTCGCCCATCACACCACTGCGGGATCCGTCGGTACCAGCCTGTCGGTGCCCTATCTCCTGCCTCTTTGGGTCGAGACCGTCGCCGTCTGCATCAGAAGTACTGGACCACGTCCAGGGGTTGGAAGGCAAATGTCTCGTAATGGAACGATGCCGGTGACTTGGGTGTCCATAAATTGATACCAGGGTATACCTTCTCGCCCTCGCCTCCATATTAAACTACACTGCGCCTCTTCAACATCTTGTCCACACTATCCCGCCCCGCAGAAATGACACAGTCAAACGGCACTCATACCAACGGCACTCAGACAAATGGTGCTACCAATGGTTCCGCTAACGGTACTGCCAACGGCTCCTATAAAAACGGCACCCACAAGCACGACCATGTGGACAGTCTCGTGGACAAAGTAAACCAGTCCGTTGGCACATTCCAAGACGGCCACGCAGAGAAAGACCGACTTGCAGCACTCAAAGCAGCCCAGGAACTGGTCCGCGCGCTCCACGGACCCAAAGACAACGTCTACCACTTGGTCTACTCTGTATGAGCCCCATCTCATACCCATCCCACTAAACCCTCTAACCTGTCCACCAGCCCACCCAGGCCATGTGCGTGCGCATTGGCATCGACCTGGAAATATTCTCTACGCTCAGTAAAGCCTCCGGACCTGTAACTTTGCAAGAGCTAGCAGCTGTGAAGAATGCCAGCCCTTTAATTACCGGTACGTTTTCCCAGCATCAAGCTATCCCAGCTAACATCCGTATACAAAGAGCGTGTCCTCCGCATCCTCGCCGGAATCGAATACGTCGCAGAGCACGATGTGCATGTATACAGCGCCACTCGCATGACGCACCAAATGACCGACCGGTTCAGTATAGCCATGGTGAAGTTCATGTTCGTGCGTCCCCAACTTACAATGGCTGTAATCTAATATACCTGCTATCCTGCAGCTACGACTTCGGCATGCCCACCGTCGCCAAGATCCCCGAGTTCCTGCGCACCCACGAGTACAAGTTCATCGAAGGCAGCACGTCCGGACCGTGGCAGTACGCTACAAATAGCGAAGAGTCACTCTGGGACTGGATTGCGAAGAGCGAGGAGCGGCTTGATATCACTCATAGTTTCATGGAGGGGGATCGGGGGAGTCGGCCGCCGTGGGTGGAGTGGTTCCCTGTTCAGGAGCAGTTGATCGACACGTTCACGGGCAGTGATGAGGATGTCTTCCTGGTGGATGTGGCAGGTGGCAGAGGGCATGATATCAGGACGTTTAGGGAGAAGTTTCCGCAGGCGCGGGGGCGCTTTGTTCTGGAGGATTTGGAACATGTTATTGAGCAGAGTGTGGATGGGCTGCAGGCTGAGAAGATTGCGTTTGATTTGTTTAAGCCCCAGCCGATTCAAGGTATGATCCTCCTGCTTGTCGTGGATAATGGCTAATTTGGCTATTGCAGGCGCACGAGTCTACTATATGAAGTTCATCCTGCATGACTGGTCAGACAGCGACAGCCTGAAGATCCTGCAGCAGGTCCGCGAGGCAATGAAGCCGGGATACTCGGTACTGGTTATCGAAGAGTTCATCCTCCCTCAAAAGGACTGTCCAATGCTCTCAGCCATGTGGGACTGGGAGATGATGGTCTTCCTTAACAGCCTAGAGCGCTCAGAGGGGCACTGGCGAAGGCTGTTGGATGAGACAGGCTTTGAGGCAAAGTGCTTCTATCCTCCTGGTGATGGACAGGTATGTTATACTTTCGAACCAGGTGTTGACTTGCTAATTTGTATAGGGCATCATCATGGCAGAACTGAAACAGTGAGGTGGGTAGCCTTTGATAGATGGTTTTGAATGCAGTACTGGTGTATATAAGTTGTGTATAAAGGTGTAGGCTGAGCCTGACGCACTGTCGGTCCCACGGCCCCGAGTAGCCGGTAGATTTTGCATTCAATTGCAGCTCATTAAATATAGTCTGCTGCCTAAAGAAAATAATTCAGTATTTAAGTAGCCCTTGACCCTTTGCTTTACTTGGTTGGATTTCCCTTCCTTCTGATACCCTTCATACCAACCAACATGTCGGTCAGTATACTGCCCACCCAGTAATCAATCTGCTGCTTACACCCTTGTTCAAGTTAGATGCCGTCTGGGTGAGCTGCCATTCAAAAGACCATTGTGCTCAAGAGTGATACTAATCCTACAATAGTGTTGAGGTGCCGACTGAGTGTATCACCGCATTCAAAGAGCTTCTGTATAAAAAAGGAGGAAACAAACTTACCTTTGTGATCTACAAAATCTCCGACGACAACCGATCAATTATCGTGGAGGAGAAGTCCTCCGAGAAGAGCTACGAAGAATTCCGCCAAAAGGTCACTTCGTCTGTTGAGAATGGACAGCCTGTGCCCCGTTATGCAGTATACGACGTGGAATATGACCTGAAGGACGACGGTCGGAGGTATACTCTAGTCCCTCGTAAATGGCGATGTTTGCTGATTACTTCTAGGGCAACGACGGTCTTTATTAGTTGGGTGCCCGACGGAACATCTACCAAGGTAATCCAGCATTCCATATGGCCAGTGCCAGCTGACTCATTTGCAGTTTCGGATGTTATATGCTGCAACCAAGGAGCAGCTGCGAAGAGCACTCGATGTCAAAGTGTCCATTCATGCAGACGATCCATCGGATATAGAATGGAAGACGGTATTACGAGAGGCGAGTGGTGGGCGAGCGCAAGTCTAGTTTCTATTTCTTTTGTATCAATCTATATCAGCACTCAATTATTATCATTCGTGTTCTTCGTTCACTATCATCTCCTTCAACGAGGCTGGCTGGTCTACCATAGTTGGTATTCGGGTGATCGGGCCCTCGGGCCCGCGGGAGCGAGTTCCCTTTTTTCTCTCACTGCAAGTTCATCTCAACAACCAACCACCATGTCGCCAGTAACCAGAGAAACAATCCAGGCGAGACGGAATAGACTGTCGTCTGTTCCTAGAGCGGTAAGGCACCGCCTAATTGTGTACGGCTCTCATCTAACATTCACAGTGCGAAGCATGCAAGATTCGCAAGGTAACAGCCCCATGAGGATCCAGTCCGGAGCCTAACAGCCTCAGGTTCGCTGCGACCGCACCACCCCATGTGCAAACTGTCAAGCGTCCAATATCACTTGTCGACATCCAAACGACAGATCGAAAAGTCAGTTGCAGGCTGATAAAGTAGCCAATCTGTGGGTCGCCAACACCCCCCACCCAGAATACTAGTAACAGACTCCCAGTGAAGATACTATAGGGCGCCTCGAGGGACGCCTTCAGACCGTCGAGTCCAGACTCGCTGCCCTCGAGCCATCGCAGCGGACTACCTTGGCTGGGGATTCGGAGAACTTGGATGTCTCACATCGTGCATCTGGTTCAATTCAGGATGGCCACCCGTTTGAAGGCACTTCTTCGTTCACAAAGCAGTCCCTCGCAGCAAGTGAAAGCGCTCAAGTGGTATCCCTCTCCATCAACACCGGTGATGACTCGGCGTTACATCAACTTCAGAAAGCTGTCACAATCCCACATACCCTTGCGAAATGTGATTTCTTGTTTCACAAGTCAGTTTCGACATTGGCACGGCCAGTTCAGCCTCTGCCTGTCGCCCTGGTAGCTTGCATCCTGCGACGAATGAGAGGTATGTGTATTCAGCATAAGAACCAAATATTATTGTTCGTACTAACAATGTCAAGCCCGCCGTCCAATTTTCCTGTCTTCATATGCCATCAGCGATCTATCATTAATCGAGAAACTATGCCAAAGAGTCTACTTTCAAACAGACGCAGCATCGCTGAGCGACATTGCTAGTGTACATGGAGTTTTGCTTTTCGTCACGAAAGAATTTATTGCAATGAAAGATGAGCTCTGTGAGAAATTTGACCTTGCTACCTACCTGGACTACTGTGAACAAAACTTCGTCGCCGCGATTGAAACCTACGAAATACTTGCCGTTCCGAGTTTTGAAAGCATACTTGCATTGACCATGGGCGTAAGTATCACCCAATATCTCCATATTTAAGTGGACATCTGTTGAATAAGCATGTTCAGATGCTCAAGGCTCAGGGTGAAGGAAAGCCGTACCTATATTGGAACCTTGTCTCTGCTGCTGTTACCCATTGTCAATCGCTCGGATACCACCGTGAATTGACGTATTCAAATGTCCCATCCAGTCAAGCCGAGAACATTCGACGATTGTTTTGGACAGTATATGCCTTTGACAAAAACATGTCTCTTGTGCTGGGTCGTGTTTCCAATATGCAGAGTGTCGAAATTGACACACATCATCCTATTGTTTCTTCTGATCTTGCTCTTCGGGCATGGGATGAGTCTTTTATTAAGGGAATAAACCTCGCGGAGCTTCAGGGTCGAATCTTCGCTGGTCTTTATTGCAACGTGACCATGGTCAGAGATTTATTTGAGCGCACACAGCTTATCAGTGACCTGGCTGCTTCAATGGAACAATGGCACGATGAACTCGAACGGGTAAGACGAAGTCATGGGTCTTATTTAACTCCATGATAATTGATAATCTCCAGATTAACCCCGAAGGAGTCAATAATCCTCACATATTCCACCTGTCTAGAGGAAATTCGGACATCTTATACTATTCAACCCTGACATTGCTTTTCCGTGCACCTTCGACTGCTGGAGAAGACCTTCGCATTGGTTCCGATTGCTTCAATGCGGCCTGCAAAAGTTTACAAGCTCATCTGAGTTTCTTTCCGCAATACCAAGAATGTCAACTTCTTACAGACGGAGAATATTTCAACTGGTCCGTTTACCTGTCGGTGATTTTAATTTTTATTAGTTTACTAAAATCTCCAGGATTCTTTTGTCTGCTTCGTTTGTCCCCTTTATTGTCACTTTTCTCCACGCCGTTTCTGCCAAGGATATGTCGGATGTTATTCTGCTTGAACAAGTCCTGAGCACTTTCGAAAACTTCCGAAACGCCTCCCAGGGTTCGCAGCGCCTATACCAAGTGTGCTCTACCTTTACGCAAGTCGCCAAGAAGCTAGTCAATTCAGAGCAGTCTCCTATCGGGATATACAACCACCAACAAGACTCTCTAGAATTTTCAGACTCCTCGCTCAGCACATCTCTATTCTATCCCGAGATTTTCGAAGATGCACTTGCACCTGGGGAGATGGATTATGTTGACCCATCGTATGCTACGGATATTCTGGATGGCTGGCTTAGCGGACCACCGTTTCCGTGGGATAAATTGGATGATTAACTTGCAACAGTGATAACTAGGTGAAGACTGCGTGGTTCAAAATAAACTGATGCAGTATTGACAAACAATACATGAAAAGCTTTACTTCTGACACTTGTATTGTAATATTAAATTTCCTATTTTGATTCAGTTGTCTATTTGGTGATACCGTACATGCTGCTCACTGCGCTTGGGATCTTGAATGCTCCCCATCAACCTCATCTCTTCCGCTCTTCGAGCGAAGTGTCTGCCACATGGTATCTCCTTCCAAAACATCCATATGCTCATTCCGTAACATGACAATCACTTCCAGTACCTCGTGTTCCACAGCCCGCTGACGAGGGAGTATAATCGCAACCCCATCTCCTTGCATAGAAGGCATCCTAACAAACTTTGGCCTGCCAATATCCTCGCCAAAGTCCACTCCATACAAATCAAGGTCCGCCCAGCTTGTTATCGTCAAATCCCGGGATCTAAAGAGGTCCCAACCAACAAAGAGCGACTTGGTACAATCCTCCATAAGATCCACAAGACGGTAGACCTCGGCGATATGACGGGAGTTAATTATAGAATCGGAATGTGAGTGCGCAATCTGGTCGCAGACTTTCGCTAGTGTGCTCACAGGAGCTTCGTCTGTTCCAGCCAGGGTTCCGGCTGATATAATAACTGCAGCTCGTTGTCACGGAGGTGGGTACACGGTATACTGCCTGAGTCGGCGTCCGGAAGCGGCTAGCACAATGGATACGCAGCACGTATACAGGTGGAGATATGATATGTTTTGGGAGGCCGACAAAGTAACTAGGGTATTTATAGAAGAGATAAATGAGAGGCAATACCAGTGTTTGGACGAGTCGTTGTCATACTGGTTGTTGGGGGTGAGTGCGAAGGCAGAATAACCTCATCGAAGGACTATATAATTTCCCCAGCAGATAGTCAGGAGCTATAAACAAATATGGATTTCTTGCCGTGGCAATTCGTCATATTTCTAGGGGCAGGACTTCGTAGCCAGAGCATACGGGCTCGCTAACACCCTCCTTCAGCCTTAGAGGCTATCCAAATTGATACCCTCGTATTCGTTAAGCCACCCTGGGAACGAGTCATGCCAAGGACTCGGCTTTTTCGGGGCTTCAAGCCATGCTGCTCATTGTATATTACGATATCGTCAATGTAGATACTAATAAATGACCTGTCTCCGTCGTGACCGTCACTGATCTGGCGAGCCATTTATTTCCTTCCAGCCACCAACCTCATCAAACAGCGCAGGGATATCAAAGAATTATTTCTCAGTATCAATTATCATGCATGATTCCGCCAACGCTGAACAGGATCCCGCCGCGGTAGCCATCCGAGGAAAAGAGATCACTGGGCCGGACATCTTCCAAAAGTCCAACGATGAGACCTCAGCAGTTCCTCCGCCGGAACTGATTTCCGAAATGTTCAGTGACATCCCAAACGGAGGAACCGACATGTCGTACGGGGAGAAGGATTCGCAGCGGCTACGCTTTTGGAAGGGCATATCATCCAATGCCCCGATTATTGTCTTCGTGCACGGTGGCGGTTGGCGAGTGGGAACATATTTGGATTCTGTTGGATCGACCAAAGTCAGCCACCTTACCAGCAAAGGGTATTCGTTTGCTAGTGTTAACTATACACTTGTCCCTACTGTTGCTGTCGAGGAGCAGGTGCAGGAGGTGGCTGACTCGATTGGGTACTTGGTTAACAATGCAGTGAGCCTTAATATTGACCCAGGACGTCTCGTTCTTATGGGCCACAGCTCCGGGGCGCATGTCGTTACACTTCTCGGGACTGATTCGAGCTATGTGGAACGAGCAGGGGTAAGTCTTGACGCCATCCGCGGTATTATAGCTCTGGATGGTTCATACTATAATGCACCAGCCGAGATCCTTGACAGCCCTGGCCCTGTGGCTGAGAACATGATCTACGCACTGGGCAGTGACCCTGAGCGTCTCAAGGCAATGTCTCCCACTTACCACGCTCGAGGGCCAAATGCAGAAGCTTTCTTGCTTCTTCATGTGCATAGGCAGGGGGACATCCGACAGGCCATGGAGCTGGAGGCTGCGTTGAAGGCTGCAGGGACCAGTGCTGCTGTGCATGTATTCGAGGGTCAGGGATTCCACGGCCATGTACGAATGCTCCTGCGCCTTGGGGATGTGGATTATCCAGCGACGGTTGTGATGGATAACTGGCTGAGGGAGCATGTTCCGATTAGTTGACAGCTTATATATTCATCTGTGCCATGAAGTAATGCACGTTATTCTGTTTGATGTAGTTTAAGACTAAGAGCAATCAGGAAGGTCCAAACTCTATCACGACATTTAATTCAGTATTAAGTGATAAACTAAACTGTTCTATTTATTGTGATCGAAGCGAAGATGAGCGGCGGAGACCGCGGACCCCGAGACTCCCGCATTCCGAAATGAAAATCACCAACACCAAGGCTGAAACAAAATCCTTCCAGATTCCAAACCGGCGCCCGCGGACAGATGACACTCGGCGCCAAGTGGATTCTGCCATAGCCGCATGATGATGGGCTGAAGTGAGATTTCCGAGCCTGTGACCCAGACTGCCACCGAGCCTATATACGAGAAGAGTCATCCTGGTTCCGCCTCGTCGGTCGCATAAAGGGGCCCCCTTTCGGCAAAGAATAATATTCCTGCTGGCTTCTGATGGATCTGTGCTGCTGAAGTTTCTTGAGATATGGCTTCCAAAGAAGCTCAGGATAAGCAGGCGGCGATGGGGAAAGTCGAGTCGCTCTCTCGCTCGACGTCAGACAAAGAAAAACCTGCGCCAGAGGAAAGCCAAGAAGCCAGTTTCGGTTCCTACAAGGTCAGTCAATAAAATACAGTCTCTGAATGTGTGCTAACCCAGGGTAGAGAATCTTCAGCTTCGCAAGCCCAGTCGAGCTGACCCTCCAAAGCATCGCTGTCCTTGCAGCCTGCGCATCGGGGGCAGGAATTGCTCTACAAAACCTCATCTTTGGCAGGTTCATCACAATCATCACTGATTTTGTCGCTGGGACGTCAACCCCAGGCCAATTCCTCGATGATGTCGCTGAGATGGCGTATGCTTGCTTGCCTCCCCTAGCCCTTCAAGCGTCTGGAGATACTGACCTCTAAGGCTCTATTTCGTGTACCTGGGAATTGCCCGGCTCGTCCTCTCGTACACGTACAACACACTTCTCACATACGCCGCGTACCGTGTCATTCGCAATATCCGGCACAGCTACCTCAAAGCCGCCCTCAGCCAGGAGGTTGCATACTACGACTTCGGAACTGGAGGGTCCATCGCCGCGCAAGCGACATCGAACGGGAAGCTCATCCAGGCTGGAATCGCGGAGAAGATCGGCCTCCTTTTCCAGGGACTCGCGGCGTTCGTGACGGCTTTTATCATCGCCTTTGTGGTGCAGTGGAAGCTTACCTTGATCTGTCTGTGTATCGCCCCGGCTACTATCATCGTCATGGGCGTCATCGCGGGTATAGAAGCCGGGCACGAGACGAAGATATTACAGATTCATGCCCAGGCTAATTCGTACGCGGAGGGTGTCCTGGCTGGCGTGAAGGCCGTGCATGCGTTCCAGATGCGAGCGAGTGTGGTGAAACGGTTCGATGAGTATTTGACGGAGGCGCACAAGGTCGGGAAGAAGATATCGCCACTCATGGGGATCATGTTCTCTGCGGAGTACACCATCATCTACCTTGGTTTTGGGCTGGCTTTCTGGCAGGGAATACATATGATGGTCAGAGGAGAGATTGATACAGCGGGCGAGATCTTCACGTACGTCCAAGCATCCTTCAAACTTATGGTACTAATACCTTGATAGCGTCCTGTTGTCAGTTGTAATCGCTGCAATTAACTTGACCCTGTTGGCACCATACTCGATCGACTTCAGTAGAGCCGCCTCGGCCGCTGCACAACTGTTCACGTTAATTGACCGAGAATCCACAATAAACCCATACAGCAAAGACGGCATCGAACCAGAGACGATCAATGGAGAGGTCGAACTGCAGAACCTATCCTTTAGCTATCCAACCAGACCCGGGATCACTGTCTTAGATAACTTCAGCCTCAAAGTCCCAGCAGGGAAGGTAACCGCCCTCGTCGGCCAGTCTGGTTCTGGAAAAAGCACGATAGTCGGCCTCATTGAACGCTGGTACAACCCCGACACAGGAATGATAAAGCTGGATGGCACACCAATCGAGAAATTAAACCTAGGCTGGCTACGCAAGAACGTCCGCCTCGTTCAACAAGAACCAGTTCTATTCCAGGGTTCCGTTTTTGATAACATCAAATACGGCCTCGTCGGGACACCCTGGGAGAACGCGTCAAGGGAAGAGCAGATGGAAAAGGTACAAGAGGCGGCGAAAATGGCATACGCCCACGACTTCATTACAGAGTTGACAAATGGCTATGACACTCCAATCGGGCAGCGTGGTGGTTTGCTCTCTGGTGGACAGAAGCAGCGAGTGGCCATTGCTCGTAGTGTCATCTCCCAGCCCAAGGTTCTTCTGCTGGATGAAGCGACTAGTGCACTGGACCCCCATGCTGAGGCGATCGTGCAGAAAGCACTGGATAAGGCAGCAGAAGGCCGTACGACCATTGTTATTGCACACAAGCTGGCAACGATCCGCAAGGCAGATAATATTGTGGTTATGAGCAAGGGCTCCATTGTCGAGCAGGGTACACACGAATCACTCATTGCAGAGGACGGGGCATACGCGCGGCTTGTTAAAATCCAGAACCTCACTGTCGCTGCCAGGGAAGAAGCAGATATCAAAGAGGAAGAGGATACCACGGAAGACGACGCCCCCCTGGAGACAGCAGAGACGATGGAAGGACTCAGTCGGTATGCGACTTCTGTTCGAGGGAAGATGGAGTCCATGAAGGAACGAGACAACTACGACCACCACAAGCAAATGGGCATTATGGCCGTCATCGTGCGCCTGGTCAAGGAGTGTCCTGAATTAATATGGGCATACCTGTTCGTCCTGTTAGGATGTCTCGGTGCATGCGCTGCCTACCCCGGGCAGGCAATCCTGATGTCCCACGTCGTCGAAGTCTTCCAACTTACTGGAGATGCAATGCTGGATAGAGGAGACTTCTACGCTACTATGTTCATCGTTCTGGCAGCGGGGTGTCTCCTCTCATACTTCGCCGTCGGTTACGCGACCAACGTCGTTGCCCACCACCTCAGCCACTGGTTTCGCAGGCTCATCCTGCACGAGATGCTGCGGCAGGATATCCAGTTCTTTGATCGCAGCGAGAATACCACGGGCGCCCTGGTCAGTCATATTGACTCGTATCCGCAGGCGATCCTGGAGCTCATGGGTTTCAACATCGCCCTGATCCTCGTTGCGGTTTTGAACCTGGTTGGATGTGCGATTCTTGCCATTGCACACTCGTGGAAACTTGGACTCGTCGTCGTGTTTGGCGGTCTTCCTCCTCTTGTTGGTGCTGGCCTTGCCAAGATCAGACTTGATGCCAGACTCGACCGAAGCACTTCAAAGAAGTACTCTACCAGTTCATCCATCGCCTCTGAAGCCGTGAATGCTATTCGAACGGTCTCATCCCTCGCCATCGAAGGAGACGTCCTGCGACGATACACCGAGGAACTCGACACCGCCGTGGCATCCTCCGTCAAGCCCATGGCCAGCACGATGGTCTGCTTCGGCCTGACGCAGTGCATCGAATATTGGTTCCAAGCTCTTGGATTCTGGTACGGCTGCCGCTTGCTTTCAACGGGCGAAGTCAGCATGTATAACTTCTTCGTCGCCTTTCTTGGTGTGTTTTACACGGGCCAGGCGTCTGCGCAGATCTTCCAGTTCTCAACCAGCGTCACAAAGGGAATCAACGCGACAAACTATATCTTCTGGCTCAATGAACTGCAGCCGACAGTCCGAGAGACGCCTGAAAACCGCGATAATGGCCCTGGGTCTGGCGCGCCTATCGCCCTCGACAACGTGCGCTTCTCATACCCACTGCGACCTGACGCCGCTGTTCTTAAAGGCGTCAATATAAAGGTACCCCAACTACCCCCACAAAAGATTAAAACAAAATAGCTGAACTAACAACACCAGATAAACAAAGGCCAATTCATCGCTTTGGTCGGCGCGTCAGGCTGTGGTAAATCCACCATGATCGCCATGCTCGAGCGCTTCTACGACCCAACAACAGGCACAATCACAATCGACTCGTCCGCCCTCCCATCCCTCAACCCCGTGCACTACCGCAACATCGTCGCCCTGGTGCAACAAGAGCCAACACTCTTCCAGGGCACGATCCGTGAAAACATCGCACTGGGAATCTTCAACCCAGATACAGAGCCCTTCTTCTCGGAGAAACAGGGACCTACTACAAACGATGTCCCGGATAGTACCATCGAATCTGCCCTCCGCGCGGCGAATGCATGGGATTTCGTCTCCTCTTTGCCCGAAGGTATATACACGCCCGCAGGGTCAGGAGGGACACAACTCTCAGGCGGCCAAAGACAACGGATCGCGATTGCGCGCGCACTCATTCGGGACCCTAAGATCCTGCTCCTGGACGAAGCGACCAGCGCCTTGGACACGGAGAGCGAGAAGATCGTGCAGCGGGCGCTGGAGGAGGCGGCGAAATCGGGGGATCGGATAACGGTTGCGGTTGCGCATCGGCTGAGTACGATCAAGGATGCGCATTTGATTTGTGTCTTTTATGGAGGGAGGATTGTGGAGATGGGGGATCATCAGGAGTTGGTTAGGGCGGGGGGATTGTATAGACGGATGTGTGAGGCGCAGGCGCTGGACTGAGTTCGTTTTTTCTCTTAGATTTAGGTTAGTATCTAAGGTTGTATAATAGACTTACCCTTCTCTTAATGACGTGATCGAGATATCTTTGCTTCTGCAGTAATCCTGTACTGTATCCCATGGAAGGCCAGTGGGCTATATGGTGGCCCTATACTGATATACTTTCTCGTTCCCAGTTCCATCAGTCACGCTATGTAAGAGCCACCAAGGGGATAACCAGATGCATACACGATTACTGCTGCTGACGCATATTATACTTTCAGGGGACATCATGGTGGCGTGGTACCTGCCCCAAATGGCCGGATATCAAGTATAGCAGGACAAGACAAGGTTTTCAGGGCAACATGCCACGGTCAGGAACACAGGTACCAAACCCTTCATCGCCAGAGCGTAATCAGTGGGATATAAAGCTGAGACAAGTGAAAAACCTATTTGCAGTCTTTTTTTTATCTTCCCAGTCTGCATCTTTATTCCATCCTCATCTCACAGTTCACACTGCAGCATCACCACCAAAATGTCACTTCGCAGCATTTACAACAGGGTCCCCAGCATCAACACCCAGGCCCTCTTCGAAAACACCCTTTTCGACACCCGGGTCGCAGAATGGAATAGCCACGGCAAAGCCCAGATTCGACAGGGCCTCCGCGCAGAAATCAGCAAGATGTTCGATAAGGTCTACTTCTCCATAACGCCCACCATAGACCCCACCACTGCGCAGGAACTGGGGATCCAGTGCGAGAAGCTGGACCTGGTTACGTATGGAGGCGAGCGGCGTCACGGAAACTTCTTCAAGTCCCGGCCCTCAGCCTGGCTGGCTCTTCATCCTGTTGACCCTGAGGACCGGAACACGGCTAAGCAGATTATGTCTATTGAGAAAGAATGGCAAACCCGTACGAATAATGTCGGCGGGAACTATGCGGAGGCGGAGATGGTTTCTGCGGCGCTGAGCTATGAATTCAGACTCTACGAACGGATTACCCCGTTTGAGGGTGTGGTAGCTACAAGTGGGACGCGAGGCCGTTCGGATTCGTATACCCTGGAGGAGATATCTGGGTGGGTGAGCCTGTAAGTACATCCACATCCAAGCCCTCACCGATGGAGTATATATACTTACTATGTATGTAGTAAAAAGAGCACACACCTGAACAAGGGAAAATACATGCAACCAACACCTCTACCAAAACCAAAATCGCGGGACGAGCCCCCTCCCGATTTAAGGGCCAATATCAACCGGGCCGCGTTCGAGTGGACGAGGCTTGCGGAAGCATGGATGCGCGACGATTCAAGGCCTCATCGTATCTTCCTGCTAGAACACGCTAGCCGCCCAGAGGAAGACCTCCTGCGCTCAGAGGTCTTGACTATACTCGGTATGATCCGGGAGAGACTTGCTGGGCATACACTGCGGGAACATAAAATTGCGCCGGTATATTTCTACGCTTGTCTTGTTCTACCGCAAATATATATATATGTACTAACGCAACGTGTCTAGGTAATGGTAATATCCTGTATGAACGGGTTCACCGCTCGGATTACCGAGGGGCACTATAGTGAGGGGAAGTTGATACTCTATAAAAGTCCTCTTTATTATTTTGACACAGACGGATATCGAGACGCGAATGTTGAGCTTTTCCTGCTATATCTTGCAAGTGAGCCTGTTGGCGATACCACTGCTTAAATTGAAATTTACGTTGTTGCTACTTCGCTGGCGTTGCTTGGATTCCCCATATGGTTTATTACTTGAAGCGTGCTACTCTACTGAACTAGGGTCATGGCAATAAACTCATTATCAGCACCAATATATTCACGAAGAGGTATTATATATTAAGTTTCCCATGTATAATCCCCCCGCATATCCCGGCGGGATCGTAGCCTCCTTCGTCCGGAGCTCACGATATCGGGTAGTCATCAAGCGTAATTAATCGTTTACGCGGAGGAGAGGACCGAGTTGAGGGTGGACAGACCAGCTATGACGCGTTAGCAAATGCTCTACATGTTTCAACTTGGTGAGGCACTTACAGTTGCCACCGACAAGGGTGAGGATGTTCTGGAGACCAGCAGCGTCAACAGCACCGCTCTGGATGCGGCCGACAAGGCCCTGGGAGAGCGAGCCAAAGTCAGTGACCTGCTCGGTGGAGCCGAGAACTAGAGGTTGTTAGCTGAGTTCGTTCATGTTTAAGATATCGACATACCGCCGGTAACGGTGGGGATGAGGCCGCTGGTGGCGAGGTCGAGAACACCGGAGACGGGGTTAGAGTTGGAGGAGGCACCACCGGTGATGCCCTCAACGAGACCACCGACGAGGGTGTTCAGGGTGTTGTGGACAACGGAGAGCTCAGAGGTGGCGTCACCGAGGTCAGCCTTGTTGAGGGCGCCGCTGTCGACGGCGCTGTTCAGGTTGCCGAGCACATCGTCGATACGGGTGACGGTGGCCTGGACCTTGACGACGTCAAGACCAGGGAGGGCAGCGGCAGCAGCAGAGCCAGCAATGGCGAGGGTAGCGACGATTCCAGTGAACTTCATCTTGAATGGTATGTTGTTGTTAAAAGAATGACTTGGTCAAAAGACTCAGAATGAGAGACTGGGAAGTTGGTAAGGAAGGACTTGGGTAAAGAAAGACTGGAGCGAATACTGAACACTTGGATGAGAGCAGGACGAGACTGGGGGGGTATTTTATATGCCCAAGCCCTGCCCTTGTTTACTCTTGTTCCTGAGATTGTTCCGCAGATCAGGGGCCGGCAGCCAGGATTGACTTCACTACGGTGTATTCCTCCATGATGCCCTGTGAGAACTCATTTCAGCCGTGAATAGCGATCGACAGGCGACGCAAACCCGTTGGTGCAAGAGTCCATCGTGGTGAACCTGCAATGGGGGGATAAGGTGCTGATCCTGCGTGGTTTGATTCCTTTAAGCTCCAGCGAAATGTGGTCTTCCCCGCGGTGCTGCACCAATAAAAAGACATCAGAATCCCGCCAAATGGACAGTCTCCACTTGGCTTTTAACTGTCCCAACGCTTCTCCAATTCGGACGTGAAATGAAAGGGTCCGTGCTGCTGCTCAGGGGAACTCGTGCCCCTGATGGGCCTAATATCCCGGCAGTTGCAACACCTTGTCTTGCTTGTCGAATTAAGCTGCATCCACGGCGTTCATTAGTCTTACCCCTGGATAGACCGTTCAAGGACGAACGAGGACAGACGGCGTGACAGCCTCATGGCGGAAATTAGGACCCGTCGCTGGCCGGATGAGCCCACCCTTTCCGACGCCCCATATGTCACTCTGGAGATCAGGTCGTCCAGGAACAGAAAGTGGATTGCGGTGGCCTTCCTTTGACGTCATGGACCTCTTTTGTCTCTTTTGGCTGCGCGGCGATCACTGGGGCTGAAGTCTTGTGTTCCCATCACAGCGGGCCATGGAAACTCTGTCCGCGTTGGCGTCTCCATATCTGCCACTCTGCGGGCAACTATTCAACGACGGGACCCAGATTTCGTGTTCAGTGGGCCAATCAACAAGGGACGGCGGTGATTTTGAACGGACCATTTCCCATTGGAAGCATGACAAGGTTGAGCTGGTCCAGTTTTGCGGAGGACAGGCAACGGCATGGGTTGTCGCGGATATTGTCCGCCAGGTTCTGCTATTCAGGCCCGCTGGTGAGCCATGGCTCATCTCGCTGAGATTACACGGCTTCAGGGCGGGATAGTTGTCTACGGAACAACATCCCGATAGACATTAGGGAATGTCCACGGTCGTCTGCCTTGGCTATCTGCGGACTATTCGCTGCCGGCCAAATTGGTGTCTGTGATTCCCTAAACTGGTCACCGTTTCTTTTGCTTTAAGCTGTGGACGGGAGGATCCCAAGACTCCATGAAACACGAGGGCTTGAAGATCCCAGTCTGTGACTATTGGGCTTCTAGTCTCAGAGCCTGTGAGACTCAACTGGTGGGTTCTGGCTGCTTATTTGCCCATGAGTCGGAGTTTGCCAGAGGAACACCACGCGGGATATAGGAACGGGAAATGCAAATATCTAATTATCAATAGTGTACTTCGTACGGACTAGTTCGTATGCTTGGTTTCAGTCGTTTGCCACTTCCAGATCCACACGTTGGACCTTTGTTACCACGCTGAGCTGGCCTGCAATACAGTTCATCTTGGAGCCTGCACACCAAGGTCAGTCCTTAATCTCAGGGATCTCGTCTTGCGTCAGGTGGTCCCTATGACGGTTCCCGTGGGAGGTTCCTGTATCGTAGCACAACTTGCCTGTCAGGGTATCCCGTTCCAGAGAGACCCAGACATGGGTCCTTCCAAGAGTGCACAGGACCCTTGGGGAAGAACTTGCAATGCAGAATGGTGGAACCAACGCGCAGCAAGATGCGGATATGGCTGGAGCGTGTACTCTCTATCAGGGGTGGTATACATTATACAGTAACTAGTATCACCTCTGTCCGCTCCATCAAGGAGCAAAGCCCTGCGAGCTGAGCCTGCGACCCTGCGATCAGGCCTCTTCTTCTCTGCCAGGGTCCCAGGGACACATCCGTGGTCGGGCTTTCTATTGGCTTCCATAATCTTGCTCTTTCTGGTTCGCTGGGTCTGCATCGAGCTTGAAGTGGATGTGATGTGGCACTCGTATCCATATATCATCCTCATACCCCCTTTCATCCACAATTCCTCTTGAGTCTATGTTCTATTATCAATAGTTGAACAGCACTTCGTTGGTTTGCTCAAGTCTGTCTCTGAAATTATCTACACCATGCACAATTGAATCCCCAATCCAGCTCCTTTCCATGGATCAGTCCCCACTGCCACTGCATAGAGAAACACACCCATGACCATTCCTCTTAATATCCCGTAACCCTCGCTAACGCAGCTCATACAGGGTCCTTGAAATCCGTATCCAAAATCTGCCTCATTCAAATTCGCTCCCATCCGGGGCGATACTCTACAGAGCTGTAACAGCTCACGCGTGCTCCTATCCTGCACCGCATTATCCCTTCCCATTCGCCACGACAGCAATAGCATCTTGCGGACATAGGTATTCGCAGCGACAGCATAGGAAATAACACCCCGTTCGTGACATTGAATCCCACATGTGAGGCAATGGTTCCTGTGCGGTGATATGCCGAATGGCTGCGACCAGAGTCTCCTCGGCCTGTCCTTGACGCGTCGTGGGGTTAAGCCTGAGTTGGGACTATAATAAGAAACGTTCTAGGTTGAGGACGTGGAGTTGGTGTTAGATGGCGTCGGTGTTGGGTAGGACTCGCAGAGATGCGCTTCTTGGATGTGAGAACGACGTCCAGAATAGAGCCTCCAGATATCAAAACCAGCAGGACATGTAGTATTCTGTAGCCCGTCGCTGCTTAGAATTGACTTGTAAAAGTAATCTCTCCGTACCGCGACCAGCTATTACATCCATCCGGTTGCCACTATTATCGGCTTTGTTATTGTTATGTTTCTGATTACTAGCAACCCTGTCTATACAATTCGTATTATACCACCCCGCTTCAGCCTCAGCGGTGCCCAATATATATCATGCTGAGAAACCGTGTGGAGTAACCCACTCCAGACATGGACACATTCAGACTCGCCCCGGGAGACCTCCCACATACCCTCTACAGAGTTCAATACTCCGAGACCATGACTACCGAAGGTTATGACGGCAGCCTTATAGCCCAAGACACCACCACAATCTACAACGAAGAGGAGACTCTCAGCGAGGCCGCTGAACGCCATCTAAACTGGGACCATAAATACACGAGCATCTTCATCTCAACATTCTCCGACCGAGGGCGCGCCTATAGCTGGATGCTAGAGAGGAAGTCGCGCTTTGATAACAGCGAATGCGGCCTTCTTACTATTGAGACCGCCGTACTCGGTCCAGGGGCTGATGTGTTCTCTGCTGAGGAGCTCGTGGACGTCTTACGGTTGGATATCATTGATAGGGCGAAGGGGAGTATCGTGGGCCAGTATTTGGTTGCCTATCGTATTTCCCCGGATGCTGTTCGAGAGTACGTGAGCCTTGATAAGAGTAAGCCTACCCCGAACGTTTACGGATGTGCATGTTGAACAGCTTTCTGACATTTATATAGCTCGACAGGATTGTCCTCCCTTGCCGTTCACACGCGAGGACGTGATACCGGATGGCCTTGCCGAATACTTGGAGTCCTTGGAATGATAGCCGCATATTGTTATTAACTATGTGAAGACTGATACTGTATCAATGGAAACCAACCCCAGCCACCCGGTAGAATAATAGTTACAGCTTGTAGATCCTGCGATCATAGGAACTCGGCCAAACGCCATTCTTGCCCGGGGCCATAATCCCCTTCGGGTCCAGGGCATTCTTCACCGTCTCGTTGAACCGCATGAGGGCATTATTGTTCCAGTTATACGTCTCAGCAATCTGGTCCATCAGCGCCAGATGAGTGCGGTACTCGCCCCAGCCGTTCTCGGCGCAGTCGGCGATCAGTGTTTTGATCAGCCAGTGTGCTTTTTTCTTCTGCTCGGCGTTCTTCCGGTCGAAGACTATACAGACTATGTGGTCTTTAACTGTCAGTTAGTCGAGGATCCTAGGTTAAGGGATAGAAGACGTACGCATCTCCCGCATTCCAACCGTGAACGTCCCGATGAAATCCAGCCCTGCCTCGCGGGTTCGTTTCTTCGTGACTTCGTACTGAAGCATTGCGTCGTCGCCGGAGATCTTGCTAATAGGTGAGAAGAACAGGTGCGCGCCATTGGGCAGCCAGTCGATCCATTTCAGCTCGTCGAAGTTGGGAACGCCGCGCAGGGTTTGGGCGCGGGTGTGCAGGACGCAGTATTCCTTGATATCGTCGGGGAAGAAGAACCTTGCGCCGGGGATTGCGGAGAAGGCTTCTTTGATTAAGGACCAGAGGAGGTTGCGGACCGGTTCAGGGCCCTGGTCAATATGTTAGACATGCTTGGAGTCTGGAATGGGAGAGACATACATAGAGAGCGCCGTAGAAGTTCCATCGGCCGAGATTGAGCTTCTTGGCAACCGCATCCAGCTCCGCGTCATTCAGGGGCTTGCTTATATCTGAAGTGTAGGAGGATTTGTTGCCTAGGATGGCGGCGTCGATGAGGATGTGTCGCAGGGTTGGGACGTTTTGGAGGATGTTTTGCTGCAGTAATTAGCAATACTGACGAACTCAATATATTAATACGAACCACACGGAGAGGCCTAATTATATCCACAGCCTGTTTGAGGTCGTCATCCTTTGGCAGAGTGATCATGTATGCCTGATATCCGCCGGGGTTTGGCATCAACTGAGCCTCGTTAGCATTGCCTGCCATATTTGAGGGACGCATACCCAGAGGCCCATCTTTGTGCAAATTCCCACATTGCCCTGCGAGAAGAGCCCATCGTTGTACGGGCCGAATCCATACGGGAACAGCTGCCAGCATTTGTTCCCTTCGTCGTTGTGGTCGTGCTTGGAGCCCTTCTTTGGATTCTGGGGGAGAGCGCCCATGCCAGTTCGCATGAGCTCGCCTGAGGGAAGAATAACTTCCATGCCACAGTGCATCATCCAGTGATCTGCTACGTCAGCTCCAGGCCACAATGATACAATTTGGAAGCGTACCTCCATATGGAGTATATCCAACACCGCGTTCGAGGGTATTTCCCATAACAGAACCACCGCCAATATCAGGTACCTTCACCAGTCAGCTACTTTACCTGTTTGAAATGCAAGGAACATACATCAATCCACAACTTATCACTGAGTCCGTGGTCAACCAAGTACTGATAAAGTCCAGCAAAGGTGACCCCAGGCTCAACGACGGCAAAGGCCCCATCTTCATTGACCTCTAAGACCCGGTTCATATGCTTTCCCATGTCGACCACAATACTTCCTCTCAGTCTCGGCGCCGCACCTCCATATCCAGAGTTACGTCCGATACTCGTTGGCCATAGTGGAATCTGGTACTCGTTGGCTAGACGGACGAGTTCCTGAACCTCTGGCACAGACCGTGGGTCGACGACTGCTGACGCGACGAAGTAGTCCTGGTCCACGACATGATGCGGGTCGTGCGTCTTGGGCGGTTCAAAGTAGGAGCCGTCCGCAAGCTGTGTGTCTGGGGTGATAACTCGCACGTTTCCCTCGCCAGTAATGGCTTTTACAGCGTTGATGAATCGGGCAAAGGCATCTGCGCTGGTGTTGGGGGGGAGGGCTAAGGGGGTTGGAACAAAAGCCATGGTCGTTGGTTGAGGTATCAAGAAAGGAGGGTGATGTTCTTTTACTCGTACATTGGGCATGCATGCATACCTTTATATCTGTCGTACCCCTGCATGCAGTGGGAGAACGCCGCTGTCGCGCTTGCACCTGGACAAGCGGAGTCGCCCCATTGATGCAATTTGATACAGATATTCTTACAATTGCTGGTTATGGCTCGGAACTCCCCCAGATTCCACCAGTACGAACCAAATTCTCAGACTGGGTGGAGGCGGGGGTGGTGCGACCTCCGACGCCGATCAGTCTCGTCGCTTCTTCACAGGATCAAGCCTCATTCAGCACACTCCATTATGTTCCAATATTGCGAGGAGATCGTGACTCTCGTGGGGATCACCAGATATTGGTCCGGCAGATGGAGCTGGCATATACCGAACAATCACAGAACCACAACCAGACCAGAGCTGGAAATCCGGGGTATTCCCAGGTGGAGATTCGATATTAACCCCGCAGCCATCTCTTCTCTCATACACAATTGTCCTCATTCCATCTCTATCCCGTAGACTCCGGACTATGAACCCCCATGTCGGAGCCCAGTCACTCCTGTCCCCAGTGTCCTGCTTCCTTTCGTCGCCAGGAGCATCTTGAACGCCATCGCTCGTGTCGTACGTGCTTGTCTCCTACTACTAAACCCAGCTCTAACGAATCCAGATCTGACCGACCGGCCGTTTGCATGTGGGTTTTGCCAGCAGGCATTCAAGCGAACGTAACTACGCACTTTTACCCATCATTGGTGATTGTATTCTAACGACAACAGAGATGTCCTCCAACGGCACTGGCGGACTTGTAAGTCCCGCCTGCGCGCAGATGCCGATATCCCTCCAGCTCCGATCAGCCGTAGATCCACCAAGAGACAGGCCTGCGATCGATGTGCGCGACTGAAGAAAGCCTGTAATTTGAAATGGCCTTGTGGGAACTGCCAGAAAAAGAGCCATGAATGTATCTATCGAGGTTCCAGACGACAGTCCGAGCATGCGACTAGACATTTCCCGGACGACACTGCAACGACGATATCTGAATCGCCATTCAACATGTCAATGTCCGATGACTTTAACCTCGCCGACACCATCGACCTTGACCGGTCTTGTATTATCCCTTCTGATGCGTTGGAGTCTCTTCTTAATGGTGACTGTGGGCTTGATATGGTTCACTGCAACCCACCACGATCGGACGACCCAAGCCAGTCAAAAACACTGGAAACGATCAGATTTGGGAAATTACAGTTTCTCGACAGATTCAGCAACGTCACCGGCTTCCTCAACTCCTTCGAGTGTATGCGCGTGTACGAAGTAAAGCAGTTGGCGACCGTTATGGCGGATCTGGCACTGCAGGACAACCCCGACGAAGATGTCTCTACCCCTATTTCCCTCGACTTTCTTATTATTCCTCCTCCAACCATGGACAGGTCTGATCCGTCAAGGCCCTTTTCAGGCCTGCTGGTAGACGGCTGCACGGACTGGTCTAGCTGGCTGGCAGACCCGTTGGCAGGAGTTACAAACGAGCTGGTCTGTCGATTGAAGCACGTAACGACAACACCCAGCCTGGGGAGCGCAATAGCCCTGACCTGGTCGCCTCTCATCGAGAATATCTGCGTTCAGTTCTTCAGCCCGCCGAACATCAGACGATATCTCGTCTATTTCTGGTCCTTCTGGTACCCGAACTGCCCCATCATCCATAAGCCCTCGTTCAATGTCCACAATACGCCATATACCCTTTTACTGGCTATGCTCTTGATTGGAGCCAGCTTTGCCCCTGATGATGCGACTAGCCAGAATGCAAAGCTTTGGTTTAACAGTGCAGAGGAGCTCGTGTTTGCGGACCCGCATTTCAGGCGTGCGGTGGTACATGGCGACGGGGCGGAGGGATTTCACCTTCGTAGGGATGCTGTCAAGGCGCTGCAGGGGGCGTATTTAATTTGTCTATTGCAGAACTGGGAGGGCGATGACAATAGTAAACGTAGGATCCGACGGTCGAGATTCAGCATGGTCACCGCGGTATGTCTTATATCATTTTTCGACTATATCGATTCCTGCTAACCTGAACAGATGGGTAGGGAACTTGGATTCTCCCCTGGAAGCCATCATAAGCCCCAGAATGAGGACGGAAATTGGGAAAGGTTCATTGCGAAGGAGGAGTTCAACAGGTATGTTCCATTGACTGTGGTATATCTCGACTAACGACCTAGGACACTGTCGTATATATTCCTCCTCGACACAGCCTTTATCATCTTCCACAACGCGCCTCCTAAAGTATCAGTCTCGGAACTCAACTTCGACCCAGTCTGTCCAGAGCGTTGCTTCCAGGCCACGACGGCGCGGGATTGTTTCTTGCTGTTACACGACAGCGATGCCTCTCCCATTGCAGGCCTCTCCATCACCGACCTCGTCTCGCGGTTCTGCCAGAAGACACTGGGATGCAGCGAGAAGGGTTTCTTAGCTGGAGTGGGCAAGCTCAATCTATTCATCATCGTCAGCGGTAATTCCCCTTCCCCCTAACCTGGTACATTTTTTATTGACAAGACAGCATTCCACACCCTCCTCTTCCACGCCCGAAACACCTTCTCCCCAGACGCAGCGATGCTACCGATCCAAAACGGCCTCACCAACTGGAAAGAGATCTGGAACCACCACGAGATGCTGGAGCAGGGCGGCGCTCCAGCAAGCAGTCTAGCATCGCCATCCGAGTGCTGGAAACGCACGGGGTTCATGGAATACGCCCCGGAGTACTGGACACTGGCTCAGGCGATTATTACGAGTGTCTTTACTACGCCTGCGGATGAGAGTGGATGCGGGCTGGGGCTGCTGCTGAATCGCGTCGATGAGAATAATATGGGCCAGTTGAATCGGTTTATCAGGTGGGCTGCGAATGAGGGGATGGCGAGGATTTAATCAACTTTGTACTCTATCTATAATCATTATCACATGTAATGAATGCCATTCGTTGAAGAACTCCGTCCACCAAGACACCAAGAGACAGGTCATCCCCTCTTGATCAACACAGCCATCATGGATCCTGATTTCCCCTCAGTGTATTCTAATACGTATGGACACGATTGGCCGGCTATTGCGTACCCCGGATTCAACCCCGCGCAGTTCCAGCCAAATCGGCTGCAGTTGTGCCACCCCGCACGAGACCATCACAGCGTCATAACATCTACACCTCCCCCATTACTCTCCGGCACATTTACTTCTTGTAATGTTTATCTTCAGCTTGTCCGGTATATCTGCCCACCGCAACCATGCTCTTGAACTTCCCAAACGATATAGTCCTGCTCGTGGCAGACGAGGTAGACACAGAGAGCGACCTGAGCGCATTGACGAAAACATGCCGCCATCTGTACGGGTTATTATCAGACAAGCTTCATCGAGATAATATGCGATATCGCAGCAGCTCCGCGCTCTTCTGGGGGATGCGCCACAGCCGATTCGATACGATGCAACGCATGCTGGATGTGGGTGCTGATATCGATTCGACAGAGGACGGTCAAACCCTCCTCTACCACGCCGCATGCGACGGTCATATCGCCATGGTTAAATTCCTGCTCAACCGAGGGGCGAGTTATCAGTTCAGCAAAGACCGGCTGCAAACTCCACTATGCGCTGCTGCAGTAGCCGGGCACGCCGATATCGTCCAGACCCTGCTAGACCACGAAGTCCAAGAAACCACATCACCAGCAACATCCCTACCCCCAGGAAAACAGGACATCTTCCTCCTCCAGCTCTTCAACACAGACGGACCAGGCGTCCACCGAAACGGCCTGCAATACTCCATCCCCCTCTTCCTCGCAATCGCATGCGCCCACACCACCACCGCACAAACACTCATGGCCAACCCCAAAGTCGACCTCAACTACCGCGACTCAGTAAGCCGCACTCCCCTGCTCTGGGCACTATCCCACCGTCTAGATAGAATCGCCACTCTACTCCTCGAGCACGGCGCCGACGGCAACGTCATAGACCCTAGGACAAACCAGTCCCCGCTCCTCACGGCCATATGCCAAAAGGACGAGCGCGTCGTGCGACTCCTCCTCCCCCATCCCACTGTGGATCCGAACTGGAGTGACTCGCAGGGCCGAAATCCGCTTATGGAAGCGCTGTCGCCGTCCGCGCATGTGTCGCTGCTGCGGGCGCTTCTGACCAGGTCTGATTTGGATGTGAATTATCGAGGTAGTCAGCATCAACATTCCTCCACTCCTTTGTGTATTGCGGTAAGGAGGGATGATGTCGCGGCTGTTACTTTGCTCTTGGAACACCATGGGATTGATGTAGACGCTGCTGGGCATGATGGCCGGACTCCGCTGTCCCATGCTGCGGAGTTGGGGCGGCTTGAGTATATCGATATATTGCTCGCCCATGGAGCGGACCCGGGGAGGAAGGATCTGGATGGGCGAACGCCTATCGCATATGCTGCTGGCTGTAATGACGTGAGGGTGGTTGAGATGCTGGGGAGGAAAGTTGGTGTGGATGCGATGGACCAGCTCAAAGTGCCGTCGTTCTAGACCAGGTAGTGCAGATGTAACAGTATATACTCATAAGCTCTATCGATGGTAGTGTAACGAACGGAATGGCGTAACTAGGGTTGGGTTGAAGAAGTAATCCACCAGATATGTCGGTGTTGGATGGAGATTGGAACTGTACCTCTTCGAATAAGCGCAGGCGCAAATTACTTTGGTCCGATTTCTAGTCATGTAGTAATTTTGTTTGCGAGGTCATACGATACTCCTTTCCGGGCAGTTTCCTTCCGACTGGGCTGACTGTTTAATATTGGATAAAAGGCGAAGGCTCTCAATCATGAATAAAATAACACAGACCAAAATGGATCTTGTTCTTGATATCGTGGACACGTTTGTCCTGGACCGGGTGTACGCAATCCTCCTCCCATCGAACACCACCGCCATCGAGTACAACCAGAACATCGCCCAGTATATCAATCTGCCACCTTCAGAATGGGCTGGCAAAAGTCTCCTGCCACGGGATAGTCCATTCCGACAAGGCATCACCCTGTTCTTCCTAACATGGTACACCACCATATCCCTACATCAACTGCATACTAACTATACAGGCTATTCGGCGCCCTCACGTACCTCACAACCTCAACCCTCTCTTACATCTTCATCTTCGACAAAAAATCCACAACACACCCCAAATTCCTCACCCGCCAAATCCCCCTCGAAATCCAATCAGCCCTCCTCGCCATCCCCCAAATGGCCTTACTTACGATCCCCTTCTTCCTCCTCGAACTCCACGGCTACTCGCGGCTCTACTCCTCCACGCCCCCGTTTCCTGCATACACATACCTCCAGTTCCCTTTCTTCATCGCATTCACCGACTTCGCTATCTACTGGATCCATCGCTTCGAGCACCACCCAGCCGTGTACAAGTGGCTGCACAAGCCTCATCACAAGTGGATCGTGCCGACACCTTATGCAAGCTTTGCATTTCACCCGCTCGATGGATGGGCACAGTCCATGCCATATCACATCTTCCCATTCCTATTCCCGCTCGAGAAGAGGGTTTACCTAGCTCTTTTCGCCTTCGTTACCGTGTGGACGGTTTTGATTCGTTCGTCTACCTACCTACCTTACTACATTATTACCTATTATACCCATGCTGATAAAGGTCTTTGTTTGCATAGATGACGGGGAATACGCGACAAAATCGCCCATAGTTAATGGCTCGGCGTGTCATACGTACCACCATCTATACTTCAATTATAATTACGGGCAGTTCACGACGCTTTGGGATCGGCTTGGTGGGAGTTACAGACAGCCTGAGGCGGATTTGTTTAACCGCGAGACGAAGATGGGGGAGGAGCAGTGGGATAAGCAGGTGAGGGAGATGGAGAGGGTGGTTAGGGAGGTTGAGGGTGTGGATGAGAGGGTTTATATGAATGGGAAGAAGGAGCAGTGAAGGTTTGGGTTGGGAGAAAGGGGGGGGTTTAATGTAAGTATTGAATATTTAATGTATTATAATTATGTGACTGCGGCGTTTTGTGTCTCTTCATTACTTATGGTAACGGCGGGATTGCACGTGGTCTGTATATCGCGATAGATGGGTGACTATTGATTGCCTGGATATCCGTAGTCTGGGCGATATAATAGTCGACGACCTATCTGAATCCACCATGATCACTGCGTATTCATGGATGCGTTTCATGTATTAATCTGCAAGTGCCGTTCTGTCTCGGTGGGAGGTGTGTCGAATATGTGGCATAACACGTCTCATACCGCGTTGAGCTTCATGTTCTTCGATCTCAAGCAAACGAATATCAGTCAGGAGGCATTTTGGGCCGCTATGAATTCGTCCACGGCTTTCTCTACATCCCGGCGCCGAAAGCCAGGTGACCGGCCCAGACAAATGGCCCCTTTAACCAATGCTGAACGGAATTAGCAATAATCACACGACATGGAGACGGGACATACACTGCATCAAGCGCGAAACACTAGCCGGGTCCTGTTCTTTCGGTCCCAATATTGTGCCAGACGGCATTGAGGACGCAGGAAACACCACTTGTCTCTCATGGAGGTAGCCCTGGAGATCACCTAGGTCGAACCACTCATCTTCAAGCTCATCCTGCAAGTCAGCTGTAAATCTCGACACGTTCTCTTCAACGGCAGATGAGCCCTGATGTGCAGGGAAGGGAAAGTGCAGGTTCCCCGACACAGGGTAGTGAGTACCGGCACCTCCGATACGGAAGAAAGGGATGTGATCCCAGTGGTCAAGCGTCTTGTGGCCAGCTCTGGCGAGTAGCCAGTCCTTGAAAAGCTCGGCCACGAACATCCGTGGCATAAGGCTAAGGAGAATCCGGAATGGGCGCTCTATTCGCCTCGCTGGAACTGCTGGGTTGGCGCACACGAGGTATCCTTGGTAGCTGCAGGTGACGTGCAACCGGTCTATGAACTCGGATATCTCCATCGTCTCTGAGCCTTCAGAGGTAGACGAAGTTGAGTATCCAATCTGCTTCTGATTTTTCCCTGCCAAGCCGGCATCTATCTGATACCCAGACTCGCCAGGAGGAAGCGCCGGCAAAGCCAAGCACGCCTGCACGGTGTTCCCGAGGGGCCTCAATAAATCCGGATGTGAATCCAAGGCACCGGATCGGACGAGATCATCACCAAAAGATATAACAGAGGTACTCATGTGCTTGATCGCCGTTTCTAACTGGCTAATGCGGTCTTTGAGCGAGGATATGTTGGCCTCCTTGCGAGACCGATAAGCCCGCTGGGCTATACGGACTTGCGTGCGCCGTCGCTACCATCGGTCAGATGTGAGGGCCCGCGTAGGTTAGACTCCTCTCTTACCTCTTCTGCATTCACGCCGGCATCATCAATGAGCTTCCGTGGACGGCCGCGTTTCCTTGCCTCGGCTGGTTTGGAGATGCGATTGCTTGGTGGATTGGGATTCCTGGCTTCAGTTGGTTGAAATAAAGCAGACTCATTTGAGGCATCCTCTTCTATAAGAACACCGCCATATAAAGCGGCTAGGCCATTCTCTTGCTGTTGGTCCTCCTGTGGCGGCTCGGGCATCGGATATGACGAAGCGGAGAGCAACAGGTCCAGCTCAGACCCCCACACATCTGCCTGGCCCGACCGGGGTGGTTCTGTCTCCCAGGGAAACAGGGACTCTGCATGGTCTGTGGGCGATGTCCAGTTTAGGCCGGAGTAGTATTCAGTCTCCATTTTGATGATATCATGGATGGGTTGACTGCGTTGGTTGTTGAGGATAAGCTGACTCAATTTGTCAGCGGGTGATAACAGCATGTGATGCATAATTAGTCATAGATTATACGATGTGCACAATTTGAAGTCTTCTATACTAATTTTCTTATTATTGTAGTTGAAACTTGAATCTCCTATGATGCAGGCATATTTAGCATAAATTAATGTGTGTTTGATGGTGCTTTCAATGCTACAGTAACCCTCAGGTATATATAATGCAAGCCATAATGAACAATAGATTCAATATTCAGTGCATACTCAGGATACCATGGTTACATTAACAGACCGCATGTTTCTCCTATTAATAGAGTCAACTATACACGTTCACTGCAGAAGCCCAACTCAGCTGTGGCTGCCAGCACACCAACCGAAATAAGCTCGACCTTGCGCTCCCAAACTCAGGGCGAGGCGCAGTTAGTCTGAAATAGACCGCACTAAACACCCCAGGGAGATGATCGACAGCGTAGGGCAGCCAGCGAGGACTTTCATTGGTCTAGACGAAGCCATCGGGGGCCTTGCTTCGGGGGCCTTGCTTCGTTACGAGTAGCCAGGATGAGACAGCTCAAACTGTGGGCTCATCAGTGGCCAGCAGGTGTTTGCATCCAGGAACATGCTGACAGGCCTTCAACGGGTATGGCCGTCACAGTTGGCCAGGTCGTAGTGTGGCTTGCAAGGCCTCCTTTCAGGACATGAGAGATGGCGATCTGTATGCACTCTGAAGCGACAAGAATAGCATCGCGCAGCCATGAAAACATATATAAAGGCCCTCAACTCTCGTCAATTCTGGTCCTCATCAACATCATCTCAAGCATCAAGCATCAGCATCAGCATCAGCATCAGCATCAGCATTTGAACATTCCAACAATTCTAATCACTTACCATCATCTTAATCATCCATCAAAATGAAGGCCTCTTTCGCTGCTATCGCTCTCTCCCTCGGCGCTGCCCTTGCTGCCCCCTCTACCGACTCCATCAAGAGACAACAAGACTCGCACCCCATCAGCGTCAGCAGCATCTCGCTCCGCCAGCTGGAAGAGGGTAACCGCATCGTCTTCCTCGGCTCCATCACCCGCCACGACAAGTCCGGCGCCGCTCTGTCATCTACCAACTGCAACACCCAGTGGTGAGTTCTCCTTTCTATAAGGTAATAAAGCAGAACTAACGTGGAATTATAGGAACCCCGAGTTGCCCCCTGGCGCCGAGAACCCTGTCCAGTGCGCCGACCCGGCCTTCAACTTCTACTTCCCCACCGGTGTCAAGTCTCTCGAGAACTACGACATCGTTGTCAACGGTCCTGATGGCAAGTCCACTGGTACTATCGAGAAGGGCCCTCGGTACCAGTGTGGTCCGTACGACGGAACCATTGAAGGGATCAAGCAGGAGTGCAAGATCACCCAGGGCGCCGAGTTCTTCCTCACCCTGGAGTAGAGTAGCTTGCCTACTTGAGAGTCTGGGGGTATAGGGTGGTAATGGGGTTTGATTTATTCTGATATTTGCATTACTGACATTGGAGGAAACTGTATCTACTGCGTGCATCACATAAACATTCCTTAATATAATCCCAACTAATCATCGCGCACTATTCGAACCATTGTACTGATGTATACTATGGTCTATAATCAGTACAATATTGTTATCTACAGCTTCGCTTTATTCCCATTAAACTTCCTCCAAAGCGCAGGGAATACCTCCATAATCCGGTCGACATCTCCCAGACAGTTATACCCATGGAAACTAATGCGCACCCTCCCCTGCCCATTCCACACATAAACCCCCTTCCTCGCCATCTCATCCACAATATCCGACGCACCCTCGCAATACACAACAACACTCGCACCATGTCGCTCCCTCTCAACCGGCGTCGCAGACACAATCCCTTCAGCCCTCAACCTCCCCAACAACGCCGCCGTCAACCCCTGCACATGGTCCTGAATCTCCCTCGCACCCCACCGCCCTAGAAATTCCAAACACTCCCGCAGCACATAAACAGCTAAATGAGCCGGATTCCCCCGACTAAAGCACAATGCATCCCCTCGCGCCTCAAGCCGACTCGTCTCCCAAGCCGGCCGAACAGACCCAAGACCCAGCGAGTGCCACCCGCCAGTAACGGGCCTCCAATCCGGCCTTCTGCCCTGGTTCCAGTACGCGATCGCAGCGCCGGTCGTGCCGAGTAGCCACTTGTAGCACGCCGAGAAGGCAAAGTCGGCAATGGAGGCGTTGATGGGCATGTATCCTGCTGCTTGGGTATAGTCGATGACGAGAATTGCACCGACGGAGTCCGCTAGGGCTCGGTAGGATTGTAGATCGATCCGTGAGCCGTCGAGGTATGAGACGTAGCTGACGGCGATAAGACGTGTTTTGGAATTAACCACATCTTTTAATGAACTGTTGTTATTGGTATAGTAGCGCACCTCAGGCGAGGTTATTTCCCCATCGCCTCCATTCTTCTTCAACTGAATCTCCTGCTGCTGACGCCGCAATGCAAAAGGTGCAACAATGCTTGGGAATTCATCGGCGTGCACGCAGACATTATCCCCCTCTGTCCAGTCCAAGGACTCAACGAGCATGGAGACCCCGTCTGCAACGCTCGGTGCGAATCCCACCTCTTTGGGACGGACTCTCCACGCCTCGGCAATTAGAGCCCGGGTGTCTTCTATATATTGAGCCTGTTGAACGCGGCCCTTGTGGCCTGAGGCTTTGTGGCTGATGTACTTGGTGAAGGCGGCATTGTGGGCTTGGAGGGGGAGGCTTTCGCCGGCTGCGCAGAGGTGTGTGATTCCTGGGGCGGGGTTAAATGATGAGAGCGGGAAGAGAGGTTTGCTTGCCATTTTTTTTGTGGAAGGATATACAGTGGGAGATGTTGATAAGTTCTTCATAATTTGGAGGGGTTGGTTTAATATTTATTCGCGATCTCCAAGTTGCATGTCGTCATCGGGTGTAAGTAGCCGATATTCACAAAAGCAGAGCTACAAGGGCTGTTTATGGATGTATAGAAAGGGATGGATATCTTACAAATGCAATTTATCGACCATTGGAAATATCATGTCCCCCCAGCCGCTTCAGTGTCCCCGCTAGAATAATCACCCCCTCTGCTAGGCGTTCCTCATCCGCCCACGCAAAACATAACCGTATATAATCGCTATAATCGCTCAGGCCATCATTCCCCTCAGGCAGGGAAGACACCGTCCCATCAGCAATAAGAACACCATCTTGTCGCGCTGCAGTAACAACGGCAGTACTTGTCAAAGCCTTTGGTAGTTTCAGCCAGATGAAGAACCCGCCGCCCACGTTATACTGGTTAGCAGGAGGGGTTATGATCCCCAGCGGAACAAGGTGTTGGAGAATAGCTGATAAGAGAAGCTTGTGCCGTCTTGAGTATGTAGGGATCAGGGTATTCTGGATATGCGACGTCAGAGATATAGTCGATTTATCGGTCACCATCTCATTAATGAATGTTGACATGAGGTGCGATGGCGCGCCACCAGAGTGGGAGGATCCCCTGTCTTTGTTAGAACCCTGGTATATTCAGCAGGGGAAAGGAGTGACATACGCCTGGGAGAGACCAAAGGCAAAATCAGGAGTCCCTTCAGCCCAGCCAACGCGACACCCCGGACCGACTAACTTGCTGAAACTGCCATTGCTCACACAGTTTCCGAAACGGTCCACTGGTCCGCCGTCAAGCGTTCGCTCGATATCGACTAGTCGTGGTAGGATATCACTGAAGCTGCGAGTGCCTGGGTCGTCTGAGGGCGTGTCTGTCCGCCAGTGGACAAAGTCATAGACGTCGTCTGCGATAATCAGAGCGTCGTATTTCCTCGCGAGTCGGATAAGGTCCTTTCGCTTGGATAAGCTCATTACCTTGCCAGACGGGTTAGAAAATGTCGGGACGCAGTAGATGACATGGCGGTAGAGCTTCCGATATGGTCTCGGCGGTTTGAAAGGCTAGTAAGCTGGTTAGTATATGATTATAAGTTCAAATAGATCATCTAACCTTGATACTTCCATCCGGATTAGCATCTTCATCCCGCTTCAGCATCTCCTCCAAAAAGACAAGATCAATCCCCTCCTCATCCTCCGGCACACCCCTCAACCGGCCATGGAACCCGGCGTCTTCAAAAATCCGAAACGCAAGAAAATATCCAGGCTCCACGATGAACACATTCCTCGTGAAAACGGGATCCGTAAAGACCTGCAGCAGACAAGCAAGATTCTGGCTCGCACCGCCAGTAATGCATATCCGCTCGGCGTCTATCTGTGCCTCATCCCCGCCGTGGTAGAATTGGGCCAGCCACCGCGAGATATTTCTTCGCAACGGATTGTACCCTGCATCTGCGCCGTATATCATGCCATCATGCCATATGTCGGGAGTGGAAAAGACGGTGTTGGTGGCTTGGTTTAGTTGTTTGATGGGGTTGAGTGATGGTGCGGGATACCCGCTGGAGAGGTTGATAGGGGCCATTTCCACACACTCTGTTCCGACTGTATTTATTATATGAAACACCACTTTGTGATGTCCTTCTGCGATTTAATGGAGGCCCAGGCGCAGGGAGTAGATGAAGAGAAACGAAGGATCAAATTGGAGACGCGGTGGATGATAAGAGCAGCCCTAGTCTCGATCTGGACAAGTTGGCGTCCCGACCAATGAGAATCAAGTTGATAAGAGCGCCCCATTTGCTGCCAGTTATTGTCACTTATATTCTGCGGGGTTTACTTGCCAGCCAGAATGAATTCCCAATTCTACAAGCTGTACGAACCGCCACTCTCTCAATTATTGCAAATAGAAACTCCCACAATGTCCATCCAGAGAATCCCCTACTCCGCTCCCCGCGAAGAGTTCATCAGCGCCCTCAAGCGCGACGGCAGCGTGATAGTCCAGAACTTCACTACCCTCGAGACACTCGCTCAAGCCCGGCGCGAAGTCGAGCCCTACCTGAACAGGGACAGCAACAGCGAAGTCGGGGGTGAGTCCCACTCATATTCCACTACCTTGAATAAATACACAGCCAGTACGTAGTAGACTAATAATCAGCCCTCAACGGCGGCACAAAAACATGCACCCGCCTCGTCGGCCGCAGCAAGACCGTGCGCGAGCAATTCTTCTCAGACCCCCTGTATCAAGATCTAGCAGAAATATTCCTCGCTATAAAGACCACAAACTGGTACAATGAGGAGCCCTCTACAAACACCACGCACCCGCTGCTCTCGATCGCTATAACGATGGATATCCGCCCCGGCGCACCAGCACAGAAACTCCACCGCGATGATAAAAACCACCATGCGCGCCACGCGAAAGTCCACGAGTACCACGAAAACAGAGACATGCTGCTCGGCCTCTTCGTACCGGGATGCGACACGACCAGGGAAATCGGCGCAACGCGGATCGTACCGGGGAGTCACCTCTGGGGCGACGAGAGGCCTGATTTCGGACCTGACGGGAACAAGGGTGTTGTTGATGCGGAGCTGAAAGCTGGCGAGGCGTTTATCATGCTTGGGAGTCTGTATCACGGCGGTGGGCATTTCTCGGCCAAGGAGGGGAGCCGCATGGTGCATATTATGTTCATGTGTGGCGGCATCTACAGGCAGGAGGAGATTTCGTATCTGGTGTATCCGGCTGAGGATGTCAAGACCTATTCGAAGCTCGTGCAGCAGAGGCTGGGATGGCAGCAGTCGGAGCCAAACTTGGGCTGGGTTGATCTTGTGTCGCCGGAGGCGTTGTTGGTTGATTGATATTGCTTCTATTTAACTAATTGAACGGTGTACGCATTTCGAGTTAACTATACGCTGTCTTGAGCTAGATTCTGGAGGACATCATCTGGTTAGAAGAATTAGGGGAATAATCTGGCAAACGACAACATAGTAAATTATATAATTGAACGTGTTGAAGACCCCTCGCTTGCCCTGCAAACATTGGATAAGATACTTCACCGCACCGTGCAACCCTTCAGAATCCTTTGAACCTGAGCGTCCTTCTTTACAAAAGCTGGCCCAAAAGCTTTCATCTTGTCCGCGCTGAGTGCCCTCCGTGCCCCTGCAGCCTGGGAAAACGCCTTACGGACACCCGTGGTGCGAATGACCGATGCACTTCCTATGATGCCCAGGATCGCAAACGGCGCAGACTCGGGGTTATCGACAATTTCATAGACTGACATTGCAATGTTGCCCGTCTCCCCGATCACCAATGCTGCGCGGGCAATCGCCGCTGCTCCACCCAGGGCCGCCGTGGCCTCGCCGACAAACGGGATGACAACAAGGACAATACTAACGATGTTCAGGATAAGTTCCTTCTTTTTAGCATCTCCAACCTCTGCCCCAATCTTCTTGATCTCCTCAATCTGCTTGGCCGCGTCCTGGAGCATGAAAACGGGCATGCTGAAGGCTGTCACGACATCATCCTCGTCGGCGTCCAGTCCCCCCATGGTCATTTCTATGTAGGTCTCTATGATCGCCCATTCCAGTTCCTCAGTGCTGGGGACGGCCTCATCAATGAGTTCCTTGGGGTTTACTACGTCAATATCGTCGTAGTCTTTGGCGCGCGGGTAGTTGTGGTAGAAGTCACCTCCGCAAACCTCACAGTTGGGCGGCTGCGGACAGGGACACCCAGGATATCGGACATCGTGTTTATCCTTCCAGTAGATCCAATCCTTCAGGATGCCGGTGTCTGCCTCCAGCTTCTTGTAGAAACCCTCCTCATCCCGCACCGTGTACGTGACCGAATTGTCGGGGTATTGGCTGGCCGATCCATTACCGCCATCCAAGTCCATCTCAGTACAGGGCCCATCACCGTGTTTATCAACCGTCCCGCTTTGGGAGGACCATTTACAGTCCATAAACTCCGTACCGTTGCCTTTCATGAATGTATCCAGGGAAGGGTTGATATTGTCCTTAACCCACTCGGCGTAGTATTTGAATTTGTCGTCGAAGCCCTTCGATGCCTCCTCGTATGCTTCTGTCGCGACAGCCAGCTCGTCGATAAGGAAATTGAGCAACACCATTGCACGGCAAGGCCCAGGCACCAGCTCGGGGGCTATTTCGAACTCGTCCAGGTTAACAGGCCATTGGTTGGGATCGCAACTGTTATCGGGAATATCCCAGAGTGCAGCCTCCGGGTCTCCCTCCTCGGGCTTTGGCCCTTTGTAAAAAGTTCCAAGATCGAGTGCCCAGTCCACAGTGCCTCCAAAATTCAAATCCGTGATCCAGTCAACCCGCCGTTTCTTGGTTTCATCGCTCATCCAGCCAGCCCAGGTGGTGAGCTTGCCCTGGGTCCCGTATACCATGATATCCGAGTCCGAATCCTTGTCGTACCATTTCTTGACCTCGACTCCGTCATAACCTTCATCGTGCATATCTGATATCTCCTTCAGCTCTACGTTGGAGATATAGCCGCGAGTGTTGGTGCAGTGGCCTGCCTCGGCAGTAGATTCGTTGAAGCTACCGGTAAATGTGCACGTCGGACCAGTACATTTCGAATCTTTCATCCCAAAGCTCCGCGCGTAGCTAGTGACGCCGACGACAATCTTAGACGCCGGTACGCCTGCCTTTGTAATCATTGCTAGTGAGTTCTCGGTTTCTGTTTTGTTGACATGCGAACGCAGGCAGTTTCCCTTCTTGCAGCCGGGACTGGCATATTCATTACCATAATCTAGAAGGCCATTATTATCCATAGAAAAGGTGAACTGGAGAGGGTGGAATACATACCCCACTGACCGTGAAGGTCGTAAGTCATATACACAAAGTAATCGACATATTTCGCCATCTTGTCCACGGGGAAGGGCTTCAGGTACCAGTATGAGGCAGGAAGCGCAACAGAGACCGAGTGATGATCTGTTCCGAGCTTTTTTCTGACAAGCTTAAGAAACTCGAGATAGGCCTCTGGTTCGTCGTCGCCTCCGTCCGGCACCCCGGGGATATCGGGGGCCCCTGGATACTCCCAGTCAAAGTCCAACCCGTATAGGCCCTTGTCCTTGGCGAACTTGACAACATTATCCGAGAACTTCTCACGGTTGGCCTTTTTCACTGCATCTTTGTACAGCTGAAAAGTCTCTGGATCAGTAGATTCAGCCCAGCCACCAAACGAAAGCACCTTGAGCCACGGAGCCTCCATATCCATGAACTTGTCGAATTGCTCCTTAATTCCCTTGTCAAAGGTGACCTCAAAGTCCTTCGTAATCCCTGCAAACGCAAAATGAACTATATTGTGGTCAGGGGCCACGTAAATTGGGTCCAGCCCTACCCACGGATTTCCGTCGAAAATCTTCTTTGCCACAGGGATTTCCGTAGCATCCATGCGCAGGCAGTCCCGTTCGATATTGAAGGCCTCAAAGTAAGCCACACGGAGAGCCGCCTCGGGTTTCTCGTCATTTCCCACGATCTCCATCCCGCAGTTGGAAATGCAGCCGTTCTTCCCAGGCTTGATCGCCCCAGGAGCACCCGTGTCGGCCGCGTCTTTGGTGCAGAACTCACTAGTCGTACCACAGAACCCCCACCCGGAGCAGCACGCTTTCAGTGGACAGGGATTGAGTTTGACCAGGTCAAAGCCGTCAAACTTCCCATTAGGCTTCTTCGTTCCCGGGTTCCGGGGCCCGCGGGTTGCGTCCTTGAGAGGGCTCGGCATTGGAGTGTTGCCTTTACTCAGACAGATGATTTGCCCTGGCTGTAGGCTGTTCTTTCCGCAACCCGCGAAGCCCCAGGTTGCCTTGTTGAGACTTTTGATATCATTCTCCTTTAGGCCATATCTGGCGCCGATGCTCTCGCAGCCATCGTTGGTCGAGACCTTGTAAGTTGCGCATGTTCCGTCCTTCTGTGGCTTAGGCTTCAGGTCTGGAAGGCTTCCCTTAGAGCAACAGACGAGTTGCTTGGGGGCAAGATTGCCACAAAGGCCTTTATCTGGGTTATACTTGGTAAAGGTTGCGCCTGATATCTTGCACCGCTTTGCGAGGGACGCACAGCTGTCGCCCTTTTTCACCTCTGTCGTCTTGCACTCTGCCCGGGTTGCGAGGAGCCCGCGGACGGGGGACATATCCTCGTCACGCTTCTCTGCTGTAGTTGGCGCTTCGTCTGCGACAAGGACTTTCAAGCTGACTCTTTGAGCGGTGCCTTCTTCCGTCTCATCGATTTTACAGCTGCCCTCGGCCCACTCGACCAGCGCACTCTGGGCGTCGGGCAGCTCGTCTAGCGAGTTAATCGCAAACAGGCCGACGGTCTGGTCAGAGGTATCTGCAGGGTGACAGACCTCGATGACCTGTGTCCCGGATTGCAATTCTTTCCTACAAACAATTTGTCGCATTAGCACAAATCCCCAGAGCAAGCCGGTTCGGCGATGGATATACGCACCCGAAAACCTCGCCCAGATCGTCGAAACTGGCCTTCTGGACCTCGGACCCAGTGAAAGCCGCCACAATAGCGGACCCGGACTTCGCGAACAGAATATTCCTTCCACACGACGCGGAGTTGGCGATGTACTTTGCAAGTAACTTTGCAGCGGCGGCGGCTTCCTCGCCCGCATCCAGGACGCTGCGAGGACCAGTCCGTAGCCCTACCTTTATCTGGGTCCCAGTCGCACCACATGTTGGGTCAGATCGAATTGCTTCTTCCACGGCATCCGGACCTTCCTGGTCAACGTCCTCCCAGCGCAATGACGTATTGCTGTCATTACTATCCTTACTGCGGAGTCTGGATATTTCACTAAAGTCCATGTCCGCGCCCTCGACAGCGCAACTCCGGATAGTCGGAGACAGCGCTAGGTCGTTTTTGATATTTAAATCAAACAGGAGAGGCTTCTCGCAGAGTGTCAGGTCACCTGTGCCATGGAGGTGCGTCCAGTTACTGGGATTGGGGCCGACACTGCGGCATGGCTGGGGACAGCCATCGACGAGTGGACCGGCGTGATAGTGACCGGCGACGACACTAGAAACAGCAACCAGGATAATTGGTGTGAGGCGCACCATTTTTAGGTAGGAAGAAGCTCCGAAAAGAAACACGAAGTCGAGGGAGATTGACTTGTCTGGGTGAAGCATATGAGAATAAATAAAGGTAGGTCTTTTTTTTACCCCCACTGCCCTGCCACTCCTACTCTCGGCTAAAAAGAAGACATACTGTCCTGGTACTCGCAGTTCCTGTTATTTAGTTGTAATTCCGTGTCGGATAGTCCAGGTACAGGACCCAGAGTATACACTAGAATAGGGCATGGAGATACTGGGCCTCGTCCACGTATCACAATGCCATAACTGAGACAGTAGCGGCCCGGAGCGTCCTAGCCTTGTAGAAAACCTGGTGCGCATAGCTGCCTTTCTCAAAAATGAGGTCGTATCCGGCCAGCCCTAAAGGTGACCAGCGCACCATCCTCCCCAAAGGGGACCGGAGTCGGGGCTGCCAAGGAGCTCTTACGGCACAAGAAAGTGAAAAGGACCGTAGTATAGCTTAGCATGTCAGGGACCAACTGCAGAATCCTGTCAGGCGTCCAGTGCGCCTCCATCCCCAATCTCAAGCTTGTATAGGAAGCGCACCATGATGCCGAGACAGGACGCCAAGCATATGCCAAAAATCAGGGTTGAGCTTAGCAGGGGTTCCGTTAGCCAATACGGAGTCCTAAGAATGAGCTAAGAATTGTGAAGGGGCTCAATCACACGGAAATCTGCAGCTGAACCCTTCAGGCATTCAATGCCTCTTCCACTGCTGCACCGAGACCGTGCGTTGGGGGCCTGAGGAATTGAGAGCTGCAGGTGGCCGAACTACTCCGAAGCACCTTTGTTCATTCCGTTGAGGTTTGGATGGCCAAAAATAAAAACCAGTGTCCCTTGGATGAAATTAGTGGGCATGTGAAACGAGGGTAATGCTCGCCCATGGGAGATAGTTGTATATTTGCCGTTTTTGATCACCAATTCCTCAGGTTACTTGGTTCTTTCATAAACACGCCTTCTCATATCTCATATCTGTCTCCCAGGAGCCAGACTCAATTCTCCTTTTCTTTTACCCTTGATTCTTGTGTCTTGAACAATGAGGTGGACTCCGTTACTTCAGTTTCTCGCCGTCTGGCTGGCGCTGCTCGCTGTCGAAATTAGCGGTGCTTACACTCCCGGCCCAAACGACCTCTTTCACTGCGTGGAAAGGATTTGGCAGTGGAAGGTGTACAACATTGCAGTGTGAGAACTCTACCCTTGAAGCCAAAACTCTCCTTTGGGGGAATTGCGGGGGAGTATAAGTCGCTGTCGGGAGCCCTGGTTAACACTGCTTTTGCTCTTTCTAGAGATGTCTACGGCGCCGACAAACAAAAGATCATTCTCCCATTCACCAAGGCTGGGGGCGCTAAAACAAAGAACAACAGAGGATCTGGGAAAGAAGGACGGCTCACATACAATGAGTTTATGCAACGCACCGTTGACGGGTTGTTGGACCCGGAGAGCACGCCGAGAATCGACCTGGGACTTACTGAACCCGATCCCAGCAAGGGCAGCGCCGACCTTGACCGAGCTGCGGTAGAGCTCTACAACTTGAAGGACGATCGATTCAAGCAGATCTCGAAGCCCAGGATCCTCAACAACGATCAAGTGAACAGGCTGGGCGCAGGAAACACGTATCCCAGGCTGATGAGGGGAATCAGCGATCTGGTGAATGAGTGGCGCATGCAAGAGGGGACGGGCAAAGGCGAAGCCTGGAAAAAGGTCAAGCCTCACGTCGATGACCTGATGCATCTGTCCAAGACCATTTCTGATGGCCGCCGGGAGACTACGGCCGCTTCGTATATCCCAGATTTGATGATGAGGGACAGGACTACAGATAAGGGAGTATATATCGGAGGCCTGGGCCTACGGGAAGCGGGCGGCCATGTGGTCTTTCGCAGAGCGACAGAGTCAGAACTGCCGGAATCACTTTGCAAGGTCTTGGGTAGAAGTAGATTCCAGGAAGTTAACTTGAAAGAAACTTGGAGCGAAAACAAAGCGATCCTCAAGGCCGAGCCAAACAATTTTAAGGATGGTCGCAGTTTTAAACACTGGGTGGGTTCAAAGTTCCTATACCTAACTCTCGCTGGCAACTTGTTGCAGCCTGCTAACTCCAATAAATCAATACTAGGTCGATAACATGGGCAAGGATGGGAGTAATCCTGCAGTTCCTTACGCTGAATCTGCGAGAACTCATCATTTCGTCCAAAGTACCTTTAAACGGATTCATGACGACACTAAAAGGACTACTGAGGAACTAGTCGAAAAACAGAAGAAGGACAAGGAAAACAAGTGTTGATGGATTCATTAATTCGAGCAGTAGCAAGAGACTTGTTGTATTATTGCTCGTTCTGCGCTCGTGTTAACACACTCAATGGAGGAGCCTCCCCTTCCGTAAGAGATCTTTCGTCTCGATCAACTCGTTTGTACGAAATGAGGTTGTCGTAATCGGCCACCCTTAAGCCCGAGGGCACATATGCTTCATGGGCCTTGTAACACTCCCAAGTGTGCTGTGTTTCGACGAGTAGCTCCAGGACCCAATTTCTCCTCAGCTCCTCGTCATCGGCGGTGTCTCTGGGCCTCCGACGCCACCAGGAAATGGTAAATCCAGAGCCAGGAAGGTCATCCAGTATAAAAGCTACAGAATCCCAAATCAAGCCCATTCGTGGGCATGGACTCTGCTGGTCCACGAGCTCGGCCTCCAACATATCATCGCCACAGCCGCAGCCGGATAAATTGATCTCGAACTTCCCCACTCGCGGCGGAGGGTGTGAAGGAAACATGCGGCGCCAGGATGCGTCCGGCCGCAGAACGGCCTTTCGTTTCGTCTCAGACTTGTACCATTGCTGTTGGCACAGGATCTCCACGCCGTCTTTGTAGGGCGGACGGCTCTCCACCAGGCAGAGGTCGTCTTCCACGTCGTCCAGATTGCCGTAATTGAGAGTTTTGAGGTCGTCTATAAACGGAGGGAAAATTTCCTGGATGAGCGGATTTACCTCCACGGCCAGGTTTTCTTGCGGCTGTGGACATGTCCGGGCGGGCTGGAAGAACAGCTTCTGCTGCAGCACCGGAGAGTGCGTAATGACTTCGTTCCACTGCCGACTGGTGCGTTGCATGAGCAGCAAGCTGCGGACTGGGAGGTTGGCTAGGATGCCCTCTAGAAGTTCTGGCACGGAGAGGACTTGGTTGGCGGCCATCGGTGCATCGTCTCGGGGTGAGTTTTGTTAGGAAGAAAACCTGATCGGGACTGCAGATGGAGGGCCTTATTTATCGTGTAGGAGCACGTGCTGGCCACGTGTCGGATGCCATGCCTCTGCAGTCTAACAATAGTCCTACAAGGACTAGTTGATTGATGAAAGTTTGTAAAGAGGAAGATTGTTGGTAAAGAGTGGCTTCGCAATGTGTTACTAAGACCGGCAGCCGAACACTCGGTTCTCAGCGCCACACAGCCCCAAGACTTCTCCTGTTCACAATGCACTTGACGGCCCTCCCCACAATCTTCCTCTACCTGCATAATTGCCGAGCTAGACTCATGCAATCACTTGGAATCAAGACTCTATGCCCCAGCCAGAAAAGCCAGCTGAGCGCAGACGCGATGGATGCACCGAATGCCGGCGGAAGAAGGTGAAATGCGACCTACAGACACCAGTATGCTCGCGATGCACTCGGTTTCCGCGACAATGCAAATACGAATCACAATTTATCGCTGTAAATAGCCAGTGCAAGAGTGATACGCGCCGACAAGGCCAGAGACGACAACAACTGCGCTCTATTCCTGCAGTGCCGCGAAATCAAGTCATCCCGCTGCAGGCCGGTGTGTCGGCGCCATCGCTGTATCCATCAGCCATCCAATCTAGACTATCTATTCAATCTATTCTTTCGGAGACAACGACGATGATATTCCCGCTCGCATCGCGCTCCTTCTCGGATAGACTGGTCGCTTCTGCAATGGAGACGCCGCATCTTCTGTACGCGCTTCTTGCGACCTCGGATAGCCACGCACGGCGCAGGATGACGCTTACTGGGGATGCAGATGACACAGTATTAAGATTCACAAACGACGCAATAGCCGGGCTGCGGGCGGCGCTGGCGAATGGGGGCAATGCACACGGGACGGCCATGACCGCCATGGCATTGTGCACGAACGACGTATGCAACGGAAATCTAGACGTGTTTAGGATGCACCTTGAGGGTGTGCGAGGGATGTTGTTATCTAGGATTAACCGGAATAACACCAGTGGTAGCAGTGGTCTTCTTGATGTCTATTTGGTCAAATGGTTTGCGGCGCTGGACGTCTCGGCTGGACTCTCGCTGTTCCACAACAGCTCTCTGTTGGACAGTCAACTTTACCAGTCTTGTCTGCATTTTTCAAATGAACTCCCTCAGGCCAATGGGTATGTGGATGACATTTGCGGCTATTCTCTGGGCCTCTTGCCGATTCTTGCAAAGATCGGAGAGCTCGCAAGGTTACGTTATAACCTCTCGATGAACACGGACGATACTACGGCTTTAGTCCCAAAGGATTTAGAAATTGATTCTCAAGCGGAGTCAATCGAAAGACAGATAGAGGCACTCCCACAACCAAATTACAGACGGGAACGGTCTCAGCTGGCAGACGAACTGAAACTTTCGCACTCTGCATTCATTCATACTGCCTTCCTCCATTTACATCGACGAGTTCAGTTGCTATCCAAGGACCACCAAACGGTGCGGGCCGACGTGCACAATATATTAGAAGCAGTGAGCAAACTTCCCGCTTCATCGACCACCAATATTCTCCTTCTGTGGCCCATATTCAGCGCCGGTTGCGAGACAGACGACATTACTGAACGAGGGATTGTGGATGAACGAATGTCTCACATGCAATCCCTGGGAATGGGGAACTTTACAAGGGCCAGAGATGTACTCAACCGATTTTGGAGTTCAGGAACGGATTTGCGGTGGGATGTATATCTGGCGAAGTCTGGGGTGGATTTGGTGTTGTTTTGATAAATTATATACCCGAGAAACTCTTTCCATTAAGTCTTGAATACATATAGCAGAAGATGCACTTTCATGCCTTTTGTTCCTTTTTCCAATCGGCATACTTCCTATAGACATCCTTTCGGAAGACCTGCTTTAGATCCGAGACAGTTGGGATATCCATCGGCAACGCGCTCAAGACAGCTCCAACACCACAAAGCCCATTCTTCTGGTCAATAAACCAAGCCACCGTGAGACCACCACCCCACGTCATCGTCTTATCCCCATACCAACCCTCAACATCTTCCAACGTAACGACCCCGCCAAGCCCATATCCCATCTTCGTATCTTCATCAATACCCACCCGGAAAAAGATGCCTATGGGACCCGCCAGCGCATCTTGATGCCCTTTACTCGCCTCAGCCCCCAACCGCTGCTGAAACATCCCATCCACCGTCTCAGGTTTCAACAACTTCCCATCATTCGCCAAAATCGACTGCAGCACCTTGACGAAACTCTCCCCGGACATAAAAAGCCCCTGACCACCAAAATCCCCTTGCGTGCGCCGATTCGCATCCCCATCCCCACCGAGCACCGCCCGCCCTAGAGCCTCAGGATCATCGGGATTTAGGTCCACCAACTTCTCACGCAACTCCTCACGCGTAACAGGGTAGAACTGCGCATCATTAATCCCCAGTGGGTTAAACAGGCGCTCCTGCATCCGCTCAATCAGCTTCTTCCCCGTAGCCCTCTCGACAATCCGGCCCGCCCAGTCAAGCCCGGGCCCGTACATCCACGATTCACCGGGGTGGAAGGCGAGCGGGTAGCTGAAGAGCTCTTCAACAGTAAGCCGGCGCTGCTCGCCGTTTTCGTCTTTGAGCGGAGCGCCGTTTTCCTCGCGCCACTGTGCGATGGTCGGGTTCATGAAGTGGTAGACTAGCCCTGAGGTGTGGGTGATTAGGTGTTCTAGAGTGATGGGTCGGGATGGTTTCTCGAAGAGCGGGGTGCCGTCATCCGAGTACCCTGTTAAGACTTGTTTGGATGTGAGCTCTGGTGCGAGGGCTGATAAGTCCCCGTCTAGGGAGAGGATGCCATCCTCGACGCATTGGAGGGCGGCGACAGCGGTGATGAATTTTGTTGCTGAGGCGAGGAAGAGTACATCGGACAGTTGGTGGGGTTGCTTTGAGCCTGAGAGGAGGGTGCGTTCGCCTATTGGGTTGTTGTACTTGAAGGTTCCTGAGCTGTTGGTTGCGCAGATAACGCCGCCGTTTATTTTTCCGGCGTCGATTGCGGACTGGAACGCAGATTCAATATCGGCCATTGTGGTGGTTGTTGTTCATGAAGTGAGGGGAAGAAGTGGAGTTGAGGTCGAAGTGGGATTCGGTGTTTCATTGATCGGGAGCTCTTTAAAGGGAACAGCTCGTATTCCAATGACTCAGGCTGCCCCACTGTAAGACATCGTCATGATCCTCGTTGAAAGAAAATGTACACTCTTTACATTTGATTTTCATTCAAAGCCAGGCTGGGTGAGTCAGGTCGTATTCCTTCCTTTGTCTTCCAGGGATCGATCGGGTTTGGATCGTCGATCGTTCGTATTCAGTATCCCCCGTCCTCCACTATCAATTCAGGACTTCCGCATGCATTTATATTTCCACAGCTTCTGAGCCATATATGTCCTATATTGGGCTGTAGATGGTGTGCTGGCGTAAGATGCAATAGAAAGACGGCCTAGTACCGCGAGTGGTTTTTTGCGGTCGAATAGTAAGATCTACCATCTCGATATAGTGTGTCTTTTGCGAATCACTCCTGGCTATGAGAGGTTCCCTTCTAGAAACATCAGCAGGTCTATCATCACTCCGTTCAGTTGGTTGTCTGCAAAGGGATATTCATTCTCCACACATCATGTGACAAAGTACTGTCCTACTTACCTTATAATAAGGTAGTAGATATATTTATATTTAGTATATATAAGGATAGCATTAGCCTATTAGTAAGATACTACTCTTAGTATTTAGTATAGTAGAGATATAACTTCTGGCTACAGGCCTTTATATACTGTATATTCCTTTATTAAGAGACATTAGAGTAAACTATAGAATAAATAGAAAAAGGAGAAAGTTAGCTAATTCAGGAAGAAAAAATAGAAAGAATACATATAGAAAGATATAATATAATTTATAGAGTTAATTTCCTGGAACTGAGTACTAGTAAAGAAGTATTCTATTATAGTTAGCTATTCACCTGGCTGGGCTGTTGTAACTCCCTGGGTTAACTGCAAGCAATAATATTAGCGAAGTAGATAGAATCTGGTAAGGCCTGATATAGGCTGCTATCTACTACAGCAAGTAGGCTGTAGTAAGGTATAATAGTATTATAGTACTACTCTGGTAATTTTAGATATAGTAATAACAGTTCCTTATATACCCTTTGTCCATCATATTCCCTGTATGCTAGGGTCATACTTCCAGTATGTTTCTTTATATTCCCAATAGAACATTAATCCCTTTTCTGGCCGAGCATCATACTCGTATTCGTAACAGTCATAATCATCACAAAGGCTTCATGACTGTTATCAACACTACTATACACTACCGTGCCAAGCGTACAGCCATAATTACTAGGGGTCCAACTAGAGTACTTATCTGGGTAGTGCCCTGCCTTGCCAATTTGAGTCTTCAAATGGGGCGTATATTAAAATTGAGACCTTCAATGAACTCATTCCACTAAGAGATTGTATCCCAGTGATCGCGGAGATGCGGGGGTCTTCCGCGACGGGTGACAAACCCATTTACAGGGGTCACCACCGCGGCAACAACGCGATCCGGGGGCGTGGTTGGGTTCTCTTGAGGCATCTCTCAATAATAATTGCGGGCAACATAGCGTGGGGGCGTTGGCATTGCCTGCGCTTTCTTCGCCCGAGCGGAGGATGAGGGATCCGTCGGCGCACGATCATCACATCGGGGTTCCACCTTGACGGCCAGAATAACTAATCAAGGGATAGAAATCGACATTCTCGGAAGAGTCCCACTGCTCTCCGCGATTCAAGGCGTAATAACACTTGGTACTGTAGCATTAAGAAGAGTAAGCCGGCGTACCCGGATATTACTTCTGCAGGCACACCCAATCGGGTCGTTGACCATGCCGATGTCCCCAGTCTTCGGAACACGTCATCAAGGCATGCCATTGGCCCGAACGTTTTTTAAGTCATAGTTGATAAGCCCACTCAGTATGATGCGGAAGGGTTGTTACTGCAGGTCAAGATTTGTGAAAGTTCCTAAAGGACAGCCGGACGGGAAGTCGACAGAGGGAAGCCTTTTAAAGCTGTCCCGATGACCTTCGGTTTCAATTTATTATCCTTTCCCCTTCTCTTCATCAGCTGGCCAGTTGCTCTTAACCCTAAGTCACTATCAAATAAACATGCATAACTCTACAAGCGACCACGACGAGCTCGACGATGTATTTAATCGAGAGACTTTTTCGCCGGCGGAACATGCACGCGAAATTGAACGACGAGACCAGCAGAGCCTAGAATATATGGCTAATGAATCAATCTACGACCGCATCGCATTCTTCCGAGTCCCTTTCACTGTGAAGAACACACGAAAATTAGTTATGACTCTGGGGGTCTTTGCAGCGTTCAGCGGTATGCTGAGCGGCCTGGACCAGTCGGTGATATCGGGTGCTCTGCCTGGGATCCGGCGGCAATTTGTCAGATTGGGCGAATGGGAGAGCTTGGACGACCCAAGGATGAAGAATGATATCTCCCTGGTCTCATCGCTGATGCCGTTAGGAGCCATGGCCGGTGCATTGATGATGATGCCGCTCAACTTCTATATCGGCCGCCGCAACTCGATCATCGTCTCGTGCTTGTGGTATTCTTTAGGAGCTGGTCTCTGTGCTGGGGCTCGAAATATAGGAATGCTGTTTGCCGGCCGCTTTATCCTTGGAATTGGCGTTGGCGTTGAAGGTGGTTGTGTCGGTATCTATATTTCTGAATGTGTTCCACCAGAGCTTCGTGGCAACTTGGTATCGATCTACCAGCTGATGATCGCTTTCGGTGAGGTGGTTGGTTATGCGGTAGGCGCGATTTTCTTTGATGTTCCGGGCAGCTGGCGGTTTATGCTTGGTTCATCTATTGTGTTCTCGTCCATTTTGTGGGCTGGAATGTGCTTCCTACCCGAGTCACCGCGTTGGCTCGTGTCCAAGGGTAAGACTGGACGTGCTTGGGAAGTATGGAAGTCGCTGCGCGACGTATCCAACCCTAAGAACCTGGAAGAGTTCCTAATCATGGAGGTCACGGTCCAGAATGAGATCGAACGCTCCGCTGCTAGTGTGTGGTACCGGCGCTATCTAGAGGTCTGCGTATATCCTCGCAACCGCCGTGCCCTTGTCTACGCGTCGATGATGATTTTCTTCGGCCAAATGACTGGTATCAACGCAGTGATGTACAACATGTCCAACTTGATGGCCAAGATGAACTTCACAGAACGCGAATCTGTCCTCATGTCGATGGTTGGTGGCGGCGCATTGTTCCTGGGAACAATCCCGGCGGTGTTCACAATGGACAGGTTCGGCCGCCGTGTTTGGGCACAGAATATCGTCGTCTTCATTATCGGTTTAGTCCTCGTTGGCGTCGGCTATTTGTACACCAACAAAAGTTACGACTATTTCCTGGAAAACAAGGCTACCGCTTTAGGCCTTTTTTTCTCCGGGATCGTTCTATACATGGGCTTCTTCGGCGCATACTCATGCCTGACATGGGTCGTTCCTGCAGAGAGCTTTGATTTTAACACTCGCAGCCAAGGAATGGCCATCTGTTCAACTTTCCTCTATCTCTGGTCATTCATTGTTACCTATAACTTTGACCGGATGCAAGCGGCAATGACTTATACCGGCCTGACGATTGGATTCTTCGGTGGTTTGGCCGTCCTTGGCTTCTTCTACCAGTTGTTCTTCATGCCTGAGACCAAGGATAAGACCCTCGAGGAAATCAATGAGCTGTTCTTGATGCCAACCAGGAAACTTGTTGGTCTTAACATACGCAGCGTCGTCAATCACTGGTCCTGGGCTTTTGGTGGATTACGCCCCACGCCTGATATGAGTGAAGCAGATATCGGTTACGCATCAGACGAAGAAAAACAAAAAATCGAGAACGCCCAGTAGAGATAACCAGCATTTAGTAACTATTATTACTACCAATACACAGAAACGTTTGTCTACTATCTATTATAATCAGATTAACACTATACATAGGTTCCTCGTGAATCTCTTCTATATATAAGGAACAGGTTAATCATGTCTATTCTTAGATACAAGCTCACAAGACTCCATACATAATGTGCATAATTTAGCTTTGTGCTGTGTCTTACTCATCATTTTGTGCGGCCGGAATCTCACTATCACCAGGAAACCATCACAACACCAGTTGTCGTCCCCAAACACCCCTCTCCTTATTTTGTATACTTCTCATCCCTCTCCCTGTCTCTGATATTCATCCATACTATCTCCATGGAAGAAAACAACAATGGCACCGCCAAAAAACCAGCCGTGAGTTCTAACCCTCAGCTGAGGTTGTGCTACACTAATTCCATACCAGTGTGACAATTGCAAAGACAGAAAGGTGGGAAACCCGGAAAGTCCATCTTCTTTCTACATGTAATTTATTTGCTCATCAGTAGACCAAATGCGATCGCGGCTCTCCATGCTCCAGCTGTGTTGCAGCAGAACTGGAATGCAGACTTACTCGTCGCGCACCGGAGAAGCGTCAGCGCGTCCTTATCTCCGCTCGCTACGATGAAGCTATAGAGAACGTCGACCGCTCACTGCAAGATGTTTCCCGTTCTTTACAGAAGCTCTTGCACAATAATGAATGGCGTCAGCAGCCCCAAAATGACTCTCCAGCGCCATTCGTCAGCAATCATCTACTAGATACTTCTGGGGCATCAGAAGGCTATACTGGCGACTCCTCATTTGAAGCCCACGTTCGGCGGGTAGCTGATACCATCAAAACAGCTGCATTATCTTTGGATTTGAGCATGGCTGATGCGGACTTTTCTGCAACCCATGCTACTCAAATGCTTCACACGCCCGATAACAAAAATGCTGCTCCAGGCAGCAGTGCATATCCATCTCTTTCCCAAGTCCTCTACCCCGAACTGGACGGAAGAACACTCCCTCCACTAGATCCTGTCCTCCGGCTCCTCCGGCTACTGCACACTGAGAAACAGCGGTTCTTCATAGACGTTCCTGTGGTCAGCGAACAGGAATTTGAGGAGCTATGCCAAAGAGTCTATTTCGCTGTCAACCACTACTCCCTATCGGCTTGGATAATTGTCAACGCCGGCCTGTACTACTTATTCCTCAGTCTAAGTCCCCATCATTTCTCGCAGATAGCAGTGACTGGGGACGATGTTCAGGAAATGTTGCGCTTACTATCTGCAAACTTGGACGCTGCAATCCAATCTATCCGGCTTTGTCAGGACCCATCTTTCCAGTGGTGTCAAGCACTGTCCATTTTGGTATGTTCCGATACCCATATGATCCTCCCATACTGAATTGAAAAGACAAACTACTGTCTGAAATGCGGCCGAAGCGCAGTTGCTTGGTCAATGATCTCTTCAGCATCGAGGATGTGCATAGACCTCGGGTTCCACCAACTCCCTTCTGACATGGGGAAAGACATTTCAAGAAAGCGGAGCATATTTTGGCACATATACGTTATGAACACGGGTATGGCGTTTACGCTTGGAAGGACTCCCTCAATTCCTCAATACGATATCGCCACAACACTGCCATCACTATCTCATGCAACGCCGGGGGTGCCATTGTACGCGCATTATCCATTTCCAACCCTCCGGGACTAATTGAAACACAACAGTTTATACTTCGGTTTCGTCCAATTTTCATTAATTGTCGGCGAAATGCACATCCAACTCTTCTCCGCAGCCGCACAACAATCCTCCCCGCAGGCACGCGCTGACAACGCCCAATCTTTCGCCGCTAAACTCGCGAAAGTCAACAACGACGTTAAAAGAGTGAGACTCGCGTTTTCCCCGATACCAATTTCCAGGATACACCGCTAACCACTAGAATGCCAGTCACTCCTGGCTACCCCCGTCGACGCAGTGTTTGAAAACGCAAGCATCCTTGTCGATATCATCATGCATTGCTTTGTTACAATCGCCTACAGACTCGCTCCAAGCAATGAACCAAACTCACATCCTCTCCAATGCAATGCTGACTGTATCAATGCCGCCAGACAAGCCCTCGCCACAATAGTCCGCGGAAGCCAGACCCTTGGTCAACGGGATTTGCTCGGGTGGACCAGGTTTCTAAATTTGTATGTTTCCCTCCCAATCCCAAATCCAATGATAATGTTTGACATATCCTTATTCTCATTTGGCAGCTTGTTTTCCCTAGTCCCCTTCGCCAGCTTTGTGGTACTCGCCGGAAATACAGTGGCGTCATCCTCAGCAGAGGACCTGGCTCTTCTCTCCGCTACCATTACAGCCATCGAACCGATAGCCACTAGCTCTTTACCCGGGAAGAAGCTGTACGATGCATGCCAGTCTTTCTATCAGTTTTCACAGTTCGCGGTTGCCAGGCAGGCAGCATTCGCCAACCAAACGCTAGTGAGTAGTCACGGCCCCGAAACACCTTTCCCGGCATCGCTAGGTCCTCCTCAACCCAGTGTGCCATATGAACATATTATGGCGCCGCAAGATTGGGACGCTGTCATGAACGAGCTTGATCTTGAGATTGGTGTCGGTGCGATGGCGTCATTCGTGGAGCCGTATATCCCATTTGATGTATCTCTCCCTTGACTCGGCACATTTACAATAGACATCATATAATATACTTCGTCTAAACATATATTCGGGTATCAAATGCAGCTCTCAAGTCTATGTACAACGCGATCCAGTCGGAATGCAATTCAACCCGCTTGATAATTCAAAGTATGCACCAAAAATGCAATGGAGTGAAGGAGAGAAAAACAGAAAGAAAGAAAGGCGTCAAGATCAAATGGGCAATGGATCATGACGACTCCAGCTGTTGTCGGACGACGAGACACTCCACGATCGTCTCCCCGGTGTCAAAACAGTCGGGCGTCGAGTAGGGGAGCTTGAACTTGAATCAGGCTGTATCGCAACGGAATTTCGCTGCGGTGGTGGGTCCATCGTTAGGCTCTTCGGCAGCTCAACTGCTGAACAATCGGTGATTTCTATCGTGATCTGAGGTCCTGTCTGTTTTGGTCCGTAAAACCGAGACTCTCGTGAGGTAGATCGTGGTGTTACTGGAGAGGAAGCTGCCGTTGTTGTCGGCGATTCAGAAGTCTCTGGTAGCTCAGACGATAGCTCTACTGCTTCAGAATTTTGTGGTTCTTTCTTCGCGGGTTTGGATGTCTTGTCGAGAGATGGGCTTCTTCCGATCGGCCGCAGCCATGTCGAATGCAGGATCTTCATCAGTGCATATGTCTCTGGTGGCAGAGTGACCTCGCCCCGGAGTAACTGCCTTGGTGCGACCATCTCCTGATACAACTTCCGATTTGCATCCGGTCGCTCGCCAATAGTCGCTCCTTCGAGCGTTGACCCTCCAAAGACAGCACGTGTCTTGCAGTAGGCGAATATATCAGCGTTATATGAGTCTCCTGCAAGCTCTGCGCTGCGTCCAAACGGTCCAACCGCTATGGAGACATCCTGACCCAATATGAAGTTCTTCCCCTCTGAAAACTTCTCCACGGCAGCATCGCTGTTGAGCACGTATACGAAATCGGTGAATTCCATCCCAAATTGGCCCTTGACCTTCAATTTTTCGGTGGCGATCGCGGACGGAGCCGACCAGGTACCGTTGGGGAGACGGGCGACGACGAGACCAGAGCCGAAACGGATGGAGCGAACCATTCCGACTTCGAAAACGCTGAATACGGCGAGGCCCTATTCCCGTTAATTTCAGTACATTTGGCATCAGTGGTGGTGGTTTACCTTTGCATTTTCAAGCACGTTGCGTGGGATAGTCTTATCCACGCTGACTATATCCGGGTTGATAAAAGAATTTAGGATGGCTTCAGCCTTTTTGCATTCGCCTGTACGTGATGTTAGCGCTTTGGCTTATGACTGTCAGTACGACGTCCAAACGAACCGCCTAGCGTGGAAGCGAGTGATGTTGGTAGAGGGTAGTGCATCTTTCCGAGCATTTCGAGTTCGCAGGCCTTGCAGATTGGAAGGAAAACATGACGGGAATAAAAGACTCCCAAGCAACGCCCTGGCTTACTCTTATTAATATTAAGATGAGTGGGTTTAGATTAAGGCAATGCAGCACGACATCATATCAGACTCCGGTGCTGCGGCTTTGGTGAGCGCCGCGTGAGGCTATGCCAGCGAAAGCTTATGAACACGGACCCAACGCTCAGCTGAGCCGCTGATTCGCGCCCAAGAACCAAATTTTGTCTCTTTTAACCGCTGGGCGGTCCTTTGGGCAATGATTCTCCGCATGGCGGAGCCGCTACAGCGCACTAACACCGTGGCAGTGGAAATGAGGTTGGGGGCCACTGTAGTCTCCACGGCGAAGAACCCCCCGTTACCCAGTCACCAGTGTTGACAGCCTGACTGGTTTGAGCCTCCGAGGCCACCGCTTGGTTCTTTTCGTTTGCTCGAGCCAAGCTGGTCTAATTTGGGATAAGGCAGACTCGACACAGTGAGCCGCGGGCCCGTGTGGCCGTGATCCCGGCAGGGCTGAAATATAATCTCCGTTGCCTTCGAAATCCTTCCGTCAGGCGCTTCTGACGCTGCAGGAATCCATCGACGCGACCTACAGTATCCTTTGTCATACACATATTCATGTATGCCTGAACCAGGACGCTCAGGTAGACAAGCAGGAGAGGCTCTCGGTCGCTCAAACAAATCCATCCCAACGGGTCAACTAGTGCAAATGATGGGGTTCGCGAGCCTCACAAACGGGTCGAGGTAGTGTGGGCTGTGCAGCGCTGCGGCTGAACAGACACGAGGCAGCCTCGACCAGCATAATCTGACAGGACACCGACCACCAACCCCGGACCGCACGTGGCTCAACGGCGATTAAGTGTGTCATCTTCATGCTTTGAATAGATAACCTTCCAACGCTGCGGCGGTGCTGCATCTTGTTGCAAAAATATCCATCTTGCATTAAGTATTCACGATCGGGCGATCGGACGCCTGGCGCGTAGGGACATCCAACCAACAATACATCTCGCTCTCTGGCTGGTTCTTGGTATAACTCGGCTTACCCCGCGCTACTTCGGGTCAAAGCAGTCGCCGTCAGAGACAAATCACTAACCATGTTGGATACTTATACTTAGTAGCGCAATTCTCGAGCCATCTCAGGGTCGCACAGTGTTGCGTACCTCAGCTCTCAGACCACAAACAACCACGGTTACCTTCAGAATATGCACCGCTTCTCGGTGACGATTCCGGATCCCGGAAGCCGTGACATCCTGCCTGACCAATGTTGTCTCGCGTTCGGAATCGCGACCGAGCACCCTTATTCGAGTTGAACTCTAATCGCGGGGTGAGTTGAGAAATCAGCTCCTTGGGAGTCATGATGGTAAAGCCAAGAGAATATCTGGGCGTCGGATAGCGTCAACTACCGAAATCATACAGCAACCGAGGCACTCCTTGCATTGGCGTTTGGGGTTTCTCCGTATTCTCCTGCCCCAGTATTCCCCAGATGCAGCAGACGCGGGGGAGGGCATCTTGTACTAGTACCAGAATACCTGGGCTCACGCCAGAAATAAGCACCTTGTGATAATTTTCCTCGAGGCTGATGGAATGAGAACTGCCGTTCCAATGACTTGCCATCAATGTTTCCAGCAGCTCTCTCCACGCTCAGAACCTCTCCTGCTGGAGAATCCCCGCACTCCGGCTGTCAAACCGGCTTTGGAGTAACTTGGCAGCTCCCAGTCAGGGTCCACTGTCGGAAAGGTTTACCTATATAATGCCTTCTCGCTTGGCCAGACTGCCATTGTCGCCGCACAAGAGCTGTAGCTATTTCGAAAACCATCATGAGTGCGACGGAGGCTGGAAAGCCTCAGGATCTGTTCGTGGAGGATGTCCCCACGGAGGCAGAGCGCAAGCTTGATCGCCAGACTCTCAACAGACTAGATTTGATCCTGATGCCCATGACTCTTATTCTGTACCTCCTAGCTTGGCTAGACCGCGCCAATGTCGGAAATGCACGAGTGGTATGTTCTCTCCGAAATATAGAGAAGCTGGCTAACTGTTTAGGCTGGTCTGGACACTGATCTTAATCTCAGTGACCATCAATACAAAATCGGTATGTACCCCTCATCCTATAAGAAAGTGGTGTTTCTCTAATTCCGCAGCAATTACCGTGACCTACGTCCCGTATATCCTCGCAGAACTCCCCTCCAACCTCATCCTCAAGAAAATCGGACCGCGCATTCTCATTCCTACCCTCTGCACATCCTGGGGCATCGTCACAATCCTACAATGCGAAGCCCGCAACTTCGGCGGGTTCGTTGCCTGCCGCTTCTTCCTTGGTCTCTGCGAAGGTGGTCTTTTCCCAGGAATCGTCCTCTACCTCTCTGGTTTCTACCGCCGCCATGAACTCCAAGTCCGCATTGCGCTCTTCTTCTCCGCTGCCTCGCTAAGCGGTGCTTTCTCCGGCCTCCTCGCGGCAGCTATCCAGCAAATGGACGGCATGCGCGGGCTACGCGGCTGGCAATGGATTTTCATCCTCGAGGGTCTTTTCACCGTTTGCTTCGGTCTCTTCTCCTACGTCATGCTCCCCAACAGCCCTGAATCAGTCATGACCTTCTCCGCCAAACACAAAGAGCACTGCCTCCGTCGCCTCCAGTCCGACGCGAACCTTTTCGAATCAGAGAAAGTCACGCTGCGCAAGGTCCTCTACGTCTTCAAAGACGTGCACGTCCTTTTGCTCGGCGCAATCCTATTCTCCAACGGGGTTTGCCTGTTCGGCCTCGCTTACTTCTCCCCGTCTATCGTCCAGGCTATGGGCTACAGCAATACAAGAACCCAGCTTATGACTGTGCCGCCGTATGCTGTGGCCTTCGTCGTAACAATGATAACGGCCTTCATCGCGGACCGGTATCGCCAGCGCGGAATCAGCGCCTTCGTGACAACATGTCTAGCCCTCGTCGGCGCAGCTATGATGCTCACAGGTCGCAGTATAGCCGTTCGCTACGTGGCTCTTGTCCTCCTACTCACGGGTATCTATGCTACAGCACCATGTCTAATATCTTGGGTCCCGAATAATACGGCAGGCCATGTGAGGCGGGCGACGGCTGTAGCGTTTGCGTTTGTGTCGACGAGTTCGGGGGGCGTGTTGAGCACGTGGATCTATCCGAAGAGCTCGGCGCCGTATTATATTCTAGGTGCGAGGTTCAATTTGGCGCTTATTGTGATCACGCTTGTTGGACTTGTAGCGCAGGTGTGCTTGTTGAGGTGGCTGAATCGGGAGAAGGAGGTTCGGCGGACAGACATTCTCAGTGGGTTTGAGGACATGAGTTATGAGGAACAATTTGAGGTGCTGGGTGATAAGCATCCGAGTTATCGGTATACTTATTAACGGCATTTTCTACCTGGGAATTCCTTGTTCGCTAGCCAATGAATTAAATACAAATGGATATATTTCGTGAATTATAGATGAAAATTTGGGTACATCGATAGAATCAAGAAACCTTTCGCTATGGGTATTGGGTATTGAAGAGTTGCAGCTTCGCTGGTGGTGGCATAATACGATATGAGATTTTACAATAGCCTCGAAGCTATCCTTCATGGTCAAAAAAAGTAAGGTACTCGATTAAAACTAGCTGCAGCAAGTTTAGTCAGGACCGCAGGAGGACGGACCATAACTTATTTAGAAAAGAAAAGAAAGCCATGCAGGGAGTGTCGATCAATGCCCCAGGCAGTCAGGCACACAGCCAGGCAACAAGATTACAAAAGCGGCAGAAAAGGAACGAATACGACGTCTTTTCACCACCTCATCCTCCATCAGTTGTATATACCACAGAATGGATATGGACAGCGAACAAATCAACCAGAAGATCCGATCGCGGCGGACGCATCGTAAGTCTCGTCTTGGGTGTGGGAATTGCAAGAAGCGTCGCGTCAAGGTAGGACTCACCGATATATTTCTTAACTTTGGCAAGACTAACATGCATAACAGTGCGACGAAAAAAAGCCAAGTTGTAACAACTGCTTGATGCACTCTATCAGCTGTGACTTTCAAAATCCATCCTCAAGATCCCCTTCAGCGGGTTCAACGCCTCCTCAACGGTTCCAGTTCCGGCAGTCAAAGTACCAACCCGTGGCACTTTCACCCTCACAAGATGAAGAGAATTGCCGCTCAGTCGCAGTACAATGCGATCCTCCCTCTCCTGCAACCACACACTTGGTGACAACTCCAGGAGAAGGAATTTCCCTAGCAGACCTCCATCTCTTCCACCACTTCGTCACAGCAACCTCGAGTACAATTACAGACGAGGCAAAAGATCCTAAAAAGGTCTGGCAAATCCACGTCCCTCAATGGGGCATGTCATTCCCCTCAATCCTGCATCTCCTCCTCACATTTTCCGCACTCCATCTCGCATACCTGAACCCCGCCAGGCGCGGAGAATATACGCGTCAAGCAGACGAGCATTTTACGTTCGGTGTGCGCTCTGTTACGGCAGTTCTTGCGCTTGACACACTGGACTCGCAGAACTGTCAGTATATCTACATCGCGGCTGTCATGATTTGTTTTGCCTATTTTGCACGTGGACCGCGAGATGGCGAGTATTTGGTGTTCAATGCCAATGGGAAATCAGAATGGCTAGTACTGCTACACGGGGTGCGGTCAATATTGGCCGAAAAGCATGGGGAAATCTTCACTGGTGTGCTAGAACCGGCTGAAGAGGGCCTGGATTTGGATACCGACGCCTCCGCCCCTGAACTAGACGAAGAATTGTCCCGACATGTCCAGCGTCTCCAAGAAGTCCGGGACATGGTTAATCTCGAGATGGAAGGGGATAGGGAAGTCTACGTTGGCGTTGTGGATAACTTGGCAGAGTGCTTTGAGGAAGCATACCGGCGACGGAGGACCGGGTGCCACCCAACGGGCTTAATGCCGTACGCTATGGGATGGACGTTCCGGCTACCTAATACGATGATCACTAAGTTGGAGGAAAGGGAGCCGATTGCGCTTATTGTTCTTGCGCATTGGGCTATTCTGCTGCGGTATATGAGAGATTCTTGGTTCATGGAACGGTGGGACCACCATATTGTCATGGGGATCAAGGCGTGCCTCCCTGAGGCGTATCATGCGTGGATTGAGTGGCCGGAGGAGATTGTTGCCTATCTTCCCTAGTGAAAATTTATATAGATACCCAAGTATAGGACGTCAAGGGACCGACCCACTTTCGACACTGTAGCACCAAGGTTATCAGAGTATTTTGTTGCCTTGATCAGGTATTGTCCAATAGCAAGGATACAATATAGTTTGGTACTGTATAGTAGAATGAAAAATGCCGATCGAGTGTCTAATGATCCTAAAAATAACGCGACTCCATTCAAACTCTGCACGATCCGCGCCGAAGCTTTCCCGCTCCACCCGTATTCGTTTCTAGATTACCAAAAGCGGTAATCAGTTGAAACGCTCGGCAGACCCTAACTACGTATAAAAGACAGCCCATGCTATCCTAAACAGCTGTCTTGTTCTAAAGATCTTTTACTATCACTCCTTACTTGCCTTTCTCCTGATAGAACCCATTTATCTATATCAAAATGGACTTCACTTTCCACCCAGGCGTCAACGGCTCAGACCCCTGGGTCGAATTCTACCCCTACAACCCTTCCCTCACAGCCGGATACGCCTTCATGGCCATCTTCGGCCTCGCAACTCTCGCACACATTGTTCTCATGTTCCCCTACAAAGCGGCATACTTCATCCCCTTCGTCCTCGGCGGAATATGTACGTCCTACCCCTCTGCACTACACCAGCAGACAACCCCCCCCCAAAGAATCCAAATCTAACAAAAAGCCAGGCGAAACATTCGGGTACTTCGGCCGTGCACGCTCCCACAACGATCGAACGGGAATCGGCCCTTGGGCTCAACAGCAGATGCTCCTCCTCTGCGCACCACCCCTGCTAGCGGCAAGCGTCTACATGACGCTATCACGCCTCATCACAGCCCTAGGCGCCGAGCACCACTCGCCTATCCGTCCAAAGCGGCTAACCGTGCTATTCGTGCTAAACGACGTGATCTGTCTGCTGACGCAGCTGGTTGGTGCTGGGCTGCAAGTCACGGGAGATGCGCAGATAATTGATATTGGGATCAAGGCGGTGCTGGCGGGGCTGGTGTTTACGCTTGTTGTGTTTGTGGGGTTTGTGGTGATTGCGGTGAAGTTCGAGAGGAGGTTGGTGGCTTATCCGACGAGGGTTTCTTCGGAACTGGATGGGGAAAGGGGGGTTGGGTGGAGGGGGTATATGTGGTGTCTTTATGGGGTGTGTGGGTGTATGATTGTGAGGAATTTGGTGAGGACGGTGGAGTTTGGGGCGCCGAAGGGGGCGGATGTGCGGAAGCGTGAGGTGTATATTTATGTCTTTGATGGGGCGTTGATGGCGGTTCTTATGGGGGTTTGGATTATTTGGCATCCGGGGAGGTTGGTGAAGAGGGCTAGGAGTGTGAAGAGGGGGGTTGATGGGGATTTGGAGCTTTTGAGAAGTAAATAGATATAGAAGGCTAGAGCTGGAAGTCTTAAAGTCGTTCATGATTTATCGCTAATGCAAATGTCTAGATATTTATAATCTATGCGGACTTGCCGAACACCTTGAAGCGGTCCTCGATCGGAGCGAAGGTCTTGTCCAAAGGACCACCGGCAGGGGTACCAAAGACCAGCTGGGCATCTAGTTTCCAGCTGGCAGGGATGTTCCACTGCTTCTGGATCTGCTCGTCAATCAGGGGGCTGTAGTGCTGGAGGTTGGCACCGAGGCCTTCGGAGGCGAGAGCGGTCCAGACTGCGAATGTTAGTATCTTTGAATTGGATAGAGATTCACAGGACATACCAAGGTACTGGGACATGGCGTTGGACTCCAGAGCGAAGGGGTCGAACTTGTCGGCGTAGATGGCGAACTTCTCCTTGATGTCCTTGAGGGCGTCATAGTCGACGAAGAAGAGAACCTGCATAATGAGCAAACTGGTCAATATTTGAATTGAATTGTAACATACAGTTCCGTAGCCATTACGGAAGCCCTCAAGCTTGGGCTTGGTGGAGGATTCGTAGGCCTCCTTGGGCAGAGCACCGGCGGCAACAAGCCCCTCCATAGCCTGGAGGGCAATGTCCCACACCTTCTTGTGCTCATCCTTCAAGAGGAGAACGACGCGAGAGGTCTGTGTGTTGAAAGAGCTGGGGACGTGCAGGACGGAGTCGCGGACAATGGACTCAATGGTGTCGTCGGAGATGGGGCTCTCAGGCTTGAGGCCGTAGATGGTGCGACGGGCCTTGACGGCCTCCAGGAGGGTGCCCGTGGCGGGGTTCTTGAACTCGACTCCGGTGGAACCCATTGTAGCAGTTGTGATGTTAATGAAGTGATAAAGAGGTGTCAAGGGGTCGAAACAATGCGAGGATGGACTGATCTGGAGCAGCCATGATGGAGGGGCAGAGCTTTCTTTATACGCGATCGACGGTGGGACAGTGTTGGCTGGCGAAGCAATTCCGCGGTGGGGCCAGACAGGTGCTTCCCGGCGGCGGGCCAATCACAACCCCGGACGGCTTTGTCAGCGGCTTTGTCGTGATTAGAAATTTTGGGGGCGGATTTGCAACTTTCTTTGTCACTTGCGCCTTCGTTTACTTCATTCTGGATCTCTGGTACCAAGTTGAGAATGGCCCTTGGTAAGCGCCGCCGAATCTCGGCTGGCCAGTGGTTTGGGAGCAGGCTAAATCCGCAATTCCGCTAGGAACCAGGAACAGCCTTTGCTTACTCCGTAGTGATCCGTTCGCTGATGCGTGGGCTGCTAGAATCTTCCAGCCTTGTTTGATGCATTATGAAACCTCTTCGTTGAGGCAACTTTTGCAGACTTCAGGCTTGCTTCCGCTTATTGTCCTTGGCCAATTTTGAAGCCACTTCATCAAGCGCTCCATTGCCAGCTCGGGATTGTCGCTAAGGACCCTTTTCCGATCTTTCTTGAAATGACAGGTACCCTTTTGCGACAAGTCGCGCCATGTTCGGGCGGAGTGTCTTTCATGCGTCTCATGCGGCGGTGCTTCGAGCCAAACTTGCTCAACAGCCTGAGGGAAGTCTCGAGACGTGAAGCGGTGGCCGGATGACCCAGTTGAGCGTTACATCGTACGCATGCCCTTTGAGATCGGGGATGTCAAACTGTTGGCCACCACATACACCTAGGACGTATCTTGATCGCTCTTGGGCTTGTGAAATCGGGTGTAGCACCCGACATTACCATCTCTATGGTACGCAGACCGTCTGACGGAAGTGCCTCCCATCAGGCGTGACGCCTACTAGAGGCTATGATGCCGCGACACAGGTCGCCTAACTGCACCTGAGGACCGACAATCGCCCGGTGTGCACAGAAAACACGTCCCTGGCAGGATAAGGTGAGATCCGACTCTTTCCTGTCTGGAGGAACCATTTCACGTAATCCCTAGTGTAGCCACAGATTAGGCCCATTGACCTTGTCAGCCTTTACTTGATAAGCCATTTTGAAACTCCAGTAAGACATCGGGTCGTATCTGGCTTCGTGCTTCAGGTGATCCGTCTTGATTAGGGGGTGCTCCTTAACACCGATAGAATGTGTTCTTCGCCCATGATAGGTGATATGAGCTCGACCGTAGGTTGCCCGGCATTCTTGCCTGTACCGCAGGGCATATAGTCTGCAAAGATCACGCTTGAGGTTATTCTACCGATAGAGGTTGGTAGTAGTGGTGAGCATCCTCATCGAGAACTTTTGGGATCTCTCACTTCAACATTAGAATCAAGATTACAGAACTCTCGCATCATCCGGGATCCGATGTGCAATGACGCTTTTACATGATCATGAATTCATAATTGCCCAAGACGTGAGGAACGTGCGGTGTCAGCGCCCGCGAGTCAGCCCCGGCAGGCCCAACATACGATCTCGGGCCCGGGGCATCAGTCTTGGCCTGTTGGGGCCCCATTCCTCGGTTATTCGCCCATCCGGCCAATATTTGCGGCAGCCCGAAAGAAACGACTCAGCGACCGCGACTAAGTATGAGATATCGGGCGCCGCTGAGAGGTGCGCCTGGCCCCCCATCTGGGGCTTGTATCCCTCGGTCCGCCCGCCGATCCTGACGCACATGAAAGCACGCCTGCACAGTGCACCAGTGAAGCTGGGGGATGCGCATTCGGGTATCCCACCTGTTTTATGCCTGGTCCATGGTTCGCTGTCATTATTATCCAGCTCTGCATTTGTGGCCTGATGGCACCGCTACATAATATAAGAATCCCATGACCCAGCACCGCCTGGAGGGGTATACAGCCTCACTGGTCTTGGCCAACATATCCCACTATGGATGAGCAAATTGCCCGCATCATGGTCGGCCTCAAGCAGCTGCCCATCCGCACGCTGCTGCTAGAGTTCTGGAGAGACTCCAGGAAGCGCAGGGGCCTATCGGCTGCTCTGCTGGCCGCATACCTACTCATCCAAAGGTCCGTTCGGTATCGACGACTGGGGCGTTTACAAAAGGTGTATCGCAAGTACACCACTCGAGAAGAGATGGCTTCGATGACGGACCATGATGCCTGGGAGATCCAAAAGCAGATGCTAGCGATGGAATTCCCGTCGGCGACGGTCAAGGCCTTGCAGTTTGCCTTGTTCAGGGTACGTACCTCTCCCAACTATCTATAGGCAGAACTAACAACGGCAGACATATGGAATCCCAACAATATCAGCTCTCTTGCTCAAAACATCCCAGTTCTCAAATCCGGCGACATCATTCAAACGGTATGCCGACACAGGCGCCCTGATCGGCCAGTTTATGGCGTTTGAGCCGTCCTCTGAACGAGCACAAACCGCTATCGCTCGCACCAAGTTCCTCCATGTAGGATACCGGAGCAGCGGAAAGATTCTCGAGTCTGATATGCTGTACACCCTCAGCTTGTTCGCTCTCGAGCCCATTCGCTTCATTGATATGTTCGAGTGGCGCTCGCTCAGTGACCTGGAGCAGTGCGCCATCGGCACTTATTGGAAGAGTCTCGGTGATGCACTGGAAATCAGCTTGGCCGACCTTCCTTCAGGCCCCAATTCATTCCGTGACGGGCTGCATTTCCTGGATGAGCTCCGGGCATGGAGTCTGAAGTACGAGGAAGACTATATGAAGCCCCACCCTTCAAACAAAGAGGTCGCGGACAAGACTATGGACGTTGTTGTCTATTCAATGCCGCGATTCCTAAAGTCCGCCGGTGTCAACTTTGCGTCTTGCGTGATGGATGACCGGTTACGAGAGTCGATGATGTACGCATTCTTCCTTGCCCGCGGTTTATTGACTATCTAGCTAACCTGCACAGGTATGAACCACCATCTGCCACATACAAGACGATATTTTCCTCACTTATCGCGCTCCGCAAGTTCTATCTACGCCACCTGGCCCTGCCCCGGGCGAACTTCCAGCGAATTGATGTCTTTACCGATAAGCCAAATGAGTATGGACGCTACTACGTAAAGCTCTACGAAGCTATTCCATACTACGTGAAGCCGACGATTTGGAACCGCTGGGGTCCCGCGGCCTGGGTCACCTGGGCAATGGGGATGCCCTTACCCGGAGACGAAGACGATAAGTACTACCCCCGAGGATTCGATCTGGAGGATCTAGGGCCGAAGTATTTCGAGGGCAAAGGCCGCAAGTCAGTAGCTGCAATCCGGGAGCAACTGAAACAGGAACGAAGGGGACAAGCGCCCTTTATCCCTGAGCTTCCCAGCGCCGAGGATGCGAAGTATGAAGTAGTTGATGGCCCAGAACAAGTTTCTGAGGCATAATTTCCCAAGATACCTTTTTACTTTTCTTATTTGCCATTAGAATTTTATAAACCTGGGGTTCTAGCCTGGGCTGTAGTCATGCCGTCACAACCCTGAGCGTATCCACGGTTCCTCTTGACCTTGAAGTCATACACCCACCAGCCTTATCTCAACGGCCTTTCATCCCCAGAAATAGACACCTTCATCTATAATTACCAAAGGAAACATGGCAAGACGTGATCCGGAGCGCATCGATGCCTGGATCCTAGGCAGCGGGGTCGCATCGCTCACAGCCGCAGTGCATCTCATCCAGGAAGTTCATGTGCCACCTTCCCGTATACACATAATCGAGTCTCTTAGTGTCCCAGGCGGCGCAACCGCAAGTCATGGCGATGCAGAGAATGGCTATGACCTTCGCATACAGCCACAATACAACGGTGTGTGCATGGATGCCACGCTGTCGCTAGTCCCCTCGACATCTGATCCCAGCCGCTCAGTGCGCGATGAGATCCTCGAGTTTGCGACATCACTGGAAATCCAACCGCCGCGCACAATGTTTCTGGGTCACAAGTCTAATGGGGTCGGTCGCGTCGATGCGAAGAAGATGGCGCTGGGCTTGCGCGACCGAATTGATCTGTTCACGCTGGCATCCAAGTCGGAGAAGACGCTGGGGAGGGCCCCCATTTGCGACTTCGTTAATGAGAGATTCTTTCGAAGTGCATACTGGTTGGCGCTTGCTGCAAGGTAACTTTTTTTTTCTTTTTTCGGGGGTATATACGTAGCTAAAGGTGTCTGCATAGCTTCGGCCTCAAACCCTCACACTCCGCTGCCGAATTCCGCCGGTACCTGCATCGCTTCAGCAATCTGCACGACCTCCAGCAACCTTACCTCCTTGATCTAGGTAAATACAGCGTGCATGAGTCTATCATAGTCCCCGTCGTTCAGTTCCTCATGTCCAGAGGTGTGGACTTCCGCCTCAACACCACCATCTGCGACATCTCCTTTGCGAAAGATAACCCTAACAAACCCAACGACCCAACACGCATTACCGCAATACAAACCTCTCCAGTCCGCGAGCCATGCTGCTCTGTCTCCTCAAAGGACCAAAAGACAATACAAGTCAGTCCAGACGACATCGTTATCGTCTCACTAGGCTCCATCTTCTCCACCCTCCTCCCAGGAACAAACACCCACCCCCCTCCATCCCTCCACCTCGACCCAACAACAATCACCGACCCCGAAACCTCCATGGACGCAGATACAGAACTCGACGAAAACTGGCTTCTCTGGCTCGAGCTCAGCACCAAGCACCCCAACTTCGGCAACGCCTACAACTTCTGCACAAGACTGCACTCCTCCCGCCTCGAATCCTTCACCATCACCTTATCCTCCACCGAACTCTTCTCCCGCCTCACCGAAACAATAGCCCAAACCCCAGGCCCTAATACCCTGCTAACCCTCCGCGACTCCCCCTGGCTCGTCACCCTGCACATCCCCCACCAACCCGTCCTCCCAGACCAACCACCCCACATCCAAGTCTGCTGGGGCTACGCCCTCGCCCCCGAGCGCAGCGGGACACACATCCAAAAGCCAATGATCGACTGCTCGGGTCAAGAAATCCTGTCCGAGATCCTCTCGCAGCTGGGATACCCGCTTGAGTCGATCCTCAAGAAGGCGGTTACGATTCCCTGCATTCAGCCGCGTGGGGCGGCGACTCTGCTCCCCAGGATCCCGAACGATCGGCCGGCTGTTATACCGGAGGGGATGCGGAACATGGCTGTGATAGGGCCGTTTGTGGAGATTGCAGATGAGGCGGTTACGACGGATTATAGTGTGAGGGGTGCGCAGATTGCGGTCAGGGAGTTGATGGGTGTGGGCACTGTCGTAGGGTAAGAAGGGGTTTTCGGCCTCTGATTGTATGATTATGTGTCGTATGGTTAAAAAAATGAATATTTTCAGCGTGGGTGGGCTAGACTCACAGTATCAATGAGTCTCGATTCATACATGAGCTTCAGGTCCAGACAATATAAAGAAATCCCCGGCAATACCCGTTTCATTCATGGTTACTACAATGAATAATAGTGCACTGGAAATATCCAACCCCATTCACTCAGCCTTATGAAACACCAGTGAAGACCTTTGTCCTGCCACGTAAAGGCTATATAAACCCGCCGATAATCACTTCGAGGACTCGAAGCTCACCCGTCGCATCAAGTCCAAGTCTAAGTCCAAACCGAGCTCAGTCGATTTCTCTGATTTAAGAAGCTCCTCGTTCCAAATCAAGAAAAATGTGCCAGCACACCTATCGACACCACCAACACTGCGGGCATATTGCCTCGTTAACCCTCGATGCCTGTACCGAACTCATAGCCCGCATTCACAGCCAACAAAAGCCGGTCGGACACTGGATCAAAACAATGCGTGACCTTCAGCCTGACTCAGACAGCTGCTGTCTAGCATGCGAGGTTGAATCGGGGACACGGATGAGATCGCCGCAGCACAGGGGAACCGGTACCAGCACATCATTCAGCGCTATCGAGAACCCACTGCGCTATATCTCACTTGGGGGCGTACATGATTCGGGTCCACTAGTAACTGCAGACTTCATGGTGTCTGTTCCATCGGATGCGGATGCTTCGCAGCAGGAGGTTCTCTGCTATATCCCCGCCGGTGCGGTTGTGCAGATGGGTAGCGGAGAACCAGGAAAGGGCTCCAACAGTCTACTTGAGGCACTTCAAGGCCTAGGACTTGGCTGGGAAGGTGGCCGTAGTGTGGATAGTGTCCCTGGTGCATTTTGGTCGGATGATTTTGACTACGATATGTGTGGTTTGGGAGAGACAGTGTCTCGGTTTCCGAACCCGCCTTCGCTCTCGGACGAGAGCGACAGCGAGTACGAGGATATGAACGATAGCTCTTGTCCACCCCAATCTCATCAATAGCCAGAGCCTTGGACGCCCGGGCGCACGCGTCTTCAGTCTCCAGCCCCGCCGTTTTATCACAGTGACATGAGGGCTGGAGATGATAATGATTCGGATTTTGATGAACCCGACTGTGACAATGTCATAGGACCTGAGTCAGGGCAGGACGGGGGTATTTTCAAGAGGCTGCAAATGGCGCTTCCATCCTTTCTGCAGGATGCCAATGGGGATGGTTTTTGGGAGCTCATTTAAGTGCTTGAGGGGCGTGGGTTCGCGCCGTTTCCTCGGCGTTTCACACATATTGGCGGTGTCCACAGGAACTCTGCCTTTCTCGGATGACTTCCGCAGGGAATATTTAGGCAGCTTTTGTGCGTCCATCGAATTGGGCGCTTCCAATGAAGATGTTATTTTTGAACTTATTGTGTCGGGTGTCGATTTCCTGATTCGTCAATTGTCCCCGCTCTTCGTAATGGTAAACTCTCCTTTTATCCACGTCGGGTAATTTATCTGAAGGGAGATACTATACGTAGCAATATAATTTTCTTGGTTGCCAATGCCATGGTGTAGTCGGGGAGGTATAAAGACCACATGCATGTTCGTCTCAGAATACTGCAGATCAGTCGATCCCACGAACCCTTTGCCGATACCTACCCGAATCAGAAAAATGAAGAAAGTCGTTTTGTCCGCTCTTTTTGCGTTTCTTCTGCAATCTGCCAGCGCGCAGGTTGTGGGCACACCCTCTGGCTTCGGTGCTGGAACGACCGGAGGTGGTGATGCAGAGCCTCAGACCCCCTCCAGTCTAGACGAGTATGTTTGCCGGATACTGATACTCTCGCTGAGGCTAACGAAGCAGGCTTGTCGAGTGGATAACTGACGATACCGCGCGCACAATCCTCATCGACCGCGAATGGAACTTCATCGGCACTGAAGGGGAAACAACAGGGCAGTGCTGTAGCACAGCGACGACTACCTGCGAGGGAGGAACAAGCGCGGGCCAGGCCTCTATCCAGGATACTTGCGATGGCACCTGGATCGAATGTACCTATGACAATGCAGGCCCGTCACCCCTCGACGTCGGTAGCAACAAGAGTATTGTCGGTGTCGGTGATGCTGGAGTTATCCGCGGCAAAGGGCTACGCATTCGCGGCGGTGCAAGTAATGTGATCATTCAGAACATCCACATTACGGAGCTCAACCCAGAGTACGTTTGGGGCGGTGATGCTATTACCCTCGACGATTGCGATCAAGTTTGGATCGATCATAACAAGTTCTCTCTTGCTGGGAGGCAGTTTATCGTTTCCGGCTGGGGAGCTGCCGGACACGTCACTATCTCGAACAATGAGTTTGATGGTGTGACGGACTGGTCCTCCGGATGTAACGGCAAGCACTATTGGACATTGTTGCTTATTGGTGAAGAGGACTGGTATACCTTCCAAGGCAACTGGCTCCACGATGTATCCGGCCGTGCACCACACTTGGGAACTTCGAACACGGACAGCCGCATTTTCTTCCATGGGGTCAACAACTATTTCCAGAATGTCGGTGGGCATGCTTTTGACATTGACACCAACACTTGGGTGCTTCTGGAGGGAAATTATTTTGACACCGTGACAACTCCAATTACAGATACCACACTGACCAGCGGGGCGTTGGTGTATAATGTTCCTTCCGTGGACTCGGCAAGTGCCTGCTCTGCCTCTCTGGGGTATATTTGCGAGTGGAACAGACTCGCTGGATCTGGTGATTGGCCGGAATTGACAGACCAACAGGTCTTGGATGAGATCGCGCAGTATTCGGACAGCTTGGTGGATGCTTATGGTGTTGCTGATGTACCTTCCACTGTTGTTGCAAACGCTGGTGTTGGTAAGATTTGATTTGTATACTTCAAGCTATTTCAGATCAATATCAATCAATATTCGTAGACATAAATGTATTTTGCTGAGTGTTGTCGAATATAATCACCAGTCAATAGCAGGAAGAACCTAGAAAATCAACCGCTTGCTTAATCCTTTTCACCTAAGCCGCTATACTCACCTGAGTCGGTACAAGCGTTATAGTGGTGCACCTGCATGGTCCTCTGAGCTCAGGTCGTTTGTGGACCTAGTCATTCAAAGGAGTTCAGATCAAAAATAAAATAAGAAAACATTCCCTCGCCCACACCATACAAACAGTTCAAAGGACATGCTATACGTTCCTCATAGTATACTAACAAGCGCCGTGCTCGAAGCGTGAAACTGGTGTCTTATTAAGTATTCGACATTAAATCGTACATAGATGGAGGAGCGGCCGGCCGGGAAAACATCGAAGGTTCAATCAAGCGTAAGACTCCCTCTGGGCCCTATGCGACATCCATTTCCGATACAAGAAAAGCAGAATAATTCCCATGCCCACGATGAAAACGATGCAGAATACCAGGATCGGGCCAGGGTTCTCGGAAGCCCAGTTTCGCCGTTCGAGGACGTTTCGAGTTTCGAGGACCTGCCTCTGCGTTGCTATCGCGAGTGAATCGAGCGCAGGCATTTTCTAATCTTGTCAGCCGCTAGATATCTAGATGTACCCTAGTAGAGAGCCCATACTGCGTGTCAGCGCTAGGCGCAGATATCCTCTATGATATGAGACCCGAATTCACAAGCTGATCGAAGGACGCGAGCTTTTGATGAGGTCCGCGGGCGAAGTATGAGGCTGGACGAGAATTCTCGACGGCCATCAATATACCAAGTGACAGCGAAGATGGGGAGCGAGAGAGCGACAACAGGCGGGGAAGCCAAAATCCATCGAGCACCCGGGGAGCCGCGGATGTCAATGACGTGGTAAATAGTATAATGTATGCAACGCTGTACCGGCCACAAAGCTTATATCGCGCCCGTTCGCATAAGGTTTCCATGGTGGAGGTGGCCTTGCTCGTCACATACAAAGCTTTTCTGCATATTCATGTCGGATTTACTGCAGTATGCAAGCCATAACGCGATGCTGCAGCGATATTTCGATGCAAGTTGATTTCCAGGCACAGTCCAGAGTCTGGCGTCACCACCCAATCGTTCGGATCAGCCAGGCAGAGGTCCAAGAGGAGATTCGCGGAAGTGTTTGACGTCATGGCTTGTGGTACGGAGAAATCTGCTGAAGATAGTGGTTCGATCATCGGGGTCTATTTCCAACATGACAGGCGCATGAGATTGGATGGAAATGTCAACAGGTCGAAGGGACCATGGAATCGATGAAGAGGAAGGTTCAGGTTGGGCGACTGTTGATGCTGTATCTCAAGGCTTGGCGTGATGTTTTCTTGGCATTCACGTCGTTGAAGATGATCTGCAACTCCACCTTTACCAGTTGAGAGGTTCGGGCAGAGAAAACTTCAAGTATTTGCACATAACGGACTTCTTCAGAGAGAGAAATTCTATCCACATAATTGGAGGTTGATTGGCGCAAGTATATTGCCAAAATCCGACTTGGGCAACCTCGTACGGCGTACTTCATATAGGAATAGCATCTTCTTCACTCTAAATTTCAAGATCAGGAGAATCACAGAATGAATAATTTATTGCATATATTAAGAGAACTGAGGTATCAACAAAGTGGTATCCATAATTCGGTCCAAGACAATCATAACTCCACACATCACCCTCCCCTTCATATTACAGTCTGGGTACACCGTACACCCAACTCCTCCTCACCAACCAATATCAGAAAGAAAAGGAAATCAAAGCATCAGCACAGACGGGGGTATCTTCACTGTTTTATCGGCTGACCCTGTACAGGCTGCTGTAGTGGCTGCTGTGCGTGCTGTATCGGTTGTTGCTGTACCGGCTGTACCGTTTGCTGGTGGACGACAACATGGCCACTTCCATGGTAAGTAGCAAGGAGGTAGTTGCACTTCCCGCACTTGTGCTCCACGTCCTTGAAATGAGCCATGAAGTAGGGAATACACCCTACACAGGCGCAGCAGCAAAGAACGGCCGCCCAGGCACTAAACAAAGCTATTAGCTGAATGTCTCCTTGAAGATAGCTCGGTTCCGAAGTGAACTTACTGGGTTGTCGATCCGTTCACGGCCTCTGTCCGGGTCATCTCTCGCGTGTGGCACATGGGGCAGTCAACGACCTGAGAAGTCCGTCCGAGGGCGTGCAGAGGGATCGCGGTAGGGTAGTTGTTTTGGGCTGGCGCTGGTGCTGGTGCTGCGTATTGTTGCGGGGGATACATTTGCGGGGTGGGGTTCCAAGGACCAGGGGCTTGCTGGGGAGCAGCCGCATATGCCTGAGGTGACTGTTGGGGAGTCTGCACATAGCCCTGAGGTGCCTGCTGGGGGGGATACCCCTGAGGTGCGTGTACCTGCTGAGGAGCAGGAGCATATCCCTGGGGTGGCATCTGCTCGAGATGAAGCTCAGCGCCGGGCCCGGGTGTACCAGGGTGTGCCTGTTGTGGGATAGTAGGGGGTTGTTCGTAGGTAGGGGGTGAAGCAGCCTGGAGCTCCGGGGCTGAGGCAGCATTCAAGTTAGCATCAATCAAACTCAGAAAGTTCATAACAACGTACGGTAGTTCGCTTTCTCGGCCATATTGAGAGGAATAGTTCGAAACGGTTAGATCACACAGGCGCAGGTCTTGCAGAAACTGTCAGAAAGGAGTGAAGAGAAAAATCTCGAGAAACACTTCTCTGCTGGCATTTGACAGTCTAATATATGCATCCTTCGCGGATCAACATTATTGCCAAAAATGGCTTACGCTGGGCATCCAGAGCCCTCCGATACGAGGCACTCTTCACCCCCATAGGCAGAAACGCAGCTTTGGACCCAATGAAAAACTCAAAAGTACGCCGATCTCTCGATTCAGCCTCGAAGAGCTCGTGTCATCCAGAAAACCATGGCATTGCCTCAGAGCTTGGCTTGGGGCTGAAGGGTTGGGGCCAAAACTTGCGAGTCCCACAAGGGCTTACGAGGATAAGCACCATAATTGAACAGCGAGAAACTTCCGAGCTGGTCTTTCTCTTGCTGATACCGTTGGAGTCACGATCATCACTGGCTCGCGGATTACAACCGCTCACAGCGCTCGGGACGAGATTGCATTGGGGAGCGACACGAGGAGGAACTGGGTCGAACCACTTGTCATGGACCCTTGTTGCCCTTCCATTAATAGAATACGAGCGGAGCTCCACCCTCAGCCAGAACGTTTAGATTGGAGATTTCCTGTTGGTCAGCCAGCTGTTCAAACATCAAAGTGCCTTTGCCGTGTTGGGGCGATGCAGGGGGATCCTTACTGGGTTTGACTCATCTCCTGAATGAGCCTCGTATTCTGAGGATCCAAGCGGGAACTGAGAAGATCACTGACTTATGCTCAGGCATAATTACTAACCGCGGCCTGGCCCAGCATACTGGATTTGTACTCGCAGTGTCTCCGGGCGCGGAGCTCTGCCCTCGGGCACCCCCGAGCACTCCGCAGTGAATGGAAATAGTTCTAGTTCATTCTCAGGTCAGCTACTAGTAGTATTAGCCTGATACCAATCTCGAGATCGCACAGAATTCCGACTTCAGTGACGTCGGATGAACTCCGATGCTTCAACCGGGCATCCCACCGTCCCCGCCTTATCATCACAGCAGGCTCCCTTCTTAAAGGGTGTTTTCAGCAGCAAGGATACTGGAACAATCAGCTCGGTTTTCAGTACTCAGTCACTCGTCATGTCCAAGCCATCAGTCGGTTTTGTGGGCCTAGGAGCCATGGGGTTTGGCATGGCCACCCACCTCGTCAAACAGGGCTATCCAGTCCATGGCTTCGATGTATTCCCGGCCTCAATTGAGCGTTTCAGGGCTGCTGGGGGCATACCTGCGTCCTCTCTCCGTGAATCAGCTGAAGACAAGAAGTACTACGTTGTTATGGTGGCTTCAGCGCCACAAGCGCAGTCTGTCCTATTTGACGACAACGGCATTGTACAATGTATGTACTCAAGGCTATTTGACCCGATTGAAGCCCAGGCTCATCATTGCATTTAGATTTACCCCAGAACGCGGTTCTCATGCTCTGTTCAACGGTGTCCGCCATGTATGCTCAGTCTGTCGCCGCCGAGCTTCAAAAGCGCGGTCGCGGCGACATTCTTTTCGTCGATAGCCCGGTTTCTGGCGGTGCCAAACGTGCAGCGGATGGGACGCTCTCCATCATGGCCGGCGCATCTGATGAAGCCCTCCAAGCTGGCCGCGACATCCTACAAGAAATGTCCGACGACAACAAGCTATACCTGGTCCCCGGTGGTATCGGTGCAGGTAGCAATATGAAAATGGTCCACCAGGTGCTGGCAGCCATTCACATTCTCGGTGCGAGTGAGGCCATGGGCTTTGCCGCGCAGCTGGGTCTGGATGCTCGTGCGACAGCCGAAAAGATCCAGACTTCGGATGCGTGGACATGGATGCACGAGAACCGATTCCCCCGGATGGTGGAGGAGGATTGGAACCCCGGCGCCAGTGCGTTGACCATTATTCTCAAAGACGCTGTACGCTTCTCTCTACCCCGCTCACGGAGCATTCATTCATTCGGCCGCTAACCAGCTGAGTGCAGGGAATCATCACCGCAACTGCCCGCCAACACAACTTCCCCACCCCTCTCTGCTCGACCGCCGAACAAATATACCTTTCTGCGCTTCTACACGGCTGGGGCCCTAAGGACGACTCGGCCATGGTCCGACAGTACTATGCCAAGCCCCTTTCGGACGTTTCCCCATGCGCCGACACCGAAGCCGCCACCGAACTTGTTTTGGATTTCATGCGGGGCGTCAATCTTGTCGCGGCCGCCGAGGCCGTTTCGTTTGCGCGATATCTCAATGTTGATCTCACCCAGTTCTACGGGCTGGTCAGCCAGGCCGCTGGCGCGAGCAAACTCTTTATCCAGCAGGGCCTTGAGATGATTGAGGGACGCATTGGCGAAAAGGCACCCGCGGGGTCTCCAACGGTAGACCAGGTCGCGGCTAAACTTGAAGTAGTTGTGCAGAAGGCGCGGGATCTGTACTGCCCACTCCATCTTGGTAATGCTGCATTGAATGTGCTGTTTATGGCACAGAGACACGGATCTGGGGGGCAGAGCGGCACCAGTGTTATCAGGGTTTACGGCCAGTAATTTATGAGTATCTACACGATGTATAATGACTCGCATTTGATCTTCGTTTCACTCTTCCAAAACTGTAGCCGCGCCGCACCGCCAGTGAAGTGAGAGATGGCGGATAAATACCTGGGTAAAATAGCGCAACCCCACACGAAAAAAATCAAGAAAATAATAGCAAACCGGCTTTTCCCCCGATGAATCCAAAGTTGACCGGCGATCGTATCTGAGGCCTGTCGGACCAACTCCGGGGGATGCGGAGGAGAAGCGGGGGGTGTCATACAATGAGAGGCTATAAGACATCTACACCTACCAACAATTCGATCCAATCCAAGCCATCCTTTCCTCCTCTTCTCCCCAATCCCCTTCTATTACATTAATAAAACAACCCCAAGAAAGGAGGGAGAGAGAAGCAAAATGCCTCTCCAAACGGAAAACCGCGCGCTCTCCATCCTCAACCATGCCGCCACAAACCGCTACGGCATCCCCGCAATGTGCTGCTACAACGTCGAAGGCATCCTCGCCACCGTGCGCGCCGCAGACAAGAAGCGCTCCCCGGCTATGATCCTCCTCTTCCCCTGGGCCGTGCACTACGCCGACGGGATCCTCGTGCACGCCGCCGCCGAAGCCGCGCGCAATGCCTCCGTGCCGGTCTCTGTGCACATGGACCACGCACAAACACCCGAGATCATCCGGCGCGCGGCGGACCTGGGCGGGTTCGACAGCATCATGGTCGACATGTCGCATTACGAGAAGGAGGAGAATCTGCGGCTAACACGGGAATTGGTGGCTTATTGCCATGAGCGCGGGATCGCGACGGAGGCGGAGCCTGGGCGTATTGAGGGTGGGGAAGATGGGGTGGCGGATACGGCTGATTTGGAGGGTCTGTTGACGACGCCGGAGGAGAGCGAGGAGTTTGTTGCTACGGGGATTGATTGGCTTGCGCCCGCCTTTGGGAATGTGCATGGCGAGTATGGGCCTCGGGGGATTCAGTTGGAGTATGACCGTTTGCAGAGCATTCAGGATAAGGTTGGGGATCGGGTGAAGCTTGTCCTGCATGGGGCGGATCCGTTTACGAAGGAGATTTTCCAGAAGTGCATTGATTGTGGGGTGTCGAAGATCAATATCAACAAGGTGTTGAATAATGAGTACATCAAAGTGCAGCGGGAGAAGGCAGGGCGGATTCCTTTGACGGCGCTGTTGGAAGAGGCGACGGATGAGATGCAGAAGGCTGTCGAGCGGTGCATGGATATGCTGGGGTCGACCGGCCGGTATTGATCAGAAGTGTTCGAATATATTCCATTATTATTAAAATAGCAGACGTCTTCGTGTTGTTTGAATCTGGCAATTGTTTCATGTGATGGGGGATAAGTAGCTTCCACTACAAATGTATAGAATCGTCGGCGGGGCGGTCAACTTGGAACTTCCGACCATCTCCGTCATTCTTCGAGGTCGCTGGATTCTCCTTCCTCCTCATCCCTCCCTTCCCCCGCCATAATGAATCCAATTCAGCCCTTTTGGGGCCCGCAGACTTCTTATCTAAAGTATGTCCTCTCGCTGCGGAAGCATTGGACGGGCGCTTATTTACTTTTTGCAGTTTCTGCGAGGAAGACTACGTCATCACCCGCTACGTGGCCGAGTTCATAAACACTCTGAGCAGCCTCATCTACTGCGCGTTTGGGCTCTACGGCATTACAAAACTCCAGCGAAAACAACAGGCTACGTTCTCTCGCTGTATTCCATACTATGGGTTGATCGGGGTTGGGGTCTGCTCCGCAGGCTACCATATGACCCTCAAGTATCACACGCAAATGTGTACGCACGCCTGTCCCTTGTTGCGCTCGCACCGATTTGGCTGACTTCTAGGCTTGCGATTTCACAGCGGATGAGCTATCCATGCACCTCCTGACGACCCCTCTTCTGTACCGCATCCTCACCTTCCAAAAGGACCTCCAGCACACGAGACTCATAGGAGCTATCCTCCTCACGCTCTTCACCATAGTTATGGTCGTGCACATGGTCATGGACGAATTCCTGCTCCACGCCGTCTCGTTCGGCACCGCGGCGCTTCTTATCACAATCGGAACAATGAAAGCTATCCCCCGCCAGGTCCCGGATCCGTCTATCCGGGGTAATATGAGACGGATATCGCGCTTTGGACTGTGTACGATTTCCCTCCCCTCGTTCCCTTTATTGTTACAAATAAGCAATCAAGTTACATAACTAACAATCAAATAGGCTGCTTTCTCTTCGGCTATGGCGTCTGGCTGATCGACAACTTCGCCTGCCCAAGTTTGCTGGAAGCCCGGAAGGTCGTCGGTACCCCGCTAGCGTTCTTATTCGAGTTACATGGCTGGTGGCACGTTTTCACCGGTATTGGCGGATATGTTGCTGTTGCGATTGTGGACTTGATTACCTCGGGCGAGGTAGATCAAGATCCGACGCCTGAGATGGCATTCCCAATTCCTCCCGTGGC